TGCTTGCAGCTTTCGGTGTGAAATCTTGTTACAGTCTGACTACTTAATCATGGCCGGTACTGCAGTCAAACGAAAGCAGAATTCTCAAGTGAACAACTTGAAAGGCAAGAAACAGCAACTTTCCTCAGCCAAGGCTCACAAAGTTGAAGAGGAAGCTGTAGAGATCGCAAACGAAGTAAGCGACGACGATTCCGAATCTGAAGAGGAGGAAGTTGAAGAGACCAACGAAGCTGAAGTTGACGGATCTGAAGAAGAATCAGAGGAAAGCGAAGAGAAAGCTGATGCTGGTGATATCGCAGACGAAGCACCTGTTGTAGATGATTCAACTTCCAATGCTGGTGAGTAATAAGTACGCCTGTATCGCCTGTTGCATCAACGATGACTTACACTTTTGACAGTGGTTGATGAAAAGGGTAACCCCGTCAACATGGAATTTGAAAAGCTTGATTGTTCAGACGCTACAAAGAATGCAGTGAAGGATATGGGCTTCACCAGTATGACCGAGGTTCAAGCTCGTACTATTCCACCTTTGATGGCAGGTCGTGATGTCCTGGGTGCTGCCAAGACTGGATCTGGAAAGACAGTTGCTTTCCTTATTCCAGCTATTGAAATGCTTTCCAAATTGAAGTTCAAGCCTCGCAATGGTAAGGAGCTGAATCAAATTTTGATAGTATTTAGGTGGATGAGACTGACCATCAAAAAATAATTTTTATCCCATCAGGAACTGGTGTTATTATCGTCTCTCCTACTCGTGAGCTGGCTCTTCAAATCTTTGGTGTTGCCAAGGATCTTCTCAAGTATCATCAACAAACCTTCGGTATTGTGATTGGAGGAGCCAACAGAAAGGCTGAAGCTGACAAGCTGATCAAAGGTGTCAATCTACTGGTTGCAACACCAGGTCGTCTTTTGGATCATTTGCAGGTTAGTGACCAAGCTGATATTGCTGTGCCCCTTTTGTGAATGTTCGCTAATCAGATTAATCTAATAGAACACAAAAGGCTTTGTTTTCAAGAATTTGAAAGCTCTTGTCATTGATGAAGCTGATCGAATTCTCGAGATCGGTTTCGAAGATGAAATGAAGCAAATCATCAAGATCCTTCCCAACGAGCGACAAACCATGTTGTTCTCAGCCACACAAACTACCAAGGTCGAAGATCTTGCTCGTATATCACTCAAGAAAGGACCTTTGTATATCAATGTTGACGAACGCAAAGATACATCTACAGCTGAAGGCTTAGAACAAGGCTATGTCGTTTGCAACTCAGACGCTAGATTCCTTCTTCTGTTCACCTTTTTGCGCAAAAACTTGAAGAAGAAGGTCATTGTGTTCTTCTCCAGCTGTAACTCTGTCAAGTACCATGCTGAATTGATGAACTATATTGATGTCCCTGTACTGGATTTGCACGTAAGTTGGCTTTTATCACGGACCCCCAAGTATCATTGTCATGGTCGCTTATAAAATGTTTTACATAGGGACGACAAAAGCAGCAAAAGCGAACAAATACTTTCTTTGAGTTCTGTAATGCGGAGAAGGGCATTTTGCTTTGTACAGATGTTGCTGCCCGTGGTTTAGATATTCCTGCTGTCGATTGGATTATTCAGTTCGATCCTCCGGATGATCCACGTGACTATATTCATCGTGTCGGTCGTACGGCGCGAGCTGGTGGTCGCGGAAAGAGTCTGCTTTTCCTTCTACCCAGCGAACTCGGCTTCTTGAGATACTTGAAGCACGCCAAGGTTCCTCTCAACGAATACCAATTCCCCACTAGCAAGATCGCCAATGTCCAAAGCCAGGTGAGTCATCAGAATAATGAACCGTTTGAGTCTTAAACGCCTTCACTAATAGAGTTTATCTTTTGTTTGTAGTTGGAGAAGTTGATTGAGAAGAACTACTACTTGAACAAGTCTGCACGAGATGGCTATCGATCATACCTTTCTGCATATGCCTCATACAGTTTGAAGAAGATTTTCAATGTTAATGACCTCGACTTGGTCAAGGTTGCCAAAGCATTTGGATTTTCCGTTCCACCCAAGGTGAATATAGCCATCGGCAGCGCTACTGACAAGAGTGATAAAATCGAACGACGTGGTGGCGGCGGTGGATTTGGAGCTGGATATCAAAAGAAGCATGACGGCAAAGAACACTTTGTCAAGCAAAGAAACAGCGCCATAGCAAGAGAAAAGGCATCCGGCAACGGAAGACAGTTTTCTCGATAATGTACCCAAGCCCAGAAAACATATTCATTCATATTAGACAACCAACAACTTCGTTTTTTTTTTAAAAAGAATAAAACATTTCAAAATCACTGTTTTTGCATTTCCTCAAACAAGTAGTTTTACAGCCTTCAGACATTTTTTGTATTTATTACAGTTGTACGGGATATCACGAGCTATCAACTATCTGACGACAGATTGGGCACTTCTGTGATGTATCAAACCAGCGATTGACGCAGTCCACGTGGAATTCGTGATGGCAAGGGAGAACCCACAATTTATCGACTAGCTTGTATGCATCAAGACAAATGCTACATCTAATATAAATAGTGCTATCAGTATGCTGACTTCGTAAATTCATCTTGAGTGCCCAGCTTGGAATAATACGTACCTTTGTTCGACGGTTTGCGTGGATTGCTTGGCCTTTTCTTTTCCCTTGGACGTTGTCTTACTTGCGACGTTTTGATGCTTCAAGATAGAGTGCTGCCTCCAAGTGATCATCTTCAGCTTTTGTCGAGCTTCACTGGAAAGTCCTCGTTCTCGCTCGTAGCCAATTTGTTCGCTTAGTCGCCATAAGCCTTCATAACTCGTATCTAGTTCGTCGTCATCCTTTTAAACAAAGAAATAAAAATCATGATAGGTTAGCACTAAAAACGAAAATGTGGAGTCATCCCATGAATATCATACCATATAATTCATAGGATTGGTTGCAACTGATCCCCAACCTCCTCTGCAAAATGGAAGAAATGAGTTAATAAAGAGAGAAAGTATCAATGTAAAACCTATTTGCAGAAATACGTACAAGGACGTCAAAGATTGATATAAGGTATTGAATTCAATCCTTTCAGTCAGAGGTCCCCGTTGCTGGGATCCTCGTCTACGCTCAAACTCGGCAACGCCTGTTAAAATGGTATATAATGGAAAATCTGGTATGAAATCATCAAGTTCGTCTGATTCTTCTTCGATGGATGATCCTAAAATGATCAATATGATTAGTTTACTATGATATATAAACTGATAATGACATATTGCATTGAGGTATACCAAATTCACTGATCGAGTTCTCTTCTCCGATTTCGCTACCAGAGTGACCGACGGATTCCGAAACGGGGGATGTGCTTTGCGTTGAACGAGTCTGTGACCGACTTCTGTCTTGAGACATCAAGAATTGTAACGGTAATCTTCTGCGTATACCCATTGGTGATGCTTCGCTGTCTGTTTGGAAGGACGAACGTGATTCAAATGGATACTGGAGAGGAAGATGAGTGAGTAGGCCAGGGAAAATGCACAAGTGATATCAGAAAGATACTTACGACATCAGATCTGCGATGGGTAAATGAGGAGAATTCTTCTTCTTGCAGTCTTCTAGCCAAACTTTCATCGTCCTCCTCTTCTTCCGTAGACCAGCCATCATCAGTATTAAAGCTTTCAAGGCCAAAAGATCTTCTATTCATATTCGCCCGTTGCGTCAAGTTGGATGTGGAATTAGTGCTATGGAAATTAGGGAGAACTCTCGCTCTCGATAAACCGGCCGTCAGTGGTCCCGTTGTTCGTCGTCTTGTCGTGCTAGGAGTGGTGATAGATGCATTGTGCATGTTTCTGAATGCGTCCGCTAATGCGTTTTCTCGATCACCAGAATCATCGTTGTCAGAGATTTCTGAATCGACGCTATTATATGATCTATCAGAGGAGGATTGTTGACTCCTTTCAGGGCCAAAAAGTCTAAGAAATAGATCCATTCGGTGATTGGAATTGGAAAATTGTGAGCTTGCTTGTGAATTAAGTTGAGGTTGATCTGGTGTTGATAGCGCTATGGAGTTTTGTGTATAGATGGATTGTCGTTGGGGTGAAGGTGTTGGCTTTGTAGTACTACGATTTCTGTTGGCCGATACTGGCTGTGGAATAAAGGGTGAGAAATCATCACCACTGTCGTCTTCGGAACGGGTACTTCCAACATCTAAGTGGTGATCTCGTCGCTCTGGACGGTGGCGTAGAGCAGAAGAGGAGCTGGATGCAAAGGAAATCGGTGAGGCTGTAGTATCGTCAGAAGGTCTGTCAGAGACAAGGTCGAACCCAATTTCATGACTGCTTGACCCGTTCGGTGATGGTGTAACACGTCTAGTTTTGGGATGATGGCCAGAATACATTCCTAGCATACCGAAAGTATTGTCGTCTGATGATGAGCCTGTGTTTTCATGTTCCCGCACATCATAGTCATCTCTGTTTCTCTTCCTTGGCATATCAGTGGTATTTCGTTGTTGTTGAGAAGAATTATGGTGCTGTTGGACACTTTGAGCGGAGAATGGTTCATCACTTGACCGAGAGACGATAGAGCTTGTCGAACTGGGCATCGCTGTTCTCCTTGGCTGTGGTTCTATGAAGCCCAGGCTGTATATATCGTCTTCATCTGCATCTTCGTTATCTTCCTCCCCTCGCGCTTCGCTTTGGCCAAACCAGCTTGGTCCAGCCCAGCCTCCTAGATAGTCCACTTCGTCTTCAGCGCTATCCTCATGTCCATCTTCACCGAGCACAAGCTTGTTGTTACCGTACTCGATTTCGTCCTGGAATTCATCATCGTCATTTTCTTCCATTCCATGAGTGCCAGGGTACAGATAATCATCAGAATCGCTTTGTGCGTAGGTTACTGTGGGAGCCTTCGTTCTTCTTGAGGTCTTCCTTCGGCGTTTGTTTGTCCTGCTGAGCCGATCGAAAACGTCTTCACTGGCCATCGAATGCTAGTTCAATGGTTGATTGCTTTGATTCGATGGTTATAATTGTTCTGATTTCGCAAAAGACTTTCGCTCTTAGTACGAATTGTGGTTAATTTTCGCAATTTTGGAGAGATTAAGCGAGGTAAAGTCTTAGGGTAAAAGTAATTTTTTATTGGATACAGTGACAGCGAGTCTCAGCAGTCCCAATGATGAATTCAAACTTTCAAGCTTCATCTGGCACAGAGTTCCCAACACCTTCGCCTCTACGGACGCCCACTTCGCACAAAAGATCTATAATATTGGTTTGCTTCAAAGTTTCTAACTCTTCTGCAGTCTTAGTCAACAATAGGCCAGCAAATGCCATTGAGTTGACGCTCAATTTGATGCCTTTCTCGGCAACCTCCCAATGCTCCTTTTGTCGAGGAACCATCATCATATACTGGTGGGTAAGAATGAAGTTGAAAGAGAAAGTTATTTCGCTATCGTTTTCTCGAAGCTGTTGTATCATACTATCCAAGAGACCGAAGAACATTTGTCCCAAATAATCTTCTACCATGTCCATGTCTGTGGTTGATCCAATGAAGTTCAAATCCAAAGGAACAAGAACATGGATGTAGGGCAGACTCTTGATAGTGTATATCTCACCTGGATATCAACTCGTCAGAATAGTTTCTTAATGCCCATGGTGATGGAACAGCGTGACTTACCAGCCTTACGACCAGGAATATGTTCATAAACGACACTAATTGGCGGGGAGAATGTGGCCTTTGAAAGTGGGACGATTTGGATATGCTTGTGTGGTTGGCTGCAAAAATCAATGTTATTGGTTCGTTCGCTATACCAAGCATGATGAAAAAAAACCATACCTTGCGCCTGATAATTCACCACAGTTATAGAAAGCCATTGATGGCTGAGGCAGTTGGGCAAGAACTTCCCATGTAGCTCTCAAGTCACTTGGCAAAAGCGGTTCTGTTTGCTTCTTGAACTCTAAAATATTGCATTTAGCTTGAGAACATACACTCTCCCGTGCTAAAACAGCAGCAGATATACCTTTTGTTACAACGAGGAGGTGGTGAGGGACAACGCAAAATTTGTTGAGGAGCAAACGATGGTCCTTGAGGTCTTTGACGTGTAGCTCTGGGTTTGGGTTTTCGAACGGGTCTTCATTGCCAGCTCCATTTTTTACGTCTGCAGATTTGGGTTTCGATAACAAAGAAGGCGCATTTGTGATTTGAAACTGTACATGTCAACCATTCAGTGAGTTTCCAAAGGTACGTGGAATTATACAAGATTCAAAAAATCGCGTTGTACCTCGATTCCATCTTGCGTTTTTGTTTCTGTTTCTGTTTCGAAAAAGAAGAGACTTCCATTCTGCAAAGCAGTATTGTACTTGTTCTCGATTAGCGTTTCTAGTTTTTCTATCATTACAAATTGAACAACGTGCGGTTTCCTGCTTGACGGTTTTCAAATCGATATTTTTTATTTGAACACTACGGAGTACCAAAAAATTGCCTGGAAATCTCTTGTGCCAGTCTGCGCACGGTTGCAGGTCATCTTCCAATTACTTTGGCGGTTCAACAACTCTGATCAAACCACCAGCATCTGAGCTAAGTACAAGGATTGAAATTTTCTGAACTTTTTTCATGATGGACTTCAGCGAAGATGCGTCAGTTCCCAGCAAGGCATTGTCTTCCGTTACAGAAACATAATCGAAAATGCCATTAATAGCCGTGTAGCCGTCTTTCCAAAAGTGAACATTACCAGAGAGCAATTTGACGTATACTTTGACGTAAGTTCCAACATTAGGCCGTCCATTTTTGTTGGAAAGTACACGTATCAATCCGCTGTTTTCCACGACTTGAACATTCAGAGCATTCGAGAAGTGTGCACTAGATTGGATAATTCCACCGCCTTGCACTTCAACCAGGATATTTTTGTTCTGGAGTTCAACTGGTATGTCAAGCTTGATGGAATTTACGCCAGGTTTAGATTTGCCAATCAATTCAAATTCATCAGCAGCAGCTCGAGAATGAACGTTATCAGTAGAAGACTCTTGGAGGCATTGTTCAACGTTATACTCGTGGTCGTAGTTGGCTGCGACCAACGAGTAATTACCAGAAGAGTTCTTGCTAATAAACGGATTGGTTGAGAAGAGCATTTCAATATTTAAAGCATATATCTTGAGCCTCATGGTCCTGATATTGGCACATGAGACGACTGCGTGCGTATCTGTCACATTCAAGTCCAGTGAAGGACCACGGCTTAGCTCTTTAACATTCAATTGCTCTACAGTCAGCTGCGTATCTTCTTCATCGAAGCTGGCTGAGGTACCGTCCACTTCGTTGTAAATGTTGACTATATCCTCAAACCTTCGGCGCCAAGTAAGGAGTGGATAATTCTTGTACTTGATTGCTAGATCTCTTGTGGATTCGATGGTTTGTTCGTAGCTGTCGAATGCATCACATGGGACCCTGAGACTAAGGAAGGCGTCCAAATAGTCGCTCTGAACAGGAATGGACAGAGCATGCCCTTCTTGAAGTGCATTTTTAATTCTTGTATGGACTTTTCGAGCTTCTGCCAATCGCTCTTGATATACCAAATAGATGCCCAGGCACAACAAGTCTTCGACATCATGTTCTCGTTTCTGAGATAAATATTCTAGGAAACTGACATACTGCTGGTAAAAAGCGTGATTGAGAATGAATTTATCACTTCCAACAGAGTGCGCTATGAAAGGTAGCAATTATTAGCGAAGGAACGCAAAGAATATTTATGGTTTTAGAAACTTACCTCTGGCCTTGACAATTGGATCGTAGTCCAAGATTTGGAAATATTTAAACGATGTCTTTGGTAAATCAACCAGTGCCGATGTGAAGTACTTGCCAACTTTTTCAAGCTGTTGCTGCTCCATTTTGAGGAAATCTCGGATAGCTATAGGTAAATTGTGTCGGACGCCATAAATCCACAAATCATAATTATAGTATTTCCGATCTCTGAGAACGTTGATAACGCTGCTTGCAAACGCCGAGTTGCTCATTCTTTGGGTAATGAGATTGATATCAGTCTTCATCAGATTGGTAGCCTTGAGGTATTCAATGACTTCAGTAATTGTTCCATGAGATGCAATTGATTGCCAGTCTTTTATACCACCCTCTACAATGGACTGCTTGACGACGATGTCTGTAAGCTTGGACCTTGCAACCAGCTCTCCATTCACTGTAACCGAAATGGGCACATTGGTATAATCGCCATCCTCTGGGAAGTAGAAGAAGCTAGTTGCCTTCTGCCATGTTGTATAGGGCTCAATGCGGATGGTGGTAGCATCCAGGTATCTGCTCTTCCTGGTTGGGAAGGAACCGATGGGTATTTGGAATGATACTTCAATCACGTAAGTCTCAGCCGTCATATCTAGAGGTTGAGAGAGAACATTACACTATTATTCTTATGTTAGCTGTATATCATTATTTTTTGATATAACTTACTGCTAATCACTATGTGCATTCCATATTCTACAAATTTTCTCATATCGTGATTAGGAATGACTTGTATTGTGCCAAGTTGGTCATATTCTAAGGTATTGAAGATATTCTGAACAACCAATAACTTTTCTTGATTGGAAGCCACTTCATAAAGCTACAAAACAATAGCATTAGTGACGATTACATTTATGAATCCTTTACATAAAGGGTATACTACCTTCAAGTTGCGATGGAACACTAGTGCAGGTGTAGTAGCACTAATTTTCACCTTGTTCTCTTCAGGTACAAAGTTGGATGAAATTACGGCATGATTTTTGTATGGCAGGTCAAGCACTGCTAGAGCAAAAACTTGTTCTGTGAAGGAACCAGTTGCTTGTGCAAAGTGCTTCATTCGACTTCAGTTAGAAACTGGCTAAATTAAAAGCTGTTGATACACATCGTACACTCACCTGCGATAAGAAAGGAGAATTGTTCTCATGCATCAAGTAATCTAACCAGAATGCATTGATAGATATTGAAACGTACTGATTCAAGTAATTTGTTTCTCGGTATTCTCTTGTTCGATCCTTGTACTGGTAGGTATGTGATTTCTGAACAGTTTTCCTCATTTCCATCAAGGCTTTTTCTTCCTCGTCATCGCCATCCATATCATCTTCATCATGGCTATCATCAGCTACGCTCCCTTCCTGAACTTGATCTTTAAGCAAGCAAAAGTGATGAAAAGAAGAATGAAATAGCAGAATCATTAGTTAGTAATGAATGCATTTTCCGTAAGTTCTTTCTTTTAAAAACATGCTAAGTACCCATTTGAGCAGATGCTGGTGGAGCACCCGGCGGTACAGGGTTGCTATATGATGAACTACCGAAAGAACGTGTAGTTGGCATAGACTGTGGTTCCATTTCAATACCTGAAAACATCTGTGCTGCTATTGATGATGGTGGTGGCGGCGACGACGATGGCAGTGGTGCGGACATTGCCATACTATTTGCATTGTAGAATCATCAGTTAGTATGGTCATCCTCCAAGTAAGAAATATGACTTCACTTACTCCATATGCGGTCCTCTTTGCAAACTCATACTTGTGCCAGCTAACACAGTATCGAATTGGTGTTGCAAAATGGACGTTTCTGGAGGTGAAATTTCAATATCTTCCAGGATCAATTTGCGCACTGTATCGTGAATAGCAGGAACTTGTTTGGCCAGAAGCACCTTCTCAAAAACGTTGAGAGTCTCGAACTGATGCAAGTCATTTGCGAAAGATTCCAGATCAGAATTTAGCATGTACAGATCCAAAAAGGTTTTTTCGAGCTTGCTCTAAAGGCCAAAGTTAGCCATAGAATTGATTTGGCTACATCATATGAAGGACTTTTACCTGTAGAGCTATTTTGACGACTTCATTGAAGAAATCTTGATCTTTGTGCATGAGCCAAAAGTTTAGTTCATGACATGCATGCTCATCAAAAAGTTCCAGTTTTTGGTCCTTGCTCAGCGACTCCCATGTGTTTAGAAAGCTAAATTTCTCTAGTTCCTCAGAGCTATTGAGGGTTTTGTAGATGGAGTAAAGCTTCTCAATGCTGTCGATGACCTCTCGGTCTTGGTCTACGCAGACTTCGTTTGGAGCATCAGCTGCCGCTAGTAATGTTACCTCTCTTGCTCTTACGATAGCCTTTCCAGGATCCACTGGAGCAAAATGTCTGAGATCAATAGTAGAAAGTTGGGTTTGACATTGCAGCTTGACGTCTCGCGCAACCGCTTGATCTCCTGAAATGACAAGAATGCTCAGATAATTGGACGTGCCGACGGATTGTCTGTCAATTACTATCTTGCCGTTCGCATCAGGCTTGACCACTTGCGTCTCGAGATTTACAATTTTGAGGAAATCTGATTGAATTATCAGCAAGATGTTTGCTATTTATCAATGGACAAATTTGTATACCTACCATACTCAGGGACAGCATCCCAAAAAGTAGATGAATTCAAGGACATTAATTGTTCGCCTCGCATGAGGACACGGTCGATCCCCTTAAATGAACGTCCTCTTGGTGCAGATTGGAAATCAACAGCAGTTTTGAGTTTCTTGTTCGTGACCGTTGTGTCGGATTGCTTTTGGCGTTTCAGTAATAGCGAAGGATTTTGAAGGGTGGTGCTTGTCCACTTATTGAATCTTGATCTTTCCAAAATATATTGATACTCCTCACTGAGCTTTCGGCCACTGACAAACAAGGTGTTATTTTGGCATTCACCAATACTGCGTAGAAAATGACGCTTCTGTGTTCTTTTTGGCACGTAATTTTCTTGAGGAGTGCGATGACTTAGCGTGCTGGTTCCGGAAACGATGGCATAAGTCTTGCTTGAGAAATTTTGCAGCTTTACAGTGATAGTCTGATCATCAACGATTATGTCGTGAATAGATAGGGGAGTTCTAACCATTTCTCCCGGACTCTCTGCAATCCACCTGTGTCCTAATGTGAGATTTGTCCACAATGCATCTTTGGGTGTTTCTTTGCCACCTGCGATAATGTAAAGTGACACATTGACAGTGGTGTTGGTCATCACACACCGTAGATGGTACTTGCCAGGCGTTAAGTCCTGTATTTGAATAAAACCGGTATAGACAGTCATCTTGTCAGAGCAGTCAGCTAACAGAGATCTGTATCATAGAGTGAGCGAGGAATCCAAATATATTAACATATTGTGGCATATTAGAAAACTTACGAGTCGACACCACTTTTTCCCAGCGAGAGAATGTAGTCTTCCCCGGAATAGAAAGGTAGTCTAATATTATTGCCTTCACTTTCAAAGACGGAAGCAGGCCAAAAGTTGATCTGCTCATCAACCTTCACTTGAATGTCTTGACGAAGTTTAGGGATGCGAATTCGTGTAATGTTGGATAGTTGACCGAGTTTAACTTCTCCATTTTCATTCGTGGTGAAGGAAATCGGAATGGTGGATGTAATGAACTTATGCTTCAGCTCAACAGAAAGTGTATACCGGCGTCTTGGTTCGCCTAAGCATAGTAAAATAAGTTAGTGTAATCCTACATCAATAACTCGATATGTGTGTATCACTGACCATTCTTTCCTGTCACATTGAGAGTATATCCACTTTCGTCTGAGCGTGCATAGACAGATATGCATTCATGGTCGCTTCTATCGATGTTTATGGCATGAGTAGCATTAACCTGTTGATACTTTTCTCCACCAGAACATCGCTTGATCTTTCCTTCGAGATTAAATTGAAGACGTTGAACTACAAGTGTAAAAATAAAGAGTTAAAATGGATAGAAATCCCAAGCCGAAGAGGATTTTAAATTGATACTAACGATCCGGAGGAACGCGGAATTGACCAGTATATGGCTTGTTGTCCGTGAAATGTACATCTGCCAACTTGTAAGTACTCTCAATACCTGACTTGTCCTTCGACATCACGCTTAATACCATGTCTTCTATTAAAGACAAAGGAGCGCGCTGATCGCCAACGTTCAAGAATGGAATAACGGTCACCGATGCGGTGTTTTCTTTTTGAAGGCTTTCGTGGTTGACATAAAATGATGCGTCAAACTTGTAATCTTCGTTTACACTTTGGTAATCGACGACTTGAGCATAGTTTTCTAACTTGATGAGAAGAGGATTGCTCTCCTGGCTCTCAGTAAATGGTAGTGCAATATTACTGGATGAATCAGACTGAAGGTTATTTAATAAAGGTTGTTCCAGATCATACTTCTTCACATAAAAATTTTACCTCATATTCCTTTCCTTTCAACCACACAGTATAACCGGATGTTATCCTTTTGTTCTGCTCATCAGTAATGGTCAAAAGCTGTCCAGAAACAGTTGGTCTAACAATGCAGTTGACAAAGCCCTAAGACTATGGTTTAATTTTTGAGGCGCAATGAAGGAGGCAAAGCGATAGACATCTATACCTTTTGAATGAGAGCACGGCAACTCTTCCTTCCGCTGATAAAATCAATCACCCAGAGACCGCGTCCCGTAAGTTCTTTGCAAGCAAGGCCATTCTCGCCGCCAAATGTGAAGGAGGCTTCATGTACCTCCTTTGGATCGCCGGTAATGTTACTTTTGTACGATTCCCATATAGGCGTTAAACCGTCGAGGTCGATGTTGGGATCGACCGTCTGCAGCTTGGGATTCTCCCTGTAATAATTATACATGTTGATCCTGAATACCCTGATGCTGACGTCTTGAACATTTTTCAGTCGCAAGCTCATAGTAACCGGTTCATCTGGATACCAAATCTTTGATCTTTTGGATTTCAAAGTGAATTCAAAGTCCTGCCTCTCTACGAAGGACTCGAATTTTGACTGGCCCAGGATGCTAATGCTGTAGGTACAAAGAGATAATCAGAAGTTTATCCCAAATGTACAAGTGCAAAATAAAGTTAGGCACCATACCATTCGTTCGCCGTCATTATTCCGGCGGTAAACATGGTTTCCGCATACAAGGGGTCCAAATAAGACTGACTATCGAGGATACCATAAAACGTCTTAACAGGTTCCCCTAAAACGAACAAAAGTTTCAAATATTCTGAAATGAGGGCAGTTTCGCTCACTTCAGGTGCATCAAGCAAAAAAAGCTACGGGGCAGATGATGAGAACTTCTTCAAATCATTTGATGTTTGCATGAAAAGCTGCATACCTTTTCATGATCGCGAGCACCTAAGAAATAATCAACGGATTCCTCCGTTCTGTCATATCCAAACTTTCCATCGAATATTGAGCTTGATTTTCTTTGTCGCGGAAGTCGAAGATACCTGATGTTTTTTTTTTGGGAGATATTGTTATTCACGTATTCTTCGGAAATCACATAGTTAGAAAGCTGAGAAGCTTACTCCTGGAACCTGTCGGAATCATAGTTTTCATGATACAAGTTCATCACCAGCTGCTTGTGCAAGGCCATGCGCTTCCATTTCTCCGCTCCAGAAGGTACTTTGGACAAAAATTCAAGAGCCTTATCGAGATAGTCTTTCACGACATCATCTGGTATAAATTGATCAGTGGTGCCATTCGCAAATTGGTCCGTCGCTGGCTGTAGCTTTGTTAAGTAAAGCACTACAAAGTTCATGTCGCTCAGTATAGCGGGTATCTCTTCCGCTAGTTCCGACAGCTGCATTAGCGTCAATCCCTTTAGGTCTAGTCGGTCATACATTTGAACATCTTGCTTTTTCTGGCTGAAACGCGTCGCGATAGCTTTGGCAAGCCGTTTCACAAAACCTGGAAGCTTTATGGGGGCGTTACTAGCGCTCTTAAGGATGCACCGAATAACGAGATAGTCGTCATAAACGGATTGTACAGGTATATTGTAAAGAAAGGGTATAGCGATGGGTTCAAAGGGATTTGACGAGTTACGTAAACGGTCCAAATATTCAGTCTGAAACAGTTCAGTTAACCTGCTTTCACTGAAGAAGTTTGGATCCAATGCCGATGGGTGTCGGGTGTCGCTGCTGTTGGCTTCTTCCAAAGAGGAGTCACCCGAGATTACTTCCTGGTTACGGCTGAAAGTTAAGGGATCAATCCCATGCTGTTGCATTAAGTATTTACAGCTTGCGGCTGGATCGATGGGATAGCTCAGAAGGTAAAACCGCATTTTCAGCTTAGACTCCACTTCGTCGCGATTTCTGGACGAAGACTCGGTGATTTTCCCTTTAACCTGCTCAAAAATTGCAATTTCTTCCTGACTAAGCTCAACTGGAAGTTTTTCAAGATCAATTTTCTTCTGTTGCAGGATAGCCTCGAGCCTTTGCAATAGGACGAGTGCCTCGTAGTAAAAAGCATCTTCGGATCCAGGAACAAGCCTCTTAAGCATGTCGTTTCGAGCATCAATACTTGTATCCAAAGCAAAATCCTCGAGGAATTTGGGTACTGTCGATGCCATTTTTTACGTTTTTGAAGACCTTGGGGAAGAGAAGCAAGAATATGCACAGTGATCGTTCAATACTTCGCCACACCAGAAAAGATAGAGTTTTGCACGTGACATTCTCATTTTGAAAATGTAAATTTATCATAAATACAAGTGACGCAAGGTAATTTTTTGAACAATTTTTGCACCACTTGGTTCGACACAATTCTCGTAACAAAAGCTAGTGTTGAACGTTGATAGTAGGAAAGGCATGCAAAGCCATGCGGAATTCGTTGAACGACATAGTACGACGTTCAGCGCGGATAAAAGATCTTAATTCAATATCCAGACATACACCATTCATAACTAGTACATACCAATATCAACATCAAGTGGCAAATCTTTATGTCGGAAGAGGATTACAACCAATACAAGGCAAGGGACGAAGGCGAAGAATGGATGTCTGTACGCTCTGCTCGTGTGCTATTGTTAGCCCTTTGATGAGGAATTATCTATTACGGCGATCATATGCAAGCGAGGCTCTTCGAACAATTGATACCCCTTGTGATCAGTATACAAGAGTAAAGCAGCCATCCAAAACTTTACCAAAGTTCGATACCAAGAAAACAGCTGCAGAATCAAAACAATCATCTTTGATTCAAATAATAGAAAAAGCACATGAAAAATTCAAGAATGGCCATGGTGTCAGCTCCAAGGCCATGGCAGAGATATTGAAACAGCACAAACCTTTATCTGCACAATCGAATCCAGTCAACCAACGTTCTGCAAACTACTACGAAATGCTGATTGAAATGCTAGAGTTCCGAGCATTGAATGTTCAGAAATCGACATCATGGGCGAGGGTACGGGAATTGTTTGAAGAATACTCTAGCTTACAAGGTACACCAACATTGCCCATGCTACAAATCGCCATTACTGCGTTTGGAAGATCAGGACAACTTGGTAAATGTGAGGAATTGGTGGAGCAAGTCGATCGAATGGAAAAGTTATCCAGATCATCGTACATCGAAACGCACTATCGACTCTTTGAGGCGTATATGCGACAAGGAAAGAGCAAACCGGCACTTGGAGTTTTACAAGACATCAAGGTCGAATTATCAAATGAATCCCTTGTCAAAGCCATTGAACGAATGGCAGACGCAGCAGCACGCATGAACAATGCCGGTGTTCTTTTCGAGACTTTGGAATCGGTCGATATCTCGCTTATTGCTAGCAATAAGCACGTTGCGCGCAAGGTCATAGATACGCTGTGGAAAGGGCAGTGGCTGGCGATAACGGACATGGTGTGTGAAAACAAGGAGGAGAAAAATCAAATGCTCAACACTCTTCGGCGTCTCGACATTAACAAAAGTCAAGACTTTTCGTTCATATGCCAACATATCATTGTGCAAGCATTACGGAATTTAGACCAAGTTTCTCGAAAACACATGCAACTGGAAAAATCATCGAATTCGGGGCAGTGGATGCCAACACACTATGCTCAGTTGTTTTTAATTAGTCGTGTCGCACTATTGGTCGAGCTTACGCTTACAGCATTCCCGAAACTACAGCTGCCATCTCAATGCATGCATGACTTGTCTCATCTATTTGCAATATCAGGCAATCCGGATGCTTCTGAAAAGATTCTCTGTTTGCTTCGAAAGCGCAACTGTATACCGAGTGACAAGAATCCTTCTGAAGTCATATCTGCATTTGAAGCTTCTCAATTGTCGAGAGAAACATCGTCGATATCCAGTGATGACATCCAGACTACCACGACTTTCCCAATTGATGCACAACAACAGTCATCAGTCCGGTTTAACCGTGATCTGAATGATATTCACTCTCAACATCTTGCGAAGGCACTTATGCAGGACTTTTTGGCCAACAAGCAATGGGATCAATGTCTTGTTCTCTACGAAAAAATGTTGGTTTTGAATCAAGACTTTGCTCTAAGCGGACAATCTGGACTTCTCGAATATGCAATTATTGCTCATGCTGCCCAGAAACAATGGAATGCGTGCCATACGTCACTGCGTCAAGCGATTGCACATCAGAAAGATGATCTCTCCAGTGATTTTCTCAAAAGGCTTCTCAATAGGATGGCCCATCTCTACCAATTGGATCGCACTAATCTATCTGGCAACCGTATTGTAAGAGTCATGGAGATGGTGGAGAAGACCTGTAAGGTTCAGCTAGATATTGCATATACCAATGCCTTGATCCGCAAGCTGGGAGAAGAACGTGATCTGCAGGCAGCACGGCGGTTGTACAAGTGGGTTTTAGAGCCACAAGGACAGAATACCCTTGCAGAGACTTCAACCAGGGCTATCAATCGAGCAACTTTCCACGCCATCATGAATGCTGCAGTGCATAATAATGATATAGACCTCGCGATACAGGCATATAAAGATTTATTACACCGCTGGCGGCCAAGGTTACCGGAGGTCAAGTCAGAGGAATCTTTGACAGCACATGAATCGCATATCAACCAGCATTTGGAACCCACTTTAATCACGTACAACATTTTGCTAAATGCTTACGCTTCGCGTCGGCCATCGCCCAAGTTTTCTCAGATATACAATCTGTATCGTCGAATGCTGATAAGACAAGTGGAACCTGACCAGGTGACTTACGGTACTCTCGCAAAGGCTTTCTCAAAAGCCGATGACCAAGAACTTGTCAGAGAAGTGTTGCATGGAAAACCCAAACCTATCTCCCATAAATAGAACAGAACTGCATCGTCATTTCATGAGCACAAGCTGCCATTGTAGAATTATTTCCATCCCAACCTTGTAACATAATAGGAGCTGAAACTAGAAGAACTGACTAAAAATGAACGATCCATCTTTGATCATGAGTCTGTCTGTCTGTCAAATGATTCAGCAAGTGAGATTAAGCTGAGAGATAATTACATGATTGCTTTAATTGTAAGATGTAGCATAAAAGTGTGTATAGTACAAGTAGTGATTCAAAAAAACCAAATCGGTCAAAGTGTTCAAACATCTATATCGGTTGATTCCGCAGGAGTGCTAGGTTCACCTCTCCACAAAACACCTCTGCTTTCACCATCCCTTGCATCGCCATCGTTATCGAAATCATCTTCGTACCATTCACCAACCACTTCTACTTGGCCGCCAAGGTCACGGATATCCTTGTGTGCTTCAGAGTCTTCTTTGGCCTCACGTTGTTCGTCTTCACCATCCTCCAAAAAGCCTTGGATGTCCGGAGGTATTTCTTGCATCTGGATGCTGGGTGCTCCATCGAGATACCTTAATTGCTCCAGGATGCGTTGCTTGAGCCGAGTAAGATAGGCTCGGTCGTTCTGGTTCTCCAACCTTCCCGATAAATGTGGGTGAAGTTGATAATCAGGCTTGAAGAATTCTCTATACTCGTTGTCAGGAAGATTATTATCGAGCTCTGTATCGACTAGAATGGAAGTTTCGTATGTCCAGCATCGAGCTACATTGCGTATCGTGTAGCCACCACCACCCAAGACAAGAAGGGGAATACCAAAGCTTTTGATAAACTGCACACATTTTCCGTGTGCTTCAATACTGAGGTTAAAGCAACCAAGACGATCACAACCGAGAGAGTCGGCTCCACATTGCAAAACAATGGCAGAAGGTTTGAAAGTGTTGATGACAGCTTCCATGACTTGACGGAATAGCCAGATGTATGAATTATCGTCGATACCGTCACGCAGAGGCACATTGACAGAGTAGTACTTTCCAAGACTAGAGCCTATTTCATCAAAATGACCCGTTCCCGGAAAGAAGTCGCCGTTGTATTTATGAAACGAGACAGTCATGACTCGATCGGTTGTGTAAAATGCTTCTTGCACACCATCTCCATGATGAATATCAATGTCCACATACAAAACTCTTGGAAAGTGTCTCAGTAGCTCCAGAATGCCGAGCACAATATCATTAACATAACAGAAGCCACTGGCTTCGCATCGTTTGGCGTGATGAAGTCCTCCTGACCAATTGATGCAGATGTCGGCGCCTCCTGCTATGAGTTTCCGCGCTGCTTCGATCGTTGCACCAGCGTATATTTGACAGAAATCGTACATTCCATCAAAGATAGGGCAGTCATCTCCCACATTGAAGCGTTGAAAGTACTTTGCAAAGTTTTCGGCGTTATCCGGTGTTACTCTATACATACATGTGTGAGTCTTCTCAATCGTTGACAAACACTCAAAAAGGAGTCAGTTGCAATACCTTTTCAAAAAGTCAATGTAGTCATGAGCATGGAAGTCGGTGATCTCTTGATCAGTGGCTCTTCTGGGTTGGAAGACTTCCAACTTCTTGTGCAATCCATACTTGAGAACTAAATGGTTGGTCAATGTCAATCTATGTGGTTTCATGGGATGTCTTTCCTGCAATAGTATGCAATAGTCAGCGACAACAAGTTCTATGAGCATTTGCCAAATAGCAGAAGAGAGCTTACTCCATAGTGATAATTGCCAACACCTTCATCGTGAAAGTAAGCAACTCTGGATTTGCTGTGAGGAGCTAAGCGGTAAGTGCCTGGTTCAGAGCTTTTTGCCTTCCGTGCTGATTTACTATTGTCAGTAAATGTCGCTTCGTCGCTTTGATTACGTCTGCCCATTTGCTGAATTATATTAGTGATGTGGACAGCGCACAGGATTCGTGGCTTGTCTTGCCAGCTCTCCTCAAGTTGAAAAACCCACAAGTTTCTAACTCCGTCACATTTCTACGTCCATTGTCTTCTCGGCCCAGTCTTTCACATTATAGGGTATTTCTCTGGCCTATAAGCATACTGAAAGAGAGAACGCTGATAATAGAAAGCTTTACATTTGTTGAAACCAGAAAATCTCTTTGGTATAAAATAGAGTAGATCTTTTCATAAAATCGTGAATTCTTCTGCGAGCCGACTATATTTCATGGCTATACGTTTACACAGACATCTATTGCTCTGCCGCAGTAATAATATGACTGCTATCAGCAGCAAAAGGTTTGATTCTGTTTGCGTACACGCGTCCTTGATGGAGAAATCCTCAACCTTGAAGCAAGGTTACACACCGCCCGAAACATTCGCCGTATAAATTGCCGCCTCGGAGTGTGTGACGACTCTCTACACCTTTTCGACCTTTCACTCTTACTTTGAAAAAAACATCATGTCTGCCGCTCCTGTAAAGATCGCCATCATCGGTACCGGTATTTTTGCATATCGCCACTTGAAGGCATTCCGTGCTATCGGAAACAAGTATGAAATCGTTGCTTGCTGCAACCGTTCTCGCGAGAAGGCCGAGAAGTTCGCAAAGGAGGTTAGTACTTCAAAACATACAGCTAGTGAGCACACGTCGTTGACAGAGTTCGTGTTGATAGGTTGGCATTCCGGATAGTGCAGTATACACTGATCCAAAGGATATCCTCGAAAACCCTGATATCGAAGCCGTCGACGTTCTTTTGCCAGTCCAGTACAACTTGGAGGTTGGTACTATTTTGCCTAGCTGAGTTTGACAGAACGTCATTGTTTGAAATATTCGTTGCTTTACTCATCATTCGGAACACTAGTTTGTAAAGGCCGCTATTGCAGCAGGCAAGCACATCATCTTTGAAAAGCCCATTGGTAGGAATAAGATCAGAAACAAGCGCGCGCCACCATATGGTATCCTGTGCTAACTTTTTCTTTACAGCACACAACATCCAAGACGCTCGTGAGATAGTCAAGCTCTCCAAGGGCTCTAAATCCATCGTCATGGTGGCTGAAAACTTTGCCTTCATGAATACCATGAACTATGTTGCTCAATTTGTTAAGGACGGTGGCATTGGCGACGTTCTCAACTTCAACTTCAGCGCAATCCGAGCCTATAACCCTGACTCCCCATACTACCAAACCACTTGGAGACAGACACCTGAGCACCCTGGGTAAGTAAAATCATCTACTGTAGCTATGGGCGATCTTACATGATGAAGGTGTGTGAGACGCCCTGATGTATTCTGTAGGGTGGTTTTTATTCATGTAGAGGCCAAATGGAGACAAGACCGACCCCAGTAACTAACTATGAATCTATCTGCAGAGGTTACCTCAGCGATGGCGGTGTCCACAACATGGCTCACATTGTAGCAGTGCTGGGAGAGATCCATTCAGTGAGCTCCTTTGCTTCCAAGACATATCCCATCCATGGCGCTGAAGACACACTTGCCACAGCTGTTAAGCTGAAGAGTGGAGCTGTCGGTGTTATCAACTTTACTTTTGTAAGTGCTTCCATAGCTGTCCATGAATTTCGTCGGTCCTGCATCTGACACCCAGTCATATAGTGTGCTACCAAGGTTGGTCGTGTTTCTTTTGAGATCATTGGATCCAAGGGAAGTTTGCGAATCATCGATGAACGATCAGTTGAGTACATTAACGAAAACGGTGAGATCACAAGCCCAGAAGACTTTGCTGCCAAGGTCAAGGCGTCTCCCTTCGATAGCGAATTCGAGGATGTTGAAGGTGAACTTGATAACTTCTACAACGTCATTCGTAATGGCAAGACTCTCGGCGTTACTCCCAGCCAGGCCTATCAGCATTTCGCGTTCTTTGCCTGTGCCATTGAATCTGCTCAGACCGGCAAAACCGTTGACATTCCATCCTTTTAAAATAGCTGTGCACCCACGATAAATGATTTTGTCAATAAAGCTCAAACTTCAAGTTGATGACTGTTGAATGGATATTGATTCATTTCCCATTGTTGCCCCGACCCTTGGTATTCATCATATTCGTCGTCCGGCGGCATGTGATATCCCTGGTGGCGATAGTCACGGTGAGAAGGAGGAATAAATCTTGACGCGCCGATCATTCGTAACATGTCTCTGCCGACTGAGGCGTAGATAGACGTTAATCATATGGCAATGTCATTAAAAGGGTAGGAATGTCCTAACTTACCGCAAGTACCGCAGCAGAAGCACCAGCATATCCCAGAGAGCATCAAGGCAGACATTAGTCCTATAATGAGCGCTAACTGCAAGATTGAGACCTCAGCCATGCTAGGTATAGTTGTAGACAAGGGAGAGAGCTGTTTGAGGGACGCGAGGTACTAAAAGACCAGCGGGGTGTCAAATTGCAACATGAAACACACTCTGACGGGCATACTTCAACCTACATTATCCTCAATGTAAGCATATGTTCGTCCCTATGTACACCACGATAGATGACTTATCCTTGAAGGTAAGCACTATCAGATGCCATAGCATGGGTACGGCTCATGTGCTTAAATACGATTGCAGTCGATGTAGTTCCTGGCTCTATTTACAAATGGTGTCTGTAGGCGCCTGGAACCAATGTTGTGAACCATTTTCATAGACAGAAGCTTACATTCCATCGAATAAAACAGCAAGAAGATACGTAGCTGCCTCTTTCAATGAAACAATGACCGCCAGCGACGTGCAAACTCAGCAACAAACAACAAAATTTCGTGTCCCGAAAAGTGTGGGTTGATTCCTTCTTCCTTCAACCATGTCTAATTCCGGGCTAAATCCAAGCATGTGCTATAATCTCTCTTTTTTCAAAGGTAAATGATTATTTCTTACTACTACGGCTCGAGGCTTGGCGTCTAAAGTGCACTATACTGTGTTTCAGAGATGATGAAAGAGTACCGCAAAGTCGACGACAATATCATGCTGCGCATGAACACAACCGACACCCATTCGGAAGCTGGTTGTGCTGAATTCTTCAAACAGCTTGCCGACGCATACCAGAAACGCGAGGATTCGGTCAATTATTGCTTAAAGGTTCGTCAATTTTGTACCTTTCTGTGTGATGAACATGTTCACTGGCTTATGCAAGTCTACTATATAGGTCATGGACGAGGAGCTAGAGCGCAAGAATAAAAAGCTAGAGGAAGATCCATATGATTATAATCTGAAGGATGCTTTGTATACTGAGGAATCTAAGGTAAGACTTATGGTTGTACTGTAAGAACCGTCGTTCAAGTTCCAGTGCTCACGCCTACTGCTTTACTCTACGTAGCGACGAATGGTCTCCAATGAATTGATGGTCGAGGATATCGTGAGACAACGTTCTCTTCAAGTTTTCCGCTCCAAGTGCCGAATCTTTAACGTTCCTCAAGACATTGAGGACTTCTTGAACAAGCGCCGATAGACGGCTAGACTTTTTGCGGGTCTACCACATAGAAAAAAGGAGTTCAAAAGGGAAATTGTATTCGTTTATGAACAAAGGAAACAGAAAATATGTATAAAAGAGAAACAACGAATGGAAAAAGTGTGCTATACAAGTATGCCAATGATTATATGAATAATGTAAGATGACTGCGGGTTAGATGTCAAGGGATGTTTCTTCTAGTTCTAATGGGAGGGGTGAATCAAGTTGCTTTCATCATGATGATAGTGGTCAAGATGATCGGTGAAGACGGTTTTTTGAGCGTCCGTCATGGTCGAGATATGGAAAGATGCATTGTCCCTGTGAATGAAAAAATAAAGATAAAAATTTTGGTAGGATTGGTTAATAGAATAGCTCATGCAAAGCCTTCAACAAGTAGACGTTTCTTACTTGTTCAATCTCTCAGTAATCTGATTCAAATCGAGGTTTAGGAAATGCTCAATGAAAGAGCCAATGTTGGTGTTTTCATGGCTCCCTCTCAATAAATCTGCATCCACACCGTAGGCATACAAGTTGACATCTACGCCACTGTGGCCATGGGTTGTCCACTGTAATTCATCAAGGTTAGCAAGAAAGCTCCAAGAAGAGACTGGGGAGGAATGGAAAACATTGAGGACTTACCCCAAGTTGGGCACGGATGGATACCATGTCAGCCAAGAAATGGTCCAATGCCGAGCGGGATGGATTGGATAAGAGGAACTCCATTTCTTCGTCAGTAGCGTCAGTAATACCCAAGCCTTCAGTAACAACCTGCTCAGCAACAATTCGTTGTTCCTCAACGTTCGAAGCGCCTTTCAAAGAATGAATGGCGTCTGCCAAAACAACGGTAGAATTCTTGACACGGCTAATAACATCTGGGTACCACAAATATTCCGGGTAAGCACTGCTCACTTGTCGAGCAAGAGTGAATCCGCCTGTTTCGTGGTCGCTGGTTGATATGAGAATAGTACCTGGATTTTCATCCACAAATTTCTTGACCATATCCACAGTGTCATGGTAGGCATAGATGTCCTTTAAATGGGCGGGAGCGTCGTTTCTATAGTGAGGGATAAAGTTGAATATAACTGTAACAGTGGTAATTTTTTTTGGGGCACAACAATCTGATAAAGCTCCCCCATGCATAGGATAAACACATGGAAAGTCCCAGACAGAATACTTACGAGTGAGCAGCCATGTCGATTCGACTTCCTTCGATCATCAAAAAAAAGCCGTTGTCTGAATCTGCAGTAGCTGCCTTTAGGATACCCAAGGCCTTCTCAGACATTTCCAGTAAACTTGGTTCAGTGTCGTTGTTACGATCTATCTCGTACGACATATGCTGCATAGACAAGGTTCTTAGACTGGTGAAACTTCCTCGGTCATACCAACTCCAAATTAGACACTTACATCGGACGTGAACAGACCGATTAAAGGAAGTACGCCCGCGCTGTTGGAAAGCTTGTCGAATTCCTGTCGGTCTCGAAAAACGGATTTCCATCCGTATTTCTTGGTGGACACATTCCATAAATCCACATCATCGGAACGGCAGCTACCGTCTGTGGTATTGGGTAGGAAATGGCAAATTCCTCCACCCAACATGAGATCAACGGTTCGGCCAAGAGGGTTATCTCCGATTTGCTGGTTGGCTATCTGATCTTCCATATCACGATCAACAACATGAGCACTGAAGGATGCTGGAGTGGCGTGCGTAATCCTAGACGTAGCCACCAAACCGGTCAACATGTTATGATGGAGTTTGGCTGACTCCAGTACTGTCCCGCATGGCTCTTTGTCCACGTTCACTATGGAATCCAAAGTTAGTCCCACATTGGCAAAAAAAAAAGGCGGCATAATCCTTTCTTTTTTTTTCTGAGGTCATTAAACCGGAAATGGATAAAGTTTACCTGCAATAGCGCCGTTATAAGATTTCATAGCGCAGCTGAAAGCTGTAGCGCCTGCAGCACTGTCTGTGACCAGACTGGAAGCAGATCGGGTCCTGGACTGACCAACATGGATGGTGTCGAGAGGCATCATGTGGTCAAAAGGCAAACTGTTGATGTATTGAAAATAGGTGCGAGCATATGTCTCAGACGCAGGGCCAAAGCCATCCGATATCATCATGATAACGTTCCGTCTAGGAACATCTGAGCCATTTTGGAAATCAGAAATACTAGGTGCTACACGGCAAGAGGTTAAAATTTCCGCTGGTTGGTTGCTAAAGGATCCAATCTATATCTTACCATGAAAACTGGTCTGTTTACCAAAGGTTGAATGGGTGAATGCCGTTGCAATGCCGACAGCGGAAAGCATCAACAGGCAAGCGGCAGCAGCGATGGTTGCAAAACGCTTGCTTGCCATTGAATTGGTCTGCGGGATGAGATGCTCAAGGTTAGCAAAAGAACTCGATCGTCGTCTGACTATTTCTGAAGGTCAGAACGTATCAGGAGTTGCCAAGTGGCAGGAGGTGTCTAAATTCCAAATTGACGAGAACCTACTTGTTTCGTGTAACTGGTGTCATGGTAGTTGTAAATTAATTCATCTTGCTCTTCATCACTCGGTCGCAACAGCGGTTCAGACATTTCGACCAAATGTACGATAAAGTCTGAGTAACAGGTTCACTGTGGCTGGAGGCAGACGCCGAGATTGGTCCCTGTGACTCGCTTTATGTTGGCTATCAAAATTTCAAACCAGCCAGGCCAATTTAATAAAGTCTTGCCAAAAGTGCTCTATGAAAAATAATTTATAATCATTGCCATTCATTATATTATATTTTCATATTGTCAACATGACTCTGAGAGAGAGAGGAAACACGGAATGAAAAAATTCAGTTAAGATAAATCTTCCGTTGAGCCAGTCAAAAGGAATAACGTTTACTTTGATGTCATACGACTCCCAACGTTGATCACCGTTACAGGAGGCTTGTGTTCTGACAAGACTCCGCGTTGAGACGAATATCATTTGGGGAAGATTGCCTTGAAAAGGGCCAATTCATGGTTTTGCTTACGCAGCAATTCGTCGCTACATCATCGTACGACAACTTTAAACACATAATTTGAAAAGAGCATGCAGGTTATAAAAAAATTTCTACTTTTGTGCATACGAAGAGGAAGTACATATTTGGCGCTGTATGACTTCTCTTCCCCTCGCGCAGTCATCTCTCTATCGAATAAATCCACCTTCTACATGTTATGAAATCAACGAGGATAGCCTGAAGGTAAGCAAAGACCTGCTCTTCGCTTCACTGGTCAATGGACATCCGGCGTCCTGTTGTCCATAAACCCTTGTTTGACAACTCCCTAATTTGGATGGCAATTTCGGTTGCCTAATGCAGTAACGGGGTAGCACGTTACCCCGACGTAGTGTGGCACGTGGATGGGGCCGTTTCTCTCTTCCTCTCTAACAAGAAGCTGTTTGGCGAGGGATAATATTTGTGCATATGCAACCTGCCATTTCGTCTCTTCCGATGCTTACCCGCCCTTTCGTCTCTCGCTTCTTCATCCATACGCCACACCGTCCGCTATAGCCACCCTATTGGTAGCTACCGAGACGGCTGCAGCATTCAAACTTGCACCCTTGGTTTCAACTGCTTCGATTTGTCATCAAACGCCGTCCCATGGAGCCATAGAACACTTGTATGACAAGCGTCTTTTGGCCACTTCCTATCGCATAGTAGATCGCATCGCATCGGAAATTGAAACGCTCTTTTTTTTTTTTTTTTTTCTTGCAATTCTCTTTTTGGGATGTGAAGTTAGGGAACCTAAATAATAAATTTTTTTTTGAAAATGGCTTTGGTCCTCCAGCCATGTCATGTCGCACCCGCGTGTGGCGACAACTACAAACAGATCAAATGTATAAATACTGCAAGCTTTTCTGGAACAGAAAAAAAAAATCTCATTGAGACAGAAAAACATACTTGTAGCCTATTCCCCCTTCATTCGATCCCATGTTTAAATCCTTTGTGAACATCCAAGAACTCGAAGCAATATCTTCAAGTCAATTGGTTCCTTCATTTCCAACCGCATATATTCCAGCAGAGCCTTATTGGGCTGCTCAAAATCAACCTCAATGTACATGCCAGTGTGGTGCCAATAAGGTGGATGTTTCAGCGCATGCCCACGCCATTTGGAACCAGACCAATATGGAACCTTCTGAATACACAGAGAGACAGTGGAGCTCTGAGTCTGCATCCCTATCCACCACAGGCTATCCCAGTCCCATAGCATCACCAGAACCTTACTTAATAAGCCAAGATGAAGCCGAAGGCTTTTACTCTAAACCTTCCCTGGATGAGTATGCTGACCAAGTCTACAAGATGGAAAAGTTGGGAGGGTTCTCAGAGTACACGCAAGAAGGAGCATATGGAAATATGGTGACAACGGAGGCTATTTTTGATATGTCAAAATATCGAAGTATGCCCTCTGGTTTATGCACTCCGTTAGCTAGCCCGGTGTTGGAAGAGCAACAGGTTACTCAAGATACGACGACGGGTTGTGAGTTCTTGATGTATGCAGGTTCAAATCCCCTGTATTCACCACCGCAACAACAAGAAGAAGATCCAATGACCAGACCCACCACTAAATCCCAACCAAGCCATTATAAATGCGACTTTCCCAACTGTACAGCTACGTTTACTCGGCCCTACAACCTTAAATCGCATAAGCGAACGCATACCAATGAGCGGCCCTATGCATGCCCGCATCAAGGGTGCAATAAAACATTTGCCAGACACCACGACCGAAACCGCCATGCTAAACTCCATATGGGTCTTAAACCATATTCATGCCCTCATTGCAAGAAGTGCTTTGCCCGCCAGGATGCTTTGATTCGACACTCTAAGATCGAGAATGCACCGTGTTCTCAAGTGGTACAGACCAAGAAACTGCCGCTCAAGTTCAAGTTTCTCAATGGCAGATAGGCTAAATGCAAAAAAATTTTATGGGGCGGCGTTCGATGTTTCGAGCCACCAGCAGCCATTTGGACGGACTGGAGGGTATGCCTGGTCGCTTTTTCCTACCTAACCTCCATGGTTGTTGCCATCACATCGCTGTTTCTCATATGTAGCAATACTTCTTCCCACCCTCATTGTATTATACGCTATACATCCTTTCTGTATTTTTTTTTCTGGTTGTCTTTTTTTCACTGGGCTACAAGCACGTACCAAACCAACGCATTCTTTTTTTCCTATCATGTAATATTCTCACTCCTCCTGGCTTGACTTGACAAAATAAAACCCCTGCCCTTAAACATATTTCTCTGTAGCTTGAGCATCCGTCCGGAGCCGAGCGCCACTGCTCGGCTCTTTATCCGTGTTGCATGAAAGCCATAGCTTTTTTCAAGGAAGGAAGGGGGTCTTATCGAAAGTGGCCATGTGTTGATTGGATCGCCATGAAGGAGTAGGGATTCATTCGCCACACGATGTAGTTGGTTGGCCAGTGGCTTGATATCCTACACAGCTGATGGAAAGTGTTATCCGAGTAACACCGTCGATGAGGTTTCCTTTTCCAGCCTATGCCTCTCGTTGGCTACAAAAGGAAACCTGGATCAGAATGCAGTATGGACAGGTTTCTTTTGCCTGGGGGGTCATCTGACACTGATTTGTCTTGTCCGACAGTCACATGACGGATCCACCTTTAGAGTCCATTTCAGAGTTTTTTGATACTAGAAGCCGCCACGTGACTACTGATTATCCCTTTTTTTGACCACGGTAACACCTTGTGGTCTTTCATTTCGGCCTTCAACTCTTATATACCATATATGAACCTTCCTAGACTGCCCGGACAGAGGACAAAATGCGCTATGCGTAGAGCTACACGTGTTATGAGGGATTTTTCTTGTTTTTCTCCACTGCTCATCTATGTATCAGAAAATCGGTTTATTACTTTAGTCTGGGAAACCTTGTACATTGATTGATTCATTTGCCAGTATGAATAAAGTGAAGAGAGAAAAAAAAAAGTTTAAACTGATGGATGGGGTCCGGCCGGCCGCAGCTACATGGCCATATACATGCACACCATGCCAAGAGCGGCCATCGTGGAGTAGTTTCCAGCAACCCAGCGTGAAGCACCGCTCTTTTGAGTCGATTGTTCATTTGCAGGTGTATCCTTCTTGCCTACCGTCATATCATTTATACTGTTGCTAGGGGGAACGGAAGCAGATGGAGAAGCTGTTGCGCTAGCTTGAATAGGGCTGGCCATATTTGAAGCAGGATTCATCGTATTGGTAGCCATCACATTCGATACTTGTGGCTCCGCTCCTGGTATGCTGCAGAAAACTTGAACTTGGCCAGCTTGAATTGTACCCAGATCTGTGTCACCATCATGCGAGATAACAAGGTGGAAAAAGAAAAGTCAACATGTTGACCAAGTACCACTGTTTAGAACTTTGCATCCACTTACCGAACACACTCGCATCATCGGGACATTCAGAGTAACAAGCGAGAATTTGTTTTTGCGCAGCACAAGCGCACTTTGCGTTAGAGGCAGCAGGTCCACAGGCACCCAATGCAGCTTGACCGGTTTTCAAGCACAGGTCGTACACGGCTTGATTTGCACATCCGTATGAAGTCCCAACTAGGGCGGTGGTGGCCAAGAGCAAACTAGTATAGATTTTCATGATAGCGATAGATTCCAGGTTATGTGGTATCCTGGATGGACATCTTTTACATCTAGTATTATATACAGGTCGACGGAAAATTAACCGCTTGCAAGTGAGAAAATTTGCGCAAGCTTCCGTTCCTTGGGCAAAATTGCAATTTTGAATTTTTATTGCATTCGATCGGAAATTCCCCCAAGTCGTTGTGGGGTAGGTTAATACTGGCTGGCTGGAAAAAGTGCCTGTAAATAGTGCAGACTCCGCATTTATGGGGGAGAGAGAGAGGACGCATTTTTCTTCCACCAAAGCACCGATCGGCTGGCTGACTGAAAATTAACAAGGTGTTGAATCAAAGTATTCTTTGTTTATGTCCAGCAACATGACTCTGAAAATGAGAATAAAAGGAAAATAGCGGTTGATTCAAGGGTGACCAAAAGGGAAGTGATAAGTAAATAAATAAATGGAAATAAAAAAGGTGTCAGGAAAATAAAAATGCTGGGTGATCTATGGGTTAAAAAGTGGGTTTGAGCTAGGTATCAAGCAAATAGTGAGGATGTCAATAGATGATGTTGAGAAATAATAATAAAAAAAAAGAGGAGGAGATCGCGTAAATCATCTCTATAGTTTGAGCGTAACTCTGTTCTTGTTATGCTTTGCGCCAAACTTTCTGATCGCCAACTTGCGACCGATCCATTGAACAATGACTCTCTCCCAAATGGCATTGGCTGCACAGTTGGCCAAAAGGAAAACCCAAAGCTGCCATCTAAAGTACTTGGGCAAGACATTGTGCATGATAGCAGAGTTGTAGGGTTCAATATACCAATCAGGCATTGGGTAGCCTAGTTGGTCATGCAATACCCATGCAGTACCACAGTTGATACGGAACTAGAGAAGATGAGATTAGTCTTTGGGGCGGAATGTTTTTGTTTTTCACCCGTACATTTTCAAAAACCGGTCGAGGCGTTTTCTAGTAACGCCACTCACCACCACCACCAGCCCAAAAGAGAGAAAGAATGTTGACATTATGAAAACTTACTATACAGCCATAAGGATTGGGATCAGCCAAAGTGATATAACTTGTGCTGATGAAGAAGCATGACCAAACAAATACAAGGAGGTAGTTGCGCCACCAAGCTTGTCTGAAGGCCGATCCAAAGTTAACCAAAGCACCATTATTCCAGAATTGGAAGAGAATAACCAGAGAAATGATTTCGGATTCATACGAATCACCAAGCAACCACCATTGAGCAGTGTTCACAAGGGTACTGTCGAACTCATTGCACAAGAACCAGTCCTGTTGGAAGAGCCAGATGACACTGGCGGCGAGGAACCAGAAGTTGATAAAAATAGTACCAAGGAGTGACGCCAGAACATAAGGACCGAGGACCTTCGCAGTGGGACGACGAGGACCCAGCTTTTTGGCTGGGAGAGCTTGGGTAATGGCAAAAGTCATAGAAGGAGTAATGAAACCGTCAATCGTGATCCAGACAGGTTGGGGAGCGATAACACCAAAGTAGAACATAAACAGTTCCCAGAAACCCATACATTCACCATACAAGATCAAGAACTTGTAGTTGGCGAAAGATGTGGCGAGAGCAGAGCGACCTTGTCGTAGCAGTTCAACGCACTGCATAACACTTCGGTTGCTGGTGCTGAAGGGTGAGACAATAGACGCTTCGGCTTCGGAAAGAGCCAAACCCACGTGGGCAGCTCTCAGGGCACCGCAATCGTTACCACCATCACCGCACATACCAGTAACACCCTTTTCCATATGATACTGAACACATTGGATCTTGTCAGTAGGGGTCATACGAGCAAAGACACGGGTGTGCAAAAGGTATTTGCGGATCACATCCTGTTGAATCAGAGCATCAAAAGCTCTTCCAGTCACAGCCAATTCAAGGGGTTCAAACTTGCAGTTCTCAATCGCTTCGTCAACATCAACATCGGCGCCAGTGTCAACATCACGCCATTGGACGCGTTCACGAGGGCCAGCAGGAGCGTCACCCAAAAGCACTTTCTGTCCAGGTCCAATCATGCCGCATTGGCGGGCAATGAAAATTCCGGTCAAGGCAGTGTCTCCAGTGATCATAACCGTACGGGTATCACCTTCCTTCAATTCAGCAATGGCAGCAGCAGTATCTTCCTTGAGCATGTTACGGAACAAGACAAATCCAATAAAGTCGCACTTGGTATCATATTCAAGTTCATCACGGTTCCATTTGTTCAAAGTATCCATATCGATGTCTTGGCCGAAAACACCAAGATCGCGGTGAGCTAATGCCAAAACATAACAACCTTCTTGAGCATATCGAGCAGAAATGGCATCATAGTCGGCAGGGATAGATTGGGAAACAGAGAGTTGCTTAATACGTTCGAAAGAACCCTTGACATACACATGGACATGGTTGGTGGCAGAATCCAAAACAGCGACGGATTGACAGGCACGAGCGTGGACAAATTCAAATCGTTTCAGGACATGAACAGCAGCACCCTTTGTTCCCTCTGCAGGAGTAGCAGCTGGAGGCACCAAAGTATCAATGTACTGATCCTGATCTGGTCTTTCCAAAGTCCAACCCATGGCAGTGAAAGATTCGATATCAACCGGGTTACCTATAAGTGGCGCAAAAAAGGGTTAAGTTCCCGTTTACCAATAGAGATTTTTGTTTTACTTTCATCCTCCTTTCAACCATGACTTACCGATAAAATCTTCGCCAACCTTGGTCACAGCATGGCAGGTTGCAATACCTCGGGCGAGATCAGAGTGCATATCATTACCAGAAGGCGAACGATCAGTAAATTGAACCTTGTCATCAGCCTTGGTCACAGGAACACCGCCGTAGAATTCAAGGCCTTCACGAGTAAGAGTACCGGTCTTGTCGAAGCAGAAGATACGGACTTTTCCAGCAAGATTGATACGAGGCAAATCGAGACAAAGAATCTTCTTTCTTCTCAAGCGAGCAGCGCAAACCGATTGATTGATGGTGAAAGCAGCGTTAAGCAAGGGTGAGAAAATCTGACTGATGACGAAGACACCATAAAACCAACTGGTAATGTTACCACGACCCATGAGATACAATGACAAAGCAAAAGCAACCAAACCCCAAATGAGAAGAATGCAAATAGCGGCCTTGAGTTGTTCGTTGAAGATGAAACTAACAGGAGTAGGGAAAAGGATCTTGTGAATAAGCATTCCCTTTTCACTTGCGAGACCAGTTCGGACTACCAAGGCAGTAACTCTAGCCTTTTCGCCCTTGAGTTCACTACCAGGGTTGAGTTGAGCAATGATGGTTCCAGAAAATAAAGTATTGGTTTTGCCGGATCCAGCACTATCGTAGACACCGTTGTCATTGGGGATGGCTACCTTGCGGACGGGAAGAGCTTCACCTGTCAAGGATGATTCGTTGACGACCACATCACCACTGAGAATGACGGCATCACAGGGAACAACCTTTTTTTCTTCAACTTCGAATACATCTCCAGGAACCAATTGGGAACTGCAAACATTTTCTTGCCACTTTCCATCGCGAAGCACGGTGACGTCGTTTTTGTATTCTGCCAGCTTCTTGATACGATGTTCAGATTGAAGACGTAGCGCAACCTTGATGAAAGCAGAGACCAAAATGATACCGGTTTGAATCAAACCAAGAATATAGTACTGGAAGTAGTACCACACCCACATGCACATCATTTGATAGATATAAAGCAAATGTGTGAATTCTTGCAAAACAGCGCGAGGGATGGAAGGAACTTGAACGGAGATGATGTTGGGTCCAATAAGTTCGTACCGATAATTCGCTTCATCAGTCTTGTTGCCATTAGCCCAGGAGTGGAGTTGTTCGTGAGTGATACCAAGATCGAACTCATAAGGTGCAAACTTGTTAAACTGAGGGTTGTAGACATAACGGACACACTGGAATTCAAAGTAGCGACGACCGTTTGCAGTGAAGCGAGTGGGGGAAGTAAAAACAAGAATATCAAAGCTGAGGAACGCAAGCCAGTGAGTTAATTAATGGAGACAGGTACACAGATCTATGATTATTTTGGGAGCACTCACCCTAGGGCGCGCTTGACATGTTGTTCAGCAGCCTGCAGACGTTTCATCCATTTACCGCTATCATCCAAAAATACAATTTGCTCTTCCTTCTTTTCGATTTGAACATAGGGTGATTCATGTGCAAATGACTCTAGTCTGAAGTAGTTGCGCATGCGGTGACGGGTAAGGTTCATCATCACAAACCAGGCACCACCAATGTGCCATACAGCAGCAAAGATGTCCGAAGACAGATCCGAAGCAAGGAAAACACCGAAAACAGTGCCGTCAACAGTACCGTCTGTGGAAAGGGTGTTAGTTTTGCTTCGTCGAAAGAAGGGGAACGATTTGATCAAGACACTATGCCAGCCAGAACTTACAGTAATCACCAACAACACATCCCAAAAAGGTGAGGAAGAGGATGGTGATGATGATGCAGGACAGGAACCCGACAGTACCCAAAATGTTGTTTCGGAATCCTCTGAATTTGAGCTTTTCAGAGTCGTCAAGGGTAGAAGAGTCAGAAGTTACGTCAGAAGTGGGTGTTTTTGCCTGTGTAGCTTTTTCGCCATCATATGTATCCTTTTCATCAATGACCTCTTGAGTTCCAGCTGTGTTGCTACTGCTGACCTTCTTGATTTCATCGTTTTGATCGGCGCCAAGGACCGTAGCAGTTTGGTCGTTACTGGCCATGCCATTTTGTCGGATAGAACGGCGGAAGCTCTACAAATGGTTTAAAATGTTTCAGTAATTTAGGTCTGTCGTAATACACTTGTGAGACCAAAAAGGGAATTAAAGGAAAATTCAAAATTACCGCTTCCATAAAGTGTTTGAAAATGTGCCAAGCTCCAAGAAGGACTGCCTCAAAACACATAATCGTCCATACTGCAATCCACATGGGCTCGGTCCATGTGAAGGTGGGATCGGGAACAATAGGGCATTCAAGCCAAACTTCGTTGGAGGGAGTAGTGGTATCACCCCAAACACCGACTGAAGATGAATTGATAGAAGCAGCAGAAGCACATGATTGCATCGATTGAGTGACTGTATTGTGTGGGTCGTAGTGGGTGATATTGACCAATTGACCAGCAGCACAAGGGATATAGTTGGGTATACCAGTAGCTCCACCACACAAACAAGCATTCTCAATACCATCGCAGGAAGCTTGACAAGTACCGTCCATGCAGAATTGCTGACCCGAGGGACAAGTTGGAGCCAATGCCGTTGGGCACATTGAGTGATCTGTCACACATAGCAATGGGCAGGTGACATTGTACGCTGGGTGCAGCTCGCAGGTGTTGCCGTACTTATCTTTATCGTTGACTAAACAAGGCGGAAAAGAATATCCAGGTTAGTGGCGAGGAACGAGGTAGATAGGTCTCCCATTCCGTTCAGTGACCCATGTAGGCGAGCTGAACCCTGAATATTCTCGCTTGTAGAATATTTTTTTTTCTGACTAGTTGCCTATATTGGCTCTCTCTTCCCAGGTAAAATAAAAAACTTACTCGTTTCGAAAATTGGTAACGCAGACGTCACAGTCAGTGACAAGACAAATACCAGTAAGGCAGTTGCCCAGCAATGCCTTTTCATTGGGAATCTAGTTGAAATACGGGTTCCAATAGATAGAGAGAAGAAGTGATCTCAAACCAATGAATCAAACAAAAGTCAAAAGAAAAGCAGAAGAGAAAAAAAATTATGTCGCTGGCTGTTTTAAATTTTTTTCGACTGATTCCGTTAACTCGAGCAGCGGAAGTTGGAAAATAATTTCTTATTGCTATCGATACACTAACAAACCTCGTTCCAAATTTGCTTTGCTTTGCTTGTTCGCTCCACTTCTCCGAGCCAATTAGGTTAACCTTATGATGCAATGTCTCCCAGACTTATCTTTTCCTGAAGAGAGAGCAAGGAAGACGTCCTACAGCAGGAGATCAAGAGAACAGGGCATGGATTCAGACAAATTGAATTTAACGACAGCGAGATCTCCGCTGATGCCACTGGCCCCAGAGAACCTATCACCAGCGTAGAATTTAGAATACAGTAAAGAAGGGAAGCATTATATAAATGGGAATAAAAAGTCATCTTGGAATGTTTGATGTCCCGGAACCACGATAAAGACGACTGTGATACTAACTGACGGCCAAATATGGTATCTCACGCAACCTAGGATGACTTTGTTCCCCAAAAGACATTCACGCAGAATTTCCTCTGGTTTCAAATCCCCGCAGCGCATGTGAGATTGTATGGTGCATTTTCGCTACCAGATAGATCTCAGCTCTTATCTGTTCTTAGATACTTGGTCCAATTATCACCATATGGCGACATATTCGTAATACAACATATTTACTTTGTGTTAACAGCAATGAAGCAAAAGTAAAAGGATCTTTTCAATGGCTGATATACACTACCCACCATATGCCAATTTGATTGGCTGTAGTGCTAATTGATATTATTCAGCTTGACATGAGTTTACAGCGGACTTTTCTCACACTTCTTCTTCATGGCCATCATCGAGTTTTTCTACGATATTCAGGTATAAACTCTCTACTATGAAAGACCTGTGGTGGGAGAATCATTTAGTTTACCATTTTTGAACATGGATTAGTGCCCCTGGGCTTATATTGCTTCAAGAAAAATCAAGCTAGTAGCACAGCGAACAAATGCTACCGTTAAATGTAAAACTGTTTGTTTGAAAAGGAAGGTGGAGGTAATTCATTTGCTAACATGCAATTTGAACAACAGACACGCCAGTTTTGCTGGGTGGTATTTATCAAGCTGTGAATGCTCCTCAGGTGAGGGATCGTATTTAGCCATTCATGCATTCATTGTCACCATAAACTTATTGGACGTCAACTTTGATGGGGACAGGGCAAAGATGGAAGTGCAACGGTAGGCAATCGAGAGAGGGCATTATATCGCGCTATACTATGATTTTTAACCGTGTTAATGGATAGGATGTCATGAGTCCTGCCAAAAAACGTTTGACAAGCGCGTCCTTGGCTCGCACCGTTGATACGTACAAGTTGCCGCTAAACTTTCACCCCAATCACCCTGTACGAACGGTCAATGGTAATTGGAATGAGAACAGAGGCTTTTTGCCCATGCCACTGATTATCTAACATGGATGTCAACTCTATCGTTTAGCCCTTCGGTTGCTTCATGCCGTCGACCAAACTTACCGTCCTCAACTCACCGATGCCTTGTACCATGAATATTGGGTGAAGAACTCGGATATTAGCTCTGAGCAAACATTGCTTGAAATTGTAAAGTCTCTGAACTTCCCATTCAAAGTCTCTCCATCCGTGTTCCAGGATGCAAAGTACCAAAACGCTCTGCGCGACCAAACAAGTCGTGTAGTGGAATTAGGCGCTCCGGGAGTACCGTATTTCCAAGTTCGTAAAGATGAAAACGACAAGAATGGGCCGGTGTTTTGGGGACAGGATCGTACGATGTTTGTAGAAGCTTCTTTCTTGGCTCTTCAATCTGGTTTGGATCCACTAGACTGGGAAAAGACGCCTAACCTCGCAAGTATTTTGGAATCCAGAGTCAAGCAACCCATGCCAAATGTAGCAAAGGGCAGAAAATTGACGTTCTACTTTGACTTCTCGAGTCCGTGGGCTTACATTGGCTTTACTCAACTATGGCGGTTCAAAGCACTTGGGTGTGAAATAGAATACGTCCCAGTTGTAGTTGGTCCTCTTTTCCAAGCGTAAGTGAACGGAAACACCTAGATGATGTTAGAGGGTTGATACTGAACTGATATTGTCGTCGCAGGGTTGGAACTCCAGCAATACCGCTGAATGCCATGAGCGAAAGTAAGCGCCGGTGCCTTCTGGAAGACATGTCTAACTGGACACGCTTTTGGAGAGCTATTATGAAGCAAGCTGGCCATGATGCACGCAAGGTTGATGAGACCATCCAAGTAAATTGGCCTGATAATTTCCCCATCCGAAGCATAGCAGCTCTTCGCATCGCCCAATTAAACCCAGCCATCATTGATTGCGTCTGTAAGTGAGATATATCTTCTTGTATAGTCAGGCACAATGACTACCAGCTTGCTAAATTTCATGCTTTTTAGACAAAGCAGCGTGGGTTGATAACATGTAAGTAAAGTTGTCGGCGGCAAAGTGATGTGGTGTTGTAATTAGGGATGTTCCACTCGCTCACACGGTTCCAACAGAAATCTTTCCGATAAGGCTGTCCTCATCAAATTGCTGAATGACAATGGATTCGATGGCGAAACGCTCGCGAAGGAGGCGGATGCGAACAAGGGCAATGTTAAAGAACGCATGTTTGAAAACAACAAGAGGGCAATCCAAGCTGGCTGTTGCGGTGTGCCTTCCTACCAGATTGACGGCGGTGAAGTACTATTTGGACAGGATCAATACCATGTAATTGAGGATAGCTTGACTGCCTCAGCCAAACTCTAAGTGATTGAAAATACCACTGAAAAACATCGCAAGGACATGCATGATATTGAACATCATAATTCCCTGTGCTTTACATGTGAGGCACCCATTGTTGTAAGAAGTAACAAGGTCATATTTGTCTTGTTATTACCGGACAACCATATCTAGTTTTTTCAAGTTATAATTTTATACCTCCATCTATCTGTCGCTTATGGGGTGGAATTTTACACAATAAAACCATGCTCTATCTATATAATTTTTTTAGTTATCGAGGTAAAACACAAAACCAATAAAAGTACAATATATCTATCATTTAGATGAGACCCTTAGCAACAGCAATCTCAGCGTTAAGCACTGAGCTTCCAGCAGCACCAAGAACAGTGTTGTGAATCAAAAGAGTGAATTTGATATCAAAGACGGGGCACTTTCTGACTCTACCAACAGTGACAGCTTGTCCCTTTTCGAGGTCACGGTCAAGTCTAGGTTGGGGTCTGTCAGGGAGCGAGTTGACAATGATGGCACGCTCTGGAGCGGAGTGACAGCCGAGTTGTTGTGGTTCGGTAGTGTAAGCAGCCAACACCTTTTCGATCTCCTCAACGGAAGGAGCGGGTTGGTTGGCAAACTTGATGGATGCACTCTCCAAATGACCATCAATGACAGGAACGCGAGTACAGGTTGCAGACACAACTGTGTTCTCCAAATGATCGAATCCAGTAGCATCGCTATTGACAGCACCCAAAATCTTGCCGGTTTCCCACTCAATCTTCTCTTCCTCACCGGAAATGTAAGGAACGACATTGTCGAGAATATCCAAGCTTGGGACACCAGGATAACCAGCGCCGGAAATAGCCTGTTGGGTATGCACAATGATATGCGAAAGAGGTCCGAAAGCATCTTGCAATGCCTTCAAGGGAACAACAAGGCCAGTGGTGGAGCAGTTGGCGTTGGTGATGAGGAAACCCTTGTCTTGACCATAGATTTTACGTTGATGTGGGATCAAATCGAAGTGGGAAGAATTAGCGGTGGGAACGATCAATGGAACAGTAGGTTCACGGCGGTAGTTCTTTGCGTTAGAGAATACAACAAGGTTGGCCTTGAGGAACTCCATTTCTATCGACAGGGGAGGTTTAGAAAACTCTACAACAAAAATAGGCAGCCAGGCGAAGTCCAATCCTTACCAATATCACCAGCAACATCGGCATCTAAGCCAGAGAAGACAACGTCACATTCAGCAAAGTTAGCGGATTTGCACTCATTGACGATCAAATCTTGAACGTTTTCGGGAATGGGCTTGCTCTGCTTCCACTTGGTAGCGTCTTTGTAAGACTTGCCAGCCGACCGTGAAGAGGCACCGAGGGCGTGAATAGTGAAGATAGGGTGGTCGGCAAGAAGAAGAATGAAACGTTGGCCAACAGTGCCGGTGGCACCGAGGATACCGACTTTTTTAGTAGCAACCATCGTGAATGAGATTCGAAAGGAAGTTCGGTGGACTCCTTTTTTATGATTTTGCGATAGTTATGAATCAAACAGTGACACTGATCAAGTTCACGATCTCCGACAATAGTGACCAATCATGACTGCAACTTGTCAGCATTTGCATTTTCCACAGATTTTTGCGTCCTGAAGGGAAGTCAGTCGCTCAGTTGACGGCAAGAGATGGTCTATTTCCAACGTCAAGTTAACTCACCATAATCAAACGAGATAGTGTATTACTTGCATATTTTTCGTGAGATTACAAGTCATAAATGATTTATTGTTCCTGCTGTAACTCTAAAATTTTCAGTTTGCTGGAGTATTCATGGGCGAAACAGTATGCTAATCATCTGCTTGTATGTTGACTTCACATATAGTATCAATGGCGGCTATGCGCAATATGTTGCGGAAAAATGCCATTTCTCCAGGGACTTCGCTATAGGAACTAAACTGCTCTAACCTCTCCGCAGGGCGTAACTCCAGTTGATCGTGGTATTCATAGATGGCGTCTATCAAAATGTCAGCAAGTTTCAAGGTACGCTCCCCACACGTTCAAACTGTAAATTACCTATAACATTTTGCGGTTTGAGAGTACGAATCTTGTTTTTTGCTTTCCAAAGCTCAATTTTTTCGTCAAAATGACTGATGATATGTTCAATATTGTATAGATCCATACCACGACGCTGTGGAGGCGTGGCGGAGCCTTTCCTCGCAGGATCTCCTAATTTTGGTGAAGCTGGCCGATTCCGATGCGTGAGATAATAAAATAGCGAAATTACAAACTGTGATTTGGTACTTACATATCTGAGCTAATGCTACGAAAGTAGGTTTTACCCTGACAATTTCGTAAAGCAGATTAACATAACTCTCGTCATCGTCGAGCAAGGTATCGTTATGGACAATGCACATATTGATTATTGTGACGCTCTATTATAAAACAAAGTTGATAAACGTTGGCCCATCTCAAACGCATTCATTGGTAAACCACTTTTCGGACACTTACCAATTGCAAAAGTTCGTCGACATCGCCCTCCGTTGCTATGCGTTCGTAATGGGAAATAAGAAATCGGACAAATCCAAGTAGCACTTGCCAAAGATGTGACCAGTGGTAACCGACTGTAAAAATGATTTGTGGGTCAGTCTATATCCTAATCAGATGGAATAGAGGGGGGTGATACATGCCTATCGTTGCCTTACGCTTGACCTGATAAGACATAAGACGATGAATGATTGACAATGCATTTCGGTAAAGATCGATTTCCAGTTTCTTTCTCATGTTATGTGTGATGAAAATAAGCATGATATCTAAAACTGCGCATGCCAAGGGTCGAGGTGCATCGGTAGCCGGTATAGCAGGTAAGCGCTTTTTTTTTTTTGAAAAATATAATAGAGCAAGTCATTTCATTAGGGCACAATAATCCATGCTGCCTTCCCATGACATTACATGCATACCTGTCGACAAAGCCTGAGTTCTCCCAAAAGTTGTGGACTATAGAGCAGGTCGCAAAGTGAACTGTCCTCACAAATTCTCAAAAATATCAGCAGAACCAATTTGCTATAGCCAACGGATCTCTTTGAGCGAGGTGATTGTAGTACGAAGGAGGAGTATGACATGAAAGCGCAAAGCGCGATATCTTCGGTATATGGTGATTCGTTGCCGAAGCAGACCATTAACGGTCTCTGTATAAGCTGTTGAAATGTAGGATTTGCATTGATCAACTCGTAAAACGCTATCAGCATGGCTGATTGTTTCGGCGGCCTAAATGTGAAGTACCATTAGAAAAATGGACTTTGACGCAGTACAGTGTGTCAGTGAACTCACATTTCGGCCAAAGCTTCGTCCATTTCCTTCTCCCAATCATTACTACCAAATTGTAATCTAGACTCTGATTTGGAAAGCCCCCACCCAAATAAGCCGGTAAAATAAGACAATAAGGCTGTACTTGAGCTTTCTGAGTCGTCTTTGATCTCTATATAGTCAGCCCTCATATCAAGAAAGCCTGCGCCAATGGCTGTCACCATTCTCTGAGTCTATATTTAGCTATTGACGTTACAATAAGACATACAATATTCACGAAATCCTACCTCCAATGGTCCAGCATCTCGTGTGGTGATAAGTTGTGTCAGAACGACGTTCTTGGATTCATATTTGTTGTAGTTTGACAGCAAGGATATGAGCATTATAGATACTTTTGCTTCATTGTAATCAACATTCAGATCAGCAATAACATTCAATATGGCGGTACATAGCGATTGCTTCATCAGATAGCTATAAGGAGCAGAAGATTGTCAAAAATTGGGATATACAGTTTTCAAAGAGTTCGTTTAGAAGCTGTATTTACCCATTCAGATTATTTTGGTTGACATTATCATTGCCAGCAACAAGAACAACCAACAGTCTGATAGTAGCTTTGCATCTTTCCTTAACAGCATCAGGAGAAGATTCGGGATCATGATCCCGCGAAAGACATAATTCAATGCCCGTTTCCAATTTAGCAAAACGCTCATCAGCGTTTTGGAGTCGAGTAAGCAAGTTGACAACATCAAAGCTGAAATTGGTGAATCGAGACTTGGTAAAAATGGCACGGAGTATGCATGTCAACGCAACGATAGCGTTTGTTTGTCGTAAAACATCCATGAGTCCGTCCGTAGGTTGATTCATAACCTCGACGCACTGTGCAAAAATATTGGAGATGCTGTCTCGCACCGACAAAAGGTGTTCTTCCGATTTATCATGGACGAGCGTGTAAAGGAAGTTCCTTTTTACTTTGAGTAAGAACAATGATGACCAGAATTGCGGGTCATTTTTGAATGGCTCTTCGCCCTAAGGGACCCATTGGTAAAAAATAAACGACTGAGTTTTTGCACGTTGGATTGACGACTGGTAATGCTGAAGAAACTCACACGAAGCAAAGCCTCATAAAGCTCTACTACTTTTTCTTTGTAGGTTGCTTTTCCGTTGCCACCACGCGAGCGTGGGCTTACTTGGGTCATGAGGAACAACAACAAGGACGCGCTTCGAGAACTTTGCCCAACCTTCTTTGAATGGAAATTCTAACCAAGCCAGCCAATCAACAGCGATGAAATGTCAAGACACCTTCATACGAGAACAAACACGCACGAGAAGAAAGTATAATAATGTGGAACTGAATCCATAGAATGCATAAAAGAACTAAGTGAATGAAGGTTTAAGGTACACGCTCCCAGCCGATCGAGTCAAGCTAGGCAGTCCTCGCACAGACCATGTCCCTCTTTCATACATTGCAAAGAATGGCAGTGGGTTGTCAAAGTAGCTTTTAATACTTTTTTGAATGTTTATTACCATACAAATTCTTATTGGCATCGAATATCACCAAACTGCGTACACCCAAAAGATTAAAAAGGCGGCATACTATGTGAGATTCGTATAATGGAAATTGTTTAATATGGAGGTTTGACGAGGGAGGAGCTACTACTGCATAAGGGAGAAGAATTGAGTTACTTATAAGGATCCATGGCGTAAATACACCATGACATACGATAATTTACCTCATAGCGTTGGAGTTGACTGATAATGCATTAAGCAAAGTGTTCAAATCTCCTCGTACTTCGTGGGGTCGTTTGCCAATGTTGGCCAGTGGTACACTGTTAACAGAATCGTTTTCATGATCGCTAGAGTCCAGTTGATGAGCTAGCGAATAGGTAAAAAGTGAGTATACAACGATCCAGTAATACATTGTCTGATATAGGAGCTAATGCTCTACATACTCAAAGCATCTCTCAAGTTTTCAACATTGACATGTGGGCGAGGAACTCCGTTTTGGTCAGCCTAACGACAGAAGTTAGACACTGGTACAGAGACATTACAAAGTGCGTTCGATTAATCCAAAACAAACTTACATCAATTTTGACATTCAAAGAAGTGGCTAATCGGGGCTTCATGTCAAGTTCTCGAGTATTCTGCACACGATATGATTTTTCATTCACTATATGATACGTATGTCAGCGCCTTGATCTCTCTGTTGTTGTAGACATAACCTAATGTTCACTTACATAAATTGATGGTATTCCATTCAGCGTACAATTTGCTCTCCAGGTCCAGACCATGAGAGTCATTGGATCCACGCAATACTGGACTCTTCATAAGATCAGCTACAACACTGTGTCGATCCAACCAGTGGTTTACAGCATTCAAAGCAAACTTTTCTTCGTCGTTCAGAGCAGCGAGTGTAGTCGGTACTTCCTTCTTTCCAGATACAGCTTGGTCGTCCAATTTATGAGACCATTCACCATCTCTAATCTTTGCCTCTTTGACTTTTTGTGAATATTTCGGCAAGTTGTCTATGCTATGGAGTCTGCTGATTTCTTCAACCCACATCACAGTCACTTGAGCAACTGGTCGCTGTCTTGGTATATCCTGAATGAAATCATCTTGAGCAAGACTCTGTAGCTTGAATATGAGAGGAAGACCACGGATGGTCGCATTTGCACCGAAGTTGGCTGACAAAGCCCGCATCACTTGAAAGGTGCAAACAATGTCGCGTGGAGTAAGGTTAGGTACTTGGATCCATTCCACAACGGCAGAGTGAACACTGCTAATAAACATCGATTCGCTTTGCTCTTTGCTCTTATTAGAACTAATCAAGGTACGAGTCGAAGGTGTACGCAGAGCAGGCCTGAAAAAAAAAAAGCGTTGAATTCCAAATTAGCATTTGAGTCTGTCAAAGTTATCAACGTCGCAAATTCGTATACACATACTGTTCGCCGGACCATGAAGCACAACGCTTGATAAAGACTCCAACAGCATTGGAAAAATGCCGTCTAGTATCTGTAGCATGAAAGAAGGAGATAACGTCAATGCAGGTACCAAAATCTCATCGTAAACCGAAAATGACTAACCTTCTTCTTCGTCGCTGAGCAAGCCAAGAGCGGGGACTAGGACATCCAAAGATATAAGTGGTTTTGTCGCAGAATGATCGAGCTCCTTTGAGCATTTTTCGATGACTAGAGTAAGACATTGGAGGAGGCATTGTCTGTATCTTCCGATGGCTATGCCATCAACGTCCTTGAGAGATGTCTGTGGCCGTAATTTGGCTACGAGGTAGCCAATTATGTCATTGACTTGGTTAGCATAATAGATGTGCTTGGCCAGACCCGATATAGAATGGGTCAATCCATTATAAACTGCATAATTGTATTGGCCGCTTTCGTCTGCTTTGCTGGGGATGATATGACTGTCGGGTCGATACTTGATGCTTTTGACTAGATAATTAAATGCTGTATTCAACACCTCCATGACGGATATTCCAACCAATGGTAGATCTGAATTCAACGTTGAATGTAACATCGATACAATGCAAGCCTGCTTTTCGGTAGCATTTTGATTTTCGACTGGAACGTTGTCGAGGTACTGTAAAAGCTCGGAAACCAGAATGTAACGATATTGAGGCTATAGGGGAATGATTGGATGAGTGGGTGTTGTGCAGCAAGAACATAGTACTGAGAATATCCGAACCTGCAGAGCTTGTAACATGATTTCGGTTACGCTAACAGCAAATGTGGTAGGCCACCAGCACCCATTCTTGTCCAAAAACCTATAGTAATCACATGTTATCAGAAAATGGAAATACGGCCAAAAATTAACATAAAAAAAAAAAGTGAACCATACTCAAAATATGGAACGAGGGCCTGACGAACGCTCGCACCACGAATGGCTCGGAACAAGTGCTGCAGAGTTTGTAAAGCAAGTGTCACGACATCCAGTTCAGTCAACTTCCTATTCAAAGCAGAATGGCGAATGTCTACAGATCCTTCTTCATTGTCGGCTAAGCGGGTCAATGGAATTTGAGTTGCCGATAAACTCTCAAGGATAGGAGGAAGCATAATTGATAATTGACTATTGAAATCTGCTGCATGGAGCGCTTCACTGGTGACGGCCCCTTGTACACCGCGATGGCCGATATACCGAAGGCTGGAATTTTAAGAATTAGAAGAGGTGATACATATGCCGGAGTGAGAATGCTCTGTTGTACTCACTTGAGTTTCAAGGATTCGTCACCATTTTCATACTGACAGAATTGAGCAAACTTGCGTACTAAATTTTCATACTTGGCGGTAAATTCAGCATCGACAACCAGAGTACTACCATCATGATATGTGCAGAAAGTAACAAACTGGATAATGCGGTGAGATTAGTCGTTGGAAAGATGTTATGAAAAAAAGTTAGTGAGTAGTACGCAACAAGCCATCACTTGTTCTACACTTACTGTTCCGCAGGCAATGTCGATCAGGTCTAAATCTCTGGTGCCAAGAATCATCTCCAGGATGTCTACAACATACTTCGAAAATAGGTTCAAATCTCTATGGCAAGATTGAATAAGGGCTTTTATGATGTCCAGAGAAACTTGATTGTTTCTGTATCAATATGGAAGTTGTTGACTCAATTAGATGGGATGGAAATGGGGATTTCATGAATAGTGCGATAGATGGTGGAGACTCAACTGTTTACGGCCTTTGGCAATATCTCTCTCGACTTTCTTTTCGAGAAACGTGCCCACTTTGGTGAGTTTGGCAGGTCGAGAGCTTGCATAAAATGTCAAGTAGCTAAGTTCAGAAGACTTTGGGCCACTTTCACCTTCCTTCACCGGATAACAATTGTTGATTAAATGAGCGTGTTTGGTATATCTGGTGCATAACATTTCGGACAATGGCAAGCCGCAAGACATTGTAACATAAAGGAGATTATATTATGGTATGGAGTGACGGTCGTACAAACGGAGAAAGTATGGTCGATTCAGGATTGGTCACCAAAAACCAGACGAAAACAGATTGGGTGTAGTGGTAGGATGAATTAAGAAGAGACCAAAAAGAGGAAGAAAAAAAAAGTGTTCAAGTTTTAGCCAATGAACCGATGACGTGAAAATCACAACGGGGGGTCTCATCTCTCGCACACTTACGCTTGCATTCCTGAACTGGGTGTTGCAGATTAGGTAAATTAAGGAGGGTAACTGCAACTGATGTCAAGGGACGAAAAAAGGTGACAAAGGATAGACAGTATTGGTGACAGCCTTACATAGCCTCTCATTTTTGTAAGTTATCCTGCACGGACGACTTTGATTTCCAGCTCAAACTCCGATGAAATTTGTTCAGGCGAATGCCCAACGCTTCCAAATCAAAAACTTTTTGATTCCAGTTTATACGGAAAATAGTAATAATATAGATGCTAGGATAGCGGATATAAGGTAAGAGATGTCTAGAAGCAGATGACCAGTACTACTGGTTGTAATAGTAATAGTTCCGTTTGAAGGTCCAGTTTGCCCATTGGTATTAGAATATGTGAAGTTATTCGCAGTGCCATTGCCCAAGTAAACATCTGCACATCGCAAGTCTTGCGCTATGGCACTCCCTGTCCCATTTGTATAATGTGAATAAGCAATAAGAACCGATCTTCCAGCAAGATTATTGGATGTTCCAGAGGAAACTTGTAGGTTGGTGCTATTGATGCTGATAAGCGGGGTGGGTACACTATAAGTCGCCCCGGCCAAATTCATTGAACCTATTTGAAATGAGAATGAATACATTTATAGTTACTCTACCACATCAACTCATCACAGTCCTCCATTGAGTTTCTTTCACTGTATCCGCCACCTCAACTTACCGGATAAATATTCCACGGGGTTGCAACTGCTAGTAAGATTTAGAGAGTACGCTGTTGCACACGGATTGAGGGGAACTCCACCGAGACAAGTCTGACTGTTGGGAAAATTGCATTGATGCGTTGAGTCGATGTATAGGCCAGGAAGGCCAATAGCCCACGAGAGACAAAGGGATCCGTCGGCTGGTAATGGAATGCCGTTTGGATCCAAAGTTATGGTATAAGTAACATAATTCGAAAACTGTGTGAATAACACAGTGACTTTCATGTTATTTGGAAGAGGTACAGTTGCCAACCCTGCTGGTAGCTGTGATGGAAGAAGCTCGTCTCGCTTCCCAAATGGTTGATACTGGGCATACCGGCGATGGGGTACCGGAAACTTGGACAGCGCCTCCGTGACTGCGTGTACAGATAGAACAACCGAGAGGAGAACAAGATAAGTTAAAAGCATTGAATTTTAGACGGAATATAGTGGGCACGATATGTGCCTAGTTGGTGAAAATAGCAAAAGAAAATTACAATAGAATAAAGCACTAAGCGAACGTTGAAGGTGCTAAAGAAAAACCTGATGGAAGAAAAAAAAAACACCGATTGCCTAAAAATGATCAGCATCATAACATTGCCACTTTCAGTCACCATCTCTTCAACAATGTTTTCAAATGGGCGCGCGCTATACCCTATTTTCAAACAACATATCGTATAATGTATGTTAGTGCTTCAAAAGCCATGAACATTGTTTAAAAAAAAAGATTTATGTATAATAAATTTTGCAGCTCCACTAATCGCTAATTTACACGGCTCTCCTTACGTTGCATGGAGTCAATTCAGGCACTGTTCCGACGTTTCCATGACCCCATAGTCATTTTTCGCCACCACTTTGGAGGCTTGGTAATGCCATGTCTTTCTTCATGAATTGACGGGCGCCAATCATTGGTACGTGAAACGGATGGTGCGGTAGATCGTCGAGGGATTTTATAGGGTACTGGGGGTTGTTCAGTTTGGTACGACAATAGCAGAGATGGAGTAGACGCTGATGTTTTTATCTGTTGCAAAGGCCCGACTTGACTTTTTGGCTCTCGTCGCTTTATTATCTGTGATATAGTCGCTTGCCATTGATCGCGTTTCTTGCGCTGATGACCGGCAGTCGAGTCTACTTGAACGCTCGCTTTGAATTTATAGTCCGCCGAATTGATGAGACATGGTGAGCTAACACTATCATGCGAGCGGCCTACAGATCGATGTTCTTTTGATGCTTGTATAGTTGGCTTTTTCTGGGACGACTTCGTTTTACTAGGTTGTTCTGAGCTCCTTGTGGATTGTGATGCTGGCGTAGTTGGCGCTATGGGTCTGGATGAAATTTTGACGTTCTCTAACGGGCATAGAGGATGACTACTGGATTCCTCCCACAAACAGAAAATTGCAGAGTATATCCAAAACATATGACCCTGTATGCATATAAATAGGTCGATTACATTATTCCATATGTTGTTTTGAAGCTGTGCGTATGGCCGACTTTCCAGTTGATACATTTTGTTGATCATCGAATGGGGTTTAAATGAGATAAGATCAAATCGTAAAAGAGAGATAGCAATAGAAAGAAAATACTAGTTATCGTAAAATATGCTGATGCACCTTTGCAGAAGGAGTTCGTGAGAAATGAAGGGTAGGAATAAGCACAAATCAATTCTACGGCGTCTATGCACAACAATACAGTAAACGTCAAAGGACAATATATACCGTTAGAAGAGGAATAAGGAGTGTACGGGGTTAAGGAGCTGATTAACAGAATTAAGTACTGTCTCGCCCTTAAAGACAAAACTCAACACAGTGTAATCCAAAAAATGGAATTGCCTGTGAGAGTCAGAGATGGAGAAAGGGGTGGGTAGCTGATTTGCCGAGTTTAAATGCTTCCTTTTATTAGAGTTGTGATTTCAATTTAAACCAACGAGTTTGTTCTTAGACACTAAGGTTCGGATAATGACCCAATCCCACTTTTTCCGTTTGTTACCGTCGAACTGTGTATGTCATTTGCTTTGATCCATCGGGAGAAAATCAAAATGTAAAAGAAAGTTAATTGTTTACTGATCTTTTTAATTCAAAATGGGTAAATAAGCTTTATGGCTATCTCATTCTTTCCGCCTCTACCGCCACGCAACGTGACAATGACACCGTCCTCGAGTTATCTTTGCTTCAAATACAACTCGGCTTATGCAAGCTAATAGTAATTGGTTGGAAAATTCTGACAGCGTGATTGCGGTGAAACTGGCTCTCGATGCGTTTTTTTTCCATATCTCCATGACGTGAAGAAAAGCCTGTTTTGGACCCATCCCCTATCGTGTCATATGTAGATGGATGCGTGAAAATCCAATATGAAGCAATCAATCTATTCTGCATAGACTGACTCCATATTCTGCTTGCTTGATAACGTCTCTGCATGGAAATTATTTCATACGCTGCATTGAACATCCTGACCCACTCTATCAAATACTTAATGGTCGTAATGAGAAAATACAAACAGTTATTGCTAACCGATATGCTCTCAAGACAATAGTCAAAAAGATTGAACCATATAGGTTACCTTCAACCGTATGCATCGTTCAATGCGCATAGGAGTGACAAAAGATCAAAGCTACTTATAAGTATTGGCGTAAGTTCCCCTTCAAACGCTTATGGATCGAAATTTGTAAAAATATGTATGCATCAACTGCGACATATTGAACGTGAAGTCATGACTGTGTCCAACATTGCCTTAAGCAATTTGCTTTATGGACATGTGTTTTTGGGCCGCTTTGATACCAAAGATTACACATACACTTTGGCACCTTTTCAAAATGGACTGCCAAGCAAGGGAGTTTCTGGTTGTGAATCTCATCTTCCCCCAACTCAATAGGCTCAGCTACCTAACGCAGATGAACACGGGCTACAAAATTACGATTTAATATAGATAGTCTTCATTATTTTTTCGTCTTTGCAAACTATACTATGAATATGCATGGTTATCTCTCCTTCAAACATGTAGGCGGTTTGCCTTTAAGAATCTGAATGTTCAAAAGTTGCAGTGGGCAAGGTAAGGGATCCTGATTTTGGGGTTGTTCCCTCTCGGTTACCACCACCAGGGTAGTCTTCCCATTCAACTGCAGCTTGCGGGCAGTTCAACTTTTCGATGTACTTGTACTCAAAGCTTGTGCTGGGAGGTAATTTGATAGTCGCAGAATAGACTCCGTATCTGAAAGCAGAAATACGCAGATCAGATATGAGAACAATTCACATTAAACGCTACATCATTTCATAATTTTCAACTCACGTATCAGGTTCACCTTGCAAGAGAATGGCTGCGCTGGTTGACCATGAGCCGAGTTCAGGAATACTTCCGACAACGTAAATCGATGTCTATATGGGCAGCGATTTGTTTGATAGTTAGACGTAAGAATGGAAATATTATTGAATTCATGTGTGATTGTTTTAACTTACCGAGCCAAAGCCGGTCAATTCAGAGTCGGTGGCTACGAATTTTACACTGATGATATCGTTGGAAACAACGTGTACAGGTCCAGGACTGCACTTGCCCTTTGGAGCGCTGACTTTTTTAGCTCCCCAGGAATCAGGAACTTTGCCATCTCTTGCAGCCTTTGCGGTCATCAAAGAGGCATATGACCAGGTAAGATCCTTAGCGCTGACAGAAGTGCCGTTCCATCCTGAGAATTGTTCGTGCAAACGTCCATCAGCTGGAGTGTACTTGGCTACCATGTCAACGAATCCATCAGCATAAGTTGACACAGCGGAGACGATCTTTTTGTAAGTGGATGAGCTGGACTTGTATGTTCCAACAGAGACTGAACCAAATTGATTGAAGAAACTCTCGGAGATTGTAGTAATTTCAAGCCGTCCTTGTTTCTTCCAAACGTAAATCGCGTCATAAAGCTGTTCAGCGGCTGCCAAAGTGGTCAAATACCTAGTAACAATGAAAGGGTCAGCCTTAATTTGACCCTAATTTTTTAATGCAATATCCAAAAAAAGAAGAAAGAACCGTACCATGGATTTCCATTGTAATAAACGTCGTGGATGTATCGACCAAGAGCAACTGCTTCGTTGCTAGATTTTCCATTGTTGACAGGGTAATAGTTACGGAAAGAATTAACCAAAGCATAATGATGAGCCAAAGCTCTATCTGAACAGGGCTGGAAAGTGGTGCTATCGCATCCAGCTTCAGAATCGAATCCATGGATGATACCAACGGTGGTTCCACTGTCGAGATCTCGTAGCAACTTACCGTTGGCGATATCAGCATTGATGACGTTGGCATCAGAATCCCAGAAAGATTGGAGATAACACAAAATATTCTTAGCTTGGGTCAGGTATGAGCTGTTACCGTGACCTAAAGATGAGGCGAAAGAGAAACCTTCGAACAAGGCACGATGGGACGCACTGATAGTGAAGAAACTTGAGCCGCTAGTTTCTTCCCAAAGATCGAATCCGGTCAGATTCCAATATTTGGTTACATAATCCAGATCATTCTTGAGCACGGGCCAAAGGCTTTCAGTAACGAACTTTTTGTTATTATGTTTCTGAGCGTACTTGCCATATGCAACGAGTGCAGTGGCACGCAAAGCGGGACCTAAGAAAATAAGTTAAAGTCAGAAGTGAATATACATGCGAAAGTAAGCAAAGATGTCAATGAATAAAGTCTACACTCACCATCACGCTGGGGTCTACCCCAGTCACCAGTAAATTCAGTTGCATTAACCATGAACTTGGGTTCTCCAAGGCCACTGAGGTCACTAAAGTTACCAGAAAGGTTATCAATGTGCTGCAAAGTCAGTTGAACCTTAATGTAATTCTCGATGGTAGGAATGAGACTGACATCGTTTTCAGCGATGAGTCGCTCCACCAAAGACTTCATTGTCAATGCACCATCGCGCGTCCATGTGTAGAAGTAATTGGGGTCTTCAGTGCTAGGAGAAGCAACGACGATTCCAGCCTTTGCGCCAAGGTTAGGACCGATATTGTCCAGAATGCGCTGCACAGCAATAGGGTCTTCGTTTTTCAGATATTTACTTGTTGAAGATACCGTTTGAGGGCTTCCTTGAACGAGTTGACTGAGGAGAACGATCGCAGAAACGATTGCAGCTGCTTTCATTGTTTTAAGCGAATGAGTGGAAGGGCAGGAGCTGATTCTTACGCAATATAGTGTGGTGCATTCATTTATAAATGCAATAAATTCCACGAGGCCGAGGGAATCAGCAGTAAAATCTTGAATGTAACACGGAATTAATCGAAGGTGTTTCTTCCCACACATGGTTTCTGAGTGTGGTAGCTGAATATCCACTGTCAAAACGACTAGTACTATAAGTTTTTCGGTTTTAATTGATTCAATTCATTCAGATTATAGATTCTTCATTACCATCGTCTCTTGATTTCTGGAGTTGAGCTGGTTACAATGGATAAGTGCGTCCCTCTAGCTAAAAACTATCGCCCCACACTCAACACTGGAATAATGCGGGGAAAGTTGGAGCTCACATGGCTGAGCGGGAAACGCCATTCCGCGGTTCGAAGAACATGTTTGTTTACCGAAATTAGAAAATACAGATTCAAAAGGATAGCTCAGGAGATAGTCGTGGCGGGCAATATCTTGCGGGTTATAGGAGTATCAATACAGTAGTAACGAATCAACTTTATAGGGGATTACTGAGCTGCATCAACCATGGTTGGGATTAACGCCGTTAAGGAGTATATGGACCAAGCTGGATGCTATTCTCTTTTTGAAGGCTAACCAATCATGCACGCGGTGAAAAGGCTCATGGGATAATCTACTAGATGGCTTGCTTTAGGACATTGGGCTCTTATAAGTGGGAAGAGGAAAGATTCCAAAACAAAAGCCGTACTTGTTAAATCCTTCAAATAATACTCTCAACTCTATAATCGTTTGATATAGCACACCTCTTTTCGCCTACAATCTTCGAAACCAAGATCATCATCCATCGCAAGAGCACGGCAAGATCGTAAATGAGAATGTATATGGCTGGGATCAGATCTTGTACTATGGAAGAACCAAGTGAACGGAAGCCGACGCTAGACCGAAAAGTCCGCTTGAGAACAAAACGTAGCTGTATTCAACACCAATCGCAGTGTGGCCGGATAGACGGGTCACACCACCGGTTATAGCCACATTCTGATGAGTAATGATATATCAGTGCCGAGTTTATTAAGTCGTTCTGCTATCGGGTTGTAAAGAAAGTTATGGCGGCAAGTAAAGAATTGATACAAGGTAGATTAATCATGATATTAAGAATGTAAAACCAGTAGGACTTGCTGCAAAGATATGGTTTTATAGTCTGGCGATCGACAGTCGCACGATTTACCGTATTTTACGAGGTGCTGAAGGAATCATGCATACAGGAGTGGGTGACCAGTGTGTTCTTAATTGCAACATCTGCTGTCCCGCTTAATATCCTTGCCTTTACGCGATCAATGAATCATCGCTAACCTGGATCATAATTACAAGTTTCGTACAGAAAGCTTTTGATGCTACAATGTGTAGAAATATTTAAGCGACTAAGTTTAGCGTTGATCATATTTTTCGTGACAGAATGCATCATCCAGGTGGATACCACTCCTGGCAAGGCCGTTTGGACGAGCCTTCTGTATAGCCATCGACAATACCTTCAAGGACGAGAGCTACCTGGTTGCAGATCGATTGTGCAGCGCCAGTGGCATGAGCTGAGGAAGTTATCCGTAGTGACGGACGACATTGCCCAACGTGAGGAGTGAAACCGCGGGAATGTGCGGGTGTTGAGATTTCACGAAGTTGGCTGAACTTTTCTCCGTTTTACGATTGTAGACAAGCTCACCTATCTGAAGCATCGTTTTACTTTCAAGTCCTTTGTTGCTTTTGAAATGCTTGCGTCAATGACCATCAGAGTAGCCTCACTATGGTTTGGCATTCCCTCTTTAATGATTAGAATCAACTTTAGACATGACGGAAATGAAGTGCGAGATCGACATTTGAATACATAGTTATGTCATGACCTTGCCATATAGACAGAATGGGTGTGCTAATTCTTCTTTGTTTTAACAAACTTATCCCCTTTCCAGAGCTCACCCTTCGAACAAAATGAATTGAGATTTTGCCACTATGGAAAAAAAAATGCTACTTTGTAGTATGCCCAGTTCACTACGCTTGATATGATTACGCCCATACACAACTTCCATAATTTTGCCCCTGGAATGAGTTGATGGGCTGCATGGCATTAGATATATAGATGTTTTGGAATGTTTATCAAATTATAATTGAAGGCTTTAATTTAAGCGAACACCATTTCGCGTATGGTAATTATGGCGTCCTGTCCACGATATATACCAGGAGCTGCAGCAACATATTTTCAGCAATTTTAGCCTTCAATTATCGAAGATGCTCGTGGAATTAAATGATGCACGCGTTCGTAAAGATGGTCAATCCAGTAACACGCTTTTCTTAGCTTTGTGACAACATATATTCGCTGCGGAAACAGAAAAAGCATCCCACAAACTGTGCAAACTTTCTTAAACTGCCTCAGAGACTAAAGAGGTCCACCAGAAAAAATGAGCTTTACACTAAATAGCGTGCTTTATTTGTTTCAGTTGAATTGTGAGGTGTTGTTTCGATCCGAAACTTTCTGAAATAAAGAGAACGCAAAAACCAACCAGGTTGTCTGAGAATCAAATCGCCCTGTAAGTCAAATTGATTGGCGGCGATTGGAAAAAAAAAAAAAAAAAGTTTGCCTGGCAGCTAACTCAATCCTCTAGCTGGCAGCATTCAACCTTTCCACTCTTTCTACAGGTTGCAGTAAAGCTTACAGCAATCTTCCCATTAATATCGCTATTAAGCGATTATTTTACCGTGCTGCTCAACTTATAATGTCTAATGCAACTGCAGCGTTTTCAAACACCTCGGCTGCGGAATCCAATGTCGTACCTCCTCATCGGTTAATACCTTACATGTCGGACGAAGCGTTGGCCGTCGTGATGCCCGTATTCGCCTATTGGGTATACAGTATCGCTTTTCACTTTATCATGAAAGCCGAAATCCCTTTCTTCGAGAAATATCGTATACATACGCTGGAGGAAATGGAAACGAAGAACAAGGTTTCCTTATACGAAGTCCTGCGGATGGTACTAGTTCAGCAAACACTACAAACGATTTTGGGTATTATGGTCCTACCATCAGAAGAACCTACTGCTTTCAATCACCAGTTTATGCTGAAGATGTATGAAGAAAATCTTCATCGGTACCTAGCACCTATGCTCGCTTTGGATCAATCGTATATAACTGATGAAGTGGTACACTGGTTGGCTTATGCAGCTTATTGGATAGTGGTTCCTGCTTCTCAATTTTTTGTTGCCATGTAAGTATTTCAAATTGGTGTGTGGACGTTTGAGCCATGTACTGAAGCTATCGCTACTTACAGGTTTGTGCTCGACACCCATCAATATTTTTTACATCGACTTTTCCACCAAAACAAGTTCCTCTACAAACATGTTCACTCTCACCATCATCGCCTCTATGTGACCTATGCCTTTGGAGCGCTATACAACCACCCCTTAGAGGGCTTTCTTTTAGATTCAGTTGGTGCTACACTTGCTTTCTCAGTATCAGGAATGTCCCCTCGCATGGGTTTAGTATTTTTCACCTTCGCCAGTTTGAAAACAGGTGAGCCACGTGTTTTAGCACTTTTGTCTGAGTTTTTCGGGAAACGTTTGCCTGACTTTCATTCAACAGTCGACGATCATTGCGGATATGCTTTCCCTTGGGATCCTTTACAATTTTTCTTTGGTAACAATGTCGTCTAGTAAGTTTGAATTCAAATCGGAGTAAATTGATGGTCTATATGGTCCGTGACCAGTTATTGATTTTAACCGCGTTTACAGCCATGATATCCATCATCAACAATTTGGTATCAAAACAAACTATTCCCAACCATTTTTCATGTGCTGGGATAAATGGCTTGGTAGTAAGTAGCTGTAAACTTATGTTAAAAAACTTATGCGATTGGAGATTAACTGAACATCTTATGGTGAATTTAGCCATAGTATCTGATGAAGCCGTTCAACAATATGAAGAAAGACGGGCAAAGTCTCGATCAGCCGTCAAAAGTAATTAGTATATTCCAGTTCTTGTAATTTTGTTATGTTATCTGTTTTGGTTTTTTATCACCCTCCCCACTTTCTATGTACGCTCTCCAACACCCCAATTGCATTACGTGACAGCGAAACTGCAATATTATCTGATTTTCACACACGAACGTTATAATTTGTTATACTAGGGTTTTTGATCGTAATGCTAAAGAAAATTCAACAGTCGTATGGGAAATGATATTACAATGCAAAAAATTGATCTTCATGTTTGGGGTATTGTCGCTTCTTATTTTTGAACCGCATGCGCATCTCGTAGATCCAGTCGTTCCATTCACGCCACAAGGATCGCTTTCCAAAAATGATGAACACCACGATTCCGATGGTAGAAATCCAAGTCTCCGCCAAGATCATCAGCGGAAACGGTGGTAGCTTGCTACTAATAACACTTGCGCAATAGTTTTGATCCTGTTTGGTCATCATACAAGTTACCCATTCTGCCAACACTTCCTTGTTGTTTTGCAGATCAGCCAGCTTGGGAAATTGTATCAGGTAAAAGATCTACAGTGATCGAATGTTAGACATCTAGGGTTTAAACATTACTCGCTCAAACTTGCAGGATAACGAACCCAATAAAATAAAAACGCGATCAAAGCATTGACTGCTAGCAAAAGTGCGCGCCACTGGATCTTCACGGCTGTAACCACGTGTCGACGATGTGATACCGCTGGCCGACTTAAATGTGAGTTGGTAACGCTGTTTTTAGTGACTGACATTTCAAATTCTGAGCTCTCCTTCATGGAAATCTAAAATTAAATAGGTTTAGAGTGTCGGCAACCGTTAGTTAAATTCATTTCAATACTTACTCTGGCAATATGAAAGAAGGTTGCCAAGTGCAGCACACAACTTGGGATGACAATGGCGGCAAGAGGATCAAAAAATAGTCGATGAATCCAATCGGCTGAAACCAAACATAGATTGGCAAATTCGAATTTGACCTGATGATAGGCCAACGTTATGGCTGTGACAATTAAAGGACCACCCCAGCATATGACGTTTAGTATTATGTATTTGTTAACCAGAAATTTCGAATTCCACACGGTGTGAAGATGTAAATTGACAATCAATGCGCTGACCCACAGCGCCATGGATAACGTGCCGTAAATGACGATAGCGCCTACATTTGTAATTAAAAAGATAAAGATTAATGACTGAATCACTTGTCCATCCGCAACGTCCATAACTTTACCTTGAGCAGCGCAAAGTAAATTGTTCTCTTGAGTGCTATTGACGATATCAGTGGAGCATTGTATACGTTTTGGATCTCCCAAGGAAAACAAAACAGATCCGCTGTATAAGAATAAAGCAATCAGAAATTCGAATATGAGGAGGGAGGGATGCGTTCGTTTGTCGGGTAGAATGGCATAGCTGACGACTAAGAAGAATGTGCAAATGGTGGATATTGTCCGTATAATATTCGTGGCCAAAAAGCCCTTCACAATCCATCCCTCGGGGTATAGGTATTCTTGCACTGGACAAGGAACACAGCAGCCGTTGGAACAGGTATCTGGGCTGACAGAGTTGTTGGTACCAGCTTGTGCGAGAGGATCTTTTAAAAATGGTGCAGGGCATTCTGGTAATATATATCCGGCAGGTAACGAAGTTGCGCTAGCATTTGAAGTGATTGCGTTTACTAAAGGAAAGCGGAATTGCTTAGTTTGGTATGCCCCAACCGCCATTCGACTAATATATCCATGCAATCCAAATTGATCAACAGCTACCTTGCGAAGTTAAATTGTTACAGCTGCTGTCACTTGCTGGAGCAAGACGAGATACAAATGATGGAGAGCTGCAGTTCGGCAAGGAACCGGAATATCCTAGAGAAGCCAACGTCTGCGTGCAAGTTTGTAACACTTGATTGCAGGTAGACAAGCAAGCAGGCAAAATTTCTGATAAGCCTGTACCATATGGTTTAAAGCCAGTAAAATTAAGACTTCTCGCTTTTCTCTTTAGTGGACGAAATTTCCATGTACCTGATGAACTTGTATCGCACTTTGCATACATTTGACTACACTGGAAACGGAACATATCATCCACGCACTGTGGATTTACAGAGCTGAGGTTATTTTTAAGATATACAAGTTCTTCCAGCATGATTTCAGTTATCTTGATTGATGTATTGTTCATATATACTGAATAGTTTACGTATGCCTAATATGATAATAATCCATCAAGTTTAGTAAGGTAGATCCGGCAGATAATGGCTTCAAAACGATCCAAAGTCAACTTACTGAACAAATGCCAGTTGAAGGATAAGCCAGGCACGAATTTGATGCAGTAGGTGATGCTTAACAATTAAAGTTTATTAATGGTCTGCACAAATATAGCGTATGTTCAATGGGATGGCAGTAATTTTTACCTTGAGAAGAAGTGATTGATGCAGTAGGAATGGTGAGAGGATGTGTTATTAATGACGCCGAAGATGATACGACAGCCACTGCATGGCCAGCCATACTTGAGAGCTGGATAATAAGTGCAGTCAGGGTCGCAGTGCCGAATAACTGCTTCATGTTGAATATGCTGCTAATGCTTGGCGAACAAATCAAAAAGAAAGAACTACCAAAAAGAAGAGAAATGGAAAAAAAAATATGGAGGTAAAGGCGACAATATATATCACTGTCGATGATTGTAGCTGTTGCGAGTTCCCCGCATTTAAGGTAGCACAACGACATTGTGCACAGGTACCAATTCTCATCACATCTGAAACTGCATAAGCCACGTCTTTCTTTTGCAAAGCCCTTCCACGCATCGTAACACTTCACTAAGAATTCACATTACAGATACCTTATCCTGTCTTTAAAAGCATTTCATTAGCTAAGATTCGGCTTATATTATATGATAGATTATGAAATGATAATAAAAATTAATGTGTACAATAACAAAGCTAGTTGTACATGCAGCCATGTTGCCAAATTGAACACCTATGGGCTTAGCGGACATTGAGAAAGCTTTACGGTGAATCGGAACGACACAGTGGTAACAGAGCAACCTTTCTGAAGGAGGTTTTCAGTCTATATTTTGATAAATTTACTTTTATTGCGATGGCAATTAATGGAGTGATTCCAAAAGGAAAAATGGCTGTGAAATCCGGACTCGTCATTTGACCTGGGTGACTTGGGGAATGTTCGTTGTGTCCAAAAGAACAACTGAGACCCAAATTTACTGCCTTAAGACATGTGTTAGTCACCACATCGATGAAACCCATTTGATGTTGTTTAGCATGTAGTTACACTGACCTATGAAATCTGTGACAATATCTATCTCCATCCTACCACCAGAAAAGATAATTGACGATGCTATTGCGAATTACAGAAGTCATATCTGAGTGGTCGAGTGACGCCGTTCCATCCTTAAAAGAATAACTAAAGAAAAATCGACAAATCCCGGAAAGCGCACCGTAATGATATGGTAAGTAGTCCATTTAAGCCAAGATTTTTTTTTTTTTTGGTTCTCACATGCTACAATCGTAATCCCAAGTCTTTTGCCACTTTGAGGCTTCACACGACTCGTGTGTCCAAAGTGTACCATATGTGATAGGAGTAAAGGTCCTGTAAGAATGGTAGACTACCGCATTCACAAGAATCACTGCTAGTACTCTTTTTCGGAGATTGAGCGGAAAAACTCCAGCTTCCAGTAGACTGGTCGCCAAAAGAACGCCAAAGTACAAAGCAATCAGGTAGGATGCCAAAAAGAGTTGCTTGCCCACTAGTATATAAGGTAAGAAGTGACATGCCCAGCCGTAGAAAAAAAATCCAATTGTCTGATCCACATGCGTAGGGAGCGTCACCAGCGAAGATTGAATTTTTCGCTTTTCAAAGAGTAGCCGCAATCCATAACCACTGGCTATAGCTACAACGGCCAGTGCTGTACTATAAAACACCACAGGGTTACCTAATGCGTAAAATTGGATGCCACCAGTCTGGTACAACGGTATACCGCGGCTCGACGTTATCCAAGAGATTCTGTGTAGATCATACATTTAGCATTTTCCTTTTCCAACATAGTGGCGGAGCCACGAGTACTTACGGCGTAGAAAGATACGGCTGAGAATCTTTGAGGCCTTTATATAAGCTCCACATTGCAGCAAGTACTTCCTGAACTTTTTCAGACATGCTCATAGCTGGATAGTTGATTACATCGTTGCCATCCTGGGTGTCTTTCCAGGAAAAATTAGCTATACCGTGTTATGCTACAGATTAATGTAGTATTACCAACCTAAGTTTGGCCAGGAGTTTTCTATGTACCATACGGTATTCTTCGATTTTCCTTTTACGCATGTAACCTGGAATAGTCAGATTTAAAGGTAGTTTAAATAAACAAATAACCGATTCGATGCTATTCTCTGACAGAGTATATCACATCGACATCTTACCTCTTGTTGACCAAATCCCCATTTTGGAAGTCTCATGTCCTTGGACATCAATGAGCATTTAGTACCGACGTGCACAAGACGAATTCTCGTACGCAATGCCTTAAGAGTTGTTTTGGATGATGGGTCAGATTTCTCGTGATCGACGACCTCAACCTTCCAGTCATTAAACCAGTCATCTTCTGCAGCATAGGCGCTATCACAAAGAATTGTACATTGATATGTTGATTTCAATTGTTAAACTTGAAGTATCGTGAATAGGAAATGTACCTTGCTTCATTATAGTGGTCTCCATTACTGACTGGAGGTCGAAGATCATGAGAATGCAGCCACTTCCCAGTCATTAAATGTCTGAATCGCACTATATCACCAGGCAGAATAAGATTGGTGTGGCTACTCTGATGAACCTTCTTGGAAATATACCACAAGTTGTTATCGTCTCCATGACTGTATAATGTCACTTGTTGTTGCTTGCTGCCGGTAGGATATTGATGATTATGACTATGGAGAAATCCTCCATTTGTTGCTTGATGCCGGAGACGAACCACTGTATTGTTTGTTACCAAAGCATATGTGCCATTGAATTTTCCACCGAAAAGGTTATGTTGAAATGGGCGAGACATCAGAGTTCTGGCATGAGTACTGGTGTTTGTCATTAGACTGACGTGCACATAGAAAATCGACAAATATACGACAGCAGGAAAGAGGAGAAGGCACACGGATCTACAGAAGGCATGTTTGGCAACAGAAATCTATCAAAAGTGATCTGTTAATACTCGTACTAGACATAGGTTCGCTAAGTATTAACATACGATGGAAGTTTGCCGATTTCCAATTAGCACCCAGATTTGGGTTAATGCCCTTAAGCTGATGAATCCAAGAGTGAAAATTCCAGCCCATTTAGTGCTGATGGTCAGCCCGAGTCCCAGACCAGTCATGATCAGATTTAACCACCACTGAGCAGTGAAAGGACTTTGAAGATTGATGAATTTCAATGATGTAAACGCGATATAGTAGGAAAAACAGAATCGAGCGTAAATCAATACCTATTGTGTAGCTTTTCAAAGCGCATCCAGGTCATTGTAGTAAGCGCCGTGAAGCATAAAAGCATACTGTCCAGATTGATGAAACGGCTGATCGCAATGTTGCTATTTTCTGTATGGCCAGATACTTAGGTATGGTTCAATTATGCGCGTTTTACGTACCATTAGTGCTTACCATAACATATCATAAGAGCGGCTGTGACTGAGGCCGCCCTTGTGTACCCAGCCAATCGAAGGGTCAAATATGCCATTGGAATAGCAAGAGCTCCCATAGTGGCACAGATCATTCGGAGACGGACATAAGGTACGTCGGAGCTGGCATAAGATCTACATCGTCCGTGGATCGGAAAAACATGGGTTATCTGTGAGTTGATACTGAAGCTAAGAGACTTTACGACAAACTCACCCTCCAACGTTTGTAAAATCAAATCGGCCATCGAATCCGGAAGAACAGGTGCCTAGTACAAGTAGAAGCTTTCCAAGCTAAACCACTGTAAATATTTGACCCTCACACGCGCATTGCACCGAAAAGCTACTTACTGGCGGGTTAATATCCAGTGAAAAAGTTTTCGTCAGATAGTCGCTATAGAACCTACCAACACTGGATTCTTCAAAACTAGTATCAGATAAATCACGTTTGTTAGGGCAAAGAAACTGAGTAAAAGCGCGTGCTCCACAGCCAAATGCTTACACAACCGCCGACGGCCAAGATAGGTTCCACAGTCTAACGTAGCAACCGAAAGCTAGGACAGTCAGTACCATACCGACGTCCTTCTTGGAAAGTTTGATGCCAGTTCTCATAGAGGGCTTCTCGAATTTATGAAATTGGTGGCGATCTTGCACTTTCGACATTGTAGACTTGTAAGCAAAGTAAATTTTTTTCAGCTCTAGCGCATTCGAGCATTTTAAGGACGAGTTCCTGAAGGGGGAGTGCTCAGAGAGGGGCTACACCTGATTTGCGTGCAGTAATCGTTAAAGAGTGATTTTATTAAATAGAAATCTATTGGTTGGTATGTAAAGTGCTTCATGGTTATTGCAATGAGGTGGGGGTATATATATCAGTTACAACTTTGTTTCCTGTCTAGGACCAGTGCCATCTGTGAAGTTGTTTTTTACATTAGTAGTCTGAAAGTTATCATTATGCGACGTAAAATAAAAGACCAACCTATCCAGTTGCGCATGCGAGTAATGCCGTTGATAGGATTGGTAGGAGCGTTGGTAGAAGTCGACGCGCCTGGCGTCGCGTTTGCACCAGCTGTCGATGTACTTGGTCCACCGACATTGCCACGTCTTTCCATTAATACGTAGTGCATCTGCATACGAAGACCATGACACAATGCCCTCAAGCTCTGCATTTCTTCTTGCATCCGTAACGTTTCAGTCATCAAAGCAACGTTTTGCTTTAATTCTAGGGAAGCTATATTTGCCGTGATTGTCTCAATGTCGTTTTTGAGTCTTTCGTTGTCCGACATTATGATTTCTTGAGGTGATAGTGGTACGTCGTTCAGATCAGTAATAGGTTCGTCGTCATTGTACATATCCTGAGATCTGTAAGATTGAAAGTAGGAAGGAAACATAGCCGATAACGAATCCTGCATATGTGAGACTTGAGTATTTATACCCTCAAGCTGTGAGTTAAGGGATTCGTAGCCTCTTCTAGCGTAGTTTAACTCTTCATGAAGAGCATCCTCCCGTTGTTTCTGTTGATATAAGAAGTCTTTAATTCCTTCATATGCGCATTCCTTTTGGTGGATCGTAGCGAGATTTTTTCTGGCTCCTATCCACTTGCATCCAAAGGGGGACAGTGTGCAAGGTATCGGATGTTCTGGGCACTCCCCCAAATGCTTCATATGATCGCTTCTCACATTGGTTATTTCACAATGTGGACACTTTACAATTTCTGCTGGGCATAGTTCATGATGATCCTGTAACATGGACAATGAGAAACAGAGGGAATATATTCCATATGCACATTAGGTTATTTACCTCCAATTCAAACGCTCTCATTTTCTTTCGGCACATCATACACTCTGACATCCGATATCGACAGGTTTCGACATGTGAATTCATATCCTTTTTCAATATTAGCTCTCCGCATTCTTCTAGCTCACACGGTAGCAAAGTGTATTCGCAGTCGTTTTTTAGATGGTGCTCTATCATATGTCTCTGCCCAACATGGTTGCAGCCAAAAGACACTCGAGGGCAATATGTTTGGAGCTCATTCACCATGTTGTGAATGATTTTAACGGCTGTTTTCAAGTCCGATAAGGCAAGAGGGGAGCGATCTACGGGGCATTGTGAAGCGCTTTCAAGTGCTTGATATATACAAGATTCGCAAAAGATATGACTGAAGTTCAAGAAAAGGCTGTTGTCAGTGAAACGATAAAAGCTTTGATGGGCAAATCAAACTTTGAGCTGTCAAACAATACCGACCCACAAGGAGATGCCATGGGCTCTACGAAAGGAGCATGACAAATGCAACATATCAAGTTTGCGTTAACCGTCTCGGTGAAAGTCAAGTTATGCAAATCCACTTCAGCCATTGGGTCAGTATGTGACATCGTAGGAAGGAGAGTTATCCGTGACTAAAGTATAGCTGGGTAAGTAGCCGAGATGTGAGTGCTAAGGAAAGTGATGATCAACTCCGCTACTAGACCATGTGACATTCTTAGCGGGAGGGAGCAATCGGCAACTTCTCAAGTTGTTATTTTTCAGCTTTAGAATTTTTAGCTACAGCTGAGACAGAGCGGTTGCTCAAGTTGGGTTCCGAATGTCCCAAGGCAAAGTTCACCATAACATTAAAGTGTTTCTTGTCTCCACGCTAACGTTTCACATAAGCTCTTTGGTTGGTTTTGTCAGCAGAAAATAACCTAATTTTTGGTGGCAAACTGCCTTTTTTTTTCTGTGTGGGGTGGGGGGGGGACTTGCTATACTGTCATCAGTCGACGTCAGCTTTGTTCATGACGGCGCAAATTTTGGCCCACTGTCTAAGTTCCCTTTTTTTGGGCCATATTTTTCTCTCTCGGAGCTCACCACCATCTTATTAACCTCTCTGTCTTCTTTATTGCAAAACCACCTTTTTCCCTTAAACTCTTCTCACTTAACTTTCTCATACCATGGCCAAAGAAAAGGTTGCTAAGAAGTCTGCTGGAGGTAATATTGAACTGCCCTTGTTCTAGTAATATTAAACGCGTTCTTTGTCTCGCTCACACCCGTTTGCCCTATAGTTAAGAAGATTACTCCCTACAACAGGTTTATGAAGGTAAGCACTGTACATGCTATGGGCCAAATAGCTTCTTTTACTATACCCATACGCGTTGAATCGCGTTCTCTGGCGTCCTCTATATAGCCCCATTAGCGGTGAATATGAGATTGCCCATCTTTTAGCCGCGATTGGTGCAACTCCCACACTCAGAACGTTGTGATACTAACACCCAAAAATACGCAATGATCTTCGCGCAGACTGAACTCGCCAAAGTAAAGGCTGAGAAACCAGGTGTTGCGCATAAGGAGGTAGGGAGATTAGTAGACCTAGCCGGTCTTTTTGTCAATCTTTGATATTTGGAAATATACTAACATTTTCACTTTTCTCTTTTGCGGGGAATTTCTTTCGAAATTCTTTTTGTAGGCGTTTAAGCTTGCCGTAAGTACTACCACCACTTATCGGTCGTGTGATCCCTAAAGAAAATAATAATAACGCTTACCTTGTAATCTTCTTTTAATCACTTTTCTCTATATCCAGGCTACGCGTTGGAAGGATAGCCCTGATAACCCGAAGAACCAGGCTACCAAGTAAAGAACACGAATGGACACAAACTTTCTAAAAAAAAAAATTTACAACAGATCAGTCTGACCAAATCGATGGCTGGCTTTGTCCTTTTCTCTTCTTATTATATGTTATGTTATGTTGCCAAATCCGCTCTTTTTATTCCTATAAGCACCCAGCCATTTGCTGCTTTCTTTTTTTTCCACTCTTGACCATGTTTCTTACGTGCAGTCATTATATTCGTAATCACAAAAAAACCTAAAAAAAAAATATATCCCATATTTGTTTAAAGCTCATGCGGTAGTGCTTGTTGGTGGAATAAAAGAATTACGGAAAACTAAACCCCTTTATGATGTTGGCGTTCCATGTAGTCGTGTAGTGCCTTCTCTTTCGAGATCGGTGCCTCATCTCTAGGAGATCAGATTCTTTAGATGGTCTTTTCGCGACGGCAGTCACATGGCCACTTGAGAAGTAAGTTTAGGCTGCACTCTCCACATTGAGAAAAAAACCTGGTGTGTGTCTTATATCAAGCATCTGTGTTCTAGCCCAGCAACACAACCGATCTTTTAAGGTCGTGCTCAATTTGAGATTCATTCACGACTAAACATACCAAAATATTTGACCTAATGTATAATGGCTATAGGGACATTGTTGGCTTGACTGGAAGTCAAGCCTGAGATCATTTGTTGTCCCAAACGTAGTATAGCAAATATCTGTTTGAAATCAGGCATGAAGGTCAAAACGCACTTTGCTACATCTACTGCAATTCTAAATACGGTGTGGGGTGGCGGTAAACGGAAGGTTATTTCTTTTCGCCCAGGAAAAGTTATCCAGCCACTACTTTATTCACTGACTAAGAGATACAAGCCATACGTTTTTCCGACATTCTTATTTGTTACTTGTTATCATACAATGTGTTAAGTAGCAGGGTAACAGGCTGCGCCTATTTGCGGTACCTTAGTATCTTTGTTGAACCACGAGTCTCCTACCGACGGTTTTTTTCTCCCATACTGGGAAATGGGGAACCATGCTTCTGTAGCAGTGATGAATGCCAAAGTGTAGCTCAATACTGTTCAGGTACATTTCATAATTGTATGTTGTTACTTCATATGTTGCGGTTGAAAGTGTTTTATCCTCGCTTTGAAGGTCACTTTTTGCTGGTAAGCTGGAATATTAAACAAATTGGTGGTACTGGTCTCCTGTAACAACACCATAAGACAGCTTAATATTGTATTTTCTTAACAAGTTACTCTCTACATGTAAAGCGCAACAAATTTCGAACTCTGCTAAATACTACAGATCTCAGTCGGTGCCAGTATTTGCAACGCGGCAGCCCAAAAAAAATTAAAGAGAGCCGTGAAAAATTTGATTGGCCATTTGGGTCGTCCTTTTGGAAAATGTCGACGTCAGCATCTCCAGGCGCCTTTTGTTTACGAGAGCTAGCAAGTTTCGTTCCTTTGTAAAGTTTTCCAGTATGGCGTCCCAGCTCACCCGTATGGCCTTTGCAGCCCCCAAGGTATGAAGCCTAGCAGCCCTCTCGACCTCAACTTCGACATTTCATGTACACTCGTCACATTATCAACATGCTGACTCCATTTCTTTTTTCATTGCACAAACAGATGGCTCGCAGCTATGCTACCGCCCCTCACATCAAGGTATAATTCCATTCTCAATTTGCGAGTGTTTACGGCATAAGCTACAGCTCGAAAACGTGAAGCCTAAAATCTTCAAAGACTTTAGCGATGTCGCAAACCAACCTTTTTTACGCCAGCATTAAGTTCCTTTGACTGATTGCATTCGTTCATTGATTTTTCTTTAGGCTCCTTTGACTTTGTTCGGATTGGACGGTCGTTATGCCACAGCTCTTTACACTGCTGCTGCTAAGGAGAATGTTCTCGATACCGTTGAGAAGGAACTCAAGCAAGTCTCAAGCGTTGTTGCCAAGGACAAGAGCGTCCAAACTCTTCTCGAGAACCCTACCCTCAACCGCTCCACCAAGAAGCAAGGTGTTCAGCAACTCATGAAGTCTGGAAAGTACTCTAAGATCACCTCCAACCTTTTCGAGACTCTCGCTGAGAACGGTCGTCTTGCCGAGACCCAAAAGGTCATCGCTGCCTACCAAGAGCTCATGAGCGCTCACAGAAACGAGCTCAACGTTGTCATTACATCCGCCAAGGTAATGACGTGTTTCTTTTCGTGAAGAAGCTTTATGTTTCTTGATTCTCTAACCTTTGTAATGCTATTAGGAACTCGACAAGGCCACTCTCAACAAGGTTGCTGATGCTCTTAGCAAGGGTACCGTTGCTGAAGGCAAGAAGTTGATTATCACCAACAAGGTTAAGCCCGCCATTCTCGGTGGTTTGACTGTTGAATTCGGTGACAAGACCATTGACCTCTCTGTCGCCAGCAAGGTTACCAAGCTTAACAAGCTCATCTCTGGTATGTATTTGCTTACTCACAGTGAGGGATAAAAATCTCGGTGAACCTACCTGTGTAGACTACTTGTATATCATGGGCTAGTAGCTATGCATGCAGACTACATGTTTGGTACGGCCACTGAATAGGGAATCTAGCGCATAATACTAACATAATCACTTTTTTTTCATTTTTTTGTTAGACTCCGTTTAAAGAGAATGTGTTTATGCTGTGGAACTCTTAGACAGACAATTGTTTTTGTTACCGCGCAATTCTGTGTTAATAGAAAAAGATTTACTTTGCACTTATGATTGAAAGTTTTTGTTTTGTTTCCAGTGACTTTTAATTATATGGAGTTTGGTAGAATATTTACATAGAGTGTACAAGTACAAGCGTAGGCGATAGCATAATTCAACTTGGTTAAACGTCGAATTGCGGAATAAGAAGCACAATGTCAAGCAGTGCCTGACAGCAAAGGAATATAATTTTGCTTATAGCTGAATAGCGGGTCGATTGGTATCTTCGTCCATAGCGTTAGAGGATACGTACTGACCCTCCTGCTGCCACATATTGAGTGAATACAGAGATGCCTTAAAGAAGGTAAATACAAGTGACATTTTCTTTTCCAGTATTCGTAACTTGTCGATCAATGCTACTACTTCGGCGTCGTTCGTCTCTGCCACTAATTGGTTCATCTGACGATTCATGGCCATTTTAATGATCAGAAAATTTGGTACTAGCATACGGCTACCACTTAAAAACATGCTTACTTTTTTAATGTTCTCAACGAGAGCTTGCGTTTCACTAATGATGGCGTCCTCTACCGTTTTCATCGTGTTTTCTGTTGTATTAAAAGCAGGGTAGAAATTTGTCTTGAGACGCGATTGATTTTGAGGTCGACTTCCAGACAGTCACACGTGTCGCTTTCCTTCACATTCCTCTAGATCAAGTTACCATGGCATCAGCAGCTGCCACCAAGGCAATGGAGCCTCTCACAATGTATATTGTCGTTAGAAAAGATCTTTCAAAGGTGAGAACAAAAAGTTTATAACAGTAACTGAGAAAAGCTGTGGGCTGACTCTGCTATGATACGTCCTAGTCTTTGGGCTGGAAGACTGGCAGGTAAATATTTAATTTGCTAAAAGCGAGAAGTCATCAACTGTTCCTCGGGGGAACTATAGAATTTGAACTACCCTAAACACCTTAAATCATATTCGTAGCGTGATATCTCAAGGATGCCATGTCAGCGTAGCAGTCTTGGAAAGATCCCGACACGAGAGCAATACGCAAGCATATTTACAGGATTTGGAAAATATGCGGAAAGTAGTATTGGAGGTACTGTATTCATTTTGCGATGCTGTTTTCTTGCACACCTCTAACTTTTCAATATATAAGACCAAGGACGAGCAATCTCTCAAATCTCTAGCCGCCGTCCTGGAGCAGAATGATGTTACTCACCACGTTTGGATCGAGCAACCTGAAAACTTCCCTACCGCTTTGGCAACAGGACCTATACCAAACAGAACGGGAGATGTTTTGGCAGCTTTCAAAAAATACTGTTCGCTATATCGATAGTAATAAAGACGATATCAAAATATATTCTAAAAGCCTGAGCAAGTCGCATACTGTATTGAAGCTATGCCAGTGGCAGGTTGAAAAATGCAAAATGTAATTAAAAGAACATGGTAGTAAGAAGTGAAAAGAAAGAAAGGAAGATCGGAAGAAAGGAAAGGCAGTGGGTATTGAGTGTGGGCAACTCGATAAGCATTAGAATAAATGAAGTGTTTGGTCCAAAATTATAAAACGGGCTGTGGGGATGTTCGTATTAAGCAGCGAAAAAGAGCAACGACGTTAAACAAGCAGCACTTGAAAGGAAAATGGGGTACGACCAATTAGGGGGGCATTATTTTTGACCTTTTCCCTTCTTAATCAACCACTGCAATGTAATGTCGATATTGACTTGATTTTTGGCAGAAATAGAGTAACACGACACTTCTCGGTTGGTAATCGTCTTCAAGTTTCTTTTGAAACGCAGGTATGTTAATGATACACTCATCGGAGGTCATAAACAACCGGTTAAAGAACTTTGAGAAACTTACAGAATATCAATCAATTCATCCACATTCAAAGCGGTAGGCAAATCATTCTTGTTACCAAGAACTAGGACTGGAATGTTGGAAAGCTGGGGTTTCTCCAATAAGCTCTTCAACTCTGTCCGTGCTGCATCTATCTTGTCATGATCTGCCGCATCCACAACAAACCTGATAGATAGCAAGGCTTGTTGGTTACACGATATCAAATGTGAAATATTAGCCAATAATTGGATCCTTACACAATGGCATTTACTCCTCTACAGTATCTCTCCCACATGGAACGGAAACGTGGTTGACCACCGATATCCCATAGCTTAAGGGTAACAGACTGTTCAATAAAACGGTTTGTGAGAACAGGAATGGCTCAAGCTCAGTGGATGAGATTAGTGTTATCATGCAAGCACTTACGCCTTTTGTGACCTTGCGCATGTTAAAGCCAACAGTGGGGATTGAATCCTCGATGAATTGTCCCGACTATGAAAGAAGAAAGTGTGAGTAAAAAAACTTTGTGCATGAAGTCATATCATTCTATAGCAAGCTGTTAGAGTAAGGCATAGTGCAACTATAACCGGAGCCGTCAAGTCAGCTGAGTGATAGCGTACTGCGTGAGCACCATACGACTATCGTGAAAAGCACTTATCCCATCTGGCAATGCCACTGAAATGAATTAGTTTTCAATGAGAATACATACTGCAATGACGTTGACAAGTGTGGTTTTTCCGCTGTTTTGCAAACCGACTAGTGTCAGCTCCATTTCAGTCTAGCGGACGAAGGTAAGTATAGATGGTAAAAAGCAGGTTTGACGACAAATGAAACGGTGATTGTTGTCTACCTTGAAGAACAGGCTGCGAAGCCATTCAAGAAGCGATTGAATGATGCTCGCCATTAATGCGTAAACAAAGAAAGCAAAGTGGAAAAAGCTGCTGTTGAATGGAGAAAAAAAATTACAGAGGTTTGTGCTGGAGCGACTGCAAACGGTGCTGAGGCACTCTGTGGCATGTCGCACAAAATCGAAACGACGACCTAAATTTGATGACAAAATTAATGTATTTTGGCCAATCAACTCATGGTCAATTCATTACATTTTTTTTTTCAAAGAGATTTGGAAATGATACAATGTTCTTTGTGTCGATAAAGGGAAAAGAATGTGCTTCAAATAATGATTTTTTCGATCAAACAGAAAACGTATTTGGAGTGAAGATAAGGAGACTAGGTCAATGTGATGAAAGTAATAGGCATAGACCAAAACATATACGTACCCAAAGAAGGTAGATCGGGATTGATGCAAGTTTCATTTACCTCGGCAGATCATTGACACTTTAAACTAATTTTCATTGGTTAGCACCTGGAAAGGAAGCCTATAGTTGCTATATTGTTGGTACGTAAGGTGTTTGAATTCACATCTTATTCTAAGATCATAAGACATATCAGGTTGTACTTACGGTTACGTATGAATACGAACCGAAGGACAACGCCATGTTAACCAACAGCTGCGAGCAAGACAAAATCATGTCTACGTTATCTTGCAACATATACTGGTGAGAAGAAAAAAATCATAATTTATGTGGTTTGATGCCAGTTACATATCTGTGCATTTGGCGTCGCTTGGTGCCACATCTGTCGAGTTGTTCAGGAGTAATTTGAAATCTCTTTTACATATACTATCTCGGTGCCTTTCAGACCGCAGAACGGTCTCCTTACTGTGAAGCATAAATCTTCAGCGATGTGCTTTGATGTGTAATTTCTCTCTTGAACAATCGAAAGTTGCATATCAATGCAAAGCGCAAACAACGAAAAAGGCACACGTAAATATCTAAAAAAATAAATAAGCACAACAGTTTATAAGGCAATGCAAAGCTTGACGTAAAAAGGTGAAGTAATTCCTTGGTATAAAAATGCAGCAATTTGAACCATCAAGGGCAATGAGCTGTGGCATTTTAAACAGCGATTTTTTTTTTTGGACATTGTCGAATTGTCCAGATTTCGCGTGGATTGCCTTTCACCTTCATTGCCAAAAAAAAAAAGCAAATCAATGCCAAAGAAGTCTGATCCCAGTGCGAGGGCAAAGAATGCTATAGCAGACAATCTACAAATATACCAACATATGAATTTTCTTCACCAAGCTGCCATTTTATTATCCAGTCTACCAGTAGATTCTCAAACTGCGGATTCGTCAAATACCCAGCAAGCACCAAATACTCACGACGTAGCAAGCAGAGACAATTCAGCTATAATCAATAAGACCGATGAGCCAGCCTTAGCTCCTCTATCTCGGTATTACTGTAACACCATGAAAAATATCAGCAAAAAATTGGTGCTTCGCCTGTAAATATCTCAAACAATTAGACGATATCAACCAGAAAGCGATGCGATGATAACTAATGCATTTTTTTATATCTGTAGAGATCCCAACGTTAAGCGATCAATTTGCAAAAAGTGCGACAATGTTTTGATACCATCCGTCACTTCTGATGTGCGAGTCAAATGTATGCTCTAGTTACATGTTATCTTTGCACCATTTGATCCGTTTGTCTTAATCTGACCACCATTATCACTTGTATAGCTCGACCGCATAAAGGAACTGCTATCACTTGCAAGTCTTGCAGGACACAGAGGCGATTGGTAGCCAAAAAGGGCTATGAACTCTGGACATCCAAAGCCAATGTGCATCTGGTAGAAGAAAAGAACAAAAAAAATTAGATTCTTGAAATATAGATAATTCAATTAGAATACAGAACTTTATATAGCTGGCTGTATAAGTCACCATTAATTACTCGCAGTTGGATAACAATTGATGCTTAGAGGCGGAGTTATATCGACATTTGGCTGATTGTGATAATGAGAGGGAATGAAATACTAAAATATGATTGGCCCACTCTGTTTGCCGCTGATTGGTCTGAGCTGTCCACGTCCACAATTCGCGACCGTTTCCTCATCTCCATTTCCCGCACCTTTTTCCTCTTCACTTCACCATGAGCTCTTCAAGCACTAACGATTCCATCAAGGAACAAATTCAAGAGTTCGTTGATGCCCCCAAGAACTTCTTCAGTGAGTATAGAAACAATCCTGTACAGATGAAAGTATGTTTGATCTATCCTGTACTCAAATCTTATCTCCCACCAATTTACAGAGGATGGAATGCAGTTCGTCAACCGTTGCACTAAGCCCGATCAGCGAGGTAAGATCAATATCCGCTAGCGCACAAGCTGGTGTATCAACTCAAGATCGATCCATCGGTTTGGTTGACCAGATGGAAACTGGATCTTAGTAATATGCTATTTCGTCGATACTAACTCATTGCTTACTTCAACAGAATTCCTCAGAATCTGCCAAGCTGTTGGTATGGGATTTGCTGCCCTCGGTGCTCTTGGATTCATTGTTAAGGTACGTTACTGGTGATGACGGGGTCGTGTTGGTAAACGCTCCGTTCAGTTAGAACGCAAATCTTCCGGTGATTTGGCGTTGATTGGATGTCAACCAATATCAAGTCTATGGAAATCAGATCTTTCATTCATGGCACTAACATGTTCATACCTTATTTAGTTGATTCACATTCCTATCAACAACATCCTTGTGGGTGCCGCATAAAGGCGAGGAATACAATCTATGCCTCTTGTTCAGACTCGGTTTGACTGAAAGTTTTCAAATCGTCACCCTTCCATATACACTGTCTACTCTTTGTAATTATCCAATGTTTATGTTCATACATTGAAACAGTAAAAATACTTTCTTTGACCGATATGGGATGAAATGGGATGCCAATAGAACGTGGTGGGGTTTGGAGTGCCTCACATTTGGAAATTGTGACGGTTTTGCCTCGGTGGCTGAATTGAGCCATTCAGATTTTAATTTTTTGTTCCTCGGTGACAAGCTCATTCACTCAGCAATGGTTTCTGAAACGACAAAGAAGCGACGTTTCGAGCAAGAAAGCAAGTCTCTGGCCGTAAAGCCAAAGATATTCCATCCTTTTAGAGCTATTGGATATATCACGAACGATGTCCCCGCAGCATTTGATGCTCGTGGTCAAGATTTCTTCATGACTACCTGCGTTGGTAAAAACTTTCAAATCTATAACGTAAGTTGACTTTGCATGCATTTACTCGAAAAAAGCAGTTAGTAACTTTTGGAGCAGTTGAAGAAGATGAATCTACTACTTGTTGGACCTCAGGCATCCGCCCCCCTCACTGCGATCGCCACAATGAACAACATTACCTTTGCCGCCTGTGGCAGCTCTTTGATCATATACAAGCGAGCCAAGGAGGTAAATTAGCACATAAATCGATGGTCATTATGGGGGAAACAAAAGGGCTAAAAGTCTTTATTCTAGATCGGTAGAATCACAAGTGATTCTGAATTTGTGATCCTACAACTGGTTATATTTGGTGGACATATTCTTGGGCTGTGCGACGACAATGTCCTCAGAATGTGGGATTATAAAACACTAGGTAAAGTAGATTTCTTGTTACATATCATTGGAAAATACGGATTGCTCATATCTCTCCGGAAATAGAATTATATACACAGGTTGAATTTGGCGAGGACTTCACAGCGTCAGCAATTTTACATCCCAGCACATATCTGAACAAAGTTTTGGTATCCAGTACCCAAGGAACTATGCAAATATGGAATATGAGAACAAATCAGTTGATTTACGCTTTTAAATCCTTTGAATCTCCCATCACCTGCCTTGCACAAACCCCTGTTGTGGATGTCGTTGCCATTGGCTTACTCAACGGAACTGTCATACTTCACAACATCAAAATGGACGAAAAGATAGATACCGTACGGCAGGATGATCGGGTCACTGCCATTTCTTTCAGAACCGGTAACTCATCTTTTCCTTTACATGACTTTGAAAGGGCAGGATTGCTAATTATGCATCACTTTCAGATGGGCAGCATGTCATGGCAACAGCGAATATGCATGGCGATATCGCCTTATGGGATCTGGAGAAACGGACATTAGTTCATGTCATGAAAGGTGCTCACGACGCAAGTATCTCTTGTCTTCAATTTTTGAATTCGCAACCCATATTGGTGTCGTGTGGATCTGATAATGCTGTTAAGGTAGGCATGCCGGCTATATATGTAGAGTGCGGCTTATTCACAATCTAATGCCGGAATTTTCTTTAGCAATGGATCTTTGATAATTTGGATGGTACTCCTAGACTTCTCAAATCTCGTTCTGGACATCATTCACCACCATCTCGAATTCGTTATTATGGTCAGGACGGTCACTTCATCTTGAGTTCTGGACGGGATCGATCACTTAGAGCATTCTCAACCATAAAGGATGCCCAGACTGTAGAGTTATCACAAGGTAGGAAGCATATGCATATGTCAGTTGTGACGGGTAAGCTATCGTAATCAGTCCCGGATACTAACAATGTTTGATATACTTAGGTGCTTTGGCCAAAAAGGCTAAAAATTACAACCTGAAGATAGACGAATTGAAGCTTCCTCAGATTACACAATTTGCTGCATGTAAGTTCATCATATCCCATCATTATCTGAAAGGGCAAAAGTACTGAACCTATATGGCCTTACTTCAGCTGAGCGCAAACAGAAAGAGTGGGATAATATTTTGACTTGTCATTTGAACGACAATGGCGCTCGTTCGTGGTCTTACAAGAACAAGGCCCTTGGCAAGCATGTGATGCAGACTAAGGATACCAGTGCAGCAAAGGCTGTAGCAATTAGTAGCTGCGGTAACTTTGGCTTTGTAGGATGCGCAAGTGGCTCCGTGGACATGTTCAATATGCAGTCTGGACTGTACCGCAAAACTTTTGGCGGAGAATCAGGTATGCTATGGTCAAATTGCTCGAAATGCAGGTTTGCATGTTACTGACTGCTTCTCACGCTAGGCCATAAGAAAGCTGTTACAGGTGTTGTTGGAGATAATCTCAACCGATATTTGATTACAGCCTCCGTAGATAGAACCATTAAGGTACTGTAGTGAGATGTACTGTCGCAGTGACCATCACGATCATACTGAAATAAGCACTAACGCGTGATCATTTGACTACAGATTTGGGATTTCAATGCCGCAACACTCCTTCACACCATTGCTTTGGAATCACCAGTTGTTACTATGGAGTTTCAGCGAAATAGTGACTTACTTGCAGTCGCTTGTGACGATTTGGGTATCCGAGTTATCGACATCGAGACCCAGCGTGTTGTAAGAGAATTCTGGGGACATAGAAATCGCATTACTGATATGGTGAGCGATTTTTTTTTCTGATACAATATGATCGGTGACAGGCTATTCATCCTTCTCATCTGCTCAATAGACTTTCAGTTCTGACGGACGATGGATCGTGTCTGCATCTTTGGATGCAACTGTCCGAACTTGGGATTTGCCGACTGGCAACTTGGTCGATGTATTCAAGGTAGACGATGTAGCAACAAGCGTCACTTTCTCGCCCACTGGCGACTTTTTGGCCACAACACACGTCGACAACGTAGGCATTTTCCTATGGGCTAATAAGACCCAATTCAGCAATGTATCTTTGCGATCTATCACAGACGATGAGGTCGCCGAGTTGGTGTCTCTCCCCACTGCCTCTGGTTTGGATGAAGGAGTCGAGGTTGAAGTCGATACTGGTGCCGATGAAGATGATGATATCGATTCAAAAACTGAGCAGCTTGCAGATGATATGATTACATTGTCCCTGTTGCCTCGCTCCAAGTGGCAGAACCTTCTTAATCTCGAGACAATCAAACTACGCAACAAATCAAAGGAAGCACCTAAAGCACCCGAAAAGGCACCATTCTTCTTGCCTACATTGCCTGGTGTAGTATCCAAGTTTGTCGCCCCTGAAAAGGTCCCAATGACTGAGGACGACAGCCATTTCAAGAGCAACTTTTCAAGTGATTATCAGCACGAGACTGAATTTACTAGACTTCTACGTGCTGGACATGACAGTGGTGACTGTAAGTACTTGATTGGCTAATCGAAATGGAGAATAATATTAATGTTTTCGGGATCCATTTTAACTTTGATTTTTCCTCTGCAGTTTCTAGTTTCATCGATTATATGAAGACATTGAATCCTTCAGGAATCGACTTTGAAATACGATCCATGACTTTGGATAGCGAACTTACTCTGCTAAACTATTTCCTCGAAGCAATGGAATATCAGCTTCGAACACGACGAGATTTTGAACTGGTGCAAGCATGGATCAGTGCTTTCTTGAATGTCCATGGTGATATCATTGTTGCCAACCCAGGTTCAATCCAAGATAGACTCCAAAACATCCTTCAATCACACCAAAAAGAGTTCACTCGTCTATCAGAACAAATACATTATGGTCTCTGTCTTATAGACTTTATCCGCAAAGCATAATCACAATAAATTCATCCAGATCACATAATTCACTTTTATTATATTGCAAGTTTTTTATAATTACAATTCTCTATTTTTTGTTGGTGGGCACCTCATCGATTGCTGTATCATCACCTTGTCTGCTCAACAGAAAAGCAACCAAGCAAGGAGGATGAGAAATCATAATTCCATCATTTTATGCAACTTTTGAAAAATAGTTACCTACAGCTTTCTCTTCTTGCTCTCCTGGGGTTTTGCCTCCTTCTTTGGCTTTCCAGCTCTAGCTTTCGGTCCCCAGTTGGGTGTAGGGTTAACCTGGTATCTCACCAGCTTAATATGTCGAGAAGGGGGTATAGCATCCTGGTGACGAGTGAAGTCAGCTTCAAACTTTGCTGGTTGCGCTAAAATTTTACGCGCGGGACTAAGTTCTCCAATATTTTTCATGGTAACAGGATACTTCTTCACCTAAAATTGAAATCGAACCTAAATCAAATGCAACCATAGATAAAGCGAAAATGGATCGTCCTTACCCATCCCTTCATGATATCCCACATAACGGACGCTGGTGCGTCTGTCTTAATTCCTTCTGGTTGACAATGAGTAGATGAAAACTTGTAACCGGCATTGAGAATAGCAGAGCTGAATAATTGAACAACAACATTTTTAAAACAAGTAAGCTCTGCTATACATTACAGTATCCTTTACTTACCATAAATCGACCATCGGGATAGAGTTACAGTGCAGCGTTCCGCACAAGTTACCAAGTGTCCAATAGAAGGGTTGGTCTAACTCCTCGTTTATGACTGACAGCATACCCTTCATTCTGTCGGATGTTCCAAACTTTTCCTCGTGATCGTTGACGTGTTGCAGCATCTTGGAAACAAAATCCTTATTGTGAATAGGCGCAACCCATGTAGGCCCTCCGATGCGGTGGTTTTGCTGACAGTTTTCACAGTTGGTGTTGACCGTGGGCCCTGTTCCAGGTGTGTATCTGGATGCACCGTTATCTTTCACATGGAGCTTCGACAGAGGTTGCGTAACGAAAGCATTGCAGCCATTGCAATCGTATACCATGCCGATTTTACTTTTTAAAGAACAATTACATTCAGTACCCTTGTCTATCCATCAATCTTTTCACTGGCCATTATGCCTTACCTTGCAGATTTCTTAACTTCGGCTGGTGAGTCGTAAACTCTAATGAAGAGTCTGACGTAAAAATCGATGCTGCAGGACGCCAGAGGTTCAATGTACCGGCCATATCTTGCTGCTGAGGTTTGAATAGTGTTGAGAACCAGTCTTAAGGCCATTTCGTGACAGTACATGCCTCTCAAAGGCATACCGCCATATTTTGAAAAGCAGGTTTCAGGATACATTGATCCAGTCAAAACAGCCAGATCAGTGCAAGTAACACACAGCAAACCGCCTGAAGTTACGGCCTGCACAGCACCATCAATGAATGGAGCAGCAGTTCCATAAGGATCCAGATCAATGACATCAAACTTTTCTGCCGCACCTCTTGCGTTGTACATCACACCTAAAGCGTCTCCTTGATTGGCGTGTAATAAATCTTCGCTGATTTCGTTAAACTTTGTGTTGCGTTTGATTGAAAGAACAGCGTCTTCCAATAAATCATTAGCAACAATCCGCTTTACATTGGGAATCTCCTTTGCGTAACGAACTGATCGAAGCCCAGTTGCGGCTAAGGCCTCCAAGATGGTGAAGTCTGATCTGCTCAAAGAATGATGTGGCTATATATGATCAACGTTAATTTTCCGCAATTACTTTAAAAGAACAATAGAAAAGAATGTTTAACCCACCTTGTCATCAACCGAGGCTTCTTGACCGGTTTCAGCAGCTAGGAAGTATGAAGAATTAGTCTCGTAGTAGGCATAACAATCCAAACAATAGTAGTGATAAAAGGAATTGATCGGTAATTCAGTATACCTTTCTTTGCCTTATTTGCTCTCTTGCGCTCGAGTCTCTCGCGCTGTTCTTGGAAGTAAATTTCGCTCCATGTTGTAATGGCAGCTATTGACATGTCACGGTTGAACTCTTGGACTGGGTTGTAGAAAACTTCGTTGTTCTTTGGAAACAAAATAGTAGCTTTGCCTTCTGTCACAGTATTATACTGTGAGACGTCGATCTCGGTCTGGCCATTTTCGGTAGAAGACATAGTATAACGAGCTCTTTGCAGCAGTCTTGGACAATAGTTCAAAGATATCCTGCGTAAACTCGCAATGAGCATTCACAATCGATCTGAAATAAAAAAAAAATTTTGGCCGTCAAGCCAGTTAGCCGGACTGGGCGGACTCACTCATCTCAGCACCGGTTTGCGCAAAGTCACGAGGTCGATAACTTAGACGAACCTCATTTTTAGCATCTTTTATTCTTTTTCACTAATGTCCACTCACGGTTTCCGTGCGTTCGAATCCACATCTCGTCTCGGTGCCCGCGAGCAAACAGACGAGGAGCGTTATGGAATCCCTGAAAACTTTCTAGAAATTGAGGTCAAAAATCCTCAGACCCACGGTATGCACAGATGCGTTATCGCTGCGCAAGATAGCTGTTACGATACCCTAGTGGGCAAGAAAGCTCACACTATTGAATCTATTATCTACTCTAGGGTTTGGACGCAAGATGTATACTGACTATGAAATCGTTGTGCGGGTAAATATTCCAGCTCCTAGCTCACAAGTCATGTACTTGGCAAACTTGGTATACGTTATATCTGACATTTTGATATCTAGACAAATATCCCGGCTTTTAAGCTTAAGCAATCGTCTGTACGAAGGCGCTACAGCGATTTTGAGTGGTTCCGTGATGTACTAGAACGAGAATCCTCGCGTGTCAACATTCCTCCATTGCCTGGCAAGGTCTTTACAAATCGATTCACCGATGATGTTATTGAACAACGTAGGGAAGGTCTGGAACGCTTTCTACAAGTGTAAGTTCATTGAAGCCGCTTAAATTGTGAATACTCTCCTGTGTTACTGACTATGGTTAATAGTGTTGCTGGTCATCCACTTTTACAAACGGGTAGCAAGGTCTTGGCTCCATTCGTTCAAGATCCGAACTTCTCCCGTGATCAGTACCACTATTAACAAAATCTATTACTGACAAATCTGTCATTTTGCATTTGAAAACTGCGATATCAGCTATTCACTTTCGTTTCTTAGTGCCAATTGACCGGTGGTACTACGCTTTCATATTCTTCTAAACAATTACTTTGTTATTCACTTTTGCCTGTACGATCGGGAGCCATTTCAAGAGAGAAGTTTATTCACCAAATTTTACGATGAATCTGGATTTGGTTTGAACAACCAAAATAAAAACAAATTTAATCTTTCTAAGTATCCGTTTGAGGTTCAAGATGAAACAGATACATGACTGGAAATCCACAAAATCATATAATCGATTATGTCATGAGTTAAAGGTCAGTGCAGAAAGCAATCCGTTCTTACTACTGCGGACTTGTACTCTGCTTTACTTTACGCAGTCTGGATGTTATAATCGTGTGTGTGTCCGCCACTTTCGTGTTTCATCTCTGACGCACTAAGATATAGCCCAAAGAAGAACGTTACAGTGGACGAAAAGCGATCAATTACTCTCAGTATACCAATTGTTACTCATCACATCGAAATGGAATAAAAAGGCAAACAATAACAATAACAAAGGACAAGGAGGAAGGGAAATGGGAGTAGATTGTTTCTTTCAGTATGGATTGTTTATTCGTGCTATATGTTCTTTTGTATCTTTGATCTTGGAAATCACTTGGGCGTATGCAATAGCTATCTCTTTAAAATCTGGTCCCTGTGAATGATATGCCTCCATCTTACTTTCAATCTCATCTATCTTTGCTTTAATTTCACTGTGCTGTGTTTCCAACGATGATCTGCAGTATTGAAATGATCAGTTTGCGTCCAGCCCTCGATATTGACTGTTTCATTCATACCTGATGACTTGTAGTGCCCGCACTGTGTCTTTATCGTATGTTTTCAGATGAATGGTAGCATCCAATACACTGGAATCATGCATGCTTAGATCACGATTGTTATCCAATGTTTATGTTGTAGTTTCCTACCTCAGTTTCAATGTTAACGACGTTGTTAGCGTTTCCATATATTTTTCGAATACATCAAATCTGTGCAGCTCCTTGCTCAAGATGACATCTGATATCAACTCAACCATAACGTTCATTGTCTTGTATATTTCCTGCAGGGAGAAGAGGAACACGAATGGTATAAGTATCCGGAAGAAATCATATACATGCTATATTAAAAACTAGATACCTCAAAGCCGTCAATATTGTCATTCGCTAGTTCTTGTCGCACACTTGTCATGTAGTGCTTTGCTTTGGATAGTTCCTTTTTTTGAGCTCTGATAGTATTCTCAATCCAGTCCAATTTGCTACTTAAAGATTCATTTTCGACATTCATATCCAAGTCTTCTACAATTGAGATGTGTAAGCAAATGTGAGAAGTACGAACCGTCATCTAGGTAGTTACCTCGTCGTGCAATGCCAACCAGGCCCAACTGCAAAATCTTTTCTCCCTTCTTCTGTATTCGATGATCTATCTCCTTCAAAGCTACTGCTGAAAATTTCTGATTTATATGGAGAGTTCATGTTAGCGATGTGCGCTCCTTAGGGTGAATATATTTGCAACGTACGAATTCAATGTCTTCGTTTTCCTCCAGTCCATTGCTATTTTCATACTCTCTTTCCAGCAGATATCGCAAACTTTCTGAAGCCAATATTTGATCTTCAAAATATACAATGCGCGACTGTAAGTTGAAATGGTGTGAGCATTGCGGAAGCTATTGCAATAGTTCATCGGATTACTAACCGAGTGAATATGGGTTTCGCGTTCTTCCGAGAACAAGAAATCTTCTAGTTGATTCAGGAACTCTGTAGGGCTACATCCCGCTGAAGTGTCAGACATGTTCGACTACAAACGCGACTTTTTTTTTTTAGCATCGTTCGAATTGAGGCTGCCAGATCAAACTCCGGCGAGTGCAAAAAATTCGGTTGAATTGAAAGTCTCGTCCTTCAACATTAAAGGCGCGAAGAACAAGGGTCAATAATGGGCTAATAGATACATTGATATACTCGTAGGAGCTTTAGTGCTTTAATTAAAACCAATTGCATGTGCATCTTCAACGGTAGGAACTATTGCCCTGAGGCAAAAATAACTAGATGGATGTTGCGTGACTTGTACACACAATATTTGCCAATATTGATCACAATTACCTCGCCGTTTTTAACGTTGAAGTTAAACTCAGTGCTTAGTTCAAATTTCTCTGGTACATATGATATGCTATTGTCAATTTGCTCGCGATGGTATAGATCGGAAACGTAAATTTGAATATACTCCGTTTCACAGGTGCAAGAGCCAAAAGTTCGAACTTCCCATTTCATGTTGGAAACCAAAAATATAGTCGCGACATATTTAAGTAGCATCAATTCATGTTCTCTTAACTTATTTTGATTCATTCGATGCTTTACAAAGTGAACTTAATGTTAAAATATACAATAATTCAGTGGCTGTGAAATCGTTGGAAGACTTAGGAATGAGATGCACATGAAAATCAGCTTTCCATATTGGGAAATTCGGGCTTGTTACTCCGCCATCAACCCATACCGTCGTCTCTATTAATCAAGAAGTCGATGGAGTATATAAATTCGACTTTTACAACTTTCACTATCATTCCTAAGTGTATGGTGAGGAAGAGGAAAGTGTAATACATCCTCAAAACGTTGTATCACATCGGTAAGTTCGCAAACGGCTTTTGGTATCAAAGCATCAAAAATTTGTGGACTTCGTGTGACCTGTTTCTGGTTGGTCTTTCCAAATGCAATCCATGTCGTCTTCGATGGCACTACGAATAACTGATTTGCCTCAAGAAATTTTGATCAATATCTTTAAGCGATTGGATATTGACGATGTACTCGCACTAGAGCAGGTACTAATCTTCATCTAACTCGACATCTCCAGCGCTATAGTTAATGACAAACCTAATGTTACTTTACAATTAGACCTGTCAAGTGTTTCACGAAGCTATACAAGACTCTTGGGCTTGGCATCAAATTTACCACCATCGATATGGCAATTCTATCCAAAAGGCTGATCAATATGAAAGGGAGTGGACATGGAGACAAAAGTATGAAGAAAAAGGTAAGAATATATTACGGTGAACACACACATATGCAAGTCGTCTAACAATCTTATCTAACAATCTTAGCCTCCTTAAAATTATCTGTGGCGAATGATTTTGAAATCGCCCATTTGAATGGCATACACTGGCGCAAGTGTGAATCCAGTGAGAGCGAATATGGTAGCATTGCCATGATGCAACAAGTCTGTTGGTTGGATGTATATATCGTGTCACTTTGTCTGTATTTTGAGCCGCCAGTCATCATTAACTTGTTTTCACTCTGATAGGCAAACTCTACTATCCGTTCAGTCTCCCCGGGAACGTATCGAGTGCTATGGCGTATTCGCGTATGGGATACTGTCTTGAGAAATCAGCAAGTGGACTTCACAGCTATTCCCCAGGTAAGCCACAGATTTCAGCTTAGCCCTTTACTTTGCAATCTTTTTTCTCGACATTGACCTTTACCCCGCTTTTCGTCAAGGTCGATGACACTGGTGTGATTCCCCGCGGTTCGTCCATTTTTACATCTCCACGTGGCTGGTTTTCAGAGACCGAAGTTCAAGGAAGAGGCTGGGCGGTAATGGCTCTACCTTGTAAATTGGTTATCGACAAGGAATGGGGTCTCACGGATGTACGAGTATCAGTAGAAAGAAAAGATGATCAATGGAAAGGTGGAATGGTAAGAAAACTTTATGTTGAACATATTCGGATTTATCGCGTCTCTTAACGTAGGGTTTTAATCGCATCCTATTGAATAGGACTTTGATTGGGTACAACTACAGCGTATTGACAATGATTTGCCAGTAACATCAAGACTACGAACTTATAAACGGGTGCGGGAGCTACGAAATAACAGCCGCTTTAGAAATGAATTTAGAGTTGAAGACCCTGGCTACCCCTCTTTCAGCCGCTATATCATCATCAGCACTGTCCTCACTTACTTTTTATTTTGGCTTAAGCAACAAATTGTGCACTGATTTACATTCCACATATACCATGCAACAATAGCATATGTACATACATTTTACAATAGTGACATGCTCACCCCACTTCTGCTTCTACTTCTTTTTAATTTTATTGCGCTAAATGTACACTGTGTCTTCTTATATGACGAAATAAATATCCGTCACTTCCATAACGAATTATTTCCAGTATTCCTGGATAATTTTTTCTTGCTTGAATCTCTTTTCGACCATCCTAGCAACATCTAACGGGTACAACAATATGAATAACACAGCATCGTCAATAACTCAACTTATTCAAATTACTTACCTTCTCCATAGTGAGCTGCGATATCTACATCATCTGGAAGTTGATCATGCTTGGCGGCCTCTTCTCTTGTCAAACAAATAACGTTTGTAAAACCGAGAGGTTTTCTTCTATCCCAGCGGACTAACGCGGGCTTATCAGCAGGGCCAGACAAGATACTCTTTCCTAACCACATCTCTTCAAAAATATAACCAACATCTTTGATATCAAATGGAAGCGTTCTAGATGACAATATGAGCAACAGACTTATCTCGTGATCATGAAAGGAACAATGGACTTACTTCTGATTAAATTGGGCCCCCTCTCTGACTAGCAATTCCTTATATATCTTGTGGTATGTGCTATCGCGATTCTTTACAGCCAATGGCTCGAAATTGGGCCAATTACCAAGGGTAAGGATAATATGTGTGGCCAATGCCATTCCGAACATACTGGGAATGGTTCCCAAGACTGGTAGAATTCGAGAGCGAAATTCGGGAAGAGCAGCATAGTCATCAGCGTTTCCAACCTTTTCCTCCTCTGATGGCGACTTACATTAGTCAAAACAGCATCGATATATTCAGATATTTTATGATGATCTCACTCACCTAACGGTAAAAGCTTCACATGATGAGGCTTCTCTGTGGAATATACCACAGGCACTCCAGAAACAATACCTCGCTTCTTCAATTTCCTTCGCACAGATCGCGCGAGGGGATCCTCTATACATTTTATCAATTACCGCTATGACAAGGCATACTATTTTACAGAAATCTGACTTACCAAATGTATTGCTCACATCCGCAATTTGAATCCTAGTAGGATCTGCTTTAGCACCAGCACCCATTGAAGCCATTACTGGTAGCTTGTGTTCGTAACAGTACTGAATCAAGTCAACCTTGGTTTCAATATTATCAATGGCATCGATAACATAATCAGGATTGCCTACACCACGTCCGTTATTGCTGCATGAACATCAAGAAATTTGCTATTCACAAGTGTTTCTCAGCTTACCTGCTAGTAACTCGCTAGCATTCTCGGCAGAAAAGAGCTCTATTCTTGCATCTATTTTTGCTTGTGGCACGATTTCTTTGAAATGTTTTTGAATTGCCTTGACTTTTGGTGTACCGACATCAGCTTGAGTAGCAACAGCATGTCTGTTCAAGCTGCTCAGTGTGACCTGGTCGAAGTCAATGATACGAATTCGCTCAACTCCTGATCTTAAAAGCATCAAGGCTGCCCATGAACCGACACCGCCAGCACCCACAACGATAACAAAAGATTTTCTGATCTTTTGGACGTTATCTTCGCCGAGAAATGCAATGTTGCGAGATAACTGCTCGTGTATGAGTGACTCTTCAAATTCTTCTGCCTGAGAAGATTTTTTGCCAAAGCTGTTTTCGTTCAAAGGTAGAGTTCCAAACGATGTGAGCTGTGTTGAATGAATAGGAGCCGCAGCTACTTCTTCTTTGATCGATCGAACTTTTCTTTGTCGTCGAACTGCTTGGAATCCCAATATGCTCGTTGCAGTCAGAGCTGAGGTAGCCACCACAGTTAAGGTCAGTCTCACTGTATCTTGGTTTCGACTCAGAAAGTGAGTTAGCCGCTCGGAAAAGTCGGACACTCGGTCAGCGAACGACATTGTTGTTTAGTGTGCTAATAAACGCTTGCTTGATTTTTTTTTGGGATGGCAGTCAGCAATCCGTCAACGCTGAATTAAGTGACAAAATTTCGTATTTGATGACGTGGCGCGCCAGATCCGCTGGGTTTGTTGGAATTGAATGTTGCTGGACTGAAGTGGTCGAAACGTGTTCATCTGAAAACCGTCTCTGTCGATCTTTGACCTTTGTTCACTAGCAGCATGAGCTACGGAAAGCGAGACGAAGATACCGGTAACTACTTTTTTCCCATTCCATTTCTCTCTCTCCTCCAATTCTCCCGGTCTTTCGGTCCTTGTTGTAAATTACAAAGCCCCCCCCCGCCACTTCATCTGCACCTGAGACGACAACTCATTTTGGGGTCAGACATACCCAACATGTGTGAACAAGCGCTGACCTTCGAGTACATCTAAACGAAAATATCAATACGCTACTATGATTGCCGTCATCGGGTTCAAACATTCTAGCTTTTTACTTCGTGCCTGCACGCGCTAACGCTTTAATCTACTATATGCAGGTGAAATTGGCCTTTTTTACCATCTTGATAAGACTACTGTCTTGCAAGAGGCGCGTGTATTCAACGACTCACCTATCAATGCCCGAAAATGTAGACTACTTCTCACCAAAATCATTTACCTGCTGTATCTTGGGGAGCCTTTCAATACGAAAGAAGCCACTGAGCTTTTCTTCAACGTCACGAAGCTTTTCCAGTCTAAAGATGTAAGCGTATAGAGACGATCCGATTTATGCACTCGACAATGGTTCTAATTAGTTTTAACGCTGGACCTAGACCTCACTTCGACAAATGATGTACTTGGTGATCAAGGAGCTATCAGATATTGCAGAAGATGTTATCATGGTCACTCAATCATTGATGAAGGATATCCAAGCCAAGCAAGAGACTAGTTATCGCGCTAACGCCATCAGAGCTCTATGCCAAATTACTGATGTATGTTCACTTAAAATTTGCATCGCCTGAGGCATAATCTTTATCTAATCACTCATTATGCATTTCAGCCCTCTATGATTCAGGGTATAGAACGTATCTTAAAGGCTGCTATTGTTGACAAAACTCCATCTGTCTCTTCAGCGGCCTTGGTGTCCTCTTACCATCTTTTTGCTGTCGCAAAGGATGTTGTTCGACGATGGGCTAATGAAGTTCAAGAAGCTGTCCATGTCAAGTCATCTTCTGGTGGTCTTTCCTCCATGTCCAACTACATGACATCCCTAGGTGGAGCTCAAAATCAAACACAAGTTGTGATCTCAACTAGCAACATTACCCAATACCATGCTCTTGGCCTCTTGTATCTGATCCGCCAGCACGATCGCATGGCTATCACAAAATTGATTCAGTCATTTGCTGGTAACAAAAGTAGTGGTTTGTTGGGCGGCGGTGGTAATAGTATCTTGAAGAACTCTCCTGCTGTATGCTTGCTTATCAGATATGCTTGTAAGGTTATGGAAGAAGACCCAAGGTTAGTACTCAGCAGCAAAAATGGTGATCTTGTTGTAAGCGTAAAACTAATGGAAACCGTCCACAGCACTACAAGACGCATGTATGAGTTGCTTGAAGCTTTCCTTCGACATAAGAGCGATATGGTCAACTATGAAGCCGCTCGTGCCATTTGCGAAATGAACGACGTTTCTGCTAAGGAATTGTATCCTGCCATTTCAGGTCAGTATACAAGACAAATTTCTCTCTTCAATTTATGATATGTGCAGCAACTGAAATTGTGTTATTCCATACTTTAGTTCTCCAACTCTTCCTATCATCACCAAAGCCTACTTTGCGATTTGCAGCTATTCGTACTTTGAACAAACTTGCAATGTCAAAGCCCAACGCTGTCTCCCCTTGCAACTTGGATATGGAGAATTTGATTACTGATCAGAACCGCAGCATTGCAACCTTCGCTATCACAACCCTACTCAAGACCGGCAACGAGGCTTCTGTTGATCGATTGATGAAGCAAATTTCTGGCTTCATGAGCGAAATTACTGATGAGTTCAAGGTCATCGTTGTTGAGGCCATTCGTTCATTATGCCTCAAGTTCCCTGCTAAGCAAGGAGTTATGCTGACATTCTTGAGTGGTATCCTTCGTGACGAAGGTGGTTACGACTTCAAGCGAGCAGTCGTTGAAGCAATCTTTGATCTTGTCAAGTACATCACAGACAGCAGAGATACAGGTATGTTGGTTTTTATACAAGAACTCAAGTGTTACGTTATGACCCTAGAAATACTAATATGCTACTGATTTACATCACAGCTCTGGCCCATTTGTGTGAATTCATTGAGGACTGCGAGTTTACCAAACTTTCAGTGCGCATTTTGCATGTTCTTGGTGTGGAAGGTCCTAAGACCGCAACTCCTACCAAATTCATTCGATACATCTACAACAGAGTCATTTTGGAGAACTCTATTGTTCGTGCTGCGGCCGTTAGTGCTCTGGCCAAATTCGGTGTCAATGTAGAGGATACCTCAGTCAAGAAGAGCGTCCGTATTTTGCTTACTAGATGCTTAGATGATGTGGATGATGAGGTTCGCGATAGAGCAACGTTATACTTGAGTCTTATGGATAACGATGATTGCGCAAAGCGTTACATCAAGGATGGTGAGTTGAGAACTATAAACGCACAATGTACGCAAGGGGTCAGTACTCTAATCAAATCATTGTCATTTTGTCAGACTCTACCTATGCATTCCCTACTCTAGAACGTCAACTCGTTGAATACATCAACAACACCAACGCAAGTGTGCAACCCTTCGACATTCACAATGTACCAAAGATCTCAAAGGCACAAGAAGAAGAAGAACGACGCCGTAAGTAGTATCTCTTTAGAATGCTCGTGCTTCATTTGGCGGATCACTGATAATATCATCGCAGGTGCACGAACCCAGGAAATCTCTTCCATGCCATCTTTGGCAGTTCCTTCACAACAACACCCCAGAACACCAGGCACTCCTGCCACTCCAGATTCACTTGGTCCAGCTTCACCTGCCATTGGCTCAAGCTATGACCAGCAGCAAGTTTATGCCGAGCAATTGGCTGCTATTCCCGAATTTGCCAGCTTTGGACCACTTTTCAAAAGCTCTGGCAAACCCATTGAACTTACTGAAAGTGAAACTGAGTATGTCGTCCATTGCATTAAGCATACATACAATGAACACATTGTCTTCCAGGTAAGAACGCCAATGACAATGTCATCCTATTATATCCGTTATGACACCCGCTAACACAACGACTTTTTCACAGTTCAACTGCACAAATACACTCAATGACCAACTGTTGGAGGATGTTGTGATGATGATGCAGCCAGATATTGATGATTGTGGCTTGGAACAAGTCGCCAGCATCTCTTCAGCAAAGCTGGAATATAACGTTACCGGAGTGCTTTATCTAGCTTTCCAGAAATTGGCTGCTGATTTCCCCATTGGTAAGTTGTTGATTGTAGAATGATTTTGACATGAGGGATATAGACTAACAGTGATGATATTTGGCAGCCACTTTTACCAATACTCTTAAGTTTGTGGTTAAGGATTGCGACCCAACCACTGGTGAACCCGATGAAGAGGGCTATGAAGATGAATACCAAGTTGAAGACATCGATGTTCTGACCGGTGACTACATCCAGCCCACTTATATTTCCAACTTTGCTGAAGTATGGGAGCAGCTCGCCGAGACCGAAGCTTTGGAAACATTCGCTTTGGAAAAGGACAAGGCCCCAAGTTTGAAAGGTAATAGTTGTGTTCATAGATTCATCTGGATTTTTGGTCATCATTGACTTACCGTCTTCTGCCTTTTTAGCTGCATGTAACTCCATCATTGACCTGCTTGGCATGCAAGCATTAGAAGACTCTGCATTGCCAAAGTCCAACACTGTACATACATTGATTCTGTCCGGCATGTTTATTGGTGGAATCAAGGTATTAGCAAGAAGCAGGATGACATTTAGCCCGGCCACTGGTGTGGCATTTGAGCTTGCCGTACGAAGTGAAGACGAAAATGTTTCTCAGATAGTATTGGGAGCTATTGCTTAAGAACAACGATACAGCCCATTATAATGATCCATCCCCAACCCACCCATTTCTTAAAGAATAATAAAAAAGAGAAAAGATTGTGTTTTTTTAAAACTGCACGCATTTGTTCAACTCTCCCCATTTATCAATCTTGCACAAACCAGAGATGATAAAGATCTTCTAACTTAACGGGTTTCTGCCAATGCCTGCAAACCATGGTTATCATTTAGTCAATAGTGAGTTCGAAGTCACAATATATTCGAAAACTGTAGGTTGCGTAGCGCACCGATGTTTTTTATTTTGATACTAAGTGCGTCAAACTGTCTTCGTATAATTTGTGAACGTGCTCAGGCTGAGCTTCACTCCATCTTCTATCCATGGTAAGTACCAACTAATAGATGATGACTTTGAACATTCTATTTGCAGTAATATTACATCGTTTACGAAATGGACAGACTTGATATTAGAAGCCATCATTCTACAAAACGTTCTTCGAAACCAACCTTACATACTACCAGTGGTTCCAGCATCAATGCGTTATCTCAGCAACGCTACTATAGCAAATATGGATCAGATAGTTGATTCACTGTCGCATTTATTCCAATGAAGCATCCGATGTTTGTTAGGAACCGATGCCAGATAATTCTCGACACACAGAGTTACTTCGACCTTCATACCTGCTACGACTCATCCAAATGATGTGTCAATTGAAAATGAAAGTCTACTGCATAGTCCTCGTTAAGCCGGGCCCGAGTAGTGGGAAGGGGTTATCGTACAGCTTGAAGCATGTTCCAATAAATTTGCGCGTATATCAACATCAAACATCCCTGTATGAACTCATTCTCCAAACGATTAAGGATAAAACTTGCTCCATCAGGTACTAGTAACGGTGCTTGAAGAGGGGAAAGATATGGAGCCAATCGGATATACCTGGAATATACTTGGAGTGATAGAAATCAAGACGTTCTTGTGTATCAAGGGTTAAAACATCCAGCAATGCTGTGAATATTACTATTCTCATTTGCGTGAAAGGTAGTAGATTAGAGATGAACACTATGCATGCTGTTGAGAGACACGCCGCAAGATTTAAATTCTGTATTGTACGGAGTGGTGGAAGGTCCAAACTGGTTTTGGCTCAGCGATACGATGCTTGTTGAAAAGAGACCACCTATAATGTTTCATTATATTCAAAGCTTACGCCAGCAGTAGTTTCATCGCAAGATTTTGATGAGAAAGATGAGGCAAAGTACGTTGCATAGAAAGTCAGAAGTGAGATTTCGTCAGCAATGTAATCAGAAGAGTGATATCGACCGCTTGCCACGCCTCTATGTCGTTTCATTCAGCACCCACGTTTTCAAAGAAATTCATGAGGCGAATTTCGACGGGGTAATGCAGTCACAAAAGGGAATATTGAAACTTTATTCCACTTGCACCAGTACGCCCATGTTTCGCGCCATATTGTCAGAGTCTCGTCCTGCATTTCACAAATTTACTCGAAATATGTCTTCCATGAAAGCAATTGTAGTCGATAAGACCGGTGGTCCCGAGGCCTTGCAATTCAAGGACTCTCCCAAGCCCAAGGCTGAAGCTGGTCAAATTCTTGTCAAGAACCATGCAATTGGTAATTGTCTCGGGAACGTTTGGCTCTTCATGTCTGACCGTCGTTCTAATATCAAGGGTATCCTCTACTTCTTTTAATTTAATTTGTAGGAGTCAACTATATCGATACCTATCATCGCAAAGGCATCTATCCAATGCCTACTCCCTTCATTCCCGGAGCCGAAGGGTAAGTCAACCTCTAAAGCAATCCAAATCCTTTTCAGACTCCTATATAAGGTCTACATGGCCTTTACTGTATGACTGTAAACTTGTAGTCGCTATGGCTAATCACTTCAATCTACAGTGCAGGTGAAGTCGTCGAGGTCGGCCCTGACGTGACGGACTTCAAAGTCGGTGACCGCGTTGCTTACACCGGCAGTAAATCCTATGCTGAATTCACTCCCGTTCCAGTCTTGAGTGCTGGAAAAATCCCTGACAACGTCTCTTACAGTGATGCATCAGCATTGCTTTTGCAAGGTCTTACTGCTTGGACCATGGTAAGAGATGGATATCCGGTTAAGAAAGGAGGTAAGACGTGTGTTTTATGACGGCTCTAGCCTTATTGAATGCATTGCTTATTCATCGTATCAATTTCCGACAATGTAGACTACGTTCTAGTACACGCTGCTGCTGGCGGAGTCGGTTTATTGTTGTGCCAGATGGCCAACTTGTTGGGAGCTACTGTCATTGGTACTGTCAGCAACGATGAAAAGGCAAAACTTGCAAAGCAGAATGGTGCCCACCATATTATCAACTACAGTCACGAAGATACTGTCGCTCGTGTGCAGGAACTCACTAACGGGCAGGGCTGTCATGCTGTCCTTGATGGTGTTGGTGCTTCTACTTTTGAAACATCGTTGAAGTCCGTTCGTCGTTTGGGTACTTTGATCAGTTTTGGAAATGCATCGGGTGTTGTTCCTCCAGTAAGTGAAAGGGGCTTTCTTCGCTGTACATGTCAACAACCATCGGAATTTGTGTTAAAGCTTTCATTTTGTAGATCAGTATCGCTATTCTTGGAGAAAAGAGCATCAAGCTTATGAGACCTAGATTGTATGCTTATATCGCTACTAAGGAAGAAAAAGATAAATGGTGGGGTGAGCTGTTCCAGCTCTTGGCCGACAAGAAGCTGAACATCCAGATCTATAAGACCTACAAGTTGGAGGATGCAAAGACTGCTCATACTGACATTGAGAGCAGAAAGACTGTCGGCAAGTTGTTGTTGGAGTTGTAATAATGCATCAAGGCTTCAGCTTGCAAATTTATGACAAAAATCCAAATGACAAAATAAATAACCCCTAAAAAAAAACGCCAATACTCTTTTTTCATTCCAATGTCCACACTGGAAAGTTTATTTTGCCGTAGGGCAAAATGTTAAATGACAGAATATAGCGCCAATAACGAGAGATGACAATATTATCACCAGCCGTTGTGGTCTTTCATAAACTCTTCTTCCTCAGGTGTACTTTTTCTATCAACGACCTTATTACGATGGGGATATCTTCCGAATCTGTCAATGACGGCTTTATGATCCTGAGCATACTTGGAAAACGATTCGAACAATTCCTTGTACGTCTAATAGGGGAACACATGTTAATGTCACGGTAACACTGCCGCTCTCCACTTTCGACATGCACTCACGTCATTGCTTTCTTCAGCCAGTTGCTGGAATTTCATCACAGAGAGTGCTTGGTCTACCTTATCTTCCGAATGCTCTAATGGCTAGTATGTTTGCAAAATCGTGTTAATAGCGAGAGGTATCATGGGAATTAACCGCAAAGAAGCAAGCGGAAACTCCTTACCATATAAAGCCATGCTCGGTGGACGGGATGCAGCTTATCCTCATAACCATTTTCAAACGCGTGTCTAGCGACAATCCTCGCTTGCGGGTCTGCTAGGATGAAAGGAATTGGAGAATCGCGATATATATTTCTTGAAAATTGGTCTAGCATCAGAACAAGCGATAGAGTTCCCTGAAAAAGATGTAAGAAGGTTAGCCATGTCAGGCATGAATAGGACACTGCTAGCTTTGTATTTAATGCTTACGTTTGGAGTTTTTGTGAAATCCGAAATGAGATTTCCAGTATTCAAAATATCTTGTATGGGTTTTCCAAAGTCCTCACTGAATGGGAACAGATAGAAAAAATTAGTGACAGCACATAATGCAGTTTTTAAAGTGATCTTCTGATTATACCGTAGCCGATTGTCAAATGCCTCGTCCTTCCCAAACCATTTCTTCATCAAGTTACCAGATACTGCCTGGCCAGGTACCCATCCTGTTTTAGGTTTAGTAAATGGATTCACCTATACATAGCCCCCTTTTTATTCATAACTTCATCAGTAATCTTTCTTACCTTCAAACCATGCTGCGAGCACGCTATCTTGTAGCTGGCGAACTAGATTAGCATTCATGGTGAATGTCGAAATGTGTTCAACTTGAGAGAATTGTGGGGCTGAGTTAGAAAAAAAGTTTGAAAACAGGAGGAGTGGTGTCGAAGCACAAAATGGCCTTGTGTCGACGGACGTGACGTTCGACCAAGACTTTTAAAAGCAAAAAGAGAATTACGTAGAATTTATAGTGTGTACATATCAAAAAACGCTCATACGCATGTCTTAGCGCGTGTTAATTCGGTATCGACAGAACAAAATGGTAAGTGTTTGTTTCAACCATAATCAAATAAAGGCATCCGGATCCGAAAGAATTGTGGTCCGAAGTGAACCGAAGGGTTTTCTGCATCGCGCATCAATCCTTTAAATATACCTACGTCACAACAGCACTCCACTCCTGTCACAGAATCGACTTTTGTAGACCTGACATTCTACCCACAAAATAAACCAATACCCGTTACACAAGTGAGCACGGAACCCGCCAAGCCAAGAAAAAGCAATGAAGTAAAGCGGAGCACTCGAGCGCCGCCCCTTGAAAAAAAAAAAAATTCAAGCATTCTAATAAATTAGAGGAGTTCTAGACGCTATGCTCCTCACCTTTTATCCGTATTCTTTATAGCTGAGATACCTTTGTCTCGGATTCAGCTGGCCTGACTCTCCCCATTCCTTTTGTCCACTTTTTACATTTCTACCATGGCCACTATGCAAGCTGCTGAGCAGACTAGAAGTCAACAGGCAACACCCAGACCGACTTCAGGCGGACGACCCTCAAGATCACCTTCTTGCTCGACCGTTTCATCAGGTTCCACCAATTCGTTGGCCACACCCACCAACTGGAAACCCGAGCCTCTGAGTACGAAGGATAAGCAACTCACAATGGAACGCATGATGATGAACCAACAGTCCCAACAACAGCAAATGATACAGCAACAGCAAGCACACATGCAATTATATATGAGCAACATTGTCTACGCCCAACACCAAATCAATATGCAGCAAGAGCATATGGCCCACGGCTGGAACGCCGCCCCTCCCATTGTACATATCCCTACGAGCCAAATGCAGCGAGCAAAGACCATTGATAAACATATCAAGGCCACCATGTTGCAAAGCGACGTACCTCAATACCAAGAGTATTCCCGTACTCGTCCCAAACCTCGTGTGGTTCCATCGCCTGCTTCGGTTTTTGCTCAGTCTCGGAAAAAGGCTGAGGAGGATGAAGAGGACGATAAACCTCTGGCTTATCTGCAGGATGCATCTGCTCAGAAGCTGCCAACCATCGTCAAATCACAGTCATCTCCTAACCTATCTGCACGAAAAGGCCCGGTGCCTACATTAAAGTCCCCCCCTCCTGCGAAGAGACCAGCTCAGAAGCCACATCGTAGATCACCCCTTGCTGAATATAATATAGTGGCCCAACCAGACAACTCGGTACAAGACAATGGTAAATTTCATTAAATGATGTCAATCCCTTACCATGTTTCAGAAATCAGATATTGATCCATCATTTCCCACCTCACTTTAGATGATCTGGACTACATCATTGACATGTATCAGGATTTTAAAGTTAGTTATGACACTGATCAGATTTCAGTGGTTTCAACAGGCTCCAAACCTGACTCTCAAAAATCTGTTTTCAGCTGGCTGAAAGGTACCAAGAAGGTTAAATCATCAGACCGCACACACTTTAAACGATAGATGCATGCACATCTCATCACTGCATACTTTTCATGCACTCAAGTTTTTTTCTTTCTTTGTACACGCATTCATCCGCTGAAGAGATGACTGGCTCATCAACAATAAAGCATTCATTAAGATTTTTATATAAATACCTCTGCGGTCTAAGAATAACTTGCATTTTTAAAATTGCAAAAAAAAAAAGCCCAAAACAAAGCAAAGGAAAGGAAAGCAAAATCAAGGTGACGACAGGAACGATCGACTTTCCAAAATGTCACCTTTTGTCTAATAAGTACGCAATAAATAACAAGGAAGGATACATGGATCTCTCTATTTGAATCTCCTGCCAATGTCTCGGAGTGATATTAAAGAGGCCTTTGTGAAGAACTCTTTGGCCCGATCGGTAAATGGCTTCTTGTCCTTTAGAAGTTTGAATATAGGACCATCATAGTTGTTACGCAAGTCCCAACTGACTGCTGACATGGAAGGAGAAGGAAGTGATGCTGATCTGAATGACTTTAAAGATACCGTTGTGATTTGAGAGACGCCGAATGAAGATGCGTCGGTGGTTGTGGTGGTGATGATATCAGAGTCGGTCAGCAAATTTTCACCAAGTTCTTGAAAGCTGAGCTCAGTACTAGCCCGATGAACAGGCAGCTCTTTTGAGGTGGAGATGAAGCGCGGGGTTCCAGACTGCCTGGGTGGTGGTTCTATTGGGCCTTTCGCTTCGAGTACCGGTTCCCTAGAAATTTTTGCAAAATGATCGACTTTATCGACATAAATATACCATTTCTCAGCGTCTTCTGTTGCGGCGATACCGCACTCTCGAAGTTGCAATTTTCCCCATTCCACTGCAGAACTGGATGTTGCAAAAGAACTTCTCGTTATGGACATTCGTCGAAACCGTTGCATGACTGTAGCGGCGTTTCCAAAACTACTTGATCGTCGACGTGCAGTGGGTGGAATGTCCGCCAGGGTTTCCGGTGCCTTTTTGGATGACAGATATCTCGCTAATCGATTTTGGGATATGCAAATGATATCTCCATTGATCAATGGTTTCGCCTGAGATATCATCATATCCAGACTTTCCGGTTCAGAGAGAGGCAGAGTGGATTCTATCAACCACGAAGATGATTCATTCCAGTCCTTGTTTTGTGTCAGTGTCAAGTCGTGTTGCTCTTTATTGCCCTCTTCCGATAATCTAGGTGATAGAATAAAGCACATGTCGCTATCTATAGGGCCGAAAACAGCCTCAATAAATATATTGTGTCCGTATTTCACTTGAGTGCTGACGACTTTGACGCTATCTGGTCGTCGTAGTCGCCATTGTGAAAATTGTTTTAAGCTAGAGTCTGACGCTGGTTCGCATAGTCCAAGCTCAACACTTTGCCCATCAGCTCGCGCTGCAAGGTAGGCTGAAGTAGCTACGTTTTTCAATCGTATCGCGTCACCAATCTGAATAGGGATCCATCGTTCATTCAGAATTGCTTTGACCTTGCGTCCTAGTTCGGATGGTAATAGATCATAAATAGGCAGTAACTCCAACCGCTTTATAATCTGTACAGTTTTTGAAGTACATAATTACAATGAATATCTCAACAAGAAATGCAGCACTCTAGCATCAACTTACATCCCAAAACTCAAAACGGGTCTCCGTGTTCTTTTGGTCGTACAAAAGTAAGTCATACGACGACTTTCGAGATATATCTTCTGGTTGGGAGACGACTATAACGGTGGTATATGAGCGACAGCTTAAGAAAGGCAGAGGGGACTTTGTCCTAAATAGTACCAACCATGCGATCGTTTCAAGTCTTCGACGGAATTCATGAGAGAAAGCTCTTTGTTTGCTTGTGCCTTGGCTAACATTGAAGCTGACTTGGATCTTCCTTCTTCTTCTATGTAGTCTTGGCTTACAATTTTTTTCTTCCCTGAAAAAAGAAATAGAAGCATAAGTAAGTGGTGAAAAGGTCGTTCACTGTGCCTAGCAATAGAGCATTCACCTAATGTAATCTTAGAAGGCACTAAAAATCCATAAGCACAAAATATTTTGTCAAGTGCCTCGTAGCACGAGTCCTTATTTTCTGGCCAAGGCGCTATGGCCAAGTGTAATTTTTGTTCCAGGGGCTGTTCTATCTTCATGGTTTGGACGAGTGAAAAATGAGCCTTTGCCTCGCATTGAACCAAGTTCAAGATTTTTCGAACGGACGAACCAGGTTGTGGAGTATGCGCTTCGTTTGTCATGTGAGGAAAGAGCATCTTGCACTGAGCTAGCGTTCGATACGCATCAAAATCGAGGTTATTCCAAAGCACATCATTTTGAACCAAGTTTCTCGTCCAATTTGACTGAGTGGTGATTTCAGTCACAAATCTGTCCTCTCGTTTGACCAAGTGACATAGTGGCAGTTTGTTATAACTTATGGCTGGTTTGGGAGCTAGCTCGCCAGCTGGAGTAATAGCATATCGCCACTCCAAAGCCTGTAATAATGCATCAGTGTCAGCATCGCTTAATACCAGCGGTTTTGTAGAGCTGCTGGACATAATTCAAATTCGTTAAGGACGGGAAATGACAGAAAACGACCGAGAGGGCTCGAGCATCTATCTGCTTTGCTCGTACGAAGAGGAAAAAGGAAATGTTGGCTCACTTTCTGTTCAGCTGCTCGCAAAATAAGGCTTGTCACACGCATTTTCCTCACTTGGGCGAAAGGGAATGATTGGCCGATCGGATGTTAAAACCTGATTCGGAGCACGGTTTTTCGATGAAAATCATTTTCGTCAGTGTTCCATATTATTTTTCTTTACCTTAGCCCCTCCATGACCAACTTTTGAATATGACAACTCTGCACCAGCAACCTATCAATATTCAGTCATTATATGGCAACAAAAGAGTATTGCACCACCCAAAACTACTGGAACATAAATATCAACAGGATCGAGCTTTTGCTCACAGACAATCCGAAGCTTTCATTGCCAAACAGCAATCAAGAAAACAAGGTGACAATTTCGTCACAACCGCCTTGAATGATGACAAAAGCACTTGCGAGAAATATGGCTTTAAGAAAAGGATCATTCCCGATACCCCGCGAGACCACATGTAAGTGATTCATTTTACTCAATGTCTTCATTTTAAATATTCCTTACTTGAGACTCATTACCTCATCTTCGCCAATATTGGTTCCCACTGTAGACCACTACCACGACAGTCTTGCCTCTCACCTGTAAGAAGTTGTAAACTACCATCACAGAGACGTCTTAAGCCAGCAGATCCTGTTCAAGAGAACACGCTGTTGAATACGACGATAAAATGCGACAGAGAAGACACTCCATGTGATAAACCTTGCAATCGACGCAAGGTGAGTTTTCAAGACATGGTAGTCGTTATTCCATCCGATGATAGTATGGAAGACACAGATAGTGAGGATGAACCATACGAGCCTGCCCAACAGTACAATGGTACAGCCGTATTTCCCACCTTGGTCACACTGAGTTCACCGTTAAGCTGTTCTCTGCAAAGCACTCATGAGATTAACAGCCCACACCTATCAGAATCAGATCTGCACCAAAATGGCCACATTGCCAAACAGTTTAAAAAATTTGGCAAGTGGTTCTCGTGATGGATCCCATATCCTGTCCTTTTTCCTTGTAAATGTCTTCTTCCATCCTTGTCATATCGTTTCATTCCCCTAACTTTTCTGTAATATATTCGGATTTACAAAATCATTATTAAAAACTATTGCCCATACTTAATATTGTGTGCGCACGTATCGGACATTTGTATTTTGTCTAGAACCCTCCTTACTTAATAAGCCTTTGTACTTTCTGCTCATGCCATCATCTTGGCGCAGCTGGATGTTCTATAACAGCCTATACCTTACAAATGGGATAATGTTAGCCTTGACCATATTGGGAGATGCAAGACCCTCTGCACAGTCCTGCGGCCTGATTAAAGCATCTAGAAGCTTTATTGTTATTTGTCTCCGGTTTATAAGATGGTGATTTCATCTCCATTTTCAATATTATAATATTTCAGTTCTTTAAGCCCATCCGTGATCTCTTGCACTGTGACAGCACCTGCTGCTTGTTTGTCTAGTTGAACCAAATACAGGCGCTGGTCCGACACATGGATTTGGAATAATTTTTGTACAATGTTCTGCAGTGACCTTATGGTCATAGTCCCCAAAATTCTTTTGTCGGCTGACTTTATGATCTGGGGCAGGTCTGACGCAGTATGTACGCTTTCCAGTGGCTGCGTGCTCCCACTTCTCTGGCACAGCCTTATGTCTACCGCCACACCAACAGAAAGTCAGCCCCGCTCTCAGTACATATCCACGTTGTAAAATGAAACTTACTCAATAATCTATTCTTCAAAGCAGATGAAGCGTTCGCGTCTGGCTTATCCGCAATAGGCTTTCCGTGCTCTACAAGTGTTAAAATAATTGTTATCCGTTAGTTCTTTTACGCCATCCCACAGTCACCTTAGTGTTCTTACTGTCACATAGTTGCAGATATCGAGGATGCAATTTGACTATTTCTTCCTCCGAAGCGGCATCTTTGGTGCAGAGTTTCAAATAATATCTCTCCATGTCCGCTCTGTCCTTTGGCAGAATCTTTTACACATGACGTGTCAGTATGGAAGTGGGCAATTTGAGCTAGTGAGTGATGCGGGACCTACCGTATTGCCATTCGCCCTGTTTATTGAAGCGATTCGTCCTACGAGTTGCACGTTCGCTTGGTATGCATCCATATCTACCCATTTTATACAGTAGTTAGCATGTTGTATTTGACATAGGCGCCCGCAAATATGCATCCCATACCTTTAAAAACCGGATTGTCTTTACATCGAACATGATCCAAAGCACTATATGTGTCCAGCGCATCAATACTTTGTATTTCTGATATCATATTTTCGTTGAGATGAAGGTATTGTAATTTTTTGAAGCCATTTGCTTTGCAAGGTGCAATGGAGGTAATACGGTTGGCGGTTAAATTAATTTGCTCCAAGCTAGTGTGGCATCGTCAGTTGGCAACGGGTAAAAATACAAAATACACACAGTAGATTGCTTACCTTGGTAGATTTTCAAGTATCTCAACTTTTTCCCAACTATCGATTTCATTACTTTCCAAGTGGATCAATTTCAAGTTTTGAAAACACGGTTGTTCCTTAGATACTATATCAACATCCGTCCATTTGTTACAACCCACTGATAATTCTGCAAGATTGACCAATAAAGGTGACAAAGCGCGAATATCTTGGCAGGAAATATGAGTATTCCTTAGTGACAATATCCTCAGCGACTCGAACGGTGAATACGGCTTGAGGTTGATGCCGAGAGGCATTATCAGTCGCATGTCACTGAATAGAAATCATCATCAGCATGGTTCCCCTCAGCTTAATTATTCAATACCATTATTGAACATACTTCAACCAGAGGATTCGAAGTCGGGGCAACTGTGCTAATATATTCAAAACAGTGTCCCAGGTGGCGATCAAGTTATTTGACAAATCCAAATCTGTCAAATCTGCGCAAGCATTCAGGATAATGAGTCCTTCCGTATCACTTTATGTATCCAGATCTGAGACAATATTAACTCACTGGGACATGTATTGGCTATCTCTTGTACAGATCCTGCACTGGAAATCTGCATAGATTTCAATCCAGCCACTCCAAGATTTTTCAGATTGCCTTGTTTCCGCTCTATCTTCTCAAACCCAACAGTCTCCACGGTAATGCTTTTGTTTCCTCCAAACTGCACATGTCCTTTATCTTTTTCTGGATCATATTCATCTTGGAGTGCGTTGGGATTCGAAGGAAGATATTTTTCTTTTAGGGCAATCGGTAAAGTTGTTCCGATGTGAACGCGCTTAGCGTTGTAACGAAGAAATGATCCTGACCCCGGGTATCTGCGGCATTCAATTTCAATACAGAGCTTTAACGGTACTCTATTCTTCCAGATGCAACTAGGTACCTGCAGGTAAAGTAGGATTTACCGTCCTTTTCACCACTATGTTTGCCCCTGGAGACATCGTCCCATTCCACACCTAACCAGTCGCCATCGGTATTGTCGACGGGTCCGATATATCGTACGGTGGCGACATCTTGATCGACTTGAATGCGATCGCCTACCTTTAAAGATTGAGGCACTTGCGAAGGCATGAAGCAAGGTCAGGGCGTAAGTTTAAAAGCTGCGTTTGACATGGCCATATCGAAAGCACAGTTTACTCGGAGCACGTGACACATTAAGCTATAAAAGCCGATTTTTTGAAGTAGAATAAACACGATAACCAGTATTTGATTATGGGTTCATTAGAGCTCATGGCACTATTTGGTAGATTTGGAATAAGGCGCTTTCATTATATCTTTAAATGAATACTGAAATGAATGTACCGAACGAACCCTTTGGTATAAAGTTTTCAGTATCAGTCATATAGAAGACTATAACTCAAAATGCAAAGTTTATTGTTGAGCATGACATGTACATGTTTACTATATCAAGCAGCACTGGTTGCTATCTCCATTCTGGCAATACTAGAAAAATGATAGGGAATGGCAGTAGAATCATCTATTGCCCTCAAAAGTAGTACGTTACCTTATGCGAGCTTATACCGAGAGCGGATAATCTTTGTCACAGTAGATCGACTCACCAGTGACCGCAAGTTTGGGCTGTTTCTGGACCGGTCTGAATAACCTTCAGTCTAAACCTTGTCTGGAAGTTCGTCTTTTCCAGAAAGCACTCTACTGAGTTTGCTTATTTGATTGGTAGGGATCCGGGATAGGCACATGTATGGGTTGTTATCTCAAACCATCATCATTATGCAAAGCTCGTTCACCAGGCGCATTGGCAATACCACCCTTCGCACAATTTGGCTGGTTGATTCTCAGCGGAAAATCAGGGTGTCGTATTTTGGTACGTGGTACCTGCCAGCTTCAAAATCTCAACTTTTGGGGAACGATTTTTTTTATTCTGACCACACATGAAAATTGAAAGCACCAGTCACGTAAAAGCTTAAAATTGATATCGAACAATATCTAATAAAAAAAAAATCAACACGAATATTTGAGATCGCCTACGATGATATAGACACTAGCATATAGTCACTTTCTTTCCTACAGTGTGTCAGAGCAAGCAAAAGATTCTGCATTATTCAATGTCGGATTTGGCCACGAATCCGATATCGGCGAGCTGTTCTGGCTAGATGTTTTACAGTATGGAGGCTCCAATCACACCAATCAGACTCAGGTGTTCCCCTAGCACCCCGATGGGTTTGATTTTTTCTTTTTCCACCATATATAAAAAGAATTCCGTCCACTAACGCACAGGTCTTTTTCACTCTCCTCTCTCTTTACATTATGGCAACCAAGAGAAACATCAGCTCAGAGCAAGGAAAGAAGGCTCAACCAGCCATCGATGAAGCTGTGGCACACGGTTGGGAGATCCCTGACTTCTCTATCAAGGAAATTCGTGATGCTATACCTGCACACTGCTTTGAAAGAGATACATTGAGGTCCTTCAGTCACGTCGCTTATGATCTTTCTATCATTGCTGCTCTGGGTTATGCTGCCACGTTCATTGACCAAATCCCATATTCATGGGTTAGAGTCCTTCTTTGGCCCGCTTACTGGATTGCTCAAGGAATTGTAGCTACAGGAGTATGGGTCATTGCCCACGAGTGTGGTCATCAGGCATTCAGCCCCTCCAAGGTATGCATGTATTCATTCATATACTTACATCGTTCACATGGGTTGTTCACTCATCTTTTTATGTTCATATTGTGTAGTTTATCAACAACAGTGTTGGTTGGGTGCTTCATTCTGCTTTGCTTGTTCCCTATCATTCATGGAGAATTTCTCATTCTCGTCACCACAAGGCTACGGGACACATGTCTCGCGATCAGGTTCGTCTCTATACTACTTCGGGTGTGTTGGCAGACGGTGCAATAAGCGTGGAACGAGGCAATTTTTGTTAGTTCGGTTTTACTAATCTAGGCAATCTGTGTACATTTTTTATTTTTCTTATCGCCAACAAAAAATTAGGTGTTTGTTCCAAACACACGATCCGACCTTGGCCTGCCTAAGCGCGACACCGATCCCGAAAGCGATGGTCCACATCATATTTTTGAAGAAGCTCCCCTGTATGTCTTCGTCATGATGGTCTTCATGTTCACCTTCGGATGGCCTTTGTATCTATTCGTCAATGTGTCTGGACAAAAGTATCCTGGTTGGGCTTCCCACTACAACCCTTGGTGCGCTATTTACGAGAATCACCAAGTTTGGGATGTCATTGTTTCTGATATTGGCGTTGTTTCTACTTTGGCCGCCATTGCTTTCGCTGCACACACTCTCGGACCCATTACCGTCCTTAAGTACTACTTCATTCCTTACTTGTTCGTCAACTTCTGGCTCGTCTTGATCACCTATCTTCAACATACCGACCCTGCTCTTCCCCATTACCGTGAGGGTGTTTGGAACTTCCAACGTGGAGCTGCTTTGACCGTTGATCGTGATTTCGGGTTCCTCATTAACCACTTGCATCATCACATTTCGGACACCCACGTCGCTCATCATTTCTTCTCCACTATGCCTCACTATCACGCCCAAGAGGCCACTCGCCATATCAAGAAGGTCCTTGGCAAGCACTACCACTTTGATAGCACACCTATCCCTCTCGCCTTGTGGCGCTCCTGGAAGAACTGCCGATTTGTTGAGGACGAAGGTGATGTTGTCTTCTGGAAGAACTAGGGCTATTGCCACCTAGTCTTTGACATTTAGTGCCGCGTATAGCCGGACAAAAGTGCATTTGTATAGAATTTTTCTCATTTACCCCCATAAACTAGTGATCCAATTACACGGACAGCTGTGATGCCATTTACTCAGCCTGTTATGATATGAAGAGGGTAGATTTTAAGTGGACTAGACGGTTTGGGAACGTATAGGAATGAGGCAACAACCGGTATGAAGCACGGGTAGATTTTTCTACCACCCATCTGACAAGGGCCATGGCTTCTAAACGCCCTGATGCATTGGTGGTAACATTATAATTGCGATGTGTTACACCAGGTATCGATTTATTGGTATGGAGTCCGCTAGCGAGTTTGAAGCGCAAGCCAGGTCAATGTGTGCTTGAAGGCTGTATTCTTTTTTGCGCGGTCTAAAATTTGTGGATCAGCTACCCAAGGAGACAGAAGCTGATGGTTAACCCCGCTAGAGCAGCGATCTCTCTCCGCGGGAATATGGCTGGATTACCTATACCCGACTCTCCCAGAATCTGATCGCCCTTCGTAGAGACCCATCGTAACTCAGGTGCCAAACGCTTTATGAAAAAATACGATGGAGTTCTTCTAAATTTTGTACTGGCCATGAGGAGCTGGTTTGACGTGTCAATAGATGTGCGTAAATTATAGACTACGTACAAAAAAAGAAAAACCCAAAGCTTGGCGTGCGTGGACCAACGACATGGTAGAACGTGGTCTGAACTAGCCAACATGAACGATCAGGGCTTTCCATAGAGACCAATTTAGATTTTTAGCCAAAAAATGCTTTCCATGCTCCAGGTTACTTGATTTAGTGCACCGACACTGCGTACAGTAATTGTGAACCATCAATCCCACTAATTCTGCTGTGAGTCGCTCACTTGGACAAAATTCAATTAGCGCTTGATTTTTTTTATTTAAAAATATAAAAAGTCCAACGGCAGAACAAAGTACTACATTAGTATTCATCATCATGTCTTCCACATCATCATTTGCCGATCGCAAGCGCCCTGACACCATCTGCCTTTTTGATGTAGACGGAACTCTCACCCCTGCTCGTTTGGTAAGAAAGTGGCCGTTGAAGCGTTTCAAAAACGCCTATACCCGAAGTCTCGTCACGCTTAGAGCTTATATTAACACACCCCTATTGTGTAGTCCATGTCAGACGAAATGCGCGCCCTTCTTCAAAAGCTTCGCAAGGAGTGTGTTGTAGGATTTGTTGGAGGTTCTGATTTCCCAAAGCAAGTGGAACAGCTTGGTTCTACTGGTATGTTCTTCACGTTTTGGTCTAGATTGTGTTTAATTTGTCCAGGGTCACGCAAAATTTGACATGCCACGCGCACTTTTTGACAGTCTTGGCCGACTTCGACTACTGTTTCTCTGAGAATGGCTTGACTGCCTTCTGCCTTGGACAGAAGCTTCCAGCACAGGTGCGTGTCGTAGTTTGCGAGAGAGTGGGAGACGTAGTGGCTCAAGTTAGCTAATCCAATTTACGATTTAGAGCTTTATTGAGTGGATCGGTGACGAGGAGTATAACAAGCTTGTCAACTTCATTCTTCGATATATCGCTGATATGGACTTACCTAAGAAGCGGTAAGTATGTGGGGGTGTGATCGGTGCTATCCAGTTACCGTGTTTCAAGCGATTTTTCTAACGCTTTTTGTTTTACAGCGGTACCTTTATTGAATTCCGCAAGGGCATGATCAACGTTTCCCCTATCGGTCGTAACTGCTCGTACAGTATCTTTTCCAAATATACCTGGCTATAATATGCGAGTCACGAAAACCATCATACTCATATGAACCAATTTATTTCCCCATTTATGTAGGCAAGAAGAGCGTAATGAGTTTGAAAAGTATGATTTGGTATGTTTTCAAGTCGAGTGACTGTGAAATGTGAACACTGGGCATTATGTTGACAGGCGCATCTCTCTTTAGGCACGAGGACTTCGCAAGAAGTTTGTTTCAGACTTGAGAGCTGCTTTCCCCCATCTCGAGCTCACTTACTCCATTGGTGGACAAATTTCATTCGATGTCTTTCCCACTGGATGGGATAAGACCTACTGCTTGCGTCACATTAAGGACCAAGGTTTCACGAAAGTCCACTTCTTCGGTGACAAGACTTATGAAGGCGGTAATGACTATGAAATCTACACCCACCCTGATGTTGAAGGTCACTCTGTCAAGAACCCTGAGGAGACCATGAAGATCCTTAACGAGCTCTTTTTCTAGACATCTAGCTGTTAAATAAATGATTTCTCTCTTTCTTAATTTTGACTATCAAAGGCGTAGGCGTACTAATCATTTTGTTACGTGTCGACCTTCGATGGGCTAAGCAATGGTATACAGTTGCGCACTGGATAGAGAATATGGAGATGGTTGTCATTGTTTCTCAGTTTGGTCAGTATGAGCCACGTGCGACACAATGCAACTCACGCTTCTTGACTAAGCAACGTTACATTGGTCATTTCTTCCTTGAAGGCGGCGCAGTTGAACCACTTAGAGCTGCAGATGATCTTCAAAGTCTTAAAAATAAGGTGTTGGACGTAATTTTTGTGGCAACCCCAGACGAAGGGGGCTGTGCCAGCCCGTATGTTTGTAATTCCCTTTATGGTACTAAGTGACTGAAATCGGCACTCTACCAACCTGTTTCAACGCAACGCAGCAATCTATTCCTGAGCTGTCATCTCATTAGAACCGCAGATGTCACCGTTACCACCCTCTGGCACATTTTTATGAAGACACTGTTTAAATTCATGAACGTCTCGGCTGCGTTACAAGAATTTTACACTTGGGTCGGACATGCGCGGGCGATATTCACAGAATGCAGAAATTTGCCGGTAACGGCAATTACTAATAGCAAAAATTTGAACAAAGGTATAAAAACGCCAACCATCAGAATCAAAGCAGTTATTGAAATACAATACTATCAAAAATGACATCCCAACTTGCACGAGAATTAGCTGATTCAGGTAATACACCGTTTGCGCTCAATTAAATTTCATGCTAGGCGTCGATTTAACAGCTCATCTGTAGCGGTGGAGCGAGAGGTTGATCGTATGTTGCGAGAGCATGGTGTTCATCCTGCAAAATACATCGACATAGCGTCTATTGCAGTCCCTGATTCGGAGGTCGCTATCAAGACTGCTCAGTATACTCATAGTGAGCTTGATCCAGTCATGTGGAATCACTCTAACAGAGTCTTTTACCTTGGAGCTGTGGTTGCAAGTGACCAATTCCCTGATTGGAACGCCGACCTTGAAACATACTATTTGACCTCGTTATTCCATGATATTGGAGTGGCACCAAAGTATCATCTTAGCACCTCTCTATCGTTCGAATTTTGGGGTGGGATTCATGCTCGAGAGAAGCTGTTGGAATTTGGAGCCTCAAACTTGCAAGCCGACGAGGTTGCAGAAGCTATCATCAGGCACTGTGACTTTGTCCCCGGCCAAATTCGAAAAACAGGACAGTTGATACAGATGGGTACTACGATTGATGTAATCGGTCGAAATCCGGAACTATACGATGTCAACACCATAGACGACATTGTGAAAAAGTATCCCAGATTAGGGTTCAACTGTCATTTTGCGGATTTGATGGATAAAGAGTGTCAGCATAAGCCAGGATGCCATACAACTTCTGGCGAGTCAATAAACTTCATTGATCTCATTAGAAACAACAAGGTCATGGATAAGTATGATTCAAAGTAAGATATCATGGAAACAAGATATAATAAAGGATTCGCTCTGTTAACGCATCAATATCTGAAGCAATGGGCAAATGGATTAATGTAGTTTACCATTCAGGGGCGTGCAATTGGTATGAGAGAGCCTAGTACCTGTTTGCAATAGTAAAATGAACCATATGTTCAGGTACCTTTCATGCATGGTTATTTTCAGCCATACCGGAAAACCATGCAAGCTCGGGATAACACATTGTATTATCTCGGGTTTGTGCTTTCAAATGTCAAGGGACGAAAGCTTATTCCGAATTCCCCATGATGACAACGAAGACTTTTAGGCTCAGCTTAACATGGAAAATTCTATCGTAGCCTCACGTGAGATAAGTGTCAAGAGAGCTACAGTCATTGCAAACTTAGTGGTAGACGATTGCAAGCATGATAAACTTCGTCGTATATTAGTTCTCTTACCAAAAGCATAAGTATAAATAGAGGTCAACAATGTATCATACCCGGGGGCTGCATCTAGAGCGTGGACGCATCGTTATTTCTCGGACGGCCATAGAATAACATCACTGTTCCTGAGCTCATTTTTTGCACAGAGCAAAAAAATTTCAAAACTCAGTCAACCACCTCATAATTATGACGTCGTTTCATTACCGTTTAAAAATTGCATATATGAACTCTTTTTGTTACGAAACCTTTGCTTTGCGTATTCGCTTTTCTCTAACAACTTGTAAGTATTTGTGTTTTACTTTTTAATTCTATATTTGACGGAGCTCTTGATGTTGTGGGTCAAGTCGAAAGCTTCGAAAGGTGACAGAGTGCACGAGCCACCGGTCACAAAGACTCTCGTTTTTGACGGACGGAAAGAAGGCGACCAAAAAATCGTTCGATTATTTTCATACTTCATAGCTGTACCGTACGGTTCTAACATGAAGCTTCCTATTGCCTATTACAGAGCCGTAACCGACAGCCAGCTGCACACGTTTCGTTGCTTATCTTTATCTCTAGTTTGTGTGTGCAATAAAAGCTTCGACACGAAACACAGTCTTCAACCATGAGCACCAATAACAATGGTATGTACCTTCTTTGACTGTTCACGTTGCGATTCAAATTGTCTTTGCTAACCTAGGCTTGTCTTCAGAATCTATCACTGAAAATCAGTCCGAATTTCCACCCCTTGGATCTCAGTCACCTAGCAGTCTGGATCGATCCAGTGGAAGTTTGAGTAACGACCGATCCTGGGCAGATATTGCTGAGGAAGTACCAAAGGAAGCAGCGGAACATCGACCCAATGCCTGGGAGAACACTAAGGATCACGCCAGTTATGCAGAGGTTGCTGAGCATCAAAATCGCCAAGATGAGGAATTTCCGACTCCACAGCAGGCTACAGAACAGTTGGAAAAGGCGGGCGAGTTGGAGCCTGCTCCCAAAAGTCAAGGCGTTTCAGATATTTTGGAGGAACAACACGATAAAGTTCACCCTGAGAACACCACTGAGCCACCTAATCCTGATAGAAGTTATGCATCTGCCACAGAGAACCGCGATTTCCCTCCATTAGACGAGACTGCCAAAGATCAGGAAGCTCCTCAAACCAGTGATCTTAGCGATTTGCCAGATGTTAATGAAATGCTCAATGAAGACAGTAAGTAATATTGATTGGAAGCGATATATATACAGTATCCGAAGCCAGACAATGAACATGGTTTTTTTTTTTTTTTTTTTTTTACAAATAGGCGTCAAAATACCACCTCCTCCTCCTGCCCAGTCATTTGCCAAAATCGCTTCCAAAACTCCTCCACCGGAAGAACCAAAAGAACCAAAAGAACCAAAAAATGAAAAGCCTGTGGCTGCTCAAAAGGTTGAGGCTCCTAAGCCCGTCAAGCCTAACTTCCCACCTCTTGAGGAAGCAAGGGATACGAACTCACCTGTGACAGATTTGTCGGATCTGCCAAGCGCACATGATATGTTACAGGAGAAATCTGGTACGTTATCTCATGTTTCGAATGGTTCATGATCGAATGCCCATACTAACGTAAAGATTGATATAGTCAAGGATAACACACCTGATCGATCTTTCGCAGACATTACAAAAGAAAATTTGAAAGATGCCCCGCCTTCTGCCAAAGCCAAGCCAGTCGACTCACTTCCTGTCTTTAATGAAGACGAAATCCTTAAGGAAGAAACTCGAAGAGAGGCTCGTAAATATGTTCACGGTGGTGAAGATGCCAATGTTGCTCCTGAAATGGAAAAATCCATTGAAGTTGCAGAAGCTGAGGAAATTGATGAAGAAGATGGCAAAGGCGCTGTTATGCGACATATCTCATATTTCGATCGCAAGCAGAGAGGAAAGATCACCCTCTTTGACACTTTTGTTTGTAAGTATCCTTCGTAAACTCGCAAGTGATTTACTAGCCGTTCCTAAATATCCATCTACCTTTTGTACAGCTCTCCGTGGTCTGGGATATAATTTCTTCATCACGCTTCCCACTACATTCGTTATCCACTTGCGTTTGTCTCCTCTCACCTCCCCATACTCTATTCCATTCATCTATCGATCCATCGTGGACATTTTGACACTCCCTATCTACACCAAGGTGTTGCCCAGAATTTTGGCCCGTACCCCATTGTTAACCCATGGCCAGACAGGAAAGAAGTTGGAGGAAGTTCTTCGTACATTTGGACGACGCGTTAAGGTCTCTGAACTTGGTCTCCGAAAGGGGATTGATGGCTTGTCCGCTGGTGCTGCCGAAGCCCGTCAAAACGATTCTAGAATGGAACAATCCATGGGAGCTCAGGATTTGATTAATGTTGAGGGACTCAGTTTCTGGGATGGTCTCCGTGCTATGCATGCGGTTGGAAAGGAGAAGGGTCTAGTCTGGACCACCACTCGATGGTAAGTACCCAATTCTTTTTATCATTTTGAGCTTGCATTGCCAGGAGATGATTCTGATTGGGAGCTTTTTTTTTGTATGCAGGGCTGTCAACAAGGTGCAGTGGATAGCCACCTATTCAATGCTGCACGATCCCGCCATTGGTGTGGTGACTCGAACAACGTTGAAAGACTTGTATTCTGCATAATATCTTTTTTTCGTTCTATGGTGTATTGCTTATTGCTTTTCTTTATTATCGCAAACATGTCGTCTATACAAAACTTCAGATTCTCCTATTATAAAATTTCTATGTATCATAATCCTGGACGTCACAATGAAATGCAGGGAACGTGGAAAAAATTTTACTGTCAACTTGCAGCCATGTCAACTTTGCTTATGCTCAGAACTGCCCAGGTTACGCAGCCGCTTTTCATTTTGTCATGGATGAAACGTCCCCAGTTTGAACTGAAATGAGATTGTTGGGGGAAGTATGGTTGGTCACCCCTCCCTTCCAATGACCGAGGCAGCGTGGTGGTGATGATGATGAAGAAGGTTTGTGTCCGCTGGCTGAACTGAGTACCGCACTTTGCACCGACATGTGCGGTACCAACCTATCCATTTCATGCTTGGGCGGCGGCGCCATGATCACTGGTGTGATACAGGATGGGCTGGTTTGTCATTTTTGTCACTTTTTTCAGAGGTTGACGGTGATCTCCTTCCCTTTTAGATAGTCTATCATGGCTTGCCTCTCTCACCCTATTTTTCATTACCGCTTGGCGCGCCTGTCACCACTGACTGTCAATGCATGGTGATCTCAAGGGGGCGGGCGGTTGGATAAGTAAGACCATGCCCTGTCTTCAGCCCTCCCCAACGCACTCTCTCCTCTTTTTTTTCACGACGAAAAGAAAATCGATGGATTGGTGTACAGACGAGAAATTATATGTACTGCCCATATAAACTAGGCAACACCACACCACCACTTTCAGCATGTCAACTGCCATATTTGATAGAGCTGTATTCAGTGTAACAGAAATATATGCAATTTTTGGATGAAATAGAAACGATGCAGAGTGGAATACTTGAAAAAAAATTGGCATGTTGATACGGAGATGGATAGTGGGCCTTCAAAGTGTTTAAACGTAAGGAGAAAAATGTGGTGCAATTTCTCATCAAACAGATGCGGGAAAAAATAAAAATTGGGACGCACGGCAAACATGGGCAAACACTGATCGCTGGCTAAGTCGAATGTGACCCATACGCACGGTCAGCCTACCGCGATTTGGCATGAACAACACCCTATTCCTGCTGCCGTTCGCCTTACAAGAAGTCGTCAAGATGGATACTTGTCTATGTGGTTGAGAGCTTACCACCTCAAAAGTTTTGAACAGCGATTTCCGTTAAGGTGTGACACCGCGGATGACCTGATATGGGATTTTAAATTGCCCAGTTGGGTCCAAGGTGCTGATCACCAGTCTCTCTCGGGTGTTGTTGTGTGGGGCATTGGGGAGGAAAAAAGGGACGCTTGAGCCAATGCATGACAGCCATTGTAGTCATTTTCCCCCCAACCAATTTTTTTTATGCTGATCATTCAACTGAAATGCGACAACGTTTTCATAGACAAACGAATAAATGTGGGGATGGAACCACGTCTGACTGGAGGGAAAAAGAGCACAAGCCATTTTGAGTTTCGCCCGACGTCGTTTTGTATACATCATTTGGGCCCCTTTCAAGCACTTTTATTTGTATCATTCGCCTTTTTTCTTCCTTCTTTCTCTCTTTCTTTTGGGGAGAAGTTTTTGCTTTCTCTATCTTCATCAAGCTATTTTTTTCTTTCTTTCATCATCAGCGAAAGGAATAGCCTCAGCATATTACTGCCCAACCACTTACCTCGCATCGTCTTTACAGACTTGGCGATATCATTTGTTATAATATCACCCAAAACCTCGCTCGATGCAGATGGTCGATACAAGCTCGGCTTCAGCTCATGCTGTACCCCATTTCAACAAAGGTTCTTCTCGGCAAAGGAAAAGCTATGCATCCTCCGTTTATAGTGAGAAGAGCGCCAACAGTGCCAAAAGTGCTCGGTCCTTTCTTTCCATGACCACGTCGTTATTTTATCGAAAGGAATCCCATCCTGCCGTAATCGATAGCGAACCACAAAAGGAAGGCTTTTTACGAACGCTTCGATCGTTGGCTTTAAAAGCTAGAAAGTCCAAGACCGAGCCAAAGCAAGACGAAAAAAGCACTAAGAACCTTCATTCAACTGTACAAATGCCGCCCGATAGGAGGCGATCCATAACAAAAGACCACGACACAAACAACCATGACGTATTAAGAAGATTGCTGCTTGCCCAGCACGCTCCACCACAGTATCAATCAAAACCCAGCAAAAGACGATCCTTCCGACAACAGGATTCAGACGACGATGAAGATGAGGAAGATGAGGAGGACGAAGTTGAACAGCTGATGATCAACCGAAATATACAGCAGCCAAAAGTCATCGCCGTTCCCAGAATAGACGACGCCAATAAACCTACATCCATTATTCGACGAAGTAGGAGTACATCCACTCATCAAGATTCTTCATCCACTTTGTTTTCAATCTCAACCGATACTAATTCAACCGAAGACGGTGACGAAGTGTCATACTCAAAACGACGTGTTACATTTGTGGAACCATCCCCCATCCCCCGCATGAAGAGAGCTGATCAACCACGCTGTCTGATGGTCAATATTGTGAACAGCGGATTAGGCAAAGCGGATCCTAAGCGGTTGATCTTCAAACAACCCTTGATAAGAGGAGCTACCCTTCCTTTTGAACTCTGCAACACATCCAGTGATCATTTAATTGTTTACAAGTTTTTGACACTGTGTTCTCCTCGACAAGAACGCTATTTTATTCGACCTAGTGCAGGCGTTATTTTTGATGGCAAAGTCAAGGTCGTCCTATTTCTAAACAATGCTCCTCAGATTGCTCCAGGCGAAGTCATACGAGACAAGGTCCTCGTTCGGTACGCGGTTGTGGAGAAAGGTGGAGAAGCTGAACAGTGGATCCGCAACCTTGATGACAGCTGTAGACGAAGATGGTTGGAAATGGTACGAGAAAAGTTTCGAGGACTGATAGTGCGAGAGATGAAAGTGAAGGTTCGATTAGTTGGATAGTCAAGCCGACGTCTTGGTTTTTCAGACACCAACCAACCGAACCCACGCCAACGCAACCTTTTTTTTTCGTACCAAAAAGACGGACAGATAGTCATATAGCTTGTATTCCAACCTTTTTTCTCATTTTCCCTTTCTTCAACTTTTTCATTTCTTGTCCCCGCTTTTTTTTTTCTTCGCGTTTTGCTTGCCATTGGATACAGTGAGCAAAACAACCGTTTCTTTTTGTTTGATACCCAATATTCATGTACAAATCCCAATAACACATCAACAAAATATCTTGTATGATACTATCATAACGCGTGCGCAATGAATTTCCCACTATTCCCATCCCTTGCGCCCAATGCCATTCCATCGGCATGGTACGAGCAACAGCAATCTCTGCTGGACATGAGCGAACAACTAGAACACGACGAACAAGAGCTCGAGGAGCAATTGGTCAGAGCGGGATCAGCCAGCATGCATTTCAAAATCATTGGAGCACGCCAGAATCCCTATGCGTCTGACGTAGATGAACAGGAGCTCCAGGAACACATGTCGGAAGCCGACACTGAGCCTGCTCCATCCGAAGACGAAGGCCACCCGGACCCCAGTACTCCGGACATAATGAACCAGGCGGACGAAGACGACATGAACTTACCTGGGCTATCGGATGAAGAAGAGGAAGGTCTTCCCATCGCATTATTGTAAATTAGACGACGATCAGCTCTGTATATCACCACCTATTTGTAAGCAATTCAATAGCACCCTATCATTTTTCAACATGCTTGCCTTTTGATGTGTATGAGAGGAAAAGCAAGGCAATAATCGACACATTGGGGGGTAAAAACAAGATATTCTAAGGCAATAATGCGGGTGGGATGTAAGAAATGTCTACAATAAGAGGGGTGGAGAGAACAGGAAAATCTAAGTTTACTCTGGAATGGTCTCGGGTATACTTCCAGTTTTTGCGAGCCATCGCTTTCGATCAATAACGAAATTTTCCAGTGCGCTGGCGGCTACTTCACCACCGTCATGGCCAACCCGACGTTCAGGTTCACATCGTCCGGGCAAAGCGGCTGCTTTCTCTATGTACGATGCCCATCGGCCTTCTTCAAAATCTTCTCGTGGTAATTCAACAGCGCTTCCTTGGTTATTCATGAGCTTGAGTAGTCCATGTTCCTCGATAAATTGTGGTCTTGGGACATAAACAAAAGGGGTACCATGGCCGATACATTCACTGCAAGTACCATAGCCTAGTTTGCCAAGTAGTACATCCGCGGCGTTGGTCAGATCAGGGACGTATGCATCGCGTGTTGCTTTATAGAATTTGGCAGGAAGTTTGGCGGCATCAGAAGCACAACAGACAATGCAGATCCAGTTAGGAGGGAGTGGGTCCCCCCACCCTTCTTTGCCGAGAATTTGTCCTCCAAACGATAAAACCAGTACCTTGTGCGTATCCCGTATATCTTTTGGAATATTTAGCCCCGCTAAGACCTCATCTCTGGGTCGTCGGAATTTTCGGAACACAAGCGGGACGTCAAGAATACGACGCTCAGGGATCAGTGGATCGTACGATCGAACATTGGACACCGACACAGCCGGTAGTGATAATTTTCCATTGACAACGCCTTTGCGATGAGGAAAACTGCTTGTTACTGGTGTGATGGGCACTAGGTCTTCCGAGTCGTCGAACGACGGAATACGTATAGCTCCGGGTAAGCGAACGAGTAAATCTGCGTTGCGATAGTCGCTTATCACCTGCCGATTCAGCTTGCGGATTTCTTCATCCAATTCATCTCCTTCACAAAGTCCTTCATACACTTCATCAAATGTAAAATTACTTGCGATAGCCGCCGGAATGCCTGCAACGGCAGCGGCAGCGCTATGTAACAAAAAAGGAAAGTTTCAATATGAGATCCACCACTTTCTGCAGATGAACTATTTCGGTAACTTACCAAGGCAAGAAGGGTGCATCGCAGACAACACAGTCTGCTCCCACTTCTTTCAGCCATTTGACTTCTTTTGCGATGGTGTCTGGTCTGTGCTCGAGGAAAGTTGTAAGCTGCTGGATGGTTTCTTCTCTATCGACAGTGTAAGCTAGTGGTTGTACGACTCCGGCATCTATGAGCGAATGGCGATACACTGCACCAATCTTGATGACGCCTTGGAAGATGAAATCCGTAGCGTTTGACACCACATACACCCTATGTCCAGCAGGTAGCCGAAGTATGTCGGCTATGATTTGATTCGCGCGAGTTGCATGGCCCCATCCTAAAGTGCCCCGCCCAACCGAATGTTAACCATGCTGAAGGCTTGCACTCATTACACTGTCAAGGAACATACCATGGCCAGATACATAAAAGCAGAAGGTGAATGCCTTTGTGTTCGGTGCTCTTTGTGTTTCTATTGTCAAGTATGCCATTTAGCTCTGAGTTACAGTCTATCGGTTTTGTAACTATTTTTGAAAAAAAAAAAAAAAAGAGTAAAAGAGTTGTACAGTTCATTTTTGGTTGGAGACATTCATCCAAAAAGATGACTTTCCACGTGCGTACCTGGAAACACAAGCACACATCATGCAACCACCATTTTATTATCAAAGAATTTTGTAACCATTCTGCTCTGGTCCACTCCCGCTCGCATATACTATTCGAAGGGTTTTGACGAATATACGTTGAATGACGTGCGCCTCGGCTGTGAGGTCTCGGTCTTCTTCCGCAATCTCTAGTACTCTAAACAAACGACTCAACAGCTGCACCTCAATTAGAAACATTGCGACAGATTTAGAGTTCTTCAGTAGCAACGTACCTGATCATGTTTGACAAAACCTGTCGCTTGGGCGGACGAAATCACTTGCCCCATCAAATAGCTTGCCTGCTCTAAGGCCGTAGCATGAACGTTTTGCAGAGGAGCATCGATAGCCCACCAGCATATCTCTATCACGGACCGAAGTCCAAGGGCGATTCCTCGTTTAGCATAGCTGTATCGGTCTGAGGCTTTGAGCGAAAGAACAATGATAACAATATCCAGCATGGATATAAGGAGCTGATATTTGTCTAATGTGTTTTTCGTATTCGCATCAGATGCAATAGTATGAATCAACACCGTCCAGGTCTTGGTATAAACTTCTCCTTTGAACATGATTAAGGATCGTAGTATGGTGGAAAGATATTGAACAGATGATTTTTGTGTCGTTCCTGCTTGTCGTTGGCATACTTCACATGCGACAACAACTTGAGAGTGTAGCATATCAGAGCTGGAGACTTGATCTAAGTCTTTGAGTAGATTTTCAATGTTTAGGCTTGCGAGACTGCATTGCACCGTAAGTTGTATTATGGTATCGCTTGGAGGATTGGTGTCTTTGACCAAACGACTCAATAGCTGTTGATATACGAGGTGATGAAGATCGCAGGTGAGTTTATCCGACTTGTCGTGCAAATGGAGGGAAAGAGTATGTAAAGCTGTATGTCTACAGTCTTCCGACAATTTTGCAAAGACGGACACAAGAGCATTGACTGTTTCGAAGCATCTTTCTTCAGATAATTTGATCGGCTTGAGCATTGCGTTGACACCTCGTCGATGATGTCCCACTGTGGAAGAAGGCGCCTGTTCTAAGAGGCCGGCAAGTTCCATCATCTTGCCTAATCCAACTTCAGAAACAAGTAGTTGGATGACCCTGTCGTCCACACTTTGGCCTTTTTCTAGGTATGTAGCTACTTGACGAAGTTGAACAATGATAAACTCTGTCAATGACGTAGAAGAGGAAGCGTGAGTTGATGCAAAGTGAATGCAGCTTAAATGAATATCAGTCGAAATCTTGGACAAGTTTAGTAGGATCGGAAACCAGTTCACCGGTGCGAGTGGACCTATGGTTTGCTGAAGTGCGAGGAGTAGCATAGTAGCGTTGTTACTTATGCTATGGACGGGCTGGGCGCTAATTTCCACCAGAGTGTCAAACACATTTCTCAGCCAGCTGGTTGTTTGCGCTAATCGTGAATAGGACTTGGGCTCTGCAGAAGTGGACGCCATGATTTCTAGGTCACTTGGATTATTCAAGCTGTTCTTATGCTGTTCTTGCAACAGAGCTTTTCGACATAGATTACCCACAGTGAAAGCAGTGATCCTGCCGGCTCTGAGGTTTCCTGTCACGTTGGACTTGCCTATACCAATCTGCTGTATGGCGACATCCATGACATCTCGACGGCTGGGACAAGCTTGTTGCAAACTTTGCTTTTCAATGAAGTCCCATGCATTTGAACCTTGCTGAGCTGCACTTTTACCGTCTTGGGCACTTGCATGCTCTACTTCCAAAGTATCCTCGTCTAGTTTGTCCTCAACTATGACGGGGTTTAGGTAGTCAGTCCCAAGCATAGCCGAAAGGGTCAATGCCGCAGCCACCTTGGTGTCCATGGGAGATTCAGTAGTTTTAACAGCGTTAAATTGTTGATTGAGAAGATCGAGCAGATACTGCTGGGCATATTGAAAGCTGTCAGCATTAATTGGTATGTGTGAGAGCATGTACCCATAAGGAACAACGAGCTGTTGGCCAAGTGCAGTATCCTTGTTGATATTCTTTGAAGCTACTCTTGAAATTAGCTCTATGTCGTTTGGTTGTATGTGTTTGCCGTCTTGAGCAGTAGCATATGCACAGAGCCAAAATGCGCCAATGAGGTTAGCCTTGCCATTGTTCATATACTTTCCAATATCATAATTAGTGATGATTTGCTGAGCTAATTGACGAGCAGAGTATACTTCGTTTAGATCGAAGCGAGACGCCAATCCCATCCATATACCAAGCACAGCGCTCTCTGACAAACGTGCGTCAAAACAGAGGTTGAGAAGAGTCGCCAATGTGCTGTTGCTCAGAGACTCGATGTACTCTGCTTTGGTGGAATATCCACACATAGCAGCTACAAGACGGGCCAAGCCGTAACCTGAAGAGAATGCCTGTAATTCCACTATAGCTTCGATTGTGACCTTGGATGTGTGTTCCTGAAGGTCTTTCAAGAGTTGGGCTATAAGGCTTTGGATCATCCTTTCATTGGATATGACGCATTCAGATATATTTCCAATACAGAATCGGACGGCAAACTGAACATCTTCATTGAGAACCAAGGACGATGCGGCGGCATTTTCGCTGGACTTGCTTACAAAGTAGTCAGGCATTAATCGTTCCATCACTTTAGCAGCGGCAGTGGTTGCAGCTGAGGCAGACAGTTTCTGCAGGGCCATAATACATCCTGATAGAGCCGTAAGAATGTTACAGGTCAAACCAGGGACTTTACTGGATGCTAATCGGTTGAGAAGGTCATCAATGACCCCTTCAGTCTGTCGTTCAGCAGACTCCACGCTACTTCCGATAGCATCCTCAAACAATGCTTCCCATGCTGAAAAAGAACCGATTCGAATCAACAAATGGTCCGACAAGTTGATGTCCGTCAAAGCAGCTGACATCTGTCTCGTCAAATCTGCAGGCACTCTTGCCGGACTGCTTGTGACGCGATATCCAAACAGACTTGCTAAGGCATATCCACTACGTAAGCCAGGGCTAACAGAGAAGTTCTTCCATTCGCTTTCTATTTTTTGCAGGATCTGACGCTCTTGACTAGTGGATTCTTGGCTACATTTGCTTTCGGTGGCAGGTTTTCGATTACTTTGCGCAGTATCACCTTCTCTGAACAGGCCACGGCGCATATGATCCAGCTCATAAGTCATTAATTTGGCGAGTGAACCTGCATACCCGTGAATGGCGCCATCAGAGAGCATTGTGTTGATGCTGTCTTTCGGGCGTTCTTCCATAATGGACATGATATCGGTAGGTTGGAAACATGATAGGGCCGAAATGGATGCCTTTTTGATTTCGGGAATAGTGGACTTGATATACACAGCGATGTACTCCATTAAAATTGTTTCTCGCATAGCTGAAACAGGTTCACTATCTATGCATCACGGTAAAGTCAGACCTGCCACATCAATCATTGAAAAGCACGCAAAATTTCTTGAAAGACCTACCATCCTTTAGGCCACCCACAATTTCGAAGAATTTGCATAACGCCTTAATTACCGGGATGCTTGATTCTTGTTTTTGCGAGTTTACATACGCAGCAACGTAGCTGAGAACGATTGTCCAGACTAAACACACTGGCATTAAAACCCTTGCAACTTGATAAATGGTGTAAGATACCATTGAGTTTTTGTTACTTACTTGATCTGGCATCTAACAAGTCGGCTTTCACGCATGCATTGATTGAGAGAACTATCAAGGCAATGCTCGGCATGGATAAATCAGATACGGTTTGCAACAGAGACACAATGCCTGGAAGAATGTCTTGAGCCGTTTCCATGGGCTTCTCTTCAAATAATTTTCTATTGCAATGCATGAATACTCCAGACATCAACCAAAAGTCAAATTAGTTAGGCTCTTACCTAGTAGTGAGGAGAATTGCCATTTCTGTCTGATGCTCACTGACGGTGAGTGGCCGCTTAGAGAATCCACGAGCACCGGATTTTCGGTAATTGATCCAATCCAGAATGACTACCTTCAGGTATTGCCAAACTCTGGGTTGCTTTTCATAAACGGTGCACAGCATTCGAATTCCAACACAGGTGAGCGACGTCATTGTGTCTTTATGGAAGATACCTTGATGCTTTGGTGTACGCCCTTGTATGAGGGACATAGCAATTTTAAGGACTTTGGAGGTTAAAACTGGATCATTCGAACGGACCAAAGAGGGTATGCTGACTTGTAAAATATGATTGGTATACTCTGCTTGATCATGACTCTCATGAAGAACGTGTAGCAGTAGAAGTAATGCAGGGAACTTCTTTGAGCTTGAACAGGCTTTTGTGGCAATTCGTACAAAGTTGTCTACGCTCTGTAGTGGAGCTTCCCCTGACATTTCGAACAAAGTCGGTGTTAGGCGGAGGAGCGCTATGCCCATTGTCATTTGCCGTGGTACAGTGTCAGCCGAGGAATCTTTTAGCATGTCGGAAGGTTCTCTGTTAATAATAGATGATACAGCATACTGCAGGAATCCACCTATTTTGAAATGTTCCATCTCCTGGTATATGCTCAACGTTTTTTGCAAGTAGACATCGTCATTTGGTGGCGGGCGACCTTGGATCATTTGTATCATTTCCAAAATCTGTAGCTTCACATTGTTGGTTGAGGAGTCGTTTTCCACCTCTGTTAGGGTTTGTATGAGTGGGAATAAAGCTACTCTTAAGATAGATGGCGACGTTGAGGGCAATATGTCAGCTAATAGGTCAGTCAAGATGGATTGATCATCCATAGTCTGAGCACTATAAAGCATCAAAGACAAACTTGTCCACAAAAGTTCAGGGTTGTACTTGCAAATGGGAACATTGGGGTCGCAAAGATCTGTTGCGGACATGAGTTGTTGGATTAGCTGGATATATGATAGAACTGGGAGATTTGCCGCGGCCGCGTCACAAGCTGTTTGTAAAAGTATATAGATAAGCTCAGTTGCTTTCTGATGCAGATCTTCGCTTTCTAATAGGGCATGTAGATCGCTGCATTCCACCAATATGTACGTAATCTCAGAAAGCAGGAGAAATGGCATAGTGCCATCTTGACGAAAGGATCGTTCGGCCACCGAGAGTAAATAATTCAACGCTTCGGTTCGAAGTTCATCATATGATTCGGAAGATGTCGTGCTGATACACTTTGTGATCCTATTTATCAACATGGATGGCGATATGGTGGATGGTAAAAGTAAAATAGTATCGAAGAGTGGCTCAAATGTTGCAAAGAATTTGTCGGGAAAAACGCATGCAACTTCATGACTCAGAGCATAATCAATTTCAACTAATAGCTGTTCGTTCGAGACTTGGTTATGTTGCAATAAAGTAATGAAAGGATGAACGTGCCCGGAGTGTGAAGCGTGCACGCTGAACGTTATGGTGCTGTCGTCTTGCGTGCAGTACCAAAGCAGCAGCTTAGTGATTGCACGTAATAGCACACTTTCCTTTGTAACATTCCTGACGGTTAGGATGAATGCAGTCAGCTGATCCAACACAGGCACCAGGTTGGCAATGTCGGTCTTTACTCCTTGTACGATCTGCGTGCAGATGTTCGACATTACAATGACAGGTACGTCAGGTTGCCCTAATGCCTTCCACAGCTGAGCGTTAGAGGCATTGTCTATGGCTTTAGAGAGTGTCTGAATTTGAACATGGCGATGCTGAACAACTGGTTCAGCTGAAATGGTAGGCGAATTGCTCTCCATTTCTTGTCAGACGTCGAAGCAGGAATGTCGAGTATAGAGCGCTACTGACAGCGGAAATTTTGGATCTGGGATTCTGAGCGCGTAATTATTTGTTGTAACAAACCCGCAGAGGGTTTAGAATTTATATAACGATACAGAATACAAAATACATAAACTACACATTGAATTGAGGATAATAATTACAGACTATTACATTTTCTCGCCGTTTTTACGGCCAAACAAGTTTTCCCATATGCCAGATTGTCGCCACGGTGATGGTGCTGGCAAACTAGGCTCAGGGCGTCCTCCCTCCAGACTATTTTTGACCCACGCTGGTGGTTTTCTTTGACTAGCATTCGAATCATAATAGTTCTCGGGACGGTCAGGAGGAGGCAACATACTGATTCTATCGTCTCGACCGGATGATCCATAAATATATGGAGCATTGGTCATTTCCGATGAGAAAGCCTTCCAGAAGGCGCTGGTATCCCGTTTATCATCTGTACCAAAGTCACTCTGAGGTGCTGAAGCTGTACGCTGGTGTCTTGAATAGGATGGATTTGACTCAAGAGGAGGTGGGAGCTGAGAAATTGGTGATTGCTCGAAATCGTATTCTTCGTCCGATAATATTGAATTCTTGCCAACCGATCCAAAATAATCATGATTCGGATCTTCAGACTCGTCAACGGGATCAAGCCGGAAGGTGGTGATAGTCGGTGAGAATGAAACTTTTTTGCTTTCCTTTGGAGTATCAAGCGTGGACGAATCATCAGATCCTGCAGGGCTACGGTTCATCGTAGCACGAAGGTAGGCGTCTGGGATCGGCATCGACGCTCGTCTTCTTGAGTTTGCTATACATTCATCGTACTGAGCAGTGGCCACAAAAGGTATGACTTCAGGTAATTCCCTTTCGCTGAGACCATCTTCAGGATTATAAGAAGGCTGCTCTTCTATATGAGCTTTGTGCTGATGCTTGTTATATGAGTCCATATCCAATTTGAAAGGCAATTGCTTGCGTACTCGCCAATTACCATCCGTACGACTACTTGAGTTTTTGGATGGCGCAGGAGTTGGATGAGCCACATCTTCAGATTGCTCGTTGTTGAACAAGATTGGCTCTGGACTAAGTTTACGAGGAGTTGGCGAGACAATTTGAAGATTGGAAACACCAGTTTGAGCGAATTCAGCCGTTGCCCTACTGGGTACAGGCATTTCCAACCTGCCAACAAAATTGTCCACACGATCATCTGTATTTGAGATAAAAAGCGTTTCAGGTCGCCCGGCTTCCTCATTTTGCTTGGAAAGAAGGTCCTTTTCAGCCCTGATTGGTGAAGTGGCTGGCTTATTGGACAAGCCAATCGGCGGCAGTTTCTTCGTAGCAATACGGTTTTCAGTATCCATCTGCGACGAGGAATGCCTTTTTGTCAATTCGATAGGTACGACGCTCTTTGGTGCCATTTCTACCGGTGTGACCTTTGGAATCAAAACAGGCTTCTCGATACGTTCAAATGGCGGAGACTTTTTGACGCTGGCAACAGCTGGAGCAACTTTCATGAGAGCATGAGAGTTTTCCTGTTGCGCTTGCTCAAACTTTTTGTGAATAGCCTTGAGGTCCGACACAGAGTATGCTCGCTTCTTCAAAGAATTTCTACCACTTGAAGCTTTAGATTTATCCAATTCTTGTTTGAATACACGAGCTGGCTCAGTTGGTATCCTCTTGACCTGCTCTCGAGTGTGTTGAATAGGTGCCTTCACCGATGAATCCGCTCTATTCACTTCTTTTGGCTTCACTTCTGCTTTTGTGCCCTGTGGCTTGCTAGCAGGAGATAAATCAATCTTGTCATCCATTTTAATCAGCCTTGGAACAACGCTGGTAGATTTCGAGGTTTGCGGCAATACGGTAGGTGACGGTCTACCCATCTCTGAAATTATCGATTTTTCTTGATCCGACTTTGCACTCTGCTGCTCAGTTTTCCTGGACGTTATTAAAACGCTCTCTGATTGACTGACTTGCGGTAACACTTTTGGTGATGGGCGGTGAAGTTCAGAAGTTGCCTTGCCAGATAATGGTGATGCTGACTTATTCTCCATTGCAGTTGAAGAAGCGGACCATCTAAACGTTGTGATGTTCATATTGCGACCTCTCTGTTCGATCATCTTTTCCGTTGCGTTACGAAAGTTTTCTGTGCCTCTCTGAAATCACTCAAAGTTATTAGATGAAATTCAAAAGGTGTATCGGATTTTTAGATGCCTTACCCTTCCTAAGCTCGCTCGAAGGTCAGAAAACGATAGCTGATCTTCCGATATCTTAGGCACATATGGCTTCGGTTTCGAGTCCATAAGAGGCGTAGATCTTCTCTTTGCCAGCATACGTGCGCGAATGGCGTTGGCCTCACTCTCTGCTGTTGGCTTGAGATCTTGCTGCACTTTCATAATATTTGAAGCCTCTGTCGTTCCAGTGTTGCCCACACTCTTACCACTCTCGTTTGTTGGTTTGTCGGTCACTTGGCTAGCTGCTGCCTGAACATTATCATTCTGGCTAATTCTTTTGCTTTCCACTGAAACAGATGAAGTCTGTTGCATGACAGTAGGCTTTTGTTGGCTCTTTACACTACGCTGTAGGAGGTAAAGAAGCGCGGTATATCAGTAAAAAGCAAAATGCGTTAATCTCAAGTTCATTGAGTTACTCACTTCGACTTGCTCTTCAGTTTCAATTTGAGCTTTCAACCCCTCGGTTTTGCCTTCAGCTACAGTGCTTGTCAATGCTATCGTCGAACTTCTCTTTTTCTTCTGCGATCTGGGCTTGATGGGCTGCTTGAGGCTTTGCAAAGGCTATTGCCATCATGTTACTTATTACGTCCACCAACGAACTTCACATATTTCTACAACTTACCGGTGCAGATCTAGTCATAATGTCTTGTGAATTTGCATTTGGCATAGTGTTGCTCGCATCCAGCTCGGTAATTGCAGTATTTGACAACTCGACAGGGGAGCTTGTTACCATCATCTGCAAATAATGGGTCAGGATATATGTCTAACCGCTAAACGCAATGCACTATGGTGACTTGCCTTCTCACTACTCTTCAAATTGAAAACCTGTGCTTCCTGCTCTGATGTGAATATCTTTGAGACCTTCTTGGCAGCGGTTGGATGCTTCCTTAAATCACTGATGAGTTCCTTTTTCATCATAGTAGACGATTCCTTTTCATTTGTTGGCCATGCCTTGCGAGTTATGACTTGAGGTGGTTGACCAAAACGATGGCTCACACAAACTGATGGGCTAATATTGGCGTCAATATCGCTATCCTCTTCCAGCATCTTACCGAAGTTCATTACTGGCATTGATTTTCGTTTGTTTATAGGAGGAGTGACCGTTTCAGGCTGCTTCACTTCCTTAAACATAGCGGCACGTTCAGCCAAAGTAGTAGACGTACGCAGAGGTCTAGCTGGTTTAACATTGGATGCAGTTTTGTTCGAAGTAGATTCATTCGCCACGTTGTAACGGGAAAGGACACTCTTTTTGGGTTGCTCTTTTGTTTGCAGAGTGCTAAGCTCAGGAGCCTGTGGTAATGTCAAGTCAGTAGATGGTCAAAAATGATCAATTACTTCAGTCACAAAATTTTTACCTGATCAACTGGCTTTCGAGAATCTGGCTTCACAGATTGAGGTAAATTATCCTCTTTGTGATCCATACTGACGTCTTTTTTCACCGTTGGCGCACTGATGCCTTGCTCTTGAAGCTTTGGTCTAACGACGTGTGCTTCATCCTCTTTAGAAAACCGCTCCTTTGCTTTGGCTACAATTCCACTTGGTGCTGGTGCTTGCTTCAGTGAAACAACTTGTGGTTCTTTTTCTTGTTGTGCAGCAACTTGTCCGATATTCAGTCTTTTTTCCACCTTCACCTCCGCTTTAGGATTCTTGGGCTGCGATTTCAGCACAACCGCTGTCTTTATCTCCTGTGAAGGCGAAGGCTGCCGTGAATGCCGTGAGCGCTTCATTTCATCCAGTTCCTTCATAGCAAGTTAATAACTTTTTCCATTTGATCTAAGCCATTCAATCTTTTTTTTTTACCTTTTCAAGTTTTTGTAATCGATCACTGCTCATGTTTTTAGAAGGTTGTGGCATTGACGTGTGAGATATACTTTTGCTCGATTCATCCTGCGCCGCCTTTTCTAGCCGCTTAAGATCTTCAGCTCTTTTCCGCTCCCTTTCTTGTCGTCTTAACTGTCGCTCTTGTTTGCGAAGCTCAACCTGACTATCTAGGTCTGTCCATCATTCGATTAGTACGTGCACCTTTTATCCACAAGATGATCTAGTCTTACCTAACAAATTCTCTATACTAGCATTCAGTGCTACTCCTGAAGTTAAAGTAGCCATAATGTGAAATTAGAGAGTAGAGTAAAGAAAAAATGGGTTGTTGATTTAAAAAAAATGTAACTGCTTTTTTTACAGTGCGTCGCTTCCACTTTCGGCTTCAAGAAAACATTCCCCATATTAGGCAATGGCGACCCCGCTGCCATTCACTGCTCTGACGACGATGGTTGAACATCTGATCACATAACCCCCATCGTCTAAGTGCTCGGTCCTCCAACTGGATAACTGTCATTCATGAGGAATTTGAGGATTTATATGATACATGCGGTTCAATGAAAGCTAACAGCGGATGATGAGATGATATATGAGACTACACTGAGAGTGGGGAATTGCTACAAAGACATTACTGTTAATGGATGGGGATTTATATTACTCAGCGTTCACATATTGATCAGTGTCGTTGTCAATGGGATTGGACTGTAAAGATGCATCATCTGCAAAAGGACCAGCCAGTAATGAGGTAGGGTCGAGTGACGTTTGTAAGAGACTGTCCGTATCGGTATCTATTCGTTGATCTTTGATGGTAGCCTTATTGAGAGCTGCTAATTCTGCGTCAGTTGTACGATACTTGTTTCTCGTTCCTCTGCCTAGATTCGGTGAGCACTTGGCGGCGTAGACTTGCATCTCCCGGGTATATCTCAATTTGTCCTCACGAGCTTTCATGGCCCAAGGAGCGCGCTCATTTTCGTCCATTTGTCTCCAGCGTAGTGCGATAATCTTGCTAATTTGTCCCACCGTTGAGCCCGGATATTCTTGCATCGTGGCAGGCCGAACTTCAGTAAGGTACCACATATAGGCTGACAATGGATGTTTAGGTGCTGCGGGATTCTTTTCACGAGTTCTTCGCTTGCGATTTTGGCGGGGTGCAGTGTCGTTAGGAACGCCAAGACTGAGCAATCGAGGGTCTACTTCGCCATGGAGTAAGTGATCAGCATCGCCCATATCTCCTCGCCTTGTTGTTTTGGATTGCACACCAGCGTGAGCAAGCTCCTCCTTCGTGCGACGAATATACATCATATGTGGATGTACCGCACGCATATTGGCTTTGAGCTGGCTGGCTTGCAATTGATAACTACTCTTCTCTTCGGGAGTGAGATTCCGCCACCTCTCGCCGACTTCTTTACTGATCTCAGCGACTTTGGCGGTGGGATTTTTATCCTTGAGCTTCTTGCGCATCTCCTTGTTAAAAAGTAAAAATGCATTCGGAGGACGGACAAGTCGTTCCGGAATTTGTCCATTCTGCGGCAATCGCGAGCGAACAACCTTCGGTTTCGGCTTTGATTCTGCCTGGGCCTTCTTCTGTTCCTTCTTTACATCGACGGTGGGCTGGTGTAATTGCGGTGGTTGCATATTCTGAAGCATGGGGTATGGCGCGTGCAGCTGTGCCTGCTGCAGCGTAGGGCTATGGAATGGAGATGTGTCGATATTGCCATGAGGGATGTGGAAAGCAGATCCATTGGATACGGCATACTGCAACGGCGTCGGCTCTGAGAAATCAACATACGGGACACTGTATATATTGTCTGCAATGCGAGAGAAAGCTGGAAACCAAGAGTTTTATAAGTAAAACTGTATTTCCATGTATAGTGGTATAACGTGTTACTGACCCATACTGTAACTACGGCGGTAGTGTAAAAAGTCTGAAGCTCTTCGCTGGACATTCTTGTCAAAAAGTTGTAATTTTTCGTTATAAACAAAACCAGTCATTCCCCTAGCCCATGGTGGCAATTTTCAAATTCGTCGATGTAACTGAATGTCGAGCAGGTTCAGCCATCTTGGCTCTCTGTGAAGGGTTGTGCTATAGTCTAATGTTTTAAAATGTGTACAGAAGAACTTTTCTGGCTATTTTCGCGATAATTTAGTTAAAGACCGTCGTTGGTGGTTGCACGTTGTTTGGTATCAGTCCCAAAAAATAAGTTTCAACGAAACCAATACCTATCAAGTCTCAATGGTACACCAGTAAATTTCTTTGATAACATCTTCTTTCTAAATGCCCACCCATACTCTTATGCCTTCCTTGATGTTTTCATGCCTGACATACAGAATCCTATAGAGATAGACTGTTTGGATTTACATGAGACTATGCCTGTCTCCATCAATAGCTGTGATATCGTTATGAAAAATGATTTGTACGTGGATCTTGCTTTCGTAGCCCGTATTATCCGTTCCTTTTGACATTCAGCAAATGAATTGCGGCTTAAAGCGGCGGATAGCTCTTTCCTACTACTAGCAATCAGCTATGCTGGCCACTTACGCCAAATGGTGACAAATGGTTAAAATACAGCTACGAAATGCTTTTGCAAAATTACCGGATAATTTGTAGGCCGTCTCAGCGAGCGTACAGTAAATTTCCCATTCACTTTATGACGGGTGAACACGACGAAGCTGTTAAGGTACAGGTCAATTATTACTAGACTTATAGCCACTGAGGATTGGTGAGAGGAGGTAACATATGTTAATATCATTTTGAGCTCTCACCGAAAGATTTACCGAAAATTCGGCTTGGATAAACTATAAGTTAAAAGTGCAGCACATTTTTTTTTTTCAGTTCAAATCGAAACAACGAGCAGAGAGGCGGACTTTGAAATAGATTGACCCGAAATACGCTTTTCGTATCTTGTTTTTGAGTCAAATACTGTTGATCAGTCCACTTAGTCAACTTCTGCTATGAAAACATAATGCATTTTATATCAAGGGGTAGAAGAGTTGATTGTGTTATACGTGAAGCGAAAATGGAGACGCGTAAACTTACATTGGCAATCCATCTTTTGCCAACCCCTCTTCCCTACCGATTTCTTTTCAAAAGAGAACGAAAGTACAAAGGATAATGGAGTTTGAAATTTTGATAGTACAAGCAATGGCCACGCTGCCTGATACAAAGAGACTATTTTGAGTCAAACCTCTTCCCGCAGACAGATTGGCGGGTAAATTGCTTGTATAAATATCGCGATACCCAACCTAGAATCCAAGATGTCCAAAATATCATGTTCAATTCTGCTCTCTCTCGTGCCGCTGCAAAAGCGCCAACAGGTCTATTCCAACAGGTTTGTTACTTCGGATGTTCTTCTGGTGTATTTCCATTATTAAATCGTTTTTACAGACATCCTTGAATGCACAAACGAGAATGTATATGGGTGCAGCCGGACGTTACAGAAATTCACGATGTGGCAAGAAAGCTTTGATACTTGGTTTGGCTGTCGCCGGTGGTATGTATCTGGGTCCTTCCCATTTGGATTATCAATTGGATTTTTCGTCAGACCATCTCTTAAGCAATGGTATAAAACTAACTGAAGATATTTTGCTTTAGGTGCCTACTATTACTACAATAGAAAAAATGAAAAAAACCGAGTTGCCTGTGAAGGAATTGAGCCGAACATTAAGTCGCCCGAGAAGGCTTTGAGTCTGATGGGCTGGACCACCCTTACTTTACGAGAAACACAGGACATGGGTGAAAATGCGAAGGTATAATCTCGAAGGCACACCAACTTATGGATTAAAGTCACATTCGATTGAAACATTGACTCAACTTTTCCCATCATTTTAGCTATTCCGGTTTAATCTCCCAAAAGAGGACCAGGTATCAGGGCACACAACCTCTTCGTTCATCATGACTTCTGTGGTCAAGCCCGGAACCGAAAAAAATTGGTGGCCAACGTACTTTTACAGACCATATACACCTGTTTCTGCAGAAGGAGATGTTGGTCATATCGACATCGTTGTGAAAAAGTATAAAGATGGTAATTCCAGCAAGTCCATCCACTCTTTGAAACCAGGAGACAAATTAGATGTCATGGGACCTTTAAAGACCTTTAAATACCAGGAAAATTCCTATAAATCTATCGGTATGATTGCAGCTGGAAGCGGTATAACCCCAATGGTAACAATTAAATTGCTTTTACAAGCGTCATACATGATGCTCAGGCTAATCTGCTTTGCCAGTTTCAATTACTCCACAAAATCTTAGACAACAGCGAAGACAAGACCAAAGTAAATTTGCTATATTGCAACAGAACAGAAGACGACATTCTGCTTCGTAAAGAGCTCGAAAACATGGCTGCGAAGAATCCTGAACGACTCCAAATTACTTATTGTCTCACCCAACCACCACTTAACTGGGAACAGGAATCTGGTCGTGTATCATTAGACATGGTGAAAAAGCATATGCCTGAACCAAGTTCAGCTACCAAAATTTTCGTATGCGGTCCGGAGGGTATGGTCTCTACTCTTACTTCATGTGGTTGTTGGTGGTTCTTCAAGAGAAAGGACGGAATACTGGAGGAGTAAGTATGAAAGTTGCACGTCGATTGAACGAAGTATCTTTACTAAGTTTTCTTTATTCTGACTCTCATAGGTTGGGATATGATGGTAAGAGCGTATGCTCATTATGAGGTACTTCACACGCTTTGTATTTTACCGCCTCAGCCATGCGGAGCATTTAGCAATGTATTAAAGAGATTATGTAATTTAAAATAAAGGAAAGAGCAACTCTCATGTACTGGCGTTGTTTTTAAGGTGTGAAGATCTAATCTATATATTGAAGTTTATGACCATTCCCTGCGATTTATGTACATTGCATCCAAATTCAGTCTGACCTGACTTGACTGGAGATATTCTAGCCGTTGCAAAAGAGGCAGGTAGTAAGTTCACTTGTTCCGCGGTCTGGTTATATATTAGAGAGCCAGCATTCGACCAAGTAACAGTGAAAGCATCAAAGTCAGTGCCCCATGCTAGTAAATGCCAGTCTGCAACCTCTTTGTCTTTTATGACGAGGTCTTTGGGCCCACCAAACATGATGCCGTTAATGGTAGCCTTCCTATTAGAGTCTATAAATTGCTTTTTCGACGATTCAGTGGCTTGGATTTTGCTGAGGTCAATGGTTGGTGATGCTTCTTGCAGCGTCTGCTTAAATAGCGAGGATCGATTTTCATCCATCACTACACTGGCTGTCAGTCGAAACGTCACTGCTATTTATACCTTGAATACGTGATTATCTATATGCTTACCAACGAAAGTAGTAACAAACTCCTTATCTACTGACTTCGCCTTTCCATTTGCACCTAAATGGCCATGTCTGTAGATGATGATGGCACCAAAAAGCCCGTCAAACCTGAGAAATGCAATGATGTTAACGCTTGCGTACGGGTACTGATAAGCAGGTATGCCAGCAAAAGCTTACATATCATTTTCAGTTACATGTGAATGGTATCCCCATACAACCGAGTCGCCGTCTTGTGGGCCAGGGCCAGATCGTGGTGGTATGTCCCATCGATAAATGAAAGTGTCATTAGGTGCAATAGAGTTGTATAATGCGTTTTGGTATACGGCGCCTTCCATTTCAAATTCATATTTCAGTCCCTAATATAAAGCCGTGTCAGTTTATAAGTACAATTCTTAGTTAGTGTGATTTCGTCAACCAGGAGATGCTCACGTGTGGGTGTATCGAGTAATTCTTGGAGGCTCTGTTTGTAACATGGATTTCAAACGTATCACCAACCTCCGCTCTAAAAATAGGGCCCATCATGCCTTGCCACTCTGGAATATCCAAAGCATGGTTTAAAGTAGAATCGTTGTATTCTCTGTATACTGCCTTGCGATATCGGGTGCCCAGGGTGGTAGTACCTGAAGGACCAATGTTTAAAATCTACCGAGCTGTAACATATTGTGTCAGAATGCTATAAACTTACTCTGCTGTGTCCATAGTTTTGCAGGAGAGTCAGATATTGATGTGTTATGATAATAATCCCATTGATCTGGAGAGTAGTTCCACTCGATTTCATCTATTGCCACATAGTGTTTTCGAACTATTCCGGTAACTGGTGTCTGAAGCTCGGAGCTCAACAATGCAAAGTCATCTAACTGCCGTGTAATCAACTTAGGCTGTATGACTAGCGCAGATGTTAGCTGGAGGGCCAGGAAAGGGAGAATGGCTATAAGCCGACGGACATGAGATAATGGTTGTCGCATGCAGGCATGGAAAGAAATGTTGGTGTCTGAAAAGGTTAAAAAAAAAATTATCTGGAGAGGTTTCGGCTGGGCAAGTCTCTCTTCCTTACTTTCTCCGATAAAGATGCTTTTTTGGATTATGAGTGTCTGTGCATGGACCACGGCCGTTATTGCACAAATTCAAACGGCAATGCTGGAAATACCCCACTCTCCTTTAGGCATTCCTTTCTATGGTACGTTTCAAAATGTTGAATGACAGTACAGATGCACACTGTGAAAGTCTTGGGTGATAACATATTTGGAACTCAGGCCCACCAGTGCCTTTGGATGCAAGAATTCATGATACCTCCAAAATACCCTTTGTCCCGCACACAGGTTGGTAAAATTAGAGCTAGGTTTGTTATGAAAATACAGTTCTGATTTAGTTCGAGTAGATCCTGTGATGTGGCTAGGTTTGCAGTTGAACTTCAGTTATATACAACCTATCTTTGAGGACTTGAACAAAAGTAGCAGTAATCTACAGTCTCGCGGTAACTTTTCCTTTGAAAGACCATTTTTGGTGAACAGCCGGTCGAAAGCTTAGTTTATACTAACCTGATTTATGTGTATGACAGGAGAAGCGCACATCACAGTGGTATCCCCACCTGAATACGAAGCCCTCGCCAAGGTCAATATCACCATAGACGATATAAATACTATTGCATCTGTGCACAACATACAAGCGAGCAAATTTCGAGTAATTTGTCTCGGGAAAGCGGAACTGGAAGAGAATACTGTGTATCAGCTTATAGTGAGCTCTCCTGACCTTGTTGACATTCGAACAAAACTGTTTCAATTGTACTGGTCTAAAGGAGGAAATACTGCTTTATTCGATCCAAAGGTAAGCTTATTTCATGATCTTATACCGTAAAGCTTTTAGTATGATTGTACATGCACTCACCCTTCTTAACGTAATACTGCTGAAGAGCTTCTGGCCGCATATCACTGTTGGCTTTACCGAGCATGATCTTTTTTTAGAGAACGGCGTTTTCAAAGGAGACAATTTGTGTTGGAGGTCCATAGAACTCTATAGTAGAGATTAAAGAATGTAAGGTGTGAATTAAACGTTAAGAACTTGTATATAAAATATAAGGGGATATTCTACCGTGTAATATTAGCAGAAGAAGTTAGTAGAGGATGCCATTCTAAAGCTATTCATATGAGTGTTTAGCCGATGCATTTCGTTTAGAAACATCTTTAGCAGTATTGCTCTTTTATGTAAGAAGCTTTGCTTTTGCCACTTCGTGAAAGCCTACGTTTATCTGCATTGCTTTTGGCCGACATCAGAAAATCCACAAGGTCTTTCGCTGTGACTGTCGTTTGCAGATTGATCTTTTGGCAGCAAAAAAAACTCCGGCAAATGATATCACTGCTTTCAACATGCAGAGTCTTACAGAATCTCTATTGTCAAAGAGCATGCCGAAAGACAGCATTGTCCCAAAGCTAGCAAAGAAAGTTGTTGGAAACACCGCAACCACTGCGAAATCAGGGCCAGGATCTTCTGTGGCAGGAAAGGCAAAACCTCTTCGAAGTACCAAAACGTCACAGAAGCTTGTTCTATTCCCTTCCGAGCCGGCAGATTCAGCTACACTAATTGAAGAACAGGAAGATGAGGATGGATCTGACGAAACTACTCCAGTGGTTCATTTACCTCTTGAACTTCATGTACTTGGATCGAGAACGGTTGCTGAACGCATGAAAAAAGATCAACGAGACAGGCTGAACTTGCCTAGAGTTTCGGCATATTGCGTAGCCGACACTTTCCAAACTGATGAAATCAAATTATTCTTGAAAGAACAACATCATGTTACTCCAAGACAGTACGATGAATGTATTTATGCGCCGTAAGTAAAGTAATTCCAATATGTATGAGACTGTATTCATGCAAATTTTTCACTTTTTAACAATAATTCGACATTTTAGGTATCACTTTCCTATTATGACATTACGGCCAGGTGGTAAGAATTCTACCAACGTACGGCTCCGTTCAGCGCCATGGCCGGAAAGTGATGAAGCCATACATGATCGTGAAGAATACTTTCGGCAATTTGAGAATGAGCAAATGACTTACGAAGAAGATCATTTGTACGCCAACGCTTTGGAAAACGAACCAGAGCCTCACAACACAAATGCTGAGTCACTCGCAGCACATGAAATTGCAGATTTCTATGAGGGAACGTCGCACCCAACAGACACAAATTTGGCTGAACCGACATATGCCACTGATGGTGATATAACGGAACCAAAGTCGGTAGACCAGGGAAATAGCTTTATCGATCAACATCTGGAAGATCAACCAGACTTTACTGCCGAAACATCCTTGAGTCAACAACTGGATCCAGAAATGGTGAAGACGGATGAGAAGATTCGAGCTGAACAACGTCGAGACTCTGAACATTCCACCAAAGCAGCTCATACAAAACCATTCACCGGAGGCGAACTATTCGTTTTCGACTATGGAGTGTTGGTATTCTGGAATTTTAGTCGTGCTCAAGAATTATTGATGCTGGAAGACCTTTCTCCATTTACCATTCGTCCACTGAAAGACAATCCGGACGATCTGGAAGATATGCAGATTGAAGAGATGCATTTCCAGTACGACACTACTCAAAAGCATTCCAGGATCTTCAATGACATGCTGACTTTAAAAAGCGGCAACCATATGATTAAACTTACTCTTAGCCATGGAATCAGTCAAAGTGCAGTCCTGGCTCGATACGAAGATATTATGGATAATACGATTGAGGTCAGTATCGGACTGAAATTGCCCTGGTATTATTAGAAGCAATGTTCATCGTCTCTCCCCTTAAACAGGCCACCAAACACATACCCAAAAAGCTAGCACTGACCGGTAAATTAGATATGAAGCGAGCAGAAATGACCCAAATCAACGGTCATCTGTTCAAACTTCGTATGAATGTTAACTTATCTTCCAATGTCTTGGGTAAGTCAGTTGGAATAATAATTGTGAATGAAGTTTGTCAGACTTATCCTTTTGCTATAGATACGCCCGAGATTTTCTGGTCTGAACCATCCCTACAGCCTTTATACAATGCAATCAGAGGTAAGTGGACAACGTTGATCATGTAAATTCTAATGTAAGTACCACCAAGCTTATCGATGGTTACGGTCATTCAGATTACTTGGAAATACCCCAAAGAGCCGCCATCTTGAATGACAGGTGTACAGTCATCTCGGATCTTTTGAGTATGCTTAGAGAGCACATGAATAACTTTGGAGTCGAGTAAGTTAGGTTTCACCCTATTGCAAGCTGTTTTGATGATCCATTCAGATTTTTTTACCCTCCTTTCTTTTTCAAGATATCAAACTTTGATCATCATTTACTTAATTGTAAGACTTAATTGTCATGAAATAACCTGTTGCAAAGCATCCATACTGACCCTCACATTTTTGCTATCCTCAGATCGTAGCAGTCCTGGTTGCATGTGTAAGTACACGTAAGCCCATTCCTTTGTGACATGACAGCGCAAAACTCTAACTTGGGGGTAAAATTCTTGTAGATTGAAATTGCAGTCAAAATCCTCAACCGAGCGGCCGAGTCAAAATGAACAGCGGCATCTGTCTTTTCTCACCTGTAAATAGGCTTCAATTTATAGACAATTCATGTCATAATAAAAATAGATGAGCTGTCTTTTTCGGTTATCGAAATTTTCAAGGGTCTTCTTGCAGTTTCGGTGGCGGTGTGTGCTTTTTTCAATTAACAAGGAATACAATTTCAGGTAGGGATTCCCAACGCCACTGGATATCTTGTACACGTCTGATTGGTCGCTGCGGAGTTAGAGAACCCTTTCTGTGCGACTTATTCAGGGTCCGGACTGTGAGCTTATATGTATCTGCCTTTTTTTTCCCTCTCTCTCTTTCCTCTCCTTTTTCCGTACTGCTTCTCTTCTGGACCCTGAACTATGGATTTCACAAACAAGTACACTACCGCTTACATAGGCGTATTCACTTATGTTATGTGGTATGCCGTCAATGAAACCAACAAGCTGTTGCTAGACGAAACTACTGCTTACTACGATGTCGACTTCAAAGGATTCGATGCATCAAACCCACCTTTCACTGCGTGGGGAGAAGGCATAAGAGGCTTTTATCCAATCTTAGCATTTATCAAGGCTGCTCAAGCTCTCTCTTTCCTGTTAGTCACTGTGTGCATGATGGGACACTTGAATGTAAACTACAAGGCTTTGCAGGCGGTTGTGGTTGCCAAGTTCGGACTCGATCTCTGGTGTATATGGGAACTGACACAAACGTTGCTGTCCTGGCCATCATTCAACGAGTCAACTCTTGAGCTTTTGTCGAAGTTAGCTGTCCCCCGGTTCTACTTTACAGCTGGTTTAAGCGTCCCTCTGTTCGCTTTGCTGTTTGGAAGAGAAATCGTCAGCTTATCCCAACAATTTTACACAAATCTACAGATCAGGAGAGGCAAGATAGCGCCAGAGGAGCAGGAGAAGAAAGATCAATAGTGGTTATTTGCTGAGGAGTAAATGCCATTCTCTGTCAGACAAAAAGTAATAGCGTCAATTATCAAAACCAAAAAAGAAAGACACTTGGGTTTCGAGATATCATTTTTCAGGTGCAATACCTCACTTACTATCATCTTCACATAATACTTTTTATTCCTCGTTGGAATTACTTCCTAATAAATTACTTGTAGATTATAACATGGACTCACCGACTCTGCTGAACTTTTTTTTTTTGGGGGGGGGAGGATCAATCGTGGTTTCGTGTGGAGCACTCTCAAACGTAGCACACGTGACGCACACACAATTTCTCTACCATCATTGAAAATATAACATTTTTCATTGAAATGAACGTCATTGACATAATTTCTTCCTATGTTGTGTTGGATCATGATAAGCATTGCGTTTGGCAACCATAGCATCTGGTGACTTGAGAATATTCACAAAATAAGGTTCATGGGTGTAGTCAAGGGCCTTGGAGTTAATAGTGCTTTGATAGCCATAGTTACAAATTTCGTTCAAGGCCGCTCGACTAGCTGGAGGAAGGCGTCTATTCGTGGGTAGTGTATTTATTAGCTGGCTGATGTGTTGAGTGAGCATACGATGCCACATCTCAAAAGTCTCTTTGCTTATGAATAGCCGAAATTCAATCAGCTTCAAGAAGGCCATTTCAGAGTAGGAAATTTCACTGGTGGTCAAGCCAGATATCTTTGCCCATGCACTGTTACGGTACGTCTTGTCCTGCAAGAATTTCGACGCAACCATCACTGCGGCTAAGAACATTCGTCGTCCACAGAATATACAGTCTTGTGGAGAAGACTGTTGCGCAGGCAAAGTGTTTCGCTCCGCCGTATGGTCCATGATCTTCTGTTTGATACGAAATATGTAATAAAGCGCAGCTTGTAGTGTAGAATAGGTGGATTTTGATCTTTTCAGGATCTCTTTAACAAATTGTGATGTTGACACTACTTTGACATTTTGAGTTTCGATAGACGGCCACCAGATGGCGTCTATGACTGCAGATGTCGTTTCTATGCGATAATAAGAAGGTTTAGTCATCTTGGATGTTGCGATTTCTAGCTTTTGGCCACCCAGTTACACAGAGTACAAGGTTTTTAAACACTTACCAACCAGTTTGTCCACTAGAGAGATTTTCTGGATAAGGCTATTTGTATAGCGAATAGGGGTTTGTGAGGCGTGTGTTATATGCGCATCGTCATCTTCTTCAGGCGAAGCCGATGATAGAGAAGATGAGCTTGAGAGTGATGGGGTATCCGAAGGGCTTTTCCCAAGAGGTTGCCGGTTGAATTTAGATGGTTTGTTACCGTCCAGGACAATACCTTCCGGAAGGGCGTTAGGACAAGGATACGCATTGCTGTATGTGTATTCTATAGATACAGTCGATTTCGCGTAGTGACTCCATGTGTTTGAAGCACGAAAATCGTACATAGTCGCGTTGACGATGTCACTGTTGCTGTTCATGATGGATGCCGATTGCCAGATGATGCCAGTGTCTTTCGGTGCCATAAGTTCGTTTCAACACCTTTGTAATTTACTCCCAATGCAGGTGACAGGGGATTATGATGGATTTTGGTTATTTTTGTGAAGTGAAAAATGGAATACAAGGAAAAAAAAACAGCAAAAAGTTATAATGAGATTAATGGGGCCTCGTCAAGAATATTCAAACTAGAATACAAGAATTCGACCAACAGCGAATCCGTGCTACTCATTCAAATCCGTGCAAGTACAACGCACTAGTTAGGAATGGAAGTGGACATTATTGGATGTAAAAGAAATTCAAGTATTCAGCGTTCGGTTTAAATATGAGAAAAAAAAGCAGTTAGTTTGGAAATGCTGGCAAGTCTTATATAAAGTTAAAGAAACAGAAAGGAGATCACGAACGATAGTGTGGAGTGGCTATGTCGTTAAGGATGACCTTTATTCCTTCTCCGTTTAGCCTGAGAGTATTACTATTGAGTCTTGTAAAATGTGATAAATACCAATGAGTATTCGTATCCATTGGCCACGGGAGAAGAGTATGTGTTTTGCACAATTAATGGTTTATATACTGAGCCTTACTTTGCACCCAAACGTATAAATTTTTGTTTAATAATTTTCTTTTACTGTGGTTCATCAGCTCCCGTGTGCGCAGCTTATGAATCCAAAAGAAGGCAGTGTCACACAACAGACATGCTGGGGCAACTGATCATGATGGTCATTCATATATACGCTTTGAATTCAGGCTGCTCAAGTCATATGTTCTATGCAATTTAACGAGATTCTATGACGGCTCACACGTTTGTCTCAACACGAAGAATTCCATAGAACATATTCCTTCAGAAGATTGTATCTTTTGCATCCAATATAAAGGATATACAATATTTTCCCACTTGGCAATGCACAGAGAGTCACAACTCTAAATCACAAGCCCGACTACAACCATCATAATACTTGGGGTTATAGTGTGCTGAGCATTTCTAGAGAGTACATATTCACCACATGAGAAACATCGCCACCTTATCATAAACGAAAATAAACCTTATACCCTTTTTGTGTAGTAATATGTTTGGATCGCATAAACCGCACTGCCGTATAATCGATCGTGACAGAACTCGAGATCATCGTAGTTAAAAAAAAATATCTTCTTCGAACAAAGCCAATGGTCAGCTACATTTGTAGGCCATGGTGACAAAATTGGAACATTTGTGTAGAGAAGCCAAAAAATGTGTTGGCCCATGATATAATGATGAACGCCATTCGAAATTTTGCATGAATTTCTCAAGCTTTAAAAAATCAAAGGCAAAGACACAATTATATTTCGTTTTATTCAATTTCAAAACTTCTAAAGCAATGTCAGGATTTCTCGCTCCCACATCCAAAAACCTATTCAAATTCTTGTCAGTCGACAGTGAACTGTTTCCTTTGTTGGGAATCTATGGTGTGACGTTCGGTATGGCGGGTTACATGTTAGGTCAGAAGGCTCGCCATATTCATCCGGAAAACAATGTGCGAATGGCTTCAAAAGAGACCTACCCGTGGCACTCAAGCGATCCGAGCTCAGATTTCAAGTACAAGTTTCATAGATACGGTGACCCCAATGGTCCACTTCTGACTGCTCCAAGCGCAATTGTAGAGCACACTGTTCAAGTTCATGCGCCTAAGAGTAGCATACCTCATCAATTGCTAGCTTAATCTATAGTTGTATATTGGTTTGGTTTTCCTTTTAAAACAAATGTGTACATAAAAAAAAATTGTTTTCCATTCTAAATAATAGAAGGTTTCTTTTGCTTTGCCTGAACTGCCATTTCATGGTATGGCACACAGCCACTGAACCTGAGGACTTTAGGCGGCAGGTGCAGTGTCACGTTTTGGTCGATCCTCAAAGGTGGTCGCTAGATACGCTTCGCTATTCTCTTGCTTATTCCACATCTCTCTGTATATGCTGTGCACATCATCCATCAGATCTTCATGGCGACCTTCTTCGGCAACATGACCATCACGAAGCACAATGATTTTATCTTTGAGGGTAAACTATGTTAGTGGAGCACGGGGATATTCCACGCTTTTGGAGTGGACTCTGTCACAAGCCATCAAGTGGCACAACTTACCAGCGTCAGCAACTGTGCGCAATCGATGTGCAATGTGTAAACTGGTAGTATGACTATCTTTAAGAATAGATCGTATATTGCTTAGCAGCGCTTGCTCAGTATGTGTATCCAGGGCCGCAGTCGCCTCATCCAAGAAAACAATTGGTGATTTTTTTAAAATGGATCGGGCCAGTGACACACGTTGCTTCTCGCCACCAGACAGCATTAAGCCGCGCTCCCCAACTTTCGTGTTGTACTTATCAGGCAACGCCATAATGGTGTCATGGATTTCAGCACGACGAGCAGCATCATGAACTTCCTCTTCTGTAGCATCGATGCGCCCATATCTGATGTTGTGCAAAATGGTGTTATTGAACAGCGTAGTATCTTGGGGAACCACCCCAATTATTTTACGCAGACTTTCCAGCTTGATATCTCGGATATTTTGGCCGTCAATGTAAATGTTTCCTTGTTGCGGCTCGTAGAACCGAAAGAGAAGTCTAAGAATGGTTGATTTACTGTAGATAATAATAATAATAAAAAAACTGTAAGCAATAACTCAACAGGGAACTTTTGAAAATGGCTGAAACGAATAAATCAACATACCCACATCCACTTGGACCAACAAAAGCTACTTTGTGTCCACTGTTGACAATAAAGCTGACGTTTTGCAGAATGGGTCTTTCCGGATGATATCCAAAGGTAACATTTTCGAATTTAATTTCACCACCCTTGTAAATGATGTCCTTTGCATCGGGTGCATCCTAATTCGTCATAGATGTTACTCACAATTTCGCTCACCAAATTCGCAGCTATCACAGTTTTCCAAAATTTGCCCAAATTACGTACCGTGATACCCGCGGATTGATTTTCCAGATTAAACATTGTATCCATATCTATTAGGGATTGTCGAAGTTCACGGTATACCGAGCCTAAGAAGTTGAGAGGCATCGACAGCTGGAATACCAGCTGATTGACCATGACCACATCACCAACCGTCAAAGATCCTGCTCCAATTAGTTGGCTGTTGGTTGTATGGTCAACACATCAAATTACCTACCGTTCATGACTCCCTGTGCTGAAAGGAACATCATTGCAGTCAATGCAGACGAGAATATAGCATTCTGTCCAGCATTGAGGGCCGCCAGACTAGTTGCGATCTTCAAGGACGCCTCTTCATACTTTGCTAAAGATTTATCGTATTGCTGAGTTTCGTACTTTTCATTGTTGAAAAACTGTTTGTAATATTGGTCAGAACTTGCTATCGATATCGGGCCTCGTATATATTATGCACAAACCTTGACAGCTTCGAAATTGATTAAGGAATCCACAGCCGTAGTGGCTGCTTCGTTATCAGCAGCATTTGCCTGCTTGCGAAATTTGGTTCTAAGTTGCGTATAATGGCATACGGAGGTGTGAGCACATATGTGATCCGAAGAGTCATCAATTACTTCATCCCAACTTACCGCCAAGATGTTGTTATGACCGTGAAAGCTGTGTAAGCCGCAATGGTGGAGAAAGTCACGGCAGCGTACGAAGTGCCAAAATTGTAAGCCTAATTTCCAGAATATGCCTACATTAGCTTACTCTAAACTGCTGTGTTGATCAGAAGTGGATGTACATTACCAAGATACCGCAAACCATAGATATTTCCAGCGCAGTGGGTAACACGTGAAACACGATGGAGCTTAAAAGAAAACTGATTCCTCTGTTGTGGCAATTCGAGAGAAATCAGCCATGTGAGTGCAAATGTTATCATATGAAATCGATACTAACTTTGTGCCTCTATCGATCGCACGGTTCAAGCCTCCTGTCTGCCGAGTAAGATGGAAATTCATGTCAAGCTGATGAAGATGATAAAATACATTGCGGGCAATACGTCGAATTGCCTTTTGTGCCACTGCAGCAAACACGGCATTTCGAAGTTCTTGGAATGCGCTAGCCCCGAGACGAGCCAGTCCGTCTGGACAAAATAGTTTTTCTGTTAAAGCTGACAACGCAAGTTATGGCCATTTTTAATAGAACAAAGGAACTTACAGCCAATCACTGCTGCACCACAGATGGTAAGTAATGTAGCATCCTCAGCGAATGTGATATTTAAAGAATCAATGACATTTTTGAAGAAAAATGGAACTTGGACATTGAGTAGCTTATATTGGATCGTGTGAGCAAGACGAAGTACATGTATTTGAACCACGTCCATTAAATGAAGTAACATACCTTTCCGCCAACCAGTAAACCGAGAGCAATTACAACTCTTGCCTTAACACCGTTATCGTCTTTTGGCCACACATAGCGCATTAATTGTTTAATAATTGCCATGTCCGTTGCGTTTCGAGTTGGCTGCACTACAGCAGGTTTAGCTTCAACAGTCTTCCCAGTTGCCTCTTTCTTTACTGCTGATGATGCCTCTGATGAAGCTTGATTTTTTTGGTTACTGAACGCTCTTTTGCCAATAGCTTGGTAGATTGCTGACGGTTTTCGACATGGTACACCAGGGCTTGTCAAAGCATACGATCTGGTCCCGCCAGTTGTAGAAATACTCCTTTGTCCATGTTTTAACTTTAGTCCTGTTGTTTGAGCCCTTATCGAGCTACTAAAAGCTCTCCTTGTTAACAGTGAGAGCCGAAATGGTAGCATGCAGGCAAGGCCCAGATCATGTTTGAACAAAATGTGACTTGAATGTCGCAATGTCGGAGTGTTAATCACCCCGGGTCCGTGGACTGTACACGCAGTACCTCTCGATAACAGAATTTCGTTCGAAAGAACAGCTTTATGACATTTTGTTCGATACTGCATATCAAATAATGATACATCGAAGCGTAAATAATGAAGCAAATTGTCGACCTCATTATTTCACTACAACTGTTCTCACGTGCAAAGTGATTGACACTATGGTCACTGTTAGCTATAAAAGAAATGCCCTGATTGAGCTAAAATGAAGTACGGTGTGCTTAACAAGAGAAAGAAAAAAAGTTCATGGGATATTATACATATTGATAGACTATGTATTTCACACAGTGCTGATATGTTTTTCAGCATCATAAATAGTCCTCACTTATCAATGGAATATGAACAAGGCTTAGTGAATCCATCTTTGTTTGGATAGTCTATATTACCTGTAATTTTCAACATTGAAATATCAATATTTGAAATTGATTGTAGAAGGGTAACAACCGGTGTGGCAAGCATCCATTGCATTATTTTCAGAAAAGACCACAATATAATCCATTTGCAAGCCTCAAATCAAGTGCAATATAGAGAGATCACTTTAATGACAGTGTGTTGGGAATGAATAAGCAAAAATATCAAGCTGTTAACTTGCCACTGCATGCCAAAGCATGGCATGCAGGTACATGCGCAATGTGTTGCCATTGACGTCACAATTTACAGTATGAGCGGTTCATTTGGCAAGTACCCAAATCGGCAAAGCTGTGACTACGTACTTAAGGCTTGGCTTCTCACAACGTTTCACCGTCCGCTTTTTTTTCAGCAACGTAGCGCCGAATCAGGAACGGAAAGGCAAGCACAATGCAGCAGCAGACTACGGCAATAAAAAGAGCACGGGAGCCCAGTATTAGTAGCGATCAGGAAGATCGTGCTCGTACGCCAGTAGATGTTTGTCTGCCGGATTCAGATGACAATAGAAATGACGATGCAGGGGAATTTTGGGAAGAAAACAACGACAGTCAAATCCCTGACGCAGATATTATTCCTGATTTACCACCTAGCGATCAAGCTACCTACATTCAACCCCTCAAGGAATCGCCTTTGGAAGACGGTGACACCTGGTACTTGGTAGCCAACTCATGGTACCGTCGCTGGCAACAGCATTGTACTCGAATGGCTAGCCAGTCTCAAACAACTAGAGACATGGGCCTCAGATCTCCTCCTGGCCAGATCAATAATACTTCCTTAATGAAAGACAACACCTTGAAGCCCAATCTTATGCCCGACACCGATTTTCAGTTAGTGCCAGAAAAAGCATGGAAGGCATTAGTCCAATGGTCAGTTTATTCCTCCGTCTTGACTTGCACTACTTTTTTGTCATTAATAATAGGCGTTGATGAAATTTTCATTTGGTTCCTACAGGTATGGATTGACGGGTGACGAATTTCCCCGTAACGTCATAACCGAAGGTGTCAGCGTTCAAGAAAGTATGGTTGAGATTTACCCTCCACAATTTCGGATATATGTCATTTCAGCCACACAACTTAGTACAACTGCAACCAGTTCCCCTCCTTCCACCATTACTCTCTCGCGCAAAGCTCAGGTCGCTGATCTTATTTCCTGTGTTGAGAATACGCTGGATTTTACCCCACAAACAGAGTTTCGAATCTTACGGTTGGAAGATCAACCATCCACGACCAGCGAATCTGCGCAACTTGCTCCTGCATCTTTACCAGCATGGTCTGTCGTTGATACCAGTGATCAAAGCAAGACGATCTCCGAAGTATATCTTTCCGAAGGTGCGATCATTTCGCTGGTGGCTGATGTGAAAGACCCTATTAGTGGACAATATGCCAGCGAAGATGCTGGTGGAGTATCCATCGAAAGACCATGGTCTTCAAGGTCCGCTTCATCCACTAGTTCTCAAATATTTGCCTCCGGATTCCAAAGCTTGACAGCCTCAAATTCACCTGCGTTCTCTTCGACTTCCGGCAGTACCAGCAATGGATTTGGCTTCGGATTATGGTCTGGCAAGGAAAATAAGGCTTCAGACAAGCCAAAAGGAGTATGTGGTTTGAACAACCTAGGCAACACATGCTTCATGAACTCTGCTCTACAATGCTTGAGTAACACAGAGCTTCTCACAAACTGGTTCTTGGGTAGGTGATTGCATATGGAATGTAGCACTCGATCAATGTAGATCGTCAAACTAATTCACTACTTTTAATACGACATTGTGAAGCTGGTCATTATAAGCACGACCTGAATCCTGATAACCCACTAGGCATGAAAGGCGAGGTTGCGGAAGCGTATGGTAATCTCATTGAACGACTATGGAGCGGAACAACCAGCAGTTTAGCACCTCGTGAATTCAAGGTACCTTTAGCAAGACTTTGGTAATATAATGAACTTTAACGCTGATACTAATGAACTATCATCAGCTCACCATTGGACGATTCAATGCATCATTTACTGGATATCAGCAACACGACTCTCAAGAACTTTTAGCCTTTTTACTTGATGGCTTACATGAAGATCTGAATAGAATCATCAAGAAACCCTACATTGAATTGCCTGATTTCGACAACATGCCAGACGATGAAATAGCAAGCAAAAGCTGGGCTTACCATAAGGCACGAAATGATTCTGTCATTGTGGATTTGTTTCAAGGCCAGTTCAAAAGTCGGTTGATTTGTCATGAGTGTGGCAAGGTAATTGAGTTTTTCGAGAATAGTTCGATAAGATGGCATGGCAAATTTAATGAGACTAATTTTCATGCATCAATAGGTATCGGTGACGTTTGACCCTTTCATGTATCTGTCGCTTCCTCTTCCGATCCAGAAAAAGATTAAGATTCAGGTTTCGTTTGTTCCATACGACCCATCAAGGCGACCCGTTCGCCTTCACCTATCTCTGAAGAAGGACGCTGGAATCCAACATCTGAAGGCACAAGTGGCAGAGCAGATGAACCTTGAAACCCCAAACACCGTAAGTCCTGGTTACCCTGTTCAATGTGTCACATTATACAAGCCATAGAGATTGACATTCTTTTCACTATGAATTTCTTAGTTGCTGGTTACCGAAGTATTTAGCAGCAAGATTTACAAGATTTTCACAAATTATGAACCTGCTGGTAGTATTCAAGCAAACGACACCATCGTTGTATATGAATTGCCCGGGGAAGTGCCAATTGTTGGTAAACGGCGGAAGACCATTACCATAGATGCGGATGGCAATCGTACCGAAGAAGACATGTCCATCAGCCAAGATGAACTTATTGTTGTACCTGTGTACTGTGCTGTCAGCGAGGATAAGGATTCCGAAAATAGCCTATACCGCGCCTCAGTTTCGCAATTTGGTGGCCCTATTATATTGGCTATGAAAAAGAAGGATGCAACATCCATCGAAAACGTTTACCGGGAGGTTGTTCAGCAGGTCGAGCGATACGCAGTAATGAAGTTGTTTGAAGAGCGCAAAGATGTTGACATGAAGGATGCCACTACACCAAATTCCTCAGACAAAATGGACATATCTGATGAGGATACCGCACAGACAGCTCCAAAGGAACCTATAGAAGTAGCTGAGGAAGAACCTGTTCAAATTCAGCAGCGGCCCATTCATACTGCAGCTGCTGTGACAGCAGCCGGCGGTCGTCAACTGGAACCGATGCGCAAGCTGTTCTCTATGCAGGTGTTCAGTGAAACTCGGTCATACGGACGCGGCCATACCGATCTCTTCAGCACTGGCATGCATGGCTGGGATAATGCCTCATTGACTGATCTTTTTGAGCGCGCAGAAAAGGAACAAGCTCAGAGAGAAAAGTTTTATGCTCCTAAACCGACTACAGAAACCAGCGACGTTGACCAAATGAACATCGTAGGCGAAGCCCCTGCTATGGAAAGTGAGACGTCGCAACAAGGATCCACTATTGCCGATATTGATGACGATGATGAGATCGTTGAAGACGCATCCTCCACTTTGCCGCCTGCACCATCTAGTATGATAGCTGGCCTTCCACGTATTGCCACTCCACCAGCTCCATCGCTACTTACAGTACCATCACGACCACCTTCTTCTATCGTAATCAGACAAGGAGAAGGCATTGTCTTGCAGTGGCGGAAGCAAATGGCCCAACAAGTATTTGGCTCTGCATCCACATCTTCATCTTCATCTTATAAACGAATTGGTGAAAGTGACGCCGGTGTCTGTGCTGATGCCTGGGATGATATGGATGAAACTCAATATGCTGATGAAGACTCCGGTGACTCAAAGCAGCGAGGATCACAAAAGAATGTTACCTTGGGTGATTGTTTGGACGAATTTACTCGAGAGGAAGAATTAGGCGAAGACGACTTGTGGTATTGCCCACGATGCAAACAACACCAACGTGCTACCAAGAAATTCGACCTATGGCGTATGCCAGAAATTCTAGTTGTCCATCTCAAGCGCTTCAGTCATACCAGAACGTGGCGAGATAAAATCGATGCACTCATAGACTTCCCTTTGAATGGCCTGGATTTGACAGAACGTGTGCTGAGCGTTAGTGATGATGCCGATTTACCCGAGGATCAACGGCCGATTTATGATCTTTTCGCAGTTGATAACCACTATGGTGGTATGGGCGGAGGTCATTGTAAGTTTTTCACCTCCATTGACAAGCATTATGGATTATTCTTGAACTCATTTTCTTCGTCTCCAACTTGACAGATACTGCATATGGACAAAATTACATCAATGGAGACTGGTACAACTTTGATGACTCGCATGTCAGCAAGGTGAACGCAGAAGATGTCAAGGTAGGGTGGTTTGTCTGACTAGTTTGGGATTTGTACACTCCATGTTTAACAAGATGATTTCTACCAGACTCCTGCTGCATACCTTTTGTTCTACAAACGGCGGAGAAGTCAACCTCTGGAATTAGCAGAATCTGTGCCAAAGTATCAACCTGAAACAAAGCACTTACAAGAGATTGTTCCTTCGTATACTCCTCCACCTTTAGACCAGCCAAGGCCTGTGTCAGCTGTTCCTAGGCATATCATCAATCACTCTGTGTCATCTGTGTCAGAGTCATCTGCATCCGAATCCTCGTCTGACGATGATACCAACTCTAGAATGGGTACACCTACCCATAGCACGTCGGATGAAGGAAGTGAAGATAAAATTATGATGGGTGTTGGTGGTATCGGAATTGCGATCAAGAACGGTACAGACCTGGCGGCCACACCAGATGCTCAAGAATTCGAAGCTGCTGACAGCGATAATAGCTCTGTAGTTGCCATGAATACTGTTGCCAAGGATGATTTACAATCTCCTCAGACGAGTGGAATGGATATAGAAGCCAGTCATGAAAATGACGAACAATTGTAGAAATTGTTTTTTTGGCACAGTTAATTTTTTTTTTTTTTCACTCTATTTAACCACCAAGGATAGGATAAAGAAAACTAATACGGAGAATGTCTTTTTCGTGGCATTAATTTTAACAATATAGTATCAGTGATGTTCAAGTACAAACAATAATACAGTGTAGATTGGTAAAGATGGATACGAGTCACCTTCCTGCATAAACGGCAAAGATCTGATCTCTTTTATGCCAGGCATTACAGTCCCGCTTACCAGCCCATTAAGAAAAAAAAAAAAAAAATTCGATGTCTGTGCCACTTCACTGCTCCTAGCTCCCACTGTATAGAGGATCATGTATTCAGAAGCTAAATATGACATCCGCTAGAAATCAACCGAAGAGTCGTAGAAGACCCAGAAAGTCACATAAACATAATCGTGATGCTTTGACTCAAGCACCTGCTGAAGCTCTTTCCCAACCGCATTCCCAGGATTCTCGCCTGCGCTTCAAGGAACTTGTTAGGTAAGGAGTCAATCCGTCCTGAACGCTGTCGCGATTAATCATAGGCTCAACATAATTTCGGTGCCTAAATGCTATTGTACATTGCATTAGTGAATCGACCGCCTTAGAGAGGCAAATGGCTGGTTTGCATAATCAACTTAAGCAGACTGTGAAGGAGCGGCAAGATCTAGATAGTAAGGCGGTTAACAATGCATCTCATGCCGTATTCCTGGAACAGATGAAGGCGATAGAAGAAGAACAGTCATTTGTTAGGAAAAGGTACTCGTCGGGTTGTAAGCAATTACTCAGGTTGACACTTGTTTTCTGATAAGCTATGGTATCATTCCAGTTTGCAGACAGTGTATGGGGATCTCTTACTATTGGATCTTCCGGCGGCGTGTGATTTACGAATTGAAGAGAAGCTATGGCGCAACGCCATATATCCTGTGATTGAAGATATCAGAGGGAAAATTCGAAAGGTATGCACATACACCAACCATCTACCCATTATCGATACTTCAATGTGAGCAGCTGCCGATCTGTTGGATTGATGTGATTTTCGTCCATAGAATAAGAGCAAGGAAAAGCTCACTAAATTGGAGCAACAGTTGGCATCTAAAATTCGACAGTCATCTCGTTTTTATCGTAAGATCAACTCTAGTATAAGGCAAGATTATCATATCGACACTGCTACAATTGGCATCCATTTATTCCGCAACGATAGCAACTCAAATGATATACAGTTGAGGGTTGCCAAAGTTTTGCAACATAACTTCATTTGCATGGGTGACTTGGAGAGATACAACGCAGTAATTACAACAGGAGATGCACCAGAAAATCCGGCAGAGAGATCTTACCTTGCCAAGACCATGTACCTTAAAGCCATTGACATATATCGGTCCAATGGCAAGCCCTATTCACAGCTTGCTCTAATTTCGATAAATGGAGGTAGCGCAATCGATGTCGTATGGTATTACTGCATGAGTCTGGCCATGAAAGAACCTGCTGCGATAGCCTTTGACAATCTCAAGTCTTTTTACTCCAAAGTGCGATTTTCGTCAACGGTAGCAGAATCTACCAACAGCCCTAAATCAGCCGATTTACGTGCAGCAGCCAGGAAGCAGGTTGCAAGGGCTGTGGAGAAATTCTTAACTTTCCAACGAGAAGTCATGTATAGTAATGGCAGTTCTGCTGAATTTCCATCGCTCGGCTCAGGAGCCGCTTCCGGTGGGTCTGAGAGTTGGCAAGTGGCCATGGAGCAAGCAACCAGAACAATTTTTCAGACTATCAAAGAAGATCCTGATCAGGCTTCCTCTTTGCTCAAACTATTACGCAGCACCTTAATGAGAGTAACCATTATTTTGATCACCACCATTTGGTATTTGGGACGTCAGCAAAAGGGTAACGTCGCCTCACCTCCGATTTTGATTTTCTGTTTTTTAAAAAGTTAACGCTGAAACGTGGATCTTGCATAGGTCAAGAAGAGATTTCTGATATACAAGTAATCCAGCGAAAAGCTCTCATTCAGGGATGTCTTTTACATACTGGCATAAATAAGGCGATCCAGGATATTCTACTGTCGCAGGACCAAGCCAGAGACAACATTGTGAAAGATGCGCAGAAAACTATCGTAACCGCAACGTCTATTTGGGCATGCTATCTTGCCACCAATATTCAACTGCTCACAAAATGTTGCTCTGGGGGACTCAATACGCGTCGACAGGTCCATGTACGAGTTTTTGCTGATGAAGAGGCGGAAAGCTTAATGATTGCGTTATCAAAACTGCTGTCGGTGATTATGTCGCTCAAGCCATTTACCCCAGCGAGTGATCGACCGTTACCAGCAACATTCGCACTGGCCGAGGATTATACTCTTCTCGGACTTTTACCCTTGGAAGGTTTCCATAAGTCTGTCGATTTCTTAAAAGAAGCAAAACACCTCGCTCCTGCTACTACCGATGGCCGAACGGAGGTTCGATGGTACCGCATTTACGACTTTTGCCAACGGTTGGTCGAATCTGGAGTAAGTCATAAAAAAGAAGTTATGGAGAGAGAGCTTGTACCATCTTGATAACTAATTACAAAATCATTTGAATTCTTATTGCAGGCTTTTGGATTTATATCGTTCGACGCAAAGGAACAAAAGTATACCATATACGACAAAGAAAGCCGCGTACGTGAAATTAAGCGCATTCCTTTTTCCATTCTGTGTATGTAATATATAACTAATCCATCTTGGTTCGCTAATAGAAACAGCAACAAACGAGACTTATGAAAGCGCTGGCGGCTCAACGATTAATGGAACAAGTGTCAACCCTCGAAACAAGTTTAGGGAAAATGACCACAGCTTCCGAATCATCAAAACAACGCCCCTCCAGATCTCGTCAGGGTCCATTACGCTGCTTCACTGTCGTGCTGGACGTTACTGCATTCTTGGATGGTCTGGTCTGCGTTCGTCGCTGGGCAGGACAAGGTTCAGATTCTGCCACTCATCTTAGAGGCTTCATTTGCGAGGTTATTGTTCCCCTTGACAGTAAGTACCGCTATCCTCATGAAATGATTTCATAGTCGCATGATGTTTAACCTTTCTATTGGTTTTGCAACAGCCATTGATGCTCTTGACGAATATAAAAAAGGAACATCGCATGCGAATGCTCAGGCTAGAGAGTCGATTCGCTATCTTGACCATAAGCTGGAGTCTAGCTCAAGCGGAGTCGTACCAACGGCTGTTAGTGCGAAGGAGTCGTTCTTGCGCACTCAAAGGGTCACTGAGCGACTTTCCAGTTGGGACGATGCCCAATTCTACTGGATCGGAGAACAGCAACGCTCGGCTGAAGACACGTCCTTTACACGCTTACCTGTCGATGGTGATGAAGAAGATGAGGTTCTGTTGTCTCCAAGCGACAGCGATGATGAAGATACATTTTTGAACTCTCGATTACGGCGCCGTCGAGCTAGCGATGAATCTGATGTATCGGATACTGATAGCGATGCGGAAAGCGATGTCTCCGAACCCGATATGTCATATACGGATGTTCCCAAGCGATATCGATCTATTATCAGTTGTCTGCTGTATTATCATTCTCATCAGCCAACTCAAGACATGTCCAAGGATTCTTCCTTGATACTGGCTACAAATGATCAAGATTTGGCATGGTGGGTGAGTCAATTTGGCGATCCGCAAACAGGCAAGCGATTAGCGACGAAACGGGTCGATGAGTGGGATCGTGTTGTACGCAGTAAAGCGTTCCTATGAGCACCCCACATCAAAATAAAATCACATCATACAGGAACGCAAACCTCTGCTACAGTTCAAATCTCTGCTTAGATAGATAGAAAATTTATAAATGTTATGCTTTTTTATTTTGCAATTAACTCCTCCAAAGATAAACAACACGCTTAAGCTTGTTGCTTCTTAAGTTGAGCAAGAGCGGGGCCAACAGTAGCACGACGCTAGAAGATAAACACAAAACCTGGTTAGTTGCACTGCTAATTCCCATGTCTCTCTCAAATATGTGTCTTACCTGGCTCTTGAACTTCTTGAGCTTGAATCTGTCGAAATCGCTAAGTCCAGCACGGGCAACACGGCCTTGCAACTTCTGGGCCCAGCTGGTCTTGTTCCAGGCAGCAATAGTGTCGTTCTTCTCGAGAGCCTTGGCAAGAGCGGTCTTACCAGCAGCACGGGGAAGGTCCTTGATGACGAAAGGAGTCAAAGTAAGACGTCGGTAAGCGAAAGCTTGGCGAGAGACACCGGTGGTAGGGCCGTCAATCAAAGCCTAACCCAATTCAATTAGTCAAATGAGGTGAGGTGAAAAGCATATCAATGTGCAACTTCACTTACGCGGCTGTGATCAACAATGTCGACGATGACGGCGAGCTTGCCGCTGTCCTTGCCGTAGTTGATGAGGACAAGACGACCGACCTCAACTTGACGTTGGAATGAACCCTGCTATAGAATTGGGAAAAAAAAAGGAATCCATATTAGCTCAAGGTCGTATATGAAGCACGAATGAAGCATTGGATGTAAGATGAGGATGGCCAGCTGAACAAGTCATATTTAAGCGCGACGTATAGGGGTCGACGATTGAGTAAGTTCCGTAGCAGTTGAACTGTCCAACGAACGGATTTCGTCAATTGGGGGCATGCGAATTACTTTCGACTCATCTCGACATTGGCGTTCCAGACACTGAAAATAACATCCATCATAATATCATTGTCGCATCCATCCATCCATCATCCAATGCTTCCATAGAAAATCATAGATACGCACGGAAGCCATGTGTAGGTTAAAAAAAAGAGAAGGATCGTATATTCAATCAAGCTGATGGCCTTTAACCCTCCTCACTTCCCGTGCGGCTCCTTCCCTGAAATGTCACGTGAACAAATTTTCCCCATGTGGAAAATCCTAGAGCATTCAAAAATTTTATTTTACGTAGTTTGCACTGAGGTATCATTTATTTGTTGACGATGGAGTTTCCAAGCTTATAATTGAATATCTTGTGCCAGTCAACCTTATTACGGGTGTAAGGAAGTGCTCTTCGTAGTTCCTTGAACGTGTTTTCGGAAAGCTCGGTATAGTTTTCGTTAATGGCCATTTGATACTCCTTCTCTGCTTTTTCAATCGCCTTGACAATGGTGCTAGCAGCCTTCTTCTCATCCTTTGGTTCATAATATTAGTCACAATCAAGTCCAAGGTTAATATTCTATAATGGAATATCATTCTTACATGCTCGCTGTTGATATCAAGTTCAAAGTCTTTTGTTGAATTTAGCTGAACATTACCGTCTTCGTAATAATGAACCTGCACTTTAGCAGAACCTTTCAGCTGAGAACCACCCTTCTCGACCTCCCAAACAGCGCGCCATCGTCCATTCCTATATCGAATTCGAGAAAGAATTAGTTATCGTAGTTACCATTGTGATGCTCCGCACGTGGGCCAAAAAGAAGACATACCAATAGTTGCTGGGATTATATTTGTTATCCACAATGACAATGGTGACCTTTGAACCTGATGCGTGAACGGTAGTGACGCCATGTGGATAATGATCGCTGACATATGCTTGTACTTGGTTATCGATGGCTTCTCTAAAATACACCATTTGTTAGCAAAATTAATATGCACCTCTCTACGGACAGTGGGGCAGGGCATTTTACCTTAGCGATTCAACGTCGTCTGAAATCTCGAGCGGTTGTAAATCAGAAGCAACCTAATGACAAATATTCAGTATTGTATAGATTTCTCATTCACGCTTTGAACAGATATCCCACCAGCCGCATGTGGTCAAATGCAAAGCTTTGCTTGGACCTAGGATCAGCAAAACGACCACCTTCTAATTGGCCAAATTTCGAAATGATGACCTTTGAAACGACATTGATTAGCGTTCCGCTGCAAGCAAGAACATTCTATATAAACTGTGCCACGTTTTGCATACCTCAGTTTCAGATTCCGGCAGTGCAACAGTAATGAGCTGCTCAGTATTGTGATCCTCCAAAGAGGTCAAGATTCCCGATTGCAGGGCATCGTCATCTCCAATGAGAGTTCGAATATCTGTAGCCCGGGTATAGGTTATAACAAGATATATTATGAAACTTGTTAGTTCGGTCGTTTAAGAATAACTTCGCAACCCCATTTTGATTTCAGTTGGTTTCAGAGAACGTATCTCTTCGGCCGTGGCCGACGTGTACGATTGCCACATTGTACATCGTCGGGCTGGATCGAATAAAGCCGCGCGAGAGGAAAATTACTTACCATTGAAGACATCATTAACTTCGCCAGGAGGGCTCTCGAGCAGAAAGCTTGCTGCTATTTGAACTTTTTCATCAACAGAGAATTCGGTCATGCTTGGATGCTGTAATTATTAACACAGGAGAGGCAGAAATTCCAGGCAAAGGCGCGAATGACGCTGGCTGGTCTCCGAGACCGATTTGGATGTCCGACAAACCGTTGATGTCGCAGTTTTGGCATTCATGGCAATAGAGCTGCGTTGCCAATACCATGTTGCTACTATCTTAAGAGATTTTCTAAAACGAAAAAAAAAAAATGATTAAGAGCAAAACGATTCACTCTTATGATCTCATTGCCTATATTTATAGAAGAGATCACAAGAAGAAATTACTGACGCTCGATAAGAGTACGTCAACGCACCTTCTTTTCGATGCTTATACTCAGTGACAAAGACTCCCCCACAGCAGACCAACATCTGGATCCTAATATGACGCTATCCGATGCAGCCGAAAAATAAAGTGCTGAGATCTCGGGTCAGTGTCTTAATATGATCGCTTACAGACCTTTTCTTTTTGTTCTTGGCAAAACCGGTTTGCTTGTCCAAGGCTGAGTAGCCTAGCTGAAGCAACATCGTTTTAATACGGACTAACTTACACACATGGAGAATACAATGACTGCGGTGATCCGAAAGTAGTAGTTAGTTACGAATGTTTCACAGAAGAAGAATCAAATTTCTTGCTAGACGGTAGCGAGTTATACTATGCAACAGGTCATCTAGGCGCATTTCATGCGAACTGTGAGTCTGGGCCGTCATTAAATTTGATGCATCTCTAGTCACTCAGCGTGCTAGCCGTGCCGAGGGTGTAGAGTGCCCCTCATTGGCTACGATTCCCAATTTTTTCAAATTTCTATTTTTCATTTTTTTTTGTTTCTAGTATACCATTGTCTTTTGAAACCACCTGGCAGAAAAAGTTTCACACCGCACGATTAGAACGACTAAGCAGTACCACAATTTTGGTATGCGTACTCCGTTTTTTCTCTCATTTTTTTTCTTTGGGAATACGTTAAAACCAAAAAATTATCAGAACCTACAGCAACGTTTCTTGTTCTACATATCTTTCCTCCTCTCACTTGCTCCTTCACTGTCACTCCCTATACTCTTCCACCTCTACAGTTTTTTAGTGGCAGTTAGCCCTACGCAAATGTATTATGGAAGCCACTTATATACCGGAAGCTCTTGTTGTCGTAACCCTTCAAGGGATGGTCGTAGGATTCTCGTTTGAGATATTCTTCAGATTTCTATTCGCCAAAAATGAGCCACGGAGACGAGTACGAATATTAAAATGCTTGATGGGACTGAGTATGGGCTTGAAGCTCCTATTATTCCTAGCTATGAATTGCGCGTAAGTCAGCTTATTACCAAACCAAAGCATGAGAAAAATAAGCAACCATCCTGTATTGTATCATTTGATGAAGTGCATGCATATTAATCGACTTTTCTTGTCTTTCCTAGGTTGGGTCTAACGGCATGTTCAGTGGTCGGAAGATTGGGTGACTTACTTTACCATGTATCCATGGTATTTGGTAACGCTGTCCTGCTGGATAGGGTAGCGACTATAGTACCTTCACATCTAACGAAACGGTTCGAAATTGCACATTATATTATACTTGCTATTCGATCAGCCATCGGTATCATAGATGCAGCTATCGTCACCGTTGCTGCAGCTGACAACCTATCGTGTGTATATCAAGATAATATCGCTGTAAGTTCTACCCTCAATGCACCTGGTTTCTGCCATTTAGTCATTACTCACCTTTTCATCCTAGTGGGGCCCTGTCTATACATTTTATGATACCTTCACCGACTTTTATGTGACATTATGCATCACAACCATTCTGATAATGCATGTCCGTAAGGTTAAGAATGTTCATATGGCCACCAATATCAATTTATTTATTGCGATCGGTGCGACCAACATCTTGAGGACTATTGTTCTAATGATCTCCAACTTGGCTTCAGCCGTTCTTATCCTGACCGAAGAACGACAAGCAGTCATCATGATAGCTTGGCCGGTCATCAATCTCCTCTTCATCTTACTGGTTGGCTATGATACCGACATTGCTCGCCTTATCCGTAAAGCTCAACGGCCACGATCCCATCATAACAATTCGTCTCGTACAGGACTTACCCCTCATCCTGACGGATGCGAGAATTATTCGTCGGATAAAATGCATTCAAATCAGTCATTACCAGTAGTTTCCCCACATCCAACTGAAAACATCTACCAACTACAACCTACCACCCATGACCCTCTATCCCGTTCATCACCAATTGATCCCGAGACGGGCCAAAGCTCACCATCCATTGTATGTGATGAACAAATGTTCAAAGATTTACCTGTTTGAAAGACAGCAGTTACCGAAGCCGTCTTTTATGTACCATTAAATGTAGTTTAGACTATAATACAATTATACATTCATGCCTCTATTCAAAGGGGATCATCTAAACAATAACGAATTTTGTCTGTGCGTGAAATTATGTTTAAGGAAGTCAGCAAGTATCTTACCAGGTATACAACAACCAATTCAATTTATTTTTGTATGTTTTCGTTCTTTTCCTTGCTGTACGGGTTTTTTTTTTAACTCAATCTCCCTCCTCCATAGTAAGCCCGTAGTCGTTACTTGTATGACTGTGTACCACAATGGAGCAATCATAGTCAACTGTCTACGTGGCCACGCCTTTCTTGCTTTACGTGCATGTTGAAATACAATTGCTTTATGGAGCGACACGTATAATATAGCGTTTGGAAGTCGATGGAAAATTATAGAATCCAAGGTCTTGTTTATACCAAATTTTTTCGAAGCCTTTCACTTAAACTAAAAATGATGATGCGCAAGCTGAGATTCACCAAGCCAGCACCTGCTACGACTCTTATCTGCAAAATCATGCACTGATCCACAAGTTTGGTGGGCAGGTGTCTTTTGAAGATCTTTCAATGCATTTTTATAAATAGAGCTTTACAACTTTTGACTATAACAATTTCATTGATGCAAAATTTTGCCTGTAGAAGTTTTCATCTAGTTTATTGGTGTGTGACGTTTACGGGGCAGATTACATTCATTGGCCAGTATTAGCCAGCTGGGCTTGTGCTGTCAGGCGTTGTGTGACGTGGCAGGATTAAAAAATCCATGAGCTTGAGATGTTGCAGTAGATCATTGGCCAGCGGAGTATTGAAAGATTTCATTATATAAAAAGCTATCGCTCAGGGCTACTTGGGGTTTTCCTTGTTCACAACAACCTCTCTTCTCACTTTATCTCACATAATGTCACAGAGGAAGACGGTGCTCCTTGCACTTTTTGCTCTGGTGTGTGCGTTGTTTGTCGCTGCACCTGTTGCTTTTGCCGCTGAAGATGCTGATGCATATGGCACTGGTAAGTACACAAAAGGGAGAGACGTGCAAAAGGAGAAATGTACGGATCACTAACCACGTCTTCTTTGTTGTAGTTATTGGTATTGATTTGGGAACTACCTACTCTTGCGTTGGTGTTCAAAAGAACGGACGTGTTGAAATTATCGCTAATGACCAAGGAAACCGTATTACCCCCTCATATGTCGCTTTCACTGACGAAGAACGTCTGATCGGTGATGCCGCTAAGAACCAATATGCTGCCAATCCCGAACGTACTGTTTTCGATGCCAAGCGTCTCGTCGGCCGTCGTTTTAACGATAAGGATGTCCAGGCTGATATGAAGCACTTCCCCTTCAAGATCATCAGCAAGGACGGAAAGCCCAACATTAAGGTCGCTGTCAAGAACGAAGATAAGATCTTCACTCCTGAAGAAATCTCAGGTATGGTCCTCACTAAGATGAAGGAGACCGCTGAAGCCTATCTTGGCAAGAAGGTCACCCACGCCGTTGTTACTGTCCCTGCCTACTTCAATGACGCCCAACGTCAAGCCACCAAGGATGCTGGTACTATTGCCGGTTTGAACATTCTCCGTATCATTAACGAACCTACTGCCGCTGCTATTGCCTACGGTCTTGATAAGACTGGTGGTGAACGCACCATTCTCGTCTACGATCTTGGTGGTGGTACCTTCGATGTCTCTCTCTTGTCCATCGACGATGGTGTCTTTGAGGTCTTGGCTACTGCTGGTGATACCCATCTTGGTGGTGAAGATTTCGATAACCGTGTCATCGACTACTTTGTCAAGCAATGGAAGCGCAAGAACGACGGTGAGGATATCACCAAGGACAAGAAGACCATGGGTAAATTGAAGCGCGAAGTCGAGAAGGCAAAGCGTTCCCTTTCCTCCCAAATGTCCACCAAGGTTGAAATCGAATCCTTCTTCAATGGCAAGGACTTCTCCGAGACTTTGAGCCGTGCCAAGTTTGAGGAATTGAACAACGATCTCTTCCGCAAGACTCTTAAGCCTGTTGAACAAGTTCTCAAGGATGCTGGTCTCAAGAAGAACGAAGTTGATGATATCGTTTTGGTCGGTGGTTCTACTCGTATCCCCAAGGTCCAGACTCTTTTGGAAGATTTCTTCAACGGAAAGAAGGCCTCCAAGGGTATCAACCCTGATGAAGCTGTTGCCTATGGTGCCGCTGTTCAAGGTGGTATTCTCTCTGGTGAGGAAGGTTCTGATAAGGTTCTTCTTCTTGATGTCAACCCCTTGACTCTCGGTATCGAAACCACTGGAGGTGTTATGACTTCACTTATCAAGCGTAACACTGTCATTCCCACCAAGAAGTCTCAAATCTTCTCTACTGCCGCTGATAACCAGCCTACTGTTATGATTCAAGTCTTTGAAGGTGAACGTGCCATGACCAAGGACAACAACATGCTTGGCAAGTTCGAACTTACTGGTATCCCCCCTGCTCCTCGTGGCGTTCCCCAAATTGACGTTACTTTCGAGATTGATGCCAACGGTATCCTTCGTGTCAGTGCTTCCGACAAGGGAAGCGGCAAGTCTGAGAGCATCACCATTACCAATGACAAGGGTCGTCTCTCTCAAGAAGACATTGAGCGTATGGTCCGTGAAGCTGAAGAATTCGCTGATGAAGACAAGGCTCTTCGTGAACGTACTGAGGCCAAGAATGCCCTCGAGAACTACCTTTACTCCCTCAAGAACCAAATCTCTGACGACTCTCAGTTGGGAGGTAAACTCGATGCTGACGATAAGGAAGCTATTGAGGAGGCTCTTAAGGAAAAGCTTGAGTGGTTGGACGATTCCAGCGTCAGCGCCACCAAGGAAGACTTTGATGAGAAGCGTGAGGAAGTTGAAGCTATTGTCAACCCCATTACCAGCAAGTTGTACGCTGGTGGCAGCGACTCTGCTTACTCTACTGAGGACGAAGAGCCCTTGTCTGGACACGACGAGTTGTAGATTACCCATACACACACAATTTCCCTCCGAACATTACATTTTTCGCGCAGTTATTCCTTTTTTTTTTTTTTTATATTACTGGATCTTTGGTCTCTTCACCTTAGCCGTTCAAGAGAGAAATCAAAAGAAAAACTCTAGACATGTTTATATTGTGAAAATTTGAAACTTTAAAGTAATAAATTCCTCCATTCCTGGTGTTTTGGAAGACCAAACTATCGATGTGAGTGACGATAACACTGAGGCTGAAAACAGATTGTAGGGCAACACCCTTATTTATCAGCTTACATACACAACAGCTCATTTGCGATATAAAGGCAATACGCGTTCCATGCTGGTACAATTGTAGCAAAATTTGCAGACTTTTTGTATTGTGTTTGTCAAAGTATGTAAGAAAAACAATAAACGATTGGGGTAATCCTACAGGACAAAAGAAACTAACGATATGCTTCAATCTGAAAAGGTATAGAAAGCGGTATATGGAGTTTTGGAAATGGTGCACATAAGGGGTTTTTGGGGATATACTTTTTTTTTTCTTTTTCGTTCTTGCATGCAAGGCAGTTTGTGGGGGGTTACGTTGATGGCTGGGAGCCTAGGGCATTCCACATTCTGCCATACAAGCTGGAGCGCTTGGGAAGAGGGGCACGGGCAGGGATTGAGTCAGTAGACGCACGCCCTAACCTTAAATCGATAGGAGACAATGGTACATTGCTGTTGTCGAGGGACAATCGACCGCCAGATGCCAGGATGGAGAGGGGGCTTTTATCCAGGGTCGTGCGTGGTTTTGGCGACGAAGCAGTTTCTAATTCAACAATGCGTAGTTTAGCTTCAGCAAGCATAGATTCTAACTCGCTGCACCTTTCGTCGTCTGATTCAAAAGGCTGTCGATTCGCGATATGGGTGGTATGTCGTCGACCAAGGGGAGGTGAAGCGGTCGAATCAACCACAGCAGGACGACGGTTACGTTCAGATCTGGGTTTGGCTGCCTTATTTGCTTCCAAATGCACACGTTCGCGTTCAGCCATCAGACGCCGTAAGTTGTCATATTCCTGTGCCATGGTAGCTTTTTCTTTCTCAGCTTGGAGTCGTGCTTGATCCAACTGATCGTGCTCGTCTTTCATGGATAACAACTTTTCCACAAGTGCCATTTGTGCGTCTTTCGCCATTTCATGTTGAGACTTAAGGTCAGCTAATTCTTCACAAATTTTCTCCAGTTTCTGCTGAAGCTCAAATACTTCCAGTCGACTTTCCGGGTCACGCTGGCATCGCAAGTCGTCGCCATCAGGGACTGATGACACCATAGTTAGACGAGTGTATTCGGTAAATGAAGTAGCTGTTGAAGTGGCTTCATGACTACTGTCGCTTGCGACGCTGGTACTATCATCACCGCTGCTGCCGGAAGGTTGTTCGTCTCTATCACAGTTGACGGTGTCATGATTCAAGCTCTTTGCCTTTTCGAGTTGCAACACCTTGCGTTGCAACTGATCTCGCTCCGCTGTCAGGTCCGAGTTTTGCATCATACATTGTAATTTTTCTTGGGAAATTTGCATGTTATCCTTTTGCAATTGTGATAACGCAGATACAAGATCTTCAATCTGCTGGTGCAGTACTGCATCTGCAGCTCTGGGTGATTGCACTGGTATGTATTCGTCACAAGCGGAAGGTGGTAGTTGAGAAGAGATCTTGGACACTGAGTTACCTCGTATTAAACTGCCGATGCTCTCTCTTTTCTTTGCGCTCCGTTTAGTCTCCTTTTCCTCATCACTGGCCGCACGCTTGTCTTTGGTTGGTCCAGTAGAATCCCATAGCCATTTGCCAGATTCGCGGTTCTTCTTCTTGGTTTCGTCACTTGTTGTACTGGATGCCCGCTTCCAAAAGTTGAGTCTAACCGCCATCACTTCCTGCGATCGTTTCTTTTCCTCCTCAATGTCTGCCAAGTATTGATCCGAAAGTTGATCCAACTTGTCTCTCGTGATAACATCACTTAGGGCCATGGCGTCGGCAATGACAAGCGTAGAGTTGCTCTGGTAAGGTTCATGTAGCTTGGAAGTCAAAAAGTCAAGGACCTCTTCAAATTCTCCCATGGCAAGAATGTCATCTTCCGATTTTTTGAGCATAGCAATGGCTATTCGCATAATGGTCTCCGCAGCTCCTTCAGCAAAGATGATATCATAGATGCGCATTACCAGTGATATCGGGAATGAATAGGCAAACAGTGTCAAAAACCATTGGGATGCATACATGGGTGGATGGACCGAAAGGGCATCCAGGTGATCGGACAGTTTTGGCAATATTTGAGCCAACAATGATGTGAACTGATAAAGTCGAAGTTGTAGACCTTCCATGTTCAAAGTAAACATGGTTCTCATATCATAGGTTTCCATGAGTCTGTTGCAAAGAGAACGAATCTTCGAATATTAGCTATTTGTCAGTCAAAATGGAGACGGTCAGGGATGCGTACTACTTACCTAACAAATACACAGAACGCTTTTTGTTCAGGCATCTATGATCGACGCATCAAATCAGAACCGACTATTCCATTACTTTCATCTCGGCAATTCACCACACTTACATTCATGAGCAACGGACCAACCAAAAAGGCTAGGCCTTGGCAGTATCCCACATAGGAATCGTACAAGCTGTAGGCTTTCAATACACGTTCCATAGCCTTTTGTCCGTCTCCTCCTTCCTTCTTGAACATCTCGACATGCGGAAAAGTACGTGCAAGATCTCTCTGGATGACTCGATCATAAGGCGATCGCTCTTGGATAAGCTGAGGATAAACTGCTTCCAGGTTCAGGGAGGCGGCTTGAGACATAGCCTGCCATACTAGGCCGCGAAGCTTATGAGGTACACCTGCTCGGAGTTTAGCTGAAACAAGATGGGACAGCTTCAAAGCAACGGTTGGAAAATCATCTATCAAGGCACCCCAAAACTCCCAGTCAATATTGCCGTCATCCGCAGCAGGAGTGTATTGGAAGGCAGTCTTTAAAGGGGATGTAGGAATACTGGCTTGAACATCTTCATCCTCTTGATAGGGGGTATTTGTCGAGTGGGTTATAAGACTTTGCAAAGTTGAAAAATGAGCTTTTAGCTCATTGGACTGGATGCAAATGGATTTTGGATCTTCATCCAGCAAGGCGTTCTGCCGTTCGATCTGTGCCAAGATAAATTCTGTAGACTCCTGTTTAGTACCAAAAAAAAAGTATAAGAAAATCGTGTATGAAGATTATCAGACGTCAAACATGGAACATAATCGTACTTGAGGCGGTAGTTTTGCATTTTCCTCCTCTAAACGCTTGAGCAACGGACTTTCGTGGACATCATCTTCGGTTGGATCAGACCGGATCTGAGGGTATAGTCTAAAGTTTGGAATAGAGTTGGGTATACGACGTCGCTGAGCAATAGTCATGCTTGTATTTTTGCGGGGTCTCGGAGCAACGGTGAGTCGCTGTGGCGGTAAACTCTTTGATGGCATCGGAGACTGGCTAGGAGAATGTATATCATCTCTTTGCAAGATTTCCTGCATGTTAGCGGGCGATGGATTTTGTTGGTAAGCTTTTAAAAGACTGAATGTTTCTTCGTTATAGGCGGAGGATCCATTATTTAGGGTCGATAAGGCATCCAAAAGTTGCGACTTTCGCACCGAGTCAGGGCTATTTAAGGCGGACGTATCGACCAATACTCCAGGTATAGGTACTCCCGGGTCCAGGGCCAAATTCTTGATCATGACGGCGGGATGGAGCAAATCAATGGAATGATATAGAGAGCAGATCACAAAAGATGGCGAGAGAGAAATGGATGGAAGGATGGATACCACAGCGTAGTTAGCTTGGTGATTTTTCCCCCTGTCACACACGAACACGCAAAATGCAGAAGGAAAATGAAATTGTTTGTGAGTGACTTTTCTATGCACTGGGCTGCTTGGCTGGCTTGGCTGAAAGTGAAGTAGGAAAAAAAAAACACAATTTAGCCTATTATTGCTCCTGTCGCCCTTCTTGGTCGTAACCTACTGCCTCATAATTGGTGTTAACACCTGACCCTTCGTTCAAGACCGGCTCACATCCTAATCGTAACCTCGTTTTTTTCATATTTCTTCCGCTGCTGGGTCTATCACGTCTTTTTATTTTAACTTTTAGTAATAAGAAAGCTGTATGATGTCTAAAATGGTGCAGCCAAGAATGAGAACATGCAGAATATGATAAATCTATCTTAGCCTTTACACTTCAGTACTTCTTTCGCACAAAAGCGATATCATGTTGTCGTCACCATTGGCAAAAATGTGTATTGGGGAATGTTAAAGCACTATTTTGGCGAGGTCAAGGCATGTTCCTTGCAAAGTAGCTGATATGTTGATGTTTGGAATATCAACCATGTTATTGTTATTGTATTTTGGCCGCTGCTCGCCCGCAAGGGACAATATCCTTCTCTTTAAACAGGTTTTGGATGTTTTTACCAACGGTCTTGACAACGTACAGATCAAGAAAATCCATTTTATATACAGTCTTAAGGAACTTTATGAAAGAAAGTTGTCCTACACAGAGTTTATTTATGAAGCATAAATGTAACAGTCAAAGATTTATTCCAATACAGAGCATGATTATGGGAAGAATACTATTTAATTTATCTGTAGGTGCAGTGTTGGGAAAGTGTATTGGTGATTTCATAGAAGCCATCTGATCAATGAGGAAGATACTATTTCCACACATATCACAGCGGTACGATCTCCTGCTGCTACTGTTATGCGTTGATTTCAAAGTTTGTGCCACTTTTGGGAAACGCCGAAACCGTAGATAAAAGTAAGCAAAAAGAAAAAAGACTGTTAAGCTCCACCAATTGGCAAAGACATCGACCATTCAGAATGAAAAAAAGTGTTATATCACTAGTATGCTGGATGGCAGCATTAGGTCAGTAATTACAATTCTACCACTTGCCTCGAACGACAATGCTCACACTAGCTCTCCGCTTCAAAATAGGTCTGGCGCATAAGCCAGGTAAACACTACGTCGACGGTACAGCCGTAATAACTCTTCTTTACTGACGCTTTATAAAAACTCTCAAGTCGTATTATGGCATGGAATGGGTGACTCATGCTGTGACCCGGAATCGATGGGAAGAGTAGCAGGGTTGATCCAAGAGGCGCTTCCGGGAACTTTTGTACATAGCGTGCAGATAGGGGATGATCCCGATAGTGATGCCAATGCTGGATTTTTCGGTAACATCAATGAACAGGTCAGTTAACTTGATCATCAGAGGGTGATATTGACGTAAGGCAAAAGTACTCAAATGACTGTGTAACAGCTAGAGAAGGTTTGCAATGATTTGGCGGAAATACCTGAGCTCCAAGACGGGTTTAATGCCATTGGCTTCTCACAGGTAAGTCAATGTATGAGATTCAGAAAAATATGCGTGTAAAGACCCGGATCTGAACGTGTATTTCATATCGCTGCAATAGGGTGGACAGTTTCTAAGGTAAGTGATGAAAAGTGGCCGCGTGAGCCGCCGGTTAGCCTCGGGTGTCCCCCCCCCAAATGGCTAACATTCTCTCTTTTCTAGGGGATACGTTCAACGCTGTAATCAGCCCGCTATCCATAACCTAATAACATTTGGCTCTCAGCATGCTGGTGTTTCGGACATACCTGGGTGCGCAGATCAACCTGATTTCCGCTGTAACTTGATGAGGAGTATAGCACGGAGAGGAGTCTACACAGATTATGTCCGCAAGCATATCATTCAAGCGCAATACTACAAGGATCCCAAAAATTACGACGGTAAGTTGTCAAATACGCGTTGACTTTTGTCAAAATGCATTCCTAACCTAACATGACATTATATTTTTAGTCTATTTAAACAAGAATATTTTCCTCCCGGACATCAACAATGAATTTCTTCTTCACAAGAACAAGACATATAAGCAAAACCTGCTGTCTCTGAATAAGCTAGTATTGATCAAATTTGCGGAAGATGAAACAGTTCGTCCAGCGGAGAGTGCGGTAATTTTATTTTCAGGGATCGACAGTTTTGGTTCAGTCGCGTTTGCTTTACTGACGTTTTCGTTACTCAATAGTGGTTCTGGTTTTATAACGAGGAAGGTGATCTCATTCCTCTAGAGGATCAGCCTCTGTATACTAAGGACTGGCTGGGATTAAAGACACTCAATGAGGATAATCGGATCGACTTTGAGGTTTGCCCAGGAGCTCACGTTCGTATCAAAAATAGCATGTTCCATCCATCCGTTATTGACATCATACTAAAGTGAGAATTTTTTTCCTCGGTTCATCCATCGTCGCGTCTCCTCTAGATGCGCATCTCAGACGAATATTTGATTATGATTGTTTCAAAATATCTTTCATCCGATCTACCGCTCCTCATGCAACAGACGCCCGCATAATGTATACAACATATTTGCTATCTTCACTAGCTTTTCTTACTAGGGTTTTTTCAAAAGTGGGTTTCTTTATTTACATCCGCATACATTTCTGAGAAGACAATGCGCTTGGTTTTCAAAATTACCTTCCGCTCACGATGATGTCCATATAATTTTCCCAATACAATTGAATAGAGCCAGATTGGCTTGTGTCGAGGCGTCCAAAGGTATCAGTCGCCTGCTTGCAAGTGATGCATAGATCGATGAAGGATGGAAAGTCTATATCATCCGGTAATCGACGACCTTTCTGTATTTTACCTTGCATCAAGTTTTGTTTATGAATCATGAGGTGTATCAATCTTGGTGGCAACCGAATCCCAAAAGCAGCAAGAGCGTTCTGAAGCTCAGAGTGGGAGATCCGTCCACTGCGATCGGCATCAAAACTGAGAAAGATCGAATGCCACTGACTAAGATATTGCCACAATGCATTCAATGCCGGTGGTGTGAGTGTAGGAGGACCTTGGGTACCTGGGGGTGCGAAGGACCGTGCGAGTTTAAACGCTGCATACAAAAAGATAAGTATAGATCAAACTGGAACAGAGCGACCCAACTATTTTCGTTTTTATTCCATCCCTTGTTTGCATTGATAACTCGCCCCCCGAAGATGTCACTTTGACCGACCTCAATTTCGTGTGGTCGGTCGGCTTTGGTGGACCTCCACTCCGGGAGCCACCTCCACCAAAACCTATCCCCGTCAAAATAAACGAAAACTATAATCTTACCTGTGTCCTGATCAAATGGAGCCCAAAGTGAGCTGCCACGATCGTTCAAAAGATTGTGCATCTCATCCAAGGTCAAATGACCTTTCTGACCGCGATCATATCGAGAAAACCACTGTTGAGATTCAGCATCGGATGGGGGTGGGTAGGTCATTATGTGGAATAAAAGGGCAGAGGGAGCGGTGGAGCGAGTTGAGGCGAGGCGAGGTGGGGCTGGTTAGTGCTGAATATGGGATGTGTGAGGTAACAGTCAGCCAAAAATAAACCTGAGAGAGAAAATCCGAATTTCCAGACTGTTAAGCTTTAACCAGTCCCTTACGTGACCCAAGGCTACGTATCTCGTTTTGGCAGTGGCAATGACAACAATCGAGAATTCCATACGCTGGTTTCAAAACAAGGCAATTGCTTGATGTCACGTTATGACCCCAAAAAACTTGGCACCATAAGGATGTCGGGACCCTATCATTTGGTGTCAGTAAAGGAGCGACATGGAAATAGGAGAAAGCGGCGGGCAGAAGGAGAGATTATTGAACAGTCTGGGGCTCTTTTTTTTTTGTAAATGTCTAAATTTTTCATGGTGAATGGGACCTATTGACGTTCTTTATCCCTCCCCCCAATCTCCTTGGCTATTTTACTAATGGGGCAATGCTTTTTTTTTTTTTTTTGGCTGGGATATTTTTTGCAACATGGTCCATTTTGTGAAGAATAACAAACGCTATAAATACATAGTCCCATTCGTCGCAACTACGTATTTTTCTTTCCTGCAAACGTCTTCATCCTCACCTCTTTTTCTTTTCAATCTCCATGCACACATTCTTGCTGACGGTGTTGGCGGTATACCTATTCGTTGGCTCGGTGCAATGTCGTCCTCTGTACTCTCTAGCATTGTTATCATTAGGCGGCCTAGAGCAAGAACCCGTCTTACTGCCAGACTTTGCGTCATCCATTTTTAATGCCAATCGTGAAAAAGTCTTGGCTCTAGAAAAGTCTTTTACCGAACCACCCTCTAGTGCAGATGGGACTAGCTTATCGATCACCGACGTCAATGACAGGTCCATCGAATCAAACCCCGATCTATCGACTGCAGCTTCCGCAGCTTCTTCACCGGCAGCGATAGACGACGAAGTATATGAAGATGACGAGGATGACGAAGTAGATATGACTCGCATCATTGAGGAAGATTTTGATGTTGATATCAACCGTTTTGCCCAACTCCTTTCTGTCCATCTCTTATTTGATCACTTTGAGAATGCCGTCACCAATTTGTCTAAGAAAGTATCTCGCCGCTTTCAAGAAACGATCCAGTTCAGCATTCTCTATGGAAACGGAGACTCTGATATCATCACCGAGGAATCTATTGGTTCAGGCAACGAAATGACGTTTGATATTCAAGTTCTCAAAGGACAAATACGAGGTGCAGTTGGATGTAAGTACAAATTCCTACCTGTAACAAACCCTCCCCCCTTTAATTTACTAATTTGGCTCTCAGCTTTTATTGAGGATAATCTACCCAATGTATGGTATCAACATGCAACCTCATTAGATAAAGCATCTTTGCAGCAACAAATTCGCCAAATCACCATGTCTCTCTGCGGACCTTACTCAAACAAGGAGGATACCGTATTGTATTCTTGTATTGCCGAACACTCCAATCAACTTCAATCTCAGATGGACCGCTTCGTTGGCAAAAATCTGGATCGAACCCTGGCATTTGTCACCAAACGTGAACTTCCCCGTCTATTCGAAGCAACTGCATCTGAAGTCCACAGTGTTTTGCTTTACTTCAACCGACATGTCCTCCTTAGCAGCGACAAGAGACTTCAAATCCAACTTGCTCGCCAAGCTGAGGCCACAGAGGAAGAGTGGATTCGCAAGGAAGTTGGCGACGTTTTTGAAGCCGCCGCTCACTGGGAACACGGTTCTGATGAGGACCAAACCGTCAATTCGGTTGCAAAGTTTGCTCAACTTGCAAAAGCCTAAAGATAACCTACATCTCCATACCAACTCTTCATTCCATAGCATATTGTAAATACCTATCATAGCATACCCCCCCCTCTCAATGTAAATTGCACCTTCCACTCATTCATCCCCCTCCCTTCCTGTGCTTATAACACTCTGCTACATAGTTTCAACAACATCAACTGTATATTTTATCTTTACTTGATTGTTTGATAAACCCTTTCTCCTTTTTAAAAAGGTAATGAAAAACCGCTGTGAAAATCGCCACTCTGAAAGGTCGGCTAACCGGGAAAGAGAGGGCACATGCCAAGAAAACCACGTATCCCAGGCATACCGTCTGCAACAGTTTATTAACCATTTGTCCCCCCTGCTGTGGATCACAATTTAATTATAGCTCTGACCATTATCTGATGGACGAACGTTGTTGCACAGTCGGATAGCTTCACTGCGGTCAAAGTGTCGAATATATTTCTTTCACTGTAACTTGCACCTTAACCAGGTGTCAAAAAAAAAAAATTGTCAAACAAGGAAAAAAACAAAAACACAAAAAAAAATAGAGCCAATGTCGTCGGATGCGATTGCCAATCAGGTGCACTCTGCCGTGAGTTTATCAAATCAACAGTTGAGCAGGATTGAATCTAGCTTCCACACGTAACACAATTTAATGGGCTTTGATAAGCAGTAACGAAAGCCACCCTGCTATCCGACCTGCCATAGAGACAAAATGGCAGAGGAGCCATATGTGAGTGACCGGGCTGGTGGTAATAAATCGTAAGCATGCTTTCGTCAGGCAAACGTCTCACCCCGATTATCCTTCATTCATTCGCAATTTTTGCAATAATTTCACGAGTCCCTTTGTCCTTGCAATACTTCGTTATCCCATTTTCATTTTAATTTTGTTTACAATATCCCATTGTTATTCTTCATGACCACATTTATAAAATATTTCCTTCTTCGTCCTGTTTCTTTCTAGAAAGCCCCTGACCCAACAATCTTCCTAAAGACTATATAATATATGATAAATTGCAGCGTATTAAAATCAAATTTTTTGCTTCTCACGACAATATTCGGTATGGATTTCAAATCCAAAGTTTATTTTTCCTTTAGATACGAGATACTCAATACATAGTAGGAGACAAATTAGTAGATGAAGTAGGGAGGAGGGCGAATCTAGTTCTTGAGTTGAATGCGAGGCGAGGTCCAAGTTTCATAGTCAGAGTTCTTGGCGGGGTTACCAAACTGCTTCAGAGCTCTGAACTTGATCCAGTAATAACCATCAGGAGCAGCAACACTGGAAGCAGTCTGCTTGAAACCCTTGGGAACGTAAGATCCTTGCCAGGTGGTCTGGTAATATTGGGCACCCGATTCCAAAGTGTTACGAGGGATGTAAGCCAAATCAGTCTCGGTATAACCGATGAATTGCTTGTTGTTGTCCAAGAGTTGAGCTTCAATATAGGCGGTACCACTGAGAAGACGGTACACAATGTAGGGAGTAGTGGTATTAAGATTGCTACGGTCTAAAACATAGGTTTGCTTGCTGGTGTATTCCGTAGAAAGGTCGTTGGAGTACAGACCAAGCAGAGTAGTATCAAAAATGGGAAGATCCTTGTTGTTGCCGACGACACCGAAGTAAGGAACATGAATGGTCTTTGCATTACCGGAAGCCTTGAATTGAACAAATCCACCATAGTGAATATGATCCTTGGGGTTGGTCTTGGGAGGAACAACAGATACCTTGACGGTGACAGTCTTACCGGGATTGACGGTAATGCGGCGAGTAGAGAAGCGGAGTGTAGCAGAGGCACTGGTGTAAGCGATGGCAGGAAGAGGGGTATAGCCGCTGTTGGCGACATCGAAAGGAGAAACAGCCAAAGACTGGTTGTTGGAGATGGTGTAGGTAATAGCAGTCTTTCCCTTGTTGGAAACCTTGAGGGTGACCGACTTGACCATATGAGCAGTGTCGTTGAAGCTGATTTGAGCAGGAGACACATGACCAGCATCCTTGATGGTATCAACGATTTGAACAAGACCAGCACCTTGGCGAATGGGGTTATCGAGTCCATCCATACCGTTAGTGACAGGAGCCAAGTGAGCAAAGTTTTGGAACTTTTCAAGGATATAAGTAGGGTCTTGATGCTTTCCAGTAGCCTCCAGGAACAAGGCAATAGAACCGGAGATGTAGGGAGTAGCCATACTAGTACCAGAGTAAGTTCCATAGCCACCGAGATACAAAGGAAGAGTAGAGAAAACTTGACCACCAATACCAGCAATATTGGGCTTGAACTGATTCTCGTTCAATGGACCAATGCTAGAGAAGGAAGAAACGGTGTCGGAGGTGGCGATGGCAACAGCAGTATAATCGGTGTAAAAGGTGGCAACGGCAGGACGCTGACCTTGCACAATGGCGAAGATGGCTTCTCCAGCTTCAGTAGAGATACCAGCAACAGGGATCGTGTTGGTGGTGGAACCAGGAGAGAAAGCACCACCACCGCTTTGATCGTAAACCAACATGGCAATGGCTCCAGCAGCTTCAACTGAGGCAGCCTTCTCATCGAAAGTACATCCTCCACGACGGACCAAAGCGATCTTGCCGTTAACATTAGATTGAACAGTAGAACCAATACAAGCGTCGTTAGTGACAGTATCTGAAGTGGCAGAGGCGACAATCGGACCAGTAGCAATGGAGGGAGAGGCATGGGATGACAGGACGTAGGGATACTTGTCATTGAGGTTGCTAACCGTGAAATAGGGAGCAAGGAAAGCAGAGTTATCAAAGGAAGCAACTGTGGTTACGCGCTTGCCAGTACCAGGAGAGCCAATTTGACCATAACCATCAGCGCCAGAGTTACTAGCAGCGATGACAACAGGAACACCTTTTCCGACAATGCGATCAGCAACAACTGATCCGATTTCTTCCTCCCAGTTGGAGCTACCGCCCAAACTCAAGGAGATGACATCGACCTTGGCCTCATAAGCCATAAGCATGGCCTGGATGATAATATCATCACTAACGGTACCAGTGCATCCAAAAATTCTCCACATGCCAAGTTTAGCTTCAGGAGCTACACCGGTGAAATTCTACAAAACATTCAAGGATCGTTTAAAATCATGCAACCATCATTGTTTGCTGTAATGGTCGTCTGAAACTTACATATTTATGATCATCAGCGGCAACAATACCAGAAACATGGGTTCCGTGACCTTCGGCTCCAGAAGCAGCGCCGCAGGCATCAAGGGGATCGTTATCAGGTACGGGGTGGGGGTTTTTATCGGCATCATAAGCATCGCCTACAAGATCGTATCCGAGAGCAACTTTGCAGCCTGTTAATTAGCAGCCACATGAAAAATTTGGGAGTGTAGCATGGAGCAAAAATAGAAAGAAAAAAAACAAACGGATGGGATCAGTTCAGGTGTTTCCGGGGAAATTAAAAAAATATCTGCCTTTGCGACTCAGGCACGTCAGGGCATTAAATGAAACCTGGAGAAAATTTACTTACCCTTTCCAAAACACCCTCCGAGAGCAGGATGAGTGTAATCAACACCTGAAGAGGAGCGTGATCAACGATTGATGCAGTCATAATACGTCAATAACTTCCGTTTCGCTTACCAGTATCCAAAATACCAACAGTGAGGCCCTTGCCATAGTAACCATAATTGTGAGCGGAGGTGACTTGGGTGAGGTTATGTGCGAACATAAGCTCAGGGGAGTTGGAGTGGGACTTGGAGACAACAGTGACCTTGGGGCGCTCTACGATGGTGTTAGGGTAGATGGTGCGAACCTCTGGGCTCTCGGCAAAAGCAGCCAAAACACCACTTGAGCCGGTGTGATGCAAAGATCGCTTTGAAACGCCATTGACGGAAGCAGTGTTACCGATCTTGACGGACATACCCTTGAACAGAGGACTGTCGTAAGTCTGGCGCATGGTGATATCAGCGTTTTCGAACTTGCTGGCAATGGATTTCAAGAAGGAGGAGTGAGAACCAGTGTAGGAAGTTTCTAGTTCGATGATATAAGAATCAGCAACTTTCTTGCTGTTCTTGCTAAGTTTGATCTTGGGATGTTGGGCTGCGTCAACGACGGACAGCACTGTCACCAAGGCGGCAGCAAAAAGAGAGATCTTCATTTCAAAAACTCGGGCGAAGCCTGCTGTTTAGTGTTAAATGAGTGATAGATAAAGAGTGGAAGGAGAGGACGTTTCAAAGGAGGGAAAGGGAACTTTTCTCGTGGCTGGAAATAATGCTCCCTTATGTTCCTAGAGCCGATCTTATTTATACCTGAAGTGCCTCAGCTCAATTTTTTCATATTTTTAATTTTCCTATCCCACATAACGTTCAAGTCCCAGAATGTCTACAATGCCCAAACTGGGGAAACTATATTTCTTTGATTATGACTGTGCCTGTGCAACTAGCCCAAAAACTTTCACAAGCTACACTTCAATTTCGACATTCGCGGCGGTTACCCTGTTCACATCCAGAAGATGATTGAATTTGGACTGGATTCTGGATATTGGAAGAAAAATACAAAGCAATAGGCTCTGTGGCAAATGTATGGCGACATGTGGCCAAGTTTGAACAAGCGCGTGTGTAGGGTTAAATTAGATGGACTCATTTTGGCGCTTGATGGCCTCTTCCCTATATTTTGCTGGTATGGCAGTTACCTTTTCAAACTCATTGTTGCCTTATCGAGTTACTGGACTCAAAGTAGTACAACAGTGTCGCACGGAAGTTGTGTAAGGATCGTCGGTAGAGCGGCCATTTGAGATTGCATAGTCCACCCGCATTACCAGGGAAAATGAGTAATCGCTATCTTTCATAGGGGCGAACCCGCAAAGACTTTTTCACATTGAGAGATGTTCATTCTCGCTTTGTAATACCACACATCTAATGCATAAGGCTTTTGTTGACGGTCTGCATGAGGCGTTCCACCATCTAAGATTCTCCACCCACTCACTTAATTTCGGTCGCGTACACGGTCGGCGGCGGTCTGCTTGGGATGGTGTTACATTAAACCTGAGAAAAAAGAGTTAGAAATTATACGCATTATGCATATTAGGAGATAACACCTCTTGAAAGGAATAAGTTTGCTTAGCTTGGTTTCTGCGTTTTCCATGAAGCGGATATAGTCAGTCGAGGTGTTACTACATGCACTTTGAGCAGATGGCATGGTGGTGGTTAGCGCAATTATAATTTTTGCACCTATAGTAGTCCACCGCTGCCATATAAAAAAATAAATCTCGTTATCATCAGTTTCTAAATTTACTCTGCCTATCAAGGGAATATGCCATTATAAACCGCTGCCAGTAAAAATGCTCTTCCCTGTGTCCCAGAATTTCGTTCACCTCATACCGCCATTCTTTTGTTCATCACTTATACCATTCGCTGCCTGACCAAATTCCATCGAATGTAGACGTATAGTTAGCCATCAAAACCGAATAATCATTCCTCGAACAAACGAAGATCATGAATCCCTTTTTATATATACTTGGTAACAGTGGGGAGAATTAATACAGTAGATAGATAGACGATAGACAAAGATCAGTGGGTTAAAAAAGACAATAGATATCCCGAAAGGCAAACGTTATTACACTGTAAAAAGATACTTGATATCTCAATATTGAAGGACAGTGGAGAACGCATAATCCCAAATTTTGGAGGTGATACCATAACCACTATCATAGTTCTTGTAGTGGTGAGCCAGATGGTATTTCTTCATCTCCTTGAGATGCTCAGGAGCATGGATAGACGCATGGTGAAGGAAGTAGTGGGTGCAATCATAGCAAATGTACGCCGCCCATGCGCCAGCCAAAAAAGCATGTGCAAAGCAGAGTGAGAAGGCTGAGTGGGCAAAGAGAACGATTGGTGTGCCTACTATGACTGTCAAGACGGGAGGAAAGACTAACCGGTACCTGTTAACATGCACCAATAGAACGATGTATATTAGTTTCAAAAACGAATTTTTCATTCACAGCAAAGACCAAAAAAAAAAAAAAATTCCGTACTTGTCCATAGGCAAATAATGGTGAATGCCGTGCAGAGTGAAATGAAATAAGAATGCCAGCCAGTGATCTGGTAAATTTTCATCCATATGGAACAAGAATCGATGCAGTGTGTACTCCAGAAGCGTCCATACAAACACTCCGGTTGAAAATCCTTGCACCGTTGATGCCATGGCACCGTGCAGGGATGAATTGTACAGCTGATAAAGGACAAACGGGATCCATACAATTGGAACCATGAACCAAGGGGTTCTGGTAAGAGGTTCCAAAATATGATTCTCGCCAAAATAGGGCGCAGGTTCGGGAAGATAGCGAGGTTTATGTACCTGTTCCAAATACAACTGCTTTGAAAACTTGGATCGCCACAGTTGAGGGAACATAGGCTTTCGAAGGTCCAAAAACCCGTTGTTTTTATGATCGACGGACGGGTTGGTTGGAACATAATATTCTGCTTCGTCGTCATCTGGTACAGTCGGTGATCGATCGACTGTGCCAATGTAGTGTTCATTCAAGAGATCGTAAGCAGCATCAGAGTGTTCGTGCTCCAACTGGTCCTTCATGATCTCGGTCACGTCGGTTCCGGCATGCTCCAAAATCAGATCATCTCCACCGGGATGATCTTGAAGAAACTGCGTTACGTCGTAAACTTTGTCATCCACTATGATCCATGTGGAGTTAGAGTGATTGTGCTTGGCAATCTGTTTTGTGGTGAACGCTGGCATCGTCTAATTTGTGCAAACGCCGAAGCCCGCGACGCTGGGGGGAAAATTACCATCTAACCTTCAAAAATTTAAACGTTGCGGAGACAATGTGACAACTCCCCAAACCAGCCATACTTTCCCGCCCGCCATGTCCAACTGATTTTATGTTTGAATATGTTTAATGCTCATTGGTAATAGAGAGGTATACAGAAATATATATTAACAGAATGACATCAAAAGAAAATAGAGACAATGAAGTTATGAGGTAAACAGGGCTGCTTTTAATAACACACAGCTTCTGATCAAGAGGGATATACAGGTTACAGCTTGTTTGCATGTGAAGGTTGATGGGTGATGTACATTTTTCGACATTTGAAGACAGTGGCATCCAGCTAATTTTGATTGCTTACAATCAATTTCAACCCACAGAGACGCCTAAGGACCAGCCAAAGACTTCAATGGAGTAGTTGTATCGCGGTGGATTTTTCATTGCAGTGGCTGAAGGTGAGCTGTTTCTAGTATCCTGGCTCAAGATGACTGAACCCTCTTCAATATTGTCATTTCGTGAATGAACAAAGAAGGTGACAGCTTTAAGGAACATCAAGAAGAGGATGATATAGTGCAAAGCCATCTTGAGCAAGTAGAACTAAGAAAGAGAAAGAGAAGAGAGAGTAAAGGAAAATAAAAAATAAAAAAATATATATTATTGGAAACAGCCCTTCATCAAAATCTCTGATTGAACCAAGATCATGTGCACATAGCTTGCGCGTGATATACAGTCAACAAGCCAGTGAACTGCTTTGAACCTGTGGTACTTTCAATACAGCCTGGTTTGCCATGTCCGCGACCGGCGAGTACAGCGCAATTGACATGGTCGGCTCAATTTCTTTAGTTTGTTATGATTAGCATGTGATTGAGATATGTATTTCATAGAACGGAGTCTGTCTCCCCTATTTTGGTCTGTTCACTTTTTGTTCGTTCAGCAATAGCCAACGAAGAGTTTGTTGTCCTGCAAGTGCGCACTGGCTGAAAGTTTCAACAAAGGTTACACCAAAAGGCTTGTGAGCAGCATTGGCACAATGGGCGTGGCTCTCACCAAAAAAAGTACAAGTGTCGTTTCGGAAAAGGGCCACTGAAAGAGTCGAGACTGCCATACAATACGATTGTATATTTGCATCCGGCCATCCCACTACTTCAATGATTTCGCCCTCTTTATTTCAGCGGCTCGAGTGTCGCCGGTTTCGGCAAGTCGTGTGCCGTCCTCTGACCGGATAATACACTGCGGCCTTGTAGGATGATATTGCTGCCCTGTGGTTGCGGGAAACAGATACTGTAAATAAAAGACCTTGAAACGATACAGTGATTAAAAATAAAATAAATAAAAAGTTCGAACTTGGCCCAAGAAAGTGCAATGGTATCAATATGACAAATTGGGCCATGGCAGAGCAGCCAGGAACTTGAACGACTTGCGCTGGGAAGACGGTCGGCTGCATAACGTACGATCACGAGTGCTCAGATATTTTTCAATTAATCGAACAGAAAATTGGATGAGGTGCTGCTCATCTTACCAAGTGGATGTCTTCAAAAAAAATTCAATGTGTTTCGAAAGATGACAATTTGACAGCAGCACGCATGAAGTTTTGGGTATTCCAAGACCAAAAAAATAAAAATACGAATTGCTAAGGTGACGGTACGTGTGGTAAATATGAACGACCCCACATTCGTCGCGTTAAAAAAGTCTGCAGCGGGTATTAAAAATGTCGCATTACCAGTTTCAGCATTACTCTCAATCTCTCGGATTGGCGTGATCCACCATGACCAAAACCTCCAAAACTCTTTTCACGGAAAATGAAAAGGTCTTGTGTTTCCATGGACCGCTGATCTATGAGGCAAAGGTATATTGGATCATAAAGACACACTGCTATAATTTGGCCATCCGCGTGCCTATCGACTTGCTAATACCAATTTGAAAATTCCAACAGGTACTACAAAGCGACAACGTTGCAGCCAAAGGATTTCAATACTTTATACACTACAAAGGATGGAAACAAACGTAGGAATTGACATAGGTGTCGCATTAACAATTTCTATCGAAACTACTGACCACAAAAGTTGCGCAGGTGGGACGAGTGGGTACCAGAATCTCGTGTATTGAAATGGACGGATGCCAACCTGGAGAAGCAAAAAACACTTCGCGATCTTCATTCAAAGAAAAAAGCTGAAAAAATTGCAACATCCGGGGAGCGATCAACGGAGCAAAAGTCTACCACCCGTAAAAGATCGAGGGATACTGCAGAAGACACTGTAAGTTAGGGCTATGACGCATTTTTAGATGCACCAGCATGTCTAAGACGGTTTCAAACACTAGGAGGAGGAATACATGAAGAGGATGGAAATAAAAATTGTCATACCGGATGTTCTAAAGGGACAACTAGTGGATGATTGGGAAAATGTCACAAAGAACCAGCAGGTAACTAATTGTCCAGGCACAGAGATCACACATGCTACTTTATTCACCATGACTAATTTTTTGCTTTGGAAACGTTAGCTCGTTACACTTCCACGAAAGCCAAACGTAACGCAGTTATTGCATCAATTTAAAAAAGAGAATACAACAAAGGATAAAAAAGAGGAACAGCAGGTGGAAGAAGTTATTGCTGGACTCAAGCTTTATTTCAACAAAGCATTGGGTTCCATGTTACTGTATAAGTTCGAACGTCATCAATATGCGGATATTCGAAAGAGATATCCTAAGAAAGAAATGTCTGATATCTATGGCGCCGAACATTTATTACGGATTTTTGGTATAGTACCCCCAGTTTCCTATCTATCAATTAAGACTTCGAATGTTCGTCAGTGAACCTGATTATCTTTGTGCTGCAGTCCAGTTGCCAAGCTTAATCACATATACAAACATGGATTCGCATTCCATACAGATACTAAAGGCACACCTGGGGCAAATATTAGAGTAAGTTTGGCCATGCGCTTCCATTTTTTTGAATAGAAGATGTTCCCAACTGCAAGCAGTTATACTAAAGATTCCGTTGATAGCTACATGTTGAAGCACCAAAAAACACTATTCATGAATGAATATATCAACGCTGACCCTGGCTATGTCTCTTTGGCTAAAAATAATTAATTTGTAGTGCAACTCCCGCAGCTCACCCCTTTGTACAGACAGATACCGGCACTTGGTCATGTATTCGAACGCAAATGAAACACATCACTTGTTATTATCATTCCTATGTTTATTTTAAAGTCGGATGCTTGGTATTCTCATATTTAAATACAAAAGTCATGGAAAAAATATGATATAATGAGTTGGCCTGTTGCAGAAGCAATTTCCAAGAACGCCCCAGCTGTCTTCAAACCCCATTGAATTTGCACTCAGTTGCCATATAGAGTCCTCTTCAGTGGCTCCTTCCCCCCATTGACTGAATCTAAAAGACGATCACGCCAATCGAAGCGCTATGAAAGATGATTTAGAACCACTATCGTCAGAGCTTTTGATAGCTGATTTAACAGATGCAGATGATACCGATTCAAAGCACTCTGATGCTGCTGGGTTTGAAGAAGATGTTTTACCATTTTTACTCCAGGCACAAGACATTGTTATGAAATTGGAATCTCGAGTGATGGAATTAGAAGAAGACCTGTTTGTAAGTATTGAATCCAAGTATAACAATTTGAAAATCTTTAATTGTAACATCCTTTGATATTCGCAGACCATTCATTCCAAATATGAATACGATCGGTCCAATTGGATGATCGGCCTGTCACAGAAAGACGAGTACATAGAGTATCTTACGCAGAGGCTTCAGAAGCTCGAGTACAGTAGCAGGCAAGCCATTGTACTATTGTCAGAGGCTGAAAAGGAGGAGTCCAAAGACATGGATGTGGAGACTCTCAAGGACGAAGACACAAGTAACAAAGTATCGCTCAGCCTTAGCTATCTACGACAAGCCCAGCAGATCAACGATGGAAATAGTGATAATCGACACACGATCAATGAGGATTGCCAAGGAGAGGAAGAAGTAGAAGGAGAGGAAGAAACAAAGACCATTGTAAATGGGGATGCGCTGGAAATGAACTTGGATGCCGGTACATCCAGTCAACAAGATGCTACCTCCAACATTGATACCTCCAACCTTGGCCATCGAAACTCTCAATCCATCAAGAGAAGACCCACATCATTTTGTCCGAACTGCAAACAACTACTAGAACAACTGGATCATCACATTGAAGAAAAGGCATTTTTGAAACGAGACTTGAAACATCTAGCGGCCGATCTTGCACAAGAGCAACAAACGCGTGCCAACGTTGCTCATGCCAAGGAGAACTTAGAGAGTGATGTAGATGAACTTGGAAGATCTCTGCTCAAGATTTTAAACCAGATCATCATGGATGAAGCAGAAGAGCATGAAAGTCTACTTCGACTCAATCGCCAAAACGTGAATATTCTGAATGGTATCGTTCAAGCTTGGGATGTGCGACACCATAGGCTCGTAGATATGAAAAACCTGATATTCGAATTGGATTCAGCTATTCAGCAAAGTAGCCAGGTCAGTGGTGTCCCTGAACCAGCTGAAGTTGATGTGAATGCTTCCCAAGGTGAAAACGGTACTCAGTACAAGGAAAGCTCGCCGCGGTCGTCAAGCATATCGGACCAATTCGAAGAATTATTGCATAGCGTATCAGACAACTATGTACATGTGGACGGACGTATTTTTAATGAATTTACTGATCATTTGAAATCCCTCGCGGAAGCGTCCAAGACAGAAAACCAAGCTATACCCCCAACCCCCTTTATGAAACGAATAATGAGAGAAGACATCGATCCATGTCTGTTTGCAGATGCATCTGGGACTTCATGGTGGCGATCTTCTTGGTTTCGAAAGAAGCTCATTGACAATATCGCTACCGGTCGCTGCGAGATACAGCAGTGGCGAGCTGACAAGGAGCCTAGCATGACCGCCACTTCAATACCATCGCCGAGAATGAGTCAAAGGGCGTCCCAGTTCCTTTCATCAAGACACTTACCACCCAAAACCAAGTGCGCTAGCTGCGGTCGAACCAGAGTTTGCGAATTTAGAATGCGATTGCAACCTAGCTATTCCGTTGCCGACCCTTCCCAAACGTCAAGTTTACCGTGGCTCCCGATTGACAGATTTTGTCGAGATCGTTTAGTGGCTGTTTGTGACTTTTACGGATTCTTCTCATATCTCAAGCAAGGACTCATGCTAAACGTTCCTGTGCTCAGTCTATTCAAACAATGCATGCAACACTTGAGAAAAATGGCTGTGGCTAGAGTCGGTAGTATTGGCTTATTTGAGCCAGATCGGATCAAAGAAATAGAGCGTCCATCACGGAAAAATCGAGAAAGCATCGTTTTGGATCATGCCGGAAGTGACTCTGGCAGTTCTGTAAGTATCAGCGAGCTAACCGGCATTGCTGGTCCACGGCAGATAGTGATCGTACATTAAGCAACATCCAACATCGAAAAAGCTTCGGACCGAAAACGATGGGAGAGCAGTAAAAGAAAGTTTTGGATTCATATTAACAATAATAAAAGCCCCACCTCGTAACGTAAAGCGTTACATTTTCTCTTTTTGAAAAAAAAGAAGGTCATCTTCAACATGTTACAAACGCTGCTGTTGCATATCGTTTTATTCCATCCTCCTCCGCTTGCTTCGCATCACCATGCCCCAGCCAGGGCTTTAAGGTATAAGAAGCGCCATTGTGACACAGATAGCCTGATCTTTGCTATGAAAGGCTCGAGAAAAACTCGATCTGACCAGAGCTTGACTTCTGTCCTAACCTTAGTCAATACTTTTTACATAAGTCCCTTGACGTATTGCTATCATTGATTCCAAAGATAGTGATTTTGCATGCCTCGATGTTTAAACCGTTTACTGATAGGGCGCAAAGATTGTCGGGAATTGGGTTGCATGGTACATTGCTATTGGTCCATTTCGCCCCCGCTTTTTTCGCTGAGGTGTTCACAATAACAGCGACTGGCCCACTCACCGCGACTTCGTTGTTTCTTCATCTTTCATCTACAATCTATTAAAGATGGGCCGTAAGTTATCTTCCCCTTTATCACTACCACATCCCGAGTCAATCAGGCACATTAGCTGTTGCACTGGTTTACGTGGTCGCGTTATCTCAATCCAACCCACCTTTTCTGACCTAACTTTCAATCTGTACTTATGCAGTCCGAATCCTCCATCTGGTTCGACCTTTCATGTCCATGTTGCCGGAGATCGCGACACCTGATCGCAAGGTTAGTACCTGTAGTCTATTACCCACTTACCACAGTCCATGCTTTTGACCCTAGCTGACTCTTTTCTTTCCTTCCATCGTCTTAGGTGCCGTTCAATCAAAAGCTTCTTTGGACCGCTGTCACCCTCTTCATTTACGTAAGTGGTCCGCTAGTGTTTTCGTCGTATGTTGAGAATAGCCATGCTGATGAACTACGCTTTGCAGCTCGTCATGTCTCAAGTTCCTCTCTACGGTATTATGTCCTCTGATTCTTCGGATCCTCTCTACTGGATGCGTGTCATCCTTGCCTCTAACCGTGGTACCCTTATGGAATTGGGTATTACTCCTATCGTTACCTCTGGTATGATCATGCAACTTCTCTCTGGAGCCAACATCATTGAAGTCGACTATAGTTTGAAGGAGGATCGTGCTTTGTTCAGCGGTGCCCAAAAGTGTAAGCCACTAATATGATATCTGACACCCACTTATATCAGTCATTAACTTAAACCTATTGGCAGTGTTCGCTATGATTATCGCTTTCGGTCACGCTACCGTTTCTGTCTTGACTGGCTTGTATGGTAGCCCCAAGGAAATTGGTGCAGGTGTCTGCTTGCTTTTGATCATTCAATTGGTCGTTGCCTCTTTGATCACCATGCTTCTTGATGAGCTTTTGCAAAAGGGTTACGGTCTCGGATCTGGTATCAACTTGTTCATTGCTACCAACATCTGCGAAACCATCTTCTGGAAGGCTTTGTCTCCCACCACTGTCAACACTGGCCGTGGAGATGAATTCGAGGGTGCCTTGATTGCCCTCTTCCACTTGCTTGCCACTCGCAAGGATAAGACCCGTGCTTTGAAGGAGGCTTTCTATCGTGGTAACTTGCCCAATGTCATGAGCTTGCTCTCCACTGCCATTGTTTTTGCCATCGTCATCTATCTCCAAGGTTTCCGTGTTGAACTCCCTGTCAAGTCTAACCGCATGCGTGGCCAACGTGGAACTTACCCCATCAAGCTCTTCTACACTTCCAACATGCCTATTATGTTGCAATCTACCATGACTTCCAACATCTTCATGATCTCCCAGATGCTTTACAACCGTTTCCCCGAGAACTTGCTCGTCAAGATTCTCGGTGTCTGGAAGCCATATGAGGGTTCTTCTCAGCTTTTTGCCACCAACGGTATCGCCTACTATCTGTCTGCTCCCCACAGTCTCACTGATGCTCTTTTGGATCCTTTCCACACTGTTATCTACATTGCCATCATGTTGACTGGTTGCGCGCTCCTGTCCAAGACTTGGATCGAAGTTTCCGGCTCATCTCCTCGTGATGTCGCTAAGCAGCTCAAGGACCAGCAAATGACCATTGCTGGTTACCGTGATACCTCCATGTACAAGGAATTGAAGCGTGTCATCCCCGTTGCTGCCTCCTTCGGTGGTGCTTGCTTGGGTGCCGTTTCAGTCCTTGCTGATATGCTTGGTGCTATTGGTTCCGGCACTGGTATCTTGCTTTGCGTCACCATCATCTTCCAGGTAAGAGAGATATTTCTTCATAGCTGTAGTATTTAATGCGACTTTGTAAGCTAACCAATATTGCTTTTCTCCTACTTAGTACTTTGAAATGTTTGTCAAGGAGCAAGCTGAAGCTGGTGGCCTTGAGGGCATGATGATGGGACAGTAAAAAAAAAAAATGGCCATAGCCTTCACCTTTACAAAAAATTTGCCACAAAAAAACATTTACCATTGACCGGCAATGTTTCAGTTTTTTCTCTTTCTTTTTTTCCCTCTCTTCCTCACTTCGATAGCTGCCCTATGTATTTAGCAATAGACCGAGAATCTGTAACTGTAAAACCCAGGTGCAAAGGGCAGTGTTGAATTGTGAAAACGTGTCAAATAAATATAATCATTACATGTGTTTAAAAATTGATTGGATCTTTCATCAGTAGACGAATCAGTACACAATCCATTGCACTGGTTATTTCCGAGTGTCCGGTTGGATACCATGGTGGCGCCCCCAGACTGCTGGTGTTATGTTAAACAGGAGCGCGCTGTAGAAGCCGAAGTATGAAATTCGCGCAAAAGAGGTAAATCAATGCAGCAATGGAGGATTTGAACACCTGTGTGGGTACGCATGACACCACTGGCACACAACGGTATTGGGAAAAACAATGAATGACGCGTTGAAATATGCTCGTCTCTACTCGCTTTCAACATAGCCAAGAGCTTAACGCCCCTCACATGTCAACATTGGTTCACGCTCAAAATTCAAGGTAATAGGCGCTTACAAAATCAAAGGCGGATGTGAAAATTCGCCGCTAGGAAAGGAAAGTAACACACAAATCGCGATTATAATTCACCGTATTTTAACTCACACTGTTGTAACTAACCGGTGCTGTTCTGTCATGAGCTCTTCTGCGAATTCACAGCACTCGGAGAGAACTCCTCTGCTTGCCGAGCAGCAACAGGCACAAGCGCCGCCCAAGAAATCCTCTGCATCCTGGAAGATTTACATTGTCATTTCCGGCATCTTTGCATTCCTCGCGATTTTCTCTTACTGCGTTCGGTCCAGTCTCCCCGAAGCTCTGACCGACGAGCAAGCTGCTGCTATTAATGGTTTTGCTGGTCAGCACGCATTTGATGAATACCTCTCCGGTCAAATTGAACCTCGACCCGGCAGTAGCAAGGCAAACCGAAACTATCGCCAATGGTTGTTGCGTACAGTGAGAGACTTGAGCAACAACCACACCGCCAGTGTTGAAATCGATGAGGATGGTGTTCCATTTGTTGACAAGGATGGTATTCTGGCTGTAGACAAAGAGCGTAGTACGAATTATTGGATGGTCGAATCCAACAGTGTTTTGGTGAAAGTCATCGGTACTCGTGGCGAAGAAGACGCCTACCTCCTCAGCGCTCATTATGGTATGTGCTGTTTTACGGTTCTTCGCATGATCCTTCTATGTTAAAAAACTAACACTTGCGTGTTTTTCAATGGAACAGATAGTGTTCCGGCTAGCCATGGTGTAACAGATGATGGAATTGGTATCGCTGTTATGCTAGAGATCTACCGCAACATTCTTCAAAACCCTGTCGAACACACTGTCATTTTCAACTTCAACAACTATGAAGAAATGGGACTGTGGGGATCAAGGGGATTTCTTCATCACCCATGGGCTAAGAATGTCCGCGGATTCTTGAACTTGGGTAAATACAATTTCATTACGCTTTAGCCAGGATTGTTTCATTGAACGCCAATAACTAAGCCAAATTGGTGTTATACAGAGGGTGCTGGTGCCGGAGGCAGAGCGCTCATGTTCAGAGCAAGTAGTCCCGATATTATGGCCCAGACCATGGGTTCCCGTATTCTTCAGCATGCTAATGTCCTTGGAAACGATTTGTTTGAACTTGGGCTTATCAAAAGGTAATTTATATTTTGCCTGGTGTTGGAAGAAGACACTTTCGAAATTAACCAAAATATACGCATATAAAGTGCTACCGATTATACAGTTTATCTTGAAGGCGGTATTCCTGGAATTGATCTCGCCTTCTATGCTAAGAGGTACGTAAACTTTTCATTTTATAGAGACCTGCTCGCGTTAGCATTCTGTTCCCCAGTCACTAACCCAAGCTTACCACAGATCGCACTATCACACTACAAGAGATACTCTTGAATACACTAACCCACGTTCACTTCAGCATATGGGTGACTTGGCTTTAGCTGCTACCCGTGGTGCAGCCAATTCTGCAGGTATCATCACCCACGAACAACCTGAAGCCAAACCTTTTGTCTACTACGATATCCTCGGGCAGTTCGGTTTGACCTATAGCTTATTGACAAGCCAAATCCTCAACAGCCTGGTCCTTTTGGCTCTACCCACCTATTTGGCCTACTCCGCTTTCCAAAGTCATCAATCTAGCCCCAATACCAACAAAGCCTGCGGCTCCACTATCAAGAGATCCATTATCGGTTTTATCATGGTGACCATCACTTTTGTGGTTGTATTGGTATTCTCACTTTTGGTTGGCTTTTTGCTCACCAAGACAAATTCTGTGGTAGGTAATCTCGCTGTAGTGTTATGACCAGTCGTGATATGTCATGTAACATCTGTCATAATTTAAGGTCCTTTATGGTCATATCGGGCTCGGTGCTGCCACTATTGTAGCTGCTGCCTCCTTTGCTTTGGTCGCCACCCAATGGTTTTTCGCCGCCTTGGATAACAAGTTTAACATGTACCGCTCTGCGCTCGACCTCGAAACCACAACTGCCTATGGATTGTTGTCATTGACTTGGATCATGCTCGTCGGTGCCACCTTTGCAGCCATCAAAGGCATTGGTAGCTTGTACTTTGTTTTCTGGATGTATCTTGGTTCTGTTATTGCTGTTTCATTGCAACAAAAGTCGTCTACTGGAAAGGTTCACAGCTGGGCTGCTGCTCTTTTTGCGCAAGTCTGCATTTTCTATCCCCTTATTTTCGATCTCGTTTTCATGGCTTTCGATTCTATGCGACATACTTTGGCTGATGGCACCCCTGAAATTGCTGGTAAGTGAAACGCATTCGATGGTGGGTGCACGCAGATTGCTGATTTATTTTACTGGATATTTATAGTCTATGGACTTTTATCTGTGTTCACTACACTACTCATGATTTGCTTGGTTCCTTGGGTTCATAAGGCGGGATACCTTATGCGTGCCACCACTTTCTCTGGTCTTCTCCTCGTATTCCTGATAGTGATTACCAGCAGTCTTTTCCCCTTCAACTCTACCGATTCGCCCAACAAGCTCATCTTCAAGCAAGAAGTCAACTACACCACTGGTGCCTCAACTCTCAGCCTCGCGTCTTATTCTCATGTACACGAAGCTGTTCGAGCTATCACCACTGATGAGGAATGGGCCACTCGCAACACCACCATTGTTCGCAAGACGCAAACGGAAGTGACCGTCGCCACCAAGCGCCTTCCTTTGTATTTTGCAGATCAGAAGTCTACCCAAAAGGAGATGCAATTTTCTTTCAAGCGCGTGGCCACCTCCAAAGCCAACGTCCAACGTGTCCATGCTACTATCCAAACCCAAAACACAGCTATCTGCTCTATCATTGTCAATGATCACCCTATCACCTATGCTAAGCTAGATAAAATGGAATTGACGGTTCCCGCTCAGCAGCTGACCATCTTGAGACAAAAGATTGGTGAAAAGTATTCAGTCGAGTTTGAGTATGAAGCTGACCAGCCGACGACTGGTGTTCTCTCTTGCTACTACGATGAATGGATCGACGGAAGAAACCCTGCCTTCGTTCATACCAAGAATTCCATTCCTGACTGGTCTCTACTTGCCCTTCGTGGTTTTGGTGTTGCTACTGTCAATGCCAACGTTCAATTATAATTTTGCTTTCATTAGTATCTAGGCTTTTGTTTGGCGGATAGTAATAAAAATTGTAGATTAGGAGCATGGATAAGATATAACGATGTGTCAAGAAATCTGACACGTTGTCTTGGCAGTGGAGGACTGTGTTCCTGGACGAAGCACTAAACGTGGGCCTGAATATAACATGTGATCTGTCTCCGAACCGAGAAAGGTTCAACATACCCCCTTTACACAACTACACTATGCTGAAGAATTCTAGCTGGAGTGCGTACTGACATTAGACAGATGGTGCTGATTGCAAATACTGATTCACTCTCCTTATGTTCAGAACTTGAAGACACTAACTTGGCCAACTTCGGCTCCAAGTTGGATCTCGACCATCGCCAGCAAGAAGGATCGCTCGAGACGGCCTGGAACCAACCCAAATCACGCGTTGGAAAGGAAACGTAAGCTCTGCTCTCAATACTCTTTGAAATTTACCCAATATTTATGTATCGTTGCCTTTCTCTATAGTGGCTTATGGATTTGGCGAGTTGAGGACTTTCGCCTTGTGCCTGTTCCTAACAGACAGTACGGAAAGTTCTACCAAGGTGACAGCTACCTTCTCCTTCGAGTGAGTTCGATTTCTGAAGGTCCTTTTGACGTCTAAATCATGTATTTACATTTATCTTGGTCTACTCAGTCAACCACTCGAGGCAATAGCGATGCTTTGATCCATCATCTCCACTTTTGGCTTGGTCTGGATACTAGTCAAGTATAAAAAACGGTCCATTTGACGTGTACTTGTTCATCGCGCAGTGCTAATATTGATGGCTTGAATAGGATGAAGCAGGAACAGCTGCTTACAAAGCTGTTGAACTTGATGACTGTAAGCTAGTACTGCCATTATATTTGAGCTTTTATTACATGTTAGTTGTTTAACTGGTATAATGTCGGGCAGATTTGGGTTCAACACCAGTTCAACACCGCGAGGTCCAGCATCAAGAGTCTGAGTTGTTCCAAAGCTACTTTCCCCGCATTGTTTATCTCTCTGGTGGCGTCTCTAGCGGTTTCCATCACCATGATGAACAGCAGCCTGTCACTCGCCTCCTCCAAGTACATAAACCACAAGCTCTTTCCACCACTCATACCCGCAACGCTGTGGTCATCAGCGAAGTCCCATTGAGCTCCGACAGCTTAAACAGCGGAGACGTTTTTGTACTAGATACCGGCGACAAGATCTATCAATGGCAAGGTCAAAAAAGTCAAGGCGTTGAAAAGGCTAAAGCTGCAGAGTACATTGCACAGCTCATTAGCGAGCGTGATGGAAAGGGCGAAACAGTCATTGTCGGTAAGTAGAGTAAGCAGCGCTGAAGATGATGATGTATGACCAGTTACTAAGCGGTTCGAATCCGCGCTATAGAGGAACAATCTGGTGCCCACAATGGCTTTTGGGACGTCCTTGGGTCGCACGGTCCTATTAAAAGTGCCGCTGAAGGAGAAAAGTCTGCTGAGCGACAGATTCAACAAGGCAGTGGCCAAAAGCGTCTTTTCAGGTATATTTATATGTAATTTGTCCAGTGATAACTTGTTTCAATGTTTTGATGCCAAATGTTTTTAATTCATAACAGACTTATTCATGGCAACGGTGATGGATTGCAATTCAAAGAAGTGGAACCTCGCCAGAGTAGCTTTGACTCTTCACATGTCTTCATCTTTGATGTGGGTCATCAAGTTTATACCTGGGTGGGTCGCAACGCCATGGGTACCGACAGAGCATCTGGACTGCACTATGCTCAGTTGTATATTCAACACTCCAAGCTGCCGGCTTTCACCCCTATTACACGTGTGATCGAAGGAGGTGAAGACGAACTGTTTGAGAGCTCATTGGAAGGATGGCAAGGTTGGTAAGGCATTGTATTGCCAAATGCTTTTTGCCTCCAGCCCATTCCATCGACTTTATTCTATCTACATCTACCTTTTGATATCTATGTTGACACAATAAAGATCAAGGCGAACGCAATCATTGTGTTTCGTCCGTGTTCTCTACTAGTGTAGACGTCCTCCTATTGGGACATCCTTCTCTGGTCGAACCAGGATAATCTTGCCGTCCGAATCAGGAACACCGACAACGAGCACTTCGCTCATGAATTTACCAACTTGACGTGGTTTGAAATTGACCACAGCCATCACCAAAGTACCTACAAGCTCTTCAGCGGTGTAGTTTGTGATTTGAGCCGAGCTCTTTTTGATTCCAATTTCTTCACCGAGATCCACTTTGAGCTTCCAAGCGGGATTACGGGCTTCTGGAAATGGAGTGACCTAATTGATGTGTGTCAGATTCACAAGCGACGCGACCTTGTAATAGGTCAAACAAAGGCTAACCTCTATGATTCGGCCAACGCGAAGGTCGATCTTGGTAAAGTCATCAAAAGTAGCAATTGGCGTAGTGGTCATCGTCCTTGTAGTTCTTGTAAAAAGGTAAAAACAGCGGTGTGTTATACTTGTTAAAGTGGCAAAGTACATTTTGATGCGCGGACACTCTTAAGGTTTGCACAATCAATGTTAGACATCGAACTTACTGTGCCACTGCATCTCGCCCCTTCTTTCCTTTGTAATATCATGCATTTTTTAAATTGAAGCTGCCATGTATACTAACTTTGATTTACGCTAGTATAGCATGTTAAAGCTTCGCGTTTGTCAGTAACCTTTTTTTTTTCCCAAAAATAGGAACACCTATTTTCGGCATGATCCAGCATTTGGAAGAAAAACACTGTACTGGTTTCCAGTGGTCCACTCCCACATGAAAAACTTTAATGACATGAATAAAGGCGGACATTCAACGCCATGGCTAGGACGGTTCTAGATTTTCAAACCTGGAGGAGGGTATCATGTGATGGATAGGGTTCACGCGCATAGGGATTGAAATCGAGGATGTTCCTGCAGGGTAATTAAGAAGAAGCTAGTAAACTAGTTACCAGTAAAACGATATGGAATGGGAAGAAAAAAAAATGACATGGAAGTAGCTTGATTGGTGTGGGATGCGATTCTGTCTAACACACCTGCCAGCCTGCAGACATCCAAATCAACTGCCTTACATAATGGCCACTTGTTTGCCACATGGAGTGAACCGGTCAGCCATCCATGTCATTCGGCTTATGCGTTACACTATTGTTAAACTTTTCGCGGAAATCATGCGCTCATCAACGTAAAAAAGGAAGAAAAAAAAATGCCAAAGTTTCATTAGATTTCAAGTGGATTGGTTTGGAGTGGTTGAGTGGGTTGGGTTGGTTCTTAAGAAACAAGGTGGTAAAAAGCTAGCTAAACTGTCATGTTTCTATAGGGTTTGTTGTAGAATTACACAATTTTAATTTTTTTTTTTGGTGGTTGTTGTTGTTGTTCCATGGTTTCACATCATGTCCCCTTAGTTGATATGTTCCAATCTCACAAGGTCATCCTCAGTCAATGCAGAGCCAGTTGTTCACCAACCTTGGAACTCATCGTCCGTCAAGGAAAGATTTTCATTTTTGGAGGTTGGATGGCCTGGTGTGGTATGCCGTTTAAAGCAACATAACCTTTTTTGAGATTGTTCCCATTGTACGTTTCGACAAAGACTTTCCGACAGCTCCTTTGCCATCAATGGATCAAAAGGCGACGGTCTCATGCTGGCAGAACTTTGTGGTATAGGGCGAGAATTTGACTTTGAAGAATGTTGGTCAGAAGCAGTCGCTTTGCGTGATAGCATATCGGAGAGCAGAGACCTTTGGTGTTTGAGCATAGTGGGCGGCGGCTTTTTATGAAAGGCATCCGTTACTTGCGCTTGTCTCTGGTGGGTGAATAAATCTTCTTCGTCACTTTCTTCGTCATCAAAATCGCTGTCATAGTCCGTAATGGATCCTAAACTATCATCGTCTTCATCGTCTTCATCATCGTATGTGACTGCGTGTTTACGGTGAGGAGGAGACAATCGGAACGACTTTCTTTGATGTCTGTCTGGATGGACCTCGTTTTCGTCATCAGACTTTATGAAGAACATTTTGGATGACAAGCCGTTATGGCGACTGGTAGGCTTGTCAGCTGCTGACGTGATCACCGATGGAATTTGTTGGGTAACCTCTTGGTGGTATGTGTTGGCATTTAGAATCTCGTGCTCTCCCTTGTCCCTGCCTTTATCCTTTTTTTCTACATCACGGTGCCTAAGTGGTGTGCTGACCGCTTCCGTTATTTCCAATTCTGTTTTCTTGCTCAAGTTTATTCCTGTCGCTTCCATTTTCAGCTTTTGCTCCTTTAGTAGATCCTTTAAACTATGGTCTGGTGACAACGATGAAATGAACCGGATAAATGAAACTGGTGAAAATTGCCGAGCTGACCGTACACTACTCGTGGTGGTCAGTGTACTACTCGTCGACAATGCTGGAGATGGCTCAGACGACCCAATGGTGTGTAAATCATCATGATTACTTCTTGGCGGCAAGAAAGAGAAATAGTCCTTGTTCACCTCGTGATGATTTGCCGTTTCCCTGTACCACAATCTCCATGACATATTTTCCAGTCTCGTTCCGTGCTCTATATTCGCTTTGCATTTCGTGAACACTGATGTCAGAGGAATTGCAAGTTAGTTACATGTAGGGGTTGGTAGATAAAAGAATATAATTTGTATATATTTGATACTGACCAGCCCACATGCCACTGATGTTGTCAGCATCGATCATTTCCAAATCACCAAAATTGTGCTTGGCGATGGCTAACATCGGTTGATGTACCGGCATTGGTCGACTTTTGAAGTAATTAAAATTTGAAAAACAAAAAGTCAAGAAGAGAGGAATGCAGAGGAAAAGTGATGTTGAGATTAAGAGAGAGAGAGAAAGAAAGAGGGCAAGCTGTTTGTTGGCAATCAACAATCAATATACCGTCTCCATCGTGCCCAATTTGTGGCTGCCATCCCTTTTATTTCCTCACCTTTGTACCATGTGAGCACCTTAAACAAAACCCCAGTGGTCGATCATCCCGAGCTTGTAATGTTTGGAGTGAGCGCGGAAGATTTTCATGTTTTTGTCGTTAAAGCCGTATATTGATAGGCATATAAACATCCACTTACTGTGTTGGATGAAATGGTGAGTGAGACAGTTTGTGTAAAATTTGGACTATGTAATTTTTTTTTTTTTGCGGGGCTGCCGCTTTTTAATTTTTTTTTTCAGCTCTCCAGGCGACTTTGTTGTCGAAGGTCCGTCTGATAATGTCCGAGGATGTGGTAATTCCCCGCCTAGACGATCGCCAAAAAGTCCATCTTTCAAAGGCTTTGTCTTATATTTTACGTCATGGAGCCACCAAAGAGAAGTTGGTCATGACCGACGATGGTTTTATCCAGGTGCAAGAGATTGTAAGTAAAATGCTAACCATTTGGCTAGGGGAGGTGTCACAGCTTTCTGAACATAAACCTGGACTGTTCCAATCGATTTTTTTTTTCCAGTTAAACCGGCCGAAACTGAAAGCTTATTCATTTGAAGATATCAAGTATGTTGTTGATACTAATGACAAGCAACGATTTAAACTCAAGCAGGATGAAGATGGGTGCTGGTGGATACGTGCCAATCAAGGTCACAGCTTGAAAGCCATCAAAGTGGAACTTGACTTGATCAAGGAACCGTTGCCTATATGTGTACACGGCACCTATACCACGAACTGGAACAGCATTGGTAACTGCCCGTCCATTATGCACAACGCAATCCCCGCCACCTCTCCTTAACCAAAACCTGATTCCTTTTAGCAACACAGGGTCTAAAGCGGATGTCACGAAATCATATTCATTTCGCTGCTGGTATGCCTGGTGAGCATGGTGTGATATCAGGTCAGTGGCATTTTGTATTTGTTAGTGGAAAATGTGTGCTGTGGACAGTGTCTCACTCAGTGAGTCTCGGCGGTTCTGTTTGAAGGAATGCGAAAATCATGCGATGTCTTTATTTATGTGGATATGGTGAAAGCCATGGAAGGTAAGTCGCTAATGGAGCTGATCAAAGGGCTTGCGGCTATCTGGTCACTTACGAGCTACCACTACATTCTCAAGATGGCATTGTCTTTCAACTTTCTGCAAATCAAGTCATTTTGTCTGAAGGCATCAATGGCGTCTTGGATCCCACCTATTTCTTGAAAGTTGTGGATAGAGAAGGCAAGCCTTTACTGATCCATCAGCCAATTGTAACATAGCACAACTGTAATCTCTCTTTACAAAAATACAATATTAGACACAAAAAAGTTGGTAGACATAATTCAATTTTGTTTATGGGATTTGTTTCTTGGGGCCTTGCAAATGCGGCAACAGCGGAAAAGTGTAGTGCATGACAACACGCCTCTTGAGCTAGACAATAAAGTATTGTGCAAGCAAGCGATGAAGATATGCATGATGCAGAACTGATAGCCGCAAATTCCTTGACCAGCATTTAAAAAAAAAAAAAAAGAAAAAAAAAGTATAGTATGATAGGGAGGAAAAAAAATTATGAAGAGGCCCATTGCAACAAAATGAGTTACATAAAATTGAGAGGTAGAGCTGATTGAAAAAGTAAAAAACCCTCCCTAGTAAGGATCCGAGGTTTGTGGAAAAAAAAAAATGTGTGGAATAACAGATTATGAATATGAGGGGAAAAAACCACATGAATATAAGGATAACATCTCTCAAAGGGAAAGGAATAAACAATGAAAAGGAAGTTGGGAAGAAAAAGTGAAAGACAAATGAGAGGGAACTTCAACCAAAAGGTGGAGAAAAAAGAAACAGGAAAAATAAGAAAGGATAAGACATACTTTCCCCATCATGCAAATCAATTGAAGAATCACTGGTTCGTTGGTTGGCTCAGCTATCAACCACACCCAATGTAAAAACATATCACGCTTGGAGCGAAACAGCGCCAGAGATGCTACTAGATCATATAAGAATATGATTAATTTGAGCGTTTTGATCGATAGGATTCAGCAGCTGTCCTAGGATCTTCCGGAACAGGACCAGTAGGTTGTTGCTGAGGACGATACATCATAGCAGCAGTTCGTGGGTCTTCAGGTTGTGGACCAGAACTAGGTGGTGGAGGACGAGCACCGTATTGCTGCTGTGGTGGGTAATAAGTTGGCTGCCTTGGATGAAAGACATTGGCGGTAGCCGATAAACCATTGACATCTCGTCGATCATTATAATCCTCAGAATGATAATTATCACCTTCATAAGCGTAGCCTGGTGTTGAAGGCGTACGAATCATGGGAGACCGCCCTTGATAAGTTTGCACACGAGGATCAAGTTGTGCATTGCTTGGTTGAGACCCATATTTGTAGTCTTGCGCAGGAGGTCGTGGAGCGGTATGCGTTTCAGTTCCATAGTAATTTCTCTGCTGAGAAGGAACATGGCTAGAATTACTGTAGACCCCTTGACTGTGATTGGCAGTTGAGCCATAGGGGTGTTGCTGAACATTGTTGTCAGGAACACGAACATTGGCCTGCATCGAGGGTGTAACATTGGGAGTAGGATAATGATACAATGATTGAGAAGGTTGTGAAGATGAAACAGGTGGATAATTTTGAGTAGCTATGGTAGTAGCTCCTTGTGGCAACGAAGACGAGCGCTGGACAGCTGCCTGCTGTTGGCTGTAGCCAGTACTGCCTGTAGTGGCTGGATGGCTGGTGGCGGGTGGGGCATAGCTAGATTGAGCAGCGGTATGACCCATGTTCGCGGTTGTAGACTGACCAGCATAGTTACTGTATTGACCATAACCCATACCTTCGTTTCGTGTTTGTCCCATCGTCGAGGCTGGTGGATATTCAAAGGTACTAGTGTTGGCACCGGCACTTAGAGGCGTTGTTCTGCCTTGCTGTGGAGGCTGCACTGGTTGCTGGTGTACAGCAGGATCATAATGGATAGCTTGTGGTTGCGGAGTACGACTTTGAACAATGCCTGCTCCAGGGTTTGCGGGAGGTGCACTAGTTTGCGGCTGCTGCTGTTGAGCCAAAACGGCCGCAGTGGTAGCCTGTTGATGAGCATTAGCAGCGGCAACCACAGCTGCATTATCATAGTATGAATTCATGATGGCTTGCTGTGCCGGAGACGTTGAATGCATCACTTGAGCAGTGTGAACAGTGGGTGGCGGAATGTACACAGGATGAACAGGCAGCCTCAACGGGACGCGATGTACAGGTCGACTTGGTGGATGAAGTGGAAATTGCGGCTGTTGACCTTTGGACAATAAGTACATCTGGTATTGTTGATGAGCGACCACTTGTTGCTGCTGTTGCTGCTGTTGAACAGCTTGAGCTTGTCTACGAGCAACTTCTTGTTGTTGCTGTTGTTGTTGCTGCTGTTGCTGTTGTTGAGCGGCCCAAGCTTGCGGATCTTGTTGTGGGCTAGTCAGACCCATGCTTCTGAGAGTAGCTTCAATAACTTGAGCCTGTTGTTGTCGTTGCTGCTGTGCTTCTGCATCATTAGCACTTGTCAGCTGGTTTCGGAACTTGAAGAGAGCAGCTTTCCAACGCTCATATTCTTCCTGTTTTACGAACAGCCGAAATTTCAACACTTCCAGAAATTCCAATTCCATGATATTCAGATCAACAATTTTCATATTGGTGACCTCTGACCATGTTTTGTTTGTAAAGGTATTGTCATCCAAGAATTTGTTAGCTGTTTTTGGTGGTGGTGGTATAAAAAGTTAGCAAAGGGAGATGCCAGAGACAATGGTATTTTGGCAATTATACCGAGCCTATACTTACCAAGCATAAGAGCAACTGTAAATAATCTATATTCCGATCCTTCGGCACCTTGAATATTTGGATTGTTCTGTAAAAGCATTGCAATATACTTTAAAGATAAAACAACTACAGATTCTGACAGTTGCGTGGCTTTAAGCACCTAGAGACAAAAAAAAAATTACATCAGTCCTCCAAATTCGTTATCTGATGAGGATCTAACAACACCGAGACTGAACAACTTACTTGTAAACAGAATTTTTTGAATGCAGGACTAGCAGAACTGCCAATAATGTTTTGGCGATGTTGACCGGATGCTGTTGCACCTGCACCAGTTGGACTAGCGCTGGAAGGTGGAGTGCCAACAGGCGAAGTTGTGGCCGAGTTTGAAGAGTTGTACAAAGCTAGAACAGAGGGTCTTCTAGCATGCCACATCAAAAACACCATGGATGAAGCAAATTCAGCCAGTTGGTTTATATTGACAGACTGCAATCCATGATCAGTGATGGACGATGGATCTGGCGGTGGCATACCACTATGGCCAGAGTAGTGCATGGTTGGATGTTGCTGTGGCTGCAGACTGGTCGACGCCATCATAGCAGCAGCAGCAGCAGCAGCAGCGTGCTGTTGTTGTTGTTGTCTAACTTGGTGTTGTTGACTCATTACATCATCCATCTGCTTGGATTGATAGGGAACACCTGGTTGCATCTGCGTCGGGGGATACGTCGGCGGGTGCGACGCATATGTATTTGCGTTTGGGTGAATCATGAACAGTTGTTTTGAGGTATTTGGTGCAAAGAGAGCGTATTGTGGTTTGACGGTTAAATTCATCGAACTACTCTGTCTAACAAACGGGTTGGGGGCTTAGTCCATACGCCAAGAGTTAAGACTGAAAAATAAAACGAAAGCAAGCGTCTAGATGGAGCAATGAAAAATAGTTGATGGGAGGGTTACAATGTTTTACTGGTTAGTCAACGTTGCTAATTGGAGAGGCATGGGTGAAAAACCTACCAGATGATCAAGAAAGAGCAAGACCTGATGTGGGATGTGGTGAAGCAAATCCAAGCACCAAGTCTGAGGTTTGCAACTTTCTTCCTTCGCAGAAGCAATTAAGCACTGAGAAGGATAAGACCAACAAGTGGTTTTAGATTTTGAGAGGGTTTGTAAAGGGGAAAGTTGAAGAACTTCGTCAGTGACAACAACAACAAACGTGAAAGAAAAAAAAAAGGTTGTGTACGTTGGAAATAAAATATAAAAAAAAAAAAAATTGTTGACTCAAACGGGTTTAAAATTTTAAACCCTTTTCGCTTGAGCAGAATCTCCTTAGCCCGCACTTGCTGACTGCTTCTTGTTGCTACACGTGCTCAACCACGAACAGTGAAGAGCTTGGAGATGTCAACCCAACGTCGTTACATCATTTCCTTCCTTTCAAAATGGATATTTTAACCTCGGTCATTCAAAAAAGCTAGTACTCGGAGCTGGAAAACTGAATACTCTGGATGGCGGGCCAATGACCCAATAATCCCTTAATCAGGGTGCGAATACTGTAGCAAAGAAGTAATGCAAGCAAACACAATGGAACCCCTATCCGTTACATAGCTCATCATGGGGCTCTCACGCACTTTAGCTAACAGGTTTGAAAAAGTTGTATATCTTGTCGTCTTGGGGGATATCAGCAGGATTATATTGACCAATCAAATGACATCACAAGTCAAGAATTTTCTTTTTATCAGAATCCAGCTGATGACTGAAAAAGGTGTTCATCCGAATTTCATGCTATATTTACCACCGCAGCCTTTTCTCATTGAAAAGACAACAGATTCCTTGTGATTTGCAAGCGGATGATAACGTCAGGATGATCAACAATCTATCGAACAGGTAATAGATACCCATAGTTATGATTTGCTAACATTGTCATTATGATATTCACTGATATGGCGGATTCGTACACTGCAGCGACCTCTATTGCTAATTTGTGGTTGCCGAATTTGCCGATATCTGAAAATTTTGAATGATGGTATTCACTTGTTAAGAGCTGTGGCACGTGTTCGTGAAAAAAGCGAGACAAAAAGAAAAGATACCGTGTAAATAGAATATACACCAAACCCAAGGCACCGGAGTGAACATAGTTCAATAATGGGCTTCTTGAGTTACGGGAGAAAATGGGGGCGCCATAATGTACGGACAAATTTGTAGTCAACGGCAGTTGCTAATCGTCAAGTTGTAAATACTGAACTGAAAAGGTCTCTGTTATTTGAAAAATTTATTGTATTGAAATATCGATGTTCACTGAATAAATACTTCATGGTACATCTCAGCATCGAAAAACGCTTTAAGCACGGCTTTCCCCTTGAATTAATATAGTGTAGGTAGCCCCCATAATATACAATGTTTTATATAGCTCAATTACCAGCTACGTCGGTACGAAGGTGGGACATTGCTTCTGCTCGTCATGTCTGAGAATACACCGCCACAAGATGTGGGTAGAAGCGACCCAGGTATACTGTGGGCTATATATTCGGAGTTGGATCTTGGAAGACTAGGGGCTTGAGTGTTACTAGCAGTTTCAAGGCCAAGATGATATGAACTTGACCGTAACAACGCTGCATCTGCTGAAAATACTGAAGCCGAGGCTTCGGATAAGCCTGATACAAATCGTCCTTTGCCTTCAAAGTGCTCCCGAAATCGACTGGGTGGAGGCCGAGAAAGGTTGCAATAAATTTGCTTTTCAGTGTACCCAGAGGCGAGCATTGGCGCAGATACTTGGAGAGAATTAGATACATCTCCAGGTGCAGTTTCTTTGCGCTTCTCCATTGATTTCCCAGACTTTGTTTTCTGGCTCTGTCGTCTCAGTATTTCATTTGGAACGGCAGCCGCTGCCCCCACACTTGTAAGCATATTACGGACTTTGTCGCTCCAAGTCACAGCGTCCTCTTGTTCTTTGATGACTGGAAATCTACGAAAATCTGGTGCAGTGGCAGATATCAAAGACCCTTTGTCATCATCAGCAGTAAGTTCGGCCACCAGCGGCTTCTTCTCTTGGGTTCGTCGCAGTTGACGCCGACGAATAAATGCGATAGCAATAAGACCGAGAACCGTCAGTCCTGCTACAGCCAATGCAATACACAAACCAATCAAATTCCGGTCAAGTTTGCCGGAGCTGCTGGAAGTTGTCTCTGGCGCACTAGGAGGATGTATAATTGCGGGCGCATCGGGTGACACGTTGAGAACCGTATTGGTTATGCTGTGCGATAAGCTATCAAATACGACTAATTGGCTGTTTGGAGCATTATCAGCTTTACCGCCGTAGAGAACAACATTCCGATTAAGTAGGTTTGTAACCGTTCCTCCTGCATCTGCTGTCAGTAAAATACCAGGGATTGGGATTGGGGAAAAGGCATTATGGGAAGACGAAAGTAAATCTAACGTCAGAACGTTACTGATGGTGCTGTTGGCTTCAGTAGGTGGGGTTTGAGCTTCTTGCTGACGCTTGGTCATACTCTCAACCAGAAATTGATGTAATGGCCCATTCTTATGAGAGTTGATTTTCGTATAATTATCAGACTTAGGTATTAATAGAATTTCGGAATCGTTGCCGGCTACGAACGAAACAGGGTATGATGTTGTAATAGTCATAGTGGTATCCGACCACTCCAGTTCAACTGGGTCAAATTGGGATACTGTTGATTCGTAAACACCATCATCACTAGGGGTGTCTGGACTGTCAATGTAATATATCAAGTTTGAAGAAGTTGCAATCATGGTAGAGTGGCTAGTTGCAACTGGCGTTTTATCGGATGGACTAAGCTGTGATAATGACCATGGCCAAGTACGTGTGTCCAAAACAAACATGTCTTGTGTGTTGCTTTGCGAGACGGATCCTCCAAATAGGAAAAAGACACTACCTGCCCACATAGTGGATGCCATTCCTTGACGTTGGGAGAAGGCAAGTGTAACATTGACCGTGCTGTTAAGCTGTATGGAACTGATCCATGTCTGATCGTTAGAGTTGAAAATCTGTATTCCTGGCGATGTTACATGCGAATCGAAAGGGTCGTATCCTATTAATATAGCGTATCCACTGTCTGTCATTGCGCACGCACCATTTACGATGTTATACGCTTCTCTGCTTGGTAAGTCTTTCCAAGGCAAGCTTGTCGTATTCGCTTCAAGTGGAAAGGTCAATGTTGAAAAACGCGAAAAGGATGAATGGTTGGCAGGTAGAGCTTCGCTTCCGATAATACTGCCTCCAAATATGTGTAGTGTGTTTTGATGCGCGAATGCGCAATGGCCGGAACGTGTGCCTGGACCAATGTCATTGGCAGCAACGTGATGAAGTATTGAGAAGATGTATAGAAGAAAGATGGCGGGAGTGACCATTGGAAGACAATTGTGCCTCAAAAAAGCACCTTGGCTGGAAGTCTTCATAATTTGTGATTTTATATACCAGAGACGAAAGTTAAGTGGTCTTATGCAAATGCATTCAATGTATGAGAACAGATGAATCGCAAAAGAAAAATCAGAAGGAAAAGGAAAAAAAAAAAAAAACAAGGGATATACTTATGCGAATGATTAAGATCAATGGGAGTCAAAATCACAATCTGGCACTAGTTGTTGGTAAAGTAACAGACAAGGGAGCACGCAGGGCGGGAACTCCTTTGCTCCTTAGTACGCATTACCTGAAGATATGTAACTTTTAGCATCTTTTCAGAAAAGTGAACAATATTAGCGGTTATAGATCAACGGGGAACAATTGAAAAGTCAAATTGACAAATAAAAAGGTATCAGCTTGAAATGATCCGTCAAAACCCACAAACAGAGTAGATCCATAGACTACCTTTGAAGCAATTAAAGTCCCAAAAAAAGTAACCATGTGGCTGTAACAACAGCAAGTGGACGTGAGGATCGAAAAAGCAAAGTGCTGAGAAAGGAGATAGACTTACATATTGACCCCTTCCAATCGAATCACGTAGCTGAACTTGACAAGTCACTACGTTGACGACACTGAATACACGTTTATAAAAATGCTGTCAATGCTCGTCCAGGTATGGCATTATTCATATGCTCAAAACAAGTAGGGCAAGCCAATTTGAGAAGGTAATTTAAAAGACGTAATTTATTCACAATCTACAATTTTAAACGTTGCTTAAGTAGACCCCATGTAAAAACAGTTTTGAGCTGTTTATGCAGAAGAGGCCTTGTGGCTGTAAGAAGAAAAAGGAGGGTCAGTAAATAGCGTACAACTACGCGCGCGCGGTTTTTATCACTTACAATTGCCAAGCAGCACCTATTGACAAAGTTGTGAAAAGGAATAATCCGATTAGCAATGTTCATTTGGTCATATCACTGAGGGAACCTCACAATCGTAACTTTGATGATAGCCTTGACGATCGTTGTTCCATTAAATATACAAAGCTGAACTTACCCAAGAAAGGAGCACCGAAGCCCAAACCGAGGTAAAGGGCCATCTTGACGGCAAGACCAACCTTGTTGGTGGTCTTGAAAGGAATGTTCTAAATTCACGAAGTCAGATAAAATCGAAATTAGCACCAGTGACTATGCAATAGTGTAATCATAAGTCGTGCGAATGTTCATAAGAATGAAACATGGTCGCAATGGGACTCTGGAGCCTATGATGGCTACATTTACGGAAATTATCGTTGCATAGATGTGCCGAATTTCTCTACCCAATGGAGTGATAAAATTTAGACCATTCATACCTGACCGTTGGTGTTCTCAAAGTGGTAGAGATCAGAGCGCATGAGGCGCGCAGTGGAACGGGTGCGAAGAGCAGAGCGAGCAAGGATGGCTGCGTTCATGGTTTAAGCAAGAATGGTAGATATGTTTAGGCCTCAGTCCTGGTAGACTCTTAGGAAAACAAAAAAAATCCCAGTCACAACGCTTGAGTTGATGACATCACGCACATTGCAATTAACTGCACAGCGCTGAACTTCAGTTGTGGAACAGCAAGTCAGTTTACTATATGTTTTCAATCAAATTGCATCTACGATATATCTGCTTAGAGGTGACCATTATAAATATCAATACACGAGCATAATGACGCAGAATACCATTTCGGAACCATTAGTCTTTATATTAGGAAAGTAAGTTAGCCCATAGTTCTTCATATGCCATTAGCAAACAAGACCAATAGTACTTAAATAAAAAAGTCGCTAAACGAACATATAGTAAAATAGACACGTTATGCTGTGATTGAAAGGTCTGAAGCTATGATAATGAGTGACGAATTCTTACAGTTACGCAGACAATGAAATCATTGGCAATAATTCCCTGTATGTGGCAGTCTCTGGCTACAAGATAGGATACATGGAAGAGATTATGAGCGAACTGCAGTAATGATGGATTAACGAGCTTTTAGAATAACCATCTTCAGTAGAACTATGCTACAATGAATAGTCAAAGGCGAACAACTTTGAGTATTCAGTAAATGTCCTGTATATTAAAAATTGTGAAATGTCCACACCACTGCAGATATGGTCAGACTTGTTTCTATGATATTTTCTACACATGAAAACATTTGGTCAGAGCCTCAGATTTTTCGATGATGAGATGAAAATGGACGCATCATTTAACCGCAATGAACGATATTTCATTCACTGGGCAGACTTACTGTGAAGTGAATTCAGCGTGTCAGGTACGATATCAACTTTTGGAACTGAGTCACAATTGATTTTAAAGTGAGCAACTACTAGAACCCCATCGCAAAGGTATTACCAGTAACAAGACTTATTTCCGTAGCATAACTTATCGAGCAGAGAGATTGTTCGCATACTATAATCTCAATCCATATCATTATCCTTTTTTAATTAAAATTTGAAGCTTACATGTAAATGCAATGTTTTCTGCTTCCTTGGTGACGACGGGCACATCTGGCCGCACGTGAAAGCAGATACGGCACGTGTGAGGTCTGGGGTAGGGAAGAGCCTTTCTGGTTACCTGTTATAGTAACACCCCAAAAAGCAAATCACATTCATTTTTTTTTTCTTTGCAGTTCGCTTCAACTTTTCAAGAGTACGATTCTTTTAGTCCATGTCCGGCATGTTGACATCCGAGTTTATACCAAAAGCTCAACTAGAAAATCTCAAGCTCTATAAATATGCTGCCGTCGACAAGTCGTTCACGTCGAAGTACATTCTGTCGCATTACTGGAGCTGGGCTATAGAACTGTTTCCTCTATGGATGGCGTAAGTGAATGCAAAACGCTTGGTGTAATTTGCGTCAAAATATGTATTGAACTATGGGATATCAGACCCAATCTGATTACTTTGACAGGTCTCATGTTCATGGTCAGCAACGTCATTTTAGCAGCTATTTTTGTGCCTGGCATGGATGAAGAAGGAGGCCCACGTTGGGTATATGTCAGCTTTGCCATTGGCCTATGGCTATACTCTACTTTTGACAATGTAGATGGAAAGCAGGCCAGACGGACAGGTTCGTCATCGCCATTGGGTGAGCTGTTCGACCATGGATGTGATGCTCTCAATTGTTCATTCGCCGCGGTTCTTCAAGCAACTACCTTGGGTTTGGGCCATTCCCATATGAGCGTCTTGCTATATGGAGTTGCTGCTATTGGATTCTATCTTTCTACTGCCGAGGAATATCACACGGGCGTGCTTTATTTGGGTTACGTGAATGCGCCCACCGAGGGCGTGATCCTCAGCTGCGTTGTAATGATTGTCACCGGATTATACGGTATGTCCCAAATTTTTGTTTTAGGAAGGTGTTCCCAGGAACGGGAAAATTTACCCAGAAATTAACGGATCTGCTACTGAAACTAGGTCCATCGATTTGGCACATACCTCTCGAACAATCTATTGTCAAACAATGGGTACCTAGTTTTGTACCTAGTGGTATGCGCGTCGCTGATATGATCGTATGGCAAATTGTTATTTTGTTTATCTTCACACATGTGCCTGTTTGGTTAGTGATTGGCTTATTATTGAAAACTGACTCTTTGCTGAAGCTAACTGACCTTCTTTATCAGCTACTATGCTATGTACAAAGCTTGCAAGGCCAAGAACAAGCCATTTCTGAGCGCTGTTATTGTTGAAAGTCTTCCAATTGCCATCTACTCCATCAGTGGATATTTCTGGGTTATGTCGCCGTATTCGACTTTATTGTCAGAAAAGCATTTCATTTTATTTGCCATCACAACTGGTATTGTGTTTGGGCGAATCGCTTCCAAGATTATCTTGGCTCACTTGGTTAAGGTCGGGTTCCCCATGTTCACCGTTATGCTGCTTCCATTAATAGGTGGTGCTATCATTGCTAACGCTCCGGTTCTGTTTGACACGTAAGTTTGTGGTGGCCGGTGGCTAAGATTGACATGCTGCTGTAAGAACTGGAGCTTCATACTAAAAGTTGCATATCATTTCCCACTTTCACCAATCCAGAGAGCCGATTTTTACGCCTGAATCAGAATACCTGTATCTTTGTGCCTACTTCGTTTTTGCTCTGGTTGCTTATACGCATTGGGCACTGGTTGTCATCAGAAGCTTTTGCTCATTTTTGGGTATCAACTGCCTGACCATTCCTTACGGCAAAAATGCTGCAAACGGCAAACCGAAGGCAGCGTAAGGAGACATCCTTATATACCAAAAACTTCCATTGACATCACGCAATTCGTGTATCATGATTTACCAGATTGATCTTATATACTGCTAAATACACAAGCGCATATTGCAGCTGATTATAAAGCGATATTGGGAAAAAATAAACCTTCATAGAATGAAATAGTCATCGATGCTTATGGAGAGCATGGCATGCCTGTGAAACCAGCCACCAGGTTCCACAGCCGTTTGCCAAATGGTGATCTCATGTGAGCAATGGAAAATGGTTATTTTGAAATCTACAGGGCTACTTTCACTCCTTTTCGCTCTATCCACAGAGTACTCCAAAAAGGAATTATGCCTACAAAAGTCTCTGGTCTCTATGAGTATCCCATTACATATCTTGGTTATCTATTAGGTTATCTATCAATCTGCCTTGATAGCGTGGAGTTTTTTTTTCACGCACTTCTCTGTCGATGTCTTGGTTTCATAGCTCCCAACATTTTTCAGTATGCTCCATCGTGTCCAGCTACGCCTACTCGACCTAGTGTAATTCTGATTACAGGTGCCTCAGCAGGTAAGAAACCATGGGGTTTGAATCACTGTGAACGCGAAACTGAAGGACTATTATCAGGCATCGGCCGGGACATGGCATTGGACATGGCCAAGAGAGGTTACACGGTTGTAGCGGGTGTGAGAAAATCTCAAGATGGAGCGGCTATTGAGGGCGCATTCTACGAATGGAAAAGCCAACAACAGCCTCCATCTAAGACAAACGGAAAGCTTTTCCCGGTGACGCTGGATATTACAAACAGCACTCACATCGAAAACGCTGCGCAGACAGTGTACAGGCATTGCTCCTCCAATAACCTTCCATTCGTTGCCCTTATCAACAATGCTGGTTACGCCGCACATGGCCCATTCGAATTACTTAACATGAAAACCATTGTTCAAAACTATGAAACAAATGTCTTTGGTACACTTGCTCTTACAAAGAAACTCATCCCATTACTCCGATCGAAGGCTACTAATGGTTGTGGAAGAGTTATCAATTTGGGCAGTATGGCGGGCAAAAATGCCATATTGCCTCAGCTTGGATCGTATGCCAGCACCAAAGCTGCTATTCGATTAATGACGCAAACTTTACAATTGGAATTATTTGGGCTGGGGATTTTTGTTTCTCTTGTTGAGCCAGGTAAGGCGAGGTTGAAGGCTGTAATATGTACACTGTTTGTTATGACCTTTTCTCATCCTGTTTATTTTCTCAGGAACTGTTGCGTCAAGAGGGGTAGCCATGCTAAACACCGAAGGCGCATTTTCACTTACCGGGCCAGATTTTGAAGCACCAACTATTTTGGATGATGGTAACCTGTACACGCAAGCTCAAATCCTCGAATTTTATAACAGCCAGGGCGGTCTTCACAGCAAGCAATACGACACTAGTGCTTCAGCTCAACCATCTTGGGTAGTCACTAATCAGATCGTTCATGCTATCGAGAGTAACTATCCTTTCACAGAATATCTTGCTGGTTTTGACGCCAAGATGGGCGGTATTATCATGAGGGTGTTCGGCCCAAATATTATCAAGGTCGCATTCAAAGGCGTCACTGTCCCAAAAAAACCAGACTCCCAGCACGATGGAGTTAAGAAAAATAAATAAATGTTGGTAATGTATACGGTTTTACGACACGTTAGTTGGCGACGTACGCATGTGAAGGTTTCATGATAAGTCATCATGGTCAGTCGATCGTATGCCCTACCGAACATTGAGATGTAGAAAAAAATATACCATGAAGTATTGGTATTATTATAATACTTTTCAACATGCAAATGTTGAATAGCTAAGCGCACTGTGAGATTATCTACTATCGTTAGCATTTACGTTTACGTTATATACATCTTTTCCCTAATCGTTATTGTCGCGAAATAATAGTAGAAGGGAATTAACACAAGGACCGAGGATATTGATTTGCCTGTGGAAAAGCTCATTGTTGGTCACCGCCCGATATGTCTAACGAAGACGGTTGCTGTGGTGGATCGGTGGAGATGACAATTGGCTGTGCTGGGGTCTCTGGCGCATCTGAGCTGGCCACCGTCTCATTGTTCCCAGGAAGCCCACCATTTGTATCCTTCATTGCAGGTGAAATTCTTGAACGACTATGTGACGGCAGTACCAAATTACCAGACTCTGGGGCTCTATTTGAGTTTGCTGATGGCTCAGTTAGTCTGCTTTGTCTACGTTCTTGTAAATTGACGTGAGACCTTTCTTCATCCTGAATACGACGAGCTTTGAGCATATATTGTATCAGTTTGACCATAAAAGCAAGCTAAAAATTTGAAAAATAATTAGTTTGAGAATTCGAATCTGCTTGAGTGACTACTGATATACTTGCGTTCACGATGTTCAATAATAATGACACGAAAATGGAGACAGCCGCAATTTTTATAAAGTAGTTTTCGCAGTCTTCTGCAATATCCTGCTCGCTTTGTCCATTACTGCCCACATAACCAGTAACTCTGCTATCGCTGGAGCATTGAGCAAGGTACTGGCTTTTGCGCACAACTAGCAGGCAGGTGTTGACGACGGACATGGCTATTAACAGCAGAGTAGACAGACAGGACAGCATTCTGGCGGAAACAAACCGTAAGCAAGTTGCAAGCATTTCCGGTAGGCACTAAGCTTCCAAAAACCAAATCATACGAACATGTAGTAAGATATCCATTTGATATCTATCTATCAAAGGATTAGATAACAGTTAAGTTTGATGTCGATTATAGCATGGTACTCACCCTTAATATAGCCCATAATCCGAATAATGCGATTGCAGCGAGGCAAATGTAGAAAGAACCTGAGATACAATGCTGATATTAAGAACATCACATTGACTTGATTTAGCGGAGCATAGCAAACTACCTGCAATGATGACTGTCGCAGTCAATGATATACCGACTAGTATATATTTGTGTTAGTCGGTGCCTAATCTACAGTTGGTTGGCAAAGGCACTCACATATTATATGTACAAAACTAAGCACGCCAAACAAGGCTCCAAAGACCTGTGGGTCATAGTTTTGTTACTTAGCCTAATGCGACAGGTACATACACGATATAACAACGTACAAAGAACCACATGGTAATAAGGACCACCCCTGGCCCAAGCGGTAAGCAGAAGCAACAGCTGTCGCTCAGCAAACTAGACCACTTCATAATAGGACATAGAGTAAAGATATAAAAGTTTATTATTGCGCGCGGTGTCATGCTTGAGGTTTAATGTTCAAAAAGAAATCGCCGATGTAACACCCAATAAGCACAGAGAGATTTTTCGATCCGTTACGGCTGAATGTCGGAGGATTGTGACTACTTGCATCGACATCAGTCTGATTTTACCTGGCTTGAAAGGTGCCTCTCGAAAGACTCAAGGGGTATTTCGTTTTGCCCATCATAGGATTCGGAAAAGGCAACGTACATATCGGGTCTAACAAGAATAATGCCAGCTCGATTGTCTTCAATGCCAAGTAGCTCAGCCAGTCTACCCCTGGTATCGCACCAAAATCCGTTTGTTCCATCAGCATTGTTGCGAGCATATTGTGGAACTCTATATCGGCCAATGTAGTTCTTGCTTTCTACCACAATTGGTCTTACAAACCTCTTGTAGGTCTGGAGAAGATTCCAAAATCCAGCAGAAGCGTCGTCGTCACCAGCGTGATTCCAAACGAGCAAAGCAATGTACCTATCTGTCTTCTTAAATATGCTCTTGATCGTTTGCGGTGGCAAGTTCACAATGTCCTTGGGATTGAGGGTGCATGAGTCTGGCATGTATTTTCCTGGTTCAATGATGCTTGAAGCACTTTTCTCAGCCAATAACGCGGAGCTTGTAGGGATAGTGATCCAGAGTTGTTGGATCGTAAATCCAACCTTATCGTGAATAGAGGGTATGGTCAAAGCCATTGGAAGCACTAGCGAGCGCATGAAGGCTATCCATGAGAGTGATATTAGATAAACAGTTGCTGAAATTTGTCGTTGAAATAGTGTATGAGCTTACATGAAAATATGGTACGTTGGAATACACTTCTTCCCATTCTTCCAGTGCCATTGATGGTCGTATCAATAATTGGATACCTCTGTTGTGAGACAATTAAATCAGATTTCAAGCCATTGTTTATATCACATAAGACATTCGTTACACTAACCTCTTCATAATAGGAGTCCAAGAGCACTTCCGGGTTCTCTGCCGTATTCTTTAGGACTGACGAAATCTTCCATGCCAAGTTATTTGCTATCACGTAAAAGGAAATATTTAAACACCGATACTGCCGTAGCATGCATTGTTCATCGTTCATATACGTACCATCCTGAAAACCGAGGTTCAATCCTTGGCCACCAGCTGGTGAATGACAATGTGCTGCATCTATAGGTAGATCGAATTAGATGCGTTATTTCAATATTGATAAGCAAATGCTAGAATCACATTTCAGCTATCTCTTACCTCCCATAACAAAGCATCTTCCTCGTCGGAAACCGTTAGCTCTTCGTTCGTTGATACCAAACTTTGCTATCCATTGTGGGTTAACAGCTTTCATATTGAAATATCCACAACGCTGATCTATCAAAGTTTGAAGTTCTTCCAATGTAGGGGGAGCGTCGTTTTTAATGCCTTGAGAGACTTTGCCTTCATTGTCCTTGGTCTCGCTTAAAGCACCAAGACTAACAACCATACGGGTGATAATCTTTTCTCCAGAGTTATCGGGTATCGGAATTAATATAAGCGCGCCGTTTTTGGAATCAATGAAGTTGAAGTAGCGGAAATCAGGTAGCTTGTCTCCAGTAAAAGTGACATCGGCTAGCACAGATGGCGAATTGATGACCACGCCGTCAAAATTCCATCCCGGGGTCCCTTTGCGTACAGTAGAATGTACACCATCCGCACCTATAAGGAACTTTGCTTTTACTTCCTCAATGTTATCCGTGTCATCCCCATGTTGGAGTTTGGCTACCACGTGGTCGCTCTCTTGGACGTAAGATATCAATTTGACTGGTCGCTCAACTTTCTTGGACAATCTTTTATGCAGTATCTCTTCTATTCTCCACTGAGGTAAAGTTGTCATATGATGAAAAGTACTATCCAGGCCGCTCATTTCCACCTCTGTAAGCTGGGTATACAGAATAAGGATCAATACGCATTATGACCAAAATGTGTGGCACCAACACTTACCTGTTTGGTATCAGAGTGTAATCTTATGCCGCGAGAGAGTAAAGCACGGCTTAAGATTTCGCGAGCTATATCTCTGTCCTCCATGACTTCCAAAGTTCGGGCTGTCAGAAGCAGTGCTCGGCTTTGACCAAGTCTGGCTTCAATCGGTTCGCTATCGATAATTCGATAAGTATGTCCGAACTGCTCCATTAGGTTTGCGAAGAAAGATCCTACAGGTCCGGCACCACAAATGAGTACTTCTAGCATATTGTAGCGTTAAATGGGTTTGGTTCAAGTGTCAAAAGATTGAGTGTTTTGTAAGTGAAGAGAAAAGCTGGATCCAAATATATTTATACCCTATACGGCACAATTGCACGGACGAATGATCAGCCGTGACGGCTTAACTTTCACCTGAGCATGGATAAATTTGTCCGAGATGGGACGTCTTCCCTTCTCACTCTGGTAAAGCACGTATGATGTCTCTGCTGTTGGAAAAACATTTTAGTGACATTCACGTTAAGGTTTCTTGCGATCGAAAGGAGTGCGAAAATGAATTATTACGATCTATGACGGATCTATCATGGTATTATGGCTTAAGTTCACGGAACCCGTCCAGGCTCAATTTCTGCACAACATATTGAATTTTCTGTGGTCATTAAGTTATTTATTATTTTAAATTTTATATCTATTTGGTGGTCTTTTCATCTAAATCTATTAGTCGCTTTAAACCAAGTATCCATTGACCATGGTCGTCGTACGCCTTTGTCATGAGCTTAACATGCATATCCAAGGCTTCTGTGAAATCGCCCTTTTCCATAGCTAAATGGCCAGAAAATACGAAATTACTCGATTATGCCATATCGTGACTACCTCCATCAAACAGTACTGAAAAAATCTAATTACCTTGACAAAGCTGGCATAATTGATGAAGTACGTCGCTGTTGAGTTCATGGTCGTCAACCTTTTGCAACAATTGGGTCATTCGTCGATCCGTATCGTCAATCATGCGCTTCTGCATGCCTGTCTGAGGTCAAGTATTAGTACCATGGAATCACATTAAATCCCAAATTATAGAGCAGAATCAAACCTTAAATTGAGCTTTACAGCGCTCTACTGTCTCTACTATGACCTTATGGACTACTTTAGAGTCGACATCGACGTCAACTTCTTCTGATGCTTTGAAAATCTATCTGTCAATTAGCTACCGGCTGCAGAAACACATCAAAACTTAAGAGACTTTTGATTACCTTGTTTGGAGGATCATTCTATGGAGATGTAGGATTGGTGTTAACAAATTGATCGATGATGGTCCACTGTTGGTTTGAATCTCATCACAAAGTACACGTAGATACAAACCCAGTGATTTTCAATGGTAGCAGTTCTGAAATCTCGACCAGTGAAGACTGAAAACTGCTCTACTGGCGACTGCTTATCTGCAGATGGAGGAGGTGTAGTCTTGACGGTCATGGCGAGAAGTGACAGTCAGGGCTTCGTTACCAATTTTATTGGGGGCGGAGTGAGACCAAAATGTGGATTGTCTTCCATTCTTGCTCATTTTAAGAGGTTCGGTGCCAAACAAAGCAAATGTCTTAAATCCTGCTTTCCTACAGATATCCAATAAATATCCTAGTTCACCGACCACGGCGACTGATTGAGATAAAATAGATACCAGACACCGCACTCTGCTCTCAATGCATGTTAAACGGTAAATCCATAGCGAAAGTGTAAAATTCCATTGCTGGGGCAACATCCTTCAGCACAAACATTCTCAATTCGTGCTTACCGCAGAAACAAAGTTCTTCCATCAAAGACGTCCAAATTACACTTCCTCATATCTATCACCAGCATTCCTGCGATTTCTTTTTTGTTATAAACTAAACTGTATCAGTTTAATAGCATGAGCTTGGAACAGCTTTTTAACTCATAGATTTGGAAAGTACTGCTTTACAAAAAAAATAGAATCGTACTGTACATAGCGGTTAGCGACAGTAACAAGCGCTAGAGAACAAAAAAGCAAATGGGAAGGGGGTGTGGGTTATGTTGAAATGATAGACAAATAATGACTGATTAATGAACAGGGGAATTGACTTGTTAAAGTGAAGTGGGTTGATGAGCTATAAATATTAGAGGTATGGAGAAGGTGAACAAATTCGATAATCGAATCGAGAGAGCTTATGCTTTCAAGGCGGCAGCCTCCCGTTCGCGACCTCCAGCAAAGTTGTACACGATAGCCTCGTAACAGAAGAACATAATGGCAGCATTTGGCACCACTCTCATCAAATGCGCCGTCATACCACCATACAGCGCACCAGCACCTTCTTCTTTGATGATGAGAGTGAGTGACTGCCACAGTCCAGTATACTTAAGAACACCATTCTCAGCGGGCTGTCGTAACCGGGTTCGAATAACCTCATGAGGATAAGTAAGACCGGCCGCCACAAATTTGGATGCAGCAGCAGCAGCGAGGTTGCCAATCCAATCTAAATGGTAATATCGGCAGTTTAGTCATTTAGTCCGTGGTGGGATTGCGCGTTCAGTTACGGAATACATACCTTGCACACTCTTAGCATGCGCAGCACTATCTGTTTTCTGACCAGCTGCATTTAGCCTTTCTGCCTTGGCTTCAATCTGTCGCTTCTTCAAGTGCTCATAAATGACCCATTGGATAGTTCCCTCCGCAACACCTACATCAAATAAAGTAAGAGATACGTTAATGACCACATTCTTTTAATTTCTAGTATCGCGCTACATTCGGGTTCAAACCTACCTAGATATGAAGCACTCATACCCTTGTACAAACCCTTGATGCCTTCTTCCTTTAAAATTTGTAGGGTGCAGTCAAAGCTGTTCTTGTAAAGCTTTTGTCCAACCGCTTGTAACTGTAATCGAGTTTTAACGACCCATATAGGATTTGTCGCAGTTGCAGTGACAACACCAGCCGAGGCTGCTGATATAAGATGAACAACTGGGGATTCATGTCCATTGTTCAATTCCGTGTAGAAGCTCTTGCTGTTGCCGTAGGTGAAAAACGCAATGGCCCTGTATACAATGGTGAATGAGCCGCTGATATACAGCCAAACTTTAATTAGATATTGAGATTGTTCCTACCTTGCAGGAACCACGCCAACCAAGTTTGGTCCCAGTCCCTTGAATAATGCCCTAGCGCCCTCTACTTGCTTAATACGACTGTATAAAAGTGTAAACGATGATATCAACAAGACAATGGCTTTGCAAAACACTAGGCTCAGCAAAATACTTACACTAGCAATCTTCCAGTATCTGCGAAATGGCCAAGTAACGATGATGCCCCCTTGGTAATAGTTGGTGTACCCAAATTGCTTCTACTGCGCTGCTGATAGTATGTTGACTACCATGGGGAATTTCGCACGATCAATTATCTGTTTGTACTCCACTTCAGGGGTAGGTTGGGAGTTGATGTCAACCACTGAACTTACCTGTAGTCTTGTTTTAACAACATCCAAAGGTGACGTACAGATAGCACCAAGCATTCCGCCAACTCTGTATGGTTGAAAAGGAGTTAACACTGTGGTGCGGACATTGTTAGCAACAATTCTCGCAGAAGCTAATTGATCTTACCCGCCAGCTACAAAGTGAACATACGAGCGTGAGTCACCCAGAATATTGGTCTTTCGAACAGTTTTTGAATCTATCTGAACAGGCGATAAAACGGAGGTAACTTCTACTGCCTTTTGTCCGTTCATGAGGGCTGACATGCTCTTCTAGACGCTAATTACAATTAGCAAGTTGCACTTTTTTTTTTTTTTCAGAAAGGGCAACGGTTTAAGAAATCGAGGTTTCCGAAGACAGTCACAAATCCCGAAAAAATGTGTCATGGCTTCCAATGTGCTCAAGACTTGCCCTATCAGAAGTTTAAAAGATATATGTGCTGTATATTCGATCGTTTGGGTGACAAGAAGCTATGGACATTGTTCATAATTTGATAAAGTTGCATTTTTTTTTATAAACTAAGAAAAAGGTAGTTATACAGTGACTTTGAAAGACGCATGATTCTTTACTTGGTGAGAATGACCACTCTTGGACTTGCTGCGATAAATATGAGCCATAGTATTCATTGTAGTAAAGATTGTGCATGATCAAACATTAAGACTTCTGAACAGGTGGTTTTTTCTCTAGACGATAACTAAATGATGCTTGAATAAGCCACAAACCAACATTGTGACTTCAGCAGAGCTTGCACCTGCAAAAGCTCAATTATAGCTCTTCATACTTATCATATCGAAGCGAGTCTTTGCAGTCAGGATTGTGCATAGCACGCACTTTTTGCAAGGACTTACGTGCTCACCCATCAATAATCCGCACACAGCCAACCGTCTAAAGCACTATAAAAGCTTTATATTTTTATTACTTTTGTAGCAGATGACATAGTCTACCAATTGTGTCCTTTAAATCAAAGTCTCGTAGGCAACGGGAGTGATAGTCTCGGGGAAGTTAGCCTTGGTGGAAACATGACGAGCCTCACGGGGTTGAACGGGAAGTCTCTTCAAGACAACTTGGACTGTACAGTGAGCAAAGATATTAGCAAATGCACTGCATTATTAGCAATTGCAAAAAATATGTGATTTTAGGTACTTACCACCAGCCTCAGTGGCCTCCTTGCGCTTGCGAGCGTTCTCCTTAACGCGGTCAAGGAACTCTTGACGGCACTTGGAGTGCTTAACGTGCTCAACACGGATGTTGACGCGCTTCTCCATATAACGGTTGCCAACACGCTTGTAGACGATGACACCGACGGCAGACTTGGTAACGTTGTAGACGATACCAGTGCGACTGGAAGAAGGCAAGAATGAGAAGATGCTATGACAATTGATCTTCATAATACTAGGATACTTACCCATGGTAGAATTTGTGGGGCATACCCTTTTGGACAGCAGCGTTGGCCTTGATGTCAACGATGTCACCAACCTTGTAGGTCTTGAGGTAGGTGGAGAGAGGGATAGAACCATGCTCGCGGAACTTGCGCGAGAACATGTGGCGGGTGCGAGCACGAACTAAGAAACGAGAGAAGAATTGGTCAACCAACGTTCAATACTCAGACACAGGTGCTGAATTGCTGTTGTCAGCTCTTTAAACGGAATTAATACATACTACCGTAAGAGTGAGGCATTTTCTGTAGATGAAAGAAATGTAAAATAAGGTTCGGTTAGTCAATGCTATCCAGAGAAATGAAAAAAATTGAAACGAAATTTTTTGACGATGGCTTGTGCAATGAGTTTTTCTTGGAAGAGCTTTCCTCCTGAAAATCATTGTGCGATTTCGAGTTGATGTAAAACGATGAGAGCCTATGGAGAACTCTGGCGTAGTATAGTATACCAGAACTCTTCATATGCCATCTTCGTAGTGCTTCGTAGTGCTTCATTCAACATGGGGCAGAGATCGATTTGGACGGACATGAAGTAACAACAAAGAATCTCGATAGACTCCATTTGAAAGTTCGTTGGTTGTTTCGATAAATCTTGAACATTTCCGGTTCAATGTGAAGTATAGTCGCAGAAAAGTCGATACCATTCACAAATATAAAGCATTCCGTCAATACATACTCTACGAGTCTGACCACGAAAGAAAGAGAAGGACCTTATCACCACTGGCAAGTTGATTGGCAATTAAACACCCAGAAAAAAAATTTTCGTGGCTGGCGATGGATGCATGCGTCATCGCATTCAAAACTTGATTATACCGCTACAAAGACCGCCAAAAAAAATTTTTTTTAAGTGTTTGAACTGTAGAAAATTTTGGGTCCTTCTTTTTCCAGGTCTATTCAAAATGGCAGGTGCCCCCAGAAAGTGTTAGTACCTTTCTTATACCATTAGCAACTGGAAAGTTGACATTCATCGACAATTACATATACTTAATGATTATTCGACTTGCGATCTACAGACTCTAAGACCTCCAAGGTTCCAAAGCGTCCTTTTGAGTCCGAACGTATCGATGCTGAACTTAAGCTCATCGGTGAGTTCGGTCTCAAGAACAAGCGTGAGGTCTGGCGTGTCGGTTACACCCTCTCCAAGATTCGTCGTGCTGCTCGTGAGCTTCTTAAGCTCGACGAGAAGGACCCCCGTCGTCTTTTCGAGGGTAACGCTCTCATTCGTCGTCTTGTCCGTATTGGTGTGCTCGATGAGTCCCGTATGAAGCTCGATTACGTCTTGGGTCTTAAGATTGAAGATTTCTTGGAGCGTCGTCTCCAGACCCAGGTCTTCAAGCTCGGTCTTGCCAAGTCCATTCACCACGCTCGTGTCCTCATCCGTCAGCGTCACATCCGTGTTGGCAAGCAAATCGTCAACATCCCCTCTTTCATTGTTCGTTTGGTACGTATCAAGTTATATATATATATATGATTCAATCATGATACAAAACTTATCATGTCGCACTATTTTACAGGACTCCCAAAAGCACATTGACTTCGCTTTGACCTCCCCCTATGGTGGTGGCCGTGCTGGTCGTGTCAAGAGAAAGAGAGCCAAGTCTTCCGGTGGTGACAACGAGGAGGAGGAAGATGAAGAGTAAATTCTTTCCCTGGCACTGAATGCAATTAAGCTAGCTAAAAGTTAAAGAGTCTTGCACTTTTTTTGTTCCAAAATAAAACAAAAGCGAATCTTTGAATTTCTGCTGTACCAAGAAAGTCACCATGTGTCATTGATGTGTATTGATCGCAGTACAACAAATTAACGCGAGATGGGTTAACAAAGCAGTGAAGGCGTTTTCAAGTTGTCCTGCACACTTGCTCTGAACAATCAAACTTAAAACATTTGCCACGTTAATAGTCACATTCCCATTGTCTTAAGATAGGCGTTACATGTCATAAAAACTCAAATGGCAGCCCAAAATACCAATGTATACACTCGGAATCCCTTTTCGTCTGAAGCAAATGACAGCCAACTCTTTGTGATCGTCAAACCTTTGTATTGGGTCGCTATGGATTTGTATAGAAAGGTTGCTCGAATTCAAATCAGGTAGCTGCAAAAGCAGATACAAGTACAGTGTATTGTTGCAACAATCAAGCATAAATCAGTACAATTTATGACAAGAAATTGTGTTTCTGAGGTTGATTGTGGTTTTTACGTCTACATACACATTTATTGCCGTCAGCCATTTCAGAGAACTGCTACTCTTTTTTGCGTCAGATTCCCAAATATGGGTCAGAAGCGTGACCGAAATTTCTGGGCTTTTCAAGCGGCGAAAAGCTATTTGATGCCCATGTCATGTCTCTCGCGAAAGTACTTTTGCCGCTTTCTCAGTTTGCTTTCAAAATGTCGGATAATGCCTACATGTCAATGCTCAACAATCCCAGTATCAATCCTCCAGTTGGACAGAGTAATGTGCAACTAGAAAGGGTGTCACCGAGCAAGTTTTCAGAACCCATTGGTACTAAAGCTGCGGCCGCCAAGCAAAGATTGGAACAAGTCACCCAAGATCTAGTATACATTAGCGAATCAGACGAACCATTTACTTTCTTCAATATCCCCTGGAAAGAGAGCAACTTCCCCTCACTGGATCAATTTATCACTTTAGTGAATGAGGATGTGAACACTCAGTCGCATGACGAGGAGCAGTCTACCAGAACTTCAACTAGCATGGAACAATTCTTTGAGCCATTGACCGGCGGAGACGATCCATACAATCAAGCGGCAGAGTATGTACAGCTTCAAGATACTTTTGTTGAGCTGTTTGGTCATCGTGTCCAAGTGTATTCCTTTGGTTCTTCAGAGATCAAGGTTTACATCGCAGGTAATTGCGAAGACGGACTAGTTGGAGTTAAGACAGCCAAGGTCGAGACATAAACCTGTTGTATGATAGAAGAAATTTGTATAATAAACTGAAAGAGCGCCATTCGCTCAACATTTACGACATTGTCACATTGACTGAATACACTGCTTGCCACATAATGAACTAGAAGAATATTTCTTTCATCATATATACAATAAGGTAGGAGCAGAATTCAGACGAAATAGCACTAATAAAATTACATATTTTTCAGAGAGTAGCCGTTGGTCCAAGTGACCACGAGCCGTCTTTATTGATTGTTCTTCATTTCATTCTACCTAGAAAATTTCCAGCTCCGAAACAGGAAAGATGGATTACGACACTGCTGTGTTCGGTAAAACGAACCCAATTCACATTATCCGAAGCAGTATTTCTATAGCTTTTCACAGTCGTGATCCACCCTCATTTTATTGTAAGTGTGAGATTTCCATTTGTATAGCTTCTCCACGAGGTTGCCATAATCCTGTATTCATGTAAGAGCCGCATAGATTTCCTTTGTGGGCAATCTACCTTGCTTGCGAGTGAATCCCCCCTCTGAAAGACTTGAGGGACTACACCGAATATTTATTTCTAGGCTTGAGACGAAGTTTATTTTGGTGGTGCTCAGCTAGAATTCTCAACCCGTTTTATATTTTTTTTTATATTTTTTGAAACTGCGGGCAGAATCCTTACTTTCGGTCTATTAATTCCATCGTAGACATCCTTCCTAGATTCATACATAGTGTTTAGCACAGCAATTCAGAAAAAGATACGCTACACATGGAGGACGGTATAGTCTACCACTTTGATGATGTGTCTGATTTCTACGCAGGTAAAGCTTTGTCCCTTCATCATGAGAGTGCTGTTCCAATTCGCCATGTTCTCCTCGTCGGATCCCAGCTTGTCTACAACGACAATCTAGTCACAATCCAGCAACAGCACTGAGGTCGTGTGTAGTCAACCGCTTTCTTTGCGTCATATAAATGACCTTGGGGCTTCGCAGTTTTTCAGCACTACACGATACGTTTATCAGCGACTTGGCTTCGATCATCAGCCCCGCAAATCGACCGTTAGAATATTTGATCCAGTATCTTTCACACTTGCTCACCCCACCATCTATTATTTATTATATAGAGCTAGACGATGTACTTGGTCAGCAGCTCTGTGACTCTCCCGAGGCTGCTAACGAGATCACCAAGACATACCTTGGATTTCTCATCAACTTTCAACGTAAGCTATTAACTTAATTCATAGTGCAAATATCTCCTTTGTTTCGATCTTAATGCCTTATCGGTTAACTTTATTTACAGATGAATTCTTGACCACATCAGCCGAAGTGGCTTATGCAATGTACAAATTCATTGATTCACCTGTATACTCCCGATACCACCAAAGTATCGTTCGCCATCTTCTCACAACTAGAGCGACTAAGGCATCCAGCCCAGTTGAACTCTCCATAATTTATGCCTTTCTTCTTCATGCGGGCAGAGAAGATTTAGGCGTTATGAAAACCATTGTACAAACCACAGTTGACGCCAATGGCACCAACCTGTTTCTGCAGAAATTAAGAAACGAAATCGAATTCTGTATTGGTGGTACGCGCTTCACCATCGTAATACTGATGCTGATGTTTGAAATGTGCAAAGTAGCAAAGCTTAGCAAAGGGGATCTTGGTAAGTGTAACCTTATTGTGTTCTGGAAAGAGATTACAGCACTGACAATGGGCAATTTTAGAGCATATCTCGCCAGCATTTATTCACTACTTGCTGGATATTGTGGAGAATATGTCGAACGACAGTGAAGAACTACTCAATTACTCGGCGATGCGACTTATACTTGTATTTAACGAACAATTCATGATGCAGCGAGCTATGAGTCCAGTGTCCGACGATGGAAGCGAATTTCAAAACCAGATACTGCGAGTACTGAGATCCAAGATAGGAAGCAGCAAAACATTTAGCGAAAACTTGATATTTATGTTGAATCGTGCCGGTATAGTATCTCAGGGGTTTTGATTTTTCTTGTCATCATGGTGACTTTACTAAACGGTGCCTTCATACCTTCGCATGGCGAATTTTAGATGATGCTTGTGTCCAGATGTTGATCTTAAAGTTACTGTACTTAATATTTACCACCGAAGAACTGTTCGAATTCTTCTATACCAACGACCTGTGCGTACTTGTCGATATAGTATTAAGAGAACTTTGTGATTTAGGAGACGAAAATGATGCAGAGGCGGTAAGTGTCATTCCAAGCTGTCCTTTTTTGGCAACCCGTAAAAATGGTATTGTGCGGATCTCTAAGCAGTACTGCGTTCTTAGCTTCGCCAGACATATCTTCGTGTGCTCAATCCCATGTTGGTCAACACTCAATTGCGATACACCCCCTACAAACATCAGCAGATTCATCGCATCTTGTGTGCTATGATAGCGCCTCGAGCATATCGCCCTGTGAACTCAACTACTCAGCGACTTGTTCAACGAATCATGGAGGACTGGTGGGCTGGGGTAAGTTAAATGGCATTTAAATGAAAGCGACACATAGAGTGGCCACATTAATCTAACGGGTTCTCATTGCATTTGTTAGGTTTGCCAGGAACCCGTTGCACCCGTCGTTGGTGTACACCTTGATAATATAAAAATCGGCCCAGATAGCGTTGCTATAGCCATAGCGTCCGAAAATTCATCACCATCTCCCGTAGTATCAGCTGCTATAGCAGCTGATACGACTACATCGGCCGAAAACGCTGTGAGTTCCACCGTTGGAATGGCAGATCCCCAGCCAATAAATAAAGGGGATACTGACCGAGGCGTCTTATGCGCATAAGAACCTCAATATGTTACAATTTAGTTTTGTGTTTTTTCTTCCCCTGTTTTTGCTTTCTGCTTTGCTCTTACTTGTTTTGTTTTGTTTTTTTCGGTTTTGGGGTAGAGGATGACACATATCATTTCTTCAGTAACGTAATAAATATCATTGTGATCTGACTGATATCAGCAATTGAATTGCATGGAAGACCGCCAAATGCGATTGTTTGATTTATCACTTACAAAACAGGAATATACATGATGATGCTCAAATGTCTACGAAAGGGTGAGGCAATACGAAAAGATAGAGGAGGGGGTATGAGAACAGTAGTGGGAAAGCAACGAAAACGTTATGGAAAACAAAAATACAAGAATACATGTAATAAACAAAGTAAGGGAATGCGGGTGGGTAGGTTGATCTGGCAAATGGTGAGTGTTATCATGGAACTTAAACGAGACCAAATCCCTTTGCGTTTTCTATAGAAACGATTAGCCGGTTCTTTAGCTTTTCTCGGCTAGAGTATTCTGGGAGAAGAAGTCGGCTAAAGCAGGTAAGAGCAGTAGGTAATCTATAAAATAAGAAAATGGTTAGTGGAGCTAAACGCAAAAGAAATAAAAAAGAAAAAAGGTTTTCAAGCTTACCGATCACTGTCAGGTCCGTTCCGTTGTATGACAAACATAAGCTCTTTTAGTCCACCAACTGGTATTCTATCGCTTGCGGTGACAAATAGTAGCAAATGTCGCTTTTGTTGGGGTGACAACTCGTGAACAATGGACCAAAAGTTTCTGTAGAGCAGAGCAAAGTTTGCGAAATTAGTGTTACTTGCTTTTTTCAAACAGGAAGGGGCAGATATGTGTTTTACTTACCTGATGACAACGTGATTGGAATCGTAGCCATCATCGTATTCAGCCGCGCTCTCAAGCTCATGCATGTCAAGGTCCAATCCTTCAGGACCATCTCGCTGTCCACAAGCAATCACTTCGACTTCATCCGCAGTACACATAGCAACAGCTGATCCACCAATGACACTCCAAACGCCTCGTCGGATAGCAAGCATAGGTTCACGGATCCAACTGTACATGAAGTGCCGACAATAGTCATCTACAAATTCCTTGCGGTTTTCATTGGTCACAGGTACGTTTTCACCGTCGGCAACAAGAGGAATAGTAACTACAGCGTTACCAAGAGTGGAGTATGATATTTCGTAACTGCGACAAAAGATGTCTTCGACATCATCCTGTTCCCAATCGAGTAGCTGGCGTAAACCCTTTCCAAGGCTAGGCCATCCTTCTTCAAGGTCGTTTAAGCTGAACAGTGCATTGTCGTCATCAAGCGTAGAAGGATTCGGGCACGTAAGCATTTTCCAAAAGATTTTTGGAAATTGTAAACCAAGTACGACTCCATTGTAGATTGCCAGGCCCATCAGCACACCAAACATTTCAAATGATCGACGTGTCTCTGCATCAATTTCCAAAGATCGAGTGGACTCGTTGTAGACGCCTGCATTGGAACTGACCCAGCTGGATCTCGTTTCTTGGTCAACTTCGAACAGGCCAGATGGAGAGTGAATTAATTGTTCCATCAGAACTCCGAAAAACTCCTTTTGTACGCCGCCTTGATCCATGCCTTCTTCACCACCGCCTATGAATCGAACCTTGAGAGGCTTCTTAAGATCGGCCCAACGCCGTGATATTTGTTGCCAGGTATCATCAATAAGGTGCTCTCTAGTGATCTCCAATAGCAAATACGGACATGTGGCACTGCGTAAGCTGGTTTCCAAGTTACGAACCATCTTGGGAGAATCGGAAAGCAGTCTTTGAGCATGGGCGACCAAAGTATGATTGACGCATGCATCTTCATACTCTGATGACATTTGAGCCATCGCATCTATATGCAAGATTTTTCGTTTGAGCGATGGGGGCAGGAGAAATGAGTAACTGAATATGGAGAATTGGTATTCGTGCATAAGGGGGAAAGGCAACAGCATTGATGTTGACGATGTCGTTAAGAAGAGTCGAGTACGACGCTGGTTTTCATTCAAATTCAAATACGTGTTGGTTTTGCCAGCCCCCATGAGCTTGACAATATATGACGCCGAATGTCGCCCTTCTCCCACCAACTGAACCCGCTTCCAAATACGATATTCGTCCTTAACGTCCAAGATGCGGTTGAAAGCATCATTATAAAATGTCGTGACTGGGACAATGGGCTGGTTTGGATCCAGACAATTTGAGTCGTCTTTACAAGGGTAATTATCAGGATCAGAAATCAAATTGTACATAGGTCAATTTCATACTTTTGTAACAACTTACATAGTAATTCAAGAGCTTTGGTAGTGCGTATAACGTGGTCATCTTCGTCAAGCTTGTAAGGGCTGGAATGGTAATGATCTTCCATAAACACATGGCACAATTTGACAAATGCTGACATATCCTCCGCATCAAAGCTGAATCGTAGAGAAAATTAGACTATGTAAAATTGTAGAAAGCCAGCTCAATGTGAGGTGGATAATAACTTACCAATGCAGTGTGCTCGTTAACAACGCACGCATGTCGGACGTTTTATGACTGGATATCTTACATAATATGGTAATCAGCTTTTGAATGAGTATATCTTCACCGACAGCGATGTTTGCCTTGAGGTTATGCGCTGCACCGATGCTTCCACTTCCGTCTGCTTTGCTCTCGTCTACATCCGTTTTGTCAGGACATGATTCCGCAGACACCGAAGCTGCGGATGAGTGTTTCTTCTGTATTATATACCATTGCATGCAAGATGCAACAGAACGGCACCAATCGACCGCATTCCGAGAAAAGAAATAATCGTCTGGTTCGTCCATAACTTTGGATGAATCAGACGTAGCTTGGTATTGACAGACATCGTCGCAATTGAGAATCATTCTGGTGAGGAGCATTTCCAAACTCTCGGAGGCGACTTTAAGAAGCAAGTCGGCGTTCTTGTTATTGGCCGTTACTAAAAGATCAAACAGGTCGTTCAAAGCTGCCTTGTTGATGCTCGGGTGTTGCTGATCTTCTACTTCATGTCCCAAAAGGAAGCTGTTGCCGAGGCCGTCCCAATGTTCAAAAGTGAGCTTGATAAGATTGGATAAGTATCTGAATTGGTCGTCAGGTTCCGATGAACTCATCTTATCGAAATAACTCTTGAAATGTTTCATATCAATAAAGACATGAGAATGTGCATCCGTAGATACGTCAACTTCCTTCACACTGTCAAGTTCTTGAGAAGTTTGCAAGTTAGCTTTCGCAACATCATCCATATGAATGTCATCATTTCGAGTATGTGGCTTGCTGTTTCGTTGGCCATATTTCTTTTCGTATTTACTGCTACGTCGAGATCGCTTCAACCAGTTGTTGCGCTCTTCATAGTATTCCAATTCATTCAAAGGGCTTTCATTATTATGTGGAACTATGAACCGTCTGTTGCCGCCAATGGCACTAAGCACACCAGCAGATACATTCCCCCAAAATTGTCTAACTTGGCTAGGAATGTTTTGGATGTTACTCTCAGGAAATGGTGCATCGTACAGAGCAGCTCCAAATGGTCGTTCCATGTTGACTATGGCCGTCTTTCTAAAAGAGTCAGGCAGTTTTGAGTCATCTTCTTCATCATCATTAGCGGAATGCGCTTCAGGAATCTGTGCGTCTTTTTGGGCAGGTGATTCACTGGTACTGGAGTGTATGATGGGAGAAAATGATGACGTTGATGTAAACAGCTCTGACAAAAAGGATTGCGGTTCGTTCGATTTTTTCTGCGACCTCTGCAAACGGGTATCAAAGTAGTGCAGTATGGTGGTATCTGGCAGCTGCGTTATTGCTTGGCACAACTTGCTGTGTGGCTTGGAAGCAAAGTGGATGGCTAGGACTAATGCACCTTCAGGGTTAAGCTTGAGACCTAAAAATTGTATTTTTATAATAATATTTTCAGTGTCACATTGCCAAGTTCGACGATAGAACAGAAATATAATAAATAAATAAAATGATTCAAAACATACCTCTATGGCTGCCATTTGCACAGAGTCTATTGTAGCAGTCTGAGTTGTTGCATCCCGAGTGTATTTGGTAGAAGTACTGTTTCACCTTCAAACTAAAGGCGGTCGTCGCCTTTTGAACTGTGGACTGGCGGTGCCTTGTACGGTCTACCTTATTATGTTTGTCCGACTGAGCATCTATTTGCTTGACCGATACCTTTCTATTTTCTTCTTCGTGGCATGATTGAGATCTTTCTTTGGTTTGCCGATATTGCATCATTGAGTATTGTTGGGAATTGACTGCATTTGCAACTCCACGCCCAGTTTCTCGATAATTAGGTGCCAAGGAATCGGAACCATGCTGTCTCAATGGATTCCCAGGCACAGCCGCTAGCTTGCTGGAGGCATTAGAAGAGCGTCTCCGTCGAGGTGCTGCATGAATGCTGATTTCTGTTGAATTAGCACTGTTAGTCGCATTTATCTTGGAGGTCTGTGCTGAGCTAGCGGATGGTCGTGGATCCTTGTTCGTGGGACTTAAACAAAGGAAGCCTTCACGATCATCAGACGGCGACATTAAAGGTGAAGTTGGTATTGAGGTTTGTTGTGAAGGTGAGGAGACATCATCAACATCAGGCATACTTGGGGCAAGATCGGTAAGCAAAAGCCGCACCAGTCGACTCAAGAGTCTATGTGCTCAAACCACGTGACTGTTTCACGTGACGATGTGCTTCAATATATGGTTTCTGGAAACGGTCCATTTTCTCTCAGTCGCGCAATGATATCATTAAAAGAGTCATTGCAGCAATAAAAAAGACGAGCCTTATACTTATTCTCAAAGTTAATGGACATATCGGTTACAGGAAGTAAGGAACATTCAGATCGTAGCACTTGGAAATAAAGTTGCAAACTGTTTCGGGTGTGGGAGAATGTAAGGCAAGTGAAAGTCTGACTTTGCTATTGGTCCAAGTTATCACTGTCAAGACTGCAAGTGTAGCCACCTGTATGTCCTAGTTCAAAATAAACTGATATCGCCCCGAGTTCAAGCCGTTCGAACCACGGGCATAATAAAGACCTTCGAACGTTAAGACCAGTCCCCATCTTGTTATTTACGATGTCGAAAGAGACACTTTATTGACAGATGAGCATAAGTACAAAAGGTTTGAGAAATCTTACCTTGAGATGACTTCCCTCTCCCAGTTTTTTCAATGAGCCATCTTCCCAGTATGCTAAACTCCGAGTTTGCACACAAAATTTTTTTTTCAGCGGAGGGGTCCAACCGAAAGCATCCCCGCAAATAAAAGATATTAAGCATGGCCATAGATCGCACTCTAGAATGTGCACGACGGCGAGCTGCCAACTTATTCATAGAGCAATGCCAGTCTAACGACGGGCTCTGGAGCTGTTGCGGACAAACACTACAGACGAAAGCGGAAGCATTCAAACATGCACACTCAGACCATGGTGATGAGTTACAGCAAGAGGCATCTCGGGTATACCGACAATATCAAGACGCTGAAACAACTAAAGTAGATAGTAAAGCATTTCGGAAAAGAAGAAGCAAAAAGGGCAGCAGTGATCCTATCTCCACTGAATGTGATTGTGATATATCCGATTACACAGTCATTCTCTTTTATCTCTATCAAGCCATCGAGAGTCCAGATCAACTAGCTGAACAACACTATCAACTGTGCAGCCAATTTTCCATCACGGGAAAAGTTCGGGTAGCGCATGAAGGAGTCAATGTTACCCTTGCTGGGACCAATGATGCCATTGGACATTACATCAAATACGTCGTAGATAGGCTACACTTGGAGGACAAAGACCCATATGATTTTTTCAAACCGTCTTCGGGTTGTGTCCATGTGTTTGAGGATCTTTCGGTCAAAGTCGTAGAAGAAATATGCCCACTGAACGCCGATGTGACATTATCAACTCTGCTTACGGCATCTCACAAGGAAGGCAAATTACCACCTGCCAAGTTCCATGAAATGCTGCAGAGGCAAGACGTCCTTATTCTTGACACTAGAAATTATTATGAAAGTCGAATTGGCAAATTTGAAAGGGCAATTACTCCGGCCACACGCAAGTTTGCACGATTCCCAGCGTGGGTTGAAAGGAATAAGGAGGCTCTGGATGGCAAAGTTGTTCTGACCTATTGCACAGGGTAAGTTAAACTATCTCAAGTGTACAAACATGGAAACCAAAACAATCCCATGAAAAAATTATGGCCCATGTTTTGACTTTTCTCCGTGCCATATTTTTATGTTTCCTTTCATTTCGATAGGGGCATTCGCTGTGAGAAAGCGTCGGCGTATCTTCGACAAACACTATCAACCGACACACAAGTTTGGATGTTGGACGGGGGTATTCACAATTATCTGGAATGGAGCAAAAAAGCCGAGATCGAGCCCCTTTGGAAAGGGAAAAACTATGTTTTTGATGCAAGACAATCAACGGGAAATCAAGGTACTATTTCAAATTGTCAAGTTTGTCAGCAACCTTGTGCTCGTTATGTCAAATGCAGTCGGCAATGTCATCTCTTGATTATCTGCTGTGCAACATGCGAAGCCAAGCACGAGCAAATGGTATGTTGCGATAGCTGCGACGGTCGGACTGGCATGTGCAAATGTGAGAAGCTGAGGCGACAAGAGGAGTCCACACCGATCAAGACAAGCCCAATGAAGTCAGACCAGAACATCCAGGCAGACGCGTTTTTCACATGATTTGTAAATACTTGGGCTCTTTTCGTCCTCTTCCCAACCCAACACAAACCCCAAATTTCGTTCCCGTAGTTGGATCTTATATGCGCCAAAAAGAGCCATGTGAAGTGGGTACTGTGTAAATAAATGGGACAAATACTATATACCATTTTCCAATTCGAAAGACGTTTATAATAAGTAATAAAAAAATAATATGTACACAAAAAGGAAAAGAAAATTTTGTAAAGTGCTACAAAATAAGTGGATGCTCAATGAAAATAACTGTGTGTGAGTGCGCGCCTTGTGGGGGGTGGGATCATTCTACGTTTTGTTGCGGATGAATCTCGTCATCATTTGTGCAAGATATGAGCAAAAAGCAATGGGGGGCCAAATTGGTTGGATCTTCCATTTTGTGATTTTCGTTTTTGGTGGTTTTAGCAAACAGCATTGCGAAATAATTTTTTTGTTTTGTTTTTTTTCCTCTTGGTTCAAGTGTGTGTGATCTTTTTATCTTGAGTTTTTTTTCTTTTCTTGAAATTCATTGCGATAGATATTTCCTTTTGTCTTCTTCCAGTAGCTAGGGATCTTTTGTGTGGTGGAGAGAGTCTTTTGGAGACGTTGTCGATCCAATATTTCATTGCTCATATTTTACTGGTATCACCAAAATCCACGTTGCGTAATGCCTACATCATAAGTATCTTTCCAAAGGGAGATCATCGACGACAAGAAGGACATCCATCTTTGTGAAAGTAAAAGATGCGGTGGTTATGGCAGTAGCTCGTTGATTCCCTACGAACCGGTACCTTGTTAGAGTTGACAAGAGGTGATGATAGAGCAAGGATTGACATAATGCAGCAATGATTATATAGGAAGAGAGAATGGGAAAAAAAAGGGTGAGATAGAGCAAAAGCTGGCAGCTGCAATTGGTAGTTGGAAAGAAGAAGTTTTTTTGTATTTTTGCAGCCCGTTTATATAGCTTGCTTGTGGGGTAAGACCCGCCAGTCAGTCAGCCCAAGTCAGTGGTGGTGGGTGCCCAAAAAGATATCACATGAATGAAAAATTGTAATTTACTACTTGCCTCACGTAGCAATTGTCACACAGTCGGTATTGGACCGCCTACGGTTCAGAGCCCATTAATTATACCCGCCTTCCCCGCCGAGTTTTAATATGCAGCGCTTGTTTTGCCAGTCTACGCTGCTGGGATTCTATACACCGTACTTCTCTTATTTTTGCTTACTTAACACGCGTTATGTGAGATAACATGGTCCTGTCGCACTTGTCTTGATTAGGTAAACAAGATCTGATCGACCCACGAGCACGCTTCCCCATGCAATATAAACGTAAAAATCACCGTACACAAAGCCCACCTTGCACTACGTCCCAGACAAGGTAACTGGCAATCAAAAATTGCCAGCCGGCTTGAACTCTTTCACTGGGAAATTTACCATACTCAGAATCCGACGCATTTGGTTGGTTCACTGCTGTTGCACGGACAGCCAAGCTTATTTCGGAGACTTTTGACAGCTCACGAGGGTGAATGCCTACCAGGTAGTAATGTGCATAGAGCTCTTGGCTTCATACACTGTAGTGAGTGGGTCACCAGTTTACGCTATAGGTAATGACCCTTGAAATAAGCTTATGTTAGCTTTACAGACTACTGCAAACATCATGTCAGTCGTACCAAAATTTTATTTGGCGTGCAAGGTCAACCTTTTTTTTCCGTATCATGGGACCTCTTGCTGTGCCATACGGGAAAAAAACTGGCTCACCTCTCTCCCGTCCGCGGCGTTACTAGGCAGTTTTTTAAGGAAGCACTAGTGGTTATGGCTTCGCAATGGCTGACCGACTTGGCGTACATGGTTACCGCTCTTGGCAAAACTAACAACGAGGCTGACATCTCCCCCCCCTTTCCCACTTCTTTCGTTCTGTTTCTGTATCTGTATAGTTATCCCAATGGACATTCAGGCTCTTGATTGGCAAGACTTTGCACAAGATAAGGAGGGATCAAAACGTTATTTTTTGTGAAGTTGGTCTATCCTGGGTACATTATTTAAAAAAGAAATTATCGTGATGTAAAAAAAATTGCGGGCAAGGTCAGCTCAGCGTCTGCTTTGCATGGAAACCGTTTGATATCTAAAACTCCGTCCATCCATCTTTCTCTTTTGTAATCTGTGAAAACATGCCAGAATTGACGGAATTGCTTCGGAAGCGTATGTACTAGGACGCTTATGGCCGTACAAACTTGCGATGGTAACTCAAACTTACTCAAATTAGGTCTAATGGACACCATCCGAGCCATCCAACCCCCAGAGAAATGGAAGCTTATGGTCATCGATTCTCAAAGCATCAAACTTTTGAATGCTGTGTGCAACAAGTACGATATTTTAGAGGAAAACGTAGGTGTCCGAAAACCTTCAAGATCTTGAAAGTGAAAGCGAAAAATTCTGTTTGAACTCTGCCACTAACTATTTCTTTGTTTTGCTGCTCATAGGTAACATGTAGGTAAATAAATAGAGCTGCGTATTTCTGATGATGAAACTGATACAATCTCATTTGTACAGTGATAGAGAATATTGAACGACCACGACAGCCATACCCAACATTGGAGGCCATTTACTTTCTGACACCTTGCAAGGAATCCGTATACCGACTGATAGATGATTTCACTGTCAAGGGTCCGATGTACAAAGGCGCGCATGTACATTTCACTAGTGGTAAGTATGGGAAATCCTAGATAGACTAAACGCCCATTGTGCACGAGTGTATAAACATATGGGTCACAGCACATACGTGAGTAACAAAATGGTGTATCCTTCCTATTCCAGCCTTAGAAGATGATCTATTTGACGAATTTAACCGTCGCTTGAAGTCAAGAAATGCTTCACAATACATACTTCGTCTGAAGGAGATGTACGTTGATTTTATGGGTAAGTGTGGCTTTGTTTTTTGTAATATCTTACATTCGCTCTAATGAATGTGGGGAGATACATATTGCTAATTTCAAATTTGCGGGGATTAGCCGTGGAATCAAGCGTTTTCACCTTTGATCGGCCGATAAGTTTTTTCAACTTGTTCGGGCCCGAGGAGCGCTCAAAGTTTGAACCCGAGTTGGAGAAGTTGGCGAAACAGGTCGTTATCAAAGCACTGCCTCAATAAGTTTTATTTTCCGGTCCTATCGTACTGACATGTCTTTTTGGATATTCGGTCATACAGATTGTTTCCATATGTGCCACGTTGGGAGAGGACCCAATAATTCGCTATCATAGACCGCTAGACGAAGATACTGGTGCCCCCATTAATAAGTCCTTGCCCTATAAGTTGGCTATGACGGTGCAACGAGAAATAGATAATTTTTGTAGGATAAACCCCAACTTTCCGGTAAGGCGTGTTTGCCGCGTGGTATTTGAGAAAAGCCATCGAAATATCTCTCACACAAATGTCATCGTTGCCATGCTCGTTCAAACCTCATAGCCTCCACGACAGCCACCACAGCCGCGTGCGACACTTGTCATTGTGGATAGGTCAATTGATCATGCTTCGCCTCTGCTACACGAGTTTACTTATCAAGCTATGATCACAGACCTCTTACCGGTTGAGCCTGCCGGCACTGCCATAAAGTATAATTATGAATATGGTCAATCAGATGGTACCACCGGCTCCAAAGAAGTCGTTTTGGACGAAAGCGATACTATTTACACGAGCGTTCGCCATTTACACATTGCTGAAACCACTGATAAATTGATCGAAAACTTCAACAAGTTCCTTCAGGAAAACAAGGCAGCTCTTAGTGCTAGGTGAGTAAATGGGGAATTTAGCTCCCCTTTTTGGGATGCCATCTGTAGTGCCGGCGTTAACTTTTCTTCACCGCATCGTACAGCGAGGGCTCCAATATGCCTCCCAAAGACTCTGCAAGAAGCTTGCGCGATATGAAGGAAATGTTGACCAATCTTCCGCAGTTCCAAGATCTAAAAGCGAAGGTAGATACTCATACTATGATAAGTATGTGTGTGATATATCATGTTCTAACATTGATCATAGTATTCGGCACATCTTAGCATTGCCCAGGAGTGCATGTCTGTTTTTGAGAAGCAGAAATTGAATTCTGTCGGAAACTTGGAACAGGTATAATATCCTCCTCGACCTAACAGACGATCTATGCATGCATATGGCTGTGACTAAATATTTTTGTTTTTGGTAGAATATGGCGACAGGTGAAACTCCCAATGGCGATATGCCCAAGACAATCGTGCTTGATATGGTGCCTCTGCTGGATGATCCCTACGTCAGGTAAGCCTTTCCCTTGCTGGAATAAATGGTCCGACGACTTGCGTAACTAAATGATGGACGATATCAAAGTCCTCTAGATAAGGCAAGGCTACTCATGCTCTATATCATCTCGCGAGAGGGTGGTATCTTTGATGAAGATAGAAAGAAATTGCTCGAACATGCAAGACTTCCACGTGATCTTCGAGAGGCGATCAATAATCTGACAATCTTAGGAGTTAAACTGACTAAAGTGCAGCGGAAAGCAGGGGAAAAATCTTTACGCAAGAAGAGAGAGCGGCGTAAATCGAGCAAGGATCAGGAACAACCTTATGAGTTGTCGCGATATATGAACACCGTCAAGAAAGTCATGGAGGTAAGGATAGGCCTACAATTGAACACAAAGGAAAGGAGGGGGGAGAGGGATCGATAACGTAGTATATTTTTGGGGACATAGGGACTCATTGTTTATTGCAGGCAAGCATTACCGGTACCATGGATGCCGGTCAATTTCCTTATACTCGGCAATCTGATGCCGAGCTACATGAAGAAGGATCGAAGGCTGGATCAACAGTACCTGCTACAGGAGTGTCTTTACGAACAACCAAGCCGACTTGGAGTAAGAAAACCAACAGTATGGGGGTAAGTTCATATTGTCAAATTTGAGAAATGCTTCAAGTACGCATTAAGGATTTCTAATTAAACCATATATCTTATGTCTTTTGCTTTTTTTCTTCTGCTTTAAAAATCATTTTGTAATTTTAAGGGCACACCAAGAAATCCAACTGGAGCTAGATTGATCATCTTTGTAGCAGGAGGTATGACTTACTCAGAGATGCGGTCTGCATACGAAATTGCAGATATGCACAACCGAGACGTTATAATTGGTAAGGAAACGATCCTTAACAGTGTCATGTATTTGATTTGATACAACACATAATTAAACTCGTTCGTACTAGGCTCAAGCCATATTATTACTCCAGCTGGATATATTCAAGACCTTAGCAAGTTACGGAAACCAGCACCTATACCCCACAGAGTGATACCAGCTTATTCTCCACCAGCACCTCCCGTGCAAGAATCATCACGTACGCTACGACCGCATGTTCCACATCTGCCGAGGTCGCAGTCTCCTAGTCCGTTGCCAAGTCTTGCAACCTCTAAGTCAAGTGACAGTCCTATGGAATCTGATAAATCGGAGAAGCAAAAGAAGAAGAAAGGCCTTGGTCGATTATTCGGTTAAGTGTGGATAGATTGTCTGTTTGTGCATAAACAAGATTTTATCGCATCCTTCTTGGAGGTTGGGGAATTTGCATTTTATCAGACGATCCTGAGACGATGATGTTTTTCAAACCCTAACTTTGGTCAACGCTCTATTATCATTATTTCCTAAAGAAGTGGTCGTTGTAATTTACCAGAGAGTCGGCAAGTTTAGACAGAAACACATTAACATTCCTCCTTTGGGGAATATACGAAATCCGGAGCATAATTTTAAAATAAAGAAAAAAAACAAAGTTACCTTTTACCACAAGCAAAACTCGTGACTAAACACCCTCTGCGAAAATAGGTATATAACATCTTGTCTTTGGGCAAAATTTTTTATCTTTCATCTTCTCTGATTTCTTTTTATTTCTCTAATATTCTTCATGGCCCCTCCTGCTGTTGATTCGATTCCCTCTGTTTCCACCGTCGGATCCACGGCAGCTACGGCAGCTATTGCATCTTCACCAGTTGATATTCTCAGTGATTATGCTCACCGTAGTAGCCAAAGTTTCAGTGTATTGCTGAACCGCTATTTCCAAGCACTTGATATGCTAGCTGCCTACAAGCAACGAGAAGCAACTTTGCTAGCTCTTATGGAGCAGCAACAAGATTCCAACGCTCTCGATGAGGAGACTTATCTGCCATTGAAGGATAGCATCAAGATCATGCGTCTTCATATTGATCAAGCCAAGAAGTTGGAAGCAAAGACATTCCTTAAATGTTTTGAAGCCGTTAAGACTGAACCAGGTTGGAGTCAAGAGAAGAAGGTCTCTGTATTGCAAGCTATGCTGGCTCTTGGAGAATAAGCGTAATTCCTCTCTTTGGTTATAAAAAGAAATTGTCTCACCGGGCCTAGCAGCTATACGGAGAACGCCGCACCCCCCTCCTCAGCCCAACCTCACTCACCTACACATACACATGCACTCAAAAGCTTCAATTTTGATTTTATCTTTTCCCTCTTATCGAGATATCCTTCATCAGTGATTTCTTCTCTAATTCTTAGATAGTGTAATATCCGCATCCTGTGCCTTTTCGTATTGAATTTTTTAAAGTAGTGTAGTTTACATTTTTTTCCCACTATTGCATAGATCGTTTGAAACCAATTGATCTCTCCCCCAATCGAAAATAAAGAAGAAAACAAAAAATTCACTGGTCTTGCCCCATGATTGTTCCTGGTTCCTCCGATAATTGACGCTCAACGACCCACCCCCCCTCACATGACGATGCCAGTGACCATGTAATAAATTTGCTCTCGTTACACCGTAATCAACTTCTTATGTCTCTTTACCAATTTGGGGCGTAACAGTATCGACGTCTTTGATGACGTGCCTAATTTGGCGACCAATTTGTGCAAGCTATTGCGTCAAAAGAAACTATGAGAATTATGACAAGCACCTTGGAAAAAGGTCATTACAGTGACTTATGCCAAATATAAACATTCAATGCTAAGTTGGCCGGCAAACATAGGTCATCTTCTACGATATCATCACCACTACACCATGTAATGGCCATATACTTGTCTTTAACATCAACATAACGAAGGCATTAGATCACTCAGACTTCTTCTCTTTTTACCCTTTTTTGCTTCTTGTATTTATTTGTCCTTTTTTTTGTTTGGAGACGAAAAACACGGTTCGTTGAATTACTCGGTTTTTTTAACAGACGATCGCCGCGGTTTATAATAGGTGCCGGCCAACAGAATAGCAGCGACAGCAATATGCCCGAGAAACCAAACATTTTTGTAAGCTACCCAAGCTTTTTTGAATAACAACAGATCAAAACCCACAATGGCATAATTGACTGTGAAAGTGCATGCAAGCCATGCTACTGCCTTCCAAGCCATCTGCAAATTAGGGTTGCTTTGAATGTGTGGCTGAATCAGAGGACCGAGGAACTTGACAAGGACACCTTCGGCTTCGACGTCTAAAAACTCCATAAGGAATGTCAAAAAGTAGTTAAGATGGAATCCGTGCCAAATGGCAAGGAAAGCCAATGATGCGGCTTGCGAGATTGATTTGTTGTTCAAGAACTTCAGCCGCTTGAAAATGTATATCTTGACCCAGAGGTTGGTATTCATGTTGAATGATGCAATCACATGGTTGGTAGAGGTGGCTAGTTCGTATACTTTTGGAGCTACGTTGGCCAAACCGGAAAAATCTGCTTGGTCATTGTTGGTACCAGCATAAGAAATACCAAAAAGGGCACAAGCACCTAAATCGTTCAGAGTTTAGAACAATTTGTACATCTGCATATCATACAACTACCATCGTTTTCTTCCTTTACCTTCTGTAAGAGTCCAAACTCCAAGGTATTTGTTGTAAACCATTTTGCCCGTAATCCAAAAGATAACCAATCGCTTAACAATGTTCAGTGAAGCGAACTCAGATGTCAATAGATAGCTGGTTGGAAATTGGCTACCAACGATTTGCTGAACTACCAAGTATCCAACAGCGATTGTGGCGCACCTTTCGACATATTTTCTTTGCGATACCTTTGCATTTTCGAGCTTAATAGGAGACAAGCTATCGAACTGCTCAAAGGTTATGAACTTTTTGTAGAGTGAATACGAAAATTGTGGTCCAATCAAAAATGCCGATGGAAAATAGCTGTAAGCTATTATGTGAGATAGTGATGGAAGTGTCTCTAGAGCTGTATCGGATCCAAATGATAGTGGGACTCGCTTGGCCTTTACGTCATCCGCCACGCTCTGGGCTCCAGGTGGTGGTTTACTAGGCTGTCCTGTTTCTGCACGTCCATCATAAACGTCTATACCTAGTCCCATCAACCGCAGACACAAAACACATTGCGACATGGTCCAATTAATTTCATAGCCGTCGCCTGATTTTGCCCAGTATCCTAGCAACAGATACAAGGCATTGAAGACAAAGACGCCTATTGCTCCCGACTTTCGATCATGCAGTTGATCCGCGAACCAGAGGATGCCGTACGTGACGAGAACCGTGATCAAGGAATGGAAAATTTGAAATCCATTAAAGAAAAAGGAAAGGCCGAGTCCACTGACCAACAAGTACGTGTTGCGTTCCTTTGAAGCACCTGCTGCAAGTGGCTTGAGTAGCGTTCGCTGATAGTAGGCTGCAATGGGATAGGCGAGCGCCAAGGTAATGAGGAGTCGCAGAGTTGGCTCTGGGATCCCAGAAGCATACGCTAATGGAAACGTTACTAGATTCATTGTCTGAAGTGGAATGAAAGCAAGGGCCTTCAGGTACAACTGACTTTCAGATTGGGTTGGTCACGCTTTTTTTCCATAAAATTTCTGTTGAGCAAGGCTTTATGCCTGGCTTGGCCAATCAGGTGTTCATCCTCGAAAGTGTGATTGATACTAATTCGGATGGCTAGTAAGCTATTTTCCAGTGTCTATCGATAGTATTATGAGTACATGGCTTATGTTTATAAATAATAAATATCTATCATGTTGCCTAGCATCTTGCCATTTTTATACATGCCGTAAGGCGAGAATAGACATTGTCTATTACCTCTCGTGAAGAAGTTAGCGCACGTTTTACCCATCCTCGTCTATATGGGCTGGGTCAACGCAGGAAGCTTCAACTTCATCAGCGGCTGTCGATCTTACTTTGCAGTTCGCTACATGCTCTAGGATTTCTCTTCTCGTGAACGAAAAAGTCGTTTCACAACTACGACAACCCCAATACATCGGTACGTTATGGGGCACATGCACTTCGGGTTCTGGGATTGAGGATGCGGACGACTCCAAATTGATGGCACGATACCACATGTAGTCTGTTATCCGTATACCACGACGATTAACTAAAGAAGAGGAGTATAGTCAACGTAACAGATTTTTATGGCCAAACATATAGGCAAAATCACTTACCAAGCTTGGGATCCCAAGTCGTTGGTAGTTCAGGATCTTGCCCTTCTGCCTTTCTGACTTGATACTGGAAAGAATGAAATGTTTAGTTGAAGGTCCACCATGCGAAGCAGTAGTAAGATCAACTAACTGACCATTTTCAACAGCTCGGTCGATTTTGCTAAGCGAAAGTCCGCAGATATGACGGTTTCCATAAATTGAGACAGTTCGCCTACAGTCCGGATAGGCACAATTCTCTCGTGAGCTGCGGGTTTTCTTCATGAAACTATTTTTGACTTTTCATTCTTACCGCATAAGCTTTCGATCTCCATCTGATACTGTCGTTTATCCAACGATCCTGACATTTGCGCATGTCTTTGCTTGATTTCAAACTCAGACTTGATAATCTTTTGAATAACACTGGGTAATTTCTCCAACTCTTCATCGGATACCCAGACTTTGTCGTCTACGGAGGTCTTGTCGCTAAATTGGATACCCATTTGCACTCTTTGATTGGTTAGCACTGACCATACCGATCTAAGCCTGTGCGCCAATGTCAGCACATGCTCCGCTACTGGGATTGTCCGAAAGGAGAGCATGTAGTATCGATCAAAAACTACCACACTGCAATCCTCATTGATATCAACTGACACATATATAAGTCAGAGAATGTCGTTATTATTGGCATTTCCTTACACGATTGCTTACTAGATTTGGACAATAACAGTAATGAATGAACGCCTGGTCGTAGTTTAGTTTAGTTGTAGTAATATCGCAGTAGCTGTATCAAATCCAAAAGAAAATATGTATATTTACCTGGCACTTGAAGAAGGTTGACAATGTATGGTTTGTTCGTTTCCAGCAATTGTAGATAACATAGTATTTCATGTCTCATATCTTTCAACAGATCCAGGTCATCTATAGCAGCTATCAGAAAGTTTGGCTCAAACATGGACTTGTGAAGTATTCTTTTTGCTCACTTCTTCGAACATTTTCTCCTGTTCCTTGAATCCAATCCGGATGGGATGCAAAAACACTGCTAGGGTGAGGTGACAAAAACCGTTTTGCTACAAATGCTATATCAGTTCATGCTGGCTGTTATAAAGTCTCGATCATATAATGCTCACCTTGTGTATGAAAAACAATTTCGTTACTTTTCCTGTATGGATTGTGCTCATCCGGAAATGCGAATTGTGGGTATAAACCAGAACATATAATAAGTTTGATCAGATTAACAGCGTCCTTAGATAGAGCTACTCGGCTTCTATTGCGCAAGTCCTCAATATTGTTGGCCAATGAGAACTCTAGGTCCCGGATATCCGTTGAACTATCCAGCACATCTGATACAAATGAGTTGATGTGTCATGTATATCTCATTTTATAGAAGCTTCTTTCTTACCTTCCATGTTCTCCTCATCAATGCTGGTCATATTTAAGAGCTTTCGCCTTTTCGGTTGCCGCTGTGACATTTTTTCTTTCCTTAAACGCTGCCTCTTCTGGTCGCGGTCGGTCTCTAACATCTAAATTGTTTAATTAGCTATCATTCCCGATACAATGTTGACACCGATTACGCAGCTTACCTGGAGTGATAGTCTGCTTGCTTCTATTTCAGCCATCAATCCTGGTTGAAAATCATTCAAAATCTTTTCAAATTGTCTTTTCAATTTCGCGATCTACACTTTATATTAGGAAGGGGCCATTGTAAGTTCACAGGCGATGAGGTAAACTTGCCTCATATAATCGCTGCTCCTCAACACCATGACGTTTACACCATGACCTTGAAGATTCCTGATTAGAAAGGAATTAGGTATGCGGAATTAGCTTGATAGCTCAACGAAATACACGAAAGCATACCCCTCTCTGTGCCTTCACATCTAGCCAAGCGGTCCATAGGTTCAATAGAGTGAATGGGTCACCATACTCCGAGTCCAGAGTGCGACGATTCTATATTTCTACATCATAAATTTGACAATGGCAAATACAGTTTTCGTGAGATCGTTTTACTAACCTTTGTTATATCTGGATTTGCATTACGAGGGAGGCGGATGAATGGCGACTGGACACTCATGCTGGCTGCGATGATAATGATCTGTTCAACAAGATGGAAAACCTAAGGAATCAATATTTTTGGTGAATAACGTATGCTGAGTAGTCACCATCATGCTCGACTACATACACTAGACATAATTAACATCTTGCCTAAGACAGCATCAATTGGTAGATCTGCAAGCACTTGGCCAAGTGGAGTGATCGTCTCATCACCATCCAGCGCATCCAGTGCTTTTAACATGTTTATAGACGCTTCCAAAGCGATGGGTGAAGGACTCTAATTGAGATACGTCAGTGCCCATTTAATCTGAACAGTATCATATATGTCAGCCTCGTTACCTCAATGAATTCAAACTGTGCTGGGTCACCTAAGCCGAGAGCCTTGATATCCAATACGATCGGCTCCAGCGGAGCTCGCTGGATTTCAGGTACAGCGAATTCATTCATATGGTTATACTCGTTCTCGGAATAAAGTCGGAAACATTCGCCAGGTCCAGTTCTGCCAGCTCTGCCGGTCCGTTGGGCTGCACTGGCTTTCGATATCCAGAATTCCGACAACTTGCTCATGTTGGAATGAGATTCATGCGAAAGCTCCTTGACTTTACCAGAGTCGATGATGAATCGGATTCCATCAATTGTCACACTGGTTTCCGCTCTGTAATATTACTGTCAGTAGAGCATTTCGACACCGTTTTGTATGAATCGTTACTCACATATTTGAACTAATGATGCACTTGCGGACACCTTCAGGAGCAACATGAAATACCTGAAAAGAGCGACAGTTATTACATTGCGAATGCGTTGTACCTGCCTGGCTAGACTGTTCTGACCTTATCTTGCATGTCAATGGATAACGACGAATGAAGCATCAGAATGATCCATTTTCTATCGCGATTTCCCGTCAATAAAGCAATCTAAAAAAACAAGTTGGCAATCAAATACTCACTTTGTTTGCGTCGCATACGGTGTCAGTCCTTCGGCAAGCGCTGTTATCTACAGAGCACGCATAAAGTTAGTGGAGGCGCTTTAATAAGGACGTGCGTACTCTGCTGCCCTTACTTCTTCTATGCCCGACATGAAGATAAGTAGATCCCCACGTTCTGAAGAAGACACTGATTGATCGATGTAATCCAATATCTTTAAATATGGGGCTATATAGACTACATTATTTGGTATACTTGATAGATATCAACAGATCAATAGTGCTTACCTGCTGAAATTCGCTCCGATCGACTAGGTATTGAGGTCTGCCATTTGAAAGTCTCATTATGAATATTGAAATTTATATGATGCCTACTTCAATGGACGTTATGATACCTTAATCTCCTGACTTTGTCGCTTTCGATATTCCGTTTCATCAACAAGGTTTTTGTCATCCTTTTCGTTTGGCATATACATTATTTTTACATCAAACATTCTGCCTGGCACCTACATTGTATTGATCAATGATGGTGAAGTCATCAACTTTCCATCTCGCTACTTACCATGATTGCAGGAGCATCAAAATACTGAGCAAACAGTTCGGCATTCAAGGTAGCACTCATCAGTACTACGTGCAAGTCCTCACGTTCCTTCAGCAGACGTCTCAAGATACCAAGCAAGAAATCCCCTTCAAGCCAAAGTACAAGGTCAATATCTCACTAGATAATGGGCGTCAATTCCTCTGATTATTACCTATCAAATGTCGCTCATGGACTTCATCAACAACAATAACATCATATTTTGATAATTGCGGATCATTCGCATATTGGCGGAGGAGTAGACCCTAAGTCATTCGGCTTCAGAGAAACCGGATTGCAATACTAAACAGTAGTTGATTATCTTACCTCGGTGAGAAACAACGCTCTAGTTTTTGCAGTTGATGTTCCTTCAAATCTAACTTGATATGCAATTTCTGATCCGTACTCGTTCATTGTTTCATAGCTACTATGATATTAGTAGCCATATCAAAGTTAAACAGGAAGCTGATTGTAATACATATACCTTACGCGTTTTGCCAGTGATGAGCAGGCTATCCTTCTAGGCTGAGTGCACGCGATGTGATCAAAGCCGGCTTTCAACAGCATCTGTGGTACTGTGATCTTTAAACTTAGTATGAATTCGTCTTAATTCCGTCAATAGCTACCCAACAACGTCTACCTTGTGTACTTTTTCCGCAGCCGGTGTCGCCAGCGATTAGCAACACCCGGTGCTTGCGTAGTGTATGTACAATGGCTTTCTCATATTTTGTTATAGGCAGGCTGCCTCTATCCTTTTCAATTTTTGCCTTTTGTGCTGCTTGCTGCTTTCGATAGTAATCGTGAAACAGGATCACAGCATTTCGGATTGTTTCGCTCTCGTCTTTCAAAGCGTGCCCTGTTGATGTAGCTGACATAGTCTCGTTTTCGGATCGAATTTTCCATTGCCGAAGCCCGCTATACTTGCGGTAAAACCCTGACGATATTGTCAGTACCACCATTCCGCGAAATTGGCCATCATCCCATATATCGGTGTAGACATTTACCTTTGAATTCATCATATCTAGGTGAGCCTCTCCGGAGAAAGAATGTGGCGAGGCCACGCTTCTCTTTGGAGAAGAAGATGTCGTCGGCTGTATCACTCCAGGGTAGCTGCTCAGAGGATTGCTGGCTTTCAGATGGAGCGGGTTTTGCTGTCTTTATATAGTCTTGCGCTTCTTTTAAAGCTGTTGCTTTCATTTCCGGATTATCTAACTACATTACATTATGAGGTTAAGAAGATATACGCCAGAACCAAATAAACTTTTGGCAGATCGCCGACATTGGCCTTACTATTTCTCGAAGATTCCATACTTTCTTATATGGCACCTTGCTCTTAATGATAGATCCGTCAACATCGTACCGCTCTTCTGGGCGTTGGCGTTGGCGCGGACGCGAACGCTTCATGGTTCAATCGAATATTTTTGGGATAAATGCTGTGCTGAGCAGTCCACTTGCCCCACTTCATATTTTATGAGATGCAAGATTATGGCATATTTGACTGTCATGCACACTTGCATGAAGACAACTTTCCTCCTGGGTCAGTGAATAACCTTGAAATCATATTAAGCAATGCTCGAAAGGCCAACATTCAAACCATAGTCAGCGTCTCTGAAGGTTTATTAGACGCACCCAAAGTGCTGAAGCTGGCTGCTCAGTCGAACGGTCTGATCCTAGCTGGAGTTGGCTTACACCCGGTGCAAACATACAATGAAAACGACGAACAGATCGAACGCTCTGTTACTTTGGACGATTTCGAAAAGTTTCTACCATACGTCCGCAAATGTATCGACGACAAGCAAATTTGTTGTGTAGGCGAAGGTATAAATCTGATTTATCGTAATCACATTGTGTGGAAAGTGTCCGACAACTTACATTCAATGCGTGATTAGTCGGTTTAGATTTTTCTCCTCATATAGTGAGAAACAAAGACATGCCAGAAGAGCACTATCGTGATATCCAAACACAAGTTTTTCGCAAACAGATAGAACTAGCCATCAAAGCGGATCTGCCGCTCAATGTGCATTCACGGTAATACTCTGGTGGGCCTTCTCGTTTTTTTCGCTCAACGGCGTTAATGTTTAACTCTAGGTCTGCTGGACACTATGCTATTGAAGAGTTACAGAAAGCAGGTGCCAAAAGGGCAGTGTTGCATGCGTTTGATGGCAAGTAAGTACCAAATTCCGGAACATGGAGCTTTGTGCAGCGAACCGGCTAACACTGTCTTGAATTTCAGAGCTTCACATGCTCTGAAAGGTGTAGAGGCAGGGTAAGATTTCGACAAAGTCTGATGCCTGTTTATTTGAACAGATATTGATACCATTGACAGGTACTATTTCTCAGTGCCACCGTCTATTATACGATCACCTCAGAAACAAAAATTAGTATCGTCTTTACCTTTATCACATCTTTTGCTAGAGACAGATTCCCCTGCCCTGGGTCCGACCAAAGGCGACGACAACCAGCCAGCAAATGCAATTATATCGGCGCAAGAAATTGCTCGCATAAAGGACATAGATGTTTCGGAAGTGGTAAGATGACCTGCTTGTACTATCCATTGACCATCTTTCGATATTCATGAATGTTTGCGATTATAGATTAGAATTACCGGAGAAAATGCCCGTCATCTTTTCTCCCATATTCCATAGCTTAGTTAGACTGTGTGAAGACTGAATAAAAATATTCCTGCTTCATCAAGCGAAGGAGAATTGCATGAAATTGTAATTCCGACGCTGATTCAAGGTTTCCAACACTGGAGAAAATTACTCTGAACGCTTTAGCAACTGTATCCAGATCTCTCAACACTTTGGCGATGACTTTGGCCAAATTTGAAGATGTTATTCAACAACTGCAAGGCAATGACCCTGTTCAAGTCTATAGAGCTCTAAAAATTGTGAAAAACTCTATCATTGGGAACAGAACGAAAAAAGCACAGTATGCGAATTCAGGCATTATTCATAGGTACGTTCTCTTTGGATGTTATACTCAAGTGCGGCACCACTGAAATCAATCTCCAATCGAGCCTAACTTTCATGTATATAGACTTGTTCAGCTACTGTCCCCTTCAAATGGCGTCTCCGAAGATCTTCGTATGCAAGCGGCGACTATTCTGGGCAGCTTCGCACATGGTAGGTGGAGGAACACAACCGTGCTGCGTTCTATTTGTCCTCTAAATTGATGATTGATTTGCTTAGGGAATGATGAAATTGTATCGCAGATAATAGCGGCCGGTGCGATACCACAATTGCTCAATGCACTGACGTTACCAAGCGACACTCCACCAGCAATTGCAGTGGAACAAAACATCAAGATGCTAGAGGCGGCTACCCGTGCATTGAAGGCTATTTATTCTTCTGGAAAAGCGTACAAAAAAGATATCTATACGGTGAGTTTTTTTAAGGATTGAAAGTGAGGTTATCTTCCCATCTCACATAAGGACTTTAACTACGTAAAGAGCAACCGCCTGGACAACATCATGACTATCCTTAAAGTGACTACAGCTGCTATCAGCGAAGAAGCAAATCAAGCTTCACAGACTGCGTCGTTTGTGATGATTGCGGAGCTTACTACATCTATCATTGCACGTTGCTGTACAACACATGAAGAGCAAACATTCCTTAGTCAGTGTGGTGTGATTGAACCGCTCGTTGCGTTGTTACATTCTGGATACACAAAGGTATACTGCTTTTACCTTATTGAACTACTCTATAAGAAAAGCGTATAGTCTGACTCAAATCTTTATGTAGGCACAGGAAGCTGCTTTGGACGCTTTTTCATCGTTATGCCGCGAGAATATCGATATATCAAGAGCTTCGCTCAATGCACGAGGTAAGGCTGCTTGCTGCAATACCGAGATTGCACATCATTCATTCGCCATCTCATATTTTCTGGTGCACAGCTCCATTCGGACAGATGACTTTGACTACCATGCTGGATTTAGTAAGAGACAAGAGCCAGAGTATGCGTTTGGCCGCGGCGACTTGGTAGGAATCCTGTTACTATGAAAATTCAAGGTAACATCAGCTAACGCTTTATTCCATAGTCTGACTAATATCTATAGAGCGGATGTTTTCCCAGAGCCTTTCTCGGATATTGTGCTCGTCGTTTTACCAACCTTGATTAAATTGTTGAAGGAAGACAATACTTTGGTTCAAGAAAAAGCTCCTTTGATTATGGCTGATTTGGTTAAAGATAGTGAGACCATGCAAAAGGCGGCATATGAAGCCGATGCCATCCCAAACCTTGCCTCTATACTAGCGAGCGTTTCTAAGGAAGACGATGAGACTAATGAGCATCGGATAGGAGTGCAAGGCTCTGGCGGACTGGTTGCATCCAAGGAAAAAGTGAAAGAGGTACATACATTTGGTTACTGTGACTTCTGAGCGCTACATGTATTTACAGCGATACTTTGCAGAATTGTCTCATCGCGCTTGCCGCTGTTTGTTTGCTAAGAGAAGAATGCAGGACTCAAGCCATCAACTCAAAAATCCTACCTTATGCTGTTGGAGCTATGTCCAGTCACAATCCAGCTATTCGACTGGCGGCGTGTCAATGTATAAAATCACTTTCACGTAGTGTTCGACATCTGCGAACTCACCTTGTGGATGCCGGTGTGATCAGTCCACTATTGAAGGTACGTTGGTCGAAACCAGCACTCTGAAAATTTAGGATGAAATCTGAAATAATTATAGCAGCTGCTTGACGATGGATCTCCTGTCGTCCAAGCCGCCGCATGCGGTTCCCTATGTAATATGATTTTGGATTTCTCACCCATGAAGAAGACCGTCATTGAAGAAGGAGGACTGGCTAGTTTTGTTAAATTCACGCATTCCGACAACGCAGCCCTAAAATTAAATTCGGTTTGGTCACTGAAGAACCTGCTATACAGTGCAGATTCTGAGATCAAGCGAACCGTGATGCAACAATTGGGATATGACTATCTTATTGAACTGTTGAACGATTCTTCTTTGGAAGTGCAAGAGCAAGCTCTGGATCTTGTGCGAAATCTTGCTTGTGGAACAAAAGAGGTAATTAAGAAAGAGCGATGGCATCAGCTGTGTTCACGCTCGGTCAGCTGACTATGACTTTAGGATATTGATGATGTATTCAACGGTATTGGCGAGAACCAGCTGCTTGATATTTTGGAAAGGAGGTTGACCAATAGCATGATGATTGATGACGGTGGAGACAACGCATCTCTAGTAAGTTGTTATGTTTTCCTTCAAGAGCTGTATTGACAAAATGACTAAAAGTTTATGAATCTAGACCTTAGAACCGGCATTATATACACTTGTCAATATCGCTGTAGGAAGCAGTCAGCACAAGTCAGCTCTACTCAAACGACCAGAACTTATGCAGAGCATCGTCCGACACATGGTATGAAGCTGCTAAATGAATTTTAATGGATTTCAAACAGTATCTAATGGCCCATCCTTGTTACAGTCGCACGAAAAAGCTTCCATACGAAGCTCTACAGCTTGGTGCATCATTAATTTGACTTGGTCAGACAATGAGGACAAAGGTAAAAAAAAAAAAGAGGATTGATGCTGCCACGATGATTATAAAAATCGAGAGGCTAATTCTATCACAGTACTTCCAGAATGCTTTGTCATACTTAAGGACCTCGGTGTGGAAGAAAAGTTGAAGGTAATGGAGAGCGATCCGGAGCGTGACGTTCGAGATCGTGCGAGGACGGCATTAAGCCAACTTACCAGCCTCTCCGATATGCAAGAAGTATAATTAGCTGTACTGCTTTTCAATTCTTCTAGCTAGCTATCAAGGAGGTTATTAGAACATTTCTGTATAACATAACTGCACATAACAAAGCTAACATGAAAGGGTGCGGTAGCAAATGACCCAGCCTTATTTTTTTTATTAAAGACAATTCGTAACCAGTAGGTTGCTACAACAGTGTTCTTTGAATAAGTTACTATAGTTCAATATCAATGTCTCCAGTTTTGATCTGGGATTTAGGACAAAGCTGATGCCAATTCGCCAATAATGGAACCAGATGAATCCAGGGTATACTGCCATAGCATAACACCAGCATCCCATCCTTGAGCTTTGGCTTGGCTAAGGCAGGTCGCTAGAGCACTAGGGTCCATGTAACCAGTGTTCGTTGCTCCTGCTGGAGTGGCCGGTTTACCAATCAATAGCTTGTCAGAATCGATACCACTGTCGATAATTTCAAACAGTGAAGTACCAGGGAAAGCTCCACCGGATTGCGTTAGCAAGGTCGTACACGTATCATAGCCACTACTTCCTTGGTTATAGAATTGAGTATTATACCAATCGATGCTACTGCCAACCTCCTTGTGTACAGCTTGATAAGCACCGTTGGGGTACTGAGCAGTGTTGATAATGAAGTAAGGAGCCTGGGGGGCATGAGAAATAAGATAATCTCCAGAAGGAAGTTCAGCACGCAAAGCGTTTTGAAAAGTAATTAGCCACTGTTCGCCAGTTCCTGCATCCATAGCGCTGTTGTCTTCCCAGTCAATGTCAGCGCCATCGAGATCATACTGTTTGACAATAGCAGCGAGGTTCTTGGCAGAGGTTGTTGGGTCAACACCTCCGGTGGTTGGCCATTCAGCTGCACCATAGGCACTGATCAAAATTTTCTTTCCTGCTGCGTGAATTGCATCCAGATAAGACTGGCGTGTAGCAGAGTCAAGCTGTGCCCAACTGTAGCCACTGTCATAAAGACCCTGATCTAGCCAGAAACCAAGAATAATGACGTTGTAGTCATTGTCAGGAGCACTTCCGGGAACAGCAAATGAAGCAGCAGCTGTTGATCCGCTTGTGTTATCAATGTAGGTTACAAACTTGGTTCCAGAGGTTGAGAATGGAGTGGAGAGTTCCGCAATCTTACTAGCTGAAACTGCTTTGGTAGTCGAATTGTTTGTAGCAGGAGCTCTTATTTTATGACCATGGACAGCCGCAGATGGGGGAGTTGGTTTAGCAAATATTGTGCTTATGAAGGCGGCAGCAACGAGAAATAGACCTGCGGTTTTCATTGTGTGATCGAAGTTTAGTGATAGCATCTGCTAGAAGCCGAACAATACCCTATTTATATTTTATTTTCTGATTCTTCGTTCCCAATCATCGTTTCATTTAGAAAAGTACGATATCATATCGTCGAAAGGGATGCTACAGGTTATACGGGCCCAATACATGTTTAGCAATTCACTTGACTAAATTATGCCAGTAATAATATCAGACCACACAGTGTGTTACTCGAATTCGATATCTCGTGAGAGGACCCTGATATGAATTTCTGGCATAGAGGGTTAAACAACACAATGTAATTGGTACCAGAGCTTTTCCGGCTAGATTCAACAGGGCCCAAAACCGCTGATCTCATTACGACTGGTCATTCTGGTTGGACGAGTAAAATGAGCCGCAATGCTGTTTTACGTATGCGAAAGTAAATTTCTCAATTATAAACTGATGGTGCTTCAAATATGCAACATTTTCCATTCGCTATATTTTGGTTCCACTTCCAGATGATGGTTGGCCTATGGAGAAAGCATGTCGGTTCATTGATACAATAATTACGGTGACTATAAAGATGAAAAGGTAGACGAGGGATGGTTTTCATTGCTATTGTAATTAGTTTACCCAGAATGGCCGATGCGCGCTGTAAGGCTGTTCCTAACTATTGGATGTGTGTCCATCATATCGTACGCTAACAGACTTTTGTCTTTTTGGGTTTTTGAATGCTAATCGTTTGACTATTTAACGGATTGCATGAGCAGCTTCATCTACAAATTTTGGAATTACTTCGATTACAAAATAATGTGGCCAAAAAATTAGGAGTGGGTAACAATCGGTAAAATACTGGCTACAAAAAAGATGGGGCTCTCCCAGATACCTACCCGTATGCAGTCTTACGGTATGCAATCTAATATAATTTAGGTTTGTACACCTCATCTGAATGAGTGATATTAAACAGTGCATGGAAGTGTTTATTTTGCAAATGTCATGTTGCAGTGACGATTCATGATACATCATGGTTGTTGAAACAATATTGAAAGACTGTCCATTGATGATAAACTTAGCTGGTGCTTAAAGCCACCGGCTTTTACAGGGGAAAGCCGGTGGAAATGCACTGGCGGTAGCACAAACACAACAGAAACTTTTTTCCCATTTGAAAACCCACAAAATGGTTAGCTTACCAGCGCAGCACATTGTAGCTGGCCCATTTCTCAATCAAGGTCACGAGTGCTCTGAGTCTCCCAATTGAAAAAAAAAAACCTGAAAAGTACCTTGGTAATCGAACGGGGTGGGTGTTCTTAGGGACATTAGCTATTGATTCTAAGAAGCATCCATGCTGAATTCTACAATGACGGTGATTATTCAAAGGCATTCAACGTAACTCTTGTATGAACTCTTGTTTCTTTCAAGCAGTCGCCGCTCATAACGTTCTCATTTCAATCATCGATATGAATTATGCAAACATAAATAAGAAGAATTTATTACTGTGATTTGAAATACTATAAATTTTTTTTCCACATCTAAGGATAGTCGCAGTAGATAGAAGCACCGTTCATTTTGCAAACGGTACCGGAAGCACAAGCTTGGGTAACCCATCCACCATTAACACAAGTCTGATATTGGGCGCTGGTACCAGCTGCTATGCAGTTCATGGCACCATTGTTACTTGCAGTGCATGAGCCAGTAGCAGTGGCTGAAGCAGTGGTGGTAGTGGTGGTAGTGGTGGCCTTGGTGGTAGTGGTGGTAGCCTTGGTGGTGGTGGTGGTGGTGGTAGCCTTGGTGGTAGTGGTAGTGGTAGTAGTGGCGGGCTTGGTGGTAGTAGTAGTAGTGCCACCGCTGCTAGAGCCGGAAACAGCAGGAGCCAATTGTCCGATAATAGAGCCGGAGGTATCCAAAGTATATTGCCAAAGCATGACACCAGCAGACCATCCCTGAGCGCTAGCTTGGCTAAGACAGGCAGCAAGTGCACTAGGAGCCATATATCCAGTATTAGTGGCTCCTGCGGGAGTGGCTGGCTTACCGATCAATAGCTTATGGGAATCGACACCAGTGGCGATGATCTCGAAAAGCGAAGTGCCGGGGAAAGCACCACCAGATGTGTTCAATAGAGTTGCGCATGTGTCATAGCTGCTAGAGCCTTGGTTATAGAATTGAGTATTGTACCAATCAATGCTGCTACCAACTTGCTTGTGAACAGTTTGGTATGCTCCGTTAGGGTATTGAGCCTTGTTAACATAGAAGTAAGGGGCTTGAGGAGCATGGGAAATAAGATATTGACCGGAAGGAAGAGCAGCACGGAGGGCAGTCTGGAAGGTGATCAACCATGCCTCACCGGTTCCTCCATCCATAGCGTTGTTATCTTCCCAATCAATGTCACAACCATCGAAACCGTATTGCTTGACGATAGCAGCAAGGTTATTTGCACTGGTAGTGGGGTTAACTCCTCCAGAGGTAGGCCATTCTGCGGCACCAAAGGCACTGATCAACAGCTTTTTGCCAGATGCATGGATGGCATCAAGGTAGGTTTGACGAGTAGTGGCGTCAAGTTGTGCCCAACTGTAACCACTATCGTAAAGACCTTGGTCCAACCAGAAACCAAGAATGATGACGTTGTAGTCATTAGCAGGAGCAGACCCAGGAACAGCAAATGAAGCTGCAGCAGTAGAACCGCTCTATTGGGACATCGGATTAGAACAAGCTTCATTACATGTTGGACCTGGACCATCGCACCAAACGGCAATAGAGAGAAAAGTCACTTACGGTATTGTCAATATAGCTGACAAATTTGGGTCCGGTAAGAGAGAATGGAGTATTACCGTCGCTAACAGCAGCAGCAAGAACTTTAGGATGGGCGGCGACAGCAGCAGCCGATGTCTTGGCTGGCTTTGGTCGCAGCTTGTGACCGTGGACGGCATCAAAAGGAACAGCAGGTTTGGCGCTGGTAAAGCCGGCAAGAGCAACCGCAATGAATGACAAAGCAAGCAATTTCATTGAGAGTATATGTATTTGTTTAATGAAAGGACACTGGGCTCTGGAGAGAACTTGTAATGAAGAATACTCGGCATGATCGTATAAATTCACGGCTTATATACTCTTTGTCGGCCTTAAGATGCATGTACTACGTTGAGGGTCTAAAGGGTCTTTTGTTATACAAAAACCAAACGCCAGTTCAGGAATTCGTTTGCGTAATAGGCAGCCCGTCGTAATCACAATGCCACCTATGTACTACACAATGTGATATCTGAAGGAAGACCCTGATGAAACCCCTACGATACACAAGCGAGGAATATAAGCGGTAAGTAATGCGTAAGGATGGGCATTTATATCTATCAAGTGACACAGGCAAGCCTAACTACCGTATGTGCAATTGCTCCCACTCAGGAATCTACATTCATCCCAGTCCCTAAATATCAATTTCTACTTACGATCTGCGATAAACAGAATGAATTTTAATTATGCTGAATGGGTTTCGTAGTTCATCATCGAACGGCTTTTCGCTCACTAGATCAAGTTATCTTTTTTGCGGTGATTTCGTTATCTCACAGAAGTAGGCGGTGAGGAGTCGCATGGGCAATTTCTTGTGCAATGGAGGATAAAAGCAAATTAAAATCTTCCCAAAAAGCGCTTGCTTCAGCAGACTGACCCTGACGATCGGTGCAACAATGGATTTTCTCAAGTCGATATGACTTAGCCTACTCACCCCATTAATCCATCATTAAGACTTGCCTTTGCTTTTAATAATGTTTTCTGATTCATGTCAAAGATAGCAACGAAAACTTATCATTATAAGCTCATCGATGGTGGAAATGAAAGCGGTGTAATTTTAGGCGGGCATCCAGCCGCTCTCACGACCCTTTCACTGCCTGAGTTCAAAGATTTTGTGTTCAGTGGCATAATGAAAATTACTTTGTGCAGCTGGGATAAAAACCCAGACGTGTAATCTTGGTACTTCTTGCCTGTTCTTATGATTCAATGTGGCGTTATATTCATAGGAATCATGCAGGTGAACCTCGTACAAGCCTCAGGTGAAATAGCAATGTGGGAGAGCATTTTGCCTGTTGACGAATGGCTTTCTTTTACGTGACTTGTAGATTCAACACAAATGGCACAGTTGTTATGTACCGATTGTTCGGCAAGCACCAAGTGAATTTGAATAAGGTTATTTTAATCTTGGAGAAAGTATGGACTTGTAGTCCCTGAACTTGTGAACCCTGCAAACGAACTACGCACACGATCTCCCAGGTATGACAAGTCAACCTAGTCTACCTATCTTATGGTAATACAGGGTCTAAGACGCCAATCCATTTCCTGTATACCGCAAGTTCGGCATATGACATTTTCATTTACATTTTTTTCAGTAATACGGTTGTTCATTGCTAGCAACAAACAAAATTAAAGACAGTGCGTATCCGTGATCTTGGTAATGGTACTAAGACAAAAACGGGCAAAGTAATAATCATCAAATTTCAAAATTGTACGGCATCTACCGCGCTGTAACCGCGCGCGCAACTGGTCCATAGTGTCGGTTTTTTTCAATTCAAACATTAGCCAATAGCCAGTTTTACTGACATAATAGGCGTTCTTGTCCGTGTGCTTCAACAATTTTGATTGACTTCTTTTGAAAGGGCGGAGTAATTCGACAACGAGATCTCTGTTTCTCTAGATAGGGCTTTTGGCTCATCAAAACCTAGTTAGCCACTTGATTGAAAGACTTTTGCATGTTATATTGTGAAGTAATATTTTGAAGTAATATTTTGAAATACAGGTATTCATTTCTTATTTATCTTGACAGGCGAAGTCGATAGTGATTATGAGTCTCCGGGTCAACAATAGGTTGACCATCTCTAACTACTGCTCAATTTGCATCTTAAAGTCTAAAAGAAGCGAACGCGTTATGGCAAGAAAACTAGATTCATTGGATAAATTTAAACAAAGAAACCCCCGTTTTATTGTTTAGACAGTATTGTTGTGTCAATAGGTAACCATTTTCACGACTATTGTCGCCATTAACACAATAAGAACTTGGCGGCCCCATTCGACTGCTGTGTCGATACTACATCGGCGCACATCTCTGTTATGTAGGTCGCTCTGTAGGTAATAATTTGAATATGCTGTATGACATTAAACACTTTTAATTCCTTTAATAATAGAAAAATGTCGAGTGAATGTGATGATCTAGTGTGTAATCTGACCTGTGTAAGATGGCGCAGCGCCTCTTACAGACAATTTAATGAACGATGTACAGATACCGCTACAGAAAGTCCTAACATGACCTTTTCTTTCATAAACTAATCGCCCACCATCAGATTTATGCTAAATTTTATAGCACACACATAATCATAAACTACACCTTGCTGCAAGATGATGATCAACTCCGCTGAAGAAGCGAACGCGAGACTGCCAATCCTTAATTTTCATAGACAAATTGGGCAAAACAGAAGTCGACTTTTCGAGATCTAATGCGAAAGACATGAATATCGCACCGGCATGGAAACACTTTCACAAATTGAGGCCTGGACTGGGCTATGATATACCGTTTAAGGTACGGTTTGGCCAAGGTTCCTTCGGGACTGGTATCATCCATTTGCCAAACTCATTCGTTCTTCATGCAGACTCGCGCACTGTATAGATGCCTTTTACGAGAATCTGCAAAGTTCGAAGAACAAGAAGTACGAATGTTTTTACGCAATACCATTTCTGAAAGATTTCACTACCACCACCGTGAGACATCGATTGATCGTTCCTTGAAGGCTATACATGAAGCTGAGAAAGTAAGCAATAGCTTGGTTTGACCTCCTAACCATTGACATCGTCAATCAACGCTATTCAACTATTAACGGAACGCTAGTCTTTGATTATTATTCGCGAAGCTTTGGCTGGAGACTCTCGTTATTACAATAAACTTGTAGATCTGGGTATGGGACGCATTGGCCCTCTGGCCTTTGTTAGAAACAAAGTATGTATAAATGGCCATCATGTAACTGGATTTGTGGTGTGAAAAGCTGATTTGCTTACAATTATTCAGATCAAACGAATAAGCAATGTATGTTTTGCAATGGTACTGTGATCGTTTCTGAAATTTTCATACTTAAATACAACACATATAGCCATCTAAGCGATATGCAGCTTCATTGGATATACGGCCGCAATCGGGAAAACATCGCGACTCCGCAACCCGCTTCCCTATGCCAAGTCACGTTATGGATATCACGCCTCCCAAACCAAAGCAACTGAAGGCAGCAAAAATCCGACCTCGCAAACCGTTTCAAACAGCGTTCAAAGTAGAAAGTAGTAGTGGCAGAGTTTTCATGCGAGTGCGAGGATGGGTACAGCCAGCAAAGACTAGTATGATGGTGAAAAACTCTGTGAAAGCAGTTCAACGTCGATTGGATCTCTTTCAAACACATCAAGAATATCTTCAAATGCTGGATGGCGAAGCATTGTTTTTGAAAGCCTGCGGTGTCAATGCAGACGACGTTCGCGGGGCAGGTACGTCAACTACGCCCATCGTCTGTTTAATACAATACTAAAATCGACTCTCCTTTAGCTCAACATGTTCGTAAAGCTATTGCCGATTCACGAAAGATTCACCTCAAAAAAAGAAGTAATATTGACGATGACAGTGATGCATCGATGGATGCAGAAAGCATCAATAATAGAAGATGAATTGGCCGTGCAACCATGTTATAGAACCATCAGGCAGAAATTACACAAAAGGTAGCTCTGTTCACTTTAATTGAAACTCTGCCTCTTGTGCCCTGACCACAATCCGTAGATGACAGTTATGTTTGCAGCCATAGCAGTAATCACGCACCTTATCATCGATCCATATGCTTCATATCCGCGGTGTATTCCCTTGCAATGAGCAAGGGCAACAACGCATACCTGACCATCCTCATATACATGTATAATCACATATTGACTGCAACATTTTTTATTTTTTTTATTTGCAAGGATTTCTGTAGCCAACTATGGATATTTTGGTTGACTTGTAGGGTAGGAAATGTTGTATCTTGAATCGAGCTATTGTACATTGTGAGAGGAAAATATATTGTGCGGCGAATATGATGTTGGCTTAAGGGGGTTGCACCTTGTTTGAAATCCGAGGAAAGCTTGCTTGTTCCGACTATGATTTAAAAGCAAGCGCTTTTACAAGTCCCCTGAGGCTGCATGACTTACTCAACCTTCTTGGCCTTTCTAGCACCATAGGTCCTCTTAGCGAAGTCGACGAAAAGGTATGTCAATGGCAAAAGGTAACCAACATTGATCATGACAGCCAAGCGCTTTCCAGGTGTAACAAGACAGTTGGGAAGAACCAAGTAGGAAACGGCCAAAGTTGTGCCAATCAAGAATTGAGAGATCTGCATGCTAGTAAGATAACGCTTGCCAGGGGGATGGAAGCCAATAGAAGTGAAGGCATAGTAGGTGTACATGACAGTGTGAATGAAGGAGTTGAAGGTGGCGAACAACCAAATGGGAGCTGCTTGGTAGCGAATACCTGACCACATAGTGATCATAGCACCAGCGTGATGATAGGTTTGCAAAAGAGAAGAGCGACGACCCTTGAGCAGAATGATAGCTGTGTCGATCACTTCATAGTATTTGGAGAGATAGAAAAGATAACCCCAATAACCGAGCGCATTATCCCACAAAAAGCTGTCCTTATCGCAGAACTAGTCAAAGCAATAATATCAGCTCACCTCATCCTTGACCCAAACCAGTTGAATACTTGAATAAAACACTTACAATATCCTTGAATGGCAAATCACGGTGAACAGTCTTGTGAAGAGCAAGGGCCATATTGACGAATGTGACGCCGGAATAGATGGCCAAAAGAAGGTTATGAATGAAAACGAAGCCAGTCATCAAGGGACCTGAGTTCTTGGAAACATCCTTGATGCCCTTGTTTTTGGCTTCAACACGGGAAGCCTTGGAGGTTTTTGGGTTGAGGGTATGAATGACGATGGCGTAAGTAGCAGCCAACGCAATTGGGGTCTTCCAATCCATGAAGAACTCGTAGTATTCGGGGAAAGGGATCCCAGGAATAGGAGTCAATTTGTCCAAATCTTGCATGGTGATTATACGGTTGAAGAAGAAGAGAAAACGAAGGGCTAAGGAAGAAGATAATGAGTTTTAAAGGTTCTGCTTACAAGAAAAAAAAATTGATCCAATAAACTCAGCTGAAGTTACCGCTTTCCGTGCACTTAAAGCGTTGGTTCGGCCAGCTTGATGCCCCAAAGTGAGTGGATTCACATTCAAAAGATCAAATGTTGTTCCCCAGCCGTTGGGTGCCTTGGGACAAATTACAGCCAACTATTTTAAAATTCCGCCAGCTCGGAGTCGGGTTATCGTACTGTCAACCCTACAGAATTTTTTTTTTTCATTGTTCAAAGCGTGCCTTTTGTACAGTATCATGTGTCATTTGTAACTTTATCGATCACTGATAGCTTTGTGAATATGAGGTGCTGAATGATGTTTATAATGAGATTTGGATACTAAGTCTTATCTAGAATTCTACTTTAGCCATTGGCTGTCTAGGGCTAACATACAGAGCACGAGCTTCAGTATATTTAATGCTCTGATCTATGGCCTCTACCCAGGCGTCTGCCCAGGCTTTACGGCCGTCCACATAATCTAATTTGCCGCCAACTATGACCCATTGATCTGCTTTAACAGGGGCACGGTAATTGACCTCTAAACGAGCAGTGAAGCCCGTGTGATTTGGTAAGCTGGGAACAGTCTATAAAGAGTGTCGAAGTTAAAAACGAGCTTCCGCACCAAAAAGGTTATCAATTCGTAAAAATACTCACTACGTAGGCTAAATGCTCATCCAACAATGTTCCAAGCATACCGCCATGGATAATACCATCATGCCCGCATCTAAGAAAAATGATAATATTAATACGATTATTCTGTTTCAACATTACCATATGCTATGGCTTCATACTCACAGTGACCTTCCAAGGTGGCATATCATGTAGCACTCTGTTTTCTCTTTATTGAAAAATTTCAATGGCCGGATAGCAATTTTTCCACGGCCCCGAAGGGTACTGGCTGTCAATGAATGCTGGTACGCCGAAGGTGGCAAGTGACCATAAGCGACAACTTCAGTGATGTTGGGATCGTCGCGGAGCTTATTGACAATGGGAAGTGCGACCATTTCTCGTTCCAGTCTCGCATTGTGATCTTCGTCGGATTCAGGTGCTTCCGTCTGGTCTAGGATTTCGACGGTAGCAACATCCACCCCATTGGTGACAATATGGGGAGGTTCATTGGCAATTGGAACTGTGTTTTCTATGGACATGAAATTCAAGGGAACGAGATGAAAAAGGTATCTGCAGAATTGTGTTTTAGTGGGCTCGGTGAGTCCGACCGTTGGCTTCCTCTGACTTTTAACTGACTCAGCACGATTATCACACTTTAAGTTCAAGGGGGGTAAATATGAAAAATAAGGAACTCAATGCAATTAAAATGGTCATCTACAAGAGGTGGGAATTTACATCACTCTCTGCTTCTATCAAAGCTATCTATATTATCAATCTTGCAGTCCCAGCTTCGTCTTGATTTTGGAAACTAAATCTGAGTCCCCACTATTCTTCGAGACGTCGTCACTGAGTTTGATTACCGGAGTACCGTTGCAGGAGTTCATTTTGATAACCATATTCATGGGTTCGCTTCGTTGACTAGGATTGCTGTACTTTTTGAAATCGTTGGTGAAGTGGGTGCCTATACCAAAACTAGAGTTGACTCCAGCTTTGATGCAGTACTCCTGGAGCTGGATCGCCTTGTTGACATCTAGAGCATCCGAGAATACGATGACCTTGGTGTTAGGATCAACTCCCACCTTGCGATAATGGTCAACCATGGCATCCACAAACTTCAATGGATCACCACTGTCCTGTCGAACACCTGTGTATGCTTTGGCTAAATCATGGTCAAAATCGCGGAAGAAAACTTCTGTGCGGAAGGTGTCGGTCAATGCGATACCCAGTGCACCTTTGTAAATGTCCAACCAACGAGCCAGCGCCTTCTTATTGGCATTTTCAATGCCTTCTAAAGCCGAAATACCCATGAAGAATTCGTGGGCTGCACAAATGCAACTTGCTTTCAGCATGTAAATTCAAGATACCCGATACTGCGATGAATTAGCACTTACCAACTGTTCCGATAGGTGCAATGTTATATTTTTTGGCTAAGGAAACATTACTCGTTCCACTCACGCAGCCTTTCGGCTTTTCACCTTGCTCTTCGCATTTCTTGACATATTTCTTTTCGGCATCCAGCATAGCGTGCATGATGGTATCCTGAGTCTGCATATCTCGGCGACGGCGAGTACCGAACTCAGAAAATTTACACCCATTACTCAAAAGCGCTTCTGCCTTCTTGTATGCATTTTCATATTGTCCGTCATGATTCCAATCGGTGTCGACAAACAGGAAATAGGATTCTGAAATGAGGGCCAAAAGTGGCACTTCATACAAGATAGTATCTAACCATAATCCAGTCACAGCCAAGTCAAAATCTCTCGTCTGAGGATCAAGGTGGAAATGAACTTGCTCGTCAGGCTTAAATGTAAAAGCCTTGAGATAATCGACGTAGTCTTGGTCCATAAATGGAAGTTGAGATAGATACTTGTATTCATCATCCTTCAACTTCAGATTCTTTAAGCCTATTACAATTTGGAGATGATACAAATGTGTTTAATATGGAATTATTTCAAAATTCTTTTTCTCTACGCATGTGCCTTACGTTTGATTTGCTCACTCAGCCAATCCACAGCCTGCTGATTCAGTTGCATAGATTTAGTGCGGTTGGTAAACTTGTACGATACGCGAGCTGTTGGATAGTTTTTGAAAACAACTTGTTGCATCGAAAATTTGTAAAGGTCATTGTCCAGAATGGAAGCAAGGCCGACTGGTGGTTCAGTATGATTGCTCATAATTGTTAGTTAGGAAGCGGAAAGTGCACGTATTGTTCAACCCCATGGAGGATTTCATGGTCTATTGAACAGTCACAACAAATTGGTATAAAAATTGTACTGTAAGGAAAATTTTCTTTTTTCCACCGTGTTGTTTTTTTATTTTCGCAATACTTTTTATGTAAGTACTTTGATCAGTTTTATTGATATCCCATACCACAATTAAGTCAGGGCAGCTGTCGAAGACCTCTAGGGGTTTTGCTCAATGATGGCATGCCCGTTACAATCGTGGAAGAATGAACTGGCTTGACCGCCCAGAGGTTGCGACCGTTTTGGACGTCCTCTAATAGGTCGTAGTCGAAGTTTCGAAAGAGTTGAAGGCTCAGCTACCCCTCGTGGGTGATACTCATGCTGGCTTTCTTAGTTACGAAATGCACATACGTTCAACTTTTTATAAGAAGCTATTACTAATGAAGCTATTCTTCGTTCATGTAGGAAATCATATATTGGCAAGTAGAACTTAGGAACCCATCATATACCTAAAATAATAAAATGATACCTTTTCCTAAACCTTAATTTACATACGATCATGATGATGTTTGTATCCCTTTCACTGCCTTTTCCTCTGTTCAACGTTCAATACGGTACACCGATCTGACTGATATGAACCTTTCAGGGAGATCATTGGCCCGCATATTTTCTAAGTGTATAAATAAAGAAGGTCGGAGGATACTGGATCGTCATCATCAAATTTGATATGGAAGATTATCCCGCCGTACTTAACCCTTTCGTTCATCCAGCTTTTTTTTTTATTTCCTTCCTAAAAAATTAATTATATCTAAATAATTCTCAATAATGCCTATTGTCCAATGGATATGAGAACTGACGCTCAGGAACTATCAACTCAGGCGCTGAATCAGGCATCCGCCAATCTCACCGATAATAACACCATCCATGACAACCACGATCAAAAAAGTGACGAAAATGTGGATGCTTCTTCCAAGAAGTCGGATTCAGGCATCTACATGGAAGCCAAAGCAGAAGGTCATATTCCGCCTATCAGCCCAGTTCGAACTGAAGACCGGGATGAGCAATCTGCAACTAGAGAGCATCTTTCGGCCGATTATCAAGATGAAGCAACTTCGTACACGGAAGACTCTGCGTCTATAATGTCGAATACCACCACTATTTCCTCACTTATGGATGAAGAAGATGAAGGCAAACAAGTTTACAATATAGAAACGACCAATCCCTCTCGACTTTTTTGGTAGGTTATGTAATCTATGTGTATTTTCGACCCAGTACGTAATATCTCACCATCCCGTCGGTGTAGGGTACCAGCCGAACAGCACCCAGAGATTGCTCCGGCTGAGTTTGCAAATTGGTTACAGACTCACGGTGTAATACGAGGAAAAGGGCAACTGCGTGTGCGTCGGAAGCGATCGATTCTTGCGGTTTCATATTTGCCAGGTGAAGAAGATGACGATGACGAGCAATCAAAGGAGCATTCACGACAACGTCGTCAAACACACAGTTCGACCACGAGTGTTCCAGAATCGCAGCCATTCACCTCTAATGTCGCTGAACACCCCATTTTAGAAGAGCAGGAAGAGACAGAACCAGATTCTACAGTTACGACGAATAATGGTAGAATACGAAGGACCGTTAGTCTTTATTCGCCTACATCCACTGTCGGTAAGGAAGCGATATAGCTTTTTCTTTTTGGCTTGGAAGCTCCTTCGTTACAAAAACAGTAATTTACCAATTAACACTTGTACTATGCTTAACCATTTTAGGTAGGCAACCATCCACATCGTCTCAAACTCTGATATTCGATCGGCATTCATCTGCAACAGACGAATCACCGGTAATTGTGCCTCGAGTGGAAGGCTCACTACTAAGGCGAGCAGCTAGGACTAGGATACGACGAACATCTTTATCTGGATCTCAACCAGGAGAGGCAGGAAGACGATTTGGTAACCGCCGCTCACAGTCCATTCATGCAAAACCTAGTGATTATCCCGAACGTTTCGGCGTCGTCCCTCCAGGAGGAATCACTTTACAAGATAGACCTGTTAGCATAAGTGAAATTATCGACTTTGGCGGTCCGGAGTATGAGCCTGCTGAATCTCAGCAAGGCATCATCACGCGAGTTCATGACGCCGAGACCGAAGTTTTTTCACGTATAGCAGCCGAGGAAAACCAGCAACAAGCGGCAAAAGCTACTAAACCCGACGTGACGGAAAATGCAATTCCATCACATATCCAAGACGAAAATGTGATCGCAGAGACAGCCGAGGTAATTGCCCCAACCACTGAGCATGTAAATATCCCCACCACAACTCAGGCACCAGAAGAGCAACTTGAGGTTATCATTCCTACCTTCACAATTGAGCACAAGACACAGCCTGACAACCAAACTGTGTTGAAAGCAAAGACAAATGTTACACTGGCAAAAACGGATAGCAAGAGTAGCAAATCATCGTCTAGCCCATCCAAACCAGAGAAACGATCCTCATGGTCCTTCAAATTTTTGTCAGATGATAAACCGAAGAAGAAGCAGCAGCAGCACCTGACTAGCAGTAGTTTACAAAGGGTACCTTCGTCATCTTCAACAATATCGACTGCTAGCAATGCCTCAAGCACTGGGTCATCCAAATCAAAACTCAAAGACACAAACGAGATATTTTCAAATCCGGCAAAGAAGCTTGGTTTATCTCATCTATTCCAACGAACGAATTCCAAAGCTCAGAAAGCGAATATAAACGGTTCTTCGGTTATGGTGAAGAAATCGGCAAAGTCAAATGAGATTAACGTCGCCAATGACGACTTTTCCAGGTTTCCGGTGCATGTAGAGCGTGCTATCTACCGACTGTCGCATTACAAGCTGTCGAATCCCCGGCGCCCACTTCATCATCAAGTCTTAATCTCAAATCTGATGTTCTGGTATCTGTCCATCATCAATGGTCAGAAGATAAGGCAGCAGGCTTCACCTCAACAGTCTGAACATACTGCGTCACCAGAATCACCACCCCCATCATCTTTCATCATTCATTCACAAAATAACTACCAGGAAGAGCAGGAAGCGACGCCAGCAAAGCTAGGCAAAGTTGGAAGGTTCATCAGTGCAAGCAAGAAGAGAAGACAAGAAATCATTGAAAAGAAGCAAATACAACAACAGCAACATCACCAACCCCGATGGCTACCGCCTATATCTGAAGGATCTGCACAAGGTGATGGTCAGATCGAAGAGAGCGACAAGACAGGCACGCACGTAACGTTTGCCGCTCCGAAAGCTGCACCACGCGCGAAAGACGTCGATGAACGTTTGCCTCAGACCAAAAGTCAACCTAATTTGCCTCATGGCTCACAATTGGTGACAAGCAAACGACCTAGTGATAATCGATATTCCCCTATTCCCAATCAGCATTATCAACCATCCCAGCAGACCACTTTTACTCACGAAGCTACCACTTCGGAATCAGCACCGGTCAATCCACTCAATCCACATCCTTTACCCCCGATACCCGGACCTCCCATATTGTCAGAGGTGTCAAGTTTTGACTCGTTCACCGATGACATACTCAATTCACTTGGCTTGGAAGGACAGCACGCATCCGAGGATGATGATGTTCCTCTAGCGCTTTATCGAAACAGGTCATGACACTTGGCTTATTCGTTTCGTTCACTATCTTAGCATATCCCCTATCTTTACTCCTAACCATCTATCTTGCCGCCGCCAGCCATCCATCCTGTGTAAAATTCTTCTGTTTTAGTTTGTATAAAGATGTGCCTTCTCAGCGAGGCATACTCATAACCCAATACCGAGACTGCTTTTATTTTGACGCGGACAGCGCGATTTTTCACATTTTTTAAGAGAGAGCGTGTTCTTTATTTTCGGGTGCAAATCTCATTTGCATTGCAATAAGCAAGCTAGCCTTCCTACCAGTACCGGATGAACAAGCACTGGACATGAGCAAACGGCCTGTTGATATTGCACACCTAAAGGTATAGCCATTGATTTTCCCTTTTTATGATTAGGATCGCTTTAAACTAAGGACATTCTTCAGACTTTGCAACGGAAAAGAAGGGCACTGCAAACCCGTGAAGCCAAAGAAGAGCGAGAAGATAAAAAGAATGCAGTACGGCAAACAACCATTGATTTTTTTGCCCGTCCGTCTTCTGAACGACAGCCTGACGTTAATAGCCAACCCTTAGAGGAAGACAGTCCGTTCAGACTGTCCTCTCAAACCAATGCGCATGCTCACAATCCGTTCGCCTGTTCTTCGCAACCAGAATACAGTAGCCAAAGTTCTTTTTCGATATTGGAAAATCTTTCACAACAAGAGTTTCAGAACGAATATTGGTCAGACGATGAAGATAATGCGTCCGAAGGCAAGGAATCAGAAGCAATGAAGGAAAAAGGCAACCACACAATAGCCGAGATATCTGAACCTCTTGACATCAAAGGAACCGTACCTATTGTCGTTAAGCAAAAGAAGAATGAAGAAGGAGATTTAGGCGATTCCGAAAATCGCCTCGTCATCAATCTGGCTAGCCAAGATGATTATAAGACTTTTCTCAACGATGATATGTCGGACGGCACGGAGAGTGTAGATAGTGACGAGATGAATGACCGAGCCGACCATGACGACTATGACATTTCTGATGAGGTATCTCGCTTTTCACGTGCGACTTTGATGGATAATACCTGGGATGAACCGGAGCAAAGTGTAGAACTGACACTCGCGAACTATACAATGACTGGACTCTCTGAAGTGAATGAAGAAGATGTACATGACGGAAGATTGTTGTCTGTGTTAAAACAAAAGGTAGAGAATGCCACAGCAATATCGGGCGCATTGGACATCGGCAAAACGATTAATTCCACGCCTCTGAAACAAGGCAGTACGGCAATGAGTAATCTTACACAACCGCTGGCCCCATTTGACTGGGCACTCAAAACTAGTCTATTTATTACTTCTACTCATAATTTTGACTGGATGCAAACAGATGGCAGAAGCCAAGCAAAAGCTCTTTCACGATTTCGATCCAATCACTTCGCCAACGAAAAGCTGCTTGAGTACTGCAGAAATCCGGAGGAGGTCACCGATGTCGGTTATACTATAAGCCAATGTTTGTATCACTGGGCCTATCCAAACTCAACTTTATCAAACGATAAAATCGCTTCGAATAACCGATTACTTAGCAAAAGCGCATACACGGAACAAGATAAACTTGACTTACAGGAATGGCAGGCGCGGGAAGACGAATGGGCATCATCATTTCGTTCCTTATTTGACCTATTGAATATGGAAGAGTGCGACTATTTCTACTATATCGGCATTACAGTATGCATCTTATTTCGGTCCAAACGATTTGTAGGAGGTGAAGTTGAAGCGATTGGTAGTAGATCTACAGTAGCCTTCCGAAGACATTTAAAAGACGCTGGTAAGCACAATGTGGTGAACTACAGACTATAGATACCTGATATTGAGTCAACATTTCTTAGGCGTCAATTATATCCTCCCATATCAGACGAATGACAAGGAAAACGAAGTGTTATCTAAAGAAGTGTTGAGTGACTTGGAGTATTTGGAATCTATCAATCCTGGTACCACGTAAGTAAATTCGTGAGTCAACTCGTATTATCACGAACCATATGCTTACATCAGATACGTCCAGTCGGCAAGAAAAGAAACCAGTAGCTGGTGATAACGAGAAGAACTCACTTTTCCTTGTACATGGAGTGGATGACGTTCAAAATTTAGTAGATGCGCTTGTTACATGGCGAGAACCCAGGACAAGTGACCGGGCCCACGGACCTCCGACGTTGATATCTCCACAGTCTTTCTTAAACTCTACTTTGAAGTGTGCTGAGGTAAAATGGAAAACTAATTCGGAACAATCAAATGTGCCAGATTATACTAAACGTAGCACTTACAGACTGAACAACGAATTGTTCGCAAGCTTACAAAATCTGAAAACAGTACCGAAAAAGCAAGCCAAAGTGTATTATATAAACTTGATGTACATGGGTACATCTTACCAACGAGCCTCCTCCTTCTATACAGCATCCTGGGTAGAAATACCAATTTCGAGGAATCATTCTGGGTAGAGTGTTCTACACAAGCACTTACCAAAGGGCTAAACACATCATGTGAAAATACCTTGGTTTCCGAGTGGGCAACTCACTTGCCATCAATTGATCAAGTACAGTATACCCGTAATGCATACCGAATTGGATGACAAACGCAAATAAAATCTTTCTGGCTCAGCCAAAGCTTATAAAACGCTCGGAGTGATAAAGGAGACCGAATTCCCTTTACCCCACGGTAGAATTCCGCTTGTCTTTTAATTTTCCCCATCAGTCATCATGATGAACATTATAGGAGCTCGTCTCTCTCCAGAAACTAGAGCCTCTAACGAAACTCGCGACATTTACCTTCCCAATCAAACAGAACAAGTTTCTCAAATTGCCATTGACGTGAGTGTGCCAAAGTGCTGAATTCGGAACAAACCCTGAGTCAGCAAATTTCCAATACCATATCTCACTAAATTGGGAATATGCTTACTGACGAAATTCCACCCCACAAATATTAGATTGGAGGCTCGTTGACTAAAGTTGTTTACTACACGTCCACTCCAGGCATACAAGGCGGAAAGCTTCATTTTACGCGTTTCGAGACAGACTGTTTAGATAACGGTATCGAATTGGTGGTACGACTATTGCAAGAGTCACAAAAATCCACACGGCCCAACCTCACTCCACATGTTGTGGCAACTGGAGGCGGCGCACACATGTACTATGAAAAGTTAAAGCGAGCTTTTCCAGGAATACCCATTCGGAAAGAAGATGAGATGGAATGCCTCATAATAGGTAAAGCGGCAATGAAAACCCGCAAGGTTTTTTTTTTGGGGGGGGGTTGCAAATGATGACCTTATTAACTGGATTTGTGTAGGTCTCAATTTCTTTATCCAACAGATACCCAGAGAAGTATTCTCATATTCAGAAGCGACAGGCATGTGTTTCGAAGAAACGCCAAAGGATTTGTACCCGTACATGGCAAGTTCATGCTAGCGATTGATATTCTATCATCAAGACCTAAATTAACGCCTTTTTATTACTTCAGTTGGTTAATATTGGTAGTGGAGTCAGGTAAGGTGATTGTAGATTAGATGATACGAAACACGTGGCCCCTAACATTCTATGAACAATTAAACCATAATTAGTATTCTGAAAGTTACTGGCCCTGGCGACTATGTTCGCATCAGTGGAACGTCGGTGAGTTCGACAACATCAATACAGATAGGACGATCGATTGCTAACAATAACATCTGTTTTAGCTCGGCGGCGGTACACTATGGGGCCTCCTGTCACTATTGACAGATGCGAAATCTTTTGACGGTATGAAGCAATGCAACATTTCGTACCTGCTTCTGTTCGTTTGCGGTTATGCGATGTATGACTAAACCCTTGGTCCATTTAGAAATGCTGGAGATGTCCCAACACGGTGACAATCGCAATGTAGATCTGCTTGTTGGAGATATATATGGATCAGACTACTCTAAGCTGGGGCTCAAGTCATCCAAAATTGCATCAAGCTTTGGTAAAGTGTTCCGAAAAGGCGAGAAAATAGAGCAAAAGTCTTTCAAGTCTGAAGATATTTCTAGAAGCTTGTTGTATATGATCAGGTACGCGCACGCAGCTACAATGATATCATACCGCTTTTTGTTGCATGCATAGTAGTCTTAACATATAACCATCAGCAACAACATTGGTCAGATTGCCTATTTGAACGCCCAACAGCATGGATTGAAAAGAATTTATTTTGGAGGAGGCTTTATTCGAGGTAAATTCATACATTCTACCTGCGTACCTAAGGATCAACAAATTAAAAATATAATAACAATTTGCTTAGGTCACCCTGTTACAATGAACACATTATCGTATGCAATCAACTTTTGGTCACAAGGCAATATCAGGGCTCTCTTTTTGCGACATGAAGGATACCTAGGAGCTGCAGGCGCGGTAAGGATGACGTTTCATTATCCTCAGTAGAAAAAAAGCATAGACTTAACACAAACCGATTTCCCATTCCCCTCCTGGATTTAGTTCCTCAAACATCAATTAAATTCTGAGCCTGGTTCGGACAAACTGGTATAAGAAAAGCAAATTATATCGCTCTTCATGCATTCCTCGTTCTAAGCACTGCTGGCCGGGTGTAGCTCCATTGTACATAGATATTCGATAGAAAGAATAACAAACAAAAATTAAAGACGGAAGAAACTATAAACGGAAGTGAAAGCAGCGAACCCAGAAACTGGATGTGAAAGATATGCTTGACTGACTTTACTTGAGCGATTCCTACGGGCGGCGGGGTAAAGGTAAGCTAGGGACATAAAAGCAGCAGGGGTGAGAAATGAAAAATATGTTGAGTTCTATAGTCATAGCTTTTAATTGACCTATGCAAACTCGTCGTTAATATAAGATGCAGCAACGCTCATAGCAGGAACGGCTTCAAGTTCGAAAGGATCATGGAGTATTCTGAAGATGCACCATGTATCAACAGAGAGTCTGCTAGGAAAAATTAATTGATGCAACGTTGATTTGGATGAAATTGACATACGGCTATAAGCTATAAATTAGGGATGTGTATGTTTTTTTGAACCAAGGGGACATTCAGAAGAAAAAAGTGGGTTATTTGGTCAAATTGGGAGTCTGAAGGAACATAAGACAAAATATTGACCTCACGAATTATCAAAGGTCTAAACCACACCACAAAGCTGATATAGTGTATTATTGTTCATGACCTACTTTAACCTCTCCTCCATTCTTTGTTTTTTTCAGTAGTTTCTTTTATAGCAAGCGTTCGTCTTTTCCTCAGCTCTGTTCAACAAACTAGCCTGTGCATTTCGGGAACAAAAAATGACCAACCACCAGATTGATATTGCTATGTATCCATTATGTTTGACTCGCAGAGACTCGGGAGTAGACGTTGAAAGTCGCCATAGTAATATCCAGACAATGTCACCAACACGCTCACATTGCCACCCTCACCGAAACCTCCCAAACCTACAGAAGGATATCACATTTATGACATTAACAAGTAGAGACAGTATATCAAAAAGTATATCGTTTCAAACAACACAGCAAGAAGTCAGCAACCTAGAAACCTCCAAAAGAAGCTACGAAGCAACTTTGTCACAAACGCTTGTCTTTCAAGTACCGAAGCGACAAAAATCATGTCCAGCAATTTCTGCCTTGCACACTAACGACTATGTCAAATTAATATCGACCAACTACCCTGTCCCACCGTATAATCAGCTTGCAGTGCATAATGTAGAAGCGACTTCGCTTTATTGCTCACCGCCTCTGGAGACGAAGTCTGCATGGATTGAGGGAGAAAGAAAATCACACAGATACACACCAAGCAAACGATTGTTGGCATTATTATGTTCTGACGGCCGCCACCTTCCTCGGCAGCTACTTTTCACGGAATATACAGCCATCTATCATTTGCGTAAGGAGGTTATTCGATGGATACATCAGGTATTGGTGAATTATGGTTCATAAATTTGCACAGCTTAGCAATCTAATTCTAATTAGTCATATTTTGAAAGGTCAATGCTGGATTTCTACGCTTTCATTCAGAAACTATTTTCATGGCCATAAATTTCTTGGATCGATTCATAGAGAAATGTAATTTGCGATGGAGACAGAGGATATATCACGTTGCACTTGGTTGTGTGTATATAGCGGGCAAGTTTAACGAAGAGACCCGAGAGCCAATGGTAAGGATATCTCCAGTTTTCTAATCATCTATGCCCCTATTAATCCTTAACGCAATTAGATCGGCGACATGGTAGAATGCGCGAAATATGCTACATCGGCAGAAAAGATCAAGGTTGGATAATCTACTCAATACACTTGAAAAAAAAAAAAGAAACCAATCAGAAAAAAAGACAATAATAACCGTGTATTAAATTGCTATTCCTTAGAAAGTCGAGAAGGAAATCCTATCAGTTCTTGGTTGGGAAATTCGGGTAACAACGCCACAGGCAATGTTGGACGAACTGCTCTCGTGTTTACCGGAAGCTCGATCTACTCCAGAGCAATGTGCGTATAGTGATCAAGTAGTGAAGGCAGCACAATTGTATCTGGATATGGCCAGTTTCGGTGAGCCCTCATCGATGTTTGTAACTAGAAGAAATATCACTAACAACGGCCTGACACTTTCAGAATGGGCGTATCTTCAGTACTCTCCTCTGACGCTTGCTGTCAGCGCTTTCAAGTGTGGGCTGATACATTTGGATTTTGATGATTTAAATGAAACGGTGGATATTGCATGCAGCTTGACTTCTGTGTGTCAGGTATGCTTCTTTTTCCCACTGTACAATTGTTTTCCCAGTGCACTCAATATGTTGACTTTCTTCGCTAAAGGATTCATTAAAAACCTGTGTCCAGATGATGCAAAGTCTCTGTCGACGATAATGGAAATTAGCAAATAACAACAAAACTGGAAACGAACAAAGCAAGCACTAATTTTCACAAGCCGTATGTATTATATCTATACTACTAATAGTACTGTCTAATTTATTTGGTGATTCGCACTTCCAGTGAGTTTCGATATTTTCGCCATACATATGCTTTACTTATGCTACGCACACTCTTTTCACAAGTATAGGACAATTATGCAATAAACTATGCTTTAATACTGTACTTTCATTCTTTGACACCACTTAAATGACTTCTTGAGATGCGAGGCAGATTGATTACTTATCCAAACGCATATTATATCAAATGCATCCAGAAATAGAATGTGTATTGAAGATATCCAAAAGAGAGTTTTATAGAGACGAAACAAAGAAATAATAAAGGATGTATGGGATATATTACAATGGCTATTCGAGTAGGATAGGTTTGGAGAGTGTTTGAAGTAGTATGTGGCATATAATCTAATGCCTACTTTCAAGAGCCATGGTCAATTTTAAGTAGAAACAGGGTTGGCTGTGCTGTTTGGCGTTGCTTGCGGGATTTTGGTCAACTCAACATCAGCTGTAGGTGAAGGGCTGGTAGGAACTTGGTTATTGACGTTACCATTTGGTGCACCCTTTTGGATGATCTCTACATAATTTGCAGGGAACAGACCCATCGTGCCGTTTCGAAGTCGTCCTCGCCACCATTGACTTTGCACACCAGTAGCTGGATCCACCTTGGACAAAATAGCAATAATATCTCCCTTCTTGAGAGTTAACTCCATAGGAGATTCAGCATTGAAGTCATAGCTTGCGCGAGCAAACTCCAGATTTTGTGGGTCTACTTGATCCTGCTGTGGCATCATGCCATTCATAGGTTGTTGCATAGGCGTACCATCTGGAAGGAACATTTGCTGCTGTTGCTGCTGCTTGGCGCTGATGTGCTTAATAAGCTTGTGCATCAAGTAAGGAAGCCCAACGACAGCAAAAAGGAAGATGAAGAAAGGCTTTCGAGAAAGCTTTTGAGGAGTTGCTTCCTGGAATTGTTGGAAACTGTTGGCATTCAACTCTTGTGGGTTGGCTGGAGGTTGTCGTCCAGTAACTTTGTAGAAAAGACTTTTAGCCCATCGGATAAGAGCAAAGATGCTCAAAACTTGACCAAGGTAAGTTCTCAGGTTTCCGAACTGTTCAGCAACTCCAACCATGGCCATAAAACTTGAGTGAGTGGCCATGAAAGTAGATTCGAGCATCTGTGCGAATCCACCGAAAGCACCGACAATGGACTCTATCACTTCAAATGTCGCCCGAGTACCGGTTTCCATTCGCTGTGTCAAAGAAAATTCATCGGGGCCACCAGGCATACCGTTGTAGCCCATACGGTTGTAAGGAGAATATCCACCACCGTATGAACCATAACCAGACCCATAAGAGCCCATACCACCGTATGAACCAAGTCTACTATATGGTGAATACGAGCTCATGCTACTCATACCACCATATGAGCCATAGCCAGATCCGTAACTAGATCCATAGGAGCCGTATGAGCCCATTGAGCCCATTGAGCCCATTCGATTGTATGGGCTGGAATACGATGAGCCGAATCCAGTCGAAGCTCCATAGCCACCACCGTATGCAGAGTTAGTTCCATAGCCTGTAAAATGAAATATAATTTATGTTAATGGGAGTGGATTCAAAAAAATAGTGACTCAATACTCTGCCAGTTTAGGTGGCAGTAGACCAAAAACTTGGTCAATGTTGTACATTACCTGCTGGTCTATTAGCTGCGAGTGATTGAGGTCTTGAAGGTATATCAGGAGTTGAGCTGAAATCAGATGCCAGTGATGAGACACCAGCAGCCGTAGCTGGAGAGGTTATAGCGCTTGTTGCTGTACCAGCATTAGCCGATTCCCAAGGTTTTGGTGGGGATGGCATTGTGAATGAGAGACTAATAAAAAAGAGTAGAGAATTTAAGCGGGGTGGGTTGGTGGGGAAAAATAGGTCAAATAATCACTGTCAGCAAAAATCTTGAAAATCACATGGTCCGATTGGGCAAGCTTAAGCGGGAACGTCATTCACCAATCAGAGCTGACCTGCTTTTGGGTGGGAATCGAAATAGGCAATTTTCATTCCCAGCCATTGCTCGCTCCTATTCAGTCCACTGAAGAAAAACTATGTGTGGCTTGGTTACCATGCACACTAGGCTGGAAAGACATCCTCAGTTTCAAAATGGGTTCGGTTGCTAGCCACTGATGATATCACAATTTTTTTGTCATCTTGTTTTTCCGAATGGCAGCAGCCGATTTCTCTTCAGATACAATTAGTAGAGAGATAATAGGAAGTTAAAATCATGTTTTCGACACAAGTAAGCTCATATTAAAGAAAAATGTAACTATTAGTAACCATTAGTGTACGCATGTATAAGCATGTCTACATATGCTATTGTAGTGCTTCTTGTTGAAGACAGGGTCGCTAGTAGGTCAGCATTCCATGTTAAGAACGTTTTTTGGATTTTGTTGAAATTTTTAGGTGTAGCTTTGTAATGTATATCCTTTACTTTAATGATGTTTAGCTTCGCCGTCAACTGTCTCATCTCTCAAAGCAGAAAAATGGGTTTAAAGTTCTTGAACGTGCACACCAGTCTTGCGCCACAAGTAAACCACATCAATTTTAAAATTTTCAAGACTTTTGTCGCTAGTGACTTGCTCTTATTCTTTGAATAGAAGTAGTCGCTGGTTCAAACAATGGTCTCTAACCGCAATGATTATATTTATATAATGCATCCATATTCACACCATGATGGCCGCAATTAATGACTACAACGGTATATGAGCGATCAATTTTATTTTATATGAAAGAAAATTTTAAAATGACTGAAATTATCTAAGTTTAACTTTTTATTGTTGTTCTCCTAATTTAACTACAAGCTTAGATCGTAGCGCTAGATGCTACTCTTCTTGGAGCTTCGCGTGAGGTGTGTTTGCGGCGATATGCGTTTACGAAGTCAGTCAATACCCGTCGAACTTTTGGCCATTGTCGATCTTGAATAGCCCTTGAATGAAACGATTAGATTCTTATACAGATGCCACATCTTCACATACTTGTACTTACTTGGTATAATCAGTGAGGAAAGTCTGTCGCTCAGCAGCCGTCATGGTTTGCGCAGGGAAGTTCTCCACTACAGAGATCATCCATTTACTGCTCTCTGTTGGGAGCATTTGAACTAGCAATTTTTGAATAGCAGCGACGTCCTGGACAACATCTCGAGGGAAGTGGTTGATTAAACCATCAAAAAGTTGGTTTGTGAACTGAAGTCCGAACTCCTGGAAGAGCGAGCGGACCACGGCTGCGTTTCGTTGCGCGGCCATAGCAATCTCAGAAGCACTCAAAGTCGGCATATAGTGAGCTATATTATCGGAGGAGGCTCTAGGAGACATCTTTGGTGTGGTTTGTGCATCTGGAACCCCGATGTTGAGTAGTGTTCGGTGAAATGTAAGCACAGCATTTATGGCATCCATTTGTTGGACAGCGAGTGCAGCCAACCCAGCTTGGAAGATAGTCGGAAGAAGTGGGCTCTGGATCAGGGCAGATGGAGCACTGTTCAAAAAGCTGACCAGCATTCTGAAATATTCCTCCACGACTGCAAAACGATCATCAATGTTAGTAATCATTTCATTCCGTTTAGTACTATCGTTATACGACGAGTCTTCACATACCGTCAGGGATATCGTCAAATGATTTAATGCCGAACATGGCGAACGTTGGGCTACTCAATTGTTCTACAAGTTCCAAGCAAGGTGCTACACCATCTGTACCTTCCATTGCGTATTCACGAATCGTTCGACCAGCAACCCAGAGGTAGGCGCTCATTCCAGTTTGAGCAAACACGTTCACTATACGTTGCAAAAGCTGAGGCAGAAGTGGTACGAAATGCATTCGGTAGGAAATAACACACGTTTTGAAGCATTTGCACAAAGATTCGGAAACTGATTGGTCCGCTCCAAAGTTAGAAAGACACAAATCGAAAACCGGCCATAACTCGTTGATGAATGCAACGCAGGGGTGCGTTTCGTTCATGGGAATTTCAGGTTGAATGACTTGCAAGAAAATGTTAATTTGCTCCAACAAGTCTTATATTCATAATAATGAGTAAATACGGACCATTCTGCTTACATCTTGATTGCATAACAAAACTTACCTGCAGCATCCCGATGATCTTTTTCAGTAGCTTCATTCCCCTTAACCGCCACGTCGTGAAGTTTTTGCGCCAAAGGCAAACAGAAAAGTTGTAGAGCCTTGAGTAGTTCGCTGGTAGGGATGACAGCAATGACATGTGCAACTGCTTCTGTCACCTCTAAAATATCCAAGATAGGTAATGTCTTGCCGACGTTTATGAAAAATGGATGCAATTGAGACAAGTAGTCTACGAGTAGCTATGAGTGAAAATGCGTTAGTCTCCGATGACTTTAACACCCCTTCCATTCGCTAACATCCTTACCTCGCTACAGTCCTTACAAAGATGCTTCAACGCCAACGCACTTGCAGCCGCTACTTCGTCGTTCTCGAATCCAGCCGATATGAAATTAAGCTGATAGGCCAAGTATTCAGGATGCTTTCTTGTCCATGTGGTATAGCGTGATATAACTAGTGTGGCGGCATATCGAATCTTGGGATGATGAGGAAGCTTAGATAAGAACTCCATAATTTGTGGCATCACCTCATTTTCTTCGTCTGGGATCTCAGAACCCATAGCCCGGAGAGCGAAAATAGGTGCTTCGATTTGCTGCCAAGTGGCTGAAGTGTGAGCTCCAGCTAACAAACCAGATAAAACATTCAAGGGCTTGCTGAGACATCTATGCGAACCAACGATCCTACAGCAGTCTTTGAGAGTATCGCCCATGTGATGGCGGAATTGTCTAAATTCATCACGGTCTTCGCTTGTGAAATCACTTGATTCCTCAGGATATTGCAAGTGTTTGATCATGACATCGACTAGCTGATCGAAGTAACGAACAAAGTGGGGCTGGTATTGCCGGTATGTTTCGCTTGTCAACGAATTGGCAAGTTCGAACCAGAAGTTGAAAGTCATGGGAACTATGTCAAGATCATGATAAGCCGTGCATACCGCAACACCGTCGATGATGGTAGTAAATGCCTCTTGATGTGCGATCAGCAAGAGCATATAAGCTTCACCGGCTTCAATGAAAATACGGCAGTATCCTCTGAATTTGTCGTCATCTTCCTCTTCCTTTACAATGGCGAGGTCTTGATACAGGGGAACAAGTTTTGGATAAATCACTTGAATCAAGGGCATATAATCTTGTACATCCTTAGTTTCGTAAATGATTTCGCAAATCACATCGACTGCGATATCAAAAAGCTCTTCATCCTTGAGCGCCCTGAATGCCAGATCTAGCAGTGGATTGTTTGCCAACTTGTTCACGTCTATATCTCCAGTTCTGAGCCAGCTCGAGAGGCATTTGAAGACACTATTTTGAATGGCAGTGTCAGAGCCTAAGATTTCTGTCAGTATCGTATGGCTCACCCCATCAACATTGCGATTTAGCTTTGAGACCTACCGCTTGATTGAATGTACACCGCCAACAGTTTCAATATTTCGTCAGAATTATTCGTCAGTAGCTCAGTTGCTCTTGAACGAAATTCCTCATCCTAGCATACATTAAAGGTTAATCGATTACTTGCAGCATGATCGATACTACAAGATTGTACTTACCCCTATTGGGATCCTATTGTTATTATTGACTTCTTCAGGAAGAACAGTTAGAAATTCCAAAAGAGTAGGAATGGTTTCTGCAGAATTGCCAAAAAGCTCAACAAACTGAGCGACGACATTTTTCCAGGTGGGCATTTGAATTGCTAAGATAGCCAGTGATAAGCACAGCTGGGTGTTGATGACCTGAGGCCCGGTTGTAGCATACCCGGATAGCAATGATAATAAAGAATCACGAAGTGAAACGCGACCAGATTCATCCAGCTCCTTCAAGTCAAAGGTAATCTGTAGATCAATCGATTCGATAAGTATTTCATTGCATATACCACAAGTTTAAAGATAGTTCGATTACCTTTTGTCTAAAGGTCTGGGCCGCAAACAGCTTCGTCTCTAAGTTGGATTCGTCAGCTTTAATCAAATAATCCGCTGCAGACCATGCGTCAGCCTAAGAACGTTTGTGGCATATGAATTTACATTGGTCGAGTTGTAGAAGCAATTATTCGTCATTGTAGCCGAAAACTTACAGTTTTTTGGAATGATTCGAGCCATCGATTAGCCTCCTTTTTTGCTTCTGAATCCTGAGCTGAATAGAGTGAATTCAAGGCCTCGGTGACTCGGGGCACTACAGGGTAAGCCATGGTGAAAAGTAAAAATATGGGCACAGCTGGGTCAAGTGGCGAAGAGTTGGTCGGTACCAAATTTACAAGTTTAAGTTGTGACGTCGTATAGTGACTAGAAGCTTTCAGCGATGTCCAACACTAATGGGCAAGCTACTGCCATTACGGAAGGGGCAGATGATGTACAACACTCCTCCGAAACAACCAAATCTTTAGGCGAAAGAACACTGACCGATATGCAAATGGAAGAAGATAACGATCAGGGCGAAAACGTGAGCAATGGCAGTCCTACTACATCCATCAATCATGAACTCATCGCCATCTCCGAAACGGATATGCTCAACTGTCCTTGGAATAATCTGAAGCACATTGCAAAGATGAGAATTTTAGAGGTATTTATTCTATACTTACTTTCAATCCCTTTGCATCGCCCAACTAAGGTTAATATGCCTTTAGATCACCGGGCAAAATATTTTAGGCGTTGAAAGCAACACCGAACTTAAGCAAGAGAGCGAAACCCTGACAGCAAGAATTATAGATATTATTGACAATATGGAAGAGTAAGCAGTGACATTCAAGGAAGTTGCTGTAAATACCTCTTGGCTCAGTATTAATTTTTGTCGTTGCATAGACCACCATTTACGATACAGCGATTTGCAGAACTACTAGTCAGTCCGACACGACATTATACATCACGAGTGAAGTACCTGAGAGCAGTTGAGAAAGTAGGAAACGAGCGTATTTCATATAATCCAAACAAAAGTGTTCTTGTTTAACGAATGATCTGGTTTTTAGGTAATATTGATAACATCCACTGTGAACGAATTTTCTATTTCTGTTGATGAATCACAAACGTCCAACGGTAGTAGTGATTTATTTCCACCAGAAAAAGCGAGCATGAATAATGTCAACGGGCAACCTGGTCATCTCACGGACGCTACCATCAATATTGTTACCCTTCCTACCAAAGAGCCGCTTCATTTCCGACATGACCATAGCTCTCACGAATATCAGCAAGAGCTACAACACCATATGAGTAGTACAGCATCGGCTGTTTCAACCGCCAACTCCGATAGCGTTAACCGAGAGATGGATGCAATGAATGCCCACATGGAGGAAGATGCTGAATCCGCCGACACTGCTCACGTTGTTTCGGATATAGTTGATGTAGGTGATATGACGGCAACAGACAAAGAAAAAGCAACACACGTAGAAGATACAGAAAAGGCTGCCGATAGTGTGGTAGAGAGCGGTGGAGACTCCATGGATACAACAGTGTAAATAAAAGGATTGAAAGTAATCAGACCCCAAAGATATATTTTGCAGATATTGCTGGTTTTTATCAGATAGATATTCGTTGGTATACACTTGAAAAAACAACACCTCAATCTATACAGCCCCTAACGTCTAAATCAAAATACATGCAACACGAGCATGAAATCATTTTTTCGTCGAGTTCATACGACCACATCGTTCATGTTGTTCGTCTGTCAACATGTAGGCTGGATTAAATCCGCTTGGCACATCGGGGTTGACGAGTTCCGGGTTAGGGAATGTATTATCCATACCACCAAGTGAAGTGTACCTGCAAAACATCCTTTAGTTACTTGCCATTTGGCGGCTCAGAGCACAGTGACCTGACATCTTACCCTCGGTCATACAATTCGCAATACGGTATTCCAAGTAATAGTAAAAATTCCCAAACGTTTTGATATGACCAGTCAATTATAGGATGAACCCTCATAAATGAAGGCCAGCCTTCATCTGTCGGGTCAAAATGCGTCAAGTTTTCTGCAATTGACGAGGAATGAATGAGTGTTGGTGCTAATGGGTGAAGAGGGCCAGCCGACTGTGGCAAACACATGTCATCTATTTTATATCTTACCCGCATATGGATCACTTCGTCGAATGCCTACCAAGATAGCCTCTGGTTTCACTTTGACGGTATCTATGAATTGTTGAAGAGCAAGACGCATTGGTGCAGGAACTCGTATCGACTCTAGCCTGTAGCGCTTGACGCACTCCTCAACAAAGTCATCTACTTCCGGAAAAGGGTTTCGACATGTCACATACACGGATTGTATAGGTTTGATGTTTTGAGTTTGAAGCCTATGGTAGAGAGCAGCAATGACAAGGTGCAGCAATACAGTACAGTCCTTTCCTCCATTGAACGCTAAGGATAGCACTCCTTGTCTTAATAACATGTGAAGATAAAGTAGGGTGGGTTATTTCTAGGAATTTGAAGAGAAAGGCATTTAACAACGTTCATTGTAACTTACCCGTACTTATCTACTGCCTCTTCAATGACATTCAATGCCTCCCGAACTTGAGGAGCTAAATTGTGTTCTGACTGCGCTAAACTGTAAACTGTATCGTGAATGTACTTGAAATCGTATTCATTCTGAGTGGAAAGATGTCGATCTACAACGGGCTTTACAGAGCAGTCTGAGTCCTTCCAGTTGTCCGTCATGTATGTCATTAATGAACTCGAGAATAGTAAACGAGTGCAGAGGTGGTTTGCCAGTTAGGAAAAGGTTACGGATGAGTCAGTGTACTTTGGGTTTTTTGGTCAGCAACAACCAAATGGTTTCAAACCCAGAGACCAATTGCCTGTAAAGCGATTTTCCAACCATATGCCTTTAACTTCATCCAGCGTAACTGTCAAGTGAATCTTGACTAGGAAACCATGAAATATCAAGGTTCACTTCGGTGAGAATATATGATTGTTTAAACGGTTACGGTTCGTTCTGGTTCTTTAACTTCGTGAGTTGTAGAAGTCATCACTCCAACTTTTCAAAATAGAGAATTTAAGAACCTCATCACCATCAGTACCAACGTTTTCAGTGGTCGATCTTCGTATAACCATGATTTGCAGAATATGGTGTAAAGTATACCTCGCCCCGAGTATTGTTCCGAAATATTTTCATCGGTTGCACTGTTCATCCCCGAGGTTCGCGCGCACTAAATTTTGCAGCGTGAGATTCCGCGCACATGAAATAAAGATGGCGCCAAAAATCGACTCTCAAAAGTTTCACTTCTTCATTTGCCCATGACTACTCTTCGAAGGTTCTCAACAGCGTACTTACAAAGTGGACGACGTAAAATTCTCATACCCTACTGCGAACGCGATAACTCTGATCTGGTTCTAAATCAATGCATGGAAGACAAAACACTACTTCCAACTGATAGCATTTGCCTTGTCAATGTCGTAACTCCCAGTGTATTATCACAGCTAACACCTTACAGCATTATGCATGGTGCTGCTCCCGTAACCACGACTACAGAATTCACTTACGCTGCTCAGAGAGATCCTCAAAGGGAATTTCTAGTTTCCAGAGCTGAGGAGACACTGGAAAAAGTAGCCCAGCGCTTAAGGCATAAAAACGTAAGCCAGGAAACTTTGCATTGTTGATCTTCCCATGTACATTTTCTTAAAAAAACCCCCCCTCTTCAGTTGAGTGTACGAACGGTTGTCCTTGAAGGCGAAATTAGGACATCTATTGTGAATCTTGCCGAGGAATTTAAACCTGACATAATCATTTTGACAACTGGATCAACTGGGAAGCTCAAAAAGTGAGTTGCAGGAATTCGAACACATCTGAGTTCCTTAAACAAAATATTTGACATATTTTTTGTGGGCTGTGCCATACAGGATGTTCACAGCCTCCATCTCCAAGCATTTGAAGAAAAATGCTAAAAAATCTGAAATCTTCATCATATCTCCTGAAAATGAAAGAGAGGTGGTGGTTACTGACCAATTCTCTGGCGTCGAAGAAAGTAAGTAAAGAATGCTGTGCATGCGTATATGGAATAAGTGTAACACAAATGGCTCATCTTGGCTTCTTTCTTCTGCAAAAGTTGGTTCCAATGACCTCAACACGGGGTGCACACCGAAAACAAAACTGGAGACCGTAACACAAGCCCCGCAGACATCTTGATCTCACTATGTTTTAGCTAATAGCATTCATTATATATCTACTTCTTTATGTTAATATTTGCAGTATATTATTTGAATCAGTATATGTATGATATATTGGAAATGGCTTTATACTTTAAAGATGAAGTGAGAACGTTGTGTTTTGTGAACTGGATTGTAAATCCAATACCCATAAGAATTTTAATAGCTGCTATGCCTTATCCTTACAAGCCTCTGCCTTAGTTAAGATGGGGAAGGTTTATTATGTTGAAAGGCGGTCTCAGACTAGCTCGATAAATGTACACGGTGGTGTTATGATTTACTTTACAGAAGTTAAGTTATATGACATCCTCGTTTTTACAAAGAGCAGGATACAATGCCTCTAAACGTTTTATCTACATAACAACATTAACCTTAAGCAGCCAGTCAATTTCAATATCTGTTGAACTTTACCTCTCTTAAATTCGCTAGATGCCGTTGCTTAGTAGTTTCAGTTGCTGGTAGAACAAGCTTGTCTATTAAACTGGTTATTTCTTGACCATATATCCCGGCGTTATAAAGTTCGTTTAATTTCTGAGGAAGGCTAGTAGAAGCACTAGAGTAAAAGTCAGCTGCAATTGATTGTTTATGGGTTTTACAGGTTCACATCATCAGGTATCTTACCTTGTACTTTCACTCAGTAGCATGGTTTCTTCAAGTTTTGCATCTGATTTACAGTCATATTTGACTCTCTGTGCGGTCAGCGCAAGTTCTTTTCCCTGTTCTTCGTAGACTTTGCGACAAATATCGATGATGGTTTCGCAAGTATGTGCCTCCATCGAATTGTTCGGTAATATCTCCAGGGGAATATTGCATCGTATTGGACTGAAGGATGGTTAGCAGCGGTAATCGTACAGTGGCCGTCTAGTAACAACATACCCTCTCGCTGGATCGTCCTTTGATTGAAAGCAGGTTATTTGCAATCTTTGTGTCTGTGAAATTGTTAATTTTCTCGAAAATGATATGAGCAAGGGTAGAAATCAGACGTACTAAATCCACATCAGTGTCAAAACACGATACGATCAAACCAAAGAATCGAGAATCCATCATTTGTTGTGAAAGTTGCGTTCGAACATCTACAGTCAGAAAGTTAGATTACCCGTCGCATACGTTCGAATAGCTCAAAGACTGACACATGCCAATATGAGAGGGGAATACAGTAATATGAGGATGGCTATGGTACTAGATCAAATGTGAGTTAAAATATAATGCCACCTTTGGCATCATTTAGACAAGTAAGTGATACCGACCCATCCTACAACACAGATCTGCCGCCCTAGCTCCTTTTCAATTTTCTAACGGTGACAGTAACCTATGGTCAGTTTAGCAGGCAAAAATGCCAAAAAAATCATGGCCGCTTTACCTCTGCTTCAACTACTGCCAAGTGAAGTTGGATAGGCGATATCTCAACACGGTCCTTACGCTTGTCTGATCTGGTTAATATACAAACTGCCTCTACAACCGCCACTGATTGATCTCGAGAAAAAGGGTTGGAAGCATTCCTTGGCTGCTTTGGTTACTATCGATATTGAAACTGGCCATAGCAGGTACTAACCCTTACCTGCCAGTTGCCAAGTAGAACTCCGATAATCTCTTCCTATACATCAAAGCTAAGAATAAGAAGCAATTGATAAAAGTGCATTACTTTGTAGAGTGAAATCAAACCTTTTCGGTGGAGGCTGCATGGCTTGCTATAACATGGAAAACGTTGGCACTTATAGTGACTTTCGATAATGTAGGCATGAGTCGGAAAGCCTGCGTTTGCGAAGCCAGATTTCCAAAAGGCAACTGCATTAACGAGTCACAATTTTCTGCACACAATAACCCAACCATTCAAAGCCATTGCAAACCCAGGCATCAACATTTAATGAGTTCAAACGCTGTTCCACAATTTGCTGAGGAAAACTGGTATACTAAAGCGGTAGACTATTGGTCTACTGTTGATCCAACCGTCAATGGAATGCTTGGTGGCTTTGAATCCGTGTGCCCGGTAGAATGTGCAGCCTCCTTAGATCTTATTCACGAATTCGTTAACGATCAACGAGGAGCCGACAATGTTGTCAAGAAGGAAGCGCGTGTTGACAAAACCTATGCTTGCGATTGTGGTGCCGGAATAGGAAGAGTCACAAAGGAATTTCTGCTTCGAGTCCCCTTTGCAAAGGTTGACCTTGTGGAGCAGACACCAAAATTTGTTGAGCAAGCGAAGCACGAATACCTGAAGGAAGAGATGGAAGCTGGCAAAATCGGAAACCTGTATTGCATGGGGTTGCAAGAATTTACGCCAGATTCAGGGAAATACGACCTTATATGGTGTCAATGGGTTCTCGGACATTTGACGGACGGTGAGTTGATTGGATACGACAATTCATCGCATCGCTTCTTGACATAGATAATTAATAGTGTTATTTCTAAATCTTTTATCAGATGATTTGGTATCATTTTTAAAAAGATGCAAGGATGGCCTTCGGCCAAACGGTGTCATTGGAATCAAGGAAAATAATGCTTCCAAAGGTTATATCGTAGATGAAGAAGACAGCAGTGTAACAAGGTATGAATAGAGAGAGCTCGTTGCATCGAGATACAGCTTTATGCTTTTGAAGCTGACGTACGGTTGTTAGATCGGACGATCTTTACAAGCAAATATTTAAAAAGGCCGGTTTCAAGATTTTGAAAGAGAAGAAACAACATGGACTCCCAGCCGGGCTCTTCGCTGTTAAAATGTAAGATATTAGCTTGACTTGGTGGCATGATGACGGTTAAAAGCTCATCTAACTCCATTTATTTTTTCTGCTGCTATCGCTCTAGGTACATACTGACGCCTGAATAAGTGACGGAAAAAGCTCCTGATGGTTTGACCTATCAATAATATAACAACTATCTAATACAGATGTATAAAAGAAAAAGCTTTCATACCCATTTATCGGATATACTTAATGGGATGTCATAGTGTATAAAGGGAAGTGTGATCGAATAGAGACAAGGCAACGTCAAATTTAGCGGCTAGAGCCAACCTTAGAGCTTGTAAAATCCCCAGGCAGCGATGCCGGGATCCCAATTTCACCAGTTTGACGGGATGTGCAGATTCGGGCTCTCGCCTGATGCAATTTGATTGGATACCCAAGTCACGTGTAAAATGACGTCGCTGACTTTTGCATCTTGCACGTGCACTATGACGCCCTTCGTCGAAAAGCCAGCTGTTGTCCACTGAGTCGGTATCAAAAAAACTATCTCAAAGGTTTTTATTCAATCTATACCAAAATGTCTGCTGTAAGTACTATATATTTCACTCGATCATTCAAAGTACTCTTGCTACTTCAATACGAGAGCCTCTAGATGAGGGATTGTGCGCTGATTATGCAGTCACCGATTTTTGTTTTGCGAACGCGGTTACTGACTACGATCTCATCTGCGTGTTCTAGGAACGTGAAAATCAAGTATGTCTTCCCCATTGTTAAAGATCTTTTTCAGTTCAAGATGGACTATTTCTATCTTGCTGTCGTTTTTTGCTGCACGGTGGGCCATATATTCATTATCTTTGCGTCTTTCTTCCTTTGCATGAAAAATAGGTGTTTATGAGCAAGCTCGCCGAGCAAGCCGAAAGATACGATGGTCAGTTTCTATTTTCAGAAATGTTTGCTTAACCGCAAATTGCTTGAATGACTAACATTGGCTCATATCTTTCAGAAATGGTTGCCTACATGAAGGAAGTTGCCAAGGTATGTAGTCAACACACGCTGCATCTATCTTCTCCCCACACAGAAGCTCCGCCCATTTGATCTAATTGCGGCGATTATAACTTTTCCATAGCTCAATGTTGAATTGACCGTCGAGGAGCGAAATTTGCTTTCTGTCGCCTACAAAAACGTCATTGGTGCTCGCCGTGCCTCATGGAGAATTGTGTCTTCCATTGAACAAAAGGAAGAAAACAAGGGCAACTCTGGTCAAGTTGAGAAGATCAAGTCATACAGACAAAAGATCGAAAATGAGTTGAACGATGTCTGCCGCGATATTTTGGCCGTCTTGGATGAACATCTTGTCACCTCCGCCACGAGTGGTGAGTCTAAGGTCTTCTACTACAAGATGTAAGTTTTTTATTATCAGTCATTATATATGCCACTCCGTTGCCTGTACTGAATCGCATTTATCATCGATTTTCAGGAAGGGTGACTATTACCGTTACCTTGCTGAGTTTGCCACTGGCGAAGACCGAAAGGAGGCCGCTACCAACGCTCATGAAGCATACAAGGCCGCTACTGAAATTGCACAAGTTGAGCTTGCTACTACTCACCCAATCAGACTTGGACTTGCCTTGAACTTCTCCGTCTTCTACTATGAAATCCTCAACTCTCCCGATCGCGCTTGCCATCTTGCCAAGCAAGCTTTCGATGATGCTATTGCTGAATTGGATACTCTTAGCGAGGAAAGCTACAAGGACTCTACTCTCATTATGCAACTTCTTAGGGACAACCTTACACTCTGGACCTCTGACTTGCAAGAAGGCAAGGCTTACTTTGATTAAAGTTTACAGATCTGTGGATGCATGATCCTAACTTTTTTTTTTCATCACTCTCTTATAGATGCTGACAAGGATGCCGATAAGGCAGACGAGTCAAAGGCAGAAGAAGCTACAGTCGACCAGTAATTGTTCTTAATCTTGGTAAGAATTTGGAGACTCTGTACCCCAATAGGTTACATTATTAACTGGGTTTGCGTGTAGCATAGTCATGCCTGCTCTTTTATTTTTGCACTTGTATGCCATGCTATTGATTTTTTGATTTTTTGGATGCAGAATGCAAATAAACCTATCTGTTGAATGTCCTTATCTTACAAAACTTGCATGCTAAATAAGTCGTTTTAAATTTTTTTCTATCATGATGCTTCTGGTAATGCCATATTCACGATGCCAAGCGCTCGACAAGCTAGATCCTCGTCATTGTAGTTCCAGCGAATAATAATCTGATCGACATCTGTGCTCTTGTCTTCATCATAGCCGACAAAAACGCTACGCATTTGCACTCCAGCTTGAGTTTGAGTAATAGGGATATCTTTCCCAACTGTCTGTTCGAAACGCCGGAAAAGGATACCAACCAGTACGTTTCGCATATCGCTTTCATCAGGTAAGTCGAGGTTGACTTTGGGTATATTTATGGACTTGACTAGTTCAAATGAGAGATTGTGTTGCTCTAGCGGTGATTGCTTACTTTCTGGCACTTCGACCTGATCAGCGTCGACTATATGCATTTTGGGAGGACCATATTTATCGGGCTCCATCAAAAGGACGCCTTCGACGGGTATTTGTGAATGAGGTCGGACGGAATCTATGTGCATTTCCCTATCGACGGATTGTGGCCCAAATGTGTTGAGCACCGTCTGCGTGTTTTTGATTTCACGCATTTTTTGTATGCTTGATTTCAATAAATCAACACTGATGTCCGCGTAGATAGCTTTGCTCGTTTCCAGTTCAATTGTTTCGCCGTTCGCAGGGTCGAAGGATGGGATACCGAACTCCTTCATAATCTTGCTTTTTAAAAATCCCATTTTTTCCTTTTCCCCGTGAACAAGAACGACATTTTTGGGTTCACATTGTCGTATCAGTTGCATGATTCCTTTCGCATCAGCATGAGCGCTGAATGATAGATTTCTCACTTGGAGATTTACTTGAATCTTGGTGAAAGGATCAACGTCAATGACTTTCTGACCTTGCAATACTTTGGCGCCAACCGTGCCAGCTACACAATAGCCAGGCATAATGACCATATTGTTCGGGTCTGGAGCCCATTTCTTGAATACTTCGAGTGATGTTCCGACGTTGAGCATACCTGGTGTTGCGAAAACTACCATTGCACCTGGCAAGTCGACATAACTTCGATTCCATGGTTTGATATGTTTGAAGTCGAACATGTTTCGCTGTACAAATGTAGATTTGATCTTTTCGTTTGTCCAATTGATAAATAGCTTGTAATAGTGATTTGCTTTTTCCGTTAGACCAGCTGAGAAGTAAATTGGGACTTTAAGGTCCATTCGTTCCCAATATGTTTCCACTAGAATACATAGTTCTTGAGCTCGCCCTAAGGCAAACACAGGGATAATGACCTTGCCACCCGCAGCAACACAATCGTGAACCTTTTTTAAAAAGTCTCGTTCTCTGGATCTTTTGGAATCTCGTATAGTTGTAGCATATGTACTTTCGGTGATAAGCACATCTGGGCGCATCTTATCAATCCAGGCAGAGCCCAAATGTCGATCAGGAGTCATATTGTAGTCGCCAGTATAGACCACAGATTCTTCGCCAACGCGAATATAAAACATAGCAGCACCGAGAACATGCCCAGCGTAATAAGCTTTAATTTCTAGGTCGTCATCGACGGAGATGGTCTGATGAAGGTTGACAGGGATGACCTTCTTCATACAGCTCTTGATCATTTGCGACGTAAAAAAGTTTGTTTCTCCTTTGCGTTCCACTGTGATTTTTCGATAATCTTCCAAAAGAATTGGGCAGATAGCTTTAGTGGGATGTGTCATATAAATTGGACCGTCGTAACCACACATTTCCGTAAAGAAGGGTAATGCTCCACAGTGATCCAAATGAAAATGACTAATTATCACCGCATCCAATATTTCTGTAAATTCGCCAGTCTTTGAAATATAAGTGAAGTCTGGAAATCTTCTTTCGTCATTATATCCCATGTGCATTCCTAAATAAATAGAATGTGCGTTAACATACACCAACTGAGCGGATAACAGCTGAAGCAAACAGATCCCGTACCACAGTCAAACATTATATTTTTGCCACCTAATGTGACAAGAATGCAACTTCGACCAACGTCTTGGCCTACATAATTAGACAATGGAGAAGTTAATTATGTCATGCTAAAGTACTTGTAGGTGATCGCCTTTGCATACCTGCTCCAAGTGGCACGATTTTTATGGTCATTGTTGAATGAGAGACAGCAGCAGAAACGAGTGGCAATTCAAAGTCACACCTATGAACTTTCTGAAAGGTGAAAATTGTATCTTAAAGCTTCCTGACGCAAATCTCTCAGTACGGAAAGCTAAGGCAAAGCAAAATTCCCTCGGTTCGAAATACAGTATTATTCATAAATTGAAGTTTTGGTAGGTAAGCGTTATGTCTATATTGTCCTTTGCTAATTACAAAGATCTATCAGAGCCGTCCATCAAAGAAGGCTGTTCATGAACAATATAGAGTGAGGATGATTCAAGAGGTGAAGAAGCATCGTTTTCTTGATCCTGGTATGGATCCTGGCTCTGATCTAGCCATCGTTGTGGGACGTAGCGTGTACACTTGTCAGCGTCGGGTAATTCCTACAGACCGAGGAACAAAACGGTACGCGCTATTTAATTTTGGGCTATTGTGCCTTTTTGTAAAAGTGATGTCTCTCACCTGAATGGCCTTGGTAACTGCCAAATTAGATAAACCTAACATCTCTGGACCACTAGCATGCGTTTTGGCTGTCACGCCTAAACTTGCTATCTGATCTAGCAATTGCTTCCAGACTCCACTAGCAGACGCCCCGGAAAAGACCGTGCTTGGTGAGTCTTCTGGTGTAACCTGAAACTGGTGGGTTTGGGGGAGAGAAAGAAGATTTAGCGGCTGCATCCAGGTGACCAACTATGTAATGCAAAGAAAAAATAGCTAAAAACACGTACGATTGGAGCATTTCCACCGTCTAGAATTTCACTTATGTAGCCTGTTTTTTTGGAAGGAGTTGTCAAACTTGGCAAGTATTTTTTGCTTTTGAATCCCACTGGCCAAATGTATCGAGGGTTATGGAAGCCTTCTCTGTCGCAGACTACAGAGCCTATGGACAAATTAAGGTATATCAGAAATTCGGTTCGGGTGGATGGATCAAAAAGGAAAATTAGTGTGGAATTTTTAAAGCCTACCTATGCTGTAAATGATCACTTCATTTGTGCCTCGTCCTATTGTCACAGGAAGGGCGATAGTACCGTCTGGCCGTCTAGGTAAAGGTTGAACCGCCTTTGGCTGAGTTCGATCATCTCGCTTGCCTGTTCTTCGTCTTCGTTTCTCCGGAATAGTACTTGTTGTGGTTTGTGGAATGCTATATAAAGATGACTGAAGCAAATAAAAACAAGACAAACATTAGAGCAGAAAACCTTGTACATCTTGAAAGCTACAGCTATCCCTTACAGTTGAACTTTCTCGGCTAGTTCTCCGCTGCTCCGATAGTCGATCATCCCATTCTTCAGGTCTAAACGTTAGCATGGTGGCGATGCTTCTTTGAATGACAGAAGCTAATATCAAAATTTCTACATACTAATTACTGAATGTCGCTCGTTTCGTGTGGCATGAGGTACAGGAGAGGAACTCTCATGCGCCCGGCTAGATAAAAAGCCGTCTTGAGTAGAACTGTCGTCATCATCTGAGAGCCTATTGGAAATAGTAGACAAATTAGCATTGATAGCCGCCTAAACTCTATTCATTCACGTCAAGAGGTCTAGAACCTCAACGTACCCATCGTCACTGTAACCGAGTTCAGGATACTTTGTTCTCATCACGTCGATCAATATACTAAATTGAGTTTTTCGTTTGGTGAATTGCCAAGGCAGGCGCACTTATAGGGTTAAATGGGCAGTCACGATGTACTGATATGCAGCGCTAATCCTAACCTGTTTTCTCGCTTCAGCTTGCGAATGCGGTCCCTCGCTCGATGGAGAGCCTGCTCCAGCGACCCGCGCTCCTACAAGTGAAAAGTAGTTTAGAAAGTCACGAAACGACATGTTTGGAATTGTGGTGGTTCATTTCGCATGTGGCTGAAGCAATCGAGATTCTAACCTCTGTTAGTTGTTCATATTGCTGATTAAGTCTGTTGTAATGTCTTTGAGCATCGTTATTTGGTGCTTGCAAGTTGCTCATTGGTGAACAAAAAAAAGCTGAGTTCTTGACGAGCTTTGGTGGCAATATCAAAATCTCGAAGGGAAGGAAGGGATGGGATAAAGAATAAAAGGAGAGACAGTTGCTCAGATTGAACTGCCTCGCAATGCAGTATTATCTAAAGCTAACAGACAGGTATGTTTCAGGTACAGCGTAAAGTGGAAGAAGGATCGAGAAAGCAAAAACAGCCCGAGTGATATCGTTTGAATATTCTGTATTACTTTGGGAAGGGACATGTACAAGAAAAGTCGCTTGTGAACTGCGCAAAGGTCTGGTGTGAAATGAATTCCTATTCGGGTCTTCTCTGATGGTGCAACCAGAATACCTAATTCTTGACCTTGGTCGTCCAACATTTCTTGGGGGTGATGTCAGACGCTCACGGTGACACGATCGTGAAGAAAATGGTAATGTTCTCTCTATTAAACAAAAGCAAAAAGAATGGGGAGCTATAACAATATCTACTCTAACCTCGAGAAGTGAACATGCTACTGACACCAGAAGTGAACATTTTTCCAGCAAAACCTCCAACGCTGCCACCGAGAGTTCCAAATGCTGATTGTGCAGCAAGCCCAGTTGCCCATTTTCTTTTGGCATCTTTATCACACTGCGTGTAACCGTACACATTAGCGAGATTGAGAATGATAGCCACGACGACGATGACCAGCCATGCGAATTTGAAAGTGAAGATGCAAGTAAAGGCCAGCAAGATCCAAAGGACAGGTGTAGCATAAAGAACCGTCCAAAACAATCGTGAATCGTTTGCATTTCCGGCGCGATTGGGCTGATCATCAACGCGTTAGCCACTTTTCCTGATCACATTTTCCCAGATTTCCTAAATATATCAAAAGTTGACTTACATTGGCGCTCTCAAATACCCATTTGTTCGTTCCGTCTTCTTGAATCTCGTTCCACCAGCGTAATCCGACCAAAATCCTTCCAGATACATTTTTGACTGTCCAAAAGTCGAATGCAAGAAGCAATATTGTGATTACAAATATCAGTGTGAAATTGTCGGTGAATATGGATCCCAGTAGGTATGTCAACAGCGCGCCAAGCCTGAAGGCAATAAAGAATAGCAGAGCAATAGGGTGGCTAAAGACCCAAAATCGATGGTTGAGTTGTACAGCAACTAAATACCCCGATAATATAATATATGCTTACCTAGATGATTCAAAGTATTCTCTAATAAGACCCGGCTGATTAGACCTGCCACCTTGGCCAACACTACCTTGTTCAAGGTCCGGCTGTAATGTGGTGGAATCCGCCAACAAATTTACTCGGCTTTCGTCAGCCTAAGTTAAAAGAGCGGTCAGTCACTAAGTCATCTTGCTATGCAAGTCTCTGAGGTCAATGATCCTTTGCCTTGGCTTACCATTATCAAAGATCCTTGTTACAACTACCATTTTGGAATACCGCCCACCCCCCTTTTTTTGAAATCGAACTTGGCGATACACGTGACCATGGCATTCACGCATGATTTGGTAGGACCAAAAACAAATGGGAACGTTAAACCAAAGTAAAGGTAACATTACAGGCTTGTACCATTCAAAAGCTGGTAGCATTGAACAAAATCATCATGTCTGTCCAATAAATAAAGGGTTTTAGCATGATTTAGGTGATTGCCCTGGTCTTTTTCAGTTGTTTGTATGAATTTGCTCCAAATGGTAAATGCGCTGACCCCTCTTCTTGGTAAAATAATTCTGTTTGTGCGCTTCCACAATCTCGAGAAGCTACATCATCAACCACAAGACAAAGCTTAGGGCATGGTATGGTGGCGGAGAAATATCCCTCAAATATTTGCATCAGCGTCATGATTGGGTGCGCCAGTGCAGGCACAAATTTAGTGACACCGAAATTTGCAGCTATTTGATCTGGGACCTCCAACTGCTTGTTGCTTTTTTCTTCTTACAACCTTGTTGCGTGAACATTCGTCGAGGTCTAATAGAGATACATAAAAGTACATATTGAAACAGGAGACAATTTCGACAGGGCACTAGGAAACACGCAATGGGTGGATCGTCCCCGCAGATTTTTGGGGTTTTGGCTGCTCTCTTTGCAGTCCTCCTGCTTGTGTTTACAAACATTGGAACTACATTCACAAGCACGTTTTTACCAAAGTTGTTTCTCGTCGAAGCTAGTTCATCCTCTACTGGCAAGTCAATCAGATATGGTGTATATAATTCTTGCTTATTCCAAGGAGATTCCCTCCAAAGCTGCACGAAGGCTGCTATTGGCTACAGCTATGGTAAGCATGATAAGAATGTTGGATGCAACGATATTTTGGAATGATGAAATAATGCTCATACTGGTGTAGATTTGTCGCAACTTGGAGAAGCTTTCAACGTCACCACCCTTCCATTCTCGATTCCCAGTACGCAAGCCAAATTGCATCAAGCGGCTGGAATTTTGATCTTTCTTGCCGCCATTCTAGCCTTTGTCTCGCTGCTAGGTAAACTATTTTTATTCACATACCGTGAACGCAATCAAAAAGCCCTGATTATAGACAAGATACACTCCGTACTAAAGTAAATTTGAACCACATAGGCGGCGCTGCTATTCGACATTGGCAACGCCATAACTTTCCTCGCGCTATTGGAGCCGCCTCCGCATTAGCCGCTCTGGTAGCTGCGTGCATCGGTATCGCATTGACCATATATTCATATTGGACTTCTTTTGCCATAGCTCAGCAAGTTATCAGCGATCTCTCATTCAAGTGGGGTCCAAGTATTGGAACATTGGCTGCTTCTGCTTTTTGTCTGATCATAACCACGATTGGGTATATAGCAAGCTGCTTCAGTAGACATAGCAAATCTAGAGATTCATATCAATTATATGACTACGAATTTGGCCATGGAAATGACCACTATTATTAGCATGCATTATTTAGATCCTGTTATGTGTATCATAGTTATTATCTGCTGGCAAGACCATTGCAAAAATGGTAAAATAACACTAATAAATTTCAAGTCAGGTAACGTAATTAGAAGATCTAATATGTTAGAATGAAGCACCAATATCCAATGAATTCCAAGTACTGTGATCTACATGAGAACGTTTGTGGGTAAAAATCTAGCACGATTTGCATTGGGTAGCGACAGACGAATAGGGAATAATTCTAAGGAACTCTCGGACCCATCTTGAATGGGCAGCGGTCCCTTTGAGATAGAAATTGAGACACAGCTAAAGTGCTTCCTATGTACTCTGTGGTGAGTACCAGGATCTAAAAATACACATTTCTTTCTACCTCGAGAACACCAGAAGTCGGTATTAAAGGCAGACAAGTCCATAGGAAAGTTTTGTTGGTGGCACACTTTGCTGGCGGAGATCGGCATCAATGGGCATTTCACATGGGGTGTGCCAGAAAACGACGAATAGACTGAGAATGCATGCCAAACATTTACAGGACAGATGACAGGACAAGTTAAAGACATGTCTGTCAACAATGTCGTAATTCATGTACAGTGTGTCTACAAAAAGAGGGCAGGTTGCGTTGAGAATATTAGAAAACCAACTCACAATTATTGTTTGCGCAACCGGGATTTGTCCGCTTAAACTGTGTTTGATTTCTTTGTGCCGCCTCTCTCCACAGACACAACATACAGGCACACACGGCTTCTTGGCTTTGGACTTGACCTACTTACCTTCTATATTATACTTTTTTTATTTTATTTTATTTTACTGTTTTTTATCACCTCTTCTTTTTGGACCACTTTTTTGTTTCTTTCCTTCGTTTTTACATTTTTTTTTTTTTTTTGCTTTTATACCGTAAAGGCTTTATAAGTGTTGGTTTCATCATAAACCTTCTCCATAACCAACTATATTACTCGCTAGCCAGTTAAACCGATAGTCGAGGTTGCAGCTTTACAATGCTCGCCAGGAACTCGAATGCATCACATGTTCATAATCGAACATTACCAAATGATTCACCACCAACTACACCTAAATGGAAATCGTCCTTAGCCTCCCCTCTTCGAAAAGCGTCTTTAGACTCGCAGCCCAAGCCAGGTGCAAAAGAGCTGAAGACAAGAATTGCTGCAAACTATCAAGAGCTATCTGCAATACTCACTACTATGACACCTACCAATACGCAGAATCGAAAGTTAATCCCAACTACATCCGTCTCAACTAAACTGTCAGAGCCTCTTGCCTTACCAGTAGCGATCGCACCTACTAAACAGCCTATTCAAAAGCCAAAGCTTGCCAATCTTAGTATTGACATCAAGCCTAAAATTGTCAAGAAGGCTCCGCCAACTCAGCAAACAAACTCAGACAACAACAACGAACCCATTATTAGTTATTTCATCATGCTTGGCGATAAGATTGAAGATGAGCAGACTATAATGAGCTACAGAGACATGGGTGATGCTGAAAAGACTGAACGCATAACCAAGATATTCACAAGAGCTGCCTCTAATGGAGATGCAAGAAAAATACGGCATATGCTTTCCCAGGAGCAACTGATCCCATTTATAGATATTGATAGACAGGATGAAGATGGGACAACACCCTTAATCTACGCTGCTTGTTTTGGCGCAATAGATGTTTTACGAGCCCTTCTCGAAGCAGGGACCAACCCTAACAGGCAGGATAAGTGTAAGTACAAGTTTTTTTATTTTGATCGGGCAGCCAGGGAAAAACAATAACAATGCAAACCGGATGACTTCAATTGATTGACTGACATTCATATCACCTTTCCTCCTTTGAATAATCTCCTATTGTAGCTGGATGGTCTGCATTGATGTGGGCTGCGAACAATAGCCACGAGGAAATCGTCAGGACCTTAATCGAATATGGAGGCTGCCCTACACCCAAATCAAATTCTGGTTGTTCGGTTTTTGATTTTATTAACAAGGAGAACAAAAGTTTGAACGATTTGCTGGCAAGGAATTCACGAGACAGTATCTCCAGCATTTCTAGCTTTGGCCCTGGTCACTCTGGACGTTCGTCATCTCCGTCTTCGTTTGGAAGTGAAGCGGACTTGTCCAGCCGCGATTGGTCCAGTTTTGATGCATCTTTAAAATCACCATCGTACGACGAGCGGTTTGAAAGTGATTTTGACGATGTAGACGAATTTAAATGGGATGAATGTCTTCTACATCAAATGTTCGTTTTTGATGCTCAAAAACTACCTAAGATTCTTGATACAGTCACTTTTAAGATGGATTTGCCACCAAAATCCAGACAAGAAATTTTCGTTCCAGCAAGCATCATTTATCTCTGCGCAAGATTTGCTCATTACTACTGCGACGCGGATACTGTTGATATGGTTCTTTGCGAAGCTATGAAGCGATTGAAAAAATGTGTCCAGGTACAGTCAAAGTAAACGCTTATCATGCAACAGCAAAATGTGCGTATAAACTGACTACAAAAACCTTCCATTCTAGGCAAGCGCGAAGAATGTTCATGCCTTAAGCTTCTGGCTGACAAATATGTCTACACTGCTACAATACCTCAAGCGCGATGGCGGTCTCATGATTGCTGCTGCTGAATACCACATCGGGCTATCCGAGCTTATATCAGAGACGTATATGCTTATTATAGCGGATGCTCAAAATCGCATTGACAAGATCTTGGAGCCGTCCATGCTCGAACATGAGCAAATAGGAGAAATGGAACAAGTCAGCTTTGTGGATGAATGGAGGTTCTTTAGGCGTGGGAGCAGTCGTCGACAGTCAACCATCATCTCTTCACCAGACCCAGCGACTAGCTTGAAGCGAACAGCTTCCTTAGCCAGTCGACCTGTGCCTGACTCGAAAGCATCCAAAAACCTTTCACCGGTCTCCATTATATCTTTATTGTCATCTACCATTTATGTTTTTAGATCATACCACGTACAACCTTCCATCATCGTGCAAGCAATGGCACAATTCCTGTATTATATCTCTTGTGAAATCTTCAATCGCATACTCGGCAACCGAAAAATGCTATGCCGATCAAAGGCCCTTCAAGTCCGCATGAACCTTTCCGTATTGGAAGAATGGGTCCGATCACAGCGACTCCCACCCGGTTTATTGAGTTGCTTTGATCCTGTAACTCAACTGTTGCAACTACTACAGTGCCTCTCTCAACTCCAAGAATGGGATACATTTTCTGCAACTGTTAACGAACTGACGGCTCTGAATGCTTTGCAAATTCGAAGATGCGTTACCCATTACAGATATGAAGTGAACGAAATGAAACTTCCAGAGGAAGTTGATGCACAGCTAGGAAGGTTACTGGAATCCGGTAACCAGGCTAATCAACAAAAATTGAAATGGGAAGAATCAGCCAATCGATTGAGTACTGATGTTGAATCAGTAGAGTCGACTGGTAGTACTGATAGGGATTCAATAACATCCAGGCGATTATCCGGTGGTTGTTTTGAAAATGACGATGAAGAAATTAGAGAACGACGAGATTCCAAGTTCATATTGCCATTTTCTCTTCCAACCTACTCTACTGAACAACAAGATATGTCATCAAAGCCAGAAGGAATTTCATCTATGAGTTCTCGTCATGCGTTAACCCCATGTATACCAGAAGATTGGATGCGTCAGTTAGATTCCATTTGATAAAATACTAGAATCTCACACCAACTGCCATATAGTAATTGTTTAGTGCTTACCGATCATTTTTTTAATACCTTTCTAGTAGTTTTTAGAGTAGGTTAGTGTTATTTGTCGATGTTGGAAATTCATAAATCAAACCACGCCTCGATACACACAACACTGGGTCAGTAAACGGTGGTGTCGATATTACATTTGCATCCATGCAGGCCAGTTTATTACAAAATGATGTTATGTTCAACTAGTAATTATTATCTAAGGTTTCTTTTCAAAATATGGTGATGATTTCATAAAGTCGGCAGTGGTATCAAGAACCCAGTCGCCAATATCAAGGTATTTATCAATTATCGACTTATTGACATAAGGATCAGCCATATTCATTGTGGAAGTTGCAGGTCTAAAGGATAATAATGAGTATTTCTAGTATGCTGTCTTTGTGCCGTTGGATGGTATGCTTACTGGAGACCAGTGCTGCGCTTGATTCCAGCCAACACTGTGGAGACAAGAACAGCATCGGCTGCAAAGTGCACAACTTTACCGAACATGGTCATTATGATTATAGATTGGAGTTGGATTTCAATAATTAACTTGCGAACTGTATGGAGATCTTCAGAAGAAGAAGAAATATCAATGTTTTATAGAGAATGGAGGGAGGGGCTTGCATCTTTGCTGTCTGGTCCGTAACCACTCCAAATGTCGGTAACTGAAATGACTCAAAACGGGATTTCCAGGCAGTATTTTTGGTACGCCTTGGCACTTGGCTGAATTTTCTTGGATATGTTTGTTAACATTGCTTTCTTATCATTGTTAGTGAAGTAGACTATGCTCATTCCTTTATAACTGTCTATAGCATACCGCTTGACGAACAGAGTGCATCGTACTTGCTCCTGCCAATGTGCTTCTTCATATTGTGCCAAAGCAATTACTTTGTTATTAAAAATGACACCTTCTATTGAGGATGGTATATACATTGATTGAATGAAGTGGTGCTATCGTCTAAGAAAAAAAAGATAAACAAGGGCAGGGCACAGGGAATCAACTGTGATGCGACAATCAAACCAGTGGTGTTAAGCCTGAGACTTGCATTTTCTGCGCTTTCTTCATGCGATATAACTTGATGGCACGTTCACGCTCAACGTCCAAAGCTTTACGAGAGGCCAAACTGAGGTTGCTCAGCTTTCTCTTGTGCGACGCTTTAAGCATTTTCATGTTTTCATCCTCTTCTGATTGATAACCATCCTTCTGCGTAGTCTTCATAGCCTCTGCTGACTTGGCTTCCAGTGCCTACAAAATTTGAAATGCATGTCAATAAAATAGATGTGCTGTAAGGAGAATAGTTTATATCTACCTTTTTGGCGGCACCACGAGCTTTGGGGATAGACTTCAGTATTGGTGGTGCATCTGCAACTTCTCCAAACTTCACATCATCTCGCAGTTTGCCCCAGTCGTCAGTTCGATCTTCTAGTTTACTTTGTTTCTTAGCTCTTTCCCTCTCCTTTTTGTTGTCTCTGTATTTTCGTTTTCTCTCTGTCACTGGCTTGGACTCGCGAACGGACTTAAGAAAGGTACCACGCATCTCTTCCTCTACACGCCTATCAAATTTTATGGGTTAGCAGGTGTCCTCGTGCATGCATTCATATCTTCAATCAGAATATTACTTACTGACTAAATGCTTTCATCCGTTCACCAGGTCGAATTTGCGGTATGTTTCGCTTTTACAATGCCAATTGAGAAATTAGGACTAACATACTTTTTCGCACACATCAATCATCTGAGCCTAAATACCTCAGCTGCTTCCTTTCCACCTTCTTCTTTCTGGGCCTTCTTCACTTGGGCCTTCTTCGCAGCAAATTCCTTCGCTTTCATCAATCTCTTAAAGGCTCCAGGAGTATCTGAAAACTTGTCAGAGGTAGCTGGCAGATCCAGTCTAGATTGGAGTCAGCATGCCAAATCATAAAGTTAAAGACTGTAATATTCCGTATTCTTTATCTTACCTCTTATCTTTAGTTGCATTCCTAACGCTTGCTTTCGCTCTTTTGTGAGGCATTTTGCTGCAAACTTAGCGAATCCTGTATGACTTTGAAGCAGATTTTGAAACTACAATTTTTTTGGTCGCATCTCACAAAATTTGCGCGGTTGAATGGAAAGACCGTCACACAAACTGGTGCGCGTAAACATTTGACCGCTCGTTGTATATTATAATCGAGCCAGCTTTAAGAACCATTAATGAAAAACCAAACAATGGATGTATATTGTGGACGTTTCGTTATTAATAAACACTTTATTATGAAATAAATACCACAATGCGCATTAGTTTGCGAGTTGCCTGGAACTGAATCAGGAAACGTTACACAAGGTTTCTTGGGTTTCGAAGACTTTTGTCCAATTATGAAAAGAGGGTATTTATTAAACTCATCTCCGATCAATGACAGCATGTCAAGTCGACATGTTACAGGAGTACATAAACGAACTGCTTCACAACCGGCAAATAATATGACGAAAGAAGATATGGCAGAAAAGAAATCACTCTCAAAACAAAGTCCAGGTGCTGCCTCTCGCCAATCGTTGATGAAGAACCGCTGGTTAAGGTTGATCGTCATCGTCTTGGCCATCTATACGCTGTATACGCAAATTTTCTCGGCACTGTCGGTATTCAGTAGAGTATATACAGACCCTGAAACTAGGATAACAAAGGAAATTTTGTTAGATTCTATCGGTATGTGCTGCCCTTTATCTGATCCACGATTTTGACCTTCATGACTGATCGATTTTGACAATTATAGTCACAGATACAAATAGCAGGCCAACATGGATAGACGAAATAGCACATAAACACCGACTTCGATATCCACAAGCATTACAGCGGGATTCTAGCCTAGGACATACGAACAACGCTATTAAGCGTTTGGAGAGAAAGCGACGTCCAAAATACACCAACATTGTACATAAATTGGTTTCCGTGACAGCTATCTTAGCTATCGATAGCTCTATCGATATTTTATCGCAAGTAGATGCAGTTTTGGCCCAATCTGTTCATCCGGAGCATATTTGGATTGTAGCAGATAGTGATGTACACCTCCCAAAGGCTCTTACTGCTGACTACCTTCCTCATTACGTCGGTTTTCGAGTCTTTTTTCGCGAGCACATTGGCGAGCGAAACTGGATATCCGTAGCCAACTTAGCCACTACTGATTTCACCTGGGTCATGACAAATGGAGTGCGCCCTGGAATCAGATACTTGGAACGACTTCTACGGCTGAGCCAAACCGACGAGTATCGTCATGCGCTCATTGGTACCGAAGGTGCAATTTTACCTTTCAGCGGGAACATGACTACGCTGGATGTCGATGAAATGATTTGCTTCCCACAAGCCATCGAAGCTGGAGAGCTTCCAAATATGTCTGTGGCTGTCGATATGCTTACCGATACTTGGTTGCTGCGTCAAGAATGGATACCTATCATCATGGCTCAAACAACACCACAACTCTCTCTAGTGCCTACAGGATTCAAAATCAGCCTTACGCTGAACTACGCTGGCATTACAACGGTCGTTTTACCCATCAATCCCATCGAAGTTGCTTATTGGGGAGACGTCAGGGAGCATACACGTACTATGCATGAACAGGGATCTTTTTCATGTCGGCAAAAAAAGGAAGAGTTAACTTTCAACCGTCATTGGTATCAGATACTGACACGCAACAAGCATACACTTGTTACGGAAATCCGAGAGTTGGCAGAAAGTGCTGATGACTCTGTGGACGTTGCATTCTTAATAAGCAATCTCGATGAACTGAATGCAATCACTCCTATGATGTGCACCTTCATTGAAAAAGAGAAGTCTGTTCATCTAATCAATGTTGGCGACCAAAGCGTTGCTCGTATGCGCTCTGGATCGTTACTAAAAAATCAAAACAACTGCCAACCTGATCATATCTATGATTTGAATCCCACTTCACATGCGAGTGACCGAGTTTTTCTGGATCAAACACAAATAATACCCATGACTCATGCATTATTACAACTCTTGAATCCACGACTAGTCTTACATCCATCAAGAAATGTTATGTGGAGCACCTTGGCTAGCCTGGATGGCGACGTTACCTCGACATTTATTGCCATCCCATCTGAAGATTTCAAGCATACAGTTTGGATGGCGACCTTACCTATAGAAGCCCTAATGAGTGAGTTAAAGTTGCTTGACAAATAAGTTAAGGAGGACTGTGAGCGGATGAACTAACTGAAACCTTCCATCACAGAATGGAATTCCATCGACATAAGACTTGTTGTTATCACAAACGAACGTCCGGACTCGTTAGCCCGACTTATGCGCTCTATCGGTGATGCCCATTACCTTGGAGATTCAGTCAGACTGACAGTTAATATGGAACGCAACGTTGATAGGGTCTCCAAAATGATTGTGGATAATTTCGAATGGATTCATGGAGAGAAGGTTGTCAGGCATAGAATCAAACAGGCTGGAGCAATGTCAGCTTTTGTGGAATCATGGTACCCATCCAACAATAATGAATATGCGATCTTCTTGGAGGACAAAATCGAAGTGTCTCCACTCTTCTACAGTTGGGTTAAATTCTCTATTCTCAAATACCGCTACACGGAAGATCAAGATGTCTCCAAGAAATTGTTTGGCATCAGCCTTTATTCTCCTCCAGGCACAGGCCTTCATCTGGAAGGAACGAAGCCATTCAACCCTTCTGAACTAAATGACTTTAAGATATATGACCTTCCATCGCCTTATGTACTCCAAATACCATGTAATCTTGGCGCAGTGTACTTCCCTGAGCACTGGCAAGAGTTCCACGATTACATAACTGCAAGATTACAAGACAAAAAACAATTACAGAAGATTATAGTGCCAGAATCGCGTTCAAATGCATGGGATTCCTCTTGGAAACGCTATTTCGTAGAGCTGATGTACATGAGAGGATATGTCATGCTTTATCCGAACTTTGAGGGCTTCAAAAGTTTTTCAACACACTTATTGGACAATAGAACTTCTCTCACGAATCAGACAGAACTAACGAAGCAAACAGATCTTTTGGAACTGGCTGAAGTACCTCTTATAATGAAAGGAGCTATCATTGATGAACTACCAAACAATGAGCTTCCCAACTGGGAAGAGCTTCCAGTATTTAACTTGTTCGCAGTGCCTTCCAATATGTCTCGCCTACATGAGGAAGGCGTTAAACTTCAGATGGAGGTGTCCGCTTGTGACCCAGAAGTTGCTGGTACCATACGGTTTGACCCCGGTGATTTACTTTGTCCATTTCCAAAGCAGTACTTACAAGCTATTACCAAGGTTGAAGACAAGCAGGAAGACCAGAATGTCCGTTATGTTACCGTGTATGTGGTCGGTCCAGCACCAACCTCAACAGCAGCAACAGATGATATAGACGTAGACCACTGGAAGGATGACAACCTAACTTCCGGAAACTCCATGATCAATCATTATGACGAGCAAGCCTTCGACAGTTTAGCATCAGTTGTTCAAGACCAATTGGAAGCTGAAGGTCCCAATTTCGAAATAGGTGACGACGAGGAATTCGCTCCAGAAGAAGATGTTGAAGAAGAAATCTCTTTACCAGGGCAATGGCAGTCAGGAGATGGTGCGTCAGACGATGAAGATATCTTGATTGAGCCCACACCTGAAGATATTGACCTTGAGGAATTGGAATGGACTGAAGACGATAACGAAGACACGGATGCCGATGATGTCGAGATCTCAGAAGGCGTTAATGTAATATAATAGCAAGACCTACAATTTTTCTGTATTCTTATGATATGTAATACTAGGGTGTATCAGTGTTCCCAAAGCATGGATAACAGTAAAGCATCGCTCTGTGTGTGAAACGCATATTCGATAAAAAAATAACCACATATAAGATGGCCGTTATAATGAAGATGAAGTCTTCCATTGTCACGACTGAATCAATTTCAGTGTTTGATACCTTAAAATGATGGTAGAGACACTTCAGCTTGCCATTAAGGTTGCGTGCCTGATCGCAAATGGCCGAACACATTAAAGTCGGAGTTTATTATTGATGTCATGGAAACTCTCGGTTTCTCCATCTCTTCATCTTAAGCATGTTTGGAGGACAGCAGTCGTCGAGCCCGTCTCAAGGTACTTATGAATTACTGTCAAATACTCGTAAGGTGTGGACTATACTCATGTTTTTTGTTCACATCTGTTATTCTTATAGGCATTCGGCTGACCTTCATAACGCAATCTGATCAATCCAAGTTTGAATCCTTGTTCTCCCGAGCAATCGCCGGAACTGGTAGCCAAAACTTGTCTGGTAAAGTATCCACTGAGAGAAAGATGGAAGGACAACTATCACAAATGTGTTGCTCATGACTACTATCGCTGTATTATAGCTGACGCTGCACGAAATATCCTGATGAGGAGTCAAATCGACAATCATACCTTGGCACAAATATGGTATGGCCAATATGATCAATACGCGACACTGTGCTTTATTGCTTGTTAAACAAAATATGAAAATAATTTTTGCAGGGATCTATCTAATGTAACCAATACACCTGAGCTGACCTTTCCAGAGTTTGCGGTAGCGATGTATTTGACTTCATTGAAGCTGACTGGCAAACAAGTCCCATCTTCGCTACCAGCTAAAATTAAAGAGGAGCTCGATGTTGCCGTGGCTACCTTGCAATCGAATACACCCATTCCAGCCAAGTATCAGCAGCCTATGCCCACAGGAATGAATTTCCAAACCCCAATGATGACCGGTATGCAAATGCAGCAGCCTATGATGACAGGAATGCCTATGCAACTACCCATGAGGACAGGAATGCCTATGCAGCAGCCGATGCAAACTGGTGCTCCTATGATGCAACAGCCAATGGCTACCGGCCTCAATAGACTTCGCCCTGTAGCACCCACTGTTCCACCGCTTCTTCCATTGTCTGTCACATCCGGGCGATTTGGACAAAATGGCAATGACAAGCCGCGGGTTCAGAACAATCAATTTGCAAACATGATGATGCCTTCAAACAACAGCTCAAGTTTCAGTGGTAACCAAGGCATCGCTGTCGGAGGTGGCAATGGAATGAGCTCAGAGGAGCGCCAGCGATACTATGACATCTTCAATGCTTGGGACGTTACCGGCAGTGGATTTTTGCCTGGTCAAAAAGCAAGAGAAATTTTTGCTCAATCTGGCTTACAACAAAATGAGTTGATGAAGATTTGGGCACTTGCTGACTACGACGATAAGGGACAATTGGATATCGAAGAATTCGCCATTGCCATGCATCTAATCTTCCGACGCATGAATGGCCTTGATATACCCAACACTTTACCTCCAGAGTTAACCCCGATGTCGAGTACTCTCAAGAAGTTTATTGTTGGTGGCTCTCAACAAAGACAAGCTAGTCCTGTTCAAGCTAATCAAAGGAGTAGCCCTGTTGCCAATAGAGGTCGCTTTGAAAGACAACAAAGCGAAGAGAATGGTGGTTACATTTCCAACGCTCGCAGAAGAAACCAGAACCGAGTTCAACTAGGATCGCGCCGCTACGAAGAAGACGAAGAAGATTTCGATGAAGACGATGAAACGGCAGAGCTTCGTAACCAAATTGCCGATATGAAAGGTGCTTTGGACATTCTCAACAGTAGTAGTAAAAGCACCAGCAAATCTACCGGATCCTCTTACGCCGATCAAAGGGCCGTTGAAGACCTGAAGAAACGTATTAGAACAGCACAAAATGATCTTGTACGTGCTTGTGAACTTGATAGCACTCTTTCCCGGTACCTCTTGAGTATGGACGAATCTACCCGTCTTCAAAAAGAGAAGCATGATTTGGAATCTAAGGTCCAGTATATGCTAGATGGTGAGATTCCAGACTTAATTCGACAAGTCCGTAGTATGGACAACGAAGTCAGAGATCTTAAATCTAAGCTAGCTCGCAAGAGAGACGGCAGCGAAAACTACGAATCGTACATTACACCAACTGGTCCAAATGGCAAAGTTACGGAGAGTGATAAAATTCGCGCAAAAGCCAAGGCTATGATGATGGCTCGAAAGATTGGTGGAGCTCCATCTTCGTCTTCATCCATCGATATGAGAGAGCTTGATCGGGAAAAGCAAGAAAACAGTGCTTTGCTGGATTCCATTGAACACGGCGTCAACGATCAAAGAGCCGCAGCTCGCCTTGCAAGTGATAACTCGAGCTTTGGATCTTTCGCTTACAGCCAAGATAGGAGACGATTTGAACAAGGAGACGATGTGTCTTATGAACTAAAGCGCTTTATTGAACAACTTGCTGATGAGGTTCCTCTGCGTAAACCTTCTGTATCGTCATCAAGCTATTCAGATTCTTACAGCGCTGGTGATGCTTATTCGCGTAGCAACAATGTGGCTTCAACAACTAGCCCTACACTGAATACCTATTCTTCACCGTCGTTGGCTGGTAGATCGCCTACTGCATCCCGTGCGAAGTCCCCAGCTGAAATTAAGAAAGAGGTAAAGGCGAAAATGCGAATACGAGCTTTAATAGACGCAGATTGTAACCGCTTTTTCCTTTTCACACCATCATAGGCCGAGAGAAGGGTTCAAGAACGCCTTGCTGCTTTCCAGAAGTCTAGATCACCTGTACCTGCTCCGGCGGCGCAACCTGTTCGCGAAGCGCCTAAACAGGATAATGCCGAGGAGCTTGCTGCACAACGTAAGTTTTTGTGGGTTTGTCGCATGCCAAAGCTACACGACAATGAAATTAACCTGTTCATTCATTTTGTAGAGAGACTCCGCGATGCTCAGCTAAAAGCCCAAGCTAGACTTCGGGAGAGAGATGACAAGAAAGCCGAAGCTACACAAGTTGGCGCTGATCAGCTAGCAGCCGAACAACGTGAACAAGAACGTCTTGTGGAAGAGAAAGAACGAGCTCGTGTTGCGGCGGCTGAGCAGTCGCGCTTGGAAGACGAGCGTATTGCTGAAGAGCGTCGCAAGGAAGAGCAAGAGGCAGAATTACGAAGATCTAATGCATTGGAAGAGGATAGAAAACGTATTCAACGTATGGATGCCGAGGCAGAGGAGCAACGTAAAATGGAAGAAAGAGAAGCGGAAGCGCTGGCCCAACGTGAAATTGAAGAAGCAAACGAAAAGCAACGGCTTGTGGAACAGCAAGAAGCCGAGCGAGCAAGAATCGAGAAAGATCGTCAGGAAGCCGAAATGAAATTACAGGAAGCTACCAAAGAGGTTGTTACTCCGGTACCAGAGGTTGAAACGCCTTCAGCTACCTCTCACAACAAAAATCCATATGCTAGCCAGATCGCTGTTAGCCAACCAGAACCAGAAACCTCTGCTACCAAGAAGAGAGAAAGCTACAACCCATTCCTGATGGCTAAACCACCTCAAGAGAAGCCTGCCCCTGCGGCTATCAAGGAAGCTGAGGATAGCGATAGCGATTGGGATGTTGTCGATGAGAATTCCAGTGACGATGAGACAGAATTCCCTGCCGCTGGATCAGCAAAGAACCTTGCTAGTTTATTGTTTAGTGCCATGGGGTCAAAACCAATGCCTACCAGTTCAACACCTAAATCAGATAACTCTGCTCCATCTCCTTTGATTCCTCAAGGCGCTTTGAGTTCACAACTTGCCTCACCTTCCATTGCTACTTCGGTTACTAGCCCTGTAGCTCAGTCCACAATACCGCCTCCACCTCCACCTCCACCGGCACCTGCATCCGGTGGTGCAGCTGACAGCATACCTCCTCCTCCTCCACCACCTCCCATGCCAGGCTCTACACCTGGAAGTGATGCATTTGCTCCACCTCCACCTCCCCCACCACCACCACCACCACCGGCATCAGGAGCGTCTAGTATCGCAATCCCTCCTCCACCGCCTGCACCTTCAGCAGTACCACCTCCTCCCAGCATGCCAACCGCTCCAACCAATCCCCAACTTCCGACACCAGATGCTGGTAGAAACGCTTTATTGAGTCAGATTCAGTCGGGCACCAGACTCAAGAAAGCTAAAACCAATGACCGTAGTAAAGCGGCTATTGCTGGCCACGTTCAAGGCGAAGAGCCCAGTCCGGCTCCAGCGTCTTCTGCCCAAACCAGTCCTCCCGCGGCTCCGTCTCCAATGGCTGGAGGTGGCGGATTCATGGCCGAACTTCAAGCTCGTACTGGCAAGATGAATGCAAAATCTGCCCCCAAGCCAGCGGCTGTAGAGACCATCGCTGCCCCTCAATCGAGCCCTTCGATGTCTCCTGCCAAGCTCAAGGCATTAAGACGTGAATCAACTGAATGGTTCGGACAAATGGCTTCACAGCAACTGCGACAGGATCCCGTTTCTGCATTTGAAAGTGTGACTGAAAGTCCAGCTGAAAATGATACCAACGCAGGGCATGAAGCCAGCGGCAATGAGGTGGACGAAAGAATAATCGACTATGACTTAACGAAAGGTATAACTTTAAGACTAGTTGCTTAACCCGACAGAGAAATTTTGCTAATCGTTGGTGGGGAAACAGAAATCCGATGTACAGCTATTTGGGGATACGATGCTCAAAGCGACAACGATTTAAGCTTTGCCCAAGACGACATTATTATCAGCTATCCACTTAAATCTGGTGCAGAACCGGATTGGGGATACGGTCAATCTGAGCTCACAGGTCTCAAAGGCTTCTTCCCGGCCAATTATATTGAGCCTGTGAAGGACAATGGAGGTAATTATGTGTATGTCAAGGGTATCAAGAATATCACAGTTATTAATGCCTTACCTTTTACATGATCAAAAAGACAAACTTAACATCAAAGTGCAAGCTCTTTGGGACTTCGATGGCAGTGGCGGCAGCGGTTTGAGTTTCAAGGCAGGTGATATTTTGACTATCACCAGTAAAGACATGGGAGATTGGTGGGATGCTGAACTCGATGGACAAACAGGCATTATCCCATCTACGTTCGTTGAAGAGATTTGAAAATAATCTTGGAGTTTAGATAATGTTGTAAAATTGTATTCCTCTATTGAACGACTTTTTGGAGGGTTAAGTTAAGGAAGCAGCCCAATAAACAACAAATTTAAGTATCTACCTAGGTTTTGCTTCGAATTTTCCCTTTTTCTATCCTATTTTTGGCCATCCATGCCCGATAGCTAAACCAATATACCAAATGGAACGCAAATCAATATCTGATGCCTTAGAGCTTGCCCTTGAATCTGCTTCCAACGAATACCAGGCGCAATCCGCTGACTTCGAGCATGTCAGTGCTGATGAATCAGACGGCTCAGGTGCCGAAGATCAGCGTAATCGCAAACGTAAAAGAGACGCCTTGCTTAACTCAACAATTAGAGATTCTGCTGAAGAGGATCCCACTACACCGTCCTGTCCCATCTGTCTACAGCCTTATACTCATCGCTCGTATCTTCGACCCTGTTACCATTCTTTTTGCATCGATTGCATTCGGCAATGGTTCAAAATAGGCAAAGTTTGTCCTTTATGCAAACAACATGTTACTTCAGTCGTCTATAATGTTGGAGAGAAATCAGGAACCTTTCTTGAATACAACTTCAATGGCTCACCTCACATACCCGAAGCAATTTATGAGCAAGCCCTTAGGAGCGCGCCGAGCCAAACGACACCTTCAGAAACAGCTGGTCAGCGTGCCTTAACGCATCGACGCAGGATATACCATGATTCTATGATACCCGATCCTGGTTATCCTCCTGTTTCTCGGAGACATCTCGATACCACGCACATTTTACCATACCACGTTGCCAAGGTGAGAGACATTTCACTCCCAATTACTTTTGAGATAGAGCGGCTCGTGTTAACCAAACCGGTATTTACTACCCATCCCATATGTAGATCAAACCATTTGTTACTAGAGAATTGCGAGCACTGCTAGGAGATTTCTACGAACCCTTAATTGAAAAACAAGTTTTAGACATCTTGCTCATACCACACAATCGGTTTATCGAGTCGCGACGAGGCAGAGACAACAAAACCTCAGACGAAAAGCGAGCAATGCAAATCACGATGGACGACGATTCTATAATAGAGCTTTTAAGCGAATGGATTCCCGGAGGCGAAAATAATAATGGATTTGCTCGGCGATTTGTCACAGAAGTGATGGCCTTCCTGCGTAGTGGTATGAGCTTGAATACCTTCACTACCAATGTCCATTACCGTCGTGAGGGTTAGGGTTCAAAGTGAGACCTACAAATTTTGGGATAAAATTACGACTGACGTGCATTTCGCCTCATCCCCCCCATCAACTCTTTTTCTGAATGTATTGGATGCTATAAGCTTGTCATGCAATCAAGCAATGATAAGTCCTCCGAAGTAGGAGATGTCGATACAGACAAGCCCTATTTAAATGAATCAACTACCGATCAACCCCCTCAAATCACCAGTCCTGAAGCTCCCGAGCAAAGTCTTTCTCAACCTTTGCAACAGCAACTACCGGTACTATCACAACAATCACAACAAGCACAGCAGCAACATGCAACTTGGCAACACCAGCAACATCCTCGGCATATGTTAAACAAGTTTGCTACTATACATAGCGGCGATAAATACCACCAAGACTTGCGGCGAGACGTCTTGACCAATTTTGACCGAAATCTTACTGTCGAAACGGCCCACTTTGACCCTCAACTTCACTCGTCGGCTGGACCGACAAGCTCGTCTTCATCTCCCGCTGTTGTTAGAAGGGGTCCAATGTCTTACTCCTCTGGTTTAGGTTCTAACTCTAGTTTGGTTAGTGGCTCTCCGCTTTGACTTCGAATTCATTGTTACCAGAAGTTAAACACTGTTTCTAATGTAGAGTGATCGTCCAAAAGCCAATGCAAAGAAAAGGCGCCGCCCTGCTGCCGGTAGTGGTACAGCCAGCCCGGCCGAAGTGTTTCACAGACATTTAGTGGACGCTGTGTCAAATGCTGAAGGTACAATCAATATGAAAATTTCCGTTAACGTTAACTTTTTGATGTTTGCGTACCCAACACATACTAAGCTAACTACAAATTTGTTGCAGATTCGGAAGAAAATGAAGGATACGTATATCCGTACGCTTACAGCAACTCTAGTAATCAAGATAATAATGGCCACTATGCTGGGGCATCCCAGCAGACTCTTCAAAAGATCGACAGTAATCCCTCGATAGCATCAGCCCCCAATACCACGCAAGAAGCTGGTATCTCATCGACCACGTCTGTACAACCACACCAGAACACTTCCATGTCCGACTTCTTCAATGACATGTTTCAACCGCCGCCTTCAGTGGTTAATGGTAGTCGTAAAGATGATAATGAACAAGATCCTGAATGGGGATATGAAGACTACCGCCCTAAAATGCGCAACGTTGTTAATGATCGTGACCATTATATGAGGTCTTCACGGATACGACCCTTTTCACGAAGTTCAGATCAGTTCAGGAGAAAGTACGACAAAAGTCGAGGTTGGAGTGGCATTCATTCTGATATGGAGGGGTATACAACTGATGATGAAGGTGTTCCTTTGCTCTCCCGGAAGAATTTTCGACCAGGTCAACTGAAGAAAAGAATCTTAGATTGGTAAGTCGGATGGTTTGGCACGAAGATATGGGATGACCAGATAAACTGTATTGGGTAACTAATATTTATACTACTGCAGCCCTCAACTCCTTCTCACTGTTATCGTCTGCATTGGTATGGTGATGGCTTGTATGATTCTTTTGGCTTCTTGGACCGCATCGCCACTCGGCAACGTTAAAATCAAGATGGGGCGAGTGTTAGCCACCGACAAGGAGTTAATTTTTGATTTGCATATTCATGCCGTTAATTATAACTGGTGGACGTTACATATATCATCGGCTGAGCTTGGAGTTTTTGCTTCCAGCAAGTTGGTACCCGACGGGCTCTCATCAGCTAATAACTACACTCATGGTGAGGACATTTACCGGATTTGACTCCGTTTTTTTTTTTTTTATACATGTAACATCATATTGAACTTTTTCACAAGTAGCAGCTGAGCCAGCAGAATATTTGGGAAGTCTTTACAAATTTGATGAGGCGTTGTATTTTCCAGCCAGAATTTTTGCAGGTGACCGAGAAGATCCACCAACTACCCAGCTTCGTATCAAATCACCAGGTGCGGACAAAGGAGGCAACGAACGTTGGTCACGCATGATAAGATACCCGTACGCGCTCATTGTGAGAGGCGTATTACGATATCCTCTGTTGCCGTTCCTTGGCTCGCATATAGAATCAGTCGCTGTTTGTCACGTCTCTCATGTTGACCCTGCTACTGGCAAAGTGTCAGACGAAAAGGATCAAAGTTTCTGCTTATCGGACAGTTAACGCTGCCCTCTCTCTTGTTTACTTGAAAAAACTGACCATTCATTTGGTGCCTTGTACTTGTAAAATGTAGCTCTAAATAGGACACTGGAATAAAATCCAGCATTTGGAGAATAGGGAATGCTGATATACGTCACGTCTCTTTCCTCTCGACCATTGAGCTTCGTATCGTATTTCTTTCCATCATATTGACTTGTTGTGCACTTCCAGGGACTTTTTTTTTTTTTTGACTGCCCGATATGCACAAATACGGCATTGTCATCTCCACACCGTGAGAGAATTACCTTTAACCCCCTTTATTCAAAATGTCAAACGTCGTTGTTTACGGTGGTGCTGGAGCCCTTGGAAGACATCTCGTGACAAAATTCACAGCTAACAACTGGGTAAGTGCATAGTTGCATGATCTTCATTCAATAGATCCGCTTTTCTAATGTTCAGCGGATCGATCAGACCGTGACTAGTATCGATTTGGTTAAGAATGACAGTGCCAAACATAATGTACTGCTCAGTATTGATGCCTCACTCGAAGAACAAGCAAAGGCTGCCCTTGAAGGCGTTAGTCAGGCTCTTGGATCAGGAAAAGCAGATGCTGTTTTGTGCGTAGCCGGAGGATGGGCTGGAGGCAATGCAAAAAGCAAAGGTACGCGGATAGTCATGATGAACAGCCATGCTGTATCCTCGCTGACATACTGTCCTGGCAGATTTTATAAACAACTCGGACTTGATGATCAAGCAGTCCGTAAACTCGTCTTTGATCGCTTCCAATGTCGCCGCTCACCACCTTGCAAGGTAATGTTCGCATTGACAAACACTTGATGTGTCAATCACCTCAACAAAGTGTCCCTTTTTTGACCTTCTCGATTCTAGCAATGGTCTTTTGAGTTTGACCGGCGCTTTGGCTGCTGAACAAGGCACACCTGGTATGATTGGATATGGCATTGCCAAGGCCGCTGTCCATCAATTGGTGAAGAGTCTCGCGGCAAATGGAAGCGGATTGCCTGAAGGAGCAGTCGTAACTGCCATATTACCGTAATGTATCTAAGGATCAGATTAACGATCCACCATGGCCTATACTGAACATGTTTTGATAGTGTCACTTTGGATACTCCCATGAACCGCAAGTTTGCAGCTGCAGATACAGACTTCTCAACCTGGACTCCGCTTGATGATATTTCCGAGTAAGTTGTCTGTGCACAACATTGAATAATTTTTGACATCCGTTCTGACAATGTCTTGTTATGTAATAGTCATTTGTTTGCGTTGGCTTCCAAGACTGCCAAGGTTACCAGTGGAAAATTGCTGTCTGTCACCACCGAGAAAGGGCAAACAAGCTACAACGAACTTTGATAACATAGTACGTGGAATATAAAATAAAACTTCATGTTCAATCACCAAGTTTCTTTATTATGATACACTATCAAGATGATATTCAAGTAGGGAAATCTTTTAAGGTCGCAGACTGAAAGCTGAGTGGTTATCAAGCAAGTCTGGCATGCTTGATCGATCTGCGATAATAGAATGCGTTAGATATCCATTACAACAACACTACTTTAGACTAATTAATATGTAAAATACCTCTAAGGATATCGTCAAAGTCAATAGTTTCATCGTTGCCAGTCAAAACATCCAGAGCTAACGAGTTCTCAGAAAGAAGAGAATTACGCATGTGCTAAATAAGCAATGAGAATTAACCATCCATGCAACGGCATAATACATTTGCTATTAATTCAATAAGGATAATACCTCTGTGGCGATCTGTCGGTTCATCATCATACGAATAGGAGCGTGCATGCCGTAAACTTGGCGTGCAAGTTGCAAATTGAGGTTATCTTGAGTTTCCTTCCACTATTTTTTGTTCGGTGTAAATAATACGACTATTACGTGAAACGTATGTAAGAGACGCTGGTCTACATACCTGGGCAAGGTGGCTTTCCAAGGGATGGCTGGGCAAAACTTCTGTTGCAATTGAGCGAATACCATGTCGTAAAGTGTCATGACCACCGAACTCTGAGTGGGAGGTTTCTTGTGTTGATTTGCTGATCGTGCTATCGGGAGTGGTTGCAGGTACAATGCGGAGAGACTGTTTGGAGACAATGGAGTAAAATGGGGGACAGTAAAGTACGTACGAAAAACGTAAAACGCATGGTTAGCATTGGCATGTTATCATGCTACTTTGAGCGGGATAGTAAAGCATACCATTTTAGCAATGGAGTTGGTTCCTGTTCAGAGAGTGTATGGGTCGGGAATACTGGTCTGCGACGCGCAAGTAGTTGGACGAGTGCGTGACCGCGAAATTTGCGTCATCAAATTTACCAGCTCGACCTCTGTCGGACACAAGCAGTAAGCTACAGCCGTTCCAAAGTCACTATTATGCTGCCGTCCAGCTTGCCTAGAATCTCCAGCTCCAACGTTTCAGCTCGTACATTGTTGAAGTTGGCTGTTGCTCCAACAACCCTACGCATACAGCAAGCTCACTATACAACAAACAACAAAACGGACACTAATGAAGCCGAGGCACCGAATCTTAGTTCTCGAAAGTTGACTCAAGAGGAATTGGAGTTTATCAAGCCCATGATACGCGTTGATCAGGCTGGTGAGATCGGAGCCAATTTTATCTATATGGGCCAAATAGCTGTTCTCGGCAAGGACAAGAATTTAAGACCTATTCTACAGGAAATGTGGGACCAGGAGAAGGTACACTTGGCTAGGTTTGATGAATTAATCGCACAGCATCGCGTTCGCCCAACACTTTTGCGGCCATTGTGGGAAATTGCTGGATTTGCAGTTGGTGCTGGTACTGCCCTCATGGGCAAGGAGGCTGCTATGGCATGTACTGAGGCTGTAGAAACCGTCATTGGAGACCATTACAACGATCAATTGAGAAAGTTAGTACAACTCAATGATCAAAACAAAGACTTGGTGGACTTGAGTAAGGTATGACTTTGTGATATACTCCTCAAGAACGTTGAATAGATATATGGAACAGGTCCATTGACGTTGATTCATTCACAGACTGTTCAACAATTCAGAGATGACGAACTGGAACACCATGATATTGCAGTAGAGATGGATGCGCAAAAGGCGCCATTCCACAGTGTCCTGTCAAGTGTAATTAAACAAGGATGTAAAACTGCCATATGGGTGGCCGAGCGAGTGTAACGCGCTGCATACTGACGTCAAAAAGCCCCAATTTTACACCTCTTAGTAGAAGTGACATCTTCCTCTCCTTTCCCCACTCATTCTTCAAATTTGTCATCTTATTTCATATTGATCTGTATAATCAGAGACCGTGGATATTGTAGATATTGCATTAACACCATTTTTAACAATCGTCTTCCGTTTACCTTGGTGCCAATTTTGTGACTGCAAGTTTTTTGAGAGTGTGGGCTCAACACAAGCTCGCTTGAATTCAAGTCTGAGGCATTTTTCACATGTCATCACATGAACCATTTTGGGAACCTCAGCTTTTAAAAAGGGCAGTTCTCTCTGACCGTTCTTTCAGCTCTACTTTCACAAATATGTCTGATATCAAGGTTCCCGGTTTCCAAAGCTCTGAAGTCTTTGCTTCAATCAAGTCTGCTTTTGATGCTCTCCCAGCAGACCAAAAGGCCAAGCTTCTCAAGCAGGTATGAGACATTGAGCGCCGTCAACGCGTCATCCAAGTAAACAGTAATAACCAATGGGTAATGAATTATAGGTCAACGGTATCTTCGAGTTCGTGATTAAGAATGACGAAGGAAAGGAAGAGACCTTCACTGTCGACTTGAAGAAGGAGGGTGCTGTTCTCAAGGGCAAGGGTCCCAACAAGGCTGATGCTATCCTCTCCCTCAAGGATGCCGACTTTATTGACCTTGCTTCTGGCAAGTTGAACGGTAAGTTTGCCTCAAAAGTGGATGGTTCGTTGGGTAGGAATTTGCTGGTGTTAATGCAGCTCTGGGTTTATTAGGTCAAAAGGCATTCATGAGCGGAAAGTTGAAGATCCGTGGTCAAATGATGCTCGCCACTAAGCTTGATACCGTCTTCAAGCAATTGGCCCCCGCAAAGGCCAAGTTGTAAAGAAGGCTACACTCGCTCCCTTTTGTTTTCTCTTGCGTAATACTCAGAAATAAAGTATAAAAATTCAAATGCATATTATGAGTGAAGTTGACTATCGAAAGAAGAGATAGTATGCAAGGGCGACTACAAATACAATAAAGAACACCATATAGCACATTGTCATTCCGCCTTCCTTGGCTGCCATCACTTTGAATTTGGAGAAAGTGTCCCCAAGGATAGAGCCAGTATGGCTGAATTGATCATTCTACATGACATAAACTTTTTAGGTCAATAAATGGACATAAAGTATTACAAAACTTCTTAATTTTGATTTGGCGAATCAAATTTTGCCCCGATGCCTAACGATTCTATACTTACCATTGTATCTAATAAACTATTGCCTGATCGTATTTCGTCTCCAATCTTGCCGGTTATCTACCGTTTGTGGCGGGTTAGTAGGACATCGATATGGAATAACAATGACCTGACACCGTCTTACATTTTTAAGGATGGCCACTTTGGCGCTCAGCCCGTGAATCTTCTCTTCGTTTTGGCTCTCAAGGTAATCTAAGTGCCCATCGTCCATTTTTACACTATAACTTCCTTCTACTTGCCCGTTTTGATCAGAAGATAGAGCTCCGAATCTAGTAGGAGTGAATCTTCCGGATCCTGCTGATCCAGGTCGGTCATCGCGGTAATCCCCCAGTAGTGCCGCTCGATTGTGTAGATTTTGATTTTGATATTGTCTATCGCCAAGAGCATTACAGTAACATGAGAATCAAATAAAATTATACAATTAAGCATTTCAAAGTTGATACACATACCTTACGTTATTACTCCCAAACTGTCGTGACATTGTTGAATGAGAAGCATCACTTGGTCATTCTTTGCCCGGCGGATTCTGCTGGAATTTCCATCTGCCAACCAATGAAGTCACAAGCTCACTGCGCAGTTTGAAAGTTTGATTGTTGGAAATCACAACGAAGGCCAACAATCTTACTCCTTCGTTGTTTCTTCATGATTCTTGTTGGACCTTTAGCAATAGATTAAACACCCTTAGCTTAGGTTTTCTGTTAGTTTATATAACGGAAGCATTGACCTGAACCAGCAGTGTGCACACTTCGTTACGGTGTCCAACGGAGAGTCGGGCCGACTTTAGCAGACTTTGATATGAGTTGCATTGAGTGGCTGACGTAAAACAGCAACTATTAGAATGTAAATCCTACATAAATGTGTCATAAATGTCTTAGTCAATCTGACATGAACGTCTAGGGCTCGTGATCGTCCGCTGTTAACACTGGATTTACTGCTCAGCTTGAAGTCACAAGCATCGTGATTCACGCCCCGCATTTTAACGAGTTGGATGGACCTGGTTCCTGTGCATACTGCTGATTAGTGCGCTGTATTATGCAGCTAGTGCATTTACCAGTAGAGCTTCAGTTGCTCATTCTGACCGAAGTTCTCGTCGCAGCCGAGCAAGGATGCAGTAACCTGGTACAGCGTGATCGTACCCCTTTGTTCATTTTACCATTGCTGCTGGCATGCAAAACTTTTCATAATTACCTCATGACCCACCCACTATACCACCGCATACGACTGTGGATGCAATTTCGTCAGATTACGAAGCAAGATCTTCCGGTGACAATTGCCATTTTACAAGGGCCAGGCGATGGATTGTTGCGAGCCAACTTTACGATCCTGGATATGCACGTGCGACTCGAGCGAGTTGGCCCCTCCAGCGCAGACCATGATCAGCAAGCGTTCTTGGTATTTGAAGAACAAAACATGCAATCTCGAGGTAGACTAAAGCATACCAAAGTTCATGACTGGCTGGTCTCAGAAACCGTTCCTAGACCTGGTAAATCAAGATTACTGTCAGCCACTGGCTCCGGCAACCCAGAAGATCTTGTCACCAAGATACCCATCTTTCATTACCATCATTTTTTGGAAAATACGTTAGAGTTTGCAAACAGGAATGAACTCTGTGTTTGGATCTGGAAACGTAGTGCAAGATTTTTCAGTGGACACAATATTGGGGTCTTAGTTGGAGGACATGGAAGAAGGCGCTCAAATCGATCAATATACCTATTAGACGATCGAGAAGATGAGCCAATAGACTGCACCAATGAATACGGACATTGCAAAGTATGTGACAAATACCAGTCCAATACGACTGCCCTTCAATTTCATTTTGTGGTTGATTCGCCTAGAAATGGATTTTTAGCATATGAACGACAGGTCGAACCCCCAAGGAATTTCACTCAAGACATGTTGTCAAACAACGTCCATTTCTTTGCTGGTTTAGGTTAGGCACGTAATTCTTTTCAAGCACAATGACAAATGCCTTCATTTCTGCCGCTATACCCACTTATATTATGGAGGGTGAGATCGTTGATAGGGCAAAGTGAGAATTTTCGCAATGCACGCAAAATATTCCTTTAAAATGCATGCAATGGAGACCAAAACACTAGGCAGGAGGACCACATACCAATCTTGAGATGTCCTCATGAGTCATATCACTTCGGAACTTGGGAGGTGCATTACCCCTCAAACAAATTTCCCCCACATCACTAAAATTTCGTGATGGAGATGCCCTCAAGAACTTCAAATTCATGTTCCTTGCATAGAATAGAAGCCTTGATAATTTCTGGAAATATCAGCTATTGCAACTAGAATATATATTGCACTTCTTTCTTTAAAGGAAAAAGAGCTCTGTAATAACATTGTGAACTAATCTTTTTTCAGGACGGGTTTTCCTTCCATTCTTTTACCCACCTTAAAGTGACCAACATTACCCATTGCCATTTCGGTCATGGCGCGTTTTGGGTTTCTTGGATCATGATTTCAGCCAATCACCTTGTCTTCTTCATCTGTCATCTTTATTGTTCTGAGAAAGCACTTATGACATGCTACCTGCATAACCGAGCGTTGGAATGTTATAACCTACTCAGTCTGAATGTCATATTCTAGAATACCAGAAGATATTACCCTAATCATATGTTAAGGTGAAGAAAAAGAAATTATTATCATCTTCCTCTAGTGATCAGGAGGAGTTACAACAACACTGATTTTCGTTATTTTCGTAGTGCAGTTGCTCGATAATGTGGAGAACAATTAGGAATAAATCTCCTTCATCTTAGATTGTTTGTACAACATGCCCATTACATGCTGTCAATTTTAACCCATAACAGAGGTTTCATGTGAGGTTGTTATTTTACTTTTATTTTGTAAAAAAAAAAAAATATTTAACAAACATACATGTCTCGTATACAACGCTTCTCCGAACATACTGGCATAGATAGAAAACTACATGTACATCGACGTGGTTCCAACAATTTTGTGCATATTCATTTGATTCCGGAATCTCCATGATACCAATATTGGTCAGACAAGCATACATGTTAAATGTCTGTTTGGAACAATACAACGGAACTAAATTTTTTCTCTGTTTTCTACTCGACCAAGTGTCTTCCTGATGCAGATATAGCCCTGAAAACTAACCCCCCAACCTTCGGGTTGCCCAACAAAAGAAAGAAGTCATAACATATCTGATACGGAATTATAAGAATTGAGAGTATGACAATTAACACAGAGTGTAGTTTGACATTGTTGTCTCCGTTTATTCTGATTATGTGGCACATTGCTGAACACAAAAAAAAAAAAAGGTGTATTCAGACAGATGTATGATTTTTCATGCTTTCTGCTTTAGTACGGGGTATTTACGAGCCGTTTACCAAAAACTTTTATGTACACAGCGTACACCTCCATATAATTACTTCGAACTAAATTATAGGGATAAATTACCAAGCTGTTAAAAACGGTTTGGCTTGAAAAAACCCCCCAAATATTGCCCGCTTACAACAGTATACCTTGATATTCTGGGTGACACTCCTTCAGACATAGAATGATAATCACTACAGCTTTCATTCTTGATGTCTGGGTTTATTTCCTTCTATCCACCTTGCTTTTCTATAAAAGTAGAAGACGAGCAAAAACAATGTGGTCAACTCCTCTACTGGAACTCCTTTTGAACCTGTACCAGAAAGCAGAATCTATACGGAATAATCGAAATTGGGAATCTTATTTTGACCGATCTCATGACCTTTTCAAGGGTCTTCATCACAATGCTTTACACCCTTAAGTTAGCCGCTTGTTAAGCTTGCGACACCACCTTTCAAAAGGGATATTTGTTTTTTACCACTGAAAGCCTTATTTAGATACTCCCGGAGTAAGGAGTACACTTCAAACTTGACCATGCCTTTCCTCTCACTACCCTAGAAAGGAAATAATTATCTTGAAAATCATTGGTTTTGCTTAGATATCTGATGTAAAAATGGTTGTTTATGCGGACGCTTCTACAATGACTTCAGCAATTTTGTTAATCGTGATAACCTGGAAAAGGCAATTAGGGCATCAATGCTGTCATGTTTGGCAGTACCGATCAAATTTGATTTTGTTTCCTGCCATGGACATATCCTACATGTAAATTGACGTATGCTCAACATGCAAAAAGAGCAGACAAAAATTAGTATGGGTGATCGAACAGGAAAGAAATCACCTCAATATGTCAAGACCTGCATTCAAAGCCCCGATCTGTTAAGAAACTAGTCATTGAGCCTCCCTTCTTTTTTTTTCTCGTATTCTGTCTAGTTTTTGTTTTTCGTGTAAATATATATTTTTTTTTTTCAGACGGATTGTCATTTATAACAGCCTATACGAATATGCAGTTGTGAAATACTATGGCGGCTCCTGATATTCATCATCAAAGTAGCAGTGTCTCGGCAAAAAGTCGTCATCTACATCCGCATCAACAGCTGTCAAAATCACGTTTCACTTTTTGAATGCCCTTTCCTCCGCAACTAGACCTATTGCAACTGTTTCTATGGAAATAAGGGGCTGCAGGGTGATATGTTCGTGGCGTATGGTTGTTGTCGATTGAGGAGAGAGTTGCTAGCCAATAAAAAATTATATCATCGCATTTGCCCCACAACGATCGGCATCAATACATTAGAAGTTGGAATTGCAATGCATCAATTTTTTTTTTTTTTTTTCGTTGTCTATATAAAGCGCAAAAAAATTACTTTTGACAGCTTTCATAAGAATTACATTGCATATCCCCACATAATCTCACTAGCTCAATGTCATCCATCACCAGTGCTGTCCTCGTTGTCTCTCAATCTATCCCTGTTTCCAATGGACCAAGACTTGAACTCACCTGCAAGTGCAATGTCTGCGGCTCTTTCGCCCACAAGACTCGGTAAGATTTGATCCACCCCCCATCAACTTTATCTTCCTATGCATTCCCACTAACAACCAGTATTTCGTTCAGTGATTGCCCCGGTCTTCATCGCTGAGGAAGAGACGCATAAGTTTAATATTTTACAAATGCACAGGCGGGCCTGATGCAGCTTTTCCGTAGTCAAGTAATTCATTACCTCATAAGGATCAGCAGTGGGATGGCCAACCGCGTGCTTGTATACATCAACCATGCTGTCTTGCAAACTTTGGATGTCATCCTTATACCCCCAATTCAATTTTCCTTTCCGTTCTTCTTTGATTTAAATTATTGCTAGCAAGCAGTTACAAGTTATCACCGGTTCTAAAAAGTAGTATACTATTCCCATTAAATCACTCAATTTTTTGACCTTGCCAAAATACGTGGGTTAGTTGGACCTGATTTAAAGACTTGTAACGGGGGGGGTTTTTATTTTCATTCATTAATGCTAAATTTTAAGCTGTAGCTGCTACATTTTCTTGTTGCTGTTGCTCTTTTTTCAAAATGCTTTCAATGATTTCATTCTTCTGCTCTGCGAGAACCTTGTACTTGTCTTGAAGAGTTCTCTCCTTCGACTTGAGGAACTGAACTTCACTTTGAAGAGCTTCACGCCTTCTTGGAATAGCCTCAGTCTCCGAAATGCGTAGGTTGGTGAACGACTGGAATTCAGTTTCTGCTGATTCTAATTCGTCAAAGGCTTCGACAATTTGTTTCCTCAGTACCTGTGAACGAGCTTGATATCCACCCAACACGACATTCAGCTTCCTTTCGATTTTGGTTGCTCTAGCTGCATCTTGAGCCATGGATTGTCTATTAGCCTGTAGTAGTAATAAGAGTTTAGTTATGATTGTTTGCTGGCAAAATATAAAATGTGAAACCAGCTGGAAAAGTCTATACTCACCTCAAACATCTTCTGAAGACCGGCAACCTTGGTATTGTCGTCAACAAATTCATCCAAGGTCAAGAATGACATCTTCTGCGCAGAGAACAATATATCCTTGTGTTCCTTCGTCCAAACGTCTTCGAAAGCTTCACCTTGTATTTTGGTCCACAGTGCTTGCTTAACATCCTCATCAGTTGTGATACCAAGTGATTGGGCTGTCTCTCGCTCAAGAATTTGTCGTGCTTCATTGAGAGTGTCGTTGTCAAACTCATCTTCGAGGTTGGCGGCGGCTTCAGCCTTTCTAACGCCGGGTGCAATCTTGCCTCCAGGCACAGGGTATGCTACAGCATCATGATTCAATAGTCGAACAAATTCTTCATGTATAAGTTTCTCTGCCATTGTTGCATCCTTAGGAAGTTGGCTGATGTGGACCTCAATAGGACGCGGTAAGCCCCGTTGAACAGCTTGGGAGCGACGGTTAAGACGTTCTTGTTCTGAAAAATAAAATAAAAATAACAAGGTGTCAACCATCAACGAAACGTATTAAACCAAGTATCTCCTGTAGTATTACCTTCTCTCTCAAGAGTCTCCATCTCCTGAGCATCAACGTCTGCCATGTCGGGTTTAGCCAACGGTTTATGGTCAGCTTCTTGGTCCTCATCATCCATGTCAGGCAGTCTAATTTCATATTCATTCTTGGGTCGCGGCAGGCCAGCCAAACTTGATTTCAATGATTTCTTGAGCATTTGCATTCGTTGCTTTTCTTCCCGCGGTGTCTGACCAACGAAACCGTCAGCATCTTCATTGATCTTTAGACTATCTCGCATTGGTGTTCTCAGTGGTGTCTGCTCCGCTCCTATAGGTGTTGCGCCAGTTTTCCCTCGAATGGGTGTCATTAATGGGTTAGGTGTTTGTGCAACTGATCGCTGTGGAGTAGCGCCGACAAAACCGGTTCCAGTGGAGTCGGCCAACTCTGGGTTATCTTCACCTAGAAGAGGCGTCTGGGCAGAGCTCAATGCACGCAAATTACGGGCTTCACTCATCACATGATCCTCTGCAACGGCTGGTGAGTAACGAAACAAAAGGTATAAAAAAAATCTACATAGTGATATTGAGAAACTTACTTGCTGCCGTCATCCGTGGTGTTCTCGCTGGTGCGTTGGCCGAAGGTGTAATCGAATAGTCTCCAACCAAGCCAGCGGTAGCAGCATTTCCATCTTCGTCCAAGTTTGCAGCATTTTGTCCAGCAAACCCAACTTTAACAATCTGTTCCAGCTCGCTCTCACCAACTTGAGGAGTGGGCAAAACAAGCTTTCGGCGCTTAGCGATCTGTTCTGCTTCTTGGATTTTGTTCAGCTTCATGTTGCTGGCAAGTACGAAATTTCCTTTGTTGCCTTCGTCACCACCTGTAGCCTGCTTTTCTCTAGCTTTGCGTTTCTTGTCTCGTTCTTTCTCCTCGTCGCGATCTGCTTTCCGTTGGGTAAGTTTTGATAAATGTACATTGGTAAGTTTTGTATGATCCACGGGACGGTTGTGCTCTTCAGTCGTATCGTAAAATCCTAGCGCTGGTCTCTTCTCAAACGGTATATCAGCATTGTAATCCATTTGATTCTTCTTCTTCTTTTTTGGCTTCAATCTAGGGGATGATGCTTAATAAAAGATGGAATAATGCGTAATAAGACATGAAGAGGATTTTAGCTTACTCAATACCGGCAGCCTTGAGTTCTCGTCGCTTTTGCAGGGTTGTCAATCGACGAGCTTCTTCCAACTGTCTCTCTCTTGCCTTTCTCTTGGCTTTCTTTCCTTGTGTATTTGCAAGTCTGGCTCTGGCCTCTGAAAGCATTTCCTTTTCATCCTCATCCATGTCGACTGGATCAGGTCTGGCAGGTTTCGCTTCTGGCTCTGGGTCAATTTCACCTGGACGTAGTTTGCGCACATCATCTGCGCTGGGCCCACTTTCTGGGCCAACCGATCCAGTAAGACCTAATTCAGCGTTGTCTTTTGCTTCAGCCTCGTCTAATAGCCGTTGATACCGTTCTAAACATTGCGATGGCGTACGGCCGACGATGGGTGCAATAGTTCGCCATTGTGTTGGCATGAGTTTGGCTAAATGCAGAAGTTTTTCGTCTTCTTCCTTCGACCATTCCGTCTTTTAAACAATCGGATCAGTATAAAGTGTGAGAAATAATTACAATGACAGTTGACGATGAATAAATTACCTTCTTAATGCTCGGATCAAGCCATTCATACCAACGGGCTTTACATTGCTTTGGTGTTTTGCGAACCAAAAGGGAGGAAATACGCGCCCACTGATTCTTTCCGTATTTGCTGACGGCGGCCTTGAGAACTTCGTCCTCTGTGTTCTTCCAAACACCACCCTTCACAATTACTTTCATTGTTGACGGGCTCTCGTTGCTGCGGACGAAAGGTTTGAAAGTTAAGCGAGCGCACTACTCTATTGTTGAGATTTGTGACGTTGTTCATATGAAAAATTTAAATAATGCGGTAAACGTTTAATTTTTTGTACGAAATTGCAAGTAAACATTCAGTAACAGAACAGTAAGTTACTGAATTTAAAGGTGGCAAATTCATCCTAGCTTTTTCTTTGAATTTACGATTTGCTGAATTTGAGAAAGGGGATTTATTGGTTGTAGTCTACCCACTTCTGTTATAGTAGAAAGTGGGCCTATTCTATGAATGAAGTTTAGGCGCATGAAACCCTCATAACAGTCGCATTTTCATTCAGGTCGTTGGGACAGAACGTCAATTTTTGGCGGCAGCAATGCAGTAAGAGAAGATATTCTCCAGTTATAAATTTAGTACCTATCGACCACTAGATGGAAAATATGCCTGAAACATTCTTATTAAGTTGAGAAAACAGAATTTGTTCCTGCAATATTGATCAATATCCTAACGAGATTTGAGATGATATGCATCAGTGGACTATACATTTCCCGTCCAAGAGTAGTGAAAACAGTTGATAAAGTATTTTTCCGTATTTTAGGAAAGAGAGAATGCCTCAGTAGCCGCCATGCTTAGTTACGTGCTCCAAGAATATCGGCTATAGGATTTGTCAAGGCATTATGCTTGTGTCTTGTTGAAGAATTAACTCCTCGTATCCTACCGTATGATCGAAGATAACCTTGGATGGGTTTCCTTATAGACAATTGGAAAGAATACGCCGTAAATGTGCTTTTACTTGATAGTATCATACATATGGTCACGCTTAATGTCAAGAAGGTACCATTTAGAACATGTAAGGGCAGTCTAGAGAGTCGTGAGCCTCACCGAGTAAGTGCATAAACAGAGCAAGCCGATACGTTGAGATAGCCCTCAGACAGTCATAGCCGGTATTGCCTAACTAAGAAATTTCGAATACTAACTTTTCGTCATCACTACTTTCATCTAGCAGGTTTGACTAGAAATCATAAACTGAGAGTAGCCTGCATGATCGCTCACCATTCACGAAAGCTCAATAAACGAAATATGATAGACAGTTGTAAAAATGTGTAGGAATAGCAGGTAAAGGTCTTATAGAAACATTACAGGTACTCCTAGGTTTGAGTAGTCTGCTATTATGGTGAGCAAAGCATCAATATTTATCCTCAACTGATTCTCAGCAGAGGTCGATTACTTGTAGGTAATCCTTTAGGCAAGAAAAATCTTAGTAATACCTTGTATTGTCCGTGACATCGATAAACTGACCTTCATGTATCGAAGATAAACCACCACAAGAGTCTCTCTGGTCTAGGCGGTTAATCATTGAAGGACATGGCCAAGGTAATCAATGTCCGTCAGCGGCCACACAAATTGGAATTCGTTTTCATTACTGGCTGGACTCTTATATCGGCATCTTGCATAATTTGCCAGCTCATCAGGATTCCCAAAGCGACGAGTACAAGAGGCATCTTTCTAGATTAAAATGTTTCCCGTTTGTTTCGACCACATCAGAGCTTAAAATAGATGTTTTTCCTTGCTACCAACACACTAAGCGCCAACACGACAAGGATAGACGGCTCCCGTAGGGACTATAGTCCAACTATAGCAGACATCATATAGCTTAAGTCAGTTGACAAAGAGTGCTTGCCCTCCCAAATAAAATGCCGACCAGTGCGTATTGTTTAAAGATTTGTCCAGCATCTCGAACAATTTCACAAGCAGCGCAAGTGACTATACCCAAGTCAACTGCAATGACAAAAAAATATTTTGACCTTCAAGTCAGCTATCAAGTAATTTGAGGTGCTTATATTTGAATGCATGGATATAACACCAACCTTTTCTGTTTGGCACCATAAAATCGGGAACGGAAAAACTAGCCATGATCAGGAACTTCTGCACATGCTACAGGACCATGGTTTACCATGCCCTATCATCCTTGAGGGGCTTTTTAATATTGCTTTTGAGATACCATGGCTAAAGTAATCCCATATTATCCCGCAAGTACAACAGTCATTTTCGATTATTGTTGGGTTGTGTGCAATCTTCACGACCTAATTCGGTAAGCAAGCAACCATTCCTGTGTATGATTTGGCGCTGTTGCTGAAATTGCAAGGCTGAAAGCTGTGCGACACTGGCTAAATTTTGGCAAGCAGAATAATTGTTGGTAGTTCCCAGCGATTTTCTCTTTCTCTCCTCTTTCCCGCCTCTCCTCACCGACGACCGGATTCGCGCTTGTCCGCTCTCAAGCGGAAGCACGAATAGTTGCATTGGCACTGAGATCATCTTAAAGTGCATTCATAGTTCTTGAACTTCCCTTTTCCCCGTTTCTAAACATCCATACACTCCTTTTTCGCCTTATCACGCGGAACTTCAACTTTCCGCTGTGCTCGGTTACTGCAAGACTCCAACTGCCAGCTACCGTCTTACCCAAACGTCCCATTCCCCAACGTTTGAGAACCTTTATCTCCTCAAATGAATGTCAATATAAGAACTCAGATCAATGTGGTGGAATCCATAGGCAGTATCCGCTGCCAGGATCAACGCTTCCAGGATGACAGTGAAAATATGTTTTCGGTGCGCTATTTCATTTTTCCTGGGGAGTATTACTGTAAGAATTACGACTGACAATTTGATGCTATCTTAGGTTTTCAGCGTCATCGTGCGAGATCATACTGGTTCACGAACCCTACTTCGTTATCTGCCCGACTTTGTTGAACTTCAGTGCAAGGTAGGCTTGAAAAACACAAGATTTTTCTTTTTTGATTGATTTCATACCGCGTCATGGCCAAGTTACTAAAAGCACAACTGATTAGATCAAAGAAACTTATGGAGATGTCAAAATTCCTTTTCCCCACTTTGTTACGTTTTCAGTCAGCCGACAAACGCAAACCGGAATTCGTCGTATGTTACATGCTCTTTCGCAGTTTACAGCGAAATCAAATGCAGAAAAGGCAGAGCATTATCTACAACGATGTCTTTTGGATGGCGTTATTGGCAGGTCGTCTATTTTACGAGATTTCCTCTCTCCTCAACGAGAAGAGGACATTTTTACACCTACCACTGCGAGCTCACCAGTACCAGAACCGCAGTCTCCTTTGCCTATCGATGTAGACAATTCTGAGGAGGAAGCTGTTGTGCCCGAGGATGCTCTCTTTGAAGATATTTCAAGCTTTTCTTTGGGTTCCCCAGGTTTATCAAGCAATTATTCACATGTCGATAGCACAGAAAACGATGCTCTTGACGTTTCAGCAACCGATGAGCAGCACGGTGCCTTCGACAATATGTCTTTTTCCCACATGTCAACTATCAGCGACCTTAGCCAACAAATTGAAGAGTTAGGAAAGAGCGTCATCGATGAATACGACCTGCTAAAAGTTCTTGGTAAAGGATGCATGGGAAAAGCAAGTGTCCATTTACTCATGTCATATCTTGTGAAAATGAACCGCTCACTAACAATGGCTTTCTTATTGCATATTTTTATATAGGTTTTGTTGGTTCGCCATACTCGAAAAAAGCAAACATTTGCTTTGAAAGCGATTGCAAAAGAAACTGTTCTAACTTTGAGAGAGATTGCGCATACTCATTCAGAGCGAGACATATTGGTTGAATTGGCCATGTTTAGTCACCCATTCTTGATCAAGCTGCATCATGCGTTCCAGGACCCGCTATACTTGTTTCTGGTTCTGGATTATCATAATGGCGGCGATATTGCCAATCAAATGAGTCTTCGAGGTGTCTTTTCGCCTGAGCGAACACTTTTCTATGCAGCCGAGATTGTTGAAGGTTTGGGAGAATTGCATCGCCGAGGTATTATGTACCGGTAGGTGAACATTACAAAACTATCACATGGAAATGTACTTTTTGTTGAATAACAGAAAATTGCAGCGATTTGAAGCCAGAGAATATTCTCCTCAGCTCCAGCGGCCACGTTGTTTTGACCGATTTCGGTTTAAGCAAGTCTTTCACTTTGGATGAACTTGCTAGCCAGCCAATGTCGGCCACATTCTGTGGAACTGCTGAGTACTTGGCTCCAGAAATGCTTCTGAACGAACCACACTCTTTCACCGTCGATTATTGGAGTTTGGGAACGATTTTATATGAGATGCTAGTCGGCTGTACGCCATTTTACGCACAGACTACGTCCCTCATGTATCATCGCATTCTGGAAGATGAGTTAGTTATTCCCGAATACTTGGACATGGATACCGACGACTTCCTTAGTGGCTTACTCACCAAAGATCAATTCTTTCGGCTCGGATCTTGTGGCATTGAAGAAATCAAAAGCCATCCCTACTTCAAGAATATATCGTGGAGTGACGTTGTTGAACTGAAGATGGAACCCCCATTTGTACCTACCAATGATTTTAATAATGACCTTTTCAATGTTGACGAAGCATTCTTGAAGATGACGCCTCGCCTCAGCACATGTGCTGGAATAGATGATGAGCTACGACCAGAATTCGATGAACTGTTTCAAGATTACAATTACATTTCAACCATTGAGTCTCCTGCTATGGATACAAACGTTCCTGAACAGACCAACAAGCCTGTTATTCTTCGTACGCCTACCGAAAGCTTATTCTCGCCTGAATGTCAAAGCGGCACTAAAGATTCCGCTTCGGTCACATCATTCTTGAGAAAGAGTGGTGGAAAGAAACGTAGCAGTGTTGACATGCTCTCTGATTCATCTTACAATTCCAACAGCCCAGCTCTAGATCCAACTTATCATAACGAACATCGTCCATCCAAGCGGCACCACAGCGAATCATTTGATACCGCATGTAGCATGGATGTCGAAGATTCCTCTGCAACTGATCAAACGATTGATACCAAAGTTGAACCGCATTCGACACAAGCATCGACCCGTTGTCATGTCCCTGCTCTAACCTCTGAATCAAAATACAGTAACGCTCCCCTACCGAAGGTGTCTGGCTTCAAGACGGTCTTCACTCGCCATCTGAAAGCTTACAGTATATTTTACCGTGCCAAACATTTCTTTGCCCATTTTCATCGCGGATAGGCTCCATTTCCTTTCAAAGTACTCGTAAAAGATTCAAAAACACCAGAAAAAAACCCAAAAACAAGAAAAAAGACCCAAATCAAACGAAATCGATACCAGACGAAACCAAACAAAGAAACCGAAACGAACCCAAAAGACGAAGTAGCAGTGTTTGATCACTGGTTTACACAGCTATTCTTATGACTCTTCTATGCTTCATCATTTTATATTCATACCATTTTCAATTTTATGCGCCAAAACATTGTTAGATATTTTGATTAAATGGAAGTCTAACAAACAACTTATGTGTGTTGGGGGGAAAATCTATCATTCCGTCTTCTTTCCTTGCTGAGCCTCTCTCTCGCGCTTTCGCAAGGCACGTCTGCGAATGTCCTTTTGCATGGCTAAATGAAGAATTAGATCAGTTAGTGTACTATAGGGATAATTACTCGTAGCAAAGACGACACAGTACCATAATTTTGCTTGACAACAAAGCCAGTGGTGGCCAAGTTCTCGATAACCCAAGCAAAAAGTGCATGACCAAGATAGGGAGTGGAGCTGAAAGGAACGCTGGAACCACCAGCAACACCAATCTTGGCGAGAACACTGGCAACATAAGGTTTGGGCATGGGGATCATGAAGGTGGGTCTTCTGATTTTGCTCATAGCAGAAACCACAAAGTAGGTGTTGATGTGTTCAACCACAATTCCGTCACCAGCGAGTTCAGTACCTAGCGCTTGAGACCAAGTGGAAAGGAAAGCCTTACCGGCGGAGTAAACAGAGAGATAAGGAGTGGCAACAAGACCAGAAAATGATCCAAGATTCAAAATTAATCCTGAACGTCTATATGAAATTATCAGCCTTTGAAATACGTCTTGATGAATATCAGCCAGCTTTCTTACCTAGCTTTCATTTGTGGTATAACAAGCTTGCTGACCTTCAAAGTTCCATTGATATTGACTTCAACGATGTTAGCGATTGTCTCGTTGCTTTCTTCATCAAATGGTGTTGGGATATCGTGATTGGTGCCAACGTTATTAACTAAAGACAAACAGCATAAAGACGATGAGATAATTGCGGTGAGTACCAATGGTGACTATAATAAACCATTGACATACCGAGGACGCCGACTTCAATGGTGTTGATAATTTGTCCCAGGTTGGAATAATCGCTTTCGTTGCCTCTGGTAAAGTCCATAGCATAAGTCTTAGTTTGGACGCCATGTGCTTGTTCTGCGTAGGGATAACATTGGATGTATTAGTATTCTCGCTAATTTAGGTACATGTCATTGGGCGCGATATCATACCAAGTTCCTTAGCAAGCGCTTGCAACTTGGATTCAGTGCGAGATACGAGAAGAAGATTGAACTTTTTCTTGGCGAGTTGCGATGCAAATTCTTTGCCAATACCGTCAGAGGCTCCAGTGATAACTAGTTAATGTGCATTTCGGAAAAGCGATAATTATTGTCAATACAACAAGTTGTCAAAATCGATCGATTGGTACGTTTGATTGTAGGACTGACCTGCCCATGAGCCTTTTCCAGCTCCAAACTTAGAGAGCTAGCAATAGAACACGGGTTAGGAGGTCAGTTTCTGTTAACATCTCGGTAAAGGCATTCACTTACGCTGATACCGGGCACGACCAAGACATCCAAAATCATTTTAAAGAATGAAAATGCCTTTACTGCTGTAAAAAATGCTCCAACTACGCCGAAGCATACTGTAGCAGCAAGAAGAGTCTTGTCTTCAGATACAGTTTGTAAAATGCCCATCTTAGCAAAGAAACGTTGCCGGATCCCAGAACCACCCAAAAAACGATTGAAGATTTCCGCGTGAAATTTCATAGTCACAAACTTTGGGGACAAAATTCTGGTATGGTACAGTAATGAACGATTTGTATAAACATGGTAAGAAAATTACATAAACATAGGTATTAGAGGTCAATTTCCATTGAGTCATCATTCTCAGTTGCTCCATCCCAAGATACGCTGCTTTGCATAGCAAGAGCATACTCCTCCTTTGCCAACTGATTCAAGTCAGTTAGTTGCTTCTCAATATGAGCTTTGAAAGTGACAAACTCGTTGAGCATAGTGGAAATTTGATGACTGAGTTCTTCCTTGATGGTGTTACTCTTGCGCACCACTTGATTATGCCTGTCAAAAGTATCAGTATCCCATCGAGACAATATTGCATTGTTATACATTGTTAGGAAGCTTACTCCATCCTCAATCTGTTTTCTTTCTGCTGCCATGAAAGCAGAGCTGACTTAGCATCTGCTCGTATCTGCTTGAGATGGATGGCACTCTCTTCTGCGTCTTGATTATATTTGATATTTTCTTGCCTTGCGTTCTGTCATAAATAAAAGTAATATTTGTCAGCATTGGTGAACATATAATTCATCAGAATTCAATTTATGGTACCTCTTTTGCATGCTCATATTCTTCGTTACGCTGGTTTAGTCGCTGTTGAAGTAGCTTCAGTTCATCGCTTTTGTCGATAGTCAGTTCTACTATGGCATCAAGCTTCTCCTGGATTTGTAAGTTGGCTTCTCTTAGACTATTCTCCTGTTCTTTCATTTCAAATTCTATCTGTTGCAAGGCTGGCTTGACGAAATTTCGAAGGTCTACAGATATCATCTTATCTGGAGTATCGGCATTAGGATAGAATACAAGCTCAAAATTGTGTCCTTTAGCTTTGGGTGCAGAGGATGGTAAAAGACCTATACTGTATGCCAAAGCATTATATGTACGAATAGTTTTGTCAAGCTAAAAAAATCAAAGAAAATAAATGATCGTGTTGACATAAAGACACAGCGCATATGTGAGATTTTCATACCATGCTTTGGAGCTTTTCTGCTTGAACTTCTTTTTCCCACATTATTTTTTGAATTTCGTCCAATCTAATTCTGGTTTGCTCATAGAGCTTTTCCAGTTGTACATGCTCATTAGATAGTCGATCAGCTTCAGCTGCAGATACGTTCTGTGCATCAACTCTTGCTTGCCACTCCAGCCGAAGTTGCTCTTTTTTCTCCAGTTCTTTTGCTGTAATGCAATGTTACTTATCAGTAATGTATCCTGTATCAATGCGTCATGGAAAGGTTATATACAAACCTTTTTTCTGAATCTCTTCTTGTATGATCTTATTGCCATCAAGATATTTTACCATCTTTGTCTGCATATCCTCACCATATGCCAAAAGCTTTTGCATATCTCGTTCCATGGTTTTGCGGAAGTTTTCTAGCTGAAGCAAAGTTGACTGCGAGAATAGGAAACGAATCAGATATGCGCGCCATGTGCCAAAAATGTCAATAGATGAACCACTTACTGGCTGTTGACGAAGCACCTCACATTCTTGCTCAAGGAGTTCGTTTTGCTCTGTGAGTTCGTTGACGATTTCAAGATTTCTTTTGTTTTTATCATCTGGTAACATGACATTGTTTAGAAAATAGTATTGCTTTGCACCATCTAAGATAAATAAGTTTTGCAGCATACCGAAAATGGCTACCAGTTCATCCTCCATTTGAGAAAAATCGTCTGAACCTTGTAGGAACGCATTGTAAGTGCTGATTGTGAAGTGAAAGAAAATGCTATCGTCGGATTCTTCTTCCTCTGGATCTTCGAATGGATCAGCCGTTTGCAAATCGTCCCACATCTGGAAAGGAGCATGTTAATCATAGTTTAACATGCATGTTTGAGAAATTTCAACGTTACCTGGCAAATTTCTGTTAACCATCTCAATAACGCGATGAACATAGGGTAAGTGTACGGAGCAGCGATCGAATTGAGGGCGTTCCTATTTATGAGTTCTACCATTGGATACCTATCAGAAGTGGTGAGCATTTAGAAACCTACATTGCATATCAACAAGCCAGCTTGCTTGACTTACTTTAGCATTCTTAATATAGATGGCACTTCGTCTTCAAATCTCTTCTTTTCGTATTGGTATGATGGGTCGATTCGTCCGTGCAAAAACTTGAAAATATTTTGAAACTCTTTGCCGGATAATTGCATAAGGGATGCTTTGATATTGGAGTGACCGTAGCCAGCTTCTGTGAGATAGTCCACAATAATTTTGATGCTTGCTTGTTGATATCTCTTATCTTTGATATTGCGAGGATCTCGGTGTATAGGGCCAACGGTGTTTTTGACGATAGAGGTGGCTCTGTTACCAGCATAAATGGAGGATCTAGGATTGAGGGTGCTTATTCGCCTTATTTCAACCGTAAGCCAATACTGCGAAGCGTGTACAAATAAAATATCGTGAATTTACCTTGCCATCCTTGGAGTAGCAAAACCATTGCCATTGGGAACTGGAGCACCGGTTCCACGTTCCGTCATAACAACGTCTTGCATAGTTGAATTCTGTTGATGAACTGAAGTAGCCGATCGAAATTGAACAGGGCGTTGTGGTCCAACTGATTCGCGGACGGTGTTCGCATTCAGGGCAGGTCCACCCATTGAAAATCTTTGGGCGTTCATTGGTCTAGCGAACTTGTCTTTCTTGATTGTATGAGAATTGAGTTGCTGTAAGTATGAATTGCCGTTGGGATCGTTCGAACCTATGGTAAACCGACGACGATCAAGTTCCCGTAATACGCTTCTGCTACCTTCAGCCTGTGAGAGCATTACCGTACAAGAGATGTTTTGTAGTTTGCTGGCCTGGAACGCGAATCACGTCCCTCCCAAAATTTTGAAATTTAAAACTCCTACACGCGTTTTTGCTTCCATTTTGAATTGCCAGACATGGTGGCGGTAGTGCTGTCGCACAGGCAGATGAGAAGTATATTAAAACTCTTGTAATGTTCAACAATAATTGAGTCGACATGTCTTGGAAATTTGGGAACATATTAAATTTGTCGATTTGTATGATTACTATCCTGTACGCAATGAAACACCATCATCTGCACTTCAAGCCCTGCTGCTACACAAAGAGATTCATCTAAATTTGTTCCTCATTTTATAAAACTGAACGTCTTCGATTACATTGTCTATTTACATTTGATGGAAACAATCTATGGCAACAAATTGATACACTGTGTCATCCAATCAGATACCTTTTCACCAAATCCCAATGGAATTGCACGAGCTGCCAAATATTTAAACGTGTCTTTGTCACCAGCCGACATGTGGACTTGAGCATGACTGATGCGGTGAGTCTGCAACTCCAGTAGGTAGAAAACGGATAGTTGATAAAGAGAGTACAATGTATCCTGATCAGTAGATCCACTGTGTTTAGCTCTCATATCGATTTCTTGCTTCGCTGTTTTAAGCATATCCAAGCGCTGGAAATGGGATGGAACGGTCGTTACTGTAAGATAACCTTCGCAAGATCGTAAATGCGAAACAATGCGCTCCATAAGCAGATTGGTTAAATGATTTTCACCAGAGTGTAGTGCCAGCTCATGAAGTAATTGCAAGACGAAGAGAATCTTCCTGATAGAAACTACTGCTGATTCCGTATCGCTTGGGTCGTCTGCAATGCTGGACTTCAATAGAGCAATAGCAATGGTGCCAATGTGCCTTTGTGGAATATCAGCAATGAACCACTTTCCACTGCGGCTGGCTCGGGCTGATCGCAGCGTTCTCAACAGCAGTTTGGAGCATACAACATGGATTTCTTCGCTACTGATGGCCGGCGAAGTAGCAAGCTGATGAAGCCAGCTAAGCAGCCCACTATTTCGCGCCAGATCCAAGGTGATGGATGGCGAGGATGTTGCTTGCCACAACACATCCAAAATAAGTCGCTGGGATGCCATGTCTGCCAACTTTGAATCAAAGAAGGCTGTTATGAGGTCATAGACATGACGACGTTTGTAAATGCGATGGTCCTATATGTAAGATTGACTCGATCAGAAACTGTAACGCGAGGTATGTGCAAACCTACATGACACATGAACTTACGTCAAAAGTGTGTAAGCCTACTCCAAGAAGTCGTAAAATCCAAGCTCTATCCCTCTTATGGTTTTCAGCGGACGTATTGAAAAGATTGTAGAATAGTGGAATATCCTAATGCAAAGTAATTAGTCCATGAACGTCAACAGCTGTACATTGCGCTTAAGCTGCTTGTCATCAGCTTACCTCAATATCAATGAGCTGCCTTTGAAGAAGGAAGGTGTTCACGCGAGGGTACATAAAGTGAGCGGCAGACAACAATATGGATATTGCTTGGGAAGCGAACGCAGTGATGATGTACGGTATGCGTTTAAAATCGTTATCCACATTTCGCACTGCAATAGCATTCTTGACAGCGTTCAACAGAAGCATGATTTGCTTTTGCTCCCGGAAATTGGCATGCTACAAGGAGTTGTTAGTTACATAAAATTCAAGAGGCTTTGCGATGGTGGGGATGCATACCTGCAGTAATACATAGAAATCGTCCAGGAGCATATAACCAACTTTTCGAACGTCGTTAACATTTGATGATAGTGAAACTAGCATCATTCCGACAGCATTGCACTCCACAAATTTTCGGCAATCAACTGCTCCTGATACCAGCATAGTGGCAAGCAATGGCATGATGAATGCAGGATCGTAGACTGTTGTAGTCTGTGAGCGAGATATATCCCGCATGGTGTTCCAGATATTAAATTCGCGCTCCAATGGTAGGTCGACAGGGAAGTTGCTGCAGGTATTCACCATTAAAGATGGATCAAGGAGACTGACGGCTTCATTAATAGACGCACTATTATTGTACATCAATCCACGTTCTACATGGTATTGTCTTGTCTTATCCGAGCCTGGTCCCCAAAGAAGAGCCTTTCCAGCAATAGAATGTTTGGAATGCTTTTCGCAAATATGCAAAACTGACAAGATCAACTGATCTGCTTCTGAGGTTGTTGCACCATAGCTGCAAAGAAGAGGATCCAGCAATGCGGGATTGCGTGCTATTGCGGATGGGCGGACTTGTACCAGTGAGTGTACCAGCCAGCATATGGCATTGCGCTGTTTAATATTATCGTCTTCAGCCGTTTCTGGGTGACTAGCAGTCAGTCTCTTGAAGTCACTGTGCTCCACAACATTTCTAAGATAAGTGCTGACAGGCTCATCGTGGGAGTACTATACAAAACTCTTGTTAATTAAAATTTCTCATTGTATTAAAGCAGTCCGAAATTCATTTACCTGTCTTTTCATGAGATTAATCAGAATGGAGGTGAAGCGAATCAAAGCCGTGTTTTCAAGTTCATCCAATATAACAGCAAGTACGTATTCTTGGATGATTTCCGCATCAAGATCCGGAAGGAACTCATCCTTGATGTCGAACAGACTGTTTTCAACTTCGAACAAAATACCTCGTAGGTCAAACAATCGCTCTAGCGACCTTTTTTTCACGGGTTTGGTTAGACAAGATACAAATAAGTTGATGAACATCGCTGCAAATCTGACTTTCTCCTCTTCAACTGTAGAGAGTTGTAGCAATCGCGAGAACACACGCGTAACACTGCCACTGATCATGTCTACATTGGGTTTGCGACACCAGGTTAAGAATGTTGAGCGCAGATCAGGCAAGGACTGTGTATTTGCTATTTCACAAAGGAGAGTGCTCGCCTGTATGATATCATCATGGCCAATGGATGCTTTGGTGGAAAACACAGTGCTGAACAATGGTTGTTCGTACATCTTGAGGAAATTCCTGATGGCTTTGTTCCTGAGGGCGAGCTGTTTCTCATCAGAAGACTGTGAGATATCAGATGCTTTCATTCCGGACAGAAGAGATAGCATTAACGGAGCCATCTGACCCAGTGTTACAGTTTTGCGCATATCGTGTCTGTCAAGGTATCCCATGAAGGCTGACCGACAATCCGATCGATATCTGAGAAGAGTGGTCAAAATTCTTGATCGATCATCATTCATGGATTCCAACATGACATTGACAGCGTCAGCAGCTATGAACTTCGGCTTCTGAACGAATATCCTCTTTTCATTGCTTCTGAATATATCAACGTCGATTTTTGCGTTGTCTACAAACTGTGGGATGCTGGCCCATTCCATGATATTTGCAATCAAATGGTCAAGATCCTTCGTTGGATGTGTCTGCCACATGGCGAACAGGGCCGTCAGTAGTTCATCTTCGAAACTGCTCAGGTCGTCAAGACGCTTGCAAAGTTCGACTGCAGTAGTAGTAAGCAGGTTACTGAACTGCTGTTGATAAACAACGTTTTTTGCGGTCTTGCTTTTAGCTTTGGAATGGTATAATTCCAATAAAGCTTTGACAATGGAAAGCAGATCATCCTTGCCCAAGAACTTACAGAAGAGGCGAACTCGTTGTACCAGCTAATGATATAATAGTCAACAAAACTGAAGCGATGTCGTTAATGCCAGAAGAACTGGATATATGACTTACCGTATCTGTAAGTAATTCATTACTAGTCGTGCTTCTTCGGCATTCATTTAGGATATCCAAGGTAAAAGTTGTAACTTGTATTATGTAAGGCAGTTGGAGCTCTTTAGTGTCGATAGTATCCTCTCTTACGTCTTCTGCTTTAATTAGATGGTGTACAACAAGCGTTTGGATATCTGCAATGAAAAGAAATACAAACGTCAATGTCATATTGACATTTGATATACATGTTGGGAATCTCACTTACCATCGCTGATGGTTGAACCACTGTTCTCCTTCGACACATCCAAGAAAGAATCCACCAAAACAGGATGTTTAAATATCGTTCGAATGAGAGAGTTGACTAAACGTCGATCAGTTTCGGACCTAGCTTTAGTGAGAATACTGTCCAGTAATGTCAAGCATGACTTTACGCAGCCTGTCAAATCAGTGATATTCTTTTGACAATTTGTCAGGAGAAGCAGGATTCGACGAGCAGCAGAAACGAGTTGGTATCCATGCGAGCGTGAAATCGACTGTAGAAGAAGGGAGAGTACAGGGGGTGACGAGATATCATTGGTATCTACATTTTGAAACAGGTACTCAAACGAAAGCTGCTGTAGTAGCTTATAAACAGCATCAGTTGAGTTATACAGGGTATGGTATTGAAAAACGGTTCCAACAGCCGGGTGACGCTGCTCCATGTACGTAGTGAGTGATGCATAGCGTCCACTTCTGGAATTCTGTTCACAAATCCGATACAGAGTATCGAAATGTTGGTAAAAGGAATCTACTGGAAGGCTAGGGAGTGCATCTAGCAGTTTCTCTAAAATACACATAGGGTATTGAGTCGCTCAGTACCAAACCGATATAAACTTTATGACCACAGGAAACTTACCATATGAATCTAAACTTGAGAGCGCCTTAGTTTTCACCGATGAAAGTTTGGTGTCTCTTGGGACTGCTGATGATCTTTTTAAAGTGACAGATATTGACGCTAACATATGCTGAGAGTTCCATCCGGTAGCAGATCTGAAATCGTTCAATTGAATATTCTGCTCCAAATGCTTGGAAAGATATTGATCATAGGCATTCAGCAAATATCCTGGTACTAGTTGCTTTCCCTCAAGCTTGAGAAAAAGATTGTGGATAAAACGCGCAACAGCATCCTTTCCTTCCTTAACAAATCCAAATTGCTCCATAATGGTGATCAACAGCGGACTGAATGGTTGGCCTTCTGATACAGCACCTTGTGAAACAATGTTGTGGGCAGTCTTTAGAGAAGAATCGTCTTCAGAAGCGTCTGCTTCCAGGATTGAAGTGTTTGTTTTTTGAACGATTTCCAAGGCTGCATCCATATATTTATATTGGGACTTCATGAATCTATTGATACTGTCGTCGAGATATGTCAAAATGATATCCTGATGCGCTGATAGTTCATGTTCCACCATTTTGGCGTCTTCTATTTCTTCATTTCGTGGTAAAGAGTCCAACCAGAGTTCGATTTCTTGAAGGTCATTGTTAAACATGAAGGTGTCAGACAGCGTTTTGACAAGAAGCTTTCGAGTCAATGTTTCGACATGTTTGTTTGGAGTGGACAACAATAAAGTCAACAGCCCGTGTAAGTGTGACTTGGTAGAACCCGCTATAATTCCAAATTGATTAATACAGAGATAGCTGCAATATTTGTCACCATTCTGTACATACCTGGCTTATTCGACCATCGAAAATCATTAAGCGTCATGAGTAATTCCAAAAGATGTACTTGAGCCATAGGTTTCACAGCACTCAAATCAGAAGGCATAAAGTTACTAAAATCGAACTTTGCTTCAGCCATTACTTCAGGAAGGCACTTTTGACATAGCATAATCAATCTCAGAATGCTGTCTTGCATTAAGTTTTTTTCCTCAGCAGTGTCAACCCCTGTTTCCTGAGATTCAGGTTTAGCTGGGGTAATGGCTGATGAATAGAGCGTGGCAAGAAGTTGGACACCAGGTAACCGACGGCAGAGTTCATCCTGAACCTTTCGCAAACAATTTTTCCAATTGTGAGCAGCTGCATTTCGTTCCTTCTGCATTTTTTCCGTATGTTGATTTGGGAGAGCACTCGGTTCTTCAACATCAAAAGCTTCGATGACTTTCTGGATGTCGGAAGTGACGAGACTGAGCTTTTTCATAGATGCAGTCAAAGTGAGGATAGTCATGTATCGAACCAAACCGCTAGAGTGTTGGAGACCTTTACTGAGGGCTGTGCGACTGATACAAGTCGGTAGAATGTTATCGGCTATGACAAGATGACTTGGTGCAGTTGTCGGATAAAATTGCAATTTCCCAAGGAGGAGCGACGGTGGCGGGCAGCTCAGGACTTTCTGTAAAACGGCCATGTTCGCTAACCAGTTCGAAGAAAGCCGAGGCTCAAATGTAAGCGAGGTAGACTGCCAGTATCTACAAGATTCCTTAATACCAGTTCCACTTCAATATCAATGATTTAGAGAGCTCATAGTTACCCTTGTACCAGCTCTGGACATGCTTTCAGGACTTTCACTAATAATTCTTGTTGTCTCAAATCCTCTGATACTCGGAGCCCTTTGACAAAGTGACCAAGCATCTTATTGCGGATCTTGATGTCATCTCCTCCGCTTTTCTTGCCACCGTCCAGGATACTGGGAGGATACCATCCTGCATCATGAAAACAAACGCCAACTCCCGGGGTACAGCAAATGGATATGAGAAAATGATGCACGAGGTTTGCTGGGATATCCGCTTCTGTAGGTGACGATGCATCGGGATCCTGACGAGCGTAAACTTTTGCCAGCTGAAGATTGGTGGGTGCGTTAATATTATGTGACTAGAATGCCCTTAATCATCGGATTGTACTAATACCTGGTCGAGGACATAGTTGTTGAATAGAGATACTTTAACGGTTCTTGGTACATCTTGATCCATGATGAAATTTTCATACATTACTGAAAGTATTATTTCCATGAGCTAGCAAAAATTGCGATTAGCATACAGTCCACGCGCATTAACCTTGAATGAAACGAAAAGCTGTGGTACCTGATATGCATCGCGCTCTAGTCCTTTGAAAATGGGGGATACTAGATCTTTAACTTGTAGAATGTCTTTCTTAACACTCGCGTCTCCGTACTTGAAAAAGGATAGAACAAACTCTACATATGACGTTCGCAAATCTGAAATTGATGGTTAGCATTATTTTAGTTAGCTTTAGCACATTCCTTGGTAACACTTACCATATTTCCAACTATTTGCATTGTTGCTTTCTTTACGACGATAATTACAAAAGTTGGTAAATCCCTGCAAGTCACACAAAGTAAGAATATAGAAGATACTGTGCTCATTACAAAAGCGTATATTACATTAAGCTGGAAATTGAAAGTATCCAGCATTTCACGCGTGGTTGAAGCACTAAATGAGTTCATCGATATAAGTAGCCTAAGGGTTGAATGTTGTAGCATGATGCGCGGTGCTGTCAGGTTACGATAAATGTATCGCAATTGCTGCTGTAAAATTCGTCGGATCAAGGACACTCCACTTGACCGAATGACTGGGGAATGGCATAGATCGAGAAATAGCTTTATAACATCTAATATGCTTGTCTCCAAAGCCTGCACATTGTTCTGAGGGAAGGTTAGTAGTTAAAATCAATTTCGTGGAACAATCAAGGGAGGAGAGATCATACACATACTTGATTTTGAAGCTCCCAAACAGCGAATAATTCATCTCCTTCTTGCGAGCTTTGTAAATATTCAATCAATGGCCGAGTATTTTTCTCCATAGGGTTGATACCGTTGCTGATAGCGGCAAACAGCTGCTTTCGAAGGTTATTCAGATCTATTGCCGCAAATTAGTGTCATGGTTGATTGAGGTATACAACCAAATTTGAGAGCTTACTTTGAGAGAGTAAATCAACATGCCTTTGCTCTAATGCAGCTTTGACATCTTGGCTTGTGAGGTAAGGCTTAAAGTCCTTAGCCTCAGCTTCCCCTTTCTTTGTCTCTGTGCCCATTGTACCAAAGGACTCACATATGTTCACTACCTTTTTTTTTGAAGAAATTGTCAAGTCACGTGCATAATACCAAAAGGCAGTCAACGGAAATGCTGGTCGAGATCTTTGGCTGACATTCACTGCATGAAAAATCTCATTATCATCCCCCGTCCTTTCCCCTGATAATTAACATAATTTTTTTTATACAAGCAAAATATACCATCTTTATGATCCTATATCACAAATTTTAGAATGGATTTATGCTGTTGTGCATAGGCATATTCGCGTTATAATGGTTACCATAAATGCAACTCCGATATATGACATCACGTTATCGGTGCGTTCGATGCGAAGCCAACCAGCGGATACTTAACACCGGTTACCATGGGATGTTGCTCATCAGCCGAGGCGAACTCTGATAACGACGGACAGACTTTCAGACCTTCCAATCTACGAGGTGGTAAGTGGATACCTCTACAGAAGAGAAAGACTATAGAAGATTCTCGTTCTGAGAAGAGATACATGCATACTGAATGAGAAAGTATTTCTGGCCCCGAAAAAGCTAACTTTACGGCCTTAGGTAATAAACCATTAAAGCGAAAGGGTATTCGATGGACAGCAGATTCACCTATTACGGCAGCTGAACTGCAAAGGCAAAGGGATACATTCTGGGATACCGCTCCAAGCTATGAGGTAAAGCTCTCAGTTATGGTACTCCGAGCATAATATGGATATGAAGTTGGATTTTAATACTTTAATTAGGGGAGACCAGAGGTTTGGCAGGCCATACATGCAGCAGTATCTGAAAGCGATCTAGCTTTAGCACAGTCCATTTTAGACGCTGCCGGAGTAACTCTCCCTACTGGAAATTTAGCCGATGGCTGCTACGATGGTACAGATCAAAGACCTTTGTTTGAGTAATTGTTATAGCCAGCTAATCTTGTCATGTGTGCAACAGAACTGGGAAACCGCTATGTTGTACCCGTATATTGCCTAGTGGATCCAACGAATCTATCATCTGGTGGAGCTGACCCTGTCACAGACATGGCATCAACATCAACATCGCTTTACACGCACATTCCATATTCTCCACCACAAACTAACGACGATAAATCCGTGGTGCATAGTGTTGTATCGTCAACTACAGAAGAAAAGTCGAACATTGATAGCGGATCATACCCAATAACTATCCGGCTATCAACATCTCTGGACATTAACATTAAAATCGCAACCGATGGATCTGAGACTATCGGAAAACTAAGGTTACGACTCATGGCACATCCTAGCCTCGCATTTGCGCGTGACTCCCACTATTTAAAATTCATTTATTTGGGACGTATTCTCGATGATCAAGTAAAACTCTACGATGAGGATGCAAATGTACAAAACGACAGAAATAATGCGAAGATAGCCAAGGAAGGCGTGCTTCAAGCTCTTGTTGCTAGAAAGTAGTAAATTAATAAAATACTAGCATCATATTTTTTGTATCTTCACGATTCGACACTTGTAATTGTAGGATTTGCCGCTTGGGTTACAGCTGGCTACATTGAACCACACCACTATTGGAGCGGGGCAATAATTAAGAAGGCATATCAACTGACATTCTTCGATTAAACCGTGAGTAATAGGCTTATGATTGTTTGATGGCAGGCTCATATCCATTTTCTGAAAATGTCTATCCGCAGAATCAAAAGCATCTGTTGTTACACTAATGGCATGGTCTTTGCTAGTTCCATTGATGATTGGGTCAATCCCCGCAGGATGAGGCCAATAGCCCTGATTTTGCGGAGCAAAATAAAATTTTGAAGGCGGTGGAAAATTTCTCTGACATCACCTAGCTGGCTGCCAGTGCGAGTGTAAAATCACTTAGGCAATCCATTATTGAATACCTTCTTTTTCACCCTATAATGGCTTCTGGACTCGCTACCGGTTTGAATAAGGGACACATCACCGCTCGTCGTGAGCTCAAGGTTACTCCTTCCTACAAGAAGGGTGTACGTATCATTCTACTCTTTTCTTCGATTGGATGGATGGATGGATGGATGATAGATACATCTTCGATCAACGAAACCAACGGCAATATCATCAACATATAATCTGTTGTAGTCTACATCAAGCGAACACGTCCATCCATCAAAGACAATTTGCGACTTTACACAAATTTTGCAACATTCGCCACATTCAACACGGCTGCAATCAATAATGGCAGCTCAATTTGCAAAATTAGCATCTTTGCCGCAATTTTGTGAGTGAGCAACTATTGAAGCCGGCAACTGAAATCTCATGTAAAATGCCCTGACGCAGATCCCACTTTCGACTATTTGACGACAAAGAACCTTACTTACTAGAAATGTCACATTGCATCAAACATCAAACTTACCTTCTATCGTCTTTCTGTATAGATCCAAAGCAAGCGCACCAAGTTCGTTCGTGATCTCGTCCGCGAAGTTACTGGCTTTGCTCCTTATGAGCGTCGTATCATGGAATTGATCAAGAACTCCAAGGACAAGCGCGCCAAGAAGCTCTGCAAGAAGAGAGTAAGTGTCTACTTTGTGACCGGGTTACTTACCCAGCTCGTTTTTAACCCTTACACTTTTCATTTAGCTCGGAACATTCGTTCGTGCTAAGGCAAAGGTTGAGGAACTCACCAACGTCATTGCCGAATCTCGCCGTCATTAAGTGTATTCCAATATGAGTTGGCATAGGTTGGATAAATGTGTCAATAATATGATTCATACACACGACAACAATAAAAAATATGCACATTCTTTTGGTTATCTACTACCAACACTATTGAAATGGGAATATGTCGATGAGGGGAAACGAAAACGAAGGAAGACAACATAGCGAAAATCCTTTTACCCACTGTGTTGCAGTGTGATCTCTGACTGAGTGAACAGTCCAGAAAACGTTGTAATCAAGCGATATGGTTAAGGTAGCAAGCTGGCTTTATCTAGCTTTATTGTGGACCTATGACTTATCTGCGGTATTGATAAAGCAATATGTTGGGGCACTGTTCACAGACCGGAAGTATACGGTAGTAACTAAGGATTATAGCACTTCAATCAGCAAAGAAATAGGTTCCACGGGCTACCATTTTTATGCCGTATGAAAATAGATCTGTAACTGGGCGTGTTGAATAGTATCAACTTCCAGAAACTCCCACCTATATATCATGTTGATTGCCTGTGGAAAACGGTCGTTTTTATATCCATCCGAAATATATAGCATCCTCGTTCTTTCGCGATCAAAAAAACTAGTATATTCGTTTTCGAGCTTTGTATGGCCATGGCGAGCTACTTGAACATAGCTATCGTTTGCAAACATAAACGTCGTTTCTGTTTTAAAAAGTATGCCCAGTACGATACCCCATATTTTGAAATAGCTGTCAGGAGGAGTGTGGATGGAAATCGTATGCGTACTTCTATTGCAAGTCCGCTAAAGGTTCCTTGCTCTTTCTTTCTCGCACTCTCTTTCAACAATGGCTACTGGCATTGCAACGGGTCTGAACAAGGGCCACATCACCGCTCGTCGTGAGCTCAAGGTCACTCCTTCATACAAGAAGGGTGTACGTATCAAATTTTATTTCTAAATTAGCTACATTTTATGCTCTCCTTCCGGAATTCATTCATATCCGACCGAAGATATCTTGCAACTACGATGATCGATTACTTTGCAGCACATTTACCATCGATATCCGAACATCCGTGGATGCATCCATCCATCAAGTATTCATTCGAACACTTCCCGACCAATAGTTCCATGGAATGACATTTGACAGTAGAATTTGACATTCAATGGAATGCCACATTACAAAAGTCAGCCAAATCCCGGCCACTGCAGTTCAAACTCGGACTGTAACTAGCAGCATCGAGACGTCTGGTCGCAAATCGACTGTCAACACGCGCAGCATTTACAATTCTTCAGTTGTCAATTTCACCTTTATCCAAACGCAATACTTATGACATTTGTCCATATAGGTCCAAAGCAAGCGCACTAAGTTCGTTCGTGACCTCGTCCGCGAAGTTACTGGCTTTGCTCCTTATGAGCGTCGTATCATGGAATTGATCAAGAACTCCAAGGACAAGCGTGCCAAGAAGCTTTGCAAGAAGAGAGTAAGTTCTAACGATATATTCCAGCCAACAATTTCAGAAATTGACCTAACCAACTTTCTGTGACATGTAGCTTGGTACATTTGTTCGTGCTAAGGCAAAGGTTGAGGAACTTACCAACGTTATTGCCGAATCTCGCCGTCATTAAACTTTGAAACTTAATGAGTAATGACTCTGCGTCTGTAATGTCAATAAAAATCATCTAGAATACAACAAAAGTGTTTATTATAGTTGTGGTCTGTGTTAAGCGCTGATTAGTAGTAAGGCTAGAAGTTCGCTATCATAGTTACTAAGAAAGCGAATATATGGCGATATAGTACATTCTATGCGATGGAGGTTCATGTTCTATGAGATATTGAAAAGTGCAGGTATGCAACACCTTACATTATACGCAATGGCATTCATAGCGTACTTGCGACATCGGCTGATGACCCAGGGAGGTTTGCCTCAGTCTCGGTATCAACAACGGTGGAATCTGTACCTTTTTCTACGTCAATCTCGCTTGCCTTTCTATCCTTTCGTTTATGATACCACTCGAAGATGTAGTACAACGAAAATATGCCCAGGTCGAGAACGGCAACTGCAACGTAGTTAACGGCATCCAGAGCATCAAAGGTATCTCGAAAAGCTGTAAAAAGAAAAAAATAGGATACTTAAATCTCTGACCTGTAAAGACGAAACAAAATTTGATACTTGCCTAGAGAAAGTATTGAGAAAATGCTACCGAGAAAGTCCATTGCGAGAAATAGATGCGAAACACCATGGACCCTCTTTTCCACGAATATATCCCAGTATTGAGGTAGAAATCCGATAATGATAAGCACCACTGGGATGACACCAAAAAACCAGTGAACCCAGTCAACCTGTCGATCTTGAGCAACCTATGACCTGTCATTAATACGTATTATACCAAGGACAAGGATGCCGCATTGAAAATGCCATGATGTATAACTTACTCGGAAAGCTGTAACCAGACCGTACTCTATAGCACCTGATATTACACATATTACAAAGAGGACAAAGAGAGAAAGTGTACTGGACCACTTGCGCTGATAGTACATTGTCTGCAAGGCACATATGTAGGCTATCACAGCAAAAATTTGCGGCTGTATCCACAATGGAACTGCAAGATTGGCTCCAATATTATAGTTTCCGAGAAATATTCCTGAGAGCGCCCATATGATCATCATAGGTGTAGAGAGGCCTTCAGTGCTTTTCAACTTCCAGTTTTTCCAAACTAAGAGTACGAAGGGTATGGGGGTTAAGTCAATCTGTCCATCTTTAATTTGAAGTCTTCCAATACAAAAAGTTCACCTTGAGGAGCTAGCTGGAAAGACCAGAATACCAGCCCGACCATGGAAAAAGCGAATTCTAGAGTCGCATTTGCCATGTCTGAAATGGAGAATAGTGAAGAAGTATGGCAAAAAATTTATTTGAGTGGGAAATTTTTCTACCTGAGAGGCTCAAATTTGGCCGATCACAGCACAACTGACCTCCAGTATTTTTCTCCATTGACATGCCAGAAGAGCATCCATCTAGGATTGCCTTCACTCAATATACATCACCGATTACTGCGGTTAAATCAGCTGCACCAAGTGTTCACCAACTGGCAATATCGCGCAATGCTAATTCAGTCTCCAGCACCATACCTTCTGCAAAAGAACTGCAAAAGATTAAGTTAGAATTAGAACGACTGCTACCCACATCCGAAGCACGAATCAAACAATTGCGATCGGATCTCCATGCTATTGAAAAGTCGACTAGAGCCAGGAAAGGTGGAAAGCAGTCTAAAGGTAAACATATGGCAGATCGTCATGCAAGATCCAAAGGCAGTGAATCGGATAAAGTCAGACAGGATCGCGATCGGGATCGAGAAACACGTAGAGACTCTTCAACTGAACAAGAACAAGATAAGGGAAATAAAAAGCGCCTTCCGAATCAAATCCGAAGCTCCTCACTAGCCAGAGAGAAAAGTACTGGCGATAGGGAGAAGTCCGCAAGTACTGATGAAGGTAACATACGCTAACACACTGATTGTTCGGGATATATAACTCATTGCTACTATCAGTAGATAGCGACGCTGGACATAGCAAAAACCAAGAATCATACTCAGAAGATGAAATTGATATCAAGAAAGAGAGTACAGGTAAGAACAGGACGATCTTCATTACACTCATTTTGTGTTTACCAGTTCTTCTGACATAATTTTATTTTACATCGTAGGACATGATATAAAGGAAGAGTCGCCAAATTCACCAAATCTATCCTCTCCCAGCAAGAAGCGGAAATGGAATGAAGATAGTGCAGGGGCAGATGGTATGAATTACTCAACACATCACATGTTATTCTTGACAAGTGGGTGTTTAACGTCTTATCATTTGTAGATAAGATACACGGATTATCAAGAGCGAAATCTCAACGAGAAAACTCTCCATCACAAAGTCTACTATCGTCAACATTATTAAAAAATGCAGAAAGGGTCAGTACGAATTATTAAATTATCATCGCTATATGACGACTTTTGCACTAACGATCTTAAATTCACAAGACATCTGAACTGAAGGAGCATCGTTCGGCATCGGCAAGTGTTCATGAAAACAATATTGCCAAGTCTATTGTATCTACTCCAGGAAGAGGAACACCACCTGTCAAAGTTCAAGAGCGAGCACAATCAGCGCCAGTCAATGCACACAGATTGGATGCTGATCCCAATTACTTGCAAAAAATGCGAAAGAAAGAAAGCGGAAAACCAAAGTACTCTGAGCCCGATTTCGTCAGAGTCAAAGCAAAAGACCAAGTACCAATACAAAACTTTTGGGCGGCGGTTGAGGGATATTTCAACCCATTGACAGAGGAGGACCGCAGATTTTTAATGGCAAAGGTATGATAATCATGCTTTTCCTGTCTTTGTTTGGGAAGCATTCTTGCAACTAACTTGCGAATGGTAGGAGGATGACCCTGATTTTCATGTTATACCTCCACTTGGTCGCCATTATCTTGAAACTTGGGTAGAGAATGAACAGTCCTTAGTCCCATCGCTCAATTCACCTCGTTCACCCGCTTATTTCTCACCGTCACGGCATAATATTCGCGATCTTCATTTGGACAGAAATGAACAGTTCCATTATATATACCCAGAGAAATCTCTGACAGACCAGCAACTGTTATTCGAAGATCTAAGCTGCGGAGCATTAACCGAGCGACTGATCAGCAGTATGATAAAGGAAGATCCAGCGCCAGACACATTGGAGTCTGCAGAGGTGGATGATAGCAGCACTGAAGGAGGACAAAATGACACCTTTGACAATATCGATGACTTAGATGGAGAAAGTTGGTCTGATATTACAGAACACCAACCAGAAGAACTTACACAATTTGAAGAGAAGCTACAACGAGAATTACGATATATTGGACTGCTTGGTGATGATGAGGTTAGTCAATCGATGATATAATTGATCATAACTACATATAGCACTTACACGCATATTTTGGGCTACATCTAGTTTGATTTGTCAAACCGTGAGGACGACGAAGTTTGTGCTGAGCTTCGTAAGCTTTCACGAGAACTCAAGGAGCAGCTGAAATTAAATAATGAACGAAAAGCTCGACTTGCAGCTGTAGTGGAGAAACAACTCCAATTTGAACAATATCAGCAAGTTTTGGACATGCTCGATTCTCAAGTTGATCAAATTTATGTCAAGCATCACGTACGTTTTTTCTCTTTTCTTGGACATTTTATCATTAAGTCTTCGGGTTTAACGTAGTTATTATATACAGCGCGCGCAGAAATCAAAATCGAAGCGCAAACTCACTACAGCTATGAAAAACCTGCCAGAAGGGGGAAGTTGGGCAATACAACGACGAAAGCTTTGGGTTGATTCAATTGGCGCAATTTTTAGAAATCGCTCTATTATCATGCCTGAAGAATCCATCTACACTGGACTACCTGCTTCCATTTCAGACGAAAAACCAATCGACATAGCGAATAGAATTCTAGACTCGGGTAATTCGAAGTCATCCTCCCAAACCCCAAAACCCATCAAATGATTTTTTGAAAACCTCACTAGCCTTTACTACAACCGTCCTGTTTCTTCAAGGTCGAAAGCTGATTTCAGCGCACTTCGATTTTAACCCTTTGTACATATTGACAATACAGTGGAGCTGGATTTGCATTTTTCATATGTTATCTTTTTCTTTATTTTTGGTTGCCAGCGAATTGTACCATGTCACTAAAAGTGATAACATCAAATTGTGAACCATTCTTCTCTATGTCATGCTTTTCTTGTCCCATCTTTAAGCTGGAAGATGACAGTATTTTTTCAGATCCTTGTAGTTTAGCGTTTGTGCAAATCGCAACAGGATGCTCTTGATCGATATATGAGAGATTGAATACAAATGTCTTGTCGTTTTCCGGTTCCTTTGAGTCCTGTACAACGACATTTTGTCCATCATTTCCGGCATTCTTTTAAGATGGAAGTCTATGGTAAGTAGCATAGCAATGGCCTCTTTCAACAGTTCAAAATGTGTACCTTGTTTGACATAAAATTAACAAACTTTAAATCTTTGTGCAGTCCAACTCCTAGAGCTTTGATATAGCTTTCCTTCAGGCACCAAATTTCGTAAAACAACTGAAGCTTTTGGTTCTCGTTTTTGGCACTGTGTAGCTTAACCAATTCATCTTCCGCGAGCTGAAATAGAATGGGATTTAGTTGATATCAAGGGGGGAACAATATGGAATATTCTTAAGGGGTAACTCTAACCTGATCAGCAAAACAGTCGATAAAGGCGTCTACGCTTTCGTGCGGTGTTTCGTTTCTGGTCACGTCGACGCCAATCGTACCGTTTGAGCATAAACCAATAACAACCCATTCTCCATGATGCGATACATTGAAATCTACATTCTCTCCAACCTCCATGGCCTTTCAAATGATGAGTACTTTCACTGTGGTACGGGAAACGATATGAAGTTAGAGGCTTACTGTGCTCGGTTTGCCATATTCAGATTCCTTGAACGAAATATCGTTCCAGGCAATTTTCAGATGTTTAGAGAAAAGATATCTCTTCAAAAGTTGACTTGCAAGAGATCGATGCTGGTCTGCCTTCAACCGAAATCGTAAAATGCGGTTGCGCTCCGGCACCGGCAGATATTGCAACCCTAAGTCAAGCTACAAAACTCTTTCTCAGTTACGAACGCGCTATTATACTTTCATATCAGTGTGCTATCGAACCTCTTTTGAAGACCATTTGGCAACATTAACCGCTAGGAACACAAATGGGAGCATGAAAGCATTGCAAACTGGTCAAAGGCACTGCTAACGTGACAGTGAAATGCAATTTTTCGAACCCAAATCAATTTCAACGTGAGGGTGCTCTCTGAGTTTGAGCAAGGCTTTGTGAGGATGCCTGCCAATAGCCGCGGGCAGTTTCCAACCTTTGGCTCACAGACTGGTTTTAACCCGTCAAGATTATCTTCTGATTCCACCATTGTCACTGAATCCGCCACACCTTCTCAATCTGACGGCCAGGAGTCACAATCCCCAATGGATACTTTGAACGCCCCACCTTACCAACCTCTCCGCTACCAACTTCCGGGAGCATTAAATGCATTGAGCAGCTCACCTGATGGGGAATATGTAGTAGTTGCTGGACGTGAAGGTATGGCTCATCTAACGGAGATATTGATAACTTCGTAGCCTAGTATTTAAACCATCCTATGATATTGAAATAGTCCTAAAAGTGCTGCATGTTACGACGCAGGAGGTTACCGAATATATCAACCTACGAACCGGAAGCAACCTTAGTCTCAATTATAGCAGCAATGACGTGAAATGGGGAAATAACGGTATGCTATTACTTCCTCGATGTTGATCATGTTACCACTATTGACCGTTTTTGATACACACTAGCAACGAAAAACAAGATTGCAACAGCAGCTACAAACGGAGCAATCATTATATGGGATCTCAACAAAAGCGGACGAAAGACAGGTAAAATTGAAACAAGAGTTTATGGCGAGCCTTCATAATTCGTATCATACTGATTCCCGCTACCACAGATCGTGTTATATCCGAGCATACCAGAGCTGTCAATCGAGTTTGTTTTCAGCCCAATAGTGGATTCACTTTATTGAGTGCCTCACAAGACGGTAACATAAAAGCATGGGTTAGTGTTGTCAGAGGCATGCATGAAAGTGATAACTACTTGTGTTGATACTTAATTGATGGTAGGACTTGCGAGACCCAAAATCGTTGGCTAAGTACAGCTACGAAGGAAAGTCTGAAAGCGTCAGAGATGTCCAATTTAATCCGTTGCATACGTATGAATTCGCTGCGGGCTTTGAGACGGGAACTATTCAGGTATGTCAATTACATGGGATGACGAACTAAACATTGGCAACTAAATCTGTCCTGTTGTAGAAATGGGATATGCGTAACCTAAAACCTATATACGATCGAAAAGTCAGCGCTCATAACGGACCTTGTTTGACTGTGGACTGGCATTCCGACGGTAGAACCCTCGCCAGTGGAGGCAGAGATCGGACCATCAAGGTACATTGACAGATTTACTCGATATTATCGGAAAATATAGTTAGTAACGAGACTATGAAGGTGTGGGACATGAACTCGGATAGCAGAAAACCACAGTATACCATTCGCACCATGGCATCAGTATCACGAATACAATGGCGTCCTGGATACGATAATGAAATCGCATCATGCGCTTTGTTATCAGACAACGGTCTACATGTGTGGGATGTAAGACGGCCCAATATTGCAAAATATACGTTTGATGAGCATAGTACAACGCCAACAGGTAGGGTGTAGCTACAGATTAGGTTATATTTGAGTTAATTACTGAGTGAGGCGTCTCACTTCAGGCTTCCAATGGCTTTCGTCCGATACCATCATCTCTTGTGCGAAGGATCGCTATTTTATGCGACATGACATTGTTGGTGCCTATCAGCCTATCGAACTTTTACGAAAAAATGGTATTGGATGGAACATTCATGGTGATCTTGTCTTCTCAATTGATAAGAGTGCTGGAGACTCTTTTGTAGATGAAATGTAAGTATTCTTGAACAGTTATGCATTTGGGATATTTCAGCTCAACTATACCCCAATCCACAGCTCGACTCCCGGAGTGACCAGCCCAGCGAACAGAAAACAACGTAGATCAAGAACCAGCACAGGAGATGAGATGGTGAGTACATAAAATATGCGTCATTTCTCGCCTTTTAGAACTTGTAATAACACATGAGTTAGCCACTGCAATATATACCCCCTCAAACTTGTGGAATTGCTCATCTACCGCTATTTGATTATGAAACCTTCTCTGTTTTTGCACAAAATTACGTGACATCTGGCGAAGACATAAAAATGGCTTGTGAAACCAATGCAAAGGTATGTTGATTATACGTTGTCATCTTTTGGAATGCACCTAATCCACAGTCTCATGACAGATTGCTTGGAGCATGCAAAGATTCAGAGCGGCACAAACGTGGAAGATTATACAGTTATTATTTGCCGACATGGACGATGAAGCCAGTAGTTCAGGTAAGAAATTATCCTTCTTCCAGAAAGCACCACACAGTAAGTAATTCGGCGGGACCTAGTCAATGCATCAGATAATGGCTATGTTAAAGCACTGGAAGATAATGTAAGTCAATCTTTAAGGGTCGAACCTTTATGTCGTAGTATGTTGCTGACATTGCCCATGGCCTTCGTTCTTGATAAAAGACGGTAAACGGCACTGATGCGGCAAGTGAGACGGACTCAGAAACATCGTTAAGGCAAGGAGGAAATGATTACAAAGATCATGATGATCTCTCATCGTCATCATCAGAGAGCAATGAGATATCTAGTATGTCACAAAATCAAGAAATCGTCAATGATTTACTCTCATATTACACCGAACAGGTAAGCAACATATGACCGAACGAGCTATCAAGTCAAATGAGAATGCTTTGATTTTAATGGATTGCCTTTTCAATTTAGAGCGACGTTCAAATGTGTGTCACGCTATTTCTTGTCATCCAGCAACACGTACATGTTGGATTAGAGCAACTGGAGGATTGGTTTACAAGCTATATAGGTGTGTATCCATGCTGAATATTCAAGTGGTGCTTGCAACACACCGACATCGCTGACTCTTTATTAAACACTTTAATTAGATTTGCTACACAGGTTCAAGCTATGGACTTCTGCTACCGATATCATCAATGCTTGTCCGATAGAAGCAGTCAGGACTATCAATATGGTAAACTTTTGCCTGTTTGAATATGGACCTGTTACCGTTTCGCTAACTTTCTTTACAGAATGCCACTACGATAAATATAGCGTGCAACAATTGCTTTAAACTGGTACTGAGTACCGCTCGAGCGTCTTGGGCGTGTGATAAGTGTCACAAGCTTTTGAACCCTTGCTCGCTATGGTACGTTGTTAGACTCTTTGAGGTAGCACACTTAATACAAATGCTCATCCACGTTCTCCTCAGCCATCAAACAGTCCGAGGGTTGTATGTATGGTGTCAAGGTTGTAACCATGGCGGACACTTGGAGCATATGCGAGACTGGTTCTCAAATAACTCTCAATGCCCCACAGGCTGTGGACATACTTGTACTTTGGATATGAGCACTCGTAGTCATAGCTAGAAACTAGTTATAACTAACAATGCTTTGTATAATGTCTTATTAGATAATGGTATTTTTTTTTTTCTCTGTTGTTTCTTTTAAATTTGCCAACCCATATGCTCATCCAGTTAGCGTAACTGTGTACTTTGTACTTATTCAGATCAGCATGGTCAATGAGGTGTTGCATTCGATACGATGAGTGATTGGATGTTCTTCCATTTGCAACTTTAATATAATATAAATTTCATAAGGTGTAATAGTCGTATTACAATGCTGCTTGAGACTTTTTATTATTCTATACTGTATCTACCATTGAGTAATATCTACTTCGGCTTCTCCAAACAAACTGGTTTTGGTTGCCTTCAAGGTTTCTTGTTCTTCTACTTCTTTTTCAGAAACCAACGAGTTTTCGTAAATGTCAGGAAGAACTCTCTGAATGAATCGTAATATGTTTTTGTTGATTTGATCAAATTCGAGTAAGAATCCATCATGGCCGTCTGGTGATTGAATCACCACCATTTCAGAATTGGGAATGAATTCTGCTAGCTCGTATTGTTCGGATATAGTAAATAGACCGTCAGACTCAATACCTAGAGCAACAATGATGATTCATATTAAGTTCTAGAAAAAAAAAAAGGATCTATATTGCCAAACTTACCAATGACTAATGCATTTTGCTTTATGTCTGCCAGGACTTCTTCATAAATTCCACGACCGCGTCCTAGATCGTGGGTGTCCATTTTTCTGGTCAATGCAATGTAACAGTTGGCATCGAATCGATTGATGAACTTGTCTCCTTGATATCTAAGATAGGACTGAGCTGAGAAAACGAATGGAGTTGGGATTGGAGGGTCATTAATCGTGGTATGTGTGGTTCCATTGGAGGATGTCTCGTTAGTAGACGTCTCAGTGGTCGATTTTTTGGATCCAGCATGGGAAGAACGGGTGCCTGATGAGCTTTTGTGACCATCATTGTGCATCATGACATTAGCTTCGCGTGGGGATGCCGGTCGAGCAATGTTGTCTTTGTACCGACCACCGGCAGCGTTTCGACCAAATCTCGATTCAAAAGAGTTTCTGGATCGATAAGTAAGCAAAGCGGACATGCGCGCGGCTGCCAATCCAACATTTGGTTTTGCTTGCTCTGTATAATACCCATCAGCTAGAGAAATGGCGTTAGTAAATTTATGATTGTCCCAATTTCGTCGATGAATGGGAAATTTTATATCTCCCAGTAAGGTAATATACCAACCATAAAATGGGTCACTATATATGGACTGTCTTTGAGCTTCACCCCAACTGATCCCCCAAGCTGAATGACGACCAGAAGTAGCGATAGGCACAATGTTTTTAACATAGTCTCCTTGCTGAGCCCATTCCAAAACCTAAATCAATCATTCAGGTGACATTCAGTTTCAAACATGCCCCTTATATATGCCCTCCTAGTAATAAAACTCACCTGCATTCCGCCCATGGAACCACCTATACAGATTGCAACGCTCTTGATTCCGAGAGAATCCAAAATGACTCGATGAAGTCGAACATCATCCCGTACGCTGACCAATGGAAACTCGGGACCATACTGTTCGCCAGTTTCCGAGTTAATCGTCAATGGCGATGCAGATCCGTATGGTGAGCCGAGGACGTTGGCGCAGAAAATGAAGAACTTTGTGGTATCAAACGCAAGGTTCGGCCCGATCAATGGTCCCCACCTAGAAAACAATGCCGGTGAGAATCCCGATAAACGACTATCCCTCAAGGCATGGAATAGCATGGTCCTGTTCTCGAGGTTAACTTACCAGTCTTCGACATCCGCGCTTCCAGTCAGGGCATGGCAAATTACCATAACGTTGTCTGCCGTTTCGTTCAATTTTCCAAACGTTTTCCATGCTATCGGTACGTTGTGGATTGTGACTCCCGTTTCCAGAGTGAATTGGTCAATGATGGTGATATTTTGCTCTGGAATCAATCCCACCAGGTGGTTTTTCTTCAGCTCTGGAGGGATCTCTTTTGCTGTGTCATAATTTTTAAGCTCTGACATCAGGAATAAGGTTTGTGCAATTGTTTAAATGATCAAGAACTGGTCTTCAGGGAATAGACGTTAACAACGAAAGACCGAAGTTCAATGGTCAAAACTGCTCATCTTAAGCAGTCACAAAATAATCACTCACAATTCATCACACAAAAATGCAAGACAAAAAAATACAGATGATTCATACTCCGTCTGCAAGGTGTGCTTGACGTATAAAAAGTAATACTTTTTAAGACCTTCCTCCGCACTCTACTCTTTTCTTTCGAAAACTCATTTTCAGTTTTTAAACTTTATTCACAATGGACCAAGCTCCTGAAGAACCTAGACAGCGCAGTGGATCGTTTTCTCAGCAGAAGCCAAAGGTGTTGAGACCTTTCAATACCTCTGAAGTCAAGATTCTTCTGTTGGAAAACATCAACCAGACCGCTGTCGATGCATTCAAGAAGCAAGGCTATCAGGTAAGGGTTGCAGTTGGAGGGAAAGGAATTGGTTTCCATCAGAAGTCTAATGTGGTATTTCTCTTCATATCGATAGGTTGAGACCTACACCAAGGCGCTTGCTGGCGATGAGTTGCTCGAAAAGATTAAGGATGTCCATGTTATCGGTATCCGCTCCAAGACCAAGTTGACTAAGCAAGTTCTCGACGCGGCTAAGGAATTGATTGCCATTGGTTGTTTCTGTATTGGTACTAACCAGGTCGACCTCGACGCTGCTGCCAAGCAAGGTGTAAGTAACAGTCCACAATCTAATCTGGATATAAAATATGATTGGACCAAACCTTCTAAACCAGATTGCATGCGATAGGTATGTGTTTTCAACTCCCCCTTCAGCAACTCACGTTCTGTTGCCGAACTTGTCATTGGAGAGATCATTGTTCTTGCCCGCCAACTGGGAGACCGTAGCAATGAAATGCACCAGAAAATCTGGAACAAGGTGTCTGCCAACTGCTTCGAGATCCGTGGCAAGGTCCTCGGTATTGTAGGTTACGGTCATATTGGCTCACAGCTATCTGTCTTGGCTGAGTCCATGGGTATGACTGTCTACTTCTACGATGTTCTTCAAATCATGCCTCTCGGAACTGCCAAGCAAAAGGAAAGTTTGGAGGAGCTGTTGTCTATTTCCGATTTTGTCACTCTCCATGTTCCCGAACTTGAAGAGACCAAAAACATGATTGGCGAAAGGGAAATTATGGGCTACATGAAGAAGGGTGCTTATTTGCTGAATAATGCTCGTGGAACTGTCGTCCAGATTCCTGCTCTGGTCAAGGGTCTCAAATCTGGTCACCTTTCTGGAGCTGCCATTGATGTTTACCCTAAGGAGCCCGCTTCCAATGGTCCTCACTTTACCGAGTACAATGACTTGCTCGAATGCAAGAACCTTATCATGACCCCACATATCGGTGGCTCCACTGAAGAGGCTCAATCTATGATTGGTATTGAAGTTTCCACCGCCTTGACCAAGTTCATCAACCAGGGTACTTCTATCAATGCCGTCAACTTCCCTGAAATCGACCTTCGCGTTATCAATGAAGAGGAAAGCAACACCGTTCGTGTTCTGTATATCCATCAGAATATTCCTGGTGTGCTTAAGGCAAGTGTTTAGATCAGCGATTATCATTGACTGCCAAATCTATATTCTAACCAATGAGTTGGGTTTTTAGGAAATCAACGAGATCTTTGCTGACCATAATGTTGACAAACAATACTCCGATTCAAAGGGCGCCATTGCTTATTTGATGGCCGATATCACCCAGGTCACTGAGGAACAAATTGAAATCATCAACCACCGAATTTCAAATACACGCGCCAACATCAAGACTCGTGTTCTTTACTAGAAAGCGTTTCAACCCAGAGAAATACATTGCATCCTTCCCACTTATTCTCCATATTCTGTATAATAACTTCAACGTTTTCCCATCCCTCTTTGTGCCACAGTTGCACATTATAAAAAAAAAACCTCGATTGTAACAGGGTTTTCAACCCCCACTAACTACGCCTTTGAATGTCGTGCTTTGTCACCCTGCCAGACGGACGGATTTAGCGAAAATGTGGATGATGGATCCTGTTTGTCGGTACACAGGTAAAACGGACATAACGGAATATGGAATAATTTCAAAAATTGATTTTTTGTATGGTGGAAGTGAAATAAGAAATATACAAGGGTTTTATGTCAGTGATCTATGTCTATAGTATATAGATTAGCGTGAAGAACACAATATGGAAAAAAGCATTGTTTTAAAAAAAAAATTAGGCAGAACCGAGGTAACCATCTTGTTCCAACATGAGGACGATCTCATGAACAATTTGGCTGACACTCTGCTTGGAGATATCAACAGTGAGATTAGCCTTGCTAGGAGTCTCATAGGGGTCATCGATACCGGTGAAACCCTTGATTTCACCAGCACGAGCTCTCTTGTAAACGCCTTCTCTATCCCGGCTTTCGCACTCTTCGAGGGAGGTAGCAACATGGACCCTGAAAAAATTGATTGTCAGTCATGCTGGCTAACTTATTCATACGACAAAATAGTTTACACTTACAAATAGAAACCACCATATTTCTCAATGGCAGTCTTGGCACCTTGGCGGGCAGCTTCATAGGGGGCGATGGGAGCGGCAATGCAAGCAGCACCAGCCTTGGTCAATTCACCGGCAACATAGCCAATACGTTGAACGTTGATGTCACGTTCGCGCTTAGTGTAACCAAGTTCAGAAGAAAGTTCAGCACGGATGGTCTCACCGAGCAAAAGGGAGACGGAGCGGGTGCTTTGCTGGTTGAGAGAAACTTGCAAGGCGCGAGCAATGGAGTTCTTTCCAGATGCATGCAGACCAGTCAAGAAGATGGTGAAACCTTGAGTGGCACGAGGAGGGTAGGCTTGGCGCAAGACTTTGACGACCTCAGGGTAAGAGAACCATTCAGGGATGGGGAGACCTTGCTTCAGACGACGACGGAGCTCAGTACCAGAGATGTTCAAAGTGTTGACACCAGCGGGGACTTCATCAGCAGGCATGTATTCATCAGTGTCAGGGCAGTAAGCAACCATTTGGAAAGGAACAATTTCAATTCCGATCTCATCCTTGTACTTCTCAACAGCATCCTGGGCATCATATGGACCGTAAAAGTCAACACCTTGGGAGTTCTTACCAGGGCCAGCATGGTCACGACCAACGATGAAGTGGGTAACACCGTGGTTCTTGCGGATCAAAGCGTGCCAGATGGCTTCACGAGGACCACCCATGCGCATAGCCAATGGCAACAAGCTCAATTCAGCCATACCGTTGGGGTACTTGGGCATAAGAGCTTTGTAGACACGGACACGAGTGTAGTGATCGATATCACCGGGCTTGGTCAAACCAACAACAGGGTGGATCAACAAATGGGCCTTGCGAGCGCGAGCTGCACGGACAGTCAATTCACGATGAGCTCTGTGCATTGGGTTACGGGTCTGGAATGCAACAACGCGAGTCCATTGAAGCTTCTTGAAGTGAGCACGGAGTTCAGATGGGGTGACTAAAAGATGATAAATTTGTCCCCGGTCAGTCTTTTTTTTGGAAAAGAGAAAATTGTCAAACTCATAACAAAGGTTCCAAACACTTACATCGGTTAGAAACGTAATCGTAGTGGCTAGGGGGTTGGATGGCTTCGAGTTTACCACCGACGTAGAACTCTTTGGCAATAGTGTGCAAATATTTGACAGCTGGATGTGCGTCATCGTCAGCTCCATATACGTTGATAGCCTCCTTTGCCTTGTCAGGTCGGTAAACATCATCAACAGTCAAGATGGCAAGGGCTTGGTCATCACGAGGATCACGGAGAGTGATACGTGCTCCAGCCTTGATACCAATCTCGGTAATCTGTTCCTGGCTAACATCCAAGTTGATAGGAATAGACCACAAAAGGCCATCAGCGAGACGCATATCCTCGACAACACTGAACAACTGGTTAGTCTACTTGCACAGCCTTTGTTGAGTCAACTTTCCCACAAAGTTTTATGGCGACTTACCCTTCATAATCCTTCTGGTTCAAGAAACCTTCCAAGGGGGAGAAACCACCGTTGAGGATAAGTTCCAAGTCACACAACTGACGGTCATCAAGCTCAAGGGAAGGGAGCTGCTCAGATTCAGCGAGAAGAGTATCGTGCTTGTCAGCATCGCGAAGATACAAGTCCTTGAGGACACCACCGTGAGGAGTATTGGCCATAGTTGTTTGTAAAGAGTAGAGAAGAGAAACTAGAGTCAACAACACCAAATTCAAGTCACTTTTTCGGTTTAAAGAATTTCGGGGTTTATCCTTTGATGAAAGCAATTGCGCAATTGCCTACTTCAGCCAATCAAGTGTCTGGTGATAGAATTTCGCTAGATGTTGCGTGCTCACTCCACACATCCATCTTTCATTATATTGGCTGGCCTCCCATCATGGTTTTGAAAACTGATTGTATACGTATTTACCTTCTGTCAAACAATCGTTTCCTGCTCTTCTTGCACTTCGAATGTGAAGCGATATCAGCCACTTTTACGAAACACGCAGTAGGATAAACAAAAGCGGGTCAAGGGAGAATTCTACCCGTGCCAACTCAAAATATGGCAAAATTATTAATCCAAAGTCGATGCTTCTTGTAAGGTATTTTTTCTTCTTTTATTTATAATGTACTCATTTGGTCAGAAGGATGGTCTAGCAAAGCCGTCCGAGGTTACGATACCCACGAACAAGACTTGCAGGCTATAAAAATGACTATTAAATATTTTACAGGAACGCCTTTGCAGCTTGGACCCTTGACGCTCAATTGGTATTATCGGCGGATAGTGAATAAATGTCTATGGAGGTGCCTTGGCATGGGCTGAGTCAAACAAGCAATTTGTTCATTTTTCTTTTTGACTATGCCGTGGGCATGAGCCGCTTGAACTCTTCAAAATCAATCATGCCGTCTTTATCAGCATCACCATCTCGCATCATTTCTTCGAGTTCTTCGCGGGTCATGTCCTCTCCGAGCTCCTTCATGGCCATAGCCAACTCGTCGAAACTAATACGACCATCTCCGTTTTTGTCGAACGCTCGAAAGCAGTCTCGCAGCTGCTCCTCATCTTCAATGCCAGAATGGTCATGAGCACTTGTAGTGGTGGCTTCAATGGCATCAACGAACTCCTCGAAATTCATGCTAGTTGAGTTTTGTCGACCAACTCGCTTGATGATCGCTTTCGCTTCTGTTTGGCTGGAAGTGACGCCGAGATGCTCTAGGACTTGAGTGAACTCTTGTATACTCACATTTCCATCACCATTTTTGTCAAATATTTTGAAAACTAACGAATAGTGTCAGAGAAGGAGCTATGCTGTGTAGTGCGGTGGTAATACAAGACTAAAGATATTGTGACCGTACCCTGAAGGAGGCTTTCTTTTTCTTCATTGTTCACAGTCATTTTTGGGGTGGTGAAAAAGAAGTAAGAATGAACAAAGAATTACAAAATTTTGGGGGTTTACCACTATTATTTATTGGAACTGCGGGGCCTGTTATGAGAATTTACACTCTTTTGGTCTCAACCGGTGATCTCACACCAAGTCAAGCCATCGCATTCTAGCTGCGCTGCGAATAGTCTCAGGAGCTTTACTCAATTTGTAGAGTTCATCAATTAGAGCCGATCTAAATGTACCGGGCCCTTGGACATCTTCTCTTTTCGCCGCCAGCTCAGACGCAATATTGAGAGTCGTTATGCTATCATGGTAGAGAGGAATACAAAGCGTGATCAGTAAACACCGTATCAATATTGTGGCAAAAATCAGAAATTAGAACGTTCCATACGCCGCAATGGTTGCCAATAGAATGTCCGAGTTTTCGACTGATGGAGGCGGGGTCAGACCAAGTCATTTTGTTTCACATTATTTAATGACACAATAACTTACTTGCTGCGAAGCATCCTACAACTGTCGTTGCCATACAGCCGCTTCCAGTTATACTGGCCATGAGTTCGTGACCGTTCTCGAGGGCTATCACTCGCTGACCATCTGATATGTAATCGATGACACCCGTCATTCCGACTACGCATTCTATAAAATTTTAGGAGTCAAATCTGACCTCAAAGAGACCTAAACAACAAACTTAATATACACTTACTATGCTTCTTGGCCAGTTCCCTTACAGCCTGCGCAGCAATAGACTCGTCATCTGTTCCTACGGAATCAACACCTCGGGATTTTCCTCCTTTTCCAGCCAAGCCAAGAATTTCACCTGCATTGCCTTTGATGACCGTGAACTCACATTCCTGTAAAAATCTGGCCGAGACCTTCTTGCGGAGGTTCGTTGCAACCGCACCAACTGGATCGAAAATGACTGGGTTTCCATGAGTGACATTCTCTTGTGCAGCAAGAACCATGGCGTTAGTGATGGTCTCATCCACGGTGCCCATGTTGAGGACCATGGCGCCGTTTACGGCGGCAAGATCTTTTACATCTTCGGGGTGGGTTGCCATGATAGGTGAAGCCCCGAGTGCCAATGTGGCGTTAGCATTATCGTTGATGACCACGTTATCTACCGTAACAAATTGTTATTGAACGGACTGAGTACAATGACCTCTCACTAAGAAGAAATGATATTTTCTTCTGAGCAACTTACTAGTGATATGATGCACCAAAGGACCTTTCTGTCGGATAGTAGGTACAAGTTTAATGATATTTTCGATCATTTCCTTCGTATCTCGTTGTTCCTGGATGGGTGTGCCAGACTTTGCGCATTTGTTAACATAATGACGAACAACGCCAGCAAAATCCTTACACGTCTGCTCCGGTTCAGTTGACGACATTATCGCCGAAACTACAGCAATACCATCCAAATGTCTGCCGTCAACACTTGTTTTGGCCATAAGTTGTGGTGTGTTTTGCTGATTTATCCCACCAATCGCAACTGTCTGGACATTGGCATCACCCATTGCTTGAAGAATAGCTATATATGATGGAGAGGTTATGAGTATCGTGATGTTCAGCGCTGTGTAGAACGAATTGATGCAATTGCTTACCTTGAACACCATCGACTCCAAGTGGTTTCTTGGACAGCTTTTTTGTACTTGTGAACCAGACTGCACCAATCCCGAGATAATCTGCACCTCCGCTGATGGCATCTTGGGCCTCCTTCACATTGTTCACTGAGACACCGATAATTTTATTAGGGCCAATGAAATTCCTGACCTGAGCCAATGTCATATCATCTTGGCCAACATGGACTCCCTCAGCATCGACTGCAAGAGCAACATCGACACGGTCGTTGATAATGAGAGGGACATTGTACCTTTGAGTTATCTCTTTTGTTTTCCGGGCAAGGTCGATAAACGGTCTAGTATCGAGATTCTTTTCTCGAAGTTGCACTAAGGTCACCCCTCCTTTGAGGCACGATTCTAAATGAGTTAAAAATTCATGACCGTTGGGTAGCAGAGAGCGTTCTGTGACGAGATATAACGTATAGTCAACTTGAGGCTTTACTGACATGGTGATTATGTTGCGATTGATCTCGAGCAACAATTTCGACAGTATTTGGGGACAGGGCAGTCCGATCAGCAGTCATGCCGGACACAGCATGAAACGTTTGACGCCCTTGCCGACTCTTACCGAACAGGCGCGAAATGTTTCCTAGAGTACGACTAGCAGCGTCTACCTATGGTTACGCCAAGCATTGCAGAGTGTACACTAACATTCGGCCAACAGTCCTTTGTGGAGCCTCGCGTAGAACGTTCATTAGCTCCCCACCATGTTCAAAAAAGGTCACGAAAGGTCAGGCAGACGACCTTTTCACCCGACAGACCAACCCACCAGTGTCGACAGCAACTTCCAAAACACCTCAAAATACTAACACTGAAAGCGGCCAAGGTTTAATAGACAACAGTAATGCATTGCTCGAGATAGATTCAAATACCCCCCTTCCGTTATTAAGGGCGCCAACCGGATCTGTTGTCTTGGATGCGGTTCGTGAATACACCGAAAAATACCCTACTTGCGTGCTTCTGATGCAAGTTGGCGATTTCTATGAGCTCTATGAACAGCATGCAGCCAACTTTGCCTCTCAGCTTGATCTAAAACTGACAAAGAAGGAAATCACAACCGGTACCATTGTTCACTTTGCCGGTTTTCCGTCAAGATCGCTGGATAGATATCTGGAAATTCTAGTGAATCGGGTGAAAGCAAATGTCGCACTATGTGAGCAGTATACAACTGTCAGTGGCCACATCAAGCGAAAAATCACCCGAATTATCACACCGGGAACATTAGTGGAAGAGCAATTTCTCGATGCCCATGAGTACAACTATTTACTTGCCATCGACATCGAAAATCAGTCGATCGGATTGGCATGGATCGATATGTCGGTTGGAGATTTTAATATGCAAAGCTCGGATCTTTTACAATTAGAAGACGATCTGGCGCGCATTCGTCCAAGGGAAATCCTCCTTCCTGCGTGGCTGGAAAGTCAAGTTGATCATCCAATTCATCAAATACTTCAGAAAATTAATCGACCAGCTGTAACCTTTCGACCTAATGAAATATACGATGCAGTTAGTGGAAGACAAAATCTCTCAGCTATGACCGAAAAATGGACTGACGTTCCTTCACTTACCACACAATCTAATTTCATGGACTTGGAACCGGAGCTGGAATCACCTACTTTTAGCGATATAGAAGTAGCCGCTGCTCAGGCACTCATTGATTACGTTGATAGCACACAGCTTGGGCGTCACCCAATGTTACAAAAGCCTATAAAGTTTGATCCTCAAGAGGTGTTGCGAATTGACAGCTCCACTATGACCTCCCTCGAAATTCTTTCTAGCATACGGGAAGGCAAGAAAGCGGACAGTCTGCTCGGTGTTATAGATTGTACCTCTACCAGTGCAGGTTCGCGGTTACTGAATCGTTGGCTGGGTAAGCGTTATGTCCTTCAAGGGAACAATATCGGCTATGATACTAATGTTGGTCATGGGTAGTCTCGCCCTTGAATAAAGTGGATTCCGTAAATAAGAGATTGGATATTGTTGAGTATTTTTACAACCGGAATGGGCTCCTAGATGACATTCGATTGGCATTAAAATCAAGCAACGACGCCCAGCGAGCACTACAACGACTCTCACTAAGAAAAGGTCAACATTCTGACCTTTTGGAACTCAAATGGACGTTTCAGGCAATGAAGACTATCAAAGAACAGATTCTGCAAGATTTACAAAATGAAACGATGGATTCAGTCCACTCAGAAACCGCCGGCCCCTATGGCGCTATGTCTGCCTTGTTGGATACCCTGAATACTCATGACCATTTGGTGGATTACATTACCAAAGCTATTGACGAAAATTACGTCCTTTCCAGAAACACGAAAGATTACAGAGAGTATGGATATGTTAACATGAGGTAAATTGAGCTTTCTTCCTTTTCATGCATGCTAGATTGTTTTTGAATACATGGATTTAAGATATCACCTAGTTACAACAAAAAGCTATTGTCAACGCACAAGAAATTGATGGGTCTTGAACGAGAAAAGACTGAGCTGTATGACAGGGTACGCGCCATTTGTGGTAAGTGATTATTCTCTCAGCAACTATGCGACACCACCCAGGTACAAACATCACTTTGACAGGATCGTCTGTCACCCTAATGTCAAGCGCTGCATTCAAGCACGTTGTTGAGGTTGGAAATAGACATGCGCATAAACTGAAAGATGCCTTCAAGGCAACCCTTGTAAATCAGACGCGGACTAAACATAGATACCAGATTGAGGTTGAATGGTTCATGCTGGATTCCCAATATACCGACATGAAGTACTAACCATTTGTGATAAACAGGAATGGACCAAGCTATCGGTTGACATTGAAAACACCGCTGCATCTATTATTGAACTTGAAGCTCAGGTGTATGAGCAACTTTGCGGCATGGTAGGTTTTCATACCCGCTTCAACATCAATCAGCCGGTACTACCCATCGGCTTATCCTCAGTACTGAGCTTATCATTTTTTTAAGGTCCTCGAGCAATCAAATGGCATCATACGGAGCTGTCGCGCATTCGCCCAATTGGATGTCTTATCTTCATTCGCAAGGCTGGCAATAGACAATAATTTCGTCCGGCCTAGTGTCAATAATGGAAATGCAGTACAAATCGTGGGAGGCAGGCACCCAGTTGTCGAGACTGGCCTATATCATAGAGGACGACAGTTTATCAAAAATGATTGTCATATTCATGACAACCAATCAATTTGGTTACTGACAGGGTATGTCAAAAAAAAAAACCATTCTTTAGATCTTTAGATAGTTTCAGGGTTACTAACTGTACGTATGGCAGGCCAAATATGGGTGGCAAAAGCACCTTCCTGCGACAAGTAGCGGTCACATTCTTACTCGCGCAGATTGGCAGTTATGTACCGGCGAAACGGGCAGACATTGGCATAGCCGATCGCATCTTCAGCAGAGTACGTGTATATTCCAGCTTAGTCCGAGTATGGCGCACCTCACAAAAACTGAAACTGAACACCAAAAAATCCCCTCTCCTTCAAAAAATTAAAATGATATTATAGGTTGGTGCCTCTGATAATGTCGCTCAAAACCAGTCAACCTTTATGGTGGAAATGATGGAAACGGCCAATATTCTGAAGAACGCAACGTCAAAATCGTTTGTGAGTATAGCGTAGCTTGAAGGTAGAGAGGTTTCGTGCTGGAACTAAGACGCTCTCAGGTCATCATGGACGAAGTAGGACGTGGAACAGCCACAGATGATGGGGTCTCTCTGGCTTATTCCATCTTACACTATCTTCATGAAAATACTCAGTGCAGAACACTGTTTGCTACCCACTATCATGATCTGACTGACATGTTGCAACAGGGCGACTATTCAGGAATATCGTATTACAAAACTACCATTGAAGAAGACGCGGTAAGAGATCGGTTGTTAAAAATTTGCCATACAGCCCATATTCAAATGAGTAACTGTGTCTGCATCTGAGTCAGGGCGGTGGTTACATCTTTAACCATCGGATATCTCCTGGTGTTTGCCGGAAGTCGCATGGCATTAAGGTTGCACAAATAGCAGGTAACCCATCTTTATTCTGTGGAAAGCTCAGCTAGGCCATCCAGCCGACAGAAGTTAAAAAAAAAAAAACCTTGAAAGAAAGCTAACACGCCAATGTCCTCTCTTCCATGCGGCGATTGACTCTAAGGAATACCCGATCAAGTCATATCGTTAGCATATCAGACTATGGCCAAGCTTGAAGCCCAACGAGCTGAAATACACAGGCGTGTCAAGACTTCACATGCGTAGGAAAGTGCCCGATCTTCCAAGTCACAGCCCCCAACCCATATGCTCCAAAGTCGTTGTTCGAGACCTGAAGTCTAATGGGAACACAAAGTCCTTTATTCCGCTAAAATAAATTATTTGGATGTTTTTAGATGGATGAACAACTACCTTTGCCGGTATAGAATAATCATAGAAGATTGAATAAATGAAGTCTAGATTTCTTCATTAATTTAGCAGAGTGATCAGCTTCTTCGTAGGAAACTCTCAGCCGGAGTCTCTTTCCAATGTGTTTCTATTTCTGTTTAGAACACCGCCAGTTCCCTGGTTCTTTCAACCACTCTCTCAGGTACCTGGTCAACTTGACGATCCAAATATAGACGTGCTTGATCTGAAAAAGGGAAATGAAAGAATTTGAGCAACGTTTATCCCCTGCCGTACAACTAGCCGAAGGAAACAATCCTGTGTCGTTAGAGCCGACAACATTGCGCGGACAAGATGGCGACGCATAATCGAAGCTGCTGTATGAGATCATGTCAAAGATCTGTTTTCAGCCAGGACAGGCGATATGTCATTGAAAGTGGACTACCTAGGTAAGGATCGACTTGACTGATCTCGAAAAAAAAAAAAAAAACAAAAGCTTCTTTTAAAGTCTGTACAAAACATTTCACTTCGCGCGCCAAATGCAATGCTCGAATTCCATCGATTACCTGATATCAGCCATGATCATGGTTACCCCTATCCTTTTGTGAAACGTCGCATGCATGGATACACATAGACATGGATTAAGGCAATGCAAGGTAATACTGTGAAGGCAGGCAGATAGAAGAATAAAACCAATGGTGAGCACATAACCATACTTAGATAGGCTGCTGTGATCTTCAAAAAAAAAAAAATATTAAGTCGGAACTTCTTCATCCGATGTTTAATTGGCTGTGATTCTGTTCCCAACAGCCCCACGAAAGGTCACGGTCCTATTGTCCAAGGTTCTCCGAAAAAGGCATATCCTTCTGAAAAAATATATAATAAAACTAGGTGGTGGCATTATTGTCTGCCTTTCATCTCATCTCACTTCTTTACCACAATGTCTTCACGCTTTACTGAACATTTTGATATCGTTCACCCCAACGCTCAAGCAATGTTCAAATCCTATTCACCGCACCCTAAAGTGGATACCTCTTTATCGCGAGCACCTCAACATCGTTCAAATACTTTTTCATCCACATCAAGCGAAAGCTCAACCTCAAGTAGCGAATTCAGTTTCGAAGATAAGAAGGTGTCTTTGGCAAAGCGATTCATGTCCATCTCAAGACGAAAGTGATTTGGCTAGCCCTACAATCGTGATCTATGAGAGTGAACTCAACAAGCTTACTCATTTTATTATTATTTGTATCATAATTTACCACAATATCGCTTAATATTTCTAGCCTGTCACTTATGACTTGTGTATATATTCTCCCGCCATTTTCCTCCATAAATATCATCATACGACCATGTTTGTCCTATACTTTTAAAGTGATCATCATGTGGGTTAAAACACCTATATTGGCACTTGAGAAAAAGTCTCCTTATTTCTATAAACCCAGTTTTTGCTACCTTGGTAACGTCTGACTGATACACACAAAAAGAGATGGCCTGCTGTTGAATGGGGCCGTTTGGGAGCTGCTGTTTTCATATGGTGGAATATGTCGTTTGTTGTACTTGAGATACAAGTGAACCAAAAGGTCAAAAACCAATCTGACAACTGAAAAATGCGTGACCCATTCTCACAACAATTTGAGCTGTCATTTCATTGAGGGCTTAAAAAGCGCCAATTAACACAGTCAAGCTTCGTGGAACAACCCACTGGTACACTTGTCATTACAATCAACCATGCAATGTTACCGCTTGGAATTTTTGACTTGCCGGCAAGTCTGGAAATTCAGAGTTCATATAAGATTATTCCCGGTACTTGAAGAACGAACCTTGATATGATCGTCGATCAATCAACCGCCTTTTTCTCCCTAAATAACGGAGATAGTGTACTATACCTGGTACTAAATCATACGCACCGCATTCGAGATATCACGTCTTTCTGTGCTGTGCATTGATAAAGCTACTAAGCAATTCCGTGTAAAATGAAAAGTCAGTTCTCAAATTCCTTTTGCATCAGGCAGAATTTCCTCCCAAGCCAAGCAAGGTATCCGAGGGGTATCACTCACGTACTCGCCACCGTCAATATTACTTGAGCCTATATACGTTAATCCACTGCTTTACTGTAGCGTGTCATGAATAATCTTTTTCTTACTTCACATATAGCAAAATTCTCAAACGGAGTAGCGAGTACGGAGAGCAAAGCCTTCGTATAACCCATGGCCAGGCACACGTGAGGCACAGTTTGTACTGGTGTTGAGCTGGGTACGAAGTCCAGGCGACCAACACACGTGAGGGTGACGATTTTACTTCTTATGGCAGGGACGCAACGACGCCATAGCTACCAAGCTTTTAAGTGCTATTGAGGTACAATGGTAAGGGTAAACGACACTACACTTTACATTGCCACTCACAGAGTAGTAAATCCCGGTCTTCTTTCGTTCAGTCCGACACTTTGACAGAAGAACAGATTAATGAATTCAGAGAAACATTCCAAATGTTTGACAAAGGTAAAACAGTCTTATTCCCCTGGCGGCACGTAAAGAAGCTGGTTCCAGCGCGAGGCGCTTACCCCGCTATCTAGACAATGATGGTTCCATCACTGCTCAAGAACTTGGAACGGTCATAAGATCATTTGGGATGAATCCTACTGAAGCTGAGCTTATGGATATGGTTCGTGGGTATACTTTGATTTGACACGACGCACTTTACATCGTATTAAAACCTGACTTGAAACAAAACTAAAAGGTGAATGAGGTTGACACAAATGGAAACGGTACCATCGATTTTGAGGAGTTTCTCGTTTTGACGCAAAACCTCAAATCAGATCAAGCAGATTACATCCGGGATGCTTTTGAGTAAGTATCTGCAAGACATTCTGTTTTCAGTCATCGTTTTCACATTGCGCGAAGGTACTTCGTTATGATGAACGTCATATCCTACTGGTCGGCACTTGAGAAACATGACATCTTACTTTGTATTGATGGCCCACCAATATTTCTTTCTTTTTTAGTGCTTTCGACGCTGACAAGAGTGGAACTATATCTCGCGAAGAGCTAAAGAATGTTATGAACTCTCTCAACGAGCATCTCACCGAAGATGAGATCGACGAAATGATTAGGGAAGCTGACAAAGATGGAGGTAATGTAATCTTAGCAGCGCATTTGCTTCTGAGAACACTGTTTCTTACTATGGTGTTTGTTTTAGATGGTAAGATCGACTTGGAAGAGGTACGGTACTAGCGATATAGCTTGACCGATTTTGCTCATATGCTCATGAATGTTCTTTCGATGCTGTAGTTCCGTGCGATGATGGAATCGCAATCTTAAGGCTCCAGAACAGGAGTGAGGTCCATCTTAGTTTCTTCACCGCCATGTAAACTGTCAACATCAAAATTCATCAACCCTGTACACCGACTGTTTGAGAGTTGTACCTTTTGTATTTGTAAATGGTGAAGGACACATTAGCAAACAGTAATAACTCGTAGCTTGTATCAATGTCTTCTTATTATTGGATTCATTTTCTTTTGATAAACCTTCAAAATTCTTTGAGCATTTGCGATATGTTTGCCCTTTTTAAGTCATCCCATGCAACAGTAGGTAGTAGCCTACCGCTCTCGACTGCGAAAAAGTCATATTTGTGTCCTTACAAATGTGTTTTGACAAACCTGTGTTACAAATCATCTAACAGTGTATTGTCTGTGCTATCGCATTCAACCGGTGGTTTTTTTTTATGACTAGCCATGCTCTATTACGCGAACCTGAATGTGACTCACAGACGGAAAGTCAAAATCTCTTAAAGATTGACAAACAAATGCAGGACCGTCACAAACATAACTGGTCGGAAGCTCGCCGACTTAAAGACATTCTACCTACTCGACAATGATACCACCAAAAGCTCTAACAATTGCTGGCAGTGACAGTGGCGGGTCAGTGTTATGGTTTTTAGTATAGACTTCTGTCAACACTTGGCTCATATGCTGCATTTCCCTATAGTGGCGCCGGGATTCAAGCCGATCTCAAAACCATGACCTCGCTCCATGTATATGGCTCTTCGGTTCTCACCTCCATTACGTCTCAAAACACACTTGGCGTTGACGGAATACATATTATGCCGAAGGAATTTGTGGCAAAGCAGCTCCACGCAGTTCTGAGTGATATAGGAGCCGACGCAATCAAAACCGGCATGATGGCTAGCGCAGAAATTGTGGAAACAATTGTAGAGGTGCTTAGCCACTATCCAGAGGCCGCTAAATACGTTGTAGTGGACCCTGTGATGATTTCAACATCTGGCTCCGAGCTATTACCACCATTGGCTGTAGATGTCATTATTAGAAAATTGTTGCCTATCACCTATATACTGACTCCAAATGTTCCAGAAGCGGAGCATCTCCTTGGCAAACCTCAAGGGAGCATTAAAAATCTACAAGACGTGTATGAGGCGGCAAAATCCATCGCTGCCTTTGGACCCTCTTTTGTTCTTTTGAAGGGTGGCCATCTTCCGCAAGTACGACAAGGCAAAACCTTGATGGTTGACGTTTTATACGACGCAGCTGCAGACAGCTACCACGAAGTAGTGAACCCATTTGTTGATACAAAGAATACACATGGAACAGGATGTACGTTATCGGCTGCTATTGCTTCTGGCATTGCAAAGAAAATGGATGGTACGTAATTGGTTGATCTGTTTTGAGTATATGAGCGAACTGCGGTGTTCATAAGCGTGCTTCAAACTTTGCAGCCAAGGAAGCCGTTGAGAACGCCATTGCATATGTTGCTGCAGCTTTGGAAAACTCAATTGGTGATGTTGGTTCGGGTGCCGGCCCGCTCAACCACTTCCACAACGTCATGGCCAAACCTTATGCCGGGTATGTAAAATTATGTGTGCATGAGCAAGAACAGATGTGGGACAAACATCGCAAACGTCGAGGTCTCCCAATCATCATGCTGACATGGTATCAATTACAGGAACAGTGTTGTCAAAGCTCTCATTGCCTCACTCCCTCAGAACATGTGGTCGAACTTCATCGATCATAAGTTTGTGCGTGGTATAGCGGATGGAACTTTAAAGCGGGAATCGTTTGAGCACTTTATTAAGCAGGATTACCTTTATCTTCAAAACTACGCTAGAGCGGCTGCACTAGCAGCATACAAAAGTGAGTTCACGTGTATGAAGCATTTTAGGCTGTTTACCGCAACTTCTGATTCAATTGAGTAGCCAGGGATATCGACATGACGGCTCACTATGCGAAAATCATACTTCATATTCACCATGAAATGCAGCTGCATTTGCAGGTTTGTATTTCCATAGACCTATTGTCTTGTTCTGATGACGTCAATTTTTCTTACATCAGTTAACGAATACAGTACTGTGAGACTTGGGGAATTAGCAAACAGGACATCCTGGATACCCCTGAGAGCGTCTATAATGTTGCGTACACTAGATTTGTCCTTGATCAAGGTAAAATTTAAACCAGCGATAGCGGTTTACACATTTTTAATATGCGTTTAAATTAACAACATGCAACAGGTGCCACCGGGGATGCAATGGATTTACAAGTTGCAATGGCTCCATGCTCACTAGGATATGGTGAAATAGGGCGAAAGCTGTATGACGATCCAAACACAAAACGAGGTGCGCACAGCTGACAACTGCACTACCCCCTTGATAAAAAAAAGGAATCTAACTCTTGTTTATTAGAGGGAAATCCCTATTGGCAGTGGATTGTAAATTATGCAGAAGACGATTTCCAAGCATCTGTGGATGAGAACAAACGTGAGTTCAACAATACGTAGAACCGTTGCAATGTCTCCATTTTCTGCCCACTAACATCGAAGCGTAGTGTTGTTGGAGAAACTTGCTTTACATCATATATCTACCTCAGCTACTAGGTGGCAGGAAGTGTGCGAGGTATTCAAACAAGCAACCATGCTGGAAATCCAGTTTTGGGAAATGGGTTGGAACTGTTCTTAAAAGGGTTTGGCAGCAAAATGCAATGGCCTCCTCTTTCCCCTCCCTTTCGTACCACCTTTAGACATTGCAGTTACCAGTTATCGTCAAAATTAAAGAGCATTTCACACAATAAAAAAAAAAAAAGGCAAGTTTTTGTGTTTGTTTTGTTTTATGCAACTGGGACTACTCCTGACAGATGTATTCCATACATCCTGTCTTTTGAGTGTCGTCCTGCAGTAGTATAGGAGGATTTATTTGTAGTTCTTGTCAAAAATATCAAAGTCGTACATATCATTCTTTTGGAAGAAATCACACTTGTCGTTGTTGAATCCGTCAGTCAACAAAGTGTTGGTGGTGTTAAATACATACACATTAGATTTGGATGCCGTAGCGGCTGGCCAGTACAATTGGTTATGGGTGTTGGGGTTGCCATAGCGAGCAAAGTGAGTCCAAGTATCCACAATATTTTGTGTAAACTTGAGGTCTTCGGCGCTGACAGGTATGCCATAGATATTGAGAGCGCCGAAAACTGTAGTTAGTTCAGAGCCGTGGCACTCCTTGTTGTAGCAGTAAGAAGTAGGGGCGTTTGTCTCCTGAAGGACATGGTCAAATCGTCCACGATAGACCTTAACACCGTGACCAGCCATTTGTTCGACGAACAAGCGAAGGGGGCAGTTCCAGAAAAAGTCAGTGATCAGCGCATTAAGTTGATCACGAATAATGTCAGGTTGGGTGGCACTGTAATACTGAATGATGGCAATGCATTAGCAAGTTTAAATCAAAGCTCAGAAAAGATAACGAAGGAATTGACCAAATCACTTACAGGATAAAGGCCAGATTGGATGATGGCGGTGGTTCTTTCGACACCAAAGTGAATGACAGTGGAAAGAAGGTAAGCCCAAGTCTGGTCAAGTGTAGGGGAATCGCTTGCTGCAGGAACAGGATTGGGGAGATCGTCGGTGATAAATGCACCAGCTTCGTCATGGTTGGTGGTGATCAAGAAAGGAACTTTGTTAAATTCGCCCTTCTTGACAGAAGTGTGCCAGTCGTGAGGAATGTATTCTCCATCGATACTAGGCTTGACAGGTTCGACAAAGTTGAATTCACCCTGAGGATGGTTCACATTGGAAACAAGGGTGACGGCCTTGTTGAAGGATGAGGTTAGGTCGGCAACACTAGCTTTGCGAGCGCAGGCTAGGTCAGTACATTGAACTCCTTGCCAGACTGTTTGAGTAAGGTTGCCAGCATCGGCAGGAGTTTGCCAGCCAAGGTCCCAAGGATCACTTTCGGAGATTGCCTTGTGGAACAATCCGGTAGCCTTAGGGGATTGAACAAGGGATCGAATGGAGCTACCACCGGCTGATTCACCAAAAATAGTGACACTATCGGGATTACCTCCAAAGCGTGCAACATTTTCCTTGACCCATTGAAGACCAGCGATTTGATCACGAAGAGCCAAGTTTCCCGGAAGTTCAGAACGATCGTAGTGAGTGGTATCTTCTGCAAAGCCAAAGATGTTGAGACGATCTTTTTGAGTATATAAAGGTGTATTCGTTAGTAAAGCAAGTAAACGCCAGGGCAATGCAAGGCAGAATAAAGGTTTCACGCATATCCTGTTACTTACAGTTAATGCTAAGAAAGGGAAAAGTTAGTGATTATAATCAAAACGCGCTAGGTAATGTATTGCATATATTTACCTGACAACAACAACATCTCCACGAGATGCAATGTTGCTTCCGTCGTAAAGACTGATCGTCAAAAAAAAAAATTAATTTAGAAAATTAGCCTTGTCAATTATAACAAAGAATATTCGATCAAGTAACTTACGTAGTCATGGCTGAGCCACCAGTATAGCCTAAATTATGCATTGCCGTCAACATTGATATCGTGTTATGGGCCGTAGCTAAATATACCCACCTCCACCATGGACCCAGTACATGACGGGTAGCAATGATTTGCGTTTGGAGCATTTGTCAACAGAGGGAGTATAGACATTAAGGTACAAGCAGTCTTCACTACCAGTTCCATCAGCTTGAACACAAATGTTGGTGAAATTTGTTGCTTGTAGTGGCTCGGTCCACTTTTTAGGTGGCTGAGGAGCAGCGAAACGAAGATCATCAACAGGAGGTTTAGCATAAGGAATACCAAGGAACTTCCAGGTTAGGTTATCACGGAACCCAATGATTGGGCCATCGTTGGTATTAGTACGAATTTGATAATGAGAACCATTTTCGCCTGCTGTTGTAGTTCTACCGGCAGAATTGGTACAGAGAGCATACTGCTTGCTTTCACAAGCACTTTTGCCCAAGTGTGACTTGGACTTCCCACTGCGGGAACTGGTGCGGAAGGAGGGGCAGTCAGACTTTCCACTCGATGTTCCTGCAATCCTATAAGGTGGAAGACATGACGACAATTTTAGTGTTTACAAAGAAGTAAAAATAGAGCACACAACGTAAACTGCATACCAGAAAGTACTATCAGCAGGTAACTTTGTGCTTGCTAAATTAAGATTGGAGGCGGTAGAGAGGTCAGCAAGTGACTCGCTCAAGGCTGCGCAAATAGCTTTAGCTTGATCATAAGTCTTTGGCTTATGCGAAGCAATCAAACTATGAGGCGGGTGGGAGGGGTCAAGTTGATTGTCGACAACAATGTCGAGTCCTCCCAACGAATAAATGGAAGGAGCTTGGGCGGCATGAGCAACGGCCAAAGCGGACGCCACTATGGCAATGGAGGTACCAATTCTCATATTAATCAATTGGCAAGGGTAAGAGGAATGGAATGAGGGAATAGAAAATAGATATAAAGGAAGTAAAAGCGGAAAGAGATGCAAAACTGCTGCAAGGTTGACTTGCAAAGGCACTTAGAATCGGCTTCCCTGCCTTCACACCAATGAGGAGTAACAAAAAAAAAATGGTTTGTGTCACTGTAACGTTTTGGCTGAGAACCACCAAGCCTTCGCTTATAATTACCTCCTTTGGTTGAAAAAGCAAAGAAACGGAGAGAGATGGCCAGCAAGCTTTGGCGGCAAAGCTTACTGGCTGAAAAAACATACATTATGAATTCACCGCGGATGTACAATTGGGTAGTCTCAATGAGACTAGGCTTCTATACACCTTCTCCAAAAATGACGTGTTCTTGGGTATAATATAACGCGGCTGCAGGCTGTCATGGGCTGTCTACATTTAGAAAAATAGCGCAATTATAGAGTTGCATTCGAGCGCACCAACAAAGTTCTTCAGCCATCGGCAATGCCAGAATGTAGCACTAAAGCTTGCCTAAGTAATTTGGCTCATGGTTACTCCGTAGGCAAAAATATTCGCACCAAATATTTCTGTCACGCAAGGTTGCACAGGCCATCCCCGCAGTCCACCATCGAGTCAATATCGAGCCACCAAACCCCAAAGACACCCTTAGTGAACCTATCAAACTTGTCTCGCTCAATTTGGAAATTCATAAATGCGAAAGTATCTCACCCCACCATGATAATGATAATTGCTTTACCAAGATGGTAATGCATCATCACTGTTATACCCTCTTATGCTGCTAAAGATTTTTGTTGCTTCTTTTTTCCCTTGCTTGTTTAGTCACGACATGCTACGACCAAAGAGCTTGGTTACGCGCTACCTTTCCGCCGCCCCTTACTTTGCTTGCTTGATTGTACTCTAATGAGTTCCTTCATGGCAAAATGTGCGCAAATAATTCCTTGGATTTTGGGATGGGTTGTTTCACTACTCTCCGTTTTTCCAAAGTCCAGGGAGACATGCGGGCTAGTTGGCTATTTATTTTACTGCAATGATATTTACTGACTGTAGGCAAGAAGTGATTTGCCCGAAGACGACAAAAGACAGTCACCATTTTGGTGCATGCTAGATCTCATTTCCCACTGTGCGGTACTCCGCACATGCTTGCAAAAATTCATTGAACCCAGCGATTTTGCTAGTATGTCAACGATGACTTTCACGCTATGCATCTCTCATTGTCTGCCTGTAGTTAGACACATCAATGCAATTGAATTCCATACGCTTTAGTCCGGGACTTAGACATCAATTTGTCAACACGGTAGACTTCATCATATCCCTAGAGTGTCATTACATAAGCAATTTTTTACCTGTTATAATGAGTACTGAAAAATGACATGAACGTAAGCACTCTGGTCTAAAGCATCGTGGCTGCAATGATCACCGAAGCCATCTCCTACTTAACTAAAGTGGTGCCTGAATCCATTTAGACATAATTTCTGAACCATGAAGGCTGATTTATTAATATGCTAATGCTAATGCATGTAAATGTATCCATAGATATATAGAAAGGAGAGGAAAGGGTAAAAGGAGAGCGGTGGCGGGCGCAGAAAACTTGCTGTTAAGAGGTCCTTAACGCTTTTCGACGTAAACCTGCATACCATTTTTCATGGGCATGGTGATAGATACTAAATACGTGATGGTTTGTCCAGGCACAAGCTTAAATTGATAATTTTTCAACATCAAGGACAGAACCACAATTGACTCCAAGGTAGCAAGATTTTGGCCCAAGCAAACTCGTGGACCAGCGTGGAAAACGGGCCAAACACCTTGGGACTCACGCTTCAATTCGCCATTTACAATCCAACGTTCAGGCTTAAACTCCTTGGCATCAGGTCCCCAAATCGATTCAAGTCGGCCTTGAGAATATGGACTCCAATTTACATGATCACCCTTTCGAATGATGGTACCATCTGGCCAAACATCGTCGCCACGAGCATATTTAGAGTTTGCGGGAACCGGAGGGTAGAGGCGCAAGATTTCATAGAAACTGATAAACAACGTTAAATCATACCCGATATCAGAAGTATTTTCCAAATGTGCTAAACCTTACGTTGCATGAATGTACTTCATATTCTTTACGGCTTCATAAAACTTGGCAGGATTGTTCTCAACATCATCAGTGATGTTTTCCATAATCTCTTCGAGAAGTTTTTTCTCGACTTCAGGATGTCCCATGATAGCGTACATGCCCCAAGAGAGTGCTTGTGCGGTCGTGTCACGTCCAGCGATAATAAAATTGAGAATAATGTCACGCAACTGTTTTTCGTTTAAGGGTTGGCCATTTTCGTCCAAGGTTCCCAAGAAGCGTGTAAGAAGATCATGCTTCTCGACACCAGCTTCGACCTCCGCTCGGCGTTTCTGGACAATAGACGTGGCATAGTCGTTCACAATCTTGATATGATAGCTCATAGGTGTTTCCCATGGTTTGAAAATACGGCTAAATGCTTCACGGGCTTTCCAGAAGGGGAGCATCAGTCGTCTAGAAGTTCTGACCTGAGCTTCGTCAAAAGATTCTGCAAAAGGCAGTTTGGCCTCACTTCGCAAGGCTCCCAGGTCCTCGCCAAATCCAAGCCTAATGGGTACAATCATGTGAGCTTTCTCACCCAGCTTTTCAAGAGCTTTTTCACACCTGAACAAAAACATACTTGACGAACGCTTCCAAGGTATACTTAAACATCAAACCTTGGAAGTCCAGAGGTAATCCTGTTTCTACGGCGTTATTCAATTGGTGGGTCTTCATATACCCAAATTTTTCGACAAAGACACTGTGAAACCATGTATGTGTAACTAAAAGTCAATTCGGCATGACATACGCCAAGGTACTTGGTATTGCAAATTCTTACTCGGTAAATAGATCCCTAAAGTTCTTGACGTTAAAGATATGGGCAGCTGTCTTTCTCTGGTATTTCCATATTTCACCGTCTGCGTTGAAGATACCGTGCCCAAACAAGTCGTCCATAGCATTGTACATCCTTGGCGGCTTTTGATAGTTTTCAAAGTTAGCTAGCATGCAGCATGTTAGAGTAGTGCGTCGTTATTTATATAAGTAGCATATGAAGTACTCACTCTTGAGAAAGTATTCAACATTAGCTGGGTCAGCTGTTTCAATAGCTTTGGGCATACCAAAGGCTGAACCAGACCTATGCATGCGAATTTCAGTTGACATTTCCGTCCGATCAGAGAAACGTATCAATATCTTACAGTGTTGTCCCAAAAGTTTCAAAGTTCAAGAGCATGAAGTCATGAATATGCTCGACGTTCTGCAAGATATGAGGAAGGTTTCCAAGAATTGGGTATCCCTTTCTTCTGGCAAAGACTCGGTCGTCATTGTCAAACACGGCTTTGTCTGGATATAGCATGGCTAATATAGCCAAGCCTGTGGCTACAGTTCCTGTGGTGATGGCGACATATTGCTGAGGTGTCAACGGCTGCTCAAACAGACGTTTAATGGTATCGGCAGGAAAAGACATGTGCGGAGAAGAGAAAAGAGCCACCGGAAGATTGGAACTTCACAAGCTTCTTTTAAGATAAAAATTATGGTGGTCAGTAACTCCGCCTTTTTTTGGAAACCCGGCCTTTGGTACGCTCGGTCTTCAACGCAGCTGCCATAAGAAATCCGTGGCGAGGCATCAAATAGATTTATCGAAGTTATAGAAGACAACAACCACCATAGAATGTAAGTATAATGCTCCATGGATAAAGATCAGTGGTATATGACGATCCCTTTTTTTTCCATTCAATCAGTCTTCTAAAAATGAAATGGGCGTCTTCAACACATTATATCAGAACTGTATATTTTCACTTTTCGATACTTTTCACATGCATTTATGATATCTCGTTGCCTTAAAAAAGTGTTTAATTTTTGCAATCGTTGATATGCTCTATGAATATAGCTACGATACGAGTGAAAGGTTATCAAAAATCGATATGGCTATGGCACTTACCTTTTCTTGAGTACAGTCTAGCTAATTTACACAGTGAAGAGCCACTCTCATTAATAGGAAATTAGAAGAACCATAATATGATTCTCTGCATTTTATTTCTTAATTATATTTCTGACCTTAAGCTGTTTATGGCGTAACGGTTTGCCTCTTTCACAGCTGGGCCAAGTACAGATTTGTATAAGTGAAGAGCCTCCTTCGACACCAATGTGAGATGCGCTGTAATGCTTATTTCGTTTTTGTTACCCAACAGAACATCAAACTTTATCAAAAGTTGAAGTGGACGAAGCAAGCTGGACTTTGGAGCCGCTCTGATTAAAATTAGCTTGAAGCCGGACAGAGTTTCGATGTGGCTATTGGGGTATTCCTCGATGGCACGGCAACCATCCCGTGTCTTTGCTAGGAGGCTAAGAAGTTGCTCCCGTCGAGATCTTGAGTATCGTCTTCCATTGATTATGGAAAGAGCTGCGCTTATAAGTCTGGCAGCTGTGGGGTATTTTGCAGCTTTTCTTGAAGTATGTATGTCATAAGCCAGCGGATGACACAAACGAAAATCTGTCCTGGCATATTTAGCTGATTCGAAGGACCACAGACGACTCGCATGCAAATGATCATATGAACGTAAGCTTCTTTCGGCCGATTAACAGGCAACGGGAGCACTCGGAACCAGGATCTCGAAAACTTCACTTTCATCGATAAGCTTGATTACTTCGTTGTTAAGCTTGATTACTTCGTTGTTGAGTGAAGGACCTAGAAAAGGCATTCTTTTCATACTGGCGATTTAGAGGTGTGTGCCTGAGATGGCCGCTCATGACTTTGTCCAGAGCCCGCGGTAAAGGAATGGAAGAGCCATGTTCTCTATTCCTCACGCGAGCTTGTCCTACATGCAGATATTAGACTTCTGACTTCGCAAGTTTGGAAATATAGCTGTCGACTTACCCGAAACAATGCTTCTAAACTTCTCTGCCCTTATGAATTCTTCTATTCGCTTCCTTACGTCCGTAGTGGTCTCCCAGTAGTCATGGGAAGGTCTTTTTGAGCCCAAGCTGTAATCACCAGGTTCAGTTTCGCACAACTCAATTGAATCAAGGTCAAACTGGGAATCATTGTCGTTATCGCTGATATGAGGCTTGGCTTCGCCACTTAATTGCGCATGTTGACTTTGAGAGTCATCAGCTAGCTCTATGGGGAGGTGATCAAATTGGCAAGATACTTTGATGTTAGGCAATGAAATGGATGAAAGCGGAACGCTAAGTGTGTACATTCACAATGAAAATGGGCTTTTACCTCATTATGCTTTTTCTGAAACGCCTTCATCTTTCCTGGGGTTTTCTTCATACCAGCGTCAGTTGAAGTGTATGGGCAAGTTTGCCTACATAGAGCAAATTCTATCGACTTACTGCAACCCAAGCTTTGTGGCGTTCGTTATGTTCCTTCATATGGCCCTATATGCAAGTATGAGTGAAAATACGTAGAACAGGGCTGACCCAATAAGCAAATGCTTTACCTTTCGATAGCGCTCGGTCGACTCGCGAACCTTTCCTGGGTTTTTCTTTATGTGCCTGTTAATCAACAGTAGCGAGCAACATTTCAAACAATACCCAAGAGGAGGTACCTACATCTCTCCATGCCTTTGTTTATGAGACACGAGTCTATAACCTATTCGAAATGCATTCATCCAGCGGCCTATAGAATCGTAATTCAAGCAAACTTCCAAGCGCGGTCTTTCCACGGCCAGAACCCTAGTAACGCGATGTAGTGACTTCAGCGGTATATCCAAGTTCACGATCAACATGATCTGCAGTTGATTATATTTTTCGAATGGAGCAGCTTGCTGGGACATGATAGGCTTTCTTGCAACAAGGGTAACCAGAGACCGTGTACTGCGCGACATCCCGTAAAACTATTAAGGAGCTGGCATGACACAATGGACGTTGTGTGTAGTGTGAACCCGAGTTCACACATAAAAACAATAAAAAAAGTTCGGTCAACTGGGCTTCTTTGTGATGCTATCATTTTTGGGAATTCTTCCACACTGCCTTAACCTCAGGCTCTATAACCGGTCCTGATACATTAGCTGGGGATACCGTAACTGTATACGAACGCTTGGCTAGTGGGGATTTGCGCACTTTAGTGTCATGGAAGGTGACTGTATCCGTTCTGGAGTCAATTACACCTTGTAGGCTTTTTATCGAATCCCATCCAATGAGTATTGGATGCTGTACCCTATTCTTGTTGATCACAAAACCGAGGAATACAACTTGACTCTTGAAGAAGAAGTATTTTGTCAATTTGATTGACAAACTCGCTTTATCCAAGCGCTGAAGGACCTGACGTATGTCCTCCACATATTGTTTCTTGTTAGGAGAAAACATAATGATTTCGTTCATATAACTACTGCACATTCCCGTAATGGTGGACTTAGCACTTGTATCATTAGGTTCCGAAAGATGGCTGGCGCATTCTTTAAACCAACTGGCATCGCATTGTACGCAAAAACACTTGCTCTGCATGTTATGGCTGTATATTATCTAGATGCTGGAGCAATCGGAATTTGCCAATATCCCGACGCTAGGTCAATAGTGGAGAAGTATTTGGCTTGATCTAAAGACTGTAGGGCTTCGTGCATGTTGACTGGATTGAATTGAACAGTTCTGGAAACCTCATTGAGCTTGCGATAATCTGTAACGAGACGATTGCTGCCATCCGATTTCGTTACCACGTCGCGGGAAGACCTCACTCTGAGAACTTGACAGGACTGACTATGCCGTTTCGCCGCATCTCCTCCACTTCCGCGTCGACTAAACTTTGTTTGTCTGGGTGCATTCTTCTGGCGGTACGATATGGGTTTGTCACTCGTTACCTCCGCTTTGAACTGAATTAATGAGTGATTTGCTATCGATGATCCTGACGAGGAGTTCGAAGAGGATCAGCGGACATGGCTCGGAGCCACGTGAAACTTGAGTTCAGTATCCCATAAGCATACACGAACTAAACCCTGCGTGTTCTTTGACTGACCATTCACATCAGAGTATTGAACGGATTGACTGCGGTCAATTTTGCAACTGGAATTTTCTGCCGTATCAGGTCGGATGCAAGAAATTCAGCGGTATCCATCAGCGCCTTCACCTTCTTCTTTTCGATCGGAAGGATTGTAGTGGGTGCTTTTTCATAACGAGCGGCACCTATATTTTCGATTCCCATGCGGCAACACCGGGATCCAGAAAAGATAAAGCCCATCCTGGAGATGCCGCCTCCAGCGGACATAAAAGGAGTTGAATCGCTTCTTGGATTTCTTGGAGTATACCAAAGATACATTCGGGCATATGCGGTCAAAACGGAACCAATCCGTCGCTTGAAGGAAGCAAGTCGAAATGCTTTCTCTGCCCTGAAAGAAGATGTTGCAAATCTTCCAAATTTGCAAAAACCGGATTTCAATACCCATTCTCGGCGGGGGAGGTCGTTGTCTCGTGACAATAAGTGACGTAGATTCAACATTCTTATAAGCAGGTGGGCGCGCAAAGTGTATTACTCCTTACCTCTGGCCACTCTTCACTTCGCTTACTATTCTCTATGAATAATATATATTCTGTAGTTAGGTTTCCGTGTTCGAGTTCCAGCACAGGAGAGAACTGAAAGAGTGGTCGTCGTAGCTGGCGGTAACTGATTCCGAGATTGTAGATAGGTTTCCGTGTTCGAGTTCCATCACTTTCTTTCGAGTTGCCACGGCTGCGGCTGTGGCAGGTTTTTTGGGATCAGAAAGCTCAACACCTTCTCGTGGTTGATCCTGTTATCAAACCTTTGGTTTGAGAACTGAGATTGAGCAAATCAATAAAGCATAATATTGAACCATAGCCTGCTTTTTCTTAATTGTACTTACCGTACAGCTCTTGGTGTCTTTTGGAGCTTATAGATCACCGGTAGGGTCATAGGCATTCCAATATTAAAATATGTTACATTATTCAGACTTTGGAGCTTAGAACAAACCTTCGCTCAAAGGCATGTTCTACCCCCTCTTTCGGTTATGCACAAAACAAATTTGTCACTCTTCGATAGAGTTATTAAATCAGGGCATCTTAAAAATCCTTCATCGTAAAAACATATGTACTCAACATGAACGGAATTCAATAAAATGCAAACGAAGAGACTCGAATTCTCTTAACCAGGAAAAAAAAAACTCACATACAATTGTATTGAAAAAAAAAAAATAGGCAAACAAATCACTAGCGGTGCTGATAGCTGAAGTAAAATACTACGACGCCGCATCTTGTTTAAAGTTTGTCATAGAACTTGTCAAGTGAGGGAACGTCTTCAGGAAGACCCTTTCTCTTGCGGACGGCTCGGATGATATCATAAACCTATATTAAAATGAGAAATATAATATGTCGGTAAATTGAAAATCGTTGCAAGCTTCAAATCATTGCTACCGAATTTTACCTTATTGCCGGCTTCAACTGGGCTGCCGCTCATTGCTGCCCAATGATCAACTTAAACCAAAGAAAGTCCAGATATTAGAAACTATCATACAAAAATAAATAAAAAGACATAACACTCACAAACTGCTTGAGGGAAAGCTTGACCACCAGTGGCAGCACGAAGATCAGTTGAGAAGCCAAACGATTCATTGACGGGAAGATACGCCTTCACGGTGACCAGAGGAGTACCAGGGCGCTGTTCTTCAGAGAAGACTTGACCACGACGACGATTGAGTACACTGTAGATACCTCCCATAACTGTGTCTGGGCATTGAATTTCTGCTAAGTAGATTGGCTCTTGAATACCCGGGCTTGCTGTTAGGATAGACGCATACATAACACGACGGCAAGTTGGAATAAGTTGACCGCCACCTCGATGAATAGCATCAGCATGGAGGGTAACATCAATAATATTGAATCTGCAACCACGAACGTTTTCGTCAGCGATAGGTCCTTCCTTGGTGGCCCATTGGAAAGCGGCGACAAACGAGTCCTTAGTCTCATTCAGGTACTGTACGGCCTTGGTAGTGTCAACTAGCAGATTGGCACCGGTTCCGTCAGGGCCAAAGCACCAAAGCTTACGAGCTTCAGCAACGTCCCAGCCATGACTGTCGGCCAGTTCACGAGCTCGAGTCTTGAAATCGTCACGAGGACTGACCTTTCCGCTTTCGATGTCCATGGAAAGCTCTTCAGACAATGGAGCCGCCTTCATATAGATACGGTTGTGCTTGTTTGGAGACTTAGACAAACACGTAATGCTAGATTCAGACAGGACAGTCTCTCGGTATTGGACTACTGGGTCACCGACCTTGATTGGAACACCAGCATGGTCTTCTTCCAAATCCTTGAGACAAATTTCAAGATGAAGTTCACCAGCACCGGCAACGATATGTTCACCAGAGTCTGATGTTAAGGTCAAGACACAAGGATCAGACTTGGCCAGACGTTTTAGACCTTCCACTAATTTGGGCAAGTCGTTGGGGTTCTTGACGTCAACAGCACACTGAACGACAGGTGATACCGAGAACTTCATAACCTTCATGTTATGGGCAGTTTCAGAGGTAGTGATAGTGCCAGATTTGATCAAAAACTGATCGACACCGACTAGACCGATGATGTTACCGGCCGGGCAGTCTTCAATAGCTTCAACATAGCGTCCCATCATCAGAACGGTTCGCTGGACAGCTTTGACGAAAAGATCCTTCTTGGTACCAGGTTCATAGTTGGGTCCTTGGATGCGCACCTTGAGACCAGCTCTTACAGTACCAGAGAAGACGCGACCAAAAGCGTAGAAGCGGCCCTTATCAGAGGTTGGTACCATCTTGGAAATGTAAACCATCAGTGGAGCCTTGGGATCGCAGTTGCGGATACCAGTTGCACTTTCATCGTCCAGAGGACCTTCATAAAGGTTTTCAACGCGATATCGCTGAGCCGTAACAGGAGATGGCAAGTGGATACAGATCATTTCAAGTAGAGCATCGCCGGCAGGTAGGAATTTTCTCATGACAACCTTGAGTAGCTGCTTTCCTTCCAGTTCCTTTTCGTCAGCTGTAAGCTTAACCTCCAGTTTCTCCAAGAGTTTGAAGAGTTCATCTTTCTTGAAGTTCATGACAGCATCAAAAATCTTGAAGATAGGGTCAAGAACGAACATGTTGAAAGCACGTTCCAATGGGTGGCCATCAGCGTCTGTTGGTTTGGAGGACCATTTCTTGGTCTTGGGATTGAAATAGCTTTCTCCCCATAGTCTTGTCATAAACTTTTCCTTGTCAACGCCGAATTTCTTGGCATAGCGTACAGCAAATTGTCTGAGAGTAAAGCCCCAGCCATGAAGTCCAGAAGCGAAAGCCACGGTACCCTTGTCTGGGTAGACCTGGACATCGCCTAATGCACTATCAACATAAGTTGAAATAATGACGTTGACTGATTCTATCGTTCGTTGGAAAGACTTGTAGTATTTTAGAGCGTTAGAATAAATAGATGTGCCATGAGCGCGATTGTATGGTATATTGACTCACATTGTAAAGGTCTTCCTTAGTCAATTGTAATTCTAGAAGAGCGCGGTCAACTTTGTTGATAACGACAACCGGCTTGATGCGTTCAGCAAGAGCTTGACGCAAGACGGTCTCGGTTTGGACGCAAACGCCTTCAATGCAGTCAACAACAACAAGAGCACCGTCGGTCACACGCAATGCGGCAGTAACTTCGGATGAAAAGTCAACGTGCCCGGGAGAGTCAATGAGATTGATCAAGAAAGAGGAACCTTCGAAGTGTAATATTAGTAATTTTCTAGTGTTTGCTTAAAGGAATAAAAGTATGCTTACCTTCAGTCTTCTGATTCTTAATTTCCTTAACATCATCAGCGTTAGCCATTTGGAAATACATTGAAATGGCTGTAGACTTGATGGTAATACCACGGTCTTGTTCGTCTTGACGAGTATCCGTAAAACGGGTCTCGCCAGCGCGACCAGATGAGATAATTCCAGCTTTTGAAACCAAAGAGTCGGTCAAGGTAGATTTTCCGTGATCAACGTGTGCTATAACCGACATATTGCGGACATTGGTCACCTTGTCCATAAGCTCACGGATTTCCTCGACAGTAAAGTTCTGTGGGGATATGGCGTTAATTTCACTTCCCACAGTATATTATATGGGTATTTTTTTTCTCTCTTTTCTTCTTTTCTCACTCGCAAACTAGACAACTCTCAAGAAAATGTTCACGATATACTTACCACTAATTATTGGGATTCAAATCCAGATAGAACGCGGGGTAAAGGAGGTGGAGAGGCGGAGTAGGATATCACAGTAAAAAGGTAAGAAGGCAATGGTAGGCGATAAGGATGTTAGTCAGCAGTTGTATAGTTACGCATACAATCAAGCGAAACATTATTTCTTTGTCCTGAAGATGTCTTACATACCCATACTCGATAATTAAAAAATGTAAACGAGAAAGAGAAGAAAGTTTTTGTAACGGTAGCGCAAGCTGGAACTGATGTATGTGAATAAACAGCCATGAAACACAGCGCCAACCGGTTAATGTTGCTACGCCATTTTTGACTACGGCATCTTTTTCCCACCTGCGGTTGAAGAATAAGTTTTGGTATTAACAAGGACAGAAGCAGAAAATCACTCCCAAAAAATTGATCACAAGTGGTCACGCGGTGTTCCTTGAAGTCACAATTATTCCGGGTCTGGAAAGTTGTGCCTGTTCCAACATGGAGTGCTTCTTTGTTCAACTTTCCCTCGATGATATTCAGCCATTTCGTAATATGTTTTATGGTATTTAAGAAATGAAAGCACCCATTAACCTCAAATGAAAGTATGCATTTGGTTGTCAGCTCGCAGAGCGTCCACATAATGATCTGCCAACATAAGTTTGTTGTTTAGAACTCAGTGAGCCCTTCTGAGCATTACATAGGCACCACAAAGGCACTAGTGATGACCGCGCTGCGATATATCGTTTCGACAACGGTTCAGTGGGACTAAATGAACAGCATACATGGTCCATGAAACAAGGTCATATCCACGCCTGAGAGCTACTTGATTATGCCATTCTCGCCAAATCCCCCATTTGTCCTTGCAAATCGACAACATACTGGCAAGCTCGTTGCAAAAGCAAAAAAAAAAAGAGGCGTTTGTTTTAATAGGTAAGAAGAACTCATACGTAGAAATGTGCGAGAGGAGAGGTATGATATATAAGAGACGAAAATCAATCAACAATGAGAAAAGTAACAATCCAAATTCTATGATATTACACGTTGTGAGTGGTAAGAGACAGACACATAAAAATGTCTGTCGAGAGCGAGCATGACATAAAATAAAAGAGATAGTGTAGAAGGAAACTGGTGCCAAGACTGATATGTGTTTCAATGTGGCTTAACACCATCAGCCTTCTTACCGAAATCCGCACCGTAAAGATAAGAAGAGACCATGACAATGATTGCTCCAACAATAAACTGGAAGCTGGGTTGAAAATTAAATAGGTAAAAACTGATGACGCCCGAAATGATGATCGACAAGCTCGTTGCGAAGCCCTTCAGAATATTGTCAGCATACTTTACGACAATGGCGACCAAAAGACCACCTAAAGCTTGGTTAGCAACCACTACCCAAGTCAATGCGTCATAGCCTTGCAACATCCCTCCTTGCATAAGAGCTTGCCTATCATAAACAAGCATTCCAACCATCGAGAATAAAGCTCCAGAAATTCCCAGCTGAATGTTGCGAACCCACATCGAAGTTTCCGATGTCTTGAGAATTTTTTCAAAGTAGCATCCAGCGAATCCGGAGGAGATACACGAAGTAATGACGGCAATTAGTCCAACGATGGGATTCTGTGCGGCTAAGATTAAGGCTTGTTCGTCCGTTAGGGTGGCGTCTGCCATGAGCGGATCGACATCTTCGTCTCCAGTCACTTCATTTGACACCGGTGGCGTTGCTGATGAAGAGCTTGAAGAAACAGTCTGTGATTGAACCAGTGTAACACCAATCATCAAGAGCACAAGAGCAAGCCATTTACTACGATGTAATGATCGTCCAAGAAGAACCACCGAGAATATAGCTGTCGACAGAATTTTCATTTGGTATGTAACTTGGAAAGTCGCTGCTTCAAGATTGCTAAGTGCAACGTACAGCAAGTTGTTTTGTAAGGCGTAAAGTCCAGAGGGTATCAACATTTTGAGTGTCTCTGCGGGTTTGCCGAGGATTTCCTTTCGAACGACCCACCAGAACCTTGAAAACGTTCGCTTCTGATACCAGATAACCGCTAAACAAGCAATAATTTTTAAAACCTCCGCCAGAAAAACGGCAGTCGATGCGATGTACATTGGTTGTCCAGGTTTCTGAACTATCCGAGAGTATCTCATCATTAGAACTAACGTGCTGTTTTGTACAACCAAGACCAGAAGCGAAAGCTGTTTCCGGGTCAGTCCGAACGTCAATGGCTCTATCAACAAAAAAATGGAGGTTTAGTAAAATGAGTTATGATGTACGATATATAGAGAGTCGATTGTGTCGTTATAGAGCATGTAGTCTATTTCTGTTGGTAGCCATTACGTGGCCTCCGGTTGGATATCGTTGATTGAGATGTACACTTTCGTACTCTACAAAAGATGACAATGTGTTTGTAAGATCATGCTAACCTTTTTGCTGTAGTTTTCCATTCTGATGTGTAGTTGGTAGTATATCCGCCTTGTTAAAGGTTCTTCTAGAAGGTTGTATAGAAGTCATCACAGTACAAGCTTCGAAGCTTTGGCAGAGCTAAGATTGAGATGAGTTGCTTCAGATGAGTACGTCCAGCCAATGCGGGGTAAGAAAAAGTGATCCTCCCAAAAAAAATTTCAAAAGTCGCCACATCAATAAGTTTTTATGAGCCAAAAATTGGCAAGCTGTAGGTCCGCTCTACCGACAAAATAAACCAGTACCTGGTTTGCGACCATTCAATTTTCAAAGAGCACAGCTTCAGTAATTATAGAACTTTGCATAGATCAAATATGATATAAGTAGAATATTATATATTACCAAATTACATCTTAAACACACAATTCGCTTCAATTTTTATTAGAACAAAACGGATCAATTGCACTCAAGAATCAAACAAGTGGCCAACGTAACTAACACTGCGCATAGAGTGTTGAACCATGGCCTAAACCCTGTGCGAAAAAAGCAGAAACATCCAAAATAGTTTGTGAATGAGTAAAAATAAATATGTATCACGATGCGAATGGTAATTTCATTTCTGCTGAGCTTGACTTGCTAGCGCAGACAAGCATGCAAGCGGTTCCATACTTTATTACGCACTTTTCTCGTATGGAAACGCCTCAAAGCGTTTTGAAAATACTATAGATGCCTTAACTTGTACATTTGAACCGAAACGACATCTATCTTTGCTACATATATATATTGCAATTACGAGCGTAGAATTGCCCAGGGTTGTTTATAAACCATATTGGAACTTCTAAGGGGTCAATACTCGAATTGCATACCCGGAAAAACAAATAGTGGCGTACTAATGCGTCGGGGTCAAGTGCTCAGGAACACAATGATATGCTCAATTTTGAATAATATCTGAGTATTCCTTATGTCATTTAACAAACAGTACTATTTATCCTAGCTTCACTGCAGTTTCGATGACATGCAAAATTATTTTCAACGACTGTAATAAGAGAAATGTAAAACCTATACATATTTTTAGAAAGGCAATTAAACTTAAAATGCAGGCCTGCAGAAGCTGAAAAAGCTCATGATCCATCACGATAGACCTCCAATATGACGAAAGTTTGCTTGGCATATGTAAATACTAGAATTGATTTTGAGTTATTGGTTCCATCAGTAGTAGCATTCTAGGCTTCCAACAACAGACTGTAGCTAGCATCTCTAAATTTTCCAAAATCTTCAAACTATATTAATCGGAAGATAACTTAAGCCATATCTAAGGCTAATGATGTGAAATAGAAGGATACAAGAATTCCTTTCATTGCAGGAACTGAAATTTAACTTACAAAAATACATCTACTGATCTAATGATGTCACGAAAATTTTGGGAAATTTTTGAAGGAGAAGCAGAGGGAAGCTTCGGTTTTAAAAAATTACATTGGCATTCACAAAACAACAGCAATGTCTGTAATGGCAACCTTTTTGCGGCCTTTGGCACGACAGCAAACAGCACAGATCAGCAGCCTCTCACGATCATTTTCATCCCTTCCTACCACTGGAGCAGATTCACAATCGGGTGAAGGTATGAACTAAAACTTATTGAAGATAACCACTCGACATTTGATACTCAATGTTTTTAATTTGCATTATTACCCACTACAGTCAATAAGGATGCTGTTTTGAAAATCTTGGATGACTTTAACACCCGTATGTATCATATTGTGTGCCCTTCTCCTACAAGCACTATACCTAATACAACGCTAATCTCCTTCCCTTAGTCAAGAAGCAAAAAGCTGCAGCACAAGCTAAGCAGAATTCACAACGTCAAACCAAAGGACTTATCAGTGGAGCAACATATCACCCCGATGCACTTGTTGATTCTCGACCTCGTCAGCAGCGCCCAAAGACCATCACTCCTTCCCAAGATCCATTCGATGCTCTCGGTTTGGATCCCCTGAAGGAATATAAAAATTTCAACCTATTATCGAACTTCGTGTCTGATATTGGCAAGATTCTCCCAAGAACACAAACAGGTAAGCATATTGGTGCTGTGTAATAAGGAGTACAACGTCCATCTAATTGATATCAAAAATTAGGGATAACCGCAAAGAACCAACGAAAACTCGCCAAAGCAATCAAGAGAGCGCGTGCCATGGGATTGATGTCCAGCACCGGGAAAGTCTCGTCAGTCGGTAGCTATTTCGGTGTATAGATGGGAGATTCATTTTGTAGAATATAAAAAAAAAATCATAGAGTCATTATATAATGCTATTCTTGACGGAGATGCGGTTTGCTTCACTAGTGATTATCTACGTGGATAATGGACATGACGGGGGTTTTTATTGCGATGATATGGTACATTTGCATTGGTTTATGGGTTGTCCCAACGTGAGAAGAAATTAAGGATATGTTAAAGGTATTAATCCGTGACAACATGGTACTAAATTACAGAGAGATGTTCAGTAAATCATCATTAGCTAGAAGCATCCGTCGTAATGCACTTACGTTCGTGTTGGCTTTGCTGCGTTGTGTCTCTTGCCTCTTGGCCAGTTCAACTTTCTTTGCTAGCAAATGGTTCTGCACTAAATCATCTTTAGACATGTGTTTATCACATCCAGGAATCGGACACTCTATTGCTTGATTGTTTCGTGGAAAAAGTTGTATTATGGCGTGGTAAGAAAAATTGTGCTTGCACAGTTTACTACAGTGAAAATTAAAGCATCAGTGTTGTGCAATCACCTATGTAGGAAGCATATATTTCATACACGTACCTCATTACTGGATTTTCAAAGTATACAGTTGTCAAGGGGCATGTCAATGATTGCTTAGCTCGCCCAACGATAATATCTTCATCAGAGTTTTCATCCTCTGATAGCGGCATCTCTTCGTCATTATGATGGACATCCTAACGCTCATAGATTAGACATTTTCCGGATATTATAATATGACAGCTCATAATGATGACAACCTACCCATACACGCTGCTTAAATTCACGGTAAGCATCATGCCGTTTATACTTTGTGCTTTCGGATACCTGGGATTGCCGTTCTTCATAATCGTGTTGGTGCTCGTTATAATAGCTCACCATACTTTTCTGTTGAAGTCATTGTATTAGTGATGATATTATTTGTATGAGACTAGTCAAATGAACTAACAATTTGTTGGCCGTCTAGAATTTGCGAATTTAACTGCTTAAGAGTTTCTTCTTGATGGTGAAGTTTCGCTTCAAGGTTGATGCACTTGCGCATATCGTCTCCTAAAGCTACGACCTGATGTAAGCGTAAGTCACTACATTTAAGAGAATTCTTTCGCAGAAAGGGTTCTAATAATGACCTTATTTTCCAATTCAAGTTCTTCAGCGTCGCATGCCGCATCCATTACAAACTGTACACCTTGCTGAATGCGTTGAGAGATTTTTTCATTACTGCGTAGCAGCTGAAGGATGCGGCCACTACTCTCTATATTTAGCGTGAAATCTGACAAAAAGTCTGTTTCAGCATGCTGTCCGTTGGATGTACTCGTGGCGGGCATCAATCCTGTTCCTTGACCAAGTTTGACAGCAGACAATTTTCGAAGTCCATGCCCCATATCAGTGACTGTGAAACCAGACCAGCGTGACCTTAACGCATCATATCAAGCTGGGCCCTAAGACTATTACGCATATTCCCTTTAATACATACAATGCTCAAATTATTCATACTGTTTTCATATGTGATACCCATATTCTGCTACAAAACGTTCATTGATACGCTATCAGAAAATGAACGCTTCGGCACACTTTTGCGACATTTGCAGACTGAACGTCTAGTGCCTACTATAAACAAAATGACCTCCGGAACATTCTTTGCCCCAGACAACGAAGCGTTTGAACATTACAAGCAAAACATCACCAAGGATCTACTGTTGTATCATATTCTATCTCAGCCTTTTATGGGAGAAGACTTTGAACAAGATCAAATTTTGGAATCCCTCTATGTCCGCCAAGGTTTACTTGGCGAAACAAACAACGGCCAGCGAATTAAAGTCACCAAGGAAGGAAGTCCGCGCAAAGGCAAAGGAAAAGTGTATATTGGTGGAGTGCAGATAGTTGACAAAGATATCGTTGCAAATAATCAGAGTGTCATTCAAGTTGTGGGTCGCCTATTGACACCTCCCGACTTAATTGGTAATTTCAGTATTGTCTGAACGTTTCATGTGATGCATTAAGCTAATCAACGCGAAATGATAGTTGATGTGATCAAGAACTGGAAAGATTCTGATTTTTACTCGACGCTCGATATAGCAAAGTTGCTGCCAATCTTGAATGAACCGCGCCCGTTTACGTTATTTGCTTCCAGCCAAGAGACATTACAACCATTTACTTCAATTGAGCGTTCATATCTTCTGCATGAGCTTGGAAACCTCGATTTACAGTTATATTTGAAATGCCACATTGTCGATCGAAATCTATATGCCTCTGATTTCACAGAAGGCGAGACAAAAGGTAGTTTCAATGGAAAGATGACATCGCCTTGTTCCTTTAAAAATTAATCGTACCTCTGTAGTTGAAGCTCTAAACGGCAAGAAACTTATCATTACGGTTGACAAAGATTCAAACATCAAAGTTGATGGCATCTCGGTTAGCAAAATCAATGAGATGACAGCAAATGGTGATTTAATGAATTGAAGCTTGGTGGATCAGGTTGGAAACACATCGTTATTAACATCTATGTAATACAGGTGCAATTCATACACTAGAATCCTCCATCGTTCCTAGCGAGTTGGTATTTACAGCCAGAAAATATCTTATTGGAATGAATGCCACAAAGTTCGTCTCTCATTTGGATAAATATGGTCTTAGCGACTACATTGACGACCCCAGCCGCAAGTACACCTTCCTTGCGCCTAGCAATGAAGCCTTCGAAGAATTAGATTATTCATCTGGCAATTTCACCAAGCTACTGCTTTACCATATTCTTCCACAAGCTTGGCTTCCAAAGGACCTGGATGATGGACTACTGGTTGACACTGAGTTGGTCGAACACAAGCTAGCTGGATTTGCACAGAAACTGAAGGTGGCAGTCGAAAATGAAGATGATAGTATTCCAATATACCTTAGGCGAAAAGAAGGGAAATCAATTACATTTGGCGGAGCTTTCGTCAATGGAGAGCCAGGTAAATTATGATCACAAAGGAATGATATTTTTTTATTACATATTCTAAAAGGTTTGAATTATAGTTGACATCAATGGAGCTCAAATATATACCATTTCCGAGGTCCTTACACCGCCGGCCGATTTGTTGACAACACTCATTACCGACTTGGATCTATCAGCATATATTGCAAGTCTATATGCTGCCAAAACCGAAAATAAGCTAAAAGATACCAAGGGCGTAACATTATTTGTGCCGTCCAATGTTGCATTTGCTGATTTGGGACTGGCTGCCAAATACCTACTCCATCCTGACGCCAAATCTAAATTGGCAACTGTCATTTATCACCATGCTGTACCATCACTTGTCTATTCATCGCACTTTGCAAACATTACTTCCTTAGAGTATCAAACGCTCGCAGGCACAACGCTTCAAATCAATCGAACTATTGATAGCGATCAGATTACAGTTGGTAATCCCGACAACACTATTACCAATGCAGATATTCTACTTGCCAACGGAGTTGCTCATAAGGTCAATGGAGTGGTGATCCCACCCCCGGTGGAGATAACAAACAGCGATCTTTTGAAAGCTGCAGAAACAAGTACATTCTCACAGCTGCTGAAAGTTGTCAACTTGACGCAGATCCTTCCCTCTGGTAATTTCACCATCCTAGCTCCAAGCGACAAAGCATTTGGACGTCTCAATGTTACACAGCTTTTATTGGACCCTACCCAGCTGTTGAGGATTATGGAGCTACATATCCTTAAATCATCCCATCTTTCACCATTCAGGCCCATGGTAACTGACAATACCGAATACGAAAGTCTCCTATCTGATAATGACAAGGTCCTGTTCAAAGAAGTTGCTGCTGGACAGTATATCGTGGAGGTGAAAGGAGGAAGAGTTGGAAATATGGCTCGAGTCGTGGCAGTTGGAAAAGCCACGACTGGAGGTGGAGTGGTGGAGATAGATTCTGTCTTAATACCAGTGCCACGAGGATGGGCGGGCTTTTCCCTCGTTGTTAAAATTGCTGTTGTTGTATCAAGCGTCCTTGGCTTGGTAGGTATTGCAGTGGTTTCCTACTTCATATGGAAATGTCAGCATAGACGACGTCTAGGATACGTAGAATTAAGTAATTGAGTTGCATGTAAATAGCGTAAATATATATATCCTTGTTTTCCCTTAACCTTGTGAGCAATAAACGAAAGCATAAGCAGTCTGTTAACTTTTGGCAGGAGGGGAGCAAGTTGGTCCAGCCATGCCCCTGCAGAACCTTTTATGGCAAATGGGCTCGCGATTGTATGCACGAGGACTAAAATTTTGGCATCTCACATATAAACTCTTTCCCATTTCCCCACCGCTCTTTTCTTGGTTGCGCTTTATATTTTAATCTCTTTATATTATGGTAAGAAACATACATACATACTCCTCCGTGCCAAGCAAAGGTATAGACTAATGGACGCACCGCTGTTGAACGATAGAACGAAGAATACGACGTCATTGTTTTGGGTACCGGTCTCACAGAGTGTATTCTGTCAGGTTTGTTGTCTGTGGATGGGAAGAAGGTGTTACATATGGATCGCAATGACTATTACGGAGGCGAGTCAGCATCGCTTAATTTGGCTCAGGTATGTTAAGACCGTATCGTTGGAAAGGATTTGCGCGCAAAAGGCGGTATGTTAATTACTTCTGCAACTAGGTCTACAAAAAGTTCTGCCCAGACCAAGCAGTACCTGAAGGCTACAGAGACCGAGATTTCAACGTTGACTTGGTCCCCAAGTTCATGATGGCTAATGGCGAGATCGTTCGCTTCTTGACACATACTGGTGTTACTCGTTACCTGGAATTCAAACAAATCAATGGATCGTACGTATACAAGAATGGTAGCATTTACCGTGTACCAGCATCGGAAGTAGAGGCAATTTCATCTTCTCTCCTTGGCTTGATGGAGAAGCGTAGAGTACAAAAGTTTTTTGAGTTCATTCAAAACTGGCAAGAGATTGATCCTTCCACTCATGAAGGTACGAAACTATTACGCCAAGATAGCGACACCGTAAGTCGGGTTATTCACATGCGCTTTTCATAGGTCTTGACTTCGATAAGAATACAATGAGCGAGGTATATGATAAATTTGAGCTTGAGGCTGACGCAAGGGAATTCATTGGTTTGTATCCATCTTTACAAGATGTTTTTCCCCTTCTTCTTCTTCTTCCTCTTGGATTACTGATGCTTTTGATGATTCGAAGGTCATGCAATGGCTTTGCATCTAGACGACAGTTATCTTGCTCAGCCAGCTCGAGAGACTGTTGATAAGATTATTTTATATGTTGGATCCGTTGCCCGGTATGGCAAAAGCCCCTACATCTACCCCTTGTATGGACTTGGTGAGCTTCCTCAATCATTCGCAAGGTAAATTGCTGGGAGAAATTTTATCATGGAGTGAAGTTGCCTAAATTTGACATATAATGATCCAACAGATTGAGCGCCATCTACGGAGGAACATACATGTTAGACAAACCTGTAGATGAAATTATTTACGAGAATGGGGTTGCTACTGGGGTTCGGTCAGGAGACGGAGTTGCCAAAGCCAAGAGTATCATCTGTGATCCCTCATACGCACAAGACAAAGTTCGTAAAATCGGATCAACGGTCCGAGCAATCTGTTTCTTAGACCACCCGATTGACAACACTGGCGATGCCAATTCCGCCCAAATTGTCATTCCTCAAAAACAAGTGGGAAGAAAGCATGATATATATGTTGCTAGCGTTTCAACCACTCACAATGTGTGCCCCAAGGATATGTACCTAGCCATCGTTAGTACCATTGTCGAAACCGATGATCCAGAACAAGAAATCGAACCAGGTTTGAAGTTGTTGGGCAAAATTCGTAACAAGTTAGTGTCTTTCAGCCTGCTCTTTGATTATATCCAATAGTGTGCTAATTGACGGTTCTATTTGCCTTTCATCAATAGGTTTGTTACTGTTTCCCCTCTTGAAGAACCATTGGAGGAAGGGTCAGAGTCCGGTGTTTTTGTATCGCGTTCATATGATGCTACCTCACATTTTGAGACCGTATGTGACGATGTTAAAAGTATTTATAAGCGAGTTACTGGAAATGATTTAGTTTTGAAGCAAAGAGCTGCTATCGAGCAAGCTGAATGAAGCTGAACGAAACACGTTAATAAAAAAATTTTGAATCAAGCAAAGCGTGCGCTGTGACAAAAGAGAAAAAAAAATTGGTTGGCAAAAGCGGATATTAGAATTTGGGTCTTGTCAACATGGACGACGATGAATTACAAGCTATAAGGGCACGTAGATTGGCCGAGCTACAAGCTCAACAGGTATGAATCTGAATATGAAAGGTGCCATTGTCTTTATGGTATCCGATGGACTCACTTTTACTGTTGGTATAGGGAGCTCCAAGCGGATCGCCAAGAACCGCTGCACCATCTGGATCTGGATCAGGAAACAAGGAAGATGAACAGCAAAAAAGGTACGAACCATCTCTACAAGTGCACATAAGATGAAGCATGCGTCTCATGGATTTCAGAAGTAAGGATAAATGCAAAATAGTCGAAATACTAAGCTCTGTCTTTACATTTTAGCGATATGGAAGAAATGCGCAGGACAATGCTGGTTCAGATTCTCGATAATGATGCAAGAGAGCGATGTAAGTTGAAAGTGATATATAGCAGGTCTCTCCCTCATCGAAAAGGTATCAATGAACGTATATATATTTCGACAGTGGCAAGAATCAACATGGTGAAGGCTGACAAAGCACGCGCTGTGGAAGATTTACTTATTCGCATGGCGCAGTCAGGTCAACTTCGAAGCAAGGTGTCTGAAAAACAGCTCATCGATCTCCTGGGTCAAATTAACCAACAGGATTCTGGAGCATCGCAAACCAAAATCGTGGTATGTGGATACAATTAAGGAGATGTGTACCGGGTATGATGATCATGCTAACGCGGCGATATAACACGCTCAGTACAATCGTCGTCGATTCGATGACGATAGCGACGACGATTACGATTTGTAGGAACATGATCAATGTTATTTTTTTAGTTTCAGGTCATAAAAAGCTTTTATTCATCAAGCTACTGAGTATAAATCGCATATGCAACAGCAATTTCCACGCATTTCCATCGATGGCTGTAAGGCGCCATCGAGTGAAAAAATAAAATAAAGAACATTCATCCAGTGGAACAAGCTTTAAGGCACCAGTGTTCCATCAGATTCATCTGAATTTGGCGATTTTTATTTCCGGAGAATCAATACCAAGTACACAAGATTATGTGCTTTGTGTTGAGTATTGTGGAAATGTCCGCTTTTCTATGAAGGCAATTAAGGAAATGAGCAGACAGATCGGTTAGAGAAGATCATGCTTGAAAAAGATGTTTTGCATAAGGAGGACTTTTGTCTTCAACATCGAAAGTCAGTTATGAAAAATTGGCGCAGCCGCCCATTTCAATATGTTTTTCCGTTGCTTGCTCAAAAGCAATCTAGGAAAATAGGGTACCTACCTTTTTCGCACATTTTGTTTCCTAACAAGCGCATTACAAAATGCCATCTTCCAAGGAAGGATTTGGAAAAGCTCATCTGACGCCGCCGTCGTCATGTCAACTCTTCCTCTCAACTCCGATGTGTACAAACCCGCTTTTTGAAAAAGGAAGGAGTGAAAAAAGGTTGGCGGTAATATTTTTTTTCAGAGTCTCAAACTAACCATGATTTACCATTATGCCAAGCAAAGCTCACGTGGACGAGATGAATTCATGCAAACTAATGGAGGTGAAGCGAGCGAAAGAATCAATCTGTTGATGCGTCGATTGGGAAATACACACAGCTTCGATAATCGAGATTCGGTGGTAATAACGATCGAAGAACAGTGGTGAAACTCATTCAACCCCCCCCCCGCCCGGGGAAGCCACTTTCCGATGCCCTATGTTTTTACCAGAACAATTACGTACATCGGTGGTACCTGAATATTGTGCTTGTTTTTAGCGCATTGAATAATCTTTCATACTCCTAAAACTTTAAGGGCGGGGGAAGTAGTTTAATCATCGACCTAAGACTATGATGATTTTGTGACTTTTGAGCAATTGTTAAAGAGAGCCTTGGCACTACTGTTAGTCTGAAAGTGCGAGATGTACCAAAGTGATCATGTCCCAACCCTTGGTGTCACTTGCCAGTTAAAGGAATTCCGTCATCCAGCTCACTGACAGACATAAATTGAAGCGAAATTTTTGAACGGTAGTATGCTCACTCATCTATTCTAGTTTTGATCTCAATGTACTTCAAGACCTCTGCCGTCGCTGCTGCTGCCGTTTTGGCCACCTCTGCTCTTGCACAAAGTGGAAACTCCCTTGTCGATGTTATCACTGGCAACTCTGACTTGTCTACTCTTACTGCTCTTCTTACCAATGGAACATTCGGTAACTTCTCCTCACTTGTCAACACTTTGAGCAACAGCACCAATGGAAACTGGACCATCTTTGCTCCATCCAACAGGTAAAAAAAAATTCACTGAAGAACGTGCCATTTATCTAGGCATATTGATTCTAACAAACGTTCAAACATTACAGTGCTTTCGATGGCGTCCAGATCACCAACTCCACTGATCTTACAAGCATCCTCAGCTACCACACTATCAATGGATCACACCCTTCATCTCAGTTCAAGGATGGTTCCAACATCGTCGCCACCAACTTGACCAACAGCACTTATGACCACTTCCCCAGCGGTGGAGTGCCTGTCAATGTCAAGGTTTCTGGCAGCGTTGTCAACGTCTACTATGGTGCTAACTACGCTAACGTCACATCGGCTGATAACACTGCCAGCAATGGTGTTGTTCATGTCATCAACGCTGTAAGTAATACCCCTTGATCCGGTTGGTATAGATAGGTGGCTACAGGTACTAACGCATCTCATAGGTTCTCATGCCTCCTAGCGACGTCAATTCCACTGCTCTTCAAGCTGGCCTCGACAAGTTTGTCAATGCCTTGAACTCTACCAACAGCACTGAAGGAATCAACAAGAAGTCCGGAATTACCATTTTTGCACCCAACGATGGCGCCTTCAGCTCTGACGCTCTTAGCAAGTACAACTCTTCTCAATTGGCCAACATCCTCGCTTACCACGTCGTCGAAGGTCTGTACTACAGCACCAACTTGACCAACCTCACCTCTCCCATGAACATCACCACTGAAGCTGGATCCAACTTCACCCTTGATGTCTCCGGTGGCTCCGTCAAGCTCACTGATGTTTCTGGCAACGAGACTGCTCATGTCATCAAGACTGATATCTTGACTGATAACGGTGTCATCCATATCATTGACGCTATTCTTATCCCCGCCCAGAACGCTTCCAGCGTCCCAACCAATAACACCAACATCACCTCCTCTTCCGGTGTTGGCTCTCTCTTTGAATCAAGGGAAATTAGCAGAATTGCTGTCGCCATGACTGTCATGTCCGCTTTCGCTGCCTTGATGTTGTAAATCACTCATAGGTTCATTTTTTCCTATATATTCTATTACATAGCAGATTTTCTAATTTCTCAAAATTTATAAAATAATTATCGTCAAGAATTTTGCCCAAAATTCAAACAATTCTAAAACGCTAGACTTTATTGTTCAAATGATTGATTTGATGTGCGAGTTTGAAGACATTGCTTAGGCAGTCGTGCCAAATTTCATCATTTCAGCTCTTTTCTCATTCTTCTGCAATACCCAAATGGAGTGCTTGTATTACCATCAAATATTCACACATAAGTAAACACATCCATGAATATCTTTACCTTTTGTTTGTGAGCCTTTTGCTCCTCTCTCTTCTCGTGTTTTGATTTTGGTCGATTCTTATCGGCCTTTGTCGTGGGTTCGTTTTCTTTTGGTACGTGTTTCTTTGGCATAGTGATGAATGAAAGATGCTGTTGTGTTTTTGGGCGGGAAAATTCGTAATTTATAAGTAACATGACCCTACGCCAGCTTGTTTCATGCATGGGTGGTACTGAAACAACAGGGAAAAAACGCATGCTATTTTTTCCCAATCTTTGCGGGGCACACCAATTGGTGGTTATACTAACTCCGTAACCACTCACGAATGTCATCTATTTTCCTTTTAGATGCAGTAAAACACATTGCATGGGTCCATGCCAGCGGGAAGAAAAGGCATGAAAAGTAAAAAACATTGCATGATACAATTTTGCGGCGTTTTGATTTGCATCGGTAAGAAGGCAGCAATATGCCATATATGCCATATCTTGAGATAACCAATAATATTATAAGAGAAAAAGTTTTCAATGCAGCAGAGTACGCAATACACTTACTTGGGATGATGTAGAGAATTACTACTAAATTGTTTACCACATGATATCGTGTGTTCTTGGTTCAAGTGGGGCCATGCTATCGATATGAAGAATCACTGAATGTGGTATCACAGTTATCCACATTCCGATGAACTGTCAACGCCTCATTATGTGGCCACCACGGTATCGGATAGTTTTTCGCGCGGATGGGATGATAGGGGTAGATGCTTTCCACACGACCTGGATAGTTTCGCGAGCTTGTATAAGTCAGTTTACGCCAAAGACACCGCGCCCAGGGAATGAATAATTTGAAAGTCTTGAAGACAATCAGCATTTAAAACACGTTTTCATTGTATGCGAAAGAAAGACATGTATGCAATTCAGTAAGCGTTTCAGCGAAGAATAGGTTTATTTTTGTAGCAGAGCTACAGAATTGATATATTACAAAAGTTATATTGAGTGAGCTTATTTGCTTTGATTTTCAGCAAGAGAGCAGTATATTTTTTGCAGCGCTATGCAAGACTCTTTGCCCAAATAAATCAATAGGCGGAACAATGGAATGTCACAAACTATTCTTGGTTTGCAGAATCTTCAGGAACGGTAGCATCCTCTTTTGGTGCCTTCGCATCCTCTGCGGCGGCATCCTTGGCCTCGTCTTTAGCTTCTGAGGCGGCGTCAGCTGCGTTGGCCTTGTCGGTCAGAATCTTGCCCGCATCTGGGTTGTACAATCTTCTTACCATCCAAACCTCGTTGGTAGTGTCGCTAGCAGTGACGATTCGCCCATTTTGATCAAAGGCTATGCTAATGGGTGAAATACATGTACCAGTTGAACAATCAGAGATGTCGGTTTGTCCAAAGATGGTCTCGGGGGCGCCGCTTGGTGCATGCGCCAAATCACTGAATGGCACATGGACGATACCAGTGTTACGGGTAGCTAAGAAAGCATGATCGGTCCATCGGCAGGGGAAACCTTCAGTTGTACCCAAAGAATCTGCATCTCCAACTGAGCATCCAAGGCCACGATAGAAAGCAATACCTCTTGTTTGCGATCCTACGGGAACGGTAGTATTGGAGCTGGCGTTGGCATCAAATAGTGAAAGGTTTTCGGAACCATCAGCAGCTATATATCATTTGTGTATGGTTAGATATCAAAATAATTAAACGTTAAAAATGTTATATTGCGAACTAACCAATGTTGGTTCCCCAAATTCTTCCCTGGGTATCGTAGGCCAACGGGCCAGCTCCGTTATTTCCTGCTGCTGATAAAGCCTGTCATATAGAACGATAGTTTAGCCTAATGTCAACGATTAAAAACTCTTTAGTCTATAATACTGACCTCGCCGCTGTTGCCATAGTCGAAGCCACCAGCAGGCACATCCAACAAGTCGTATTGCCTCACTTGTGATCCTCCAGTAGCTGCTTGACTGAATCCTTTTGGAACGAAAAGACGACCTCTAGGATCGATGGTCATAGGAAGTTGCTTCTCGCCAATATTCTTGATAACGACTTCAGGTGCACTCTGGATTTCAGAGTGTTGACCAGGGGAATATTGAAATTTATAAACAGCATCGCCAGTTGCAACATACAGATGGTCACGGAAGGCAATTAGACTATCCTGAAGGATACTACCACCAAGTTTTGATCCGTTAACCAAGAGTTGCTGACTCATATTTCCGCAGAGATCTTCTCGGATAGAATAAATCGAGTTGTCACCTGCGGCCAAGACCAAGAAATGGTTTGCTTCGTCCACAGTTACCGATCGGGGATTTTTAATAGTGTTAGATACAACAATGGCTTCATAGCCAGAGACCACAGAGAAAGGAGCTGAAGGTTGAATGACTTCTGGTGTGTTACAGTTTGCTGGCCTTTGAATCTTTCTGGGCGGTGGTGCGGCGCCGATAGCTGTGGCATCAGGGAGAGTAGAGCCTTCTTCTTGAGCTAGGACGCCCAATGCAGCGATAGTTAGCAGGAAAGCTTTACTGATGTTTAGAAAGGTCATATTTTCAGTAGCTGCATTGGTTACAATGTAATAGCTTCACTTTTATAGCAAATTTCAATTCATTCTATCCGCTGTTTGGTATCGATTTAAATTTCGACCTGAGCCTGATTGAAAATAGCAATACAAACTGATGGGAGTATGCTGATATCTTGCGTAAAAAACCTTGAAAATGTTCTTTCAAAAGATGAACATTTTCAGTCCTTTGTTGATCTTAAGGGTACCATGTTACGGAACACCAGATATGGTATAAAGATGTGCTTTGTTGAAAGAAAGAGAAGAGCAACTGGTATGAAAATGCTTCAATGGCAAAGAAGCAAATTTTACAAATGGGAAATCAATCAGCAAATCACGTGCACGAGATGAGCGGGCTGGCTCAGACACAAAGGATGCTTCGGCGTTCGCCCATAGGAAATCTTTCTCTTACTTTCAGAACTCAAAGATGGTAAGATATGCATGCATCATGCATCCATCGACAGCCATCCAACAAATTGAACGTACATTAATCATCGATATCGAATATGTAGGGTAAAGTTCACGGTTCCCTCGCTCGTGCCGGTAAGGTCAAGTCTCAGTGCCCCAAGGTTGCCAAGCAAGAAAAGAAGAAGCCCGTTGTTGGCCGCGCCAAGAAGAGAATCATCTACAAGTATGTAGAATTTTTTCATATATTGATTATGTGACAGAGCGACATACCATCACGACGACAACTTTAGCATTGAATCCGAAATTGAACGATTTGCGACATTAATACGCCCTAATCGAATTGCCAAAATTTGCCGATCAGATTTTGTTGCGGGCAGAATGTTTTTTGGCAATTCAGAATAACGAACCAAATTGACTGTCGCTCGGATTATGAAGTGTGGGTGCATGACTTCCATTGTCATAAAAGTTACTTTCGAGATGGGTGACTGCAGCAAATATTAAGTAATACGTCCACGCGCAAAACACAACAGCAAATAACGGCTTCACACTTGTAAAAGAAGATTAAACATAACTGAAACTTTTGAAATATGGTTATTGAACGAGGCACTAACATTATTTCGTCTTTTTGTAGCCGTCGCTTCGTCAACGTTACCACTGCTTTCGGTGGCAAGCGCAAGATGAACCCTGCCCCTACTGCTGGACCTTAAATCATATCTGATCATTTCCCAGATCTAAGATGAACAAAGTTCACGTAATAAATGAAAAAACATTAAACCAAATATTTCCTGTGCGTAAACTTGCTGTGTATAGCATATTGGGGTTTTGAAAAGATTTAAATAAACAACTCGTCACTGTCAACTTTCAATACAGGCAAACAATGTGTTTTTTGAACGTTGCCCATTAAGGTACAGCCGACATGGGCTTGACTCGATGAATCTGGTTGTTTTTCCGTACGACCAAAATGATGTTCCAGTTATTCTTGCTCATCGCGTGAATTTACATCTAAAACACAGACGGCTTTTTTTTTTTTTTTTTTTCACATAATCTGGGCCTATTTTAAGCACGAGAAGGCGACACTGTACTCATTCGGCGGATAGTGCTAGGATTACCAACTTGGGACAAAATGTAGCAGCTTTTTTTGGATGAGAAACAGTGTTGAGAGACATGCCTGCACTAAAGTGAGAAATCAAATTTCTTCGGTGATTATGTCGACATAACTCAAGACACGTTGCATTTCACATAGCTGAATATCAGTCTATACACCGCTTTTAAGTGGTTACAAGCAGGTTTCGGGTGAAATGAAATTATAGTGACCCAGCGCATCTGAGTAAAATCCGTGTTTTCTGGATCATAGAGTGGTTTCATGGAATTCAACCAAAAAAGGGAACCCCAAGGGCACGACCTCAAAATTACGCCTTGGTATAACGCTAAAGATAATTTTGGCTAATGTCATATAGGTAAACCAGTATTTTACCTTGGCAACGATGATGATTTGACATTATATCTGAAACTACGAGAATCGCTTACAGATCGCCTGGATTGACTGAGTTGTAAATCTGAAAGACAGGATCAACTGTGCGTGAAAATGGAGCCCAAGTCTCAAGCCACTCCGCACATGACAGAGGCACATGCCTATGCGTCCGCGTAGTTGAGACAGATAGAAAGGTAGTCTTGTTATACTTGCGTATCAACTGACCTGGTTTCTCTTGAGTTCAGGCGGTGCTATAAGAACTAGGAGTTACAGAGAAAAACTCGTTGAGCCATTCAAGTAACGCGCAGGTCGGAATTCGGATTTGGTACCTTTATTGCACTGAAACTTTGGCTTTCGCAACCACTCGCTGTGTGTTTGTCTCAGAAAAATGAAAGACGGGCGCAGAGTAGTTCTCCTGCGAAACACCTGTGCGGAAATGAACTTTAGCAGTTTCTTGCTTATACCTGAAACCAATCAAGGTTCCCGTCTGACTACAACATTGTGTTGGATTTGAGGGTCATCGAAAACTTTTTAAATAAAAACCTTGTTCGTTTAGTGGTCTCCCTCATTTCTCTCTTCTATCCTCTTTTCTCCTACTCTTCTACTTTTTTAAAACACGGCAGGGCCTGAAATTTTTCTTTTTCTTTTTTTTGCAAGTTTTTTTTTCCTTCTCCACAATTATGGTGTCCCTTCTTACACCACCTCCCAGCCCTGAGCTGTCATGTCAAAAGGCTTACACTTCAGAGGGAATCTTTCAATTGCCGGAATCTGTACTAGTGCAGATCTTTCTGTTATTGCCACTGGAGGATAGACTTCAAGTCGCAAGGTATGTTGTTGTTGTTGTTGGTGGTGGTGGTGTTTTTTTTTCTTTGTGGACCAAATGTCTCGAAAAAGAAGTGGCGGGGAACGGACGCATCCCCCTCTCGCGAAACGGCCATTTTTGAATATACATAGCTGACTGTTATATTCTTATCAACAGGACATGTAAATCTTGGCATACAATAGCATCGGATCCTTACCTTTATAGAGAAGTCCACCTTGAGGGGCTGGAAATGCGCGATTTGGTGACCGAACTTCGCCGGCTATCAAAAATCGCAACCAAAGTTCGCAGTATTTCGCTTCATTCCTGCTACTCGCACTTTATCCAGGCCACTGTGGTACCCGTCACTTTCGCGTCCAGCTCACCCAACTTGCCAACTCTCTATGCCCACATCACTACTCTGCAACCAGCTCGCCGTAAACAAGAGTATGAGAGGCTGCAATTCAAGCTACACGAGCATTTCTCAGATGCTCTTCTGAATCTGATGGACAAGAACCAAAACACCTTGACCGAATTGTCAATTCAGAACTGTAATATGGACCTCGAAATGACCGATCTCGTTTTTGGAATCGTTCGCTACGGATCTAGGCTTGAAACGTTTAACTACATGGATAACCGAGACAATACCCTCAACTCGCCCGACCTACTGACAGCTTTGGTCGCTGCTTGCCCCAACATGCGACAATTCAAAGGTTATCGCTTAGGCATGGACGAAAGAGTGATCCTCAGTATCGCTAAGCATTGGAAGAAATTAGAATCATTATCTTTATCCTTTACAAGTGAGAATTCCCCAAGCACATATTCGCAACCCAATGTATCAAGCCAAACCGCTAATATGCCATCGCAAGACTTGAAACCTCAAGTTCTATGGAAGCTTTTGACTTCATGCACATCGCTGCAGGATTTGGAAATCATGGATTTGGCCTGCTTCAACAATCATACCCTAGCTCAGTTCGTGAACGACATGTGCACAGAAGCCGACGACAAGAGCATGAAATCGCGTTTTCAGCCGTACAAGAACGCATACCGCAGTAATTGGCATGACAAACCTTGTAGGCAAGCCCTTGGCCCCAAATTGAGGTCGTTACGTATTGCTAAATACACAACATCGCCAATCACCCTGCCAGGTTTTGAAAATATCCTGGCGCTCTTTCCCAATCTCAAAATTTTGCAGTACGAAACTAATTATACAACATTTGATAATCTCTACGAGGGAGTAACAACTCACTTATTTGAGTTGGAGAAACAAGCAATTGAACAACTTTTTGATCGTCATGGCAAAGTCTCGTTACACGGTAAATGGCGTATGCCGGTTACTACGGAACAACGCTTGATGGCTGGAATATCAAGCTTGACACATTGACTGCCCCCATATATAGTCTTATGATAATAGGATACCCGTAACCCAATATAAATATACATATATAGATATCGCTTTCTAAAAAGAAAATCGATGGTGAATGTATTGTGTGTGGTGTGGTTACTATGGTCCGGTTACTATGGTGAAAGCTGGTGAAGCTAGTGTCACGGTAACCGAGAATCTACGTAGAAAAATTGGTGGCAGGCAACACAAGCCAGTGGCGCTTTGATGAATTTAAAAGCCGTGTTCTGCTGAGCTGGCAGGTATTTATGCAGCAGGTCTTTCACTTTGTCATCTTTCAAATCTAAACCATTGCTTCCACATTATAGGCACTATGAGGTATGGAGAGATTCTTTCATCTATGATAGACCAGAATGGGCCACTTATCTTCACCATCTTGGGACTTTAGCATCTTTTCGAGAAAGACCCCGACAACTGAAATCACACAAAACATAGGTATTTGAAGGGAGCTATAGGTCGTTGATTCCGGATCTTGTAGTTTATTGTTCTATCATAGAGTTAGCGACACAACCAACAGTACAATCGGAAGACTGGGGGCTCATTTTTTCGATATGTCAGCAAGTTACCAACAGTGAAACGGGGGCAAAGGAGGCTAGAAAGGCCCTTCAGAAAAAGCTGAATAGTAATGTGGCTGCCACCCAGGTTCATGTCTTTACAGTACGTTTATGGCGTTGATATCGTTCAGATACATTGGAAGCAATTGGTAATAATTTCATTCAACAGATTCTGAAGGCCTTGACAGAGAACAGCGAATTAAGGTTTCGAGGTATTTAGCTTGCACTAAACTGGGACGTCGTAGAGCATTTTGGCTGATTCTCCGATAATAGCTCAAATTACTGCCAAATCATTCTTAAAAGATTTGGAGAAGCTTTTAACAAGCAAAGTAAGTGAAGTTTTCACCTGGTAATTGCAACTTAAGATTCGCGAAATCTGGACGAGCATCTAAAATTGCTTGGCATTATAGTCAACTGATCCACAGGTTTATGAACGAGGAACCGCCTGTTTACAAATGTGGGCATCTTACTATTATAACATTCAAGAGATGAGTGAAGTCGTTCTATTGTTTAGACGTGTTGTGCCTGGTGTACCGTACACCCGTAGCCCACGTTCAAGAAGTCCTCAGAACGCAAACCCGCAAGCAGTCTCACCAAATGGACAATACCAAAATCATCAACAACAACAACAAGCAACTATTCAAGAACAATTACGACAAGCTGCAGTACATGCATCACTCAATGCTGTAAGAATTTATATTTATGATGGCCGGAATCAATTCAAATCACGTTAACTAAGCCGATTATCTGATATGCTGGTAGTTTCAACATTCGGTTGCCACTGACATTGAGGTCTCTCACAACAATGTGATGTTGCTATCCGAGATGCTTGCCTTCACTGACCCTAGTCAAGAGGATATTTCCAAAAATGTTTTGATACAGGTAGAGTATTAGACTGATCGTCTAAGCATGGCGCTGAGAGAGTTGACTAATGAAAAATCACAACAGGAATTCTACGATAAGTGTAAAAAATCCCAGATCACAATTTCACAACACATGCAGCATAGTGGTGACCCCGCAACTCTCGCAACTTTGCTGGAAAGTCACAATGAGATCAAGAGCGTATTTAACACATACAAAGAAATGGTCGAACATGGGAACTACCATAGAGCTACAGCGGCTTCACAGAAAGTGGCACATCGAGGCACTGGTGATGCCGCTCTTATTGACTTTGAAGTAAGTCCGTTACTTGGTCACCACATTTCAATTTCATCTGCTAACACAGCATATCCTTAGACCAATGGCGACATGTCAGCCAGAGCAACGGGTAGCGAAAGCTACATAGAAGGATCTAGGTATGTAAATATTTTAGAGAAAGAAAGGAGAGACAGAGAACCTGTTTACCAATATCCTACTTCTTTACAGTTCAAACAGCTCAGCTCAACCATCACAAGAAGCTGCAAAGAATTTGGAAGACATGGATCCTTTCTCAGATCCTGACGAACTACATATACCCATTTTACAGACCAAAAGCGTCAAATCTCAAGGGTACAGTATTAGTTTGCCTGTAGCATTTGCTTAATTTCCAAATTTCTGATTCGCTTTCTTCTGTAGGAAGCAAAAGTTGTCTGATTTCCCTACCACAACAGTGCAAAGCGTACAAGAATAGTCGTAAACTCATTCCTAAACATGGCACTACATGCTAATCCGGGTTTTCTTTGGCGTCTTCTTTTTTTTTTTTTTTGACCTTGAATGTGATTCCTTGAACCAATAAGCAATTATAGCTTTTAATAATATTGACATTTTTAAAGACACCGATGTTTAAACAATCGGCCGCAGCTAATTGTTCGCTCATATCCCGAAGCTGTGCTCCATTGTACAACGTTCACCCACGTGTTAATGTGTTCTGAAAAAAAATTGAAAACGATCCAAAAATACAAATTCGTTCATCAGCCTCCAACTTCTTTAACTAAAAGTTTTTACGACTGTGGAAATTGAAGATATCATTTTTCTTTAGCATCGTTCACCTTGGTGTAAAAAGTAAGGGATTTCGACCTGCCGGTCTCCTGAAATAATGCTACCCTACTTATTTATCGCCTCCTGGCATTTATGTGTCCTTCAGCTATAGGAAATCTTGAAGCCGAACACCTTTCTTCTCTCGTATCCCTTGTTGACAAACAATATGGACTCCCGTGGACAAATATTGCTGCTTGATTCTCAGGCATTGCAGTATTCTATGCGGCAATCGTCGGTAGGTCTCGACTAGTATTAGTTCGGCTTAGGGACAATTTTTTCACCCCTAGCACCATCCTTGCTAATTTTAAAAGGTGAAGAGTCCTGCTTCTTCTACCATAGTCTCAAAGCAGCCTCAAATCGAAAGCATATATTATCAACAAAGTCAGTCATATCTGGAAGACGAAACCACCGACGAAGCAGATATTTACATTCCACAAAACTTGGACCCCGAAGAACTCGCTTACAAGTTTCCCGTTAGCTCGAACGTAGTTGACAATATTGTCAACGAAGAGAATACACAGCACCGGTACCACTTGACCAGAGGATCTCCTATCGTAGACTGGAGTGGTGATAGTGACTCATCTAAAATTGATATGAGGGACACTACTACGGCAAAAGATAGTTTTGTACCGACCGATACCGATAATGTCAAATACAAATTATCGTGGTCAAGCACAATTTCCGTTGGGGAAAACAACCTTTCCTTGTATCCCACCACGACGCCCACGGAGACCTTTCCGGTCGACATTCATCAGCCATCTACTCCAGGTCCAATTATCGCACAAATGGTCAAAGATGGACTATCACGGCATTCATCAGGCTATTCCAATGTGATTGATGATGACGATTCGGCCAGTGTTGGCACTGAAGAATTTGACAATTGGACACACGGCCCTAAAATCTCGGCTGACACACTTGAAAATGGAAGCTACAAAGGTGATTTAACGTTTCTCTCAGTATTTACTACGATGTTCTTACAAACTGACCTTGCCCTGAATCTACTTTGCGTTAAACCCAGCTTCTACGCGATCTTTTGACGCTACTCGTATCAACACCTTGGACGCAATAGTTAACACGGAGTCATCTCACCCAACGTCTTCGCCAGAACTTACCAACGGTTCCGTGAATGCTAATAATACACGGCATAGCCCAACATTTCTACATTCTAAGACACACAATAGTAAAATACTGGCTCGGCAGTACTCTCATGCGAAACAACTTGCAGCCAAACAATACGAAATGCCAGACAAGCTAGTACTTGAATACAAAGGGAATACTGTTCACATTGTTGAAAGCAGTGTCAAGGACCTTTCGCATGACATTGAACTAAAGTCAGAATCAGTTCTATTGCCTGTCAATCAAACAGTTACTTCACTCGACTTGCAACATGCGGCCGCTACCAAAATACAAGCCTCATGGCGAGGTTATTGCGAACGAAAATCGAATCCGCCCACTTCAGCCCGAGCAATGTTGCTGATTATGACGCTCAGTGTGAAGTTTCAACAAAAATGCAATGGCTCAGTCGATCGAAAACTTCGCGGCTTGAAGCATAGAGTCTTGCAGGAAGCACGGTTCCGAGTACGATCCGAGCGGCAATTACAAAAGCTAGGAGAAGTAAATCGAAGAGAACGGGATGAACTTTGCAGACTTTTGGATAACGAAAATATAACTTTGGAAGCACAGGACAGGCTGATGCGTGAAAGTGCCGAAAAAGTCGATGTTACCTATCATCAACTACAAGCCGAAAGAAACGAACGTGAAAATTTGGAAAGAGTCATTCAGTTGGCCGCCAAGGAGATAAGCGCCCAAGCCGAGCGTGAAATGCAACGTAACAAAGAAATGGACACAATTCAAAGGAAAGTTGAGAAGCTTGCAAATGAATTGAAGTTTTTGAAACTCGAACAAAGCTCAACGCATCAGCGCCCACGACGCTCAATTTCGCCCACTCCTTCGCTACGAAGCCCATCTCAAGCAATCAATGCCCAATGTTCACCGTCTCCAGACCACAGACCTTCCTACCGGAATCGCATGCGACCATCAGCTGTTCCTCGACTTGAGACTGGTCCATCGTCATCTAATGTAAACTCAGCCCTGTACAAGATGCACGCAGCAAAAGATACCCTTCCCTCTTCTCATCCAAAAGCAAATAATATACTTCTCAGAGGGAAAAGCTTGATACCAACCAACAGCAACAACACTTCTTCGCAAGAAAGAAGGCGATAATCTGAATATCACATATTTGAGAAATCAGCGTCCTGACAGATGTAAATCTTGATACCCCCATTTCCTTAGATAACATAATATCTTTCACAATTTGTATAAAACCGTCAGTCTGGTATATTCACGATGATTCGAGATAAACTACTATATCCTCTAATCTTGATAACTGGTCTAGTGATATCTTTTCCTGCGGGGCCATGGCTGTAAGAGAGAATATTAGTTATCTATGGACCTGAGTTGATACCGAAACATCTTTCATCGCAAACACTCACGTATCGGGGCAGGTTTGAGCAACTGGGATTCATTATCCAGTAACCATCCCTTTTTCGTTAATGCTGTGTGTTTGACATTGTTAAATGAAAGCTATCATCATACGCTGATAATAGACAGGTAATCATTACCTTCTGATACAACGTCTTGTGGCATGCCGAGCATTTCAGCTGCCGATGTGACCTTAATATACGAAAACGATTTACTGATCAATTGATAAGCCTGTTCTTGTACAGTGTCTGGTATCGGCCAGGTAATTTCACGTAAGCATTCATATATCGTGATGACGGGGCGGATCAACTTTCACGTACCTCTCAGAAGTGCCATTATTGGTCGTAGGTCCGTACTCCAAGCATAAGTATCCAACACCGAATAAGCCTTTGCAAATGATCGAATCCAAAGAGCAGCTCCAACTCCCCATATAGCATTTAACTCTTCGGGAACGTCGGCTTCGACTTTATAGTGTTGCAGGATACGTTTTCGCAAGAATCTTGCCGAATTCCTGTTACGCGAAGGTTATCTAGTTAACCAGAAGATATTGATTCAGGATGCATCCAATGCGCTCTTACAAATCATTGACGACCAGGTATGCTCCTAATAGTGTTGCATATATTGTAGATTGCGGTAAGTCGGGGGTCGGAAATGCAGAATTCTGGTGTCCATGTTGTCAGTCAACTATTTGATAACATATACGCAAGTAGCTCTGTACATTACCTCAAACTCAAGAGATTCACATAAGTCAATTAGTTTCTGGAAATCTCTGTTTTCGATATTTTGCCTAATGGTATCCATAGTTTTTGATATCCGCAAAGCTTCAAGACACGCAATCGCCCAAAGACACCGAGCCTTCAACAGCAAAAGCCGAGTCACAGGACCAAACCAGAGCAGAGCAAATCTGGGGAACAAATTGGGCCATGTGAAAATTGGAGCCCAGTTCAATTACCTTCTGTCAGCGACTATTACTATGGCTCTTTACACTTCTTTCCAACATTACTACTTAATACAACTATGCAAATAAAAGGAAACACTTTCATTGTCACTGGAGGGTAAGAGCTCGCATTGCACCATTAACGCAATGTAACACTCGATTCTGACTGTCTTTGCTTAGAGCCAGTGGCCTCGGTTTAGCCACTGTTAAACTTCTTGTGGAGCGCGGTGCCAACGTTGCTGTAAGTGCAAAAGATGTCAAAAGAAAAAAGAAAGATTTACAATTGATCTAACAGTATTTGATGATAGCTCTTTGATCTTAATGAAGAACGGGCGTAAGTTATCAGAATGTAATTACTTGACTGAGTCATGGTCATGGAAACTAACATCCAAAACAGTGCCGAAGTTGCCAAGGAACTAGGAAGTAACGTATTTGCACCAAGCGGATCCATTGATGTTACATCAGAGGTATTTTTCATCAAATCTTAATATCAACTTCTTCGAACTTGATCTAATGACATAAATGTTGAAACAGGACATCGTGAAGAAGGCTATTGAAGAGACGGTTGCCAAGTTTGGCAAACTTGCTGGTGTCGTCAATTGCGGCGGTGTTGCCACTGCTGCTAGAGTGAGTAAATATGAAAGAGGATCGGGAGTACTACTCGTTTATTAATATCAATGTATCAGACTGCTAGAGCTGGTGGTAAATCATCTGGAACCATGACAATGGACATGATGGACTTCACATTGAAAGTCAATACTCTTGGCACCTTCAATGTTTCTAAGCAAGTAGCGCAGACCATTGCAAAGCAGGAACCTTTTACTGAAGACGGTAAGACAGTAGAGATTTACCATATGAAAGAAATGTATGAAAACCGTATTCATGTGAGGTTATGTAGGTGAGCGCGGAGTCATCATCAACACAGCTTCTGTTGCATACCAGGACGGTCAAACCGGTCAAGTTGCCTACGCTGCATCTAAGGGTGCTGTTGCAAGCATGACCCTTCCTATGGCTAGAGATTTGGCTCCCATTGGTATTCGTGTCATGACCATTGCCCCTGGTATTTTTGAAACTAACATGACTGCCGTGATGAATGAAGCTGCAAAGGTAAGTACACGATGTCAAACGTCGTTCGAAGTGTGACATGTGATATCTGATACGAATCATGTCCTCCAGGCCAAGATTATCAAAGACGCAATCTTTCCCCTTCGTATGGGCAAATCACCAGAGTTTGCTCTCTTGGCTAGTCACATTATAGAGAACGGAATGCTCAACGGTGAGGTCATCCGTATCGACGGTGCTTCTCGTCTTGGCAAACTTTGAGCAGCTAAAGTTCGAGGCATTGGAAGCCGTCCTAATTCATTATTTAATGATATATAATAAAAGTATTGCTTTAAAACTGTAGGAATAGCCAAACGGGACCTTCAAATTTACGAATGTCCAATTTGAAACGCAGTGGCGATACCTCCTATTTTGACAAGCTTTATCTTGTACTATTTGATTGGCTTGGCCATAATCTCATTCATTCTGTCAACCAGCTAATCAATCCCTAGTACAACCTTTAGTCTCACTGAACGCTTTCTGGGATGCCTTTCCACATTGCAAATCTAGCGCTTTCTCCTCGAGCCGTCGTTCAGAAAGCGAACAGCCAAGAAGATCCATACCACGATGATCACCAATTGATTGGTGACAGCTTACTGTACAAACTCAGTGGACAGAAAAAGTATGAATTGACAACTGCATTACCTACAATAGTACTACTGACGCTTAACAACCCCAATCTGAATAGCTCGCTATGGAATAGTATCATATCAATTTTGCAAACGCGAGCGCATGAGTTTGATGAAGGCGTTGATGACACGCCGTGGTGTCTTCTTTTTGTCAAGGATCGTATGTCCCTTGCTGAAACACTAGGCGAAGCTAATCCAGGAAGCTCTTGCCATCCAAACCAAATGTCAGACCTTCAGAAAAGGATATGGTTAAGCAGAATACGGATTTGGTAAGCTGTCAACTTAACATTAGCACCCATTTCAGGCACAGGGACATTAATGCTTTTGGTAGCTATACACCTACGAGTCACCACCTGAGAGCCATAATATCAGCTTTGCATATAAGAAGCGGACCCAACAAGGATGCCAATGGGATTCTCCCATCTCTAGATAGCGAGTATCCAGATAGGGCACCGTCGCTGATCGCAGTATATAATTTAGTAGATATCATTGATGATGAACAAGATGACAACTCTACGAGGGAAGATATCGCAGGGAAGGAAATGACAAGGTATCTCTTTCATGATGCCTACCGCAGTAATTAAATGAATGAAAGGTTTTAACTAAATCTATTCGAACAACAGGCATGATGAATTGATGCATATAATGGCAGCCATGTCTGAACTACAGGAATACTTCAATAGCACGATGAAAAGGAGCTCGCATTTAATATACTATGACAGCAAGCAACACCATATCTATCACTCTCATGTTGAAGGACAGTCCGTATTTCCGGTAGCTACGGAGATTCCGCCAGAAGTGCAAATGATCAATACTATTTTTCACTCATGGACGGATTGGATCATCGAAGCAGAAGTCGTCCTTTTTGATAGAGGCGATGAAGGTAACGGCTTTCATCTACTTTATAATACATTTATGACTGGATTTTTAACGATTTGAAAAAGTAGAGGGACTTGAAAAATCTTGTATCTCGCTCGTAGCTGTGCCTTCACGAAGGATAACTGCCGCAGAAGATTTGCACTGGACCTTTCAAATGTGAAGTCAATCTCACGCATCGGTTCATTGTTCAACCGAATGTGGGACCAGTCGTTTACCAATTCGATACCGGCAGTCACATAGATGCGCCCAAGGTCCCGGGAAAACTTGATCTCTTCGACGCGTCAGCTCCAAGTTTTATCCACGATTACCAATCAGGGCAAACTTTCTCAAATATAAAAGGACCACCGTCTTCTTTTCTTCAACTGCATCCAAAATCAATATGTCAACTTCACTGCCAAAAATGCAATACGTCAACCTCGGAAACACCGGGTGCAGAGTGTCGAGAATCTGCCTCGGTTGTATGTCATATGGCGACAAAAATTGGGTTGACTGGGTTGTTGAGGAAGAGGAAGCACTTCCTCTCATTAAGAAGGCCTACGATGCTGGCATCAACTTTTTCGATACCGGTAGGTGTAAAATATCTTTCAGGTTGACCGCTGTCATCCATCATATTCACTAACCTTGATGTACCAGCGAACGTTTATTCAAATGGCGTTAGCGAAACCATTTTGGGAAAGGCCATCAAGAAATACAATCTTCCAAGAAATAAAATCGTCGTTGCTACCAAGGTATTCAGCGTCACGACTCCGGAAAATATATCATACCGAGCATTCGGAAAAGCTAAAGAGGATATTGAAGCAGATGGATATGTCAACTACGGCGGTCTGTCCCGCAAGCATATCTTTGACTCTGTCGAAGCCAGTCTGAAAAGACTGGATTTGGATTACATTGATCTGCTCCAAATTCACCGGTAAGATCTATACCTGCAGAGAAACATATCGTCATTGGCATCTAACCTAGCCAACTTGATCCATCCAGTTTCGATCGCTACACTCCTGTTGAAGAAACTATGGGAGCTTTGAACGACCTCGTCAGACTGGGTAAAGTTCGATACATTGGTGGAAGCTCTATGTGGGCATGGCAATTCGCCAAGATGAATGCCGTTGCCGAAAAGAACGGTTGGGCCAAGTTTGTTACCATGCAAAATCATTACAACCTTCAGTAAGTTTACATGAGGCATACTTTACAGAAGTTGTCGAGCAGACAATATATTAACCTCTATATTCTAATAGTCATCGCGAAGAAGAACGTGAAATGCACCCTTATTGTGTTGATGAAAAGTAAGGATCATCTCTGAAGTCTCACATGCATCAGCCGATATGTGTATATTAACATGACTGAAATTATTTCTAGGATTACTACGCTACCATGGTCACCATTAGCTGGAGGAAAGTTGGCAGGAAAGAATCGCGAAACTTCCAGAGAGAAAATGACACAACCCTACACCGACGCAGAGACCGAAATCACCGATCGTGTGGCTGAAATCGCAAAGAAGAAGAATGTACCACCGGCACAGGTTGCCCTCGCTTGGGTATTGTCCAAGAGTGTTGTCAGCTCACCCATCATCGGTGCTGGAAAAGAAAGCCATCTTATCGATGGCATTCAAGCACTGTCTGTCAAGCTCGATGACGACGAAATCAAGCATCTTGAGGAACCTTACGTTCCTCGTGTCCCACAAGGTCACTCATAAATTACATGAGCTCATCGTCGTATATGCGAAAGGCATGTTTCGTTGGAACTTGAATCCTAACAATAAAAGAGCAGCATTCTATATGATGACTTTCAATAACCAGTGTCTTGATTCCATTTCCGTCCTGAATCATTATGGCCATCCAGAGAACGAGGCACATATATACAGCTGAGTACAAATCACTGGCCACACAATTTTCTTTACGATATTCGCAATTTTTTCAGTTTATTTCGAAAGGACAGATTGTTGTGGCTAGCACGCTTAAGTATGACCAACTGGGGTACGGGGCTGATACAGCTCTTCCAAGTCCTTGGCTTCTTCATCGGTGATTTTAATATCAAGTGCTTTGATGGCATCTTCAAGATGGCTCTCCTTTCTGCAACCGATGATAGGGCTGGACACAACGTCCTTAGAAAGAACCCAAGCCAAAGCCAGTTGAGCAGCGGGAACTCCTTTCTTTTCTGCCAATTCGACCACACGATCGGTGATGGCACTGTCCTGTTCATTATAATCAGGGCGCAACTTGGAGCGCTCAGTGTCTCTGTTCTTTCCGGCAAGCATTCCACCAGCGAGAGGTGACCAAGGAAGAGTCTTGATTCTATTCCAAAGGACCATGTTAGTCAATAACAATCTTAACGTCTGGTCGATGAGTTTACTGTACATACTTTGCGTCCACGCAGTAAGGATGCATCTCACGCTCTTCTTCGCGGTGACTGGAAATTACAAATATGTCAATAGGCAGCACTGATATCTGAGTATTTACGGAAAAACATAGAACTTACAGCAAATTGTAGTGGTTTTGCATGGTCACGAACTTGGTCCAGCCATTCTTCTCGGCAACGGCATTCATCTTTGCGAATTGCCATGCCCACATGGAGCTCGCACCAATGTAGCGGACTTTACCCATACGGACAACGTCATGAAGAGCTTCCATAGTCTCTTCAACGGGGGTTTTGGGATCAAAACTGCAACACAAATGAGTACAATATCTCGACACCTCTTACATAGCGACACGGAAACATACCGGTGAATCTGAAGAAGGTCGATATAATCGAGGTTCAGTCGGCGCAAACTGGCGTCAACGGAATCGAAAATATGCTTGCGAGACAAACCGTTGCCATTAACATATCCAGCTTCTTGCTCAATCCAGTCCTGTCCCTTTCCAAATGCTGGGATACCAGGATTGCCTTCAGCGCAAAGGAAGAAAACCTTAGTGGCAACCACGATCTTGCCGCGAGGTAAGTCGTATGTCTTGATAGCCTTGCCTAAAATCTCTTCACTGACACCATGAGAGTATACGTTTGCTGCCGAGCCACATCGCGTGTTACCAAATGCATCATACAATGAAATACATGAACTAATCTTTACCTGTGTCAAAAAAATTGATCCCGGCATCGTATGCTTTCTTGATCAAAGGCAATGATTCCTTCTCGTCAACGACGTAAGGAGCCCATCGCTTGTCGCCGAAGGACATGCATCCAAGGCAAATTCGGGAAACACGGCATCCAGTGTTACCAAGGTTAGTGTATTGCATCTTGGGGAGAGCAGCAGCAGCCATAGTCGAAAGAGTTAATTAAAGAATTAGACAGTCTTGAAATTTCCCAAAAAATAAAAAATGGGTTTTATATCAAGCAAAGAGTCGACGTAATTTTTTTTTTGTGTGGTGTTGCCTTCGGCTGTCAGATCAAGGCTGTGGTATTTCCTACTAGTGTGGTAGCACACGCAAGCGATCATTTAAGATTTCAAAAGTTACCGCAGTCATGTCGAAGGTAAGAGCGTACGCGCGTCGCTTGATTTGTCATCGGAGTTACTCAAAGCACCTTGCCGCTGTTAATATGATCGAAAGCATGAACTGGTCGCTTGGCACGAAATTTGTCGATTGGCTGGGGTCTTTTTTACCCGAAGCACTGGTTGCATAGAATTCATGGCGTAAAATATATCTCATCTCCGACGCCTAACAAGCTGGAAGGTGTCTAATAGCGGTTTCGTTAAAGAAACATTTTCCAAAGTATTTCTCACAAATTGCAGTCGCCGGGAAGATCGAGCATCGCATACGACGACGGCTATAGGACTGCATGAAAAGCGCTTCAGCACCAGAAATTAGCCAGTTGCCTCATGACCGGGAACCATTTCTTTCACCTTCCTAGAGTTGGCGCTCCAAGTGTCCACTCATGATTATGGTATAATATGTTCCTTTCCATACAACACCATCGTAATGATGTCAGAGCGCATGAAATTTCATACATTTCACACAACCCATTTAACAGATGTAGGCCGTCCGTGTTTCGCAAAAACTATTGAAGATTTATAGGTGATTCATAACTATAAATTACTCAAATTTATACTAATACAAAGCTGCTAAAACTATGGGCATTTGTTTGATCAAATAAAATAAAACAAATTGAATTATAAAATATAACGGAAGCCTGGATGCTTATCATACATATCCTCAGCACCTACAAAGTGCTTTTCGTCAATTTCGCCAGGAACGCCATATTGCTTGTCCTTGGCTGCATTCTCCTTCTTCAAGATATATCGAAGAACCAAAGCAGTACCCCAAGTCATACAAGTGAAGGCTAAGCAAATTGCGTGACCAGGTCTGTATGCGGGAGCATCTACGGTCTTGTAAATTTGAGTACCAAGCACACTCAGAGTTTGAGACATGGTATTGGCCATGGCCAAAGCAACGGCTCTCTTAGAGTGACCGAGTTGATTATTTGAGATCCAGCTCAGCGTCTTTAGGACAGAAGAGTATGGTCAGTTGCCGAAAGAAGAAATTGGTATGGCAAGAATAAGAACTTACCAATGGAATAAGAGGGTAAAGACCCATAGCAGCGAAGCAAGCGCCAACGTATTGAAGAGCAACATTGTTACCAATGAGAAGGAACATGTATCCGAGGGTTGCCGTCATACTGACAATAATAATAAAGATAGCTCTCTGTTTCAACTTGTCTGAAAGATAGCACATGATGGCTAGATAAACACAGGCAGCAATGTAAGGAGGAATGGTTAAAAGCTGAGCTTGCAAATTAGTGAAACCAAGGGTTTTGACAATAGTGGGAAGGAAAGAGGTATATGAAGCTAAAGGAGCATTCAGACCAGTATATACCAAAGCGGTCATCCAGTTCTTATAGTCAAGAAGAGCAGCCTTAACTTGACGCATGTCGAAGTTCGAAGTATCAGTATTAAATGCTGAAGCGCCGCGTTGGATGGCCAATTCCTTTTCTTCCGGGGTAAGCCATCGCTTTCCGACAGATGCAGGGCTGCGAGTAACGATATTGGTTAGATTGGCATATAAAGAAGCAACTGTCGTTTGGTTATCATGAAGGCGTAACATACAAATCAGGCAATATGACAAAAGCAAGAAGGCCAAGGCAAATAGTGGGTATGCCTTCAATAATGAAAAGCCATCTCCAAGCAGCAAGGCCTTGAGCTCCTTGCAAGTGACCTAGAACACCATATGCTAATGCACCACCGAATGCTCCAGCAACCGTGGAAGAACCTAAAAAGACGGCAAGCTACGAGAAGAATTGCCATAAGAATGTCGAAAATGATGTGGATTAGGACATAGAAAGAAGAGACAGAACTCACTCTGCTACTCATTTCTTCTCTTCTATACCAGAATGATAGAATAAGAGGCTGTAATATGAGTCATTGTCAGTTATTGGTATACTTCTTCTTTCATTAAATGCGTTATAGCTTACAGCACTGGGGCCAATGCCAGTTTCAAAGCAGCCGAGGAAGAACCGAGCGGCAAAAATTCCAGCGGCGTTTTTAGTAGCGGCCATACTGTTGAGGCAATCATGTTGTCAGTATACCTATACCTGTCTATATAGCAAGTTCACGACATTGAACTGACCATGTAGAGCAAACACCCTGTTGTAAAAAAAATAAAAATCAGTTCCATCCATTTCATCGCATACTGGTTATCTGCGTTTTACTTACCCAAAGCGTCATGGTGATACCAATCCATCGGGAAGGACGCATTCTGTGGCATAAAAAGTTTGGAAGATCAGAAAAACGGACTTCTAAATAAGAGGGGTCGGCAGATAGATGTCTTGACTAATTCTTACGTTTTGACCATTAAGTTGGATGGGATTTGGCATAAGACATATCCTGTAGAGAAACATTTTATGAGCATTTTACTATTCTTTCAAGTCTTTTCCGTAGCGCTTACTAACCAGCATAGAATATACTAATTGAAAAAGGGGGAAATAAATCGTTAACATCTATCAAGAAAAGTTAAGGCTCCGTTGATATCATGATTGATTTTGATCACTTTACCTCAGAGCATTGTAAAAATCATTGCCTTCTAAGTGAAGATCGGCTTCCAAACCGCCGAGTCGCGCGTTTCCGATATTACCCTATGGAAGATTGGGATTAAATTGTTGTCACGACGATATGTAAACTTTCAAGTAGATATTGGTAGCAACGTACGCGATCCAAAGAAGCCAATAAATACATGACCGAAAGAGTAGGTAGTAGACTGGTAAATAAATGCTTGGTGTTAGATGGAGATCTCATACTGCTTTGTCATCTAATCAAAGTCATACCGAAGATCGATCTTCCAGAGTAATCTCCTCTCACGCTCCTTCAGCTCATTGTCAGCTTCACCCGTTTGCAAAGCCATATCTTGCTTCAAGTCTTCTGGCCGCGGAATGCCTTCAGGTTGAGAAATAGATTGCTTTTCATCAAGCTTAGCATCCCCAGAATATTCAACAGTATCCTTTATATCGTCAGTGGCCATTTTTGTTGGAGTAGGGTGGTAATGACGTTTCTCCTGGAAACAAAAGGATAGAGGGCAAACAAAGGAACATTTGTTTTGACCTGAGAACTTTTATACCTTTACCTAGGAATAGACCGCAGCGACCAATTGCCTAATTCAGTATGGCTAGCATGCAATAAAGTTTTTCGCTTCAGGCAGCGTATCTGAAGTTAGAGCTCAATCTGAATTTTTTTTTCTTTCGATTTCTTGATCTGCGAGCAATACCTGGCGATATCAGCATAGGAAGCACCTCAGATCCGACATATACTTTTGAATTGAATCAATCGATTGTAGGTTTATCAGTAGATGGGCTTCAATTACCTATACGACAGAATGCAGAATAGACCGTTTAGCTTGCAATACGCAGCTTACTCACCCGTCTAACTGAAAAACGTAATAAAAGAAACCTTAATGTCAGCCTTCTGTTACGCTTGTGACATGTAATTAACGGGGATCATTGTTTAAGTACATTGACTCCATAACGTATTGGTAGCGTACATCGTTTTGACAGCATAGGCCTCACTACCAGGTTGTAGAAACTCATTACTACCCCATATGGAAAAATAAAGTTTTAGTTGCAATTGAAAAAGGTTCACCCGGTGTGGGGGATTTTTTTTTAATTTTTTGGGATAATATTAGCTACCCAGTTTTGAAACCATGGGTATCTGGATAAAGTAGTTACCCTTTTAGCCGTTTCCACAACTTTGCTTGCTCTTTTGTTTTCCTTTTTTAAATAGCTCAGACCATGGCTGACATTCATTCTTGTGCAGCCCTACAGCAAATCAAAATGTAGAAACTTACTTTTCAACCACTCATAGTCTACATGTCATCCCACACTATCGAATTGGGGCAAAAGAAAATGCTCTGGCGGAGTAATGAACATTCAGGGAACAATCAATATGTCCCATTGACATTATAGTGACCCGAATTGTTGCTCGCTTTGTCGAGACAGACAAGAAAGCCTTCAACATGATCTCTTATTCCTGTAATCTCCATCTATGAAAAGCTGGTATTCTACGGTTTAAGAAATTTCACTACTTCATTCCATGATATTCCCATGATCTGCGTTAAGATGTTACACTTCGGGGCGAACCGGTAATTAGAGCGGAAGTTTTCGTAAATAATGCAGACGTGCGTTTCAGGACACGCAAGGCTATGTCTTTGGATGAACTGATTATAAGGTTGAACGCCGTGCCGAGAGGTAATGTGATGGTGCACACGGCTCCAAAAACAGGGATATTTACGCAAATAAGATGGACAGCCACCAACAATGAATGCTTGGTTAGCGGAGCTACCGGGCCCCGAAGAACATGATCCATTAAGTTTTAAACCGAGATCTTTCAAAAAAAAATGAGCCGTCCATCTGTAAAGGAGGTCGCAAAGCACATACAAATCTCTCGTTCTACCCCTTTATGACAGCTTAACGCATACAAAAGAGCGAGAGAATTTGATATGTGAATCTGAACAAGGCTATGCTCACATTCGTTATCTGTTCTCCAAGTGAAAAGGCTCGGTCGCTTTTTATTTATAGGAGCGCATCCACGAGCCAATTGGACGCATTCATACAGACTCCAATCATTACCTATGATACACATTTCTATTGGCATCAAGGGCATATGTACTACCATCAGTATCAAGTGCTGGATTACCAATCTGCAAGATGTAAATCACCAAATATCATCGGGTATCCGTGCTATTTTTCCATGCGTTTGTCAAAACACCAAGTGTGCCACTCCCATTTCATTTGGCTGCATTGCAGCTCATCACCTACGATACACGCAAAATCAGATATGCGCTTCAGGAACAAGCTAAGCAGATTTGGTGATCTATGGTCGGCAACAAGCTACTGAGCACCAATTATCCATTATCCGCTGTACTACTGCTATACACAAGGTCATTCTGGGGTATGAGGCCTCCGCAAATTTTCATGTGGTACATAAAGTGTCAAATGCTGTATCAAACCAAATTATGTCATGTAGTTCGTCAACTTAATAAAGGTGGAGGTGATTACAAGCAGAATTTTCATTTTATTGCTGCTCATGTGGTTTGTACATTTAAGCATTACTAGCTCCACTTGCACGCCATTCGCCGAGAATCAAACTAATAATCTCATCAAGGCCAACACCATTTTTGACCTGAGCGAACACAGTTGGGCCAGTTCCTCTGCAAAAGTTATATTTTAGCGCATGTTCAAGATTTGACGCTGCTTCCTAAAAATCTCACCTCATCTTCTTGGCGTCTCTGTCCATGACATCAAGATCAGCGCCAACGATGGGGGCAAGGTCAGTCTTGTTGATGATCAAAAGATCACTCTGGGTAATTCCAGGTCCTAACATTGCAATTCCTTAGTACCTTTTCGACGCGATGTATCGCGGTCGCATAAATAACCCTTACCACCCTTGCGAGGAACCTTATCGCCTCCAGCAACATCGATAACATAGATGATGAAGTCGGCTATATGAATACAAGAAATGAGTATGTTGTTCATCACATAAACCTAAGCGAAAACCGTACGCAACAGTTTACATACCAAGCTCTCGGCTAACGGTTTAGTAAAGACAGTGTTAGACATATAGTAGATTGCATTTCATCTACGCACTGGATCATGTACTTGCCTGTAATTAGCAGCCAAGTTATCGCCACCAGATTCAATCAGGAGAAGCTGAGTATTGAATTTGGCGTGCAATACCTCTAAAGCGTTCAAGTTTGCAGAAACATCCTCACTAATAAGGGGTTAAGTACACAAATCTGAATAGACCTTGACAAATTTTGAAAGGAAGACTTACCGAATAGCCTATTGGAGTGCAAGACAAGCCGAGAAAAGAGGGTTTCCAAAGTTTGTCAACAAAGCAAATGCAAGGCGCAAACAGGAGCGAGAAGAAAAGAATGCCACTTACAGCGTGAGGACAACCACCCGTTTCGATGGCAGCAATGCGTTCCTCCGGTAAAGCCTTGTTACGAACCAAAAACTCGGTGTCTTCCTTGGTGAAGATGTCGTTGGTGACAGCAGCAATGGAATATTGGTCACGAAGTCTTTGACACAACGCCAACATCAATGCAGTTTTGCCTGAGCCGACAGGGCTGTATTGATTTTTTCTCAGCTTTTATGTATACAGAAATCTCAAAGCAACAAACGACTTACCCGCCGATGCCAACTGTAAAAGCTCGCTCGGACCAATCGCGTTGGTCATAGACTGTCGACTCGCGCTCATCGTAAACGCCAGGATGATCGAGCTGCTCATGAGTATGACCGTGCTCATTAACAGAATGGTCGTGAGAGTGACCATGGGAATGATCGTGCGAGTGGGAGTGCTCGTGTGCAGGCTCTACAGCAGAGTAGGCACCTTGATCTTCAAATCGGCATGTGTTGTTGGTAGACATGATTATACCCTGACGGCGTTTTTTTGGGAACGTCCGATAAAATTTCGGATTCCTGGGTGTGTTTTCAGTATCTTTGTGTTCCTGACTGACCTCCCGCTTATCTCTCTTCCGCCTACTTGTTCAGAATGCGCTTGGTACCTCGCGAACTAGACAAGCTTCTACTCCATCAAGGTAACTATCCCGTTTGGAATGGCATGATTCCGGATCGCGCTTGAATGATGTTTAGAATGTTTCGCAAAAGGCTAATTGTCGTTTCTTTTTTTTTTACGTAACAAAAAAACTAGTTGGATCGTTGGCTCAGAAACGGCTGGCCCGTGGGGTCAAGCTCAATCATACTGAGGCAACTGCATTGATTGCTTCACAAATATTAGAGCTTATGCGTGATGGCACGCATTCTATTGCCCAACTTATGGACTTGGGTAAGCAGATGCTTGGTCGCCGTCACGTTCTACCCGATGTCATAGAAACTCTATTGGAAGTTCAGGTGGAAGGAACTTGTCCCGATGGCACCTATCTCTGTACTGTCCACGAGCCTATTAGTTCAGATGACGGAAACTTGGAAATCGCCTTGTACGGTAGCTTCTTCCCCATTCCTGACAACTCCAAGTTTGATCTACCAGCTACGGCTGCAAAGCCCGAAGAAGCCCCCGGTGCAATCATCGTTAAGCCTGGTAAATTGGAACTTAATGCTGGAAGAGAACGCATTGCCTTGACTGTTACCAACACTGGAGATCGCCCTATTCAAATCGGTTCACATTATCACTTCATCGAAACAAATCCCGCCTTGTTGTTTGATCGCCTCAAAGCTTACGGAAAACGCCTTGACATCGTTGCCGGTTCCGCGGTTCGTTTTGAACCAGGTGATACTAAGACAGTTCAGCTTGTGGATATTGCTGGAAATCAAGTCATTTCTGGCGGTAACAACTTGGCTAGTGGTAAACTAGATCTATCAAAGATCCCATCTATTCTGGAGAAATTGACTGCGCACGGATTCTCTCACCAAGAACTGGTTGTCCCTCTTGCTATTCCCAAACCATGCACCATCGACCGACGATTCTATGCTGATCACTTTGGACCTACTACTGGAGATCTTGTTCGTCTAGGCAACACCAACTTGTGGGCTCGTGTCGAAAAGGATTACACTGTTTACGGCGATGAATGCAAATTCGGTGGAGGCAAAGTTCTCCGAGAAGGAATGGGTCAAAAGACTGGTGTTTCCGACGCGGATTCTCTCGATTTGGTCATTACCAATGCCTTGGTTATAGATTATACTGGTATATACAAGGCCGATATTGGTATTCAGAGGGGTATAATCGTCGGTATTGGTAAGGCTGGAAACCCCGACGTTATGGAGGGTGTTATGGACAATATGATCATTGGTGCCAATACGGAAGTGCTGGCTGGTGAAGGCAAGATATTCACCGCTGGTGCCATCGATACTCACATTCACTACATCTGTCCCCAGTTATGTTACGAGGTATGGCGATCTTAATTCTAATAATTATATCGAAACATCTTGCTAATCTCTTATCTATCACAATCTCAAACTTGATTAGGCTCTCTCAAGTGGTATCACCACTTTGATTGGCGGTGGTACTGGTCCTAATACCGGCACCAACGCCACGACCTGCACGCCTGGTGCCTACCATGTGGAGATGATGTTACAAGCCACAGATGATATTCCGCTTAACTTTGGCTTCACTGGAAAAGGCAACGTTTCATCACCAAACGAATTGAGAGAACAAATCGAATCCGGTTGCATCGGTCTTAAGCTTCATGAAGATTGGGGTACTACACCTGCTGCGATTGACACCTGCTTGACGGTTTGCGATGAAATGGATGTACAGGTAACGAATCAGTAAAAAGCTTATGCAGATTGGACTTTAGGGAATTGACTAACAAGAAACATTAGGCTACCATTCACACAGACACTTTGAATGAATCTGGATTTGTTGAGTCCACCATTGGCGCATTCAAAGGTAGAACTATCCACACTTACCATTCCGAAGGAGCAGGTGGTGGCCATAGTCCTGATTGTAAGTATTTTTTTTTTTTAAATTTCATGTTTGTGCTTATATTTTTTTTCTTCTGGGGCATGCAATTTCCATTATTTATATTTGTACACCATAATAACATTTGTGTTCCCAATAGTGATGGTTGTCTGCGGTGAAGAGAATGTCCTACCCTCATCTACCAACCCAACAAGACCGTTTACTACAAATACACTTGATGAACATATCGACATGTTGATGGTGTGCCATCATTTGTCCAAGACTATACCTGAAGATATTGCATTTGCTGAAAGCCGCATTCGTGCGGAGACCATTGCTGCCGAAGACATCATGCTTGATATTGGTGCTATTAGTATGATTAGCTCAGACTCGCAGGCCATGGGCCGCGTCGGCGAGGTTGTTCTGAGAACCTGGAAAACAGCACACAAGATGAAGATGCAACGTGGCAAACTTACAGAAGATAAGGAAGATGAAGGTGATAATTTCCGCATCAAGCGATATGTTGCCAAATACACCATTAACCCGTAAGTGAGCCCCACTTCACACATTATTGATCATGTGCTGTGGATGGAATGTCTATCTATCACATAATATTCATGCTTACGTACTTCTTCTCTCGTAGCGCTATTTCACATGGCGTCAGTCATTTGGTGGGATCGATTGAGGTTGGCAAGGTGGCAGATTTGGTAGCGTTTGACCCTGCTTTCTTTGGAACAAAGCCCAGTCTTGTGCTAAAAGGCGGAATTATAGCGTGGGGTGATATGGGTAAATTTTTAAACACACTTTTTTTCCATAAATTGGAAAAATGAGAGTTGATTAATCTCACATGACATCTTTTTCTTTAGGTGATGCCAATGGCTCTATACCCACCACACAACCCGTTATTGGTAGACCGATGTTTGGCTCGTATGCTTCCGCATTAAACAAGTCATGCATGGTGTTTGTTTCCCAAGCTGCTATCGATGCCGGCCGAGTTGCAAAATATCGACTGAGAAAGAAGGTTGAAGCTGTCAAGAACTGTCGCGGAATTAGCAAGAAGGACATGAAGCTCAACGACACACTGCCTGCTATATCTGTTGACCCTGAAACTTACGACGTGACCTGTGATGGTGTATTGGCTACATGTGAGCCAGTGAATAAGTTACCACTAACGCAATCGGTCTATCTTTTCTAGTACTGGAGATATTCCAGTCACATACTTAGTTTTTTCACCTGTTACCACTCTCCCCCGTATTTTTTTTTTGGCTTCCAAGATCTCAATACCCATAACGCGCGGGTTTTTAACTTTCTTGATCAAATTTTTTTTCCAATATACTTATTTTGTTTACGTGGCGATCTTTTCAATGTAACAGATTACCTATTGGGAACGCACTTGCATTCGCAAATACTCGATCAAAAAAAAAAACTGGTCATTAATGCATGAATCAGGAATAACAGAAATAAAAGGCGTTCTATAGTAAAAATCGTATCGCTTGAAACGGAGTTTTTCAATTATGGAAAATACCATAAACTCTAGAGCGAGGTACAGTAAAGCGTAGCACCAATGCAGAATAAACCATACGTGCATCCTTTTCAGAATATTTTTGCCCAAAACGCCAACCACATGAATATGCGTCTGAGGTAAAAAGAGGATGATAGTACATATGCTTCGAGCTCCTTCGTAAAAGTTCACTTTTTTGCTTGTGTAATTCGGGATAGGAATAATCATAGCTGACGAAGAAGAAATGGGGTCATTGCACAGGCATGGGTGAGCGGGGATAGGATACGCGAAGTAGGATGGTCAGATCTCAGAATGAGCTTGGTAAGGAGAAATCTTATCCGGAAGGGTTAGGGTCTGGCCTTGATATGGAACCTGTTTGAATGGGTTCATCTCAAATTCTCTGCTTCCAAGTGTCGTCGATAATGAGATTTTCCACTGCCTTTCTTTAATTTCTATTTTTTCCTTCCCCCCTTCTCTCTCACTTTTTTTTTTCTTAAAACACGCAAAATTCTATACCAGCGCAGCCTTATTTTCCACTCTTCAACAAAGGTATGCAGGATCTACCGAAACAGTCTGCCGCTGCCGATCTTGAATCCCTTGAGCAGTCAGCTATACTCAGCGAAGGTCCACCTGCACCAGAGAGAAACCAGCAAACCGATGTGGAAGACGACGATCTGATCTTTGATATCGCAGAACTAGGCTTGTTTGCATCAAATCCGAATGATAGCGATGAAGACTCTAACTATTCTTTAGACTACGAGTACATTGGTCCTCGCCAACCGAAATACGCCAATTCGGACGACGATTGTGAATCGGTTGCTTCCGACATTTCTAATACAGACTCAGAAACAAAGCTCCTGGACTGTAGCACGTATTTTGATATGTGGGATGAAGATATCTATAGCACCAACGATTATACATGGGAATCCAACGATATGCGACTCTCGCTGTTTGTGAAGCAACGGAATCACTATCTCCGACAACGGGAGCTTGATTCGCCGTGGCATGGAAACTCTTTTTGGCGTAGAGACCGAGGTTGGCCTATGCAGCTACCCAATTCATGTTCCACCACGAACCATGACCAGTCTGCCAATACCTTGTGTGCCGTGAAATCAAATATGGCTGTCTCAGAGCACTTGGTGGCGTTTTACAAAGACCGTATTGTCAAATGTGGGGAGCCTACCGTACGGAACCAACTAGGTTCAGCGGCGTTGGGTCAAAGCAGTCGCTCTTCGCACAACGATTCCAACAGCACCCAAAATCAACCGGGAATCCGGAATAAGGACACCGAAAGCTATCATGCTGCGCCTCAGGCAGACGACAAGCCAGGTTCTATCTTTCTACGGACCCATGCTTCTATTGCACTTCCAACATCTGAGAAAACCTCACACGATCGACATACAGCAGCTGAAGCCCCTACAACATCATCGATTTTAGATCGCTGTAAGCCCTATACCAAACATCTGAAACGATCTCAGTTCATACCTCCTTCCAGGGAGGATGCATATGTATCCTTGGGCTTTGAGCCATTATGTTTGGATCATAATTATGGTTATATGGCGGTAGGCGGACTAGAAGGCGAACTTTTAGTCTACTGTAATGTAGATCCCGTCAACCCTGTCAAGATTTGGGGTACCAAGTTCAAAAGAAAGAATAACGTCATGTTGATGACTAATGCTGTACAAATAGTTCGCTGGCGAACTGATAATGGATCTTACAAGTATATGCTGGTTGCGTGTATGAACGAAGCTGGCGTCCTTGTTTACAATTTACCACCTCACCATGAATGCGCGAAAATGGCACGAAATTTTTCAAGACGATGCACCAGGAGCGCGAACCAAAGCTTGTCGTTTCATAGTCACCTAAGAGATTTCCAACAGTTACCCATCAACGACGCTCGTGTCAGTCCAAACGGTAATAATATGGTATTTGTAGGTGACGACTCCTACCTATTCTTACGCGATATTATTCGAACTGATGGTGCTAGTGAAGAATCTTCCGATATATCCTTTGGTCCTACCCAAGTTTTGACAATTCCACCAGACCTGCTGACTCAGTACTCAGCTAGACCATCCGCAATGCACGATACCACTACGACTTTTCATTATTCATCACAACATGTTGCTTGGAGCAACGATTCCACTCTATTTGCTCACACGTCTGATTCCCACTATTGCGTCTTGGTCTGGTCAGTGGAATCAAAGGAAATATTACTTTCAATAGACGCTGCAGGCTTCACGTATGCCATCGCTTTCCATCCTTCTGTAAGAAGTATTTTGGCGTTTTCAAATCGATATGGGTATTTTCACACTGTAGATCTCAACCAAACCCTACGTGTGAACCAGCGTCAAGAAAGTATAGGAAGTGAAGACAATTTCTTATCAAGTATAGAATCCAACAGCCACAGCACCAAATCCGCTTTAGAACGAAGTACAACCATTATCCCGCGGCAGGAAATCACCATGGTTTCATTCCGAGGAGAACAAAATACCAAACTTCGGATACTAGCTAAAATCAACGGACTGTGTTGGTCTGGATGCGGTCAATACCTCTATGTTGCTACGAAAAAGAGAGTATTGGTTTACGAGTTCATGAGCCGTGGTGTTCGATCGTTGGTTGAATTAGCTGGCGATCAAGCCCGTAAGATTTTAGAGCTAGATCCACTCGGGTGGAAAGCACGCAAGCGTCTAACTGAACCTTCTCAGTATGATGATAGGCTTACACGCAAACGAAAGCGATTACTGGATAAATCTTTTGACTATGAACCTTGGTATCGTCAATGGAAACGTATCCCTGATCATCTACAATACACCGTCCTTGGTGATAACGTGGAACTGGCTAGTCATGATTGATCTATTCACTGTATTCATTCTATATTTACCCACGACTCCTCGACATTTGTTTGTACTTATTTTTCCTTCTTCACATATCGACCGTCAAATTTTGTTTTACATCCCACCCCCCTCCATCCAAACAATACTGTTTTTTTTTTATTACTTTTTGAATTCTTTTTAATATTGCACGCTTCTTCTCTTTTGGTTTATGTTTTGGATTTTTAAACCATCTGTGCAGAAAATTCGCATTTGTGAAATGTACTGTAATTTGTTGCACGGTTTGTGCCGAATTGGACTTTTGAAAGCTATTGTAAATCTACTCTGTGTACTAACGGCATAAAGGAACTTATAAAGTCAAATGTCTCCATGAAAACGAGGGAGTATTGAAGCATGTGGTCAGGGATGAGTGTGCGTTTGACCCAAAAAACAATTTGCGGCACTCACTGAAAAGAAAGCAAGCAAGCAAGCCGACCCTGTTTGGGTGAACAAATTATAGGTTTTTTTTATTCCCAGACCATCACCCGTAGTGGCCAATCACAATAATTGAAAATTTCAAACAAGGACAAGCTCTGCTTTGTAATGAAAGGCCCATTTCAACCAGCAATGCTTCGAACAAGACTGACAAGCGTCGCCCAGCGCCAGTATTCACACACATGGTCTACGATTGTCCTTCGACCGCCCATGCCTTCGCTTCTTCGGGCCAATATGCAACATGCCCCCACCACACCGCTGTTGAGAAGCTTCTCAGCTTCCTCTGTTATACGCAGCCAGGTGCGTCCCGCCGAGCAAAAGAATGGCCTGGTCATTTCAGATAGAGCTATACAGGTAAGCATGGTCCTCATGGGTTGCTTAGCATTACGAGAAGTTGGCCTCTAATTCAGAACAATGCTGCTAGCAATTGAAGTTTATGTCTGATCGCGACAAGGATCCCGAACAAATGCTTCGAGTTATGGTGGATTCTGGAGGTTGCCACGGCTATCAGAACAAGCTGGACTTGACTTCGAAAGCTGAAGAGGATGATATTGTATTTGAAAAAGATGGCGCCCGCGTTGTCATTGACGAAGTCAGTCTTCAGTTCCTGCGAGGTTCAACAGTCGATTTCGTCGAAGAACTCATTGGCAGTACCTTCCAAGTGGTATCCAACCCCAATGCTAAACATACTTGTGGCTGTAATATAAGCTATGATATCGATTTGGATATGATCACCCAAAATTAGACGACTCTTTCCACAATAATACCTCAAAGTTAACTGTAATCATTTTGAAAAAAGCGTTCCTTTGTTTTTATATAGTATTCCTCCCTCCCACTTGTATCATTTGCATACAACATACATTTAATAAAGAGCTTGAATTCGTTCATAATCCCGTAAGATTGACTGTAGTGGTCATGTAGGAGATGTCGTCATCCCTTTACTGCACACCTTTCATTGGCAAGCGCGTGTTATAATTGTTGTATCTTCGTTTACTTGGTATGAAATTGCCAGATCTTTCACAATCAAAGCATAAGTGCAAATTTTCTTGAAAGATTGGTCAAACGACCTTCTCCTTGTAATATATAATGTATACCTCACTTTCATATGGAGTTGGTATAAAGTAGTTTATGAGAGCTTTAGTATATAAAATTAATTGATATCTTGATAGCTACCTTGGTAAGTAGATGGCCAGGAAAGCCACTGAAAGTTTAATGAGGGGAACTGACAGGCAATTCCAGCTCACTCAGGTAGGACAAAATTTCAATACAAACCAGAATGAAAGATGGAAAGTATAAGATATCATGGATTTTATTTTTATGAGTAGGGGTTATATGTTGGCTACGAAATGTGCAAAAACTATTATATTACGAATTAAAAAAGGATCTCATTGTTAGCAACAGACGGGATACCACCGTACCTCACGTGAAAATCAGTCAGAGTTGAAGGAGTGTTTGTGACGTCTTGTCCGGGGTTCTATAGGCAAACGACCTGGTGTTGCTCTCCGCTTTCTCCACAACTTCTCACCATGCTCGCCGCTCTTCGCCCTAATATCTTGTCCAGAGCTACTGCTGTTCAGGTGAGAAACTGATTATATATGTCAATTGAGAAATAGATTGCTGACATACCTTGTTTCCCACTCTGACATTGTTGTTCCAATTCATGCAATTCAACCAATTTTCACAACCCCATCAGACTCGCCCCATTTTCCAGCGATTCTATGCTAGCGCTTCAGGAAATAGCTCTCTTTTGGTTGTTGAGCATAGAAACGGTGCTGTCGATGGTTCAACCTTGAACGCTTTGACTGCTGCTCAGGCACTCGGTGGAGATATCACAGCCATTGTTGCAGGCGGTGCCCCTGAGACTGTTGCAAAAGAGATTGCAAAGTATAATGGCATCACAAAGGTCTTGGTTGCAAAGAATGATGCCTATTCACACAACCTTCCCGAGACGTTGGCCCCTCTCTTGGTAGAGGCACAAAAGAAGCTTGGGTTTTCCCACGTTTTCGCTGGACATACCGCCTTTGGCAAGAACGTCTTGCCTCGCGTTGCTGCCCTTCTTGATGTTGCTGCTATCTCTGATATTACTGGCATCGAAGGAGCTGATACCTTCGTTAGACCAATCTATGCTGGTGCGTATATCACCTAAAGTAATTATTTTCACAGAACACAATCATCTAAAGTTCGCTTACAGGTAACGCTATTGCCACCGTCAAGTCTAGTGATAGCATTAAGATTATCACCGTTCGTGGAACTGCATTCCCTGCCGCCACCACTGCTCAGAATGACCCTGCTCATGAGGCTGCTCCTGAAGCTGATACCGCCGCTTTGTCAGAGTGGATTGGCGAAGAATTGATCAAGAGCGACCGTCCCGACTTGAACAGCGCTAAGCGTGTTATTTCCGGTGGACGAGGTATGAAGAACGGCGAAAACTTCCAGATGTTGTATGATATGGCTGATAAGATTGGCGCTGCTGGTAAGTAAACGATTTTAGATGGATAACGAGAGGTTTCTTCTGTTGATGGAGTGTTGACTCACTTCATTCTTTCATTAGTTGGTGCTTCCCGTGCTGCCGTTGATGCTGGTTACGTCGACAACTCCCTCCAAATTGGTCAAACCGGCAAGATCGTTGCACCAGGTAAGTCGATCATCTTCTTGTGGTTAGTGAAGGATGATCTGCCGTTGCACTTGAACTGACACCGAATCTACATCAGAATTGTATATTGCTGTTGGTATCTCCGGTGCCATTCAACATTTGGCCGGTATGAAGGACTCCAAGACCATCGTTGCTATCAACAAGGATGCCGAAGCACCTATTTTCCAGGTTGCTGATTATGGTCTAGTTGAAGATTTGTTCAAGGCTGTCCCTGAACTTACGCAAAAGCTCTAAAGCATAAGAAAAGTATTTTTTCTAGATTGAAACCCCATACATTTTGCAGCCATTTCAGTAAATACAAAAAGAAAAGACTGGTTAAATTTTTTACGTGTGAATGAGGTGATCGCGCATGAAACAAGCATCAAATTTAAAAAGAGAAAATCGAAACGATCGGCGTCACATTGCTTTTTCTTCCGATATGTCTTTACGCCGATTTAATAAGCTCCTTTGCAAACCAGTCTTTGTTAACCAACACAGAACGTTCTCAATAACAGCAATATGCTCGAACTCCATCGGCTACGGCGATCTATGGGACGATGCACATAACTGCCCAGATCATGGTCACTTTAAGGATGACGCCGCCAAGTCGCAGGCGGGAGAGTCCATCAACATGGACTCCGGAATGTACGCAAAACACGTTTCAGACGATTATGATGCGTCAATGGATGAAGTCGATGAAGTCTTGCGTCGACATGATGAGAAGGTAAGTGGAGGTTTGCCGGGAGCAAAAGCTCGCATTGTCGTCTGAACTGTCTTGCCCTTTCTCTTTAGACACGTAATAAGAAGCCTAACAAATTGGCCCAGCATGAAACGGGTACAGGAAACAGTCGTTCTGCCACAGGATATAATTAATCTCAGCAGAGGTTATATCTTTGACAAAGCAGTCTCCCAAAAACGCCATTGCTCACAACCAGCTGTGTTGCACAGCATGTCAAATTTCTTATTGTCGAGTTATTAGGTGCATTACATCAGTATCTTCCAGCCCAGAGTATTATCCTTGAGGAATAAAAAGATATGATACCAGATTAATTCACTTGAATATTCAGGTTATGTAACCAAAAGTGTAGATAGAGATATATGTATGGTATTAAGCTGGCTTCAATTCGATCGCATGGTATATAAACCTCTATTGGGAAGTGAGATTTAGTGGCTTCTCAGCTTACACTTCTACCGCTCTTCCTAGGCATCCACTACATTTCGGGACATCCATGAAGGCCTGATGCTGTGGTTTAACTCTAGGCGGCAATGAAGAACTGATAAGTTGCCTATAACTATCATCAAACGATGCGCTAGACCTTCCCGAATCTAGGCAGGAGAAAGTGTGTTAATTGAAGTCTTTGAAAAATGAGAACTGTTTAAAAAGAGGGATCATTTACCTATGGCATTAGAAGAAGGGTCAAAGTTTCTGAGAGATGGGTCTTGGATGGCTCTTTCCTGCAAGTTCAGCAAGCTGGCTCTTGCTCGTTTGATGATGCGCCTAGTTCACACAAAGTTAGATAGATGAAATTGCAACAACCTGCTATGTCAGCTATTTTACCTTCGTTCATGGTCGTATGAAGCTGGTATTGCAGGCAATACATTAGTTGGAACATTGCATTGAAATATTGCCCCAAGAGTATTGAATGCGACGTACCATATTGACCAGGACTAAGAGCACTGTCAGGTGTAAACTTTCCATCTCCATTGACTTCATAATCTTTCATTCCAGCACCAAACTCATCGCTTTCAAATACTTCAGCCTCCACTAACTCGTTGAGCTGCTTATTCTCTTCTAAGATGAACATATATCGGCGTCGTAACTCGGCCATCTCGTCTCTCACCGTTTCCAACTGTCCTAATACTTCTCTAGATTTCTGTCTTTCCACATCCAGTTGCGCTTGTAAGGTGCGCAAGGACTTTTCCACATCGGGCTCCCCGTCGTTGTTATCGCCATTCATCTTGGCAGAATTAATTTGAAGAGAGAGTTCTTTGGAACGTTGCTTTTCCTCTTCAAGCTCCTTTTTCGATTTCCCCAATGAAGACTCAGCCTCAGACAAGCGTTGTTGAAATTCAATCAGATCCGTTGCAAGAGTTGATGATGTTTCAGATTCAGTTCCTGTGGTTTGAAATTGTTCACGTATGGCAGAATTTTCCGTTTCCAATTTGATGGATGTTTGTCGCATGTCCTCCAATCTTTGGATCAAAGTCCTATTCTCCTTTCCGAGCTGTCCTGCTTTTTCTGATAATGATTTCAGTTGCTTGGTTGCATTTGAAGCCTCACGTTTTTGTATTTGCAGCTCATTGGAGAGATCTTCCGTAGACTGTCGTAACTCAGCTATCAACGTGTCGCGCTCGAGCAAATCCAGTTTCGCTTTTTGTAGACTATCCTCTACCGCCACATGTGACTTTTCATATTCATCTACCTTTTCCTGATTCGTCTTAGCTGTCTCTTCCAGTTCATCGGCCCTCTGGTTGGATATTATCAAGAGATCGCCATATTCTTTGCTTTCCTCTTCAGATTTCTCGAGGGCACTTTTCAGTTGCGCAGACCTTTCTTCTTGGTTGGAAAGCTTTTGTCTCAATCCAGATATCTCGTACTCCATCGATTCTACCTTTTGTTCTTCCTGGGAAAGCTGTTCACGCAGTTGAGTATTAGCGTGCCGGGCTTCCTCTAATTGCTTTTGTGTGCTTGCGATCAGCTACATGATAGACACATACATAAGTAACAGCTCGAAATGCCATTGAATACTTTCTGTGTCATCTTACCACAGGATCAAAGTGCTGAAGTTGGCTAACTGCCTTTTGATATTCGGTGTTCAAGTTTTTGAAACTAGATTCGCTCGTGCGTTCCTTGTACTCGAGGTCTCTGATCCTCTCAGTTAATCTTTGTATCTCATTATTATGATTGGAAGGTATATCAGGGAATTCGTTTGAAGCGGACGAGTTATTGAAAAGCTCAGATGCCATTCTGATATCCGGCGATAAGTTATTGCCAGCCAGTTTCTCGGATTCGGATGGCAGGCTGTGATCATAGCCATCTTGAATGTGCGGCGTAAAGTTGGTGCCGTGGTTGTCGTTCGTTCTGCTCCTTCCAGAAACAACACTCGAAACGCTGGAATTTGTGCTATTCGTCCTTTCATGCGTTTTACCCACACTTCCTTCCGTGCCGCCAGTTCTCTTGTTTTGAAACTTCTTTAACTGCAATTGGAGAGATGGAATTCAGCCTCAGCATTCAGTTACCCAGGTGTCTCCAGAACTATGCCCACACGATATACTGATACATGTAGAGATAAACACCTTTTTCTTCGCCGCAGTGACTTTCGCACGTCGCGCCTCATCGTGGTCCATGATGCTCAAACCGTCGCAGAACAGCCACGAAATGGAAAAGGAAATCCCCTTTCAACGATACGATGTCCGCCAAGTCACGTTTTTTAGGATGTGGGAGCTTTGAAAGGTCACATAGGGAAACTTTAAAGAAATCATGACTGATTGAGTGGGAAACTTTTACATCTAACTCTTGATGCTCCTAAACGTGAACAAATGATATGAGTACTTGAGACATAGCAGATTATATAGAAAAATTAATATGGAGGAAACTAATTAGCGGGTGTCAAACTCTCCCGTCCTGAACAGCTACGAACTAGAAGAGGAAATGGGAAGAGGTCAAAACCAGTCAAGTCGGCAACTTAGTACACAAAACCCTTGATTCTCTCAAACCTTAACAAATCATATAAGCACTTTGAGATATACAGGTTATAGAGTAAATTTGAAATGGAGGATAAAAATTGGCGATTGTCGAACTCCATTTGTTGGACCGTTATAATAAAACTGGATCCAAAGATACCATTGATGCAACAAAATGTAAAGAAATGTAAGATTAAGCGTTGAAAAGATGCTGACAAAGATGAATTGTTAGTTAGCATTTTTTGGGCTTCAAAGAACCACAAATGGGGATTAAAATATTCCCATCGACCACCAAATTTTCTTTTTTGATTTTTTTTAACATTGTCTTGAACGAACATGCAGCATTCCTCACGACCACTAAAAATTAGTTAAAACGAGAGGAAGAATGATCCCTTTATTGCATTTATTTGTATACAGATTCTTACAAGAAACTTAAATACTGTTCAATGGATTGTGGGGTATTTGCTCTAAATTGGCCGCGCCAGTCTCGTGAGCAAAATTTGAACTGGTAGTACCAACATCATTACCATTGTTAGACATCACCACAAAAGTCTCACAAGGATAGTTCCTCAATTAGTTCCTATAAAAAGACCAGTAGATAAAATGCCAAACATTGTCCTTTAACCACATCATTATGTCAGTACTTGCTAATGAGCGAGTAATAGTAAAGGAGAATGACATTGTCGAACGCCAGATGAGTTTCGATAATGTAAGCATGGAATCTTCAAAGATTCAAGACTTTGATGCAAAACCAACGACTCAAAGGGAACTAATAGCTTGGTATATGTACTCATGGGCGGTGAGTATCTCCTCAGATTTCTTCCTCCAATTTTTTCACCTGGTGTCTAATTTTTTTTTATTTTTTTTTTTGCTACTTAGACTGATGGCTGGACCGCAGCTTCTTCTTCCGTATTCATGCCAATCATAATGTCTACAATGGGAACCTTAGGTGGAACAAATGGACGAGATCCCACAAAGCACTGCAACTTGGTAGATCCATGTTATGTACAACTTGGCTCAGCTCATGTATCGCCATCTAGTTACGCATTGTATATTACTGCTATTGCAGTCCTCGTTCAGGTGAGGAATAATTTTACTGCTTACACAAGATCTTCATACTATTTAATGTTTAATGTGATTAAATTATGTCTTGTTCAATCCTATAGGCATTTATATACATTCAACTTGCAGCTGTTGCCGATCATTCCAGTATGTTAACAAACGTATTTGCCTCCGGAGAAATGATCCATTGTAGTTAACATTAACAATTTCTTTTTATAATAGAACATGGAAAAGCATTCATGATCTTTTTTGGATTTGCTGGATCCATCACGGTCCTTTTATGGTCGGTTTTATCGAAGAATCCAAGTAAGTAATTCCCTATGTTTACCCGTCTATGGTGAAACTTCAATCAACTAACACCTACTTTCAGCTCAATACTGGGGAGCTGGAATCCTTTTCGTATTGGGAACCATTTTCTATGGCAGTTCTTATGTATTTTATGCTAGTTATCTTCCAAAACTTGCAAGAAATGCCCCAGAGGTGACTGAAGCTACTGACCCAGTTGACAAGGCACGCAAATTGACATTAAGAACGTCAAGAACATCGCTCATGGGCTTATGCTGTGGCGGTGCCGGAGGATTCATTCAGATGGGCATTGGCATAGGTAAGCATTCAGATATTTCCAATACCGTAGACAATTGTAGTAGTCGTTTTTCTTTTGTTTAACAATGTTTTTATTTTAGGTGTCTTGTATGCTTTGAACCAATCCTTGCTCGGCTTGCTGGTGGCAACTTCTGTTGGTGGTGCATGGTGGGCTATATTCACTTTCATTCCATTGTTCTTTCTTAAGAGTCGGCAGGGACCGCCGTTGCCTAAAGGTGAAACTTATCTCGTATATCCCTGGAAACGCCGTAAGTGAGCAATTGCTTAATTTTGCAAAAAGCAATTCCCCTCAAACTAACAAAACTATGGAAATTCGGCTACAGTGCTCAAAACCATGAAGCGTGTATCACACTTAGCGCAACTGTTCAAGTTTTTGCTCTGTTGGTTTTTCTTAAGTGACGGCATATATACCATTTTGAAAGTATCAGTACTCTTTGCACAGACGGTAGTGCATACTCCTTCCGTCACTCTATTGATTGGTGCCATGGTCGAACTGTTCGTGTCTGTTCCCAGTTATATGTTCTGGGGATGGGTTGAAAAACGATTCCATATCAAGCCCAAAACTCTCCTTATTCTTTTGTCCTTCTTGTCCTCTATGATTCCAGTTTATGTTCTGATCGGCTTCTCGCCGAATGTGTCGGGAGGGTAAGTACTGGACACTAAGAGTGCACGACTTTGTTCCAGTGGCGGTTTCTAATTTTTCTACTCCAGATTTAAACACCCTAATGAATATATTGGCCTGTGCGCCTATTTCGGATTTGCAGCCCCCTCAGCAATATCATACGCGCGAAGTACTTTCTCCGAGCTTATTCCTTTGGGTCGCGAAAATGAAATGTTTTCCATGTTCTTGATCACTCAAGGAGGTGGTGGTTGGGTAAGCACATAAGTTGATTTATGGTATGTAGCCAGCATGTATTTAATAATGAAATATTATTCTTTCACTACAGATTGGACCCCTCATCACCGGAGTCATCGGCGATAAAACTGGAAACATGAGATACTGCAATGTATTTATTCTAGCTTGCATTCTCGTGCCCATGTTTGGGCTGTTTTTCGTTGATGTCGAGAAAGGCAAGGCTGAAGCATTGAGCTCAGCCGAGCGCGATGCCCAGGAACTTGCCAGTTTTGAATCTGTTAAAGATGATGTATCATCATAATTTTTTATTCATCGAATAAAGCATGGTTCTGGCAACGATGGGGTTTGACATAGCATCCATTAGTGCTTCCACCAAGGAACGTGCACACACAGACCCTGCGTAACTATTAATCAGACCATCGACGGTCATTGGTCACCGGTCAACGGGATGTCCGCCCACCTTCTTTTTTGGCCGGTGTGCGACGGGGGGGGGAGTGATACTCATCCAATACCCACGCATGTGAAGGAGTAACCTTGTGCGGGGTGAACTGTGGGAGCGAAACTCAGCGAAAGCGTTTTTACAACGTTAGCTATGCATCTGCAAGAGCTCTAAGTCGACATGGACACTCTATTTTTGTGTAATTCAAAACAGAGAGGCTATTAGGTTTTGGTCCACTTGTTGGTCTTTCAATGCAAAGTTTAATCACGCTCCTCATTTTTGGCGTCCTAGCCCAGCCTATTTCGGTAATCATTGGCGTTACCATGGATGTGACGAACGACAAGGGGAGAGATTCTGCCAAAACGTTGATGCCAAGATCCCAGATTTAAAAACTGTAATTAAAATAAAATAGGAGATCCGCAAAAGCGCGAAGCGGCTTTGCGAAACGGAAGTTGTTATTATTTATTTTATTTTTTGCCTCGGGCCAACGCCAAGTATTTAAAACCAATTTGTACGTGCAGCGGCTGATGCGGCTATGCAGTCTTGAGTCAACCAAAAGAATTTCTACATTTATGAAGGGTTGACGAATGGTCTGAATGAAAAGAACAGCAGTATCGAGATAAACTCATCCTTTACTCGGAATATCATTAATGCGTTGAACCAAGTTGCTGGTTTGCTGGAAGCGATTGCCATCCAATGCGCTATCAAACTTGTCGGAGGTTCATTTTTTCTTGGGTGATTTGTCCGCCAGAAGCAGCTTAAAGCACATCAATTGGTGATGTTGACATTGGATCGAACGTACCACCACTTCCAGCCACTCGACGTAGCACCAAAGTTTAAGGAGAGATCACACTCAAAAATTTCGAAAAGTGAATATATATCGAAAATAGAGAGTCCACATTTTCTTTGCTTTCCACTCCTCTTCGTTCAACTTTTTTGACCTCCTCCTCTTCCTCTATTCGTTTGGAACATTATGTCTTCTCCACGAGAGACTCTATCCGACGATGTCGATAAGAAAGAAAGCACATCGACGAGCGGAATCTTAACAGAAGAAGAACGAAGGCTAGCAGAAGCTACAGACTTGGCCGAACCCGTCACCACCAAAAAGGAACTCTGGGGATGGTATACATTTGCATGGGCTGTAAGTATACCCCAATTAGCTCGGGCAAGTCCGACTTTGATCAAGAATTTTGGTCTAACATTCATATCCCCCGGTCCTACCATTAGATGGATGGTTATACTGCAGCAACATCAAGTGTATTCCAGCCTTTGATCATTGCCGCCATGGCAACAGCTGGAGGCAGAAGTACCATTGACCACATGTCAAAGTGCGATTCCTCTACGGCATGTGAAGTACTGTTTGGTACAGTGTGGGTCACACCCACATCCTACTCACTTTACAGTTCCGCTATCGCCGTTTTAGTACAGGTATGGACCCCATCTCCTAACACGAGCTCCCGTACCATTATGTGTACCCTAGGTCCTCTAACCTGCCTTACTTAATAGGCCTTCATTACAATCTCCTTGGGAGCCTTTGCCGATCACTCGCGTGAGTTTCAACTATCCATTTCTTACCAATTCTGAATGTCACACTAATTTAATATGGAATCCACAGGTAACAGCAAAGTCTACATGTTCTTTTTCGTTTTCGTTGGATGCATTAGTGTCATGTTGTGGTTGGCATTGATAGACAACACATGGTACTATGGTGCTAATATTCTAAATATCGTCGGAAATGTCTGTTATGGCGCTGCCTATGTATTCTACGTCAGTTACATCCCCAAGCTTTCTAGAAACCATCCAGAAGTTTTGGCTGCAACCACTGAGGAAGAGAAAGACGAGAAAATGGTTTTCCGAACTTCCAGAATCTCTATCTTCGGTAATGCCTTTGGTTTCTTCGGTGGATTTATTCAAATGATCCTGGGTGTCGGTTAGTAAACATCTCATAACAAAAAGTAATTTGGCTCGTTTCGCACTCTAATCAACTGACTGGTTTTTATAGGAGTCTTGCTTGGCATGCATCAGACCCTACTCAGCCTCAGAGTCGCTACCTTTGTTGGTGGTGTTTGGTGGGCTATCTTCTCTATTGTGCCAATATTCTGGCTTAAGCGACGACCTGGACCTCCTTTGCCCAAGGGAGAGTACTTCATCATCTACTCTTGGAAGCAAATGTACAAAAAGTTCCGCTATGCCTACAAGTTGGCCAATCTCTTCATCCTTTTGCTTTTCTGGTTCTTCGTCTCGGATGCTGCCTCAACCATTCTGAAAGTCGCTGTTCTCTTTGCTCAAAATGAAGTTAATGTTAGCAGCACCATGATCTTGATCGGTGCTATGGTTGAACTCCTGGCAGCTGTCCCTGGTATGCTTTTATGGCATTGGATTCAAGGTCGATTCAAGCTTAAGCTTAAGACCATCATTTTCGCTGTGACCATGTTGGCTGGTTTCGTTCCTCTCTATGTTCTTGGTGGATTAGCACCAACTCCTGGAGGGTAAGTTTTTTTTTTTTTTTGGCCATTTTCAACAAAACGCAAAGTTTAAAATCATTTATTCTTACTCCTATTTTCCCTAACAGCTTTAAGACGACTCCCGAGTTCATCTTCCTCTGCGGTTACTACGGTTTGATGCAACCAGCTCTGGTTGCTTTTAGCAGAGCTCTCTATTCACAGCTCATTCCAAAGGGCCATGAAAACGAAATGTTCTCACTCTTCTCCATTACCACTGCTGGAGGCGGCTGGGTAAGAGACAATTTTCACGTTACACGGCTTATGAAACGAATGAACGAGCATTAAATGTACATCTCCTTATTAGATCGGTCCTCTTATCACTGGTGCAATTGGTATGTAGTCTGTCAATAGTTTCAACCATCCTCTCCCATTTTCACAATGCTAACAACTGTTTACAGGTGATGCGACTGGACAAATGCGTTATTCCATGATCTTTGTTGCTGCAACTATGTATGTTCCCTTGATCTTACTCTACTTCCTTGACGTCGAAAAGGGTCTTGCACAGGCAAGATTGTTTACGGAACAGGAAAAGGCTGAAGAGGAAGCGAAGAATACTATGGAGTTAGAGACAAAGGCTTAGATGAACTTGGCCTCAGTGAACAAGAGAGCGGCATTTAAACTTGCCTACAGTAATACCTCACTATTCCCCTTCCCCGTATGTATTCTAGCAACGTAATGATTTGAGATTATTTTATTTTTAATGTCAATATACATTTATTATGTATAAAACCATGTTATTGACAAGGTTATTATATCAATTGTTGAGTTTGTCCTTCTGCCTGTAATCGCAAAGCTTCTCTCATTTCCAAAAGTAGGTGATCAATGAGAATTTCCAAAGAAAGGGTTTGTGGCGGAGTGTCAAACATGTCTTTAACGCCCTGAATATCTGTCCCAACGTCAGTAGCGATCACAGTATTCTAAAAATAAATAAATTAGTGCCCTGTCAAAACATGACATATTCTGATCCTGAACAAAGAACTTACAACACTGGAAACAGATTCTAAGAAGGTACACCATTCGAATTGATACATCATAGGGATATCGGATCGAATGCGCAGTAAAAACTGTATGACACTAAGCGTCATACTAAGGATGGAAAGTCCAACATTGGGTGTCTATGAAACCAAAAACGTCAACTACCACATAATTTGGGGACTATAATATCCTGATTTGACATTCCGTTCCACTCTACTTACATCTAACATCAGCGAATCTGCTGCCTTGTCAATGAGTCGCTTCCACGTTGGCCAAACTCGACTCCAAAAGCGGTACTCTGATTTCGCTAGCGCTTGGGTATCAATAGGATGGGAAGTTTGATCGTGATTCGCGTCATCCACTACAGGTGAGAACATCCTTGCATACAGTAGTGACCACGTCTTGATTAGAAGTACACATTGTAACAGAACTTCACCGTTAGTACTGTATTGGAATTTCAAATCCGACATTTTAAAGTCTATGTTGACGGAAGTGAAAACCTGGATCAAGAGCTCTACGATGACATCTTGATAGCTCAGCATTTGACTGAGCAGTTTGGACGTCCCGCTGCGCGCTAGAGCCAACAGAAACCAGTTAAGGAAGCGTAAACACTTTCGGGTTTCATGAAGCTTTTTTGGCAGAGAAATATATCAATGAGAAAGCTTATATAGACCAACTTATGCTGTATATTCACTCACCCGTTGCAACTCAAGGATGTTTTTCAGGAGCTCATCCGATTTGAGGCACATAACGACAAGTAGTTGTGAAGCACAATTACTAATCTTGAATTCCCTCTGCGAATATTGCTTAGACATTGGTCCATTTTCCAAAGAGCGCGTTAGGTCTTCGTAGAGAAGATCAGCTGCGCCTTGAAAATATGGCTGTGGATGCCGCTCGTTTCCAAACACATTTCGCACAAGTGTGTCCTCAATCGACTTGAACCACCAATCGTACTCAGGTTTGCTATTCCATAGTATAACCTATGCATAATAGGCCGGTCAGTTTGGTCTAACAGTTTCAATAGTACTATTCTAAACAGCACGTTACCTGAAGCATACACAGCACTGTTTCACGACTCATTTTAGACCGAGCCTGAAAACTGCTCTTAAGTTCTTCTAGAACGGTTTGGCCAAAAATGTTGACTGGGTCAACACCAGGTAGAGTAGCGAGCGCTGAATATGTTGCCAATAATTTCACTATAGACTCTGCCGAAACTGAGCAATGGTGTAGAGCGTGTTTAAACACATTACGTATGGGTAATAGGAGGGTCTATGAAAATAGTGCATTAGAATCATTGATATCAACAAGTAGAGATGGATCGATATGGAAAGTACCTTGGAATCGTATGGATGTTCCTTCAATAATATTGCTGACATAGTTAGTACTGGGTTGATATCCCATTCCGACCGTCGCCATTCTATAGTGTGCTTGCACAAGGCTGTCAAGAAAACGCTGTAGTCTAATATTGTAATGGAAATTTAGTATCCTGACATCAAACCGGAAGGCGTTGTAAAAATCAAAACCACAGGATATTTACCGTTCAATACACTCTCACTGTACGGGTGAGAATGGACAACTTCAACATATCGAGAGACGTTGTGTAGAACATTTGAAAACGCACGGCGCTCCATTTGCTGATTCATAAGCTTTTCTAGAACATCTCGTACAGGTTGATCTCTAAGGTATATGACTTCAATTTGCCCTTCATCCTGTACAAGATCGCCAGGATCTATGACAGTGCGCAGAACAAAGAAGAGGTCGACGTCTTGGTTGTTTTCGTCGGATACCGCTTGATTCTATCAAAGATCACCATTAGCAACCCTCTGAAACGAATGTTACTATGCTTACAATCAACGTACCTTGAACATCAGTACGAACAATCCAGCAGTGGCAAAGCGCGTGAAAGCCGATTTCAAGAACAATTTTGCTTTCAACAGTACTGGGTCTTCCATATCTTCTTTATGCTTGGTCATCAATTTTCCTAGGGCCATGATTTGCTTGGATAGCACCATGGCCGTCAAATGATCAGATCGGGTATGTAGACGATGCAAAATCTGTAGAATAAGCAGCTTGTTCTCCTCGCTGATGTCTCTTGCAAGTAAATCGATCACTTGCTTCATGCAGGATATCACCATATTTTCGTAAGTCCTTTCAAGGATATTGTGCTGTACAAAGTAGAGAAAGATGAGGACTCATTATCAAACGACAATCGTTCAGACAACAATGATGAATACCTTGTACACAACGATCAGAATTAGCTCTAACCATATCTTGAGCATCAAGTGACTGAGTTGAGTGAGGTCGACACCGGAATTGAACATTTTGAACACCACATCAACAAATTGGTCGCCATAGTTGATATTTTCATTCAGCCCAGCTTTGAACTTGTCAACAGCATCCACGCCAATTGCAGCAATCGATTCTGGATTGACCGGCGTGAAATGGTCGAGTATCTTTTTCAACCCTCTGGTGCATGCCAAAACCATGCTAACCTGTGAAAAGTCCTCGGCTTTGAACACTAAATTGGCGAAAGTCACTTCCAAAATGGTGCCTGAGGTGTGGAATTTTTCGCAATTTTGGAAGCCCATGCTTTTCACCACACAATACTTGAATCGAGAAAGCTGCAATAAACTGATGCTGAGATTGCTTCCAGCCATTTGGAGAGCTAAAGTCAGCATTAAAACTTGAAGATTCTCATGTTCAGCGAGTGATTGCCCTGGTGTTAAGCCTGTCGATACAGCTTTCGTACTACTAGATCCAATGAAGAGGCTTTCAGGCCGGGTATACTCTTGTAGTACGTCATATTGCTGGTCATTGACATCGGCCTGAAACTCCATTTCCAGCGCCTCCAGTAACGATTCCCATTCAAGTACTTGCCAATCTGGATACACCGCATGCAGCTGGGTCATGATTTTGACCAAGTCTATCTTTTGCTTGGTGGTCGAATTCAAGAAGTATGCTTCCCAACAGCGGAACGCAGACCGACGATGCAGCGTGCTGAGCGCCCTCAAATATGACGACGCTTTTGATCGAACAGATTCCTGGATAACCAAACAGCTTGTGAATATTCTGAGACAAACTTGAAAGGCATGTCCATCATATTACCAATACTTACATCACTATCCCATATGCTGCTGACAAAGTAACTGAAGAGAGGGCCAAGGTGTGAAAGCATACCTAGCCATTTAGTCTGAAACGTCGCATCCATTTTGGTAAAAATACCGAATGCGTTGTCAAGCGCTTGGAATCTACAAAAGTTTTCAAGAAGTATAAGTATTGCCAACTTATTATGCGATATTGTATTTTAAGAGAATCACTGACCTTATTTCCCAGCTTTCATTCTCAAACATTTTATGAACGCATGCTCGGAAGTACTTGACATCTAACGTCAAGGTTTTCATCAAGAAAGTGAGAGAAATTTCACTCATGCGGTCATACGCCGGAGATAGTATTTCCCAAATCCTATGCGATTGCGTTAGCCACTGTTTCTACGGCAGCAAGTGGATATCTTCCTGTACTTACGCTGGTGTGAGCATAGGGAGGCAGCTCGTCAGAAAATCTGATTTACTGGCTAAATCAAAGCCCCAATTGGACAAGGCATAGAATGTCAAAATTAACTCCTCGCGAACATTGAAACTATCCAATTGTAGATACTGCAGGAGACATTTGATGATCACAGTGTTGTTATCAACACCGACAGTAGAGCTGGTGTCTGGTAATAATGAAGTTCGTTCTCTATTGTGTCACGTTAGCGTAGTCCAAGCCAACAATTGTGAAAATCATTCATTTACTTACGGTTGTGTTGGGACATGCTGGTTTACGTATGGTACAATCTGCAGTTCCACAACATTGCTCATAGGGCATTTGTATGCAAAGCAAGTGAGTGCGGCAGAATATTTGATAAAATCTTGGGCACTGAGCCAAGATAAAAAGAAAATCAGTAATCAGCTAATAAGCGTGGTTTATGAGTAGCACACCTACTTTTGCAAATCATCATTTGTTATATCGTGCTGTTGAGCCATTTGTTGTAAACTTGGTATGGCACACTCATTCAGATATCCAACAACATCGCGAATTGCCGATCGGGAAGTGACGATACTCAATCCTTTGATAGATTGATACCACATGCATTTCAACATATCAACTTGAAGCGACAATGGTGCATGTGCAACTGCCAACTTCCTTGCAATTTTAGCCAGATAGAGAACCGGTACACCAACACTAGCGGAATTTGTCAGCTATACAGTGCTTCGATTAAACAATCCCATGCGCTGCAACACGTACCCTGAGTGCATCAACAATTTGATCCAATTGATACCTTTCGCAAAATCCTCAAAACTTTCGTTATCAAAGGCGCCGACAATAAGCTTATAAGGCTGCTCCAGTTGCTTGCCCAGAAGCCCCTCAACGCCGTTGTCATCCGAGGTAATACTATTGCCGTATATACTGAGACGATTGTCCGAAGACCCAGTACTACTACTTCCCTTCTGATGGCACAATCGCTGAAGTGTTTTCATGGATGAGAGGGACTCCATCTTTGATGTAAAGTGTAAGCTTCGATAGTCATAATGTTAGCATTTCTGGATTTCATTTCATTAACCAACCTCTAATAACCCGAGTGAGCCAAAGGCTTCAGTCGCAGCATTTATCCAGGATTCAATGATGGTATCAAAAGAAGAGAATAAAATACCAAATGATCTTGCTTTGAGGAGGCAGGCCAAGAAATAATCCTGCTTAAGCACCTCATTATGCTACTCTAGGTATTAGCAAGTGCTGAAAGTCCAATATATGTAATACAAAACCAGGTAAAACTTACCGCCACTTCGCCATGGTCGACAGGCGACGAGAATTTCCCTTCTTCTTTCTTTTCTAAAACAATTCTCTTGGTCATTTCAAAAATGATCTTGCCAAATGTTTCCCTATTCAAGTCATACACAGCCGACATCCAGCCAACAAGGTACTTGTCGCGCAGAACATTACGCATGCTAACATAGACGCCACCAGTGCCCATGCCTACACCTTGCTGATTTTGTTGCTGAACACTCTGTCTGTTTTTGGTCAAAAATCCGCCTCTGTTCTTGGACATGAGAGCTGCTTGAGCAGCGACTTGCCATCGGTTTTTGCTAACACCTGCTCCGTGTTGGCCTTTAGCAGTATACTCGGCATGTATGACGGATAGTTGCTCGTCCTCTTGATACACCCATTTCAATGTAGCATATATCAATCGTTCCCAAGTGTATACTGATGTGAATGGATCCGGCCAACATCGCCGAGTAAGTAACAGTAACCCGTATTCATTGATGGACAAGCTCATGTCAGTAAGACAAGCCAAAATGGCAGTGATGAGAGATTCGACACTGGGGGAAGAGTCGATCGCGAATGGCGCCGTGAAGATGCATGGTACTGAAGTAGTATCCATGGTTGCCGATGAAGGACTTCGAATCCTTGATATTCTACTTTCCAGGAAAACCAATGGCATCCCATCCAACCGTTCAAACAAGCCAACATCAGATAAATGTTGTAGGAAAACTCGAGCCAAACTGGTACTTGTGATTTTCAAATTGCCCTGGACCCATTCCAGCATAGATTGGCTGTGCAGCATTTCGTTTGGCGTCAAATTTTCTTCAACATGATCGTAACCACCGCCAGCCACTTGCCGATTACGAGAATTGGTAGAAACTTGGAGATAGCCAGTAGAGCTGATGATAGAGCGACGCCTGGGAGATGACGACAGCGTGGATCCGTTGCCATCTCCATCAAAATGAGATCGGTTGCTTTGAGCCTTTAACATTGCAGCTATATGAGACAAGTAAAGATCGTCGCTAAAAATCATGTCGCTCACATGATAGTGGTTGACAATGGAAAGGTCATTTAAGAAAGTTGATGCTTTAGGGTCGCCATTGGACAAATAAGACGTGCATCTCTCAATGGCCTTACGAAGTTCATCAGATCTATTGTCATTGACACCTCCAGTTTGACCATTACCAATATCTTGAGTTGCCAGTGGATTGGTATCCGATTCGATAACAACAAGGCAGCCAGCTGAGGTACCACAATGAAGAATATTTTCTTGTAGTAACAGGATGTTGAGTAGCGAGCTTACTTCTTCGAATGAAGTGTTATGCATATTTTCGGCTTTGATCAGCATGTCATTGTAATTTTGTACAAAATCGTCTTCGAGTCTCCGCCTTTCAATAGATATGTCCTTCTCCGTGAATGCTGCTGGTCGGCAGTCAAAAAGTGTATTACTTCCTTGCTCACTGTTAGAAAACAAGCAGTCTAGATGAGCAAAGCGATTGCATTTTGTACATTGGTAGCCTTGATACGATATTCCCCACAGAGGCAGCCTGCAGCATAGACAGAGAGTCAAAGTAAAAAGGTTCACAAGTTGGAATTGATGTCCATGAATATCTAACGATGTTTGATTTCTGAAGAAAGCCGGTAATTTAGTGGGCACATTTCCGGATCCAAAAGCAGGTACTTTGCGGAATATAGATCTAATGGTACAGTACTGAGGACTGACGACTTTGTGCACTCCTCCATCATTCACATAGTGGAGAATATCGAGGAGGTTAGTCGACATCTTCTGGTTGTAGCAATTATAATGCAAACCATCACGGCACGTGTAGCACTTGAGACCGTAGCCTTTAATGATCTTGAAGCATTCACGACAGTTGGAACTTTGGTCATCATTTGTGGATTGGATGTTCAGCATCGCTATTCCTTGTGACGATCTCTGCATAGATATTCCAATGTCATCCGACAATCGTTGGCGTGCTTCTGGGAACATATGCGGGAAGAATACATGGTTTTCATCATCTTCATCTAGTTCGACCCTTTCAGAAATTTTTAGATCTGTTTCCTGATAGTCTCTTCCTCCTAGTGGAGACGTGCCCATTCTATTTTTTCGATTCAGGTTGGACATGTTGAATGTTCCTCCTGCACGCATAGCTTCGATAACAGCCATTCGATCCCGTTCCTCTCGGTCTCTTTCTTCTCTGTTTTCGCTCTCAGCAATAACCATCTGTTCTCTATGTCCCAGCTTGGCAAGGGGTTCGGCTACTGTAATGTGTCCTAAGCTTCTACCATAGTAGTGGAATAAAATTTGCGTAGCTCGAGATCGTACTTCATCATTTCCATATGATATAATATCCAACAAATCCAGGTAAATGTCGTTCTTCTGCGATATCATAAAATCTAGCGCCTGGTAAAAATGAAATAAGGTATTTGATTCACGTAGGAGATCAACTGGTGCTTTGGGGAGTGAAAACGATCGTTTAGCAGAGATATAAGGGTTTAGATTTTGAATCATGAGTAGCAAAAGCGGTGAGAAGAGAGCGTATGTGTAGTAGCTATCGATGGATAGGTCACCACTATGAGAACCAGATACGCTAGATGAGCGCCGCACTAAAGTTGGATCATGGTTGGACCTCATCTGTACATTTCGGCTAGTTTGAATGGTCAGTCCAGAGCCATTCCTTCTCGCGCTATTGTTTTCTCTCTCAGGCTGTTGAATATTGATTGTCGGGGCTCCTGAATGAGCATTCTGTACATCCGACACATTGATACCTTTAATGGCATGTAAAGTTAATATGTTTCTGTGTGTTGACATTTTGTAGCCCATCTGAAGGTTATAAAACAACTTACCAGGTTCCCTTATCGTAGGTACTTCATTATCAATATAATTATTGTATTCAAATAGATATGTAGGTGCGTGTGCCTTGATGAGGTTGGGTATGATCCAGTCGATGTACAACACAAGCAGTTTTCCAATAAGTGGGCCAGGAGGAAAGGTATCGAAGGCAGGAAGCATAATCATTCCAATTTCGAATAACCATGCTAAATTCCTGGTATCTTGCTGAACAAGTAAAATCGCCATATCGATGGTAATTGAATGTAAGGCGTACGAAGGTCGAGATGGTTTTGGAATGGCTACTTGGTATCGGCAATCGTTCAGGACAACGTCGGCAAGAATTTCCGCAATGAATGGAATCTCTCCATTACTCATCGATTTGTCAAGTGGAAAATTTGCCCCTCTTGGTGATCCTCCATCAAACGATCGGGCTGGAGAGGCAGAACGAGGAGATCGGGCTGGAGAATTGGACCTGGATGATGAGGCGGAGTGATTGTCTCCGCGGCCACGTGGACTATCAATGGCTATAAGTACATATAATGGATGTAAATGATTCGAAACGGTTCTTACATGTCTATCACTGTCTTTAATGTCCAGCCGGCTTTTGTGCAAATTTGCAATACATCCCGGAGCTGAGATAGCAAATCGGCAACGTCCTCATTATCGAAGACTGTCTGCTGGCTACTACTATTGAACTCTGCGTATGGCGGAGGACGCTTTCGTTTTCGCAATTTTGATATAATGTGATGAATGATTTTCCGGTACTCTTCTAATTTCGGGGCAGCCGTCGGTGTGATGTAAGATCGACGGCGATGGTTGTTCTCATCTCGTTCGAGATCATTCAACGATCCGTGGATACTAAATGGACCGCCTGGAGCCTGAGGCGACACAGGCTCCATGTCTATGACAGTACTATTTGAAAATCTTACAGGACCTTCATTGTAAGCCATTGAATGTAGGGTGTTGAAAGAAAAAGAAGGGCTGTGCTTGTGAAGGATGCCAAATTTGGACATTTCAATAGGCCCAACTCTGCTGGCTGGCTGAGTTGAGTTTATTGAGTCTTCTCATTGGCATCATGATTCGAACAACTCGGTCATCGTCCAACCCTCCGTCTCCATCATTAGTTCCTTTGATGACCACATCCATTCAGGACGAAGAACAGGATTTATCATCTCTGTTACCTTCACAGCCCTCGGTCTCATGGGATTCACTACGCAAACAAGCGCGACAGCTTGAAAACGAAGTGGAAACCAAATTAGCATCACTAACAAAGGCTGGCTCTAACTTGCGGCGAAAAGGAGCACCCGAATCGTCAGGATCATCGGTGGCAGAAGTAACAGATCTTGAGTTTGAGACAGAAGAGCTGTTGAAACGAGTAAGATGACAAGCCCTATCGATGTCAACATAGCGATTTATGCCAATTTACGCCTCTGTTCCTTAGCTACAAAATGTGATAACATCGATGTCAGAATTTCTGGAAAGACCGAGTGCGACACCAAATAACCCTTCAATGCTGCATATGCTTCAACGGCATAAAGACATTGCTTTTGACTATAGCAAAGAGCTAAGGAAAGTCAAGGTAACGCTTTGTACCTCAAAACAGCCTTGAACTTTCACGTGGTTTAGTCATGTACTTAAACATCTGTTCTAGGCCAGTATACGAGCTGCCAAGGACAAAGCCGACCTGCTCACCCAAGTACGAGATGAAATCAGGTGGGTTTAAAAGGGATTATTTGTTGCTCTTTGATTACGGTGAGTTACTGATACCCTTTTATCGGTATAGAACGTTTCATAATGGTGGAAGTACATCCGACTACATGTTAACGGAAAGAAACAAGATCGAAAGCTCTCATAGGATGACAGATATGGTGCTTGAGTAAGGGGACTACGTACAACGTAATGTTGACTTAAGTGGTATCATCGATATTGAAATTCTCTTTTCCTTTCATGATAATGTACAGTCAAGCCTATGCAACGCGGGATGACCTTGGACGGCAACGTAATATGCTACGTGGCGTCAATTCGAGAATGGGAGGTGTTCTTGGTAAGAATTTTGTCTAATAAGCTGGGATACTGCAGCCTTTTAAACATAACATGATGTATAATGCAGGTCGGCTCCCTGGAATCAACACTCTAATTAGCAGAATCAATACGCGTCGAAAGCGGGATACCGTCATCATGGCACTAGTTATTTCTATGTGTACTATTTTAATAATGCTCTATTGGCTGAGAACCTGAGCTATGCTCATAATTGCCTGTGTTTATCAAATAATTCAAAAATAAAATATTGAAACCGAGGACAATGGCAAACACGGCAACTTGCTCAACACAACTGCAAGGACCGATGACATAATGAACAGATTGAGCTTTTAAGAAGGTTATGCAGATCGCAATAAAAAAATATATAAAAAAAAAACTGGGAGAACTCCTACAAGTGCCTCCTTGCAAGGGTGCCTGGCGAGTAAATACTTGCTTGTTTGCCTTTCTCTTCTTTTCTTCTTCGCTATTACTCCATTCGAAAACTCCTTATTCTGTCGAAAACGACCACCTATTCATATCTAAGCGGCATGGTTGACCTGCTCTATACAGAGAATAACGCAAGCGAAGTGATGGCATTGCTATCATCTGCCTCACACCCAAGGATGAATGGTGCTACGCAACAACTTAAAACCATACACTATATGGACAGCCAGCGGTATCACTGTGCTTCACCAGGCACCATACAGCCTCCAAAGCCATTTGCATCCAGATGTTTGGAATACTTTCGTACTTATACAGTGGATGTCATTCGATCTTCTCTTGGTCAAACTACGCAAGGAAGACCTCGAATATTTCCATCCGTACGACAATTATATCGATGGGTTCTCCTACTTCTACTCTTAATCATTGATGTTCAAGAGGAAGCCGAACTATCAGAGCCACCTCAATTCTTTACTAGACCAGAAGCCTCTCTACCCGTTCATAGGCCCGTCCAGTCCCGCGAGAAGACGTCCATGGAGAGCCCATCCAGAAATTTGCTATTCCACCCGCCCAAAGATGAAGTTGATAGCTACTGCAAGGACAACCATCATGGTGGTGCGAATCATAACTCTACATACGATGCCCTCATCGCTGAAACCGACAGTTTGGCTATCGAGCTTAAAGATGACAGTTTAACTGAAGATTTCTCCAATACCATGCTGGTTGCTCAAGGTTCGGCCGAACTCAATGCCTGTTTGCCTCAATCTGGCAATATCGATAGCAGCACTCGGCCACCATCTCAAATTCCACGATTCCCTTGCTTGTCACCCAAGCCTAGTGTGAGAACCGTAGACAACCATGCTGTGCCTAATCATGCGTTACCCACGTTTCATAACAATGCAGATCAAGGGCGTTGCAAAGCGGAAGCTCGCATGAATTTATTGAATAGCCCTCCTCATGGTAAATCGACTCATTTACTACATAAAAGCTCCTCGCCGGAGCTACGCAGGCAAAAGTCACCTGTGCATATGGATGCAGATGTTCTTCGTCATGACAATCCAAAGGAGCATGATTCTACAAATACAACAAGTAGTTCAAACTCTTCTTCATCAGGAAAGAGACCATCCATTCCACGCGGATCAGGAGTGCAGTTGATCCAAGGAAAGACCATTGGCGAGATTTTACATGCCAATCCGTTGATTCGAAAAGATGATACTTCTCTCGTCCTTGCTCCCTGGAGGAGTTGAGTGCAATATACATTTTTGGCAAGCCAAACAGAGCCTGCGACCTATATAGGGTTGACGACACGTAAATACCATGACCGAGAAGAATTCGAACAAAAGACTCATTCCTTATTATCCAAATCCCCTCTCCCAATTTGAATGTATCATATCTTGTTATTCACACACACACACACACGAAATACATCATGCATTGATTTATTCATTATACCAATATACATTGCTATATGTCTATATTATTGTCTGCCTTTGCCACAAATGACAACTCTATAGCGTGCCTTGCCACTCATCAATTGCTTGATACCATTGTTTACCTCTTCGCAAGAATTTCCAACCTTTTCTACCCATGGTCTTACTCCAGTCTCACTAGCAAAGGCGAGCATTTCTGCCAAGTCAACATTGCTTCCTACGAAGGATCCAACCATAGACAAGTGTCGATAAACAAGCGCTCCTGGTGGGATGGCAATCGGTTGCTCTGGAAGATCGAGTAAAATAAGCTTTCCGTGATCATCTAGTAAATCCAAAAGCTGGGCCCAGTTAGTTGATGGCCCCGATCCGCACACCAACAATGCATCCAGAGACTTGGATCTCTTGGCCAATTCCTCGGATGAATTTAGCACAAACTGGGTAGCCCCTAGTTTTATTGCCTCTTCCTTCTTGTTACTTGAAGACGATATGACGACGACCTCCTTGCAGCCACGCGCTCGTGCCCATTGAATCTATACAATATGACAAAACGGATGAGTGGCTGGCGGTGGCACATTAAATCTATCTGATGAACCTTGCTCTTACCGCCAAGTGACCCAGACCACCAATTCCCAGTATACCGACACGCTGCTGTGGTCCGAGATTATGGTGCTTGAAAGGGAGATACGTCGTAATACCAGCACAAAGCCTATTTAGGAAATGGATAAAAAATTAACCCAAATGTTGCTGTATTGGAATGTCAATTTCTTCGCGTAGACTTACAGCGGGGCACCTTCTTCAGAACTGATGTTATCAGGAACCTTGATAGCCCAGGATTCTTGAACCCTGACCTTGTTTGCGTATCCACCATAGGTTTTGTATCCTTTGTGCACTCCATTGTATGTCGGCGTCCTGTTGGCGCAGAGCTGACCGAACGCAGATGTACATTCCTTGCAAGTTCCACAGCTTGCTGCAACAGGGCTTACACCAACACGATCTCCGATTTTCAGCAGGCTGACCTTATCTCCGACAGCCACGATATGGCCAATGAATTCATGGCCAGGTATTAATGGAAAGTTAGCTCGGTTCCATCCCTACATTAAAAGAAAACCGGTTAGGCGATGGCAGTCAGCAGATGATATTGGAAATTTGATTCACTTACATTTGTAAGCTGATGAATATCTGTACCGCAACTGGTGGCAAGTTGGTTACTAAGCAAAGTGGCGAAGTCAAAATGGCAACCAACTGTCAGACAACTCACATTCCACAGGCAGCAACTTCAACTTCAACATCGTCGGACTCAAGTGGCCTTGACTCGAATGTATGAACTTTCAGCTCGGTATCTTTGTTGCCCTTTACGTAAGGCTGAAGTACAGCGTAGCCCACGAATTGTTCAGTTGTGGTCATTGGTAATGGGATAGAGAAGAGTCCCAGATTTGGCCTCCGCGCTGCACTAAATAAAAACCAGCAAGCTACTTCACGTGGCCAAAAACCAGGTCGCAGTCTTCGAGCACCCTATCGTATACAGACGTCGAGCTCTTTTATAGCAGGCTTTGAGTCTCGCACCAGCTCTGGAATAACCAGCTGGCAACTGGGTTTCCTTCGGCCAAGTGTCTTCCACAGCATTAGCTGAGATAACCTGTTTGAATGTTGAAGGTGACCTTCGGGTGACACGGGAAGTTTGGTCCGTAGCTGTGGGTCACTACCGTTTCCAAATGCAATTATATCGTGATGTATGTTCTTTTCATTTTGATTACAAATTGAAGGTAGTAGTGCAAAAGTTGGTCATTTCTTCGCTGGAGGGTCCATGATACGTCCATAAAACGGCTTTGGCCAGCGTCGTCATTTGATGCATTTAAAAGTGGTGCCAGCTCTCGACCAGTGTTATCTTCAGCTTAGATTTCGTAGCGACAAATTTCAGCAAAACAGCTCAGCCGACCCTATATGATATCGCTCAGTAGTACAAAAGTTGGTGGTGTTTACTGATAGCAAAGCTTCAGCTAAAGATAGATCTATCACTCTCGCTTGTGATATAGAGCAGCCCAAGATGGTGATTGTTATACCCTTTGCTGTTATCACAATAACCATTGCAGGAGTCCTTTTCAAGACGGACCAAATTTCGTTGAGGGTGCAGATTAAAAATCCTGCCTCATTGATAAAATAAAACAATTCTTACCATAATACAGCTCGGTAGTCGCGTCCCATTCTTCGACTTTCCCTCTTCAAAATTTGATTCTACGATTGATAATTCTTGCAGTCTGTTGCTTTTCTAATTTTTGAGCGTCAACTTACATTTCCAAACCAAACCTTTATGTAGCGGCAATGTTGATATCGGGAGGTACGGTAGCGGAGTACTCCACATAGACCCTTCTAATGTCAAATAAAACCTGTTTTTTGTTCTCATCCATATAGCCTATCATGACTCTGGAAATAGCTCTTTGCGAGCTTAGCCTTATATCCTGCTCATGTTTCTTACCATTTATCTGCAGATGTCGTTCGTCATCATTATTGTGTTTGTCTAATATAGAGTGGTGCTGTCTTAATGTTAGTATCGCTCAAAAGTTGACAGCTTCTTTATCTGACTTACACTGATTGACTCACCAAGTTACATAGCCTGATTTTGATGCGCAGTGTTCATAAGGTGGTATAGCTCTTCAACCGAAATTTCCACACGCGGCATCTTGAGATCTGTAGAAGCAATAATTTTCATTATCATGCAAGATGGTATTTTCGCCTTGAATAGCAGCAATGTCATTACTTTGCATGTTGTATGCTTTTTCTTTCAATAAAAATATCTACGAAATCGTCTAGCGAATTTTAATTGCCACGGGACAGAAATCCATCAAAGCTGGTGCAAAATTTAAGTTTACTTCAACCTATAAAGCTTGGCGCGCGTCGGCAAAGTATATAGAGACGCACAGTAATGGTTTTCACTGATAACAAGGTGCGACATGATCGTACACTGTTCAACAAAGCAAACAACCGATTCATTGCAGATTGTAGACGTGCTTTTATTATACATGTTGAGCTCTATTATGACTTGCTATATTACACTGTGTTTAACTGTCCATGCGTTTCAATGTGAGGTTGTAGCGATGTCATGACCATATGAATACCCTCTTCTGTACGGATGGTACGACTACCGGCAGTTGCCGATGGGATAATGAACATGTCGAACAATTCATTGGCATCCTCACCGGCACACTGTAAATCTTCGTCTGCGTCAATGGCGTTCTGTAATCCTCCATTTGGTCCACCAAAAGCAATCAACATATGGCTATTATTGGTAATGCAGGGCATACATAAATTAATTCTCCAGGTTTCTTTTTCCTTGATCGAGTTTGGTATATTCATTATCTTACCTGAATGGTTTTAACTTGTTGGTCTGTTCAGCGAGGGGTTCGCTGTTTCGATCGCTGACACCAACTGTCAGATCATATCCATCCTATTTACGAGGAGTTAACATATGGAAACAAAATTTCGTGCCTGAAGCAAGAGGGTAGTATAATTACCTTGTATGGACTTTCAGTCAAGACTCGCGAAAACGAGCCAGCTAGTCTTATAGTGTAGCCCCAGTACAAACCAAGAACTTCTCTGGGAGTCTTTGGGCTAACGGTTGTTGACTTTTTTTCAGCACCATCGCCCATCTCCACTGTAACTCTAACTTTTGGCTTAAGTACACGCTCGATTTGAATTTGGTTTTTAAGGCCAACGTCTACCCAAGATCCACGACCTTCTTTCACTGGTTTTGCTACAGTGACACCTTCTCTGTATTTTGTTCTCTCATCCAGTTGAGGATGATGTGGGGAATCCAGGGGAGACAAAAGCGCTAAGTGTTCCCTGGTCAGTACATGGGAGGCCGGTTTCGTCTGCAGACTTTCAGGAACTTACCAGCAAACCTCAAGTCCTTGCTGATAGGAACAAGTGCCTTCCTCAAATACCTAGATTTTCTATTATTAGTTCTTTGTTTCCATTGCTTAAACGTAATTATAAACATGTCGTACTGTGGAGTTTCCAAATATTGCAGTACTCTGGCCAAGAACAAGTTAGAAGGTCCACTCCCGGTATGCGTATTGTCCTCTGATGCAGCAAAGGCGTTGCGTGCCTTCTCGTCATATATGATAATTTCATCGACATTGTAGATAGCCAGTAGTCTTCCGATCTAGAGTTTTCATTAGATCAATGCCACAACACACGGATAAGATCGTTTGAATACTTACTTGTCCAGCCAAAACTGTCTTCAGTTCCTGAGTGGGTGCCGTATCCAAAATTCCGGATGGAATAGCAATGCTTACTGTATACTTTCTTGGACGAAGAACAAGTTTTTTGCTAGAGACATGAGATTGCTGCATTTCCTTGACGTAATCAGTCTTCTCGGTTACAGATCGCTTTGCGTCAAACGCTGGACCCGACCTGTGTTTATTGTCATAGGATTTTCCTGGCTTTTTACGCTAAGATAATGACAGCTTTAGTCAATGTAGCCTGCTGCTTGCTGGAAGGTCCTGAATACTACCTTTTGTCCGATTTTGCTGTCAACCATTGCTTTTGTAACTCTACTATTGAACAAAGCTGCTGGGTGAAATGCTCAGAAAAAAAAAATTAGCCGTCACACATTTGTGAACATCAAGGCTTGCGTGCAGCCAAAATTTGCAAAAGACCTCAGTCAAAGCAGAGCAGACAGGTCACCATTTCCATAGAAACATTTATAATAAACAGCAGCTGTTGATAGGATACTCTGACGCGAAGAAATTCACTTTTTTTTTTTTTGATAAAGGCGACAGACCTTGATCTGTTGGATATGCGAAATTGTGCCATATCGCCTGTAGCCACACTGAGCTCACAAGCAAAGTAGTCCATCTCCGACCCGATCTTCTTGTCATACCGTGCAAGCAGGAACTGATGATCTGTGTCGGCAGACACCATCTGAGACGCAACAACATAGATATTTCTATTTTTTATCCATCAGCATATGCTGTGCTTGTGTAAATTGTATCTTATCGATACTGATGCATCTCTCAGAAGCTTGCTTGAAGGCCTGCCTTGTGCATATCACTATTCCAGCTCGGTAGTATGCCACCAAGGACTATTTTTTTTTTGTTCTGGAAGACGACTAAGCTTTTTATTGGAGCATAACCATCACATCGGATGCTAGGGTAGCTGAGCGCCATCCTGTCTCACAACAATAAATGCACAATTGAAATAATTTAATTCATGGCCACCGTAGCACAGCGCACTTTGAACACATCTTCTCAGCTACAGCGCTATATTCTCTCAAGCATCAAATTCATGAGATGATGAGATGGCCATATTTACATTTTTCAAAAAGTGTCACGCTTGTTTGACGCAGTTCATCGCTTGGACGTCCTATTCAGTCCATGGGCTTATTGTGGCTATGACCCAAGCATTACTTGGTTTAGGTGTAAGGCGCTTTGACTAATGCGATGTGTCTCCCGCCTAGGGCCGATAGGACATAGAAGCCATAGCTGTACTACGGATGAATTCAAATGGCAGATTACTTAGGCACTAAATTCTAAATACTGAAGTGCTAAACGATGCAGTGCGGGGTGAGGCGGCAGTTATTGAACGGGTAACGTGGTATGAGGTTCTCACATGAATGAAAAAGACTTCAAGTCAGCTTTTATGGATGAATCAGCATGGATGCTCTAGTTGATATAACATATCATCCCACTAAACGCTTCTTAAACGAGTTTTTTATTACCTGGTAACAGCCAATGAAGAATCTTTTGGAGGTGTGTAGATTCACGGCGTGGTGCAAGACACATTTAGGCAATTATGTCTCTGTGCTGCCCAAACCCTGGAACCACCTCTAGTTCGAGGAAGGAGTGACTAATTTGGTTGGGTTATTTTTACTGTTTTCTCGGTTGCCTTGAGTTGATGGGATTGTTTTGTTAAGAGTCGCATGCCACGGAGGCGCCACATTGACTGATAGGAAGCAAATTTCCTTTTGACGCAATGAGAGCCTGGGAAATTATACTTCGCAGCTGGTAATAGTTTAACGTCTTGCGAAATGGTATATCGTGCTAAAAACCAGTGGCATCCGCACAAGAGATTCAAAAGATACATCATCCGTGAATGAAAATGTCGGCCATGGCTGCTTATTCGTGTTGATCCAAGCGCCATGCAAACAAGACAGCGGTAAATATAGCATCCATTGTGTATGGGTAGAGATTGCTTCTTTTGCCTTAACAAGCAATAGTAACAGGCAATGCCTGATTTTGTCAAAAGCAGCCAAAATAGGCCGTGGATGTAAAACTCCGTACCAACATGAAGTGCTAAGGAAGAAAAGGTAGCCAACCAAGTGACATGTCGTCAATATTTTGAGTGAGGCAAGTTGAATCTTGTATGATTTACAAAGCACCAACTGCAAGACCGCCAATAGAATGACCAATAGCGCTGTACCACTTAAATTGGCAATGCCAGTCTCGGAGGACAGCACATGTTCAAAAAGGTGAATCCACCCCAAAAAGGAAGTCTGTGTTGAAAATGGCAGCATTCATTGGCACCTCCGTGCAGCCCGTTTTGCTCTTCTACAGGTCAAAGTCCTCACTTATTGCATATAAGATAGACATAATTCCCCTGCTCTGCTCAAGTACATAAATTCGCTGATTCTTCGTACATAACTTGGTACTGTTCTCATATCCATCACTGATGGCTGCTATCGGAGAGCGAAACGAGTATGATCATGAGGTGCACAGAGCCAGCTCAAGTGAGTACCACCCAAAAGGCGATTTCAACGAAAAAGGTGGCGAGTACTACCACGAAGGCGATGTAGAATACAACAAAGAACACATTGATTCTGAAGAAGAAGAGAATTCACCCATTGAAGAAGTTGCTGCTGTTGTGCCAGCGTAATGATCCTTTCATATTATCCTGTCAAAAGAAACATATTATATCTGTGGCTGACTTGACAGATTCCATCCCTTTATCTTTGTAGGACAGATGATCCAAGTATCCCTGTGTATACCTTCCGTGTCTTCAGCTTAGGCATCATCTTCACCGCTCTCCTTGCCTTCGTGAACCAGTTCTTCTGGTTCCGAGCTATGGCTCTCCAGCTGTCTCCTTTGGTCGTTCAGTTGCTTTCATTTCCACTTGCCAAGTTGATGGAAGCCGTTATTCCCCGATCCAAATTTTTCAACCCAGGCGCATTCTCAATGAAAGAGCACGTCCTGATCACGGTCATGGCTAATTGTTCGTACCAAACCGCTTATGCTATCGATATTATCACGGTCCAGCGTATCTGGTACAAGCAAGATCTTGGATGGGGTGGTGGCTTCCTTCTCGTCATGACCACTCAATTAATTGGTTATGGTATGGCTGGTGTTCTTCGACCTTACCTTGTCTATCCATCCTCTATGGTCTTCCCTGCCAACTTGGTCAATATTTCTCTTTTCCGATCCCTTCATGTCAAGGATCTGAATTGGACGGGTCCTAGTCGTATCAAGTGGTTCTTAATGGTGTTCACCTGTATGTTCGTATACTACTGGCTTCCTGGATTTTTGTTCCCCGTCTTGACGTACTTCTCTTGGGCTTGCTGGATCAACCCCAATAACCGTACTCTATCTCAACTCACTGGAGGCTACAGTGGTTTGGGTATGCTCGCATTATCCTTCGATTGGGCCACCATTACTTCATACCTATCTTCTCCTCTGATTGTTCCCTACTGGGCTACAGCCAACATCACGGTCGGTTTTGTCTTGTTCGCTTGGTTCATTGTTCCTATCTTGTATTACACCAATGTATGGAACTCTCAGTCCTACCCAATTGTCTCTGAAAAGCTGTTCACTGTGGATGGCAGTCGATACAATGTATCCATGGTCTTGAACCCTGATGTCACTGTCAACGAGACGTTGTATGAAGAATATGGCCCAGTTCGCCTAACTGCTCTATTTGCCTTTTCCTATGGAATCATGTTTGCTGGTCTTACCTCTGTCTTGACTCATACCGTTTTATACCACGGAAAGGAAATTGTTCGTCAATTCAAGCGATCAAGAAGTGAAGATGAAGACATCCACATGAAGCTGATGCGAGCCTACCCTGAAGTTCCTAGTTGGTGGTACTATGCTATCTTCCTCGCTGCCTTTGGAGTGTCCTTCGGTGTCATCTATGGTTGGCCAATTCATCTCCCATGGTGGGGTCTTATCCTCTCCATCGCTTTGTCTGCTATCTTCATTCTTCCTATTGGTATCATTTCTGCCATTACCAATCAGACTCCTGGTTTGAACGTTATCACCGAATTCATCATTGGTTTCGCTCTTCCTGGTCACCCAATTGCCAACGTTACCTTCAAGACCTATGGTTATATCTCCATGGTTCAGGGTCTGACTTTCGTGTCTGATCTTAAGCTTGGCCATTACACCAAGATTCCTCCTAAAGCTATGTTCATTGTTCAAATCATCGGTACTATGGTGGGGGGTTTCGTTAACCTGGCCACTGCTCGATGGTTGATGGATACTATACCCAATATCTGTACCAAGGCCGCGTTTCCATTTGTGTGCAACAGTGCTTCAACTTTCTACTCTGCGTCTGTTATCTGGGGTGCAATCGGTCCTGCTAAAATGTTTGCCGGTAACTCGCCATACTCGTCAATGCTCTATTTCTTCCTCATTGGGCTGGTTCTCCCTATTCCGTTCTTCCTGTACTCTAAGAAATATCCTAATTCATGGGTGAAATATGTGCATATTCCTCTTATCTTTAATGCTACTGGTATGATGCCTCCGGCTGTTCCCTTGGTAAGTATTTATATGATTTGATAAGGACTGTCATGCAAGGTTATACAAGGAATAAGCTGACGGTTTTTCCCATACAGAACTTTTCCATGTGGTGTGCTTGTGGATTTGTTTTCATGTACTGGATCCGTAAGTACAGACACGACTGGTGGGTCAAGTACAACTACGTGACATCTGCTGCTTTGGACTCGGGTGTGGCTATCGCCGGTATCGTTATTTTCGGGGTACAAATGGGGACGGCTAATAGCGACCAACCCTACGGTTGGTCCCCAACTTGGTGGGGCAACGATGCAGACTATGTTGACCATTGCCCACTGGCTGGACTCAACATGACCAACACTCCGTAGTTCTATTTCATTATCCAATGCCAAAGGAGGATCTCTCGATTTATCTTTGATAAAATGTAACGAAAAAGCAGCCGTAGTGTTGAGTTAAAAATTATTGCCATTTAAGCATACCCACAAACCCTCTCCCCCAATTTTTTTTTTTTTTGTAATGGAGTGTATCTTGTAACAGAATAATAACTAAAAGAATCAATGATTTTTTCATTACCAGCTGGCACACCCATATGAACTTAATTTCATTTACATTTTTGGATATCACACTGTGGTGTTTACCAACTGAATCTGCACTTCTTGGCTGCTACCGATCGGACTAAGAGCTAAGTCTTAAAATGATAAAAAATACCGAATATGGACATGCTACAGCCTCTCGATGAGTGGCAATGGCAGCTGGCAAGTTGCGTTGGAAGTGAAAGATAGACACTGGCCGTGATAAATCTGAATAGTGGTGTTCTCGGCTGGCGATGACCAACTTGTTTTATGGAGTTGTATTATGGAAAACAAAATAGTCACTATGGGTCTTCGCTTGTTCTCGTCTTCTAATTTCCACCATTCGTTACACAGGGCGCTGTTGAGTTTCTTTATCTCACATGCAACCAAATAGGTCAAATGTGTCTGAATATGGAATGGCGACGAGAGTAAATGGTCGTTTGTTCCTCATTGCCTGTACAAGGTTCAGCTGGAAAAACTATAATTTTTTTCAGATTCATTCCTAAATCATCGAAACAGCGAATATAAATACAGACCACAGATAACGGCTCCGTAAAATATCCCATCTCGTCTTTCTTCGCTCACTTGGTTTATCCAAACAGAAAACGACAAAATGGTGGATACTGACAACCACTATGACACAGAACCACAAATGGTTCGTGCCGAATCGAACGTCAGCGAGCACTTGGGGCATAAAGAATATCAAGAAAAAGATTACATGGAAGAAGCCGTCAGTTATGACAAAGATCACGACGATGAAGAAGACAATTCCCCCATCGAAGAAGTTGCTGCCGTTGTACCAAAGTATGCATTGCTTATACCTGAATACTAGGCGATTCCAGCTACCAGATCACTGACTTTTCTTTATCTTTTAGCACGGATGATCCCACTATTCCTGTTTACACCTTCCGAGTCTTCTCGCTCGGCATCGTCTTTACCGCTCTTCTCGGTTTCATTAACCAGTTCTTCTGGTACCGTGCTATGGCCCTTATGTTGTCACCTCTTATTGTACAGTTGGTTTCCTTCCCCATCGCAAAGCTTATGGAAAAGGTCATTCCCCGATCAAGATTCTGGAATCCTGGTCCGTTCTCCATGAAGGAGCACGTTTTGATTACCGTTATGGCTAACTGTGCCTACAACACCGCCTATGCCATGGATGTCATCACTGTACAAATTCTTTGGTACAAGCAAGACATTGGCTGGGGTGGTGGTTTCCTCCTTGTCATGACCACTCAATTGCTTGGTTATGGTATGGCTGGTGTCCTTCGTCCATACCTCGTCTATCCTTCCGCCATGGTCTGGCCTGCCAACTTGGTCAATGTATCACTTTTCCGCTCTCTTCACATCACAGAAGAAAACTGGACTGGTCCTACTCGTCTGAAGTGGTTCGGAATGGTCTTTGGCTGCATGTTCGTCTACTACTGGCTTCCAGGATACTTCTTCCCTGTTTTGACATACTTCTCTTGGGTTTGCTGGATCAAGCCTGATAACCTTGTCCTCTCTCAACTTACCAGTGGTTACAATGGTTTGGGTATGCTCGCTCTTTCATTCGATTGGGCCACCATCACCTCTTACCTTCTCTCTCCTCTTATTGTTCCTTTCTGGGCTATTGCCAACATTGCTGGTTAGTATACACAATTTCACTGTTATCCAATTAACATTCAAGTAGACTGACATTTACGTTGTTACAGTTGGTTTTGCTGTCGTCGCATGGGTCCTCGTCCCCATCTTGTACTATAGCAATGTCTGGGATGCCAAGACATTCCCAATTGTTTCTTCCTCGTTGTACACTGCCACTGGTGAAGTTTGGAACAACACTATGGTCCTCAATGCCGATAACACTTTGAATGAGGAAGCCTATGCTGAATACGGTCCTGCTCGTCTCTCTGTCCTCTTTGCCTTCACCTACGGTATCATGTTTGCTGGTCTTACTTCCGTCTTGACCCACACTGTTCTTTACCACGGAAAGGAAATTGTCCGTCAATTCAAGCGATCAAGAACTGACGACGAAGATATCCACATGAAGCTGATGCGCGCTTACCCTGAAGTTCCCAGCTGGTGGTACTATTCTATCTTCATCGTCACCATCGGTATCTCCTTCGGTGTCATCTATGCCTGGCCCATTACCCTCCCATGGTGGGGTCTTATCCTCTCCATCGCTTTGTCTGCTATCTTCATTCTTCCTATTGGTATCATTTCTGCCATTACCAATCAGACTCCTGGTTTGAACGTTATCACCGAATTCATCATTGGTTTCGCTCTTCCTGGTCACCCAATTGCCAACGTTACCTTCAAGACCTACGGTTACATTTCCATGGTTCAAGGTCTGACCTTCGTGTCTGATCTTAAGCTTGGCCATTACACCAAGATTCCTCCTAGAGCTATGTTCATCGTTCAAATCATCGGTACTTTCGTTGGTGGAATTATCAATCTTGCCACTGGTAAATGGTTGATGGCCACCGTTCCCAATATCTGTACTACTGCCGCATATCCCTTCACCTGCCCTTCAGCTCATACTTTCTACTCTGCCTCCATCATCTGGGGTGCTATTGGACCTCATAAGTTGTTCGCTGGTGACTCTCCATACAGCAGCATGTTGTACTTCTTCCTTATCGGTGCCGTCCTTCCTATTCCATTCTACTTCTTGTCCAAGAGATATCCCAACTCATGGGTCAAGTATGTCCATATTCCTTTGATCTTCAACGCCACCGGTATGATGCCTCCTGCTGTACCCTTGAACTTCTCCATGTGGTGCGCTGGTGGTTTCGTCTTCATGTACTGGATCCGCAAGTACAGACATGAATGGTGGACCAAGTATAACTATGTCACCTCTGCCGCTTTGGATTCCGGTGTCGCCATTGCTGGTGTCATCATTTTCGGTGTCACCTCAGGCTCTGACTGGTTCCCTGACTGGTGGGGCTACGGTGGCGTTGGCGGTGCCTTCGACAACTGCCCTCTTGGAGGAGCCAATTTCTCCGGCATCACCCCATAAGTTGATACTTTTTACTTGTTATTAGTATTTATGTAGCTTAAGATATCTAGCATTATTCCGTAATAAAAACCTAAGGAACATCCCAAACAATAATCCAATGTGCACGTGCCTCACCATTGTATTCAAAAAGTGGTCAGTGGACCCAACGTAACTTGAAACTCAATCTTCAAAAGCATTGATGGAACAGGAATTGATAAGCATTCTGTTATTTGCGAAAAAGGCTTTGCAAACCGGACAAGCAATATGCGAACAAGCGAATCAGTGTACGAAAGATTCTGCCATGTTTGCGGAGAACCTAGACGCGCAGTGGTCAAAGCTCGTCTTTCTATCAGAGCACATAAAAACGCAATTGAACACGCTTGTCAAAATACATGACTTTATAATATTAACAGCAGGAGACTTACAAGGCTTCATAAAGGTAAAGCATATGGCTTCATGACATAGATGATAGCAATACATTCAGTCATTCATTTGGCAATTGCGTTGTAGACCAAGGAGGCCGCGTTGGGCAATTTATCCCTCGCAGTCCAACAAACTTTCGACTCGCTCAAGAAAAGTACTATAGATCCAGATATCTTGAGAGTAAACCTCAACTATCTTCAAACACATACCAGCGACCAGCTCTCCAAAAATGAGATGTATACAAAGAAGAAGAGTCTATTCGATTACATTGACGATCAAGCTGTGCTTGACCTACAGCAGAAAACGGACGACGAAATCAGCGCAGTGGAGGTTGGATATTAATGCAATTGGTAATATCCAGGGTGTGTATGCTATTGACATACATTTACTCCCTTAGGCTCTAAGGTCGACTCTGCAAGGAATGGCAAAGTCCCTTTATACCTCTTTACAATCTCTTGTAACAGCTCAAAAGTCGTTCAATATGAAGCGACTTGAAGAAACCGCATCCGACTTTGCTGTTGCGAAGAAAAGTGCACAAGAAGCTGAAATTACCCATATGGCGGATATCCTAACGAGCTTGACGAATCATTATGATCAAGTTGGAAGCGCCATGAAGTACGTTGATCTTATTTTCATCATCACATCCGCTATTGGGTGTTAATTCAGGTCTTTGCAGAGTTTTTCAATCCAAGCCATCTGAGTATCTGGATATTTCAGGTACGCCTTCATTTCTCGCGCTGCCTCAACCATTCCCTTCATATTTATAGTTGTTTTTTTCAGTACTCCAAGATGATCATGATCATGTACCAGATATAATTGAAAATCTTCAAACGTCTTTACAGGAAGTGGAAAATATAAGGCATGTATTTTTTTTTCCTTTACACCAAGTCCCGCGTTTACTTACCCACCACTAATTAGGGAGGACATGCGTTCACAATCAGATGAATATAACAAAGTATACGACAGTATGGCACGATTGTTCTCAGAGCTGGAAAGGATAGGCGATTCCAAAGGGCCACTAGATAACATTTTTGACAGGCTCATTCGCATCGAGGTGATTATATGAAAGGATCTGTCAATGGCAATTCTTATATAAATTAACGCCATCCCTAGTTGGAGCTTCAAGAAAGGAAGGATGTCTTGAATAACTACTTCCAAAATCTATGGGGTTTGGTCGACTGGTAAGTAGCTTCTTCAAACCAATTGCACGAAGACAAGACTATTAAATTTTGGTCGCAGGTACATTGAATATGCGGTGTCCTACGATTACTTGACTCTGGAGATTACTAGACGCCAAAGAGTTCAATTAAAACAGGCGAAAATGTTGGAGGAATACCGTCGACAATTTGACGACTTATACAAAGGTGAGCTAAACCCTTTTCCAACAGTAGGTCTACTTCCGTCAATATTGATAAAATATGTACAGAGGAGCTAGAGCAGCGTCGTGAATGGGATAGTAAGCACGGTGCATACTTGCCTACAGATCTTTGTCCATTTATGAGGGTAAAGTGAACATTTGGTGTGGCTGAGAAAGTGCAAACTCATAAACTTATACACTGATGCCCGACAGGAACCTCCGCCAACGATTGCCGTAAGTTTATCCCCGGATAATCTGGAACTGCCAGTCATATCAGCAAAAGCTTTGGATGAGGTAAATTGGTTTCTAACTCTAAAGATCTTCAACACGTGGGACTAACTGTTGGTGACCTTCAGGCACTTCAGCGTACGGAGAACTACGAAAGCGCTCAAACCCAAACTCCACAATCATAATGATATCATATTCTACGCTATGGCTCACCAATGCAGTTCATTCAAAAGGTCAAAGAAGTTTGAAAGAGATGATTGTATTATATTCACAATGGAGATGTTGTTATTTGTACATTGGACTGGACATTATACTTTGTTTTGGAAACCCATGTATGGTTTTTGTTAAGGATATCAATCTTTTGTTGTGTTTTCTTTGAGAGGTGTGTGTATTTTTTGCCTAATCCTTGTCAACGCTTGCCCCTGGTTGTTCAGACATAGGTAATGGTGTCGGTGTTGTGAGGGTCTCAGAGTGCAGTCCCGAAGCATCGACGTTGGCAGATTCACCAAAACGCTGGCGAGCTAGCTTTGCCTGCGTGGTGGTTTAGTTAGCATTTGATACTAGCAACCGTGCTGAGTGCACTACAAGGCTATTTCAATACGCAAATTAGCGTTAACACTCACCAGCTCTTCGTCCAGCCTTCCTTGCTTCTTCAATTCCATGCGACGATTCACCATAACGCCAATGTTGACGACATAGTAAACTATGACATTCGATAACGTTGACATTAGTTTATGGTTAGGGTATGTAATATGATTTAGAGTTACAGAGTACTAACCGGTTGAACCAGCCAACAGCAATACAACTGACTTTTGGGCAATATCTGCCAATGACGATCCAGCTGGCATGTTTTGATATTGTTAAGGGTTGCTGCTGCAGGCCAGTTTCTTGGGTTGAAAGAATTTTGAAAATGACAGTCCGGCCGGACACCGGCTGCCTCTGAAAATAATACAGCAAGGAAATTTACGGATGGAACGTGTATTGAAATTGTAGTCATACTTTCCCAATGCTTTAATACAATATCTGTGATCTCGTTCCGTGCCTCCAGCAATCCAAGTGGGGAACTTCAGTTCAATTGTGCAATTCTCATTGATATTAAACCACCGCTGAGTCAACAATTTGATCGCCACCTGAAGCCGTCTGTTGCACATTTCGCGACAAGCGAATCCATCCAGCATAGCCTTCCTCTCTGAAAGAGCAAGTTTCCAGTATATGAGCAGTAATTTTCCTCCAGAATTTGTATATTCTTTGAAAATTTTACATATGAGGCAAATGATAAATGGATTGGTGGCATGGAGTGACCTTAAAGTGATCACCACGTTAAGCAGATCTATAGTCGACGAAGTAGTAGACGCAAATGAAGAAAGAGATAATCGTTGCTTTTCTGTCTATGAATATTTTCACTACCATTTCAGCGGAGCAAAAGTAACCTTAGGTTCACAATGCAAAGTCTGTTCATATCACCACTCATGTAATGAGTTACTTCATTGTTCAAACAGCTTTGAGCAAGAAACAATATCTTATTTTTACAAACTTTCAATAGGAGCGCCTGGATTGCTGTTGACATATCCATTGCGTTTATGCTAACATTTTATAATTGCATCTCCTGTTTGTTTGCCTAGCGCCAGTGTTGACGCACGCTCACTTGGAGGTAATTTGGCGGACGACCGTGAAAAAGGAAGCGCTGTCAAGCAGCTGTTTTATGAATGATTGTTTGAATCATGAAAGCTTTTACTAGGCTTGGTACTTCAAGCGTGGCAAAATAACATGTGCAGCTTACAAGCAATTCAATAAAGAGAATTCCTCACCCTAGGTCACATGGTGTCCTTACATACCAAAAGTATCTTCCAAGACAGAGTAATAAATAGCTTCATATTATAATTGATGTCGTTTTTTACATTCACTTGTTCCATGAAACTCGCACTTGCCGTCATCTTCACCATTTTGTCCGTAACCTTTATCGATGCGCTACCACTGGAGCTAATTGACTGGTATACTCCAGATTATTCACCACTTGCCAACATTTTGAACACACGAGACTTTCACGAACCGGCTTTGAGGACCGACATAAAGAGAACGGAAAAACACCGCGAGCTAGATAAGCTTGACTCAGATCAGCTATTTGAAGAGAGCTTGTTCCTAGACGTGCCGCATTCGGAAGTATAGTTGTCACTGTACATTCAATGCAGTTACAAGGCTGCGACTAGCTAGTCAAATGGCAGTGCTAAGAAGGGAGAGGGCAAATTTGAAGCACATTCGTGTAACCACTTGGAAGCTTCCCTGCAACTGAGAACAACTGCATCTAAATCCTTACCGACTTTGCAGACCAACATCTAAAGGTCATTTGCCACATATATTCAAAAACAGGGAACCTTATGCAAAACGTTCAAACAGTCTTCAGACAACCTGTACTTGTTGTTTTTTTTTTGTATGGATATTGAATTACAACTTCTATAGAACGCTCACCGCGAAGCGATGCACTCTTTCATACCTATCCTTTGGCGCCTTTTTAAGACTATATTACATTTCGTGAAAAAATATATCCTTCTATATAATCGTCTAAACAAACTCAGACCACGCAAGATAAAAATCGACTTTAATTGCAAGTGGATGTTAGGGGTACTTGGTGAATTGTTTTGTCTGTCGCGGGTGACGCATGTCCGCCAAAAGCCCGTAGCAGCTGGATAGATAGTGTTAACAAAAGTTAACCATTCTCTTAATGAGTATAAATAAATCTTAATGGAAAAATCTGGAGCGTACCATCAGTGCATGGCCTTGGCGATAACTTACCTAAATTTCAAGTGAAAACTTGTATTTCTGTTACCTGCTTCTTCTATGTTAGTACTAAAACCGCAATGTAGAATCCTCATCACAACCATGAAAATTATTTCTTCAATTAGTCTTTTATGTATTATAAAGTCTAGGCATATGCCCTCAAACGCGTTCTACTCGTCGTCTGTCGTACGTTAGCTATCAAAAGGGGGAGATCCGAGTGCGGGATTTGAAAATTGACGGTCCCAAAGTCTTTCACTGGCCCAAGTTCTCTGCTGTGCAATTGCCATACCACTGTCATTTTGAACCCTGCCATGGCTAACGTATTACCACACGACAAAAAACAACTTCGAGCTTGTTTACTTTGCTCTCTTGTAAAGGTATATAGAGGCTTTGTGAGTTTGATCGAACAATTTCCCATACTGATCATATCGAAACCACTTAACGTTTCAGAATGCCTCACAGTTCAGAGAATCTGGTTGTGAGAACTGTGAGGATATAATGCGGATGCAAGGAAGTGTTGAACGTGTGGCAGAGTGCACAAGTGCCAACTTTGATGGGTCAGTTTGAAGGATCGCCTTTTGATCTCGTAACGCACCTACTCATGCTAATTCTACGCCGTTCTTTACAGTGTTATTGCAATGATGCGACCAGACGAAAGTTGGGTTGGCAAGTGGCAGCGCATAGGTAATTGTAGAACTAGATTGTATATTTTGCATGGACTCGGCTTCTAACGCTAAGGTGGCAACTAGACAAATTTACACGAGGAATATACGCCGTACGAGTATCTGGTCGGATACCGGATGACGTAGAAGATGAACTTGATCGAAGGGGCATTACATACCGACCACGCGATGGTAGCGCCAGAGACTAAACAAATACAAAACACTGGAAATGAAATAATAAAAAGAGAAAGATGTACACCATTTGCCCCAATTTCAGTTGGCAACCCATCCAATTCGTACAGATCAAATTTCTTTAGCAGTGTATAGACATGGATTTAATGCGGTTAAAACGTGCGAAACAAAAAAGAAAAGCAAATGGATGAATGACGACGAAAAATTAAGAAGCAAAAAATGATAAATAAAAAAAAGACTGATCTTCATTGTGGAACTCATGTGGCACTTGTGAAATGGTGAGGGAGAGCAAGACAAACACTGGCATTTTTGGTTTGGAAAGGAAGCGCAAAGTAAAGGACAAAACAGTGGTCGCAAGCAACCAGCAGGAAACAACAAAAGAGAACTTTTTTCTCTGGTATATAACAAAAAGAAGATAAGATGCAATTTCTATGGTTTTTTCTTAGCAGCCAACAGAACTAGCATTGCCCGCATGCCAGCTCATATTCAACATATTCACGTTACTGGTATCGTGGGATTCACGGACTTGATGCTCCGGTGAAGTGGAGTTATTGAATCTAGGCTTGGTGTGATCCTCGGGCAATGTATTGGCACGCATCTCGCGCCTCTGATGTGTTTTGATGTGCTGGGAAAGGTTGTCTGATCGTGAAAATGACTTATTACACCCTTCGATTGAACAGGTGAATGGTCTTTCCATGGTATGAGTGCGCATATGGCGTTTGAGATGCTCTAGTCGCTTGAATTTTCTTTGGCAATGAGATACTTGGCATGCATGTACTTTTCCACAAGCTTTGCCAGATGTAGATGATCGCCGGCTTTGGTTATGAATGGAACCATGGTGTCTCTCAGAAGCAGCGGTCATGAAAGAATCTGTTGGCATGGGGTCTTCCATGGAAATGAATTGCCTATCCAGATTGGTAAAAGATGGAGGTTGAGTTTCATACAGATGTTGCGATTGATCGTGATGTTGTTGATAATCAATCAATTGTGATAGTGCGGATGGGGTACTTGGGCTTTGTGGTGATGATGGGCTATGGATATTTTGTTGCTTGTCAGATTTATGCTCTTGCATGCTGTATTGTTCATTTGTAGCATACTCCTGCTGAAAGGAATCACAATGATATAGAGTCAGTGTCATGTCACTTCCTTTCTTTTAAGCATTTTCATTTTCTATAGCATTAGGGTAACTTACGTACCTGAAATTTTTCATTATTGACAAATGACATGGCGTTGTTGGACAAGTCGGATGGGACATACTCTGACGGAATGGCACTCATTCTACGCTGCATCATAGCTCTTCTAGTATGTGTGCGATAGTGAGCTGCAAAGTTATCAGATCGACTGAAGCTTTTACCGCAACCTGGGTAATTGCACACATGTGGACGTTCGCCGGTATGGACCAGCATATGACGTTTCAAGTGCTCATAACGCTTGAAGCTCCAACCGCAATAAGGGTATTTGCAAACATGACGATTGCCTGTCGGCTTCCTCTTGGATTGCGAGTTTTGTGAGCCTTGAACATGATCAGCATGATGAATTTGGTCTTGCAGCTGATGCATTTGCTGAGCGTGATCTTGATAAAACTGCTCCGTAGGATGTGTTTCAAACTGCGAAAAATTAGTGCGGTGATCAACACGGGGAGGCGATGGCAAAGAACCATGCATGCCATGATTATGGCTCATGTCCGTGGTTGCTAGGAATCCAAAGTGATCAGCTCCATGAGAGTAATCATCCATTGACATATCAGAGCAAGTTGAATGTCGTCTATAAAAGTCTTCTTGAACACAGGCGTTGACAGCGGGAATGATGGAAGCGCTATTGGTGCTATTGAAGCCAAAAGGACCAACATCGACGGAATACTTTCTCTTAAAATGCAAATTCCCATTCAGAAAGGCGGCTGGTGAAGTGGATGGTGTTAAAGGAGGTGACACAACAGCGTTAATGTCGTCTTGTTGCAAATGTTGATGATGCATACGAGGTACAAAGGCAGATCCAGAAGGCATCATATGACCACCAAGGTGCATGGAGGACTCTACTTTGACATCCTTTGGAGAACCATTGTGCAGCATCTTGAAATTCTTATTGTTGGAAGCGGAATATGAGATACTTGGTAGTTTGCCATGCAAAGGCACTGGAGACAAATTGCCAGACGCAGACGACGAATCCATTTGATCAAGGGAAAAAACGACAAGCTAGATGAAGAGGGAAAAGCGGAAAGCAGAGCGGAGCGGAGCAGAGGAAAGAAGATATGATCAATTCCAATTCTACGAAGAAGGAGAAGAGAGAGTCCCAAAATAAAGTCACTTTTATTTGTGATTTATATGATGCGAACTAAACAGCTCACTTTTCTTATTCTTATTGGATGTTCTTGACTATAGTAGTGATCAGCGTCCTGCTGACGGGGTCGATAGTAGAGGGTTTTGATCGACGAATGCACTCAAACAGGAGTAGCGCTTGTAGAAAGACTTTAAGGAGATTGTTGCAAGTGCAAGTGCAGGCCTATACAATGCATCCATCTCAAAATGGACTTATGACTTTGAGAAGACCCACATTATTTGGAAAGACTTCAAACGGGGCACTTTTCTTTCTTTGTCATGTTGCAGGCATCATCGCAGATGGTATAACCTATCAAATTGCATCACTTATTAGATATTCTCCTTAAAACTTACTTGACAAAGAATCGCACTTTTACTAGCTCACGATTTAGTCTGTCTGCATCTTTCGCCATCATTTTAGCCTCACTCCTTTTGGATGCAGTGATGTATTACTCTTACCGAAAGCGATCTTTATAGATTATAGCGTGTAGCTGGCACAGGTCAACAAATGCCCAGTAGAGTTCTCTCCAGAATCGGAACCACGCATAACAAGGCAAGATCGACATGAGAGAATGGTCTCACCAAGCCAAGAAGAAAGCAGTCTTATACATGGCAAGGATCGATTCAACGTTCTAAGCGGCCACATATGGCGCTTTGGGCAAGCAACTTGAATGTTGTGTAGCCTTGCTCAGCCCACTTACTAGCTCATGGGTTTTTGCTGGTAAATTGACTTTTCCTTTTTACTCTTCTCATCTTATTTTCTAGAATTTGCTGACCTGTCAGATCAGAAAAAACCCGTTGCACATCTAATGCGCTTTATGTATCATCCCCCCCAACAGCTCACCCTTGTCATTTCCCTGGATTTAAACTTGGCTCGTGCGTAGCTCTCAAGTTAGAGATGAATACTGGTTATTGTTACCTACATTATTTCAGTATCAAGAAATCGTAAAACAGGATGTGTGGCGGCAGACACAGTCTTCATACAGTCTTTGTTTCTTGCTTTCTCTGTACACAATCAATAAGAAGTGCTATTAACTACTTCTATTTATGTAAAAATGACTCTGTCAAGTGGAGAGTCATCAATCCATGCCACTAATGTATGCAACAGTATTAATAGCGCGCCTATACATTCATTATTGAATGAAGATTGCAATGGGTTAATTTTTTGTTCATCTTGTCTACACGCCGTATTTGTTATCTATCTTATTTGCTTACGGTAACTATTTTGGTGACCTAACCAGTTACAATCCAAGGAGTGCTCCCTTTCGTTATACGGAAAACATTATTCTTTGTGTTTGCATGTCAATGGAACTCACTCTTGTTGAAGAAGGTGGTATGTATACCTTGACGGTACCATTATAAGTTGATAACCAGGTTTCTCCAAGTGACAAGTGCTCATTATGCAGTTGAAGACTTTGCGAATGATCATTGAATTAGTAGACTGTCATTCTTCTTTTTCTTATTTTTTGGTTTTTCAAAGAACAAAAACGAGTTAGAAATAAGGTATAACAACTTAAAGCAACGACAAACAAATCCTCGCCACCACTCGTAAAGCCGACATAGTGATGCAAATTGTTGACCAAGATTTGGTCACGGTCATCAGATAATCAAATAACAGATTTCTGTCATTTAATTTTATTCAGTCGCACGCATGCACTTCCATATTCGCAAAAGTAATATGAGCGATCTGTTTCCCACTCATACCAACGTGATAAATTTTTATTTTAGCCTCAATATTAACGACATTGAAGAAATAAGGTATATGGTTTAGCTACATAACCCCTTCATCATTGCGTAACAATAGCGATGTGGTGGAGTTGCTTATTCATGTACACACTTCCATTCATCGATGAGTCCGCGGTAATCCTCCGGACCATAGGGGTCGAACATCTCAGCGATCATACCATTTTTCCTATGCACCTTCAGTCCCAAATCCCGCAGAAGCATGTCAACATACGGTATGGCATCAAACACAAAGTCAGGATTTCGTCTACCAAATCCACCAGGATATCTCCATTTGCCAAATTCCGTGTGCAAAGCGGTCTCCCATTCCAGATCGGATACATAGTCATCCGCGGCCGCGGTATCCTTTCCAGCTGGGTTCTTAATGGTTGGAACAATTGATAGCTTATCGTTAAAGTAAGCAGTTGCCCAAAGAGCTTGAGTTTGTGCGAGAATAGCTGTGTCAATAGTCATTGCAATACCAAGGAAAGCGATCGATCTCTCTTTGATCAACGAAGGTGGCACCATAAACCGAGCCAATCTGAAAGGATGAGGTGCTGCAGCCTCAGCATTGTCGCTGAGCGGTTTATACTTCGGATTTGTCGTAGGTTGGTCTCGAAGGCGTGGGAATCGCTTCAGAATCTCTTCATCTGCTCGCTTGACAAGGTCTTGGTCCAGTGGGTCAGTGCTCCAGGGTAGACCGAGTTGAACGTCAATGCCCTCGGGCAAGAATTTTAACGGAGGTGTACTTTTCCATCCAGTTGAGCATATCAAGAAGTCAGATGGCAAAATTTCCTCGGTGGACAAATGCACAGCATTTGCGGAGAGATGGGTGATATCTGCGATGTGAACCTTGATGGTACCATTTCGAACATAATCAAAGAAGTCGGTGGGATAGTTGAGAATACTAAGTGATGAAGCAATCCAGAAAGCATCCACCCAAGGCTTGAGCTTCTTAGTTTCAGGATCCTTATCGTATCCATTCAACTGTATAACATCGTCTGCTAAGATGGCCCAGAAGGCATCCACAACCTTTCGACCGGCCCAAGTCTCGTGATAGAATTTGCGAATACCTTCGTACCCATCCGCGTCTCCCCAAATGCAGGGACTGAACCAAGTGAGAAAACGTGTAGTAACCAGTTTTTCCAGCCACTTTTTCAGAGGGGTAACAAAGGGTGGCGCCATCCATGTCGGTCCATGTCCTGATTCTCGGATGACCCAATCCACTTGCAGACCTGATGTAGCACAGGCATAAGCTGCATCCCAAGCAGACTTGGTTCCTCCAAAAATGGTTGCACGTTTACCGTCCTGAAGTACCTCTTTTTCGTACTTGAGAAAATCTCGGCAGTGGAACAAAGGTGCTTGGAAAGACTCTTGACCTTGGAACTCGGGTAAGAACGCCTGTGAAGTCATACCGGTAGCTACAATGAGCTTGCGAGTCAGAAGTGATCTGGAACCACCTTCCGATTTGGCAATGGTAAGCAACCATGATCCATCTGTCTGGTGCTCTGAGCTCGTTACTTTAGAGTTCAGGCGAATTTTATCTCCAAACCCAAAATGTTCTACATATTTCTCGAAATAAGCTTGGACAACTTCGCCAGGAATATGTTCTCCGGGTTTTACGCCAAACGTAGCTGGATCCATTGGAAAATCGCTGTATTCGTAAGTTCCCAACAAGTTATTGGATTTGAGGCCGTGATAAAGTCGATGTTTTGCCCAAACACCTCCTATAGATGACTCCGCCTCGAGAACAACGACATCTGCCAAGGGGTTAACCTCCAGGTACGTTTTTGCGGCTACCAGCCCGTGCCAGCCTGGAAGCATTTTGTACAAGCATGTTAGATAGCGCAGCAAAGGTTTTCGATGGCAGGGATTACGAAAACTCACCGGTACCAATAACTACCAGATCTACCGTCTCCATTTGAATCTTGATTCTTCGGCGAGATGTATTAAACCGGAGTACAGGACACAAAACACTAGCGCCTATTGCTGCGCATTGGAGTACGGCGCGCCGACGTCACATAACAAGCTATCGTATCACAGAAGGAGACAACATTCGTTGACTTTATGGTTGCAAATGAAAAGCTTGTTTCTGAGACAGTGAATCATGAGAGTTTCAGGTACCGTTGCCGGTTAGTCGAAATGAGCAGTTATCTTAGGTAATGTTTGTTTATTTCAACCTGTAGCAGAAATCGCTGTGATATGGAAAAGAAAATAGGAATTGGTATCACAAGTGTACCATGGCTGTTAAATAGATGGAATGAAGCAATAACTAACAGATCGAGAGAACCCCCTTTGAACAGAGTCAAAAGCAAGCATTTATCATTATCTCTTTTCGTTATGATAGGAACGAAGGATCAACCAGTGGAGCATACTTTTAAAGTAATCCATACGTTGTGCTGTTCGACAACTTTCTTGCCAGATATTTTAGGTATGGCCTTACTTTTGGAGGTTCAAAAAATTCCACTGAAAATTGATGACGTAGGTATCAACTTCTGGGTGGTAAATAGTCAGCTCTTGTTTAATGTGTTGTCTGTCTCTCTCTCAAATTCCAGAAGAATGTCTGCCAAGTTGACCGGTGCTGCTCAAGGAATCTTCTCCAAGCTTGCTGGTATGCTCTATCTATGTTTTTTTCATTCTAATATTGCGAGTATTCTATCATACTAAACGATTTTACGTCCTACTCATTACTCCTGAAATCTTACTCTATGGGTTCTAATTGTATTGGACGTCTACAGCTTTCCAGAAGCCCATTGGTAATGTTTCCTTCTTGAATTATCTGAATTCAAAATGTGATAGATAATTAAGTTAACCTGTGCATTACAGTTTACAACACCAAAGTTGGTGCTGAAGTTGCCAAGCTTGTTTACAAGAAGGAAGGCATGTCTTTCCCTTCTGGTCAACAATTCGCAGAAGCCCGTTCATATGTCGAGAAGAACCTCAACAAGAGCGCTTTGAAGGGTTTGACTCTTCGTGACTTCGCCAAGGCTGGTGTTGTCGCTGCCGAAATTTACACCTTCTTCCTTGTTGGCGAGATTATCGGTCGCAGAAACTTGATCGGCTACAACGTCCCAACAGAACACCACGAACATCACTAAATTCAGTCATGTAGATCATTTCAAAACACCCAATACACATTTTTTTTAGAAAAATTTTCGTCACCGTAACAAGGTTTTGTGCCATTTTGAAAGTGCTGATTAGACGTGGCGGATGGTGTATCATGAATGGGATCTTTGATGCCAATTTGACGTTTGCTTAATTGATTGTACAAAGGAATTGAATCTTCTGAATTTGCAAATGCCCATTACATAAGAAACCGTGCATTCGATCCACAGCAACAATAGTATGGTAAAAATGTTGAGTCATTTGATACAGGTCTTAATGGGGGAAACAGTTCTACATTGGTATCTATTGTACACGATTGTTCATTGCGCGCTAGTTATCCATTGGTATATATTACAGTGATGAACAGCCAGCAAATGAATCTTATGGCTGCGATTCTACAACTTGTGATGTGACATTGTCAGGCTCTTCGTACTCCCACTTTGACGCTATTTCGTCCCATTGAGCCGAAACCTCCGGGTCCTTTTCAGCTTGCTGAAAAGCAGCTGTCACGTTGGGGAGCATAGTGTTTTTCAAAACCTTGAGAGCTATGCTGGGCAAAATGGCCACGGTCGTCACAAGTATGACAAGTAACCAGAAAGTTGGTTCCCCCGCGATGCGAATAAAGTCACCATGCACGTCGTATTGTCGACTGTTTCCAACCGGATACGCATAGCCATAGATAATTTGGTAAATGAAAAATCCAATTAGCTCTATCCAGGCAAACAGGTGAGATATCCATGTTTGATTGTGGTTCTCGACATAGGAGATGACCAAGGTTACGACGATGACGATGATCGTGTAGATTATGCAGCCTAATGTATAGATCTGCGGAGCGCCTTCCAAGAGAAACCCGCCATCAGTCTTGTAATGCATTCCAGATATCAGGGCTATAGGAACGACGACAACAACAATGGCTTGATAAACTGAAGTGGTAACCCAAGTGATGAAGATACGCAAGTCAAATGCTTGATTTAACTGTCCTTGAATGTACAAATGCGGGTTGGCAAGAAGTGTCTTCGCACTCAAATCTTGTTCGAATATGCCCACTGAAATTACGGGCAAGCTAGAGAACAAAGTGTTGTACATGCTTAATGTCCAAGACTCGTAAAGTGACGTTCCTGAGAAGCCAGTCCAAAATTGATATACGCCTTGGGTCAAGTAAAAGGTGACCACCTTTGCAAAAGTACCGAGTACAAAACGTGAGACACGAACATAAGACCAATGGCCGTGCACCAAAAGTAGCTTGCACAAAAATCGGAATTGAGCAAAGCAATAGTCTGATGCTCTAGATGCTTGCATACCCTCCTTTCCAGTGATACCGATGCCAACATGGGCTTCTTGAATCATAGCGATGTCATTGGCACCATCTCCAATGGCAAGAGTTACAGCACGAGGAGCAGATCGTCGAATGGATTTGACGACAAGAGCCTTTTGACTCGGTGATACACGGCAGCAAATGACCGTACTTGAGAGACATCCAAGGTGACAAAATAGTTCTAATAGATCATCTTCTTGTGAAAGAACCTCCAAGGTAGCACCGTCCACTACAAAAGCTGCATGGGAAGCCACATTATTTTGAAGGTCGAGAATGGCTTGCTCCATGTAGCTACGCAGATCCTTTTGGTCACCCAATACAATGAGGTTTGAATTGCTGTGAATTAACCGACAAGAGTATCCAATGTTGATAGCAGTTTCCCTTTTGTCACCTGTCAACATCCAAATCTTCATGCCGGCCGCTCGTAGACATTCAATAGCTTCAGGAACTCCTTCTTGGAGTTTGTCTTCGATTGCTGAAGCGCCAATCAAGCGTAATTTGCATTCAATGAGTTCGGCGGTTTTAGAAATCTTTTTCTGTCTTTCGGAGACTGCGAGACAGGCTTCTTGATAAAGTTCGTTCCATTCATTGTACTGAGCAGGTGATAAAATACGGTAAGCGTAAAGGAGTGTGCGTAACCCGTCTGTAGCGAAGTCTTCTAAATGTTCCATTGTACGAGTAAATTCCCAGCGGGTATCTCTCAAACCATCAAGGCCCTCATTTTGGTGAGGAGATATTGGTGATTGAGGTACAGACTCGATTGCCCATGCATCTTCAGATCGCGCAGGAGTTTCAGCTGGAATATCCATTCTCTCCAATATCACAGAGTCTGCACCTTTGCAAATCAATACAATTTCGTCAGTTGGTAGCTTGATAACGACAGACATTCTCTTGCGGTCGCTAGTGAATTCAATAATGTTGAGGATTTCGACTATCATGGGATCATCTTCACCATTTATCTTGAGAGTAATGGATCGAAGGGTGCGTTCAACAACTGTGAATCCTAGTTCACGAGCAGCAGAAACAAGAGCAGCTTCATCAGGAGATGCAGCCTGATATGTAATAGAGTTTTCATCGTTCATTTCAGGTACAGCAGTGTGGCATACAGCCAATGCAATCATGAAGAATCGGTCTCGCAATGTGTGGGTGTTGAGTGATTGTCGTGGCTTCAAGCCGTGAACTCTTCGAGCTAGTGACAAGGTAGAGAGTTCTCCATCATGCCTAATGATACGAGATAGGCGATTGTTCTCCAGATCTGTTTTGCTTTGTTCACGTTCATGGCCGTTTCTCTTGCGGGTAGGTTGCGGTTGAGGCTGTTCAAGAGAGGACTGAATCTCGGCAGGATCGTGTGTATAAGAGAATCCACCAACACTGCACTTTCGAAATTCCATAACGTTGTCTGTGAGTGTTCCTGTTTTGTCAGAAAATACAAAGGAAATTTGCCCGAGATCTTCGTTAATAGTGCAAGTTTGCGCTTGTGCCGGAGTATCTGTTTCCACATGATACATGTCTCTGTCCCAGCTGATGTATAATGCTTGTAATAGTTTGACAATTTCCATAGTAACATAGAGCGAAATCGGGATCAAAGTGTTGAAAAGAATGATGAATTGAAACACAGTGCCGGTTTCGTCTTGGTGACTTTGATGTAAGTACCACGCTCCAGCAAGATTTCGCTTATTCCATGTAATAGAAAGTGCGCTGAACATAGCCGAAAGTGCAACCAAGAAGACGAACATGGCAATTACAGCCCTGTTGACAGCACGTTGAATTCGTGGAGATTTTGTGTGACTCATGGTGCTGTTAAGTCTTATCTTGGTCTCCTCTCCAGTAAATGCCACGAGACCGTATACATAAGCAGTATTCCTCAGTAGTGTACCTCGCAGCAAGACATTGTTGATAGTCAAAGGGTAGCTGGTTTTGATTTGCGTCTGACGCATTGGAAGCTGGAGATAACCGTCAAATTGATAAAGGTTTGGATCTGGCATCTCGGTGACAACAGTTCCTAGTGACCTCGGTTTAGAACATTCAACAAATGTAACTAGCAATATAGAAAAGGAAACGTTAAAACATACCTTCAAAAGCGGCTAGATCTTCAGGTGTACACAGCAAAGAATTGGTATATGTATTTGCTTGCCGCGATTTGTGATTCGTCTCTCCGTCCAAAGCTGTTGAAATATTAGCAACATTCGAGGGGTATTCGCTAATGCCGATTTATAGAAAAGATCATAAAACTCACCAGCCGTTTCAAGGTAACACATGCCTTGTTCTTCAGGTGAATGCAGTAAAATTAAATCTGCTGGTATCCATTGATTTTTTTCGACCATAACGTAATCGCCTACTTGCAGCTCGCTCCATTTAACAGACTGCCAAACACATACATGGCTACTTTTCGAATTGTCGTTCATTGCATAATCGAGATTTTCTGATCGGATCGGGCGATTCCATATCCGGTTTAACCACGGTTTCGCCCGTTTCGACGATTCTATTGTTTCTGCTTCAGCATGAGAATGGTATACTCGAAGAACTTTTGCAGTCTTTGCGTTTTCTTGTTTGTCTGCAACACTTCTTCTCCAATCATCGTAACCTTCATGAGCCATTGCTATGGACGTGAAAATGGCGAGAGGAAGCAATGTCGTATAACGGCCAGTGGGAGACCATGAGGGGACGAGCTGAATGGCAGCTACGAATAAGAAATAAAAGTTTGCAAGCTTCGAGAACTGAGCAACCAATTGACGTGGAAGAAAGTCCCAGAAAGTATATCGAGCTGTTCGAATAGTGTTGGTAATAAAAGGCTTGCCAGTTTGAGCATTTTTCAGTGGAGAGTTGCGATATCTGACGATAGGGAAAGTGCGAGTTGTATAAGTAGCTTGCTCCTTTCGTCGAGTGAAACTTTTAATAGCTGCCACCCATATTATCATCCAGCGTTTCCATAGTAATTCCAAACTGGTGTCTTTCTTCTTTTTGGGGGGCTCATAGTATGTGCGACTGGACGCTTGCTCAGTCAGTGGTGTAGTGCTAGCGACTGAGCCAAACGAAAAGTTGGTATCAGTTGAAGCTGACGACCAAGCTCTCGCACGACGTACGAGGTCCATGGAATTAATGCTTTCTGAAACAAGAGTGAAAAAAGGGTTTTGAAATACTACAAAACTAAAATTGCTGAAAGTTTTTGTTCAAGCATCTCCGCAAAACGGGAAACCAATCTTTAGTCAGGTCCCGGTTCCAGTTCTTGCACTTTGGGCAAACGTGTTACTTGGCGTTTAAGCTTATGCAAAAAAATGACTGTTGTGAAGCATGACCTTTGTATTAAAGCCCACCAGTCTCACTATCCTAGCAGCAACAACGGTAAAGCTTTGTTGTCAATGATTACGTTTTTTTGTCAAGACGTGCCATAGCTGATAATTGATGTCCGTGCCACACAATGAAATGCTTCTTTAAACAGAGGTAAATTTATGAGCCATGCCACTATCTTTATTCACTTTTGATATATCTGCAATTGCACCTGCCAAGGAATGGAAGTTATGGTCACTGCGCAAGATTTGAGTCCATGGCGTCATTGCAGCTTTGTGAAAAAGGATTGGACCACCACGGAATTGGAGGACCGACACGAAAAATCAAAAAAGCAGTTACTTCTATTATTCATCAATCGTTCTGAGCTTATTCTACCTTTTCGCGATCAACTTCATGACTGGCTCATATCCTCCAAATCTTTCACAGCAAAGTCTACATACTCTACGAGAAGCGGCAATAGACTATGCCCTTGCCAACGGTCTTGTAGTTCGTCCTACTGTGGATAAACAAATCCACTTTGCTAACAATGCTGCTGTCACTCATGCACCCTTCAGTCTTTTTCCAACTCCATTCCCGCGACGAGAATTTGAAAAAGCTCAAAAATTGCAGACCACTTGGAATGAGCTTATACATCACCTCAGTCAAGACGACGCTTTCTTGAATGAAATTATGGATACGTATGTAAACTTTACCGCACTGAAAATCTTAAATATACCTGTCAGGCACGCTGATACCTTTTTTCGTTAGTCTCAAAGAAGTGGATGATTTTATGGAAAGACTCTTTGACATATACAAGAAAGTGAGATCTGAAGGAATTAAGCAGGTAGGTAATCTTCATGGCGTTAATATGTAGACCGCTGCCTCTAGATAGGCTAATGCAGCGGATGGGCGCAAATTGACAGAAAGCTGCTCTTGGAATACATCGCTGTGATTACTTGCTTCATCTTGCTGAAGGAGGGAACAGTGCGGACGCTATCATTCAACAAGTGGAATACAATACCATTGCATCCAGTTTTGGAGGGCTAAGTGCCATTGCTGGCGAACTCCACCGGTAAGCTATATACTTGGAGAATTCAATTGTGACTGTGATACCTAACTTCGGTTGGCAATCGTTTAGATTCCTTTTGCAGGCAACAGACTATGAATGTGAAAAGGGAACTATCAAGCCAGAGAACTTACCGGAAAACACATCTATCTCTGGTATAGCTGGAGGTATTGCCGAAGCTTATAATTTATACAATGTCCCAGGGTAAGCATTAGGCTAAGATCTGAAATGAATCTTGAGTATGTGTTCTGATGGATATATATTAGATCTGTCGTCCTAATGGTCATACAACCCGGAGAGCGTAACGCATTTGATCAGCGAGCTATTGAATATCAATTACTCAAGAAGTGAGTTTTTGTATGAACCACCAAACCTATTTATCCTCAGTACATTTTGAGTACTCATTTCTATTGTTTGATAGACATAACATTCGTCTTATTCGACGTACGTTATCGGATATAGAAGAGCGTGGCCAACTTGATCCAGAGAGATCCGCTTTGATCATGTAGGTGTCGGTAGACGCAGCCGTCTGCCTAAACCATGAAACAGACTCTCTATCAGCTATTAACACTGCAAAATAGGGATGGACTCGAAGTAGCTGTTACCTACTTCCGTGCAGGTTACTCCCCCGACGACCATCCAACCGAAAAGCAGTGGGCTGCGCGACTCTTGATAGAGCGATCATTCTCCATCAAGTGCCCTAATATTGCGTATCAGCTCGTCGGAGCTAAAAAGGTGCAACAGGTTTTAGCCATTCCCGGACGTATAGAAAAGTATTTGGACGAGAGCGTAGCTAACGAGCTCCGTGAATCATTTGCTGGTTTGTATCCCTTGGATCATACTGAAGTGGGTCAACAAGCTTATCAGATGGCACTTGCCAATCCCGGAAAATACGTTATGAAACCACAGCGTGAAGGTGGTGGCAATAACTTGTATGGCGACGATATCATCATTGAACTAAAGCGACTCGAAGGAAAGAGACTGGATGCATACATTCTCATGGATCTCATCCGATCACCTCCGCTGAAAAATATTATGGTTCGCGAAGGTTTACTTATCCAAGGCGATGTCATTAGTGAGCTCGGAATATACGGAGCCTATTTACAGTATGTATACTTTCATCAATCTGACGGATATGTCACTGTTCCGTTTACTGACCACCCTCTTTTGTTTCAAAACAGCGATGGTGAAAAACAGATATTGAACGAACGTGCGGGTCATTTACTTCGCACTAAAGGTCATGGTACGAACGAAGGCGGAGTAGCAGCAGGGTTTGCCGTAATAGATAGTCCGCTCTTGCTCTAAGCTTGGCATTTTTTTTTACCATGAATTGGGCTGTGAGTGTCGGAGATGCAAATGCGACAAGGCAGGTCGCTTGTGACGTATCGCCTTTCTGCGATATTCGCGTGCGGCTCCACCTCGAAATAAAGGATCATCACTTTTTCTTTTAACCCCATACAATGGTAATGTGACGATGACGTACTTGACGTCAAGCATTTCAATTGTTCTATAATTCCATATGTCTAACCCATTATCTGGAACATCATAGGCTGATCAACTTACAGAGGAGCAGATTGCTGAGGTAAGTTGGCTCGACGCCCCTTTGGCCTACATGGGTCCTCGGATTTCCCAAGGTCTTGGTAATGGATAGAACACTGACTTACCGTACGTATTTACTATAGTTCAGAGAGGCTTTTTCTCTTTTCGACAAGGACGGTGATGGCAGCATCACCACCAAGGAACTTGGTACCGTTATGCGCTCCCTTAACCTCAACCCTACCGAGGCCGAGCTTCAAGATATGGTATGTTTGATTTGCCACATGTTTGCTGCTTTCTTTTCGATTTTCCTACAGTTTAATGAACTGATGTTTACTAACTATCAAACTTGAATAGATCAACGAAGTTGACAGCGATGGCAACGGAAACATTGACTTCAGCGAGTTTTTGACCATGCTTGCCAGGTACGTACCACAAATTAGCTGAGAAAATTTTTGGCTTGAACCATACATGTTTACGATCCTACGCATAAGAACTCCCTAACCAAATCTATTTTTTATCAGAAAAATGAAGGACACCGACTCTCAAGAAGAGATCCAAGAAGCCTTCAAGGTCTTTGACAAGGACGGTAACGGCTTCATCTCCTCCGCAGAACTGCGCCACGTCATGACTTCTCTTGGTAAGTTACAAAAATGCGTATATAATTTCGTGCATCCATAACATTGCTTTATTCGTATTAACCTTCACTCTTTTCTTTAACAGGCGAAAAGTTGACTGATGAAGAAGTCGATGAGATGATCCGTGAAGCTGATGTCGATGGTGATGGCCAAATCAACTACGAAGAGTTTGTCAAGATGATGGTAAGTTCCATGCACCCAGAGTATTTTCACAGACTTCAACAAGTGTTAACCCATACTATTTACATAGATGTCCAAATAAGTGCGTTGACTTTTAAGTATATAAATATATATATCTATATTCAAAAGACATGAGATGTATTATTGCCGTGGCTAGTTGTCTTATGAAGCTGCTGTTGTTTTTGTCATAAAAGAACATGTTAGCCCGAAACGACCAAAATGAAAAGAAAATGTTGGTTGGAGGCGGGGCCAAAACATCTGATTGTATAAGAACCAAGTTGAACGTTGAATTTATTGACTACCTTAAAATTATATACCACCGAGATCAACCTCGTCGTATCGAGCACCTTCATAGTTGCTATCATGCGCAACCTTGGCACGAGCGACTTCTGCGCGGTTTTGAAGATGCAACAAGGTAGACTTGAAGTGTCGGCTGACATATTCGGAAACAGGACCTTCAATCTCGAACAGGGATGAAGAACTGGAAGACCTGGGGTGTTGATCGGGATTGTCCATATTGGCCAGGTTGGTATTGATGAGGTCAATCAAGCCGTTGAGGTACTTGACAGTGACAGCTTCATTGCGTTGTTCGAAGTAGTAGATATATCGGTTAAGGATTTCAACAAAGAGTTCAACGTTGGTGACAGCGTCCAGTGTACTATCAGCAATCTTGAGGGCTTTTTGGAGACATTCCAGAACACGTTGACCATCGCGGAAGAGTTCTTTTTCTTCACCTTCAGTCTCGTTGAATCGTTCGGTTGCCCACCACAAATGTGACGACATGTAAACAGCACGACATTGATCGGCCTTCTTCAACAATTTCGATCCGTGCAATGCAGCTTTGGTAATCAGAGTATCATAGTTGTCATACGAGAATACGCGAGTTGTCTGTAGTGTACCAACAATAAGGGTAATTGCTTGATACTGTGCTCTAGAATCGCAAATAGAATCCTCGTATATCGTGAAAGCTTGAACGAAAAATTCATAAGCAACATCCTCAAATCCACATTCGTCGGCACTTTGTCCGGCCAAGAGATACATTCGAAGGCAAGTATCGGAAGATTCAGTCTTGCTTTCCAATAATGCAATAACTTGATGAATGAAGCGGAATAATGCTGCGATCTTCTTTTCCCAATTTTCATCCTAAATATGGGAGATTAGTACCTGGGTTACATATCTGCTTTTGAAGCAAACGAACTAAGCATACCTGATTTTCCTGAAGCTTGTATCGTCGAGCAAGTTTTATAGCGGAGACAGTCAAAGGAGGGAAGGTATATCTGACACGCTCTCCGCCTTCAGACAATTGCTTTCTGGCAGCAGACAGTAGCTGGATGAAATAGAATCAAGGATTAACATATAGATACATTTGATGGCTATACGAGTAATAAAACATGACTTACCAAGAACTGCTTGTCTTCGTCGTCGGAACGTAACAAATGAATAATTCTTGCTAGCCAGCCTTGCTCCTCAGCAAGTTCCTCTTGCTCTGGACTAGCGAACTCGGCCTTTCTGTTACGAGCGTTTCCGTAAGCAGCTGGAGACTGAGCTGTTGTGATAACAGGGGCGTCCTTCTGGTCACGAATCAAAACATCGCACATTTCCAATACACCATTGACCTCCTCCGGCTCACTAATGATGGTCTCATTTCGGAGAACGCTGGATATAATGGCTTGAGCAACAGACTTACGAGTACTATATGTCTGAAGTGCAAGAAGTGGTTGGTAGCTATCGAGTAGCAACAAAGTCAAAACTGTTGGGTAGTTTGTAATGGGTGCCAATAGGAGGGCCAACAAATTTGATTCGGTTATCTTGGAGTGAAGATCAGGAGTGTCAGAGAATTCTATGACCTTGTCCTTGGCATATGTGAGGACTTGGTTGACATAATTAATCTTCTCTGGGTAACATGAGAGCGAGAGATTAGTTAAAGACACAAGCAAAGCGGTGAGATCTTGGACGGTGAGATCGGGGCGTTGCTAAACATATTAAGAAGGTACTTTGTTAGTCTTCACCAAATTTACATGGTTGTCATCTACTGCACAACAATTTACCTTAACCAGCTCAACAATTTGAGTCCAAAAGACAACAAAAAGTTCCACATCTTGAGGGATACCACGATACTTCTTCACTGAGCCATCTTCATTTTCTTCAACATCGGCATCAGCTGTCTTTTCGTGTCCATTTTCTGCCGGAGCTTCATCTTCTTGCTCTCCGTCGTCTTCTTTCTCCTCTTCAGTGGCGGGTTCAGCTTCTTCTTCTCCTTCGTCACTGTTAGCTTTAGCTTGAGTTTGGTTCTTTCTCTTTTCTTTCTCTTCAGCTGTGATAGCGAGCAATTTGGCTTTTGTTTGATCTTCTGTTTCAGATTCTGCCTCACGAGCAGCAAATGCAGCCAAGCGATCAATTAATGCGATAATGATAGATTTCACATTGAGCTTGGGGTGCAATTGAGCGGTCGCGGTCAGGAAAGGCTCCAGACTTCTCAAGTGATATTCGTCTGGGAAGACCTGTGGGAAGTGGCAGATAGGTTGGCGAATGTCATTAAGCCATACTGGCCAAAAGCAATGGCAATTACCTGAATAATAACTTCCATCAAGTACTCTTGAGCGATAACATCACGGCAGCTAACTACCTGGTCGAGAACTCCGGGCATGATGGTCTAAATTCACACAGACATTAAAATAAAGGCAAAATTGACAGCAGGTGCAAAAGGATGTGAAAACGTACGGTTTTGTAAATTTCCAGATCTACTCCTTCCAGTTGGCTGAGTCTAACCAAGTTTGTTCCAACCAAAATCTTTAGTTCTCTTCTCTCGGCTTCACGCTTTTCGCGGTCGCGAGAATGACCTTGATGCTGCAAGCGAACCCAAAGCTTGTTCATCTCGGTAAAGTTGATGAGTATGAACTTAATAGATTCGCTCAAATTACCCTCGGGACTGTATTGAGATTAGACTAAAACAACGCTTTGACATGCAATCTTTCGAAATTTGATACCTACCCTTCACCATCGCCAACAGGAAGATAATCACGCGTCATACCGCTAAGATAGTGTCTCAAGAAGAGACCCCTTGTAGGATGCTGCACACCTCGAGACATTTCCATCATATCTCGCATAATTTCACGAACAGGTGCTTCCTTGATACTCATATAAGCAGCACCAACAGTGATCATGAGGTATAATCGAGGTACAATGTTCCCAGCATATTGAACAAGCTCATAGAGGTCAGCAAGATGATGGCGTCCAGCAGTGTGAGCCTCAATAAGATAAATTGTCAAATGGCGAAGAGCATCAAAGATAGCCATATCTTATCGTTTCAATGCAGGGAGTTAGAGCACATAAATACTACAAGTCTCAAAGAGTATAGCATAATATCCTTTACTTACAAAGCTCATAGTAGTTTTTCGGTGTCAAAGCTGAGGTGCGCAACTCAGCAAGCATAGTTGAACAGTGTTTCAAGCCATCCATCAGCTTGTTATTATCCTATCAGTGAAGCAGGTATTATTAGTATACATAAAGTATCTCAGCATATTTACACCAACAGTGGTCAAGTTGAGTAATTGTAGCTTCATCAGCCAGCTGATGGCTGCCAAGACGAAGATTGACCCAAGCATACAAGCTACATATAGCCATACGTCAAGCATGTCCCACTTTAATGAGTGCAGTGTGGTACTTACCAAGCATTTCTTCATGTGGTGAGCTTGCACTTTCACGACATTGAGCGCCTCCTCCAATAACTTGGCTTGGTCCTCGGCAGGTGCAGGACCATTCAATACAGGATTCATATTGGTAGTATATTACGATTTCACCGAGTACTGGATAAGGACAGTTGCTAGTGAAAGAATTGCGATGCTAAGGTGCTGCCGAGAGTTTCAGAGGAGTTGGTTGCGTCAAACTTGGGTCTCCGCCTCGCAGCGTTGTGCCCGCTCAAAAAAGCGTAGAGCACGTGATTGCTATTGCCCTAGAGGCGATACGTTTTTGAGGTGAAAACGGATCTTTTCGCACACTGTTTATTTTGTAATAAAGACGATTATAGCATATAAAATGTTTTTAATTCATAACAAGGACAACTTTTCCTTTGGCACGATGGCTTGCTATTAGTTCGTGGGCTTTAGCACCATCTTTGAGCGGAAATACTTGATCTTCAGGGACATAGGATTTGATTTTGCCTTCCTCGAAAAGAGTTGTAATTTCAGGCATATCCTCATATGGTAGAGAGTAGATAAATTGGTATTTTCTTGATCCAAACATCTTATGTCCTGCGATGCTAGAGAGTGTCTTTGCTATGTCCATAAAGCCAACTCTTTGAGACCCACTGTGCTCGATTGGCCCTACGGCTGACGAGTAGACCCCAGACGGCTTTAGGGTTGCTGAAAGTAGATTCCAGTAATCCTCTCCACCTACAGCATCAAATATGATGTCAACAGCGTCTTTCTCTTGTAGAGAAAACTCCCGAATACTGTTTTCAATTGTGTAATCCAGAACTTGATCAGCGCCAAGCTTTTTTGCCAATTCAGCGTTTTTACCACTGCAAATTGCAATAACATAAGCTCCAAAAGCCTTTGCAATCTGTACACCATAGCTACCAACACCTCCGGATGCACCGATGACGACGACTTTGGGCGACGATAATGTTTTGACTTTTCCATGATGAACAATTCCTCTCCATGCTGTAAATACCGCAATGCCTGCTGCACCGGCATCAATTGCGGAGACGTTTGCTGGTTTCACGGCAATGCCTGCTTTGGTTGCTGGTACTCGAGCATATCTAGATAAAAGTCATCAATCATAGCAGTGTGTAAGTCCTACAAGATGTGTACAGTAGCCAACCAACTTAAAAACGTGTGCTTACTCCGCATAAGTTCCACTTCCGTTCTCGCCAGAAGGGTCGGGCAAAGTGCCGAAAACTTCATCGCCAATGTTGAAGTTTTTTACTTCGTCTCCTTTGCTAACAATTGTTCCACAAAAATCACGGCCAAGAACGTACGGGAAGGTCAACCTCATAAGTAGGGCCATATTTCCTTGACGAGCTTTGTCTTCTACAGGGTTAACTCCTGCAGCGTGAACTCGAATAATGATATCGGTGGGATATAAGAGTCGTGGAGCTTTTGCTTCTACATACTGCAGTACGTCGTAGCCTCCGTATCCAGACATTTGCAAAACGCGCATGGTTGCTGGTAAATCGGGCTGGGGAATGGAAGCCATTTCGAAATTCTTATACGACTGAACCAGTGAATCCATTTTTTTGTTGGGTCACAGACCCTTTTAAAAAGTAGACGATTTGGAGGCGTCATTTGTCGTCACTCTCATTACGTGTCCACATTTCCCGAACGTTTGACTAAGTCTTCCTGAACACAAATGAACGAGGAGTCCGCACTCTTATTGCCTAGGAATGGCGTGCCAGCCGAACGAGCTGTCCATGATCTCGTTAAGGAGGTAAAGGCAATAGTGAATTCCAAATTTCAGACCAGCATGCCTCAATCACTACTTGGGCTCCCGGATATCAACGTAACTGTAGTAGAGCCCATTATCAAACTTTGGAGAAGTCGAAGAGAGCCTGCTGCCGTTTTTGCGTGGCTAAGCGCGAGATGCGATTATTTGAAAGGTATAATGCGGTTGTCAACGAATTTTGCAAGGTCTTAATTCTCATGTAAACACTCTGGTTACAGAGTCGTATAAGGATTTGGGCAACACTAAACTTTTGCAAACGAGAGCAGATGTGTGCGAAGTAGTGGCGATAAGGTTAGCTTGTCGTGATTTGTTGGTTTACTCGGGATATACCAAACTAAAGCACGATTCTTTCTTAACAGACTGCTCAAGTCGTACACTCCCGATATGTTGATCTACGTCCTTACAAATGATTTTGCACCGAATCAATCGTCGAAAAGCGCGAGCAACCTTCTCAAAATTTATGAGCGAAAAGAACAGATGGAAATAGCATCTATGAATGCATTGGAGGTCGCCATAGAAGGATCTGCAAAGAACTTTGTTTCCAGCCCACTTGTACAAAGATTACTTGGTAAGGAAATAAACATAGACGATGTAGGATGTTATGCGAAGAAGCTTATATACGTTATTTTCAACAATAGACGACATTTGGAGGGGCAATATCGTTTTTTTCGCCTCGGCCATTGGTAAGCTAGCAATAGGAAATTATGACTTGTCTTTGACTTGACCGTTGCAAACTCTAAATCGTCCCTCCATCCAGATCATCCTTCGTCGAGAATCAAGTGGGCGTACACCCTCCCAACGCAGACTGTGGACAGAGCAAAAGTACCCATTCCTATCAAGGTGGCCACTGTTAACCATGCTGATCCTCACATACTGCGACTGTCAAGATTGAGAGTGCCAAGGTACAAGGCCTTTTTTGAAACTCTGATATATTGCGTCTTCGTATTTTGTTATTCGATGATGCTATACAACGATATTTGCGGGAGCCCTAATGGATGGGAGATTCTTTTTGATTTCTTTGTTATTGGGTACACAGTAAGTGATGATATAAATATTCATTACTATCCGGAGCGACTATACTAACAAATTGTAGATTAATGAAGTGACGCAATTCGCAAATGCACCTTCCTACTATTTTCAAAATTTATGGAACGTGTTTGATGTTGGTATCTTTGCCATATCATTTGCATTCATGGGGCTTCGGCTCCAGGATTTAATACAAGGGAAGGACACTTGCAGCGATGCATACGATGTCCTTGCGATCAATGCTATGCTTTTATGGCCACGACTATTGTCCTCACTAGATAGTCTCCCCTTCTTTGGTACATTCTTGGTCATCATTCGTAGAATGCTCATAGATTCTACAATGTAAGGCGCTTTCAATGATCATATGTAACACGCATTGCGATGATTAATGGTGTTTACATTTATAGATTTTTTGCCTTGCTAGCTGTCTTTTTCCTTGGTTTCCTCCAGGTTCGTTCTTTGACCGTTCTAACTGGCGTTATTACACATTCTGATTAACAAAGCATACTTGCCCATGTAGACATTCTATGCTTTAGGTCGGGCAACATATACTTGGGCACAAATTGGGGATTTAATGCTGAAGATTATGCTGGGATCACAATTTCAAGGATTTGAAGCTGCACCCAATTTTGGTCCTTTCGGGCCGCCTGTAATGGTAAGCCGTGGTTGAAACATGCGTGTTACGGTGTCTGCCACTTTGTGTGAAGTTGACCCTGTATTACTATCCCGACTTAGATTCTGTACGTCGCCATTTCATCGCTTATCCTTGTCACCATATTGATCGCAATTTTCAACGAGGTAAAGTCCGTTGGACTTCTTCATCAACCGAAATTGACGATATTTCTTACATTTTTATTCGTACACAGAGCTTTTCAAGCATTATATCCAACGCACATGAAGAATTCCTCTTTCTAATGTGTATCAAAACTGTGGAACAAATTCAAAGTGACGAATTATTCGAGTACATACCACCATTCAATTTAATTCAGCTTGTGCTATTGTATCCTCTACAGAAGGTCCTTCCCGACAAGATCTTCCTTAAAGTCAACAGAGCAGTCATGTGTATTCTCTTCCTTCCATTTCTGCTGATAATCTACTTGTGGGAAGTCTTTTCGGCACACTGGAATAAGGAAGAAGCCCAACAACTTCTTGTGCAACGCGCTGGATCAATTAAGCCAACTAAACGAAGGATAGCATTCCGAACTAGAACGCGAAGTACCACCGCTGCTCCCCGAATATCCGCAGTTTCTGCCGTTCCTCCCAACGACATTATTCCAGAGGACACAGTTGCGATCGATTTGAATCAAGAAGCCGGTGCTGGCTATGGCTCAACCAACTTTCTAGGAAAACAGAGAGCAGAAGGATCGTCTGCCACATTATGCGAGAGCCCGACCCAAACAATGGAAACTGAGCAGTTTAGCTCACCTAGCGCCAGGGACAGCCAGCTTGCAGACATTAAGGAGAGATGCCGATTGTTAGAGGAGCAAGTGCAACTCTTGGTGGCTGCTATACGCGAAATGAACTAGGAACTTGTATCGCGAACATTTTCTTTGACTAATAGCTATGCTATAATGATTTAAGATGCAAGGGATGAAGTTATGTAATATATATTTTTTTACAATCAATTATGAGAACAAAATCTGCTGAATCGTATGGAGTATTTTGATCGTTGTACAAAATGAAAAAATTTTGCACATACCAATTAATCGTCAACTATGAAATTGTCATCGCGCTGTCACGACAGACGAAGTGGCACGTCTCTCTGCGTCCTCTTTGACTCTCACACACTATTTGATGATCACGGCGATCTAACGCGCACCCTACGCACGAACATGTTGATCCGATACATGCTTCTAAAGTATGCTGTCTCCAAGGAGTAAATTTAAGTCGTACATTGGACCTTTCACTTGTGCTGGAATTTGAAGAAGTTTTTCCCAACATTATAAAGCCATAGTTTGACCAATGTCCTCGATGTATTAGGAGACCATTGTGTATAAGTGTTGTCAACTCAACAAAACAGATGGTACTTATTTGTTTATAAATTCCCAGCCGAAATTCTATTCGCCATTCTCAGTCTGGATCTGCTTTCTTACCGTGTTATCTAACGTCATTTTTGAGCTTCCAATCAAAAGTAATTGCAGAAAACATACATGCAAAACACATGGTGTCACCAACCCGACTCATCGCCAGCTAATCGGTATTATTCCGCCAGTATGCTATTCCGAAAAAGACGATATCAACAATACTGTAATAGCGAAGAGCAACGGGTTATGACAATGCGAAGTATTTTGAAAGGATCTTTCTGATGCACGGAGTCAAAGTAGGTAAGAAGTGCGTAAAGTAGATTTTCGGTCAAAAATCTTTGCATGAGCTTTGAAAAGTTCCAATTTGACAGCTCGCATAAAGCTCGCATAAGTTACTATGTGCCTGGCCGCTGTCCAAAAACATTATCTGCCCGATCATTAAACGCGAAGATATCAATACTATGGAGTAATCTGTACCACTGCTATATATCTCAAGTACCAATCAACACTTCATTCTTTCCTGGACATCAGCTTGCAAACAACGAGGTTGTACCACTTCGGACATGGTTATGGTAGGGCCCCATGTGGCGGCAGATCATCCGCTATAGGCCTCTCTATTTTTTTTTTCTTTTTTCTCTTTAGACACATTGACAATTGTCCCATGCTGCAGGAACAGACATCGGATTCTGACGAGGTTGCTAGAAATTTGACCTCGGCCTGGACTCACACAATGGCGAGACTGCATGATTCACAGCCTCCATCGTTAACAAGTTGGGAACAGTCGAAATCTGGGTACAACACGTCAAAGCTTTTTTTCTCAAATACTTGGTGAAGCGATTATTGACCAACATATATTCTTACAGATATGACTCATGCAGCCACGTTCAGGATGATATGAATGGTACAATGTCATTGCCGCAAGAAACAGCTATACCCGCACCACGCCGTCACAGGCTGAATTCCTATAAAAATCCAAAAGATGGTGATGGTCGACAAGAATTTGCAACTTTAGCGGTCGTTTTTGGACGTGAGGAGTATACTGAACCAAAGCCATTATGGGAACGGCAAGAAGATTCCGGCCATGTTGAAATCAAAGATAGGACTGTGGTTCGTACCTCGTACGTTCACAGCTCACCGTCTGAAGTCCAATCCATCTCCCAGATAGTGAATTCTTCCTTCCCTGATGTATCAGATGAATTGACCCAGCGCTCAACTTTCAGTCCAACTGTTAGTGACCCTGTCTCTCCAATGTTTTCATTGCCAGCCATTCCACAAATTGCCAGCTTCCCTGAATACAAAGCTGACGACTCTAGTCTGCCATACCCGGAAACCGATGATTCTGTCTGTAGCCTATCTCCGACCACTTCAGATCAGTTTCGCAGGTCTTTATCACCCAAACGCATTAGCTATCATTCCAACAGGAGTTCTACTTATGAAGAATATGATATTGCGCCTCCATTACTTTTTCTGGATTATCCACCAGCAATCTTTGATGCACTTGTTTCAGATGTAGATGAGAGAATCATTGTTTGGGGTACGGACCCAAACAAACCTGGGCCCAAAAATACAACCACGCCGGCTAGCTCATCAACGCCATCAGTTACGAAAGGCTTCTCAGCAAATGCAACATCCCCTAGCGTCCAGCCACCTCCCCCTACTCTTCGAAGAAAGATTAGCCAAACTTTTGTTAACTCAGCTTTACGAATATCACTACGAAAAAAAGCACAGCAGCCTCAAAGCCTGCTGATGCAGATAGCCAATCAACGGGAGAGACCTAACAGCCTGTTGGATGAACGGGCTAGTTCATACTCCAACGAAACTTCCATTTCTAACGAACAACTTGCAAGTATAAAGCGTGAGTCCACCACGGATTCGAAGGTTATAGAGGCGGCTACCGTCGAGAAGCTTGTTGAAAAATTGACGGTCGTATTAGACTATGGATTTTTGACCGATTTCTTCTTAACTTATCGTACATTCATCTCACCGCTTCAACTTTGCAAATTGCTTATTTTACGATTTCGGTGGTCCTTCATCAACGACGATGAACCCCGACGCGTAGTACGTATTAGGTAATTGATGATCGTTTGACTTGAGCTATGACAATGAAAGAGATAACTAACATGGTGTGCGCTCAAAAGAACTTTTGTAGTGATTCGACATTGGCTCCTCAACTACTTTGTACATGACTTCATACCTTCACGACAATTACGTCTGACGTTGACGTCTTATATCAACCAGCTGGCATTCCACCCACTTGTACGTCAATCTGTACGCGATCAACGGATCGTCAAAGGGCTCAAACGTGTCATAAGGCGTCTCAAGATAGTATATTATCGAAAAGCTGAATCTGGTAACGTTCGAATCATCTCTCCACCTCCTCTAACGCCAAAGGAAGAGCAAATCGAAAAACTAGTTCGAGGCAAGCTCATGCAGAACCCTGTTCGGCGAACAGCGACGACCTCCCTTAGTAAATTCAAATGGTCTGGAGCTAAAATGAACGGTAACACCGCCATATCGGATGCCAACTTGGCGTCAGTGGTCGTAATTGGCAATATTGACCGCAAAGGTGCATCTTCTGCAAATGTCCAATCAGATCTGGGTAAAAAAATCTTTGGCAAATCAAGTATGCGAGCCATCTCTTTGACCGATGTCAGAAGCAGCGTCTTGGGTGCGCCAATTCGTAGATCCATAGCTGGTCATTCGTCCGAAGAAAACATGAAGTTTGTATCGATTAAAACGTTACAGATGCAGAGAAGAGCAGAAATTGAAAGACAGCGAAGCGAAGTTGAGCGAGAATACGAACGACAGCGGCAAATGGAGGGTAGACCACTCAGCATTGCTTCCGATGATTCCTTGGAGAGCGAACTCACCGCCGGAACAACAGATGATGAACTAGATCACGCCTCTGAAGATGATGGTAGTGTTATCGGCAAGGAAAAGAACTTCGAAGAAGAACTCCGCTCCCATGAACTTGAGATCCAACGTCGCAGACTCGAAGAAGAAGAAGAGATGAAACGGGTCAAATTTTACGCTCATGGTGATATTACGTCTACGCAAAAAAGCGACAATGTTATCCCGCAATCGCTAAATATATTCAAAAACCCACATTCGCACACAGTATCTGTCGAGCGAGCCAGAGATGCCCCGTCACCTAACCGTAAATCGTCAGCTGCAAGCGCTGATGCCGTTATGGTCAGCGGTAGAAAGCATTCAAAGAGACCAGGGCTACCTGCCGATTTTTGGGCCGCCGGTGCTCAAGCAACCACTGGACTGTCTCAACCTAGTTCCACCACAGCTCCTGCTCCAACAACTGACAGTCTAGACAGTCCTAGCCAAGACAGTATACAAGGCAGCCTGAAATCATCGATGAGAGGAAAAAATGAACAGAATACTAGAGCCAGTTTCGTACAAGGCAAACACTTTCCATCAGGGTTTGCAAAAGAATTATCACAAAAAAGCATAGAACGACGCCGAAGTGAACGTGATCTCAGGCAGTTGTATCTGAAGAGTAATCAAGACACCAATGCTCATGAGAATGGTTTCATTATGGAACCCGTACCACCCGTTCCCAATATTGACAATATGTACGCTCCTTCTATATACTCAAGCGTCAGGAAGTTGCACATTTCTTCTGAATCAAGTGAACATGCCGAAGGGATGGAGAAGACGTTAAGGAGGACACCAAGTGGCCGATTTGTAAATATGATTGCAGAGGAATTGAGACGAGAAAATCCTGACAACTGTGAATGTGTAGCTTGTCAAGGTATAGCTGACGATACAAGTGATTGTAGGCGCCTTAGCGTTCTTCTTTCTAGCGACCCAGAACGCCGGGAGAGCATAGAATTGCGACATCGTAGAGGTGCCAGTGTTGATCGACTTTCAGATGTGACTAAAACTAGCACAACAGGTTATGAAGTCATCAATTTTCAAGAGGGCAACCAGGTTGTTCAGAATGGTGTCAGCGAAAACGATCATCACCGCCGACTTTCGGCTATGAAAGCTGCCTCAACTGGATTATCCTCCGAAGAAGCCGACACTATTGCATCTCTTCCGTATGTTGAACGTAACAGCGTTCCTGTGCTTCAAGATATTGACCTGTTGCGACAAGTAAACAAAAAAAAGAGTGAAGGAAATGGCACGGGTGATGTGGGATATAGTCAGGTTGGCCATACTTCCCTTCGAGGATTAGAGCGTATGCCCAGTGTTGTTTCAGCTTTACGCACAGTACAGCTCAAAGAACATCCATCAGACATTAACAGCGAGGTGGCCGAGCTGGCTGTGGCTACATCTTCTGCTGGATTTCAAGATGCTATTTCGGAACCTTCCTCCACTCAATCGCCCTTTGCACAAGATGAATCCCATCAATTTAATTTGGAAGTGATTGAGAACGAAGATAGAGCTGAAGTCAAGAATGCGTATAGTACAACCCTACCATCGCCACTTTTGCCCATGCAGACCCAGCCAATTCCTGGTTATGTCCCCAAGACAAAGATAGAAGCCAGATCATATTTCCGGCGTTCCTTCATTTTGTACGAAAGATCTGAATCAATTGCACAACAGCTCTGCTTGGTGGAACGAGACGTCTTGCTGGCTGTTCAATGGGAGGAACTAGTACATTGTCGGTGGACGAAGATGAACACCAACGTGGATGGACGACAAGATGGTAAAAATGAAGACCCACATTTCACCGATAAATCCCAGAAATCTCCAAGGTTTGATAGTAGCTTGCATCATGGAGTTCAGGACGCTATCCAAAGGTTCAATGTGGTTTGTCAGTGGGTTGCTAGTGAAATTGTTCGAGCTCCAAATCTAGAAGTGCGAGTGAGAACCATCGAGAAGTTTATCCGTATTGCAGAGGTACGAGCCCCCTGAACATGAGGATAAAGATTATGCTTCAATCACGAACACTAACATATCAACCCCTTCTAGAAATGCCGCATGTATTCAAACTTTGCTACACTTATTCAAGTCCTACTTGGGCTGCAGGCTCCAGCCGTTAGTCGCCTACACAAGACTTGGTCTAAAGTTAGGAATTCCGAGCTTAAGATTCTTGACGAACTTTCATCCTTCACCTCACCTACCAAGAATTGGAAGCATATGAGAGATAGCATGACAACCGTAGCAGAGGAATATGGAATGTCGTCAACAGATATCCAGATTGAAATGCCTGGAACTTCAACGACACGAGGGTTTCCTTTAAGCTCAAGGGGCCGCGTAAAGATTCCATTTGGAGGTTGCATCCCATTCTTAGGTATGTTTTCAAATCTGCATAGCACATAGCCTGCAAAACGATTGACACTTTTCTCGCTGTCTAGGAATATATTTGTCGGATTTAGTGTTCAATTCGGAACAGCCTGCATACATTGAAAGTCCCTGGGAAAAAGCAGACACCAATCGCATTTATCGACTATTAACACGAAGTAGCAACCAAAAAGATATATCCCCTCTCTTGAAGCAGCCACTAGTCAATTTTAGCAAGCATCGCGTTACGGCCATGATCATCAAACGTGTTTTGACCTTCCAAAACTTGGCACGTCGATACCCATTCGAACTCAATGTTGACCTGTTTTCTCGCTGTAATGAGCTTGAGTGCCTCACTCCGGACGTTATCAAGGGCCTCAGCCATGTGACTGAACGTCATAACGCTTAGATCTAGAGTCGACATCGTACAAAGCTTCAAATACCCTCCATGGAAAAGACTTTTGATTAACATATTCTTTCCACCATATCACATTTTGACATTAGTTTCCATTACATTACTTTTTGTCTACTATATATATATTTTGAATAATAACTTTTTCGCTTTTCTTAATCTATCGCATTGACAGTATTTCTATTTTTCTAAGGTGGTAGCGCAGCGACCACACAAGCCATCCTCGCTGGTGGAAAAGTAGTTCCGGCATCTTGGGCATTTGTGGAGATCGGATCGTCTGCTGTTGATAACGACGTTGTCCTTGTCCAATATAGCACATTCTCGCTCATAGCCTCCGCTTGGCATGGATTCCTTGCTCGTGTGAACATTGACGCCAGAAATGATGAATACAGATGCTAATTCCGAAGCTTTTTTGCGAATAAAAGAAAAGAGATTTCCGCAAGGCGTTAATAACCGTTGATTCCCAATCTATGATTTGTGCTCATATACATGCAGATAATACATACCATGTTTCTGTATAACTTGACTTATAACGGATGATGAATCCGGCAAGAAGATGTCAACGGTAGCCTCTTGTGATGATCGAATGTTTCTAAGGAGCCGTCAGTGGTTAGGACATGATTTTTCTTTCAAAATAAATTTTAGTATTTATGACCCATTAAAAAAATGGTAACTTACTTGTCTTGGCGTGCAATCTCTAGCACGCGGTTGACTTCGACTTTCAGTGAACGCAGAATGTCCCACTCTTCCTTTACAGCAAGGTTATCCCATTGAGAATTCTACAGAAGCAAAACGGTCAGTATTAAGAATGGATCTTGATGGATGCCAGCAGAAAATGAAAGCTTACCGCAGTTGGCCACCTGACTTTGAATACAGATGATTGCGGCTGCTCGGTCTGCTCTTTGTATTGCTCATAAATCTCCTCAGCAGTGTGAACAGTCACTGGGGCGAGGGTCAAGGTATATGTGTTGAGAACCTTGAAGAAAGTACAATTTTAGAATACAATGATCTGACAACCTCTAAATTAATTGATCAAAATACTTACTGCGGCCAGAACAGTTTGAGCAGTTCTTCGTGAATGTGAGTTTTGTGGGTCGTTATAGAGACGATCCTTGATGACGTCGAAATAGAAGGATGAAAGTGTATTTGCGGTAAAATGTTGAAGGGTTTGCATTGCACCATTGAAGTCAAATGCTTCGTAGGATTGCGTCATGGAAGTAGTGAACTGTGCGAGTTCATGAAGCATATATTGGTCAACCTAGTGGAGATTGGGCGATAAGAAACGCTTCTTCCCTAGGCATAGTATATGAAAACCTGAAATAACAACTTACCGGTTGTAACTGGTCATATGGAACGGTATCCTTCAGGCTGAAATCGGATATGCTACCGAGCATAAAGCGGGAGGTAGTACGAACTTTTCGAATCATATCTGACACTTGCGCTACATATCATGAGGAATATAGAGTTCAGTAAAAAGCACGACGATCCAGAGGGCTACAAGTTGTCAATACATACCAATCACTGTTGGACCGACGCTAACATCCTTTGTGAATTCTGTATTGGCTACCCATAATCGCAAAACATCAGTGCCATAAGCAGGGTTTTTCTTCAGGTCCTGTAATGTTGAAGAAAATATTTAGTGTCCGAACTCAATAAAACACTGTCTTCATTGTTGGATTCATCCACAAACCTTTCCTCCCTTAGTGATAAGAGATGGTACAATGGTATTTCCCAAACTCTTTGACATCTTGTAGCCCTTCTCGTCGAGCAAAAATCCGTGAGTTATCAGGGTTGAATATGGGGCTTTAGATTTGACGGCAACTATCAAACATAAAATTAGACATTCTGGATTTCAATTAAACATCCTGTAACCGAGATAAAAGATCTCCCACTTACTGCTAGTCAACAAAGATGACTGGAACCATCCTCTATGCTGATCGCTTCCTTCAAGATAGACATCAGCGACGGGCTTTGATGGATCTCTAGATGGAGATGCAAAGTTAGACACTCTATGAAGCACAGTCACTCTAATATGAAGAGCTCACTGACCTTCCCTCCATGCCATCTACCAAAGTCCAAGAAGTTCCACTGTCAAACCAAACATCCATAGTATCGTATCCACGCTTGTACTTTTTGCCAGTCTCCTTGTATTCAGGTGCAACAAACACCATATCATCTTCTTCCGACCACCAGCTGTCAATGCCCTTTTCATCAATGACTTTGAGAACGTGGGCAATGTTGGACTCCGTCAACAGCGGCACATCCGTCTCTACATCGTAGAGAACTGGAATGGGAACACCCCATGCTCTCTGTCTGGAGATGCACCATTCCTTTCTTGACATCGTGAATCCTTCCAATCGACGGATAGCTATCAAATGCCAAAGATGGCGATTAGCTTCCAAACAACAAACGCCATTACATTAGGCTCTTTCCTGACACTTACAAACACTTGGAACCATGTTAACGTTTCTTAGGGCTTCTACCGCTTCTTTCTGAAGACTTTCGACGTTGGCAAACCACTGAGCGGTGGCTCTCAACATAACAGGCTTCTTGGTACGCCAGTCGTAAGGATATTTGTGCTTGTAAGCTTGCTCCTTGATGATGTAACCTTGTTCCTGAAGCTCATTAATGACAGCTTCAGTTCCTTGATCGAATGTAAACAAGCCTTCAAATTTCTTTCCGGCTTCAGCTGTAAATTTGCCATCGGCGTCCACAGGACTAAAGGGCATGATGCCAAGTGATCGACATGCCTCGTAATCTTCCATACCGTGTCCGGGAGCAGTGTGCACGAGACCAGTACCCGAGTCCGCAGTGACATGGCCAGCAGCAATGATGGGCATATTCTTGCCGTTGAGTACGTGTTTATACTCTGCACCGACTAACTCGGATCCAGTGATCTTGCCAACTTGCTGGTATTCCGAAGCACCCAAAGTCTCAACAAGACTATCAACTAGATTTTCTGCGACAATGTAGGTTGAATTTGAAGAACCTTCGCCCTTGACATCAAGGAGTGTATATACAAGATCGTTATGGACAGCAATGGCTTGATTCGCCGGTAAGGTCCAAGGCGTTGTTGACCAAATCAAAGCGTATAATGGCGACTTGGGATCCTTCTGAAGTGATTCCAAGGCTTTGACTGAAACAAAGTGTTAGACAAATACTTGGTTTAAAAATTACCAACCATTTCAGAGCACATACCAGATTTTGTAATGGGAAATCGCACGTAGACAGAACGAGAGAGATGCTGATCGTCATATTCTAATTCGGACTCCGCCAAGGCAGTTCTAAGATCAAACACGACTAGTGGTTGGTATTGGAAGACTACAACATTGTTGCTTCTGTTTAGGTTTCAGCACTTACTTTGACGATGGAGACCAGTAGACAGGTTTGAGTTGACGGTAAATGTATCCTAAACAGAGAGAGCAGGTTGCCAATGTTTAGTTAAGCGTATTGAGGAGTTATGGACTGAGGTGGTGGTCCGTGCGCTACTAGAGATGATAATTACCTTTCTTCACCATTTCGCTAAACACTCCAAGTTGTCGAATTTCAAAATCTTTGTCTACAGAGTTGGATAAACATTGAGCTATGACTGTTCATCTCTTTTTGAGTGAAATATTACGAGCTCATGACTTACTTAACGTCAAATACGGCTTATCCCAGTCGCCCATGACACCCCAGCTCATGAAGTCCTTCTTCTGTTTTGCGACTTCCAAAAGTGCACGTTCCCGTGCGACCTTTCGAATCTCGGAAGGGAGTAGCTTTTTGGAATCAGTTGCCTATTGGTGACAGTTAGAACATTTGGCCGACCTCATGCATTGCAAATCACGACGATTTTTCCTCATCAACTGTAAAAATTCAAACCTTCAACTTTTCCAATGCCTTGAGTTCAATGGGCAATCCATGGCAATCCCATCCTGGTGTATAACTGTGGCTGATCATCAGCATTCTATCCCAATTAGAAGATCTTTTCATTCCACTTACTGGACTTTGTGGCCTTGGAGTACTTTATACCGCAAAATGATATCTTTTAAAATCTTGTTCAAAGCATGCCCTGAGGAAATAAATGGTTTAGTTGGTCTATCACTCAATTATACATAATCCTACTGCTAATTACCCATGTGGACGTCGCCATTAGCATACGGTGGCCCGTCATGAAGAACAAACAAATCTTTCGGATTGTTCCTGAGCTGTTATTTAGACAAACAAAAATTTTGTTATAACCTCCAAAAGACAAGTACATGCAAATGTACAATTGTACTGACCTGCCAGTGATATAAGTCTTTGGTACATCTATCATGGAAAAGATGCTCGCGCTTTACGGCGTCTGCGCGTAGAGGAAACGGAGTATTAAGCAATAGAACCGTAGACTCATACGGGCTTTTTGGTTGTTTTTTGACGGAATCGCTCGCCCTGAGGAGAGTTGATTGGTGCATGCTGCGGTTGAAAAGTAATGATTGTGCTCTTTTTCGTAAAGGACTACGGGCTGATGCCAATATGCCGCTCATTTTAAAATGATTTGGGAATGGCCACACAAGTAATGGTCATAAAGTGTCAAGTTTGTGTGCAAATATGTGACTGATTATTTGGGGAAATAATCGGTGTCGGTGCCTGTGGCCACAATTTCGGCTCTCAGTGTCCTGCAATTGAATTAGAGTGCCAGTTGGAGAAGATTTAGAAGTTCAGGAGGTTGTGCTGCTCTGTCCTTCACGAGACCTCGTAATTGACAAGTTCTGATGGTAAAGCCTGTCGCCAGTGGAATACGTGGGAAGTCAAGCAAGTTTTATATGCAAAAGCATAACAAAGTGCGGTATGCACTGTGTTACATTTATTAATCAATAGTCTGGATAGATTGTATTATCAGAGTCTGTCGTAATGAAACCCTCTCTAGAAGGTACAGTTATCCGCATAATAATGTGGCTTAACGCTGCTTGCATTCAATTCTGGTTCAGACCCAATTCCTCATCCCTCTAATGACAAAGTGTGAGTGGATCATTTGGCAATTTTTGGCTGATCATCATTATGAGGCGATCAACTCGCTGAGGGCGGGGCTAGCCCAGAAACAAGACGTACGCTTTAAAACCGCAGAGCAGCTATCAATGTATGACATTCAGTGCGTTTAAAGGCAATATTATGCTGGGTAAACCTCCCTCCCGACCATTCATAGGAAGTAGTGGAACTTAGGAAGTACCACAATTCCAACAAAGTGGAAAGAAACGCTTTGAATACTCAGAGTATTCAAACTACTCTGTAATCTCGACATGAATAATTGAAAAACGTTCAGTAACTTTCATCAATGGAAAACATTGAACTTCTTCAAAACATTAAGCTTTTCTGCCAGAAAATAATTCGAGAAACTCTACAATTGGAGGCAAATGATATACTGCACCATCTGACGGTATGGAAACAGTAGGGGGCCAGGTTAGTTGACTCTCGACTCTACATGATGAGCCCGGACGACTTTTGACCAGAAGTACGTCTTCTTCCTTGATTCAAAATTTGCGTAAGCTACTACTCTATTTCGTCTTTACGGTAGAAGGGATCATAACGAAGCAGGTAAAGAAAACTATCACATCAAATCAATCATTTGGTATAGCTCCAACATGCCTTTTTCGCCCATCGAGCCGGTTCTAAGTACGTATTTTTGCAATCTTTATCTTAAAGGGTTGGTATTTTATTTTTTCAAAGGACATTTCCCAGAGGACACTGCTACCTTTGCCTATATCATAATTTGCATTTCAATGCATATCGGTGATTCATTGTGGTGTTAAAACATGGAGATATATGTCACTTTCCTGTGCTATTGTTATAGTAGTTTCATCAAAGGCAGCGTCTAGATGTATTCTTCCTATATATTGAGTAAGAAACTATTAAAATTACCTCCTGTTGTAGTTACTTTTTACCTTTGCTCGAAGTCGAAACAGAGGATTATTCCAGTTATTTCAACACCGCTATTCCAAACACTGGCCCAAAAAAATGAACCAAAAAAAAAACTATATTAAAATCGCAACCCGCCTCGAGAATCCCTCCTTCATAGCAAGTATGAATGCACTGCGAAAAGCTGGCTACGTAGTGCAGGCAGCCTGCCTCATTCACCTCTTCCACCAGAATGTTGGTGAATTAACCTATGTAAGCTACCATGACTTCAGTTACACCAAAACACACGGCAGCTAACCGACTTGTTGTGCTCCATTGCGTGATTTCAATTCCCGTAGTGCATGGGTCCGTCAATGCTACCGACATTCAATATGGACGGAGATATCGTTGCCATAGAGCACTTGTCAAAACGATACAAGCGACTGTCCGTAGGAGACGTCGTCGTGTGCATATCTCCAGTCAATCCAGGTCGAGCGGTATGCAAACGCATATTGGGCATGGTAAGTGAACGCAACATACCTGTAAACGAATTGGTCGTCTGGAGCTAAAAGAGCTTGCTTTTGCTAGGAAGGAGACCATGTGTGCGAAGATCCCACATTGAGAGAGATTGAGAGAAAATACATTGACGTAAGTTGTGTTGTTGCAAATTTTGAGCCTGATTCCTTGTCTCATTTTTTACCTCACGTTCCTAACTATATGAACTGTGACAGGTGCCCGAAGGCCATGTCTGGTTAAGCGGTGACAACCTTAGCAATTCGAATGACTCTAGAACGTATGGCCCGGTACCATACGGTTTAATACGAGGTCGCGTGTTTGCAAGAGTGTGGCCAGACCCTGGATGGATTGCCAACAATTTCTTGCCATATACTAGTTACCCATGATGATATCATTTATGTAAGCTTTTCAGGTGTCGAGACAGAAAAAAAAAGGATTTTATAGGCGTTGGTAAAATAATAGAGAAAAGAAAAGACTAATAATATAATGATGAATAAGATATGCATTGTCACCAAGGAAAAGAAAAAGTGGTGGGGTACGAATACAAACTGAGTAGGGGAAGAAACACAGAAATTCAAAAAGGAGGCGATTTTTGGGAGAAGTAATAAGAGGAAAACTGAAGCAATCACAATGAAATAGGAATGAAAACACAGACAATAAAGGACATCTAAGAAAGCGATAATAGCAATGGAAGATAAAGAAAAAAAGAAAGTGATCACAAGCATATGAGTTGGAGTGTTGGAGAGAAAAAGACGATAAAAAAGAGAGGGAATGTGTGGTAAGAAGACGTGGGATAAATGAAATATAACAGAATAACGCACTACGAATTACACTAACACAAAATTGAATAAAGGGAAGAGGAAAAAAAGAGATGAAAAAGAAAAGATGCAGATAAAGATATTTTCAGAGCAGAACGGAAGTAATAGCAAAGGAATAATAGAGTAGATGAGGAAGAACGAGAATTTGTTGCTTGCATCACTGGGCATAAATACCATTAATGCGCCAATTAGGATCAGGGTCGCTAGATTCCTTACTGGCACTAGTGGGCCCACTGACGCTTTGCAATCCTTTGCTGACATCGGGCCAACCCATATCGGCCTGGCGATTGAGTAAGTCAAATGTATCAAGATGCTGAGATTGCAAGAAATTGGATGGTACATGTGTAGGTGACAATAAAGCGTTGCGATTCATAGTGGTGCTGGAGTTTCCAGAGTAAGGCGAGTACGCAGATGTCAATGAGGGTTGAGCAAAATTGATTGGTTGTTGTTGCGGGGAACTATGAGAATGAGAAAGTATGTTAGTCCAATCGAATATAAAGGCTTTTACAATCACTATTCTAAAGTCAAAAATCAACTAACCGAAAAACGGCAGGCATTAAAGGCTGGGGCTGTTGTTGTTGCTGTTGAACAAAAGATGCTGATGGTAATGGTTGAGCGAGCTGAGAGCGCTGCTGTGGTGCTTGAGGCGGTGGTGGTTGTTGATGTAATTGAGAAATGGTTTTGTCACTTTGGGACCTGCCCCACGACAATCTGATTCTTGAACCATTGATTTGGAATCCATTCATTTGCTGTATGGCAATTTCAGCAGATGCACGGTGAACATATTGAACGAAACCGCACCCTTTTCCAGCTGGAATTTTGACATAGGTAATTTCTCCAAAAGGCGAGAAAACAAGACGTAATTCATCTTCATTGACAGGTGATGAAAGGCCACCAACAAAAACTGTAGTGTTGTTAGGGTCTTGGAATTGTTGTTGCATTACAGCAGGAGGTGTAGTCTGATGTTGCTGAATCATAATTTGTTGTTGCTGCTGAAGAATGGCTGCATGATTGCGATTACTGTTTTTCGGAGTCGCCATCGATACTCTCATAGGTCGACTGCCGCAGTAAACACCCTGCATCTCAATCAAGGCACGTTGCTGTTCGGACTGATCATGAAAGCGGACGAATCCATAACCTCTTGGCATTCCAGTGTTTGGGTCGGTCATAATCTTTGCGGATTTGCATGATACATATCGACTTTGAAAGATAGCCTAGATGGAGGGAAAGGGAGTGATGAGAACGTCACACTACGAGCTAAACAAGAGTTATTCCCATCTTCCACACTTACCAGCAACATCAATTCCGAAACTTCATTGCTCAGGTCGCCAACAAACAAGCTATATTCAGGTGCTCTGTCCTCTCTAATACCATAAACGAACCAAGTCAGTCAAAAAGATGATGAGTATTCCTATCAGGTGGAAAAAAAAACAATGAATACCTTCTGTCGTTCAAGCCGCCCCCGGACGCCCAATTCAACTTGAAGACTTTGTGAGTGTTTGGTATGAGACTACCATTTACGGTTGCCAAGACCTTTGCAGCAGTTTGGGGATTTGAGAAATCAACAAAAGCATATACCGAACTACAAAGGAATTGAAGGAGTTTTGGAGGTTAGTTTTTTTGAAACGGAGGTTCGACAAAAATGCCAAGGGGGAGTACAAGGATTATTTTTTTCGGCTAAAAGTTGCTCGGGGGCCGACGTTGAGAAATCGCTCACTTCTCACACACCGTTGTAGTCCCAGCCTATGTTACAAAATGTATGGAAACACGTACCCCGTAACCTTGTCCCTAATAAGTTTCACCAGTACTTGTTCACCGAGATTGTACCAAACTTGACGAATGAAAGTTTCATCCATCCATGGCTCCAATTCGCCCATCCTGTTCGTGAATTATTGAAGATGGGTAAAGGTGGAATGGGTGACAATACGATGCGAAAAATGATTTGAATAAGTTGTGAATGGTTGTTGTTCGCAAAATTGCAATTAGAAGATAAAAAAGAAAGTTTAAATAAATTAGTATGGTTTGTGGATGGAATGTTGCGCACAGTATGCTGAGTCAGTAAAAGGGGAAGGAATGTTACCATAAAGTAGTTTTATCGGATGGAAGCATCTGAGCGGATGTCTGTTGCTGCGGCGGTGGTTGGAGTGGTGGCTGGAAGTCGTACTGAAAAGCCATTTGAGCTTCAAAGGACGATAAGGATTAGGGAAGGTAAAAGGGAACAGATGCAAAAGAAGACGGAGTAATAAGAAAGAGAAAAAAAATTCCAAGAGAAAAAAAATGTGTGTCGTAACTGACTGAGAAGTGTGTGGCTTG